ATAGCCTTTAGACACTAGTAATAAGTAGGCAAAGTCAGCACCAGTACAACATCGACGCAGTCCAGAAGTGTAATACATCTTCCCTTTCATACACATTACTATCCATATCCCAAATCTCTTCACCGCTGCTCCATGCTCGTTCTATCGCCGGGATGCCAACACCCTCTTTATCGTTGTTGTGCATGCCGATGATTGAATGATCATTACATCCTCCCTTGCTCTCATTGCCCGCCTCAAGGCCCAGCTACGCAAGCATGTCAAGGTATCTGATCTCGGCGAGTTGCATAAGCTCTTGGGCATTGAAGTCAAGCATGACCGGGCAACCCGCACCATCCACCTCTCCCAGCAGTTGTACATCACCTCCATCGTCCGCCGTTTCAGTTTCGATGAGCTCAAGCTCGTATCAATGCACATGGAACCACATGGCCTGACGACCACCATGGCCCCTTGCACGACGGAAGAGATAACGGTAATGCAAGGCGTACTGTACCGCGAGGCAGTCGGTTCACTCATGCACATGTCGCTGGCGACCTGGCCGGACATCACGTTCGCCGTCGCCACCGTCTCTCACCTTCCGTCCAACTCCGGCCATGCATATTGGGGCATGGTCAAGCGGAGTTTCCGCTATCTCACAGGCACGCAGGGGCTCTGGTTCACGTATGGCGATCTGCAGCGTGAGCTCGTCGGGTATGGAGACGCCGACGGTAGCATGGCGGAAGACCGTCGGACAGTCTCCGGCTATGCGTTCCTTATCGAAGCAGACACCGTGGAAGGAGGTTGTATTGCTCTCAGCGACTGAGAGCGAGTACTTTGCCGCAATGCACGCAGCCAAGAAGACGCTCTGGTTGCGTTCTCTCGTCCGAGAAGTCATCGGGCCACCGATGAGCCCACCAAACTCTTTTTCAACAATCAGTCAGCCATTGCGCTCGCTCACGACCACCAATATCACACTCAATTAAAACATATTGACATTTGTTATCATTTCACTGGCATTTATTGGGTTATTGTCCCAAGCATCTCGTCTACTGCCCAGCTGACGAAATGATTGCCAGTGCCTTCACAAAGGTTCTCCCCTCGGCCAAAGTCAAGTAGTTTGCTTGTGAACTTGGCCTCGACGAGGTTTGAGGAGGAGTGTGCTGGGTTAGCAAGCCACACAGAGGCACGTCGGATGCATAGAGTCTCAGTATACTTTTGTTCTGTCTCATCTCTTACTTGCTTGCTCTAGCTCATGGTAATTGCTTCTTGTCTCACTTACGATACTACTTACTACTACTACTAGTACTGTGGCTCGGATGCTTTGTGTACACCCGTACTTATACCCGCTATAGATGTAGCTGAACCTCAGACTTTCTGCATTCACGCACGTGTCTAGGTTTCTAACGTGTTACCTTAGTTTCTACCAATAAAGAGAGGTACCTGATTAGTTGAATAGTGCTTTTGAATGGCCGATTTGTCCTCAAAGGTCTCCATAGCATGGCAAGGGGTGATTAATGATGATGAACTTCGAGTCAAGGCTCTTCACTGAACATTGCGAGAACACAGATCTTGACACAGGTAGTACGGCTATGAGGTACCATAATACACAGTATGTTGATACAACGCTCTTTGACCTGACCGTAACGCATATGCTGGAAAGAATTGTTTCATACTTCATCTGTGCAGCGCACTTGCTCCTTCGAGACTGTTAAGGTCTACGTTTTGGCTTCATAGTGAATAGGCAGGGTTTTGCAAATCGTTTACAGTGCAAACTCCAACGTCAAGCAAGGTTTTCGCCGCTGCAAGCGGCATTTCCCCGAGTCAGCTAAATTACTTTGAAATAGGCGGGCCCTGCAGGAGCAAATTCGTTCGAGCATTTTTCCTGGTGTGATTCCCTGCACGGCAATGTTTGTCCCGATTTGGTCACATACTCAAACTCCACTTTTATACTCGCGCGTGCTCGCTTCGCTCTCTTTTCCATCTACTTCTACCATCACACTTCCGGAGGTGGGCGCTGGTGCCCCGTTCCGCAACCACGCGCGTGCACCTTCACTGGGCCAAGCCGCTCAGGACTCGCTTCGCCGCTCGCGGCCGGCTCTGCTGGACATGTGCTGTGGACAACGCATTTTCTCCACAAGTCGGTCGCGAGCAACAGGGCAAAGCAGCCTGCAGCCCAGCTGTGCTCGAAGGTAGCATGCACCCGGTCCTATTCGCGACAGCGCTTGCGAAACGCAGGCCAGAATACTGTATAATAGATAACGGGCACGCATGCGCACAGGCACACGCACGCACGCACGCACCCGCTTGCCCCATGCAGGCACGCCATTGTGCCAGCGTACGCGAGACGAGCAGAATGCTGCATCGAGGTTCAGAGCTACCCGCCATGCCCTTCCTGTAACTAGCTGTATTACATTACAGAAATCTGTACTTACGGTGTGACGATACAAGAAAGAATCTAATGTTATATCATGTTATATCAGCCTACAACAATGCGTAGACATACTTTGAGCGAATACAAGATCCCTCCCAATACGATAACTCTCTACAACAAAGGTAATATTCTGGTCAGCCCTTGTGCCGTGTGACAGAAAGCAGCCTGATGTTATAGCACTCGACAACACCTCACCTCGCATTACCGTAACCGTAGCATCTGTACAGTGTTCACCACGCTCACGCACTTTTTGTGATGAAGTTATGGTTCCAGAATCTTTGAATATTGGGTGCTGATTTTGTACCGCTCCTCAGATTTGGCCCGAAACTTCTTTTGTCACTGGAAAGAAGGTGTCGCAAAGTTCATTTTCCGGCTGCAGCCAGTCGCAATCGACTACAATTACTGTTCAGTCAGAGTGATTTAATAGTATTTTATATGATTAGAAGCACATTGCAACTGACACGGGCGATTGCAATCCACTTTCAGGAGCGTTGCAACCGCTTGCAGCTTAGACGTAATAAAATCTCAACCATAGTCGCTAAAAATACTCTAAAATCCGCGAGACCTCCGCTGCGTTCCCGCTTCAATTAAATTGCAGGCTGGTTGCAAGGCACCAAAATCGGAAATGGCTGCAATCGAACTATTAAATTTGCGACAGGGGGCGTAAATAAATCAGATCAGTGTGCTCGAGGTGGATCGATCATCCACTCATCCGTTCAGACTCTGTCCCTCATCTGCTCAGTTGTGAGTGCCCCTGAAGGTCTCGATCGCTCCCGCCGCCTCATGCACATGTTGACTGCCGCGTGAATGAAGTGTGATGAAGCTTTGAAGCACCGACGCCGTTCTCTGCACCGATCATCCGCAGGGCCCTTCGTGGTCACCCCCACGACCCAGTGGTTATAGGTATTCCTGGCAATTCACATGTTTCTTGCGCTTTACACGGCTGACAAAGTTTCGTGCCAAGGCGATACGATACGTAAATGGCCGGGCCACATGAGTTATACGTCGTAAGAAAGCCTAATGCTATCACTGACTCGCCCTAAGTTCCGACGTACGTGCTTCTCCATGCCGCACTGGCTCCTTTGGCAAATGTATGGCAAAGACCAGTGCGCTTGCAAATTGCCCTATCTTCGTCACTCATATGTATCGCCCCGTACCCTGTCTATGCTCTCTGATCGCCAAAAGTAATACAGCTCAGTGATGATGTTGATTGGATGGAGCCAAATGGAGCGATCCCGAATAGAAGAACAGAAGCATACAGGATGGATGGATTAGGCGCTCAAGTTGGGTGTGTGTTCCGTTTGGAAGTGGGAAAGCGTACGTGTCGTGTCGACACACAGCCTTGATCCATTCCTTCGGCTCTTCTGATTTCTACTGAATACTGCACTCTCTCGCTCTAGAATGCATATCGTTGTTCTGACTTTGCTCATCGTCGCTGAAAGACTTGCCATCGCTACGGCTGGGCCCACGGGCGCTCCTACATTGATACGATGCAGAAGATCGATGACAGGTGATGACGCCGCAACCACCTGTCAGGTTGTACACAGCTGTGGAATCGAAGGTCAAATGAGACCCTCGTTGCAAGTTTAGCAATCTTTCACTTCCCTTCACATCGCTGCCTTGGCCGACCACGGTACCTCGTGTATGGCGTTCCGCTCACAGCATCCAGTGGTCTCGGGTCGTTGATACTTATCAGAGAAGGGCGCGCCTAGTTGAGTTGCCGTTTCTCAGCGCCTACTTTGCAGTGCATGGCACTGATTGGAACCTGCCTCCTGCATCCATATCGATAGGGTGAACTATCCTAGTCCACCCTCGTGCCCTGCAATGGAAAACGTGGCCATGGCGCCTTCCATCATTGCACACGTTCTGATCAGAATACAGCTAACGTCGCGCTCGCCTCGTGCCCCTGCTGTCTTCCTACTATACGGCGACGTCCTCTTTGTCTCCTCCCCTTCCCCTCAAACAATCCAACAACTCGTCCACCAAGTACCCAGCCCAAACTTACAAACATCCATCCACAAATAAACCACTTGTATTCCCCCTCAGACTCGAAGCATCCAGAATTGTCTTGTTCTTCGCCATTTTCTCCCTTACCCACCGGCTGCCAACGAACATCTCTAAAAGCTCGGGCGTTTATTTCTGCGGATAGACTCGCCCTTGGTAAAACGCCGAAACCTTCGAGACATCCCCCCGCTCCCTCCTCCCTCCTCCCTCCTCCCTCCTCCCTCCTCCCTTCTCCTCCTTTTCATAGGTGTTTACAGGTTACTCGCAAGACACTCAAGATAGCTCCAATTTTTTACAGGTTGACTTGCTCCGGGACGGTCACCGGAACCTCAAGACGTCTTGCTTCCCCTTCTTTTCCCTTTACAGCTGTTTACAGGTTACGCGCAAATCACTGCAGAAGGGCTTCGGCGTTTCTTTCACAGGTTACCCTCTCAGACTCTGACGTACATCGAAATTACCCATACGTCTCCTTCTCACCGTGCTTCGCTTCCCACCGATCTCTGATACTGGTCTCGCCAAGGTGAGTGTTACGAACCATTGTCCCAGTCCCAGTCGCACTTACGCTCGCACGAAGCAACACCTTGCAGTCATGGCCGACCCAATCCGCGTAAACGCTTGGGAAAAACTCAGCGACATTTGCGTTCACTCCGCTCCGTTCGACTCTCCTGAGCGTGAGCCATTCTCCCAGTGCCTTCCAGGTACTCGTGTTGATCTCCTTGACACCCTCCGCACCGCCATCGGAACCGAGAACAAGAAGATCATCTGGCTCTCCGGCGAATCCGGGTCCGGCAAGTCCGCTGTGGCTCACACACTAGCGCAGGAGCTCCACGCCAGCGGCGCGCTTGCGGCATCGTTTTTCTTTTCCCGTCGGCATGCTATTCGTAGCACCGACGACCAATTCATACACACCATATCCTACCAGCTCGGTCTCTGTCATCCATGTGCCAAAGATGTCATCATCAAGGCGCTTCTTGATGATCCGTCTCTTCTTAACCCGGAATCCTCGCGACACCGGCAGTTCACTCGACTTGTCCTCGAGCCTCTTAGAGAGCTTTCCATGATGTGGAAGGAACAGGATCTGACAGCAATCATGTTGTTTGATGCACTAGACGAGTGCGAGCCGGGAGACCGTAATCGACGCCTCGGTCAGTTGGTTGACTCCTTCGCCCAGGTGCTTGAAGATGAAAAAACAGCCAACTTTCACATCGTGGTAACCAGTCGCCCTTACTCCCATATTCGAGACGCTTTGGCGAAGCCCACCCTCGTTCTACCGCACGTCATGGAGAACTTTGACGCCAGAGACGATATTGAGCGCTTTCTCAATTCGTCTTTTGACGAGATCAGCCGTGCACACTATTTCTCCCTTCCGAAGCCTTGGCCATCGCTTGCTAATCTACAACTCCTGGCGGATAGGGTTTCCCGCCGATTCATTGTCGCCGCAACCATCGTCAGGTTCTTAGAACAAAAACGCCCATCCGACATGCAACGTTTTCTCGACGCTCTGTTGCAGACGCAGCAGCTAACTAGCAGCATAGAGGAGCTATACCGTTACGTCATCCACTCATCTGAGCACGCTTCGAAAGGGACGTCTCTCCTCGTGCACATCTTGACATTATACGAGCCTTTGCCCATACTCGATATCTCGCGCCTTGTTCAATACGACGCCCGTCCGGTACTTGTTCCGCTGGCTGCTATAGTCTACGTTCCACCTATCGACTCAGCTGAACCTGTCGCAACATATCACACATCGCTTCGTGACTTCCTCTGGGACGAGTCGCAGTCGCAAGAGTTTTATTTCAGTCCTGCCGCCGCTCATTTCTCCCTCGCTACCAATTGCTTAGAGCTCATGGATGGACCGCTCACTAAAGATATATGTGACCTTGGTGATGCTTCACGTCTACACACCGAGATTGAGGAATTTACAGCCAAGAGAGACAAGGCAATCTATCCTGCCCTGGCGTATGCTGCGAGGTTCTGGCTCCACCACCTTTGCGAGTCACCGCCCAATCCTGAGTTGCAAGACCTCCTTTCACGATTTGTCAAGGTACACATCCTCCATTGGATTGAAGTGGCGTCCTTGACGGGTGTTTTCGGCCACTGCGTTGCCCCTCTATTTCGAGCACTTTCACACATTAAAGTAGGTTGACAATTGGCCGATCCTCTGAGTTTTCTCCGTTGCTCAATAGACATCTTTTGATAGACATGGACATCAATGCCTGATCAAGATGACACTCTCGCTCTCTTGAATGACACATATCGGCTCATGAATGAATTCTTCGACTGCATCACCCAAAATGCCCTCCATGTCTATTGTAGCGCCTTACCACTGTGTCCAACGAAAACCAAACTCCGAGAAGTTTACGCACAGGCCCTTTGCTACGCATCAGCTACTGTGGTTGAAGGGCTCGATGAAGATTGGAGTCCTGTTGTTCGAGTAATCAACTTCGATGATGGTGCCGAGGTGCTCTGTACCTCTTTTGATGGTCGCCTTGCAGCTGTATTGGGAGGAAAGAAGATCGAGGTATGGGATATTATGGCCAATGTCGTGGTTACATCCCGCCCTCGTCGCTTCATTGGGGGTTACAGCATTCACGGTATCTTCAGCAAGGACTCCTCTTCCCTTCTGTTTTATAATCGTTGCGTCTATGAGCGCTGCTCCGACCACGACCCCGAAACACTTCACATCTGGGATCTTTCCACCGACACGATCGCTACAGTTGACGCCACAGGCGAGATTGATGTCGCAGCTGTCTCCTCGACTGGAGATCTGGTGTCCTGGATTAGTAGTGATACACTGACTATTGTGAAGAAGGACAAGCGCACTAACCAAATCATCACTGAGGAATATGAACTCGATGTCTTTGAACAATTACATCAACAGAAGTTATATTGGTGTTCACAGCTAAGGTTCTGCTCCCAGGATTCTTTCATCGTTGCTGTATGGAGGTATCACGGGCCCAATAAATATGTCACTGTGTGGGATTGCCATAGCGGGCATCTTGTTCGCGCCACCTCTCTCGAATCTGGCTCGGACCTGGTAGCAGTCACTTCCGACGTGCACAGCATAGCATTCTTCTTGAATGACAGTGAGGCACAACCTATGTTTATTCCAATTCCCACACAAGCAGATCTCGACCATGACTCCAACCCAGAGACTGCCTCCTGTGTTTTTTGGCGTGCGGAGGACTACTATGGCGCGTCATCCCATCATTACAGCGCCACGCACTTTGAACGTGGTATATTCAAATTTGATGGTGCATACTACTGGTATCCATGTAGGAACCCCGGCTATGGTGATGGTGAAGACGACGAAGGATGGAATACACTTGAGCGTTCGGCCGTAAAAGGGACCGCTGGATTCATCCCGTTTGCTGTATCACGGACATGTATTGAACTCATCGACCCCTGCCTATTGTCTCCTCTGGGTTCAGAAGATGACAAGGAAGATGTATCCCGGATGGCTGTGCCTGGCTGCGGCGACAACACATTTGCTATGGTTCAGACTGCACAACGCCAAGGGTGGCTTCACATTCGACGTACGCAGGGCAGGGAAACTCTAGCAAGCCTTCCAGATGAATATTGCGACACGGTTACTACACTTGGCGAAAGATTGATATTCTGCTCTCGGGATGGAACCCTCCTTGGTCTGGGCGATATAAGCACTCCCAGCCTAAGTGTCTACAACGCTAGTACCCATCATATCGAGCGAGTCTTAACCTTGGATTCCCTGGACTATGCCCCCGATGGGGCTTGCTTCTCGCCAAACTCATCTTATCTTGCTGTACTGAACTATGATCGGGGAGGAGTCACCGTATGGAGTATCCCAGCCGGCGAGGAAGTCTTTAGGATACGACTACCCTTGCATGACAGTATACGCATGAACAGGGTGAGAGGCGTGGACTTTGCGGGGGGTGACAGGTTACGCTTGCAAGACTGTCCTCAAAAAGAGTTGGATGGGATGATCCGGTGGAACAAATGTGAAATAAATCTTACACCCCCCAACGATAGCTGGAACTACTCGACTTCATGTCATAACAACCCCGACGTGACCTGGGATGACACGGACGTCATCACTGCTAACAACTCACAAGTCAACAAGTGTCTTATTCGCCTTGATCGCCTTGTTGACTACTTGGACAAGGGCTGCAACAAAGAACTTGAAGGATTTCTTCTCCTCGAGGAATGTAGGTTCTTATGCTCGTGCTTAAACTCGCCTTACTAATCCATCGCAGGTCAAGACCAACCTCTGCTACTCACGAAGAAATATCCTACGGGTACCATCCTAGACGTGTACACTTGGTCCTCGTTCAGGATTGATCCTGACGGCTGGTTATGGAATGATCCACATAGGCTGATTTGGATTCCGCGACAGTACAGGCCTACGGTCGGCAACCTACCGTATACTGATGAGTTCGAACATTTATACAAATCAAGAGCCGCGGTGCGCAAGTTCGGAGAGTCCGGGGTTCTCATTTTTTCACACGAGCGCGAGTTGCCTTTGATCCTCGAGTTTCGATAAGTACGTGACTACTTGGTTCTTGCCAAGCCGGTGCTGATTAGACGTGCACTCAGTGGCGAGTCGTTGCCATAGAGGCCCCGCATATCCCAACCCCTTCTCGAAGCGCTAGCAGAGTAATACGACTTTTTGACCCGTGTATGTGTATGTACCAACGAATCATATGATACAGTTAGGCTGTCTACCCAGACTGCGGATTACTTCGAATTGTCAATACGATAAAAGTCGAGCTCAAACCCAGGGACAGGATAAGACGAGAGTTAGCAGACCGCTCTTTCTTGGTGTTGCGCGAGTCACTGATTGTCCGGAAGCGAGGGCTACGTGAGATGAAACGATGCTCCGTTGCGTCCCCTTCCGACGACAGTCCAATTGGATCATTTTAGGCATGTACTTGAACCGTTGAGTTAGGCAGAAGGTGTGAACCGGTCTTGCTGGTCAATGAATCCCGAGCCTGAGTGCAGTCGACGAGTCCGTTCTCGAACATGTGAATATTGCAAAGTATTGCAAAGGAGGAGAAAGGAAGACATAACCAGACGGAAATGGAGATGGAAAGAGAAACAGAGAACTTGCTTTAAGATGTTATAGGGGCCGCGAACTCAAGGATAGTACGTGTGCGAGAGTAAAGAAGCAAGTACACGACTTGAATGAAGTCGCACCTTGACATCGTACACATTTATGCAACCCAGTGCCATTGACTTCGCGTTCCGCGCAAGCATATCCACAGGCCCGACGACGTGGTTATCCAGCGTCGTAACTTGCCCATCCCCTTATCTCCCTGCTCGCGCTCGTCATCACGGCGCCAAAGAAGGTGGTACGGACATGGTATGCCCAGCCCTCGCGGCGTACCGCTGCTCCCCGGAAGAGACTGTGCGGCGAAAGAATGGGTGCCAATGCCTAATCGACCTCATAGAGGGCTTGTAGCTGCCTTGGAACTAAGATCTGATCGGACGATGAACGCAATAGGGTCAACATGGGAAGAAAGTGTGACCTTCCGAGCTGATGACGAGTAGCTCAGATAGCTTGGTGGATGCCTTCTTTTTTTCGCTCGCGCACAGTCTCCGTTGGCTTCCCCGTTGGGAGCGTTCCACAGGTAGGGGGTTTACCCTGTTAGTGACTGCGTTGAATCACTCAAGACGGAAGAAAAGCAAGTTTGGAAAGACGCACCTTGATCCACATCGTTCCATAGCTATTCATCGGGTACAGGATGCCGCCCTCAAGCGTCTGACCTAAATGTCTGGGGCTACATCGACCGACGTCAATGCTCACAGTTTTCGCCTGAGGAGTACTTCGCTCGGGGCTGTGGTGCGGCTCAGATGTACGTGGGAGTGACCTTCGTACAGAAAGGTTAGGGTGGAGACGGCCAGGCTTCTGGGGAGTTCATCGAATAGTGTGTACATTGGTGCCCAGCGGCGTCATGAAACCACTTTAGGAGGAATGAGTGACGCAGAGAGGAAGTCAGTAAGACAGAGCGTAGTTAGAGACAAGGAGAGCTCACAGGTCCACAGTATGAAGACAAACCATCTAGACACGTCCCAGCCCTTGTGGTCCATTCAGCACTCTCTCCCTGCTATTGATTCGAAGGCGCTGAGGCCAAATGTACCAGTAGCTGGCTACGAGTAAGCGGAACGAGTGAGAGAAGGATAAGGGCCAAGGAGGTGCAAACGATAGGAGTAAGGACTTGTGTTTATATCAAGCACACGGCCATTTTAGGTGCAGGAAGGGAAAGACAAGAAGTCAAAAGAGAAAGCGTGCCATTCGGGGTGGGCGGACATCTCGTGGCAGCCCATGGCGGAGAGGACTTTGAACACGGCCAGCAAAAGAGTACGGCTTGCCGAGCACGGTAGGTTCTATGGAAATGGCGATGACAGCGTCCGTGGAAATGCTTTCGATCACTTACAAGTTGGTGTATGTCACTATCTGATCCTTCCATTGTACGATCGACGAGTACTGGGTCGAGTGAGCGATAGAAGGGAACAGAAGTCAACAGCGTCCTCTTCCAAAGTGTTTACGTTGTTGGCGCTCTAGCCGTGAGAATTCGGCATGCGGGCCGGATGCTTCCGGCTACTCCCGGTTGGCTGCTCACAAACGCGTCTGTCGACTGTGTGTCGTCCAAACACATTTCTCAAGATTTCTCCTCAATGCATGAACCCCTCCGGAACTATCGGTTTCGACCCATTTCCATTTCATTTCCCAGACGTAAACCCCTTCATCATCCACAACCATAGCCCGACGTCCTCAGGCTTATGTGCGCACGAACGTTGTGATCTTGGATCTCCCAGCACGCGTTACATCCCTTTGGCAAGGAAGCACTCCCCCGAGTCGCTGCTCAACAATTCTTTCAGAATCCACGATACAACGAAACTGTCACCCCTCCAGGCCTCCTATGACCTCCTGCTGCTTCAATCAGCTACTAGGCGTTTATCTTCAGCTGCTGGGTGCGAGAGGTTCGTGTTCGCAGCCGAGGCTCAATGTTCTACACTAACTCACATCGACTCGTCCATGCAGCTCTACAGCACAACTATAGCTATCAGGCTTTTTCAACCTCCATTTCTCTCATTCTTCGCTATCTTCTTGTCTACGTGCCTCGAGTGTTCGGAATTCTCTTGCTTCACCTCGCATGGGAAGGCAGCCACTCGTCATGCCATTGTCAAAGGTCTTCTCCCAAGACATCAAGTTGTGTGTGTGTTCGCTTTCATTACTGTTCGGCTTAACCTAGATTGAGAAACCCTGGTCTGTTATAGGTGACCGCACATGTGAACGTGTGTCAGCGTCGTCACTCAGTGTACTCTTTCCTTTAGCCTCCAGTCAAGATGTCGTCGAGCCCGCAAGTTGACGATTCACCCCTCGTATCATCGCTAGAACGCAGACATCAGTATTATCGTCTTTGAAGGGGAAGTATTTGGAGACGCCATGCGCGTGATCGAGTTTCAGTGGAAGGAATACTTGGTACTGGTGATGTAGAGATTACTAGGGCTACATGCTCAAGGTGCGTCAACATGTTCGTGCTTTGTACACTCATCGTTGATGCTTAAGAAAAAGTACGCCGTTTCCCACCACCCATACCGCACATACATCCTCGATGCCCTTCCAGGCCGTCAGCATCGGATTGACGCCGGTCGTATCATCCACCGCTGGGACTTTGAACGACAAGTTCGTCCCTTTAGCAACCTCCAAATGCCTTTAGCATAATGCTTGGATATCAGGCCATGAAAAGTCCTCCGATACGTCGATTGACTCACCCTGCGCGACTCCCTCGACGAGATTATGCGCGGGCATCCCTTGCCTCTTTGCTCACGTCGTCGGTCAAGGGGCGAAGATCTCGTAGGTCAAGATCATCACGCATAGGTACGTCTCTATGACTCCATTATGCACTACCCTCCTCCATATTGTCTTCCCTCTTCCCCTCCGTCATTACCCTACCTTCCGAAGGATGTTCCACTGAGAGCGAAGTCATGACATCACACCGGTAGGAACAGCTTCGAAACGTCAGATCCATAGTTTTACCTTGGAAATACGGAGAACGCATCTGCTTTCCTAGGCGGATGGGAGCCTCGTTGCGCTACGACGCTCCCAAAGTGCCGTCATGCATCGGTTTGAAGCTTGCCATTCGCGCTTGCGTTGTGGATCAGCAAGTCCGCGCATGTGGTACTCATCGGGCCCGGGGAAGGCGGCGCATCCGTTCCTCCCGTAAACAGTGAGTGTTGTTCGTCATCGGCGTTATAGTAGGTGCTGAAGGTTAACATGGCGATGGTATAGAGTGAGTATAAAAAGCGGCTCGCAGGCGAACGAGAATGGCGCCGTGCTCGCTGTCGCCGCTCAGCTCGCGGGGGAAGATAATGATCTTTCACCACGCCTGGACCGCGAGCGGGGCACTACTCATCATGTACCTGCATTCCACAGTTACCTCCGCGTACGTGAATCCCTGGCCCACGTTCCGCGCAGGCAGACGCAGCTGGAAGCACCACCATAAACCGGGCGACCGCGGGCCGGTCTCGGATTCCGATGCTGCTCTTTTCGCTTCCCGGCTCGGGAACTGTTCCCGCATTGGCTCTGATCCTAACACCGTACTTGCGAGGTTCATGATAGCGCCCTTGTTCCTAGAGCTATGGCACCATCGTGAAGACCATTACGCCTGCGCGCTGCTCTATTTTCTTACAGTATGCATGGCATCTTTCCCTCGTCGATATTCTTTAGAGGCTGAACCTCAACCTAGAAACTGGATGACGGATTGGTGCTAAACGTTTAAACGAGTGGGCTCCGATTAGACGGGCAGATGCATACATTATGGACAGGTTCAGCGCCCAGGTTAGGCGTGTTATGTACGTCTGGACTCTGGAGGAGTACTCGGTAACGCTGGACTAGGGAGGATCAGACCGAGCCTTGAGGAAGGCACGACGCGTAGTTTAGGGCCGGCATGGCCAGCGTAGTCGGTACATAGCGTGTTCGCGCGTGTCAGTAGTCACTAATCCCAGCTATACGAGTACTCTCGTCGTCGTCTTCTCCAGGAGTACCCACTCCAACGCCTGTGTCACGTCAGCTTACATTCTTGATTGGTGCCCATGACTCTAGTTGGTTCCATTGCTTACGTGTGTGCCGTCGCTTCAGGAAATTTGACGTCTATTTCTAAAACGTTCTTCACCACTGAGTGACGTATCATCCTGAAACGACTAGGTTGAAACGACTAGGCTCACGCCCATTCCTACAACGGACGACGGTGTCAGGCTCTGCGCACAAGGTCAGTGGACAGGTGATATCCTTGTTGCAGATTCAGCGCACATTCATTCACGTCGCTGCTGTGCTGACCGTTGCACCTCGTGTATGGGCTAATTGAACACAGCATCTACTGATCCCAGGTTTATTTGTGTTCGAGAAGGAAACGCCTGGTGCGGTCGCCGTTCTCGGCGCCTGCTAGGCAGTGCACGCGACTGGGGAGTGCACACTTGGTTGGAGCCCAGTTGCTGTAAGTTTGCGCCATCGATAAGGTGGATCGTCTGGGATCATATTCTGTCATGAACGACGTTCATGAAGTGCCCGGACCTGGCGCCTTCTTCTATCATCCCACACGTTCCAATGAAAGATTCCGGTGTTTGATATCGTAGCGCCCTACAGGAGGCACGCCCCTGCCTCGTGTTCTCGGTATCTGCTAGTATACGACGTCCGTGGTTCTCGTTTCCTCCCGTCTTTCCTCCCTGGAAGCCCGCTAGCTTGTCCACAGATACTCATCCCAAGCTTCAAAGCTCCCTTCGCAGATTAGCTACTCACATCCCACCTAAACCTCAAAACATCCAGACCCATCTCGTGCTGCTCCATTTCCCAGCTATTTTTAGCCGACGGCCACTCCAGCGCTTCTTTCTACAGATAGACTCGCCTTTGGACGAACGTCGAAAGCCCCTAGGGCATTCCTCCATTCTACTTCCCCATTTTCCACAGATATTTACAGGTTACCCGCAAGATACTCCAGAGAGCTCTAGCGTTTCTTTTACAGGTACATTTACTCTAGGACGGCTGTCAGGACCCTCAAGACGTCTCCTATCTCCTTCTTCTCCCTTTTACAGCTTTTTATAGGTTACGCGCAGGATAGTCCAGAAAAGCTTCAGCGTTTCTTTTTACAGGTTACCTTTTCCCACTCCTCCTCGCTTCCCACCGATATCAGTTGAACTCGTACCCGTTAAGCTTAGGTGAGATCTCCGAATGGTATTCTAATCTAACGCTATACTGACATAAGCACCGAATTGTTATTCGCAGACATGCCTGATCAGGTCCACCAAGACGCATGGAGAGAGCTCGGGAACCTGTGTGTTCATTCTGCTCAGTTCGACTCCCCCGAGCGTCAGCCGTTCTCCCAGTGCCTCCCAGGCACTCGCGGTGACCTGCTCGACACCCTCCGCACCACCATTAGGACCACGAACAAGAAGATCATTTGGCTGTCTGGCGAATCTGGGTCCGGCAAATCCGCCGTCGCGCACACGCTTGCTCAGGAGTTCCACAATAATGGCGCGCTCGCCGCTTCGTTTTTCTTCTCCCGCCGACATGCCATTCGTAGCACCGACGACCACTTCGTACCCACCATCTCCTACCAGCTCGGCCTACGACATCCGCGCGTCAAAGAGTATATCACCCAAGCGCTAGTTGACGACCCCTCTTTGCTCAAGCTAGAACGTTCTCGACAGGAGCAGTTTACTCGACTTGTTCTCGAGCCGCTGAGAGTGCTCAAGAAAATCTGGAAAGACGTGGGAAAGTCGATGATAATGCTCTTTGATGCACTCGACGAGTGCGAATCCGGAGAGCGTAACTATCGTATTGGTCAGCTAGTCGACTTCTTCATCAGCGCGCTGCAAGACGAAGGGACCGCTAATTTCCACGTGGTAGTAACCAGTCGCCCTTACTCTCATATAGAAGAAGTCTTGGACAAGTGCACCCTTGTCGTACCTCACGTCATAGATGATTTTGACGCCAGACACGATATCGAAGATTTCCTCAAAACCTCTTTCGACGAAATAAGTCGTGCTCCCTACTTTTCCCTTCCGACGCCATGGCCGTCATACACTGACCTCCAGCTCCTCGTCGATAGGGTTTCTCGCCGGTTCATTGTTGCCGCGACTGTTGTCAGGCTACTGAGGCAAAAGCGCCCATCTGACATGCGGCACTTCCTCGATGCGTTGTTGCAGACGCACAGGCTGACGAGTACTATTGATGAGCTTTATCGTCATGTCATCAACTCATCCCAGCCCGCTTCGGCGGGCACTTCTCTTCTCGTCTACATATTATCCTTGTCAGAGCCGTTATCTATCAAAGACCTTTCGTGCCTCGCTCAGTACGACGTCCGTCCGGTCCTTGATTCGATGGCCGCTATCGTATATGTGCCACCTGCAGGCTCAAATGAGCCCATCGGGACGTATCACACGTCGCTCCGCGATTTCCTCTGGGACGAAGCGCGATCGCAGGAGCTGTACGTCAATCCCGCTGTCGCTCATTGTGGCATTGCCCGCGCTTGCTTAGAGCTCATGGAGGGGTCACTGAAGAAAAATATCTGTGGTTTCAATGATCATTCGAGTCTACATACCGAGATTGTCGGCTTTGATGACAAACGAGACAGGGCCATCTGTCCTGCTCTGGCATATTCGACAAAGCATTGGCTTGATCACCTTTGCGACGCTGCGCCTGATCCCAGACTGCAGTCTCTTCTTTCATCGTTCGTCGAGGTTCACTTGCTTCACTGGATTGAAGTTGCTTCCCTAACTGGTTCCTTAAACCATTGTATTACATCTCTGTTTCGAGCAGTCTCGAGAATCAAAGTACGTCGGGAAATATCCTGACTTTCTTCTCATGCCAGTGCTAATATTGTTCTTACACATAGGCATGGCAGACAGTGCTTAATCGAGAGAACGTTGTCGCTCTACTATATGATACTCATCGACTAATGAACGAATTCTTCGACTGCATTAGCCAGGCGGCATTGCATGTCTATCACACTGCCATCTCGCTATGTCCGAAAAATGCAATCCTCCGGAAAATCTACGAACGCGATTGGCGCAGTGGAGTAATGATTGCTGGAGAAGGACTGGACGAAGATTGGAGCCCAACGATTCGAGTTATTGACTTCCGTAGCAAAGTGATCTGTACCTCTTTTGACGGTCTCCTTGCCGCCATCGAAAGAACGACCAGCATCGAGGTATGGGATATCATGGCTGGCACCATGGTTACCTCTCTACCTATCCCGAAGCATGATAGTCTCCACTGTCATTTTTCTCGGGATCGTTCTGTCCTTGTATACTCCATCATAACCTTAGATCAAACGTTGGATCACTGGTCTCGCAAAAAGAACAAGGCCACAGTGTATATCTGGACACCTGCCACCGATGCCATCACTTCGTTTGATATACCCGACATTTTGCACGATATGACTTTGTCCTCAGCCGGTGATCTTGTGGGTTTGAAGAGCTCTGACGGAGTTTCTGTTATGCAGAAGAAGCGCAATGATGCGAAATTCAATCTCGTTATCCGGATACCCGCTATAGACGACAATGACGCGTTATATGGTCCACTGCTTTTTTCACCCAAGAACTCCTATATCCTTGCGCGCTATGGTAAAAACACTATTCGTATATCTGATTGCCGCACTGGAGACCGCATCTGGTGGGCATATGAAGATTTCATTGGACAGGAAACTTATAACAGTTCGTTTACTTCCGACGAACAGTATATTGGATTCTTTTCTGAGTGTTCGTGTATACTATGTCCGCTTCTTGGATATAGCGGCAGTAACTCGCTCGGAAACCCGGAGTACATTGCCGCTGAACGCCTCCCTCAGTACAGCATCAAGTTTCTTCAAAATGACATCGTCAGCTTTGAAGATGTGTACTACTGCAATGACGGCAGAAGCTATGGGAAAAACTTCGCTCATTCTGCCACAACCGAGACATTGTCATTCATCACCCTTAACAAGTCGGACACTTGCATTGAAGTCATCGATCCTTCCCTACTATCTCATCGCGTTGACCGCAGTGCAATAAGGACGTATGCTGTGAAAGGCTGTGACGACAACACATTTGCTATGGTTCAGGGGCCTGTCAAAGGGCAGTCATACCAGATTCACGTTCGAACGCAAGATTGGAAACCCCCAGCAATACTGCCGTATAATCCTGTCCTCGACAATGACGCACCAATGGTAATCTGTTCTCCTGATGGAACACTTCTGGCTATTTATGACAAGACCAATCACATCCACGTATTAACCGTCTACCGTATCCATCCCTTTGAGCGTGTTTCCTCAACCAACGAGACATTCTTTCCTGGGAGCACAAGTTCGACCCAATTCTCTCCAACATCGTCTTATCTGGCTGTTTATGACGCCGAATCCAGAAACATTATTAAATGGAAGATTCCTAGTGGCGATTCTTGTCGGATACCCATCGATCGCAGTCAAGGAGTGTGGGAGAGTTTCATAAGCTTTGACGGGGATGACAAGCTGCGCTTAGCAACTGTTCCATCGTCGGATCGGGAGTCGGATTGGAAGTCGGATCGGGAGTCGGATTGGGAGTCGAACATCATAAAGCGGGAAATCACCGAAATAACCCTCACATCTCCATACTCTTGCAGGAGTTACTTGGTTTCGATTGACATCAGTCCCGGCATCAACCTCTCAGTACCCTTAAGCACACAGCGACCAATCATATCTCCAAGCCTGGACAAAGTTCTTATTTTTGACGAAGAGGCAGATATCGAGGAAGACGATGCGTTCAGCCTTCTCCGCCTCCAAGAATGTTGTCGAACATCAATTCCAAACCTGAGTTTGCCATCCGAATCATCTACGTCCGAGATGCATTGTGCTGAAGTCCTGTGGAGAGGCCCTTGGGGCACCATCTGTGACACGTACACCTGGTCTTCGTTTCGACTATATCCTGATGGTTGGCTATGGGACGGCGCACGTAGATTTACGTGGCTTCCCCATCAGTACAGGCCAACGTTCTGTGTTGATGACCCGTTTGACCACGCAGGGAGCGTCGTACGTAAATTTGGCAACGGCGTCCTCATTCTCTCAAACGAGCGCGAGTGGCCATTGATCCTGGAGTTGAGATAGGTACGTAACTTCATATCTCATCCTGGCCGGGGTTATTGATGCGTAACCTGTCCAGTCCTTCGACTCGGAATTGTTTTGCATGTAAATATCTATGAATGCGTATTATCGCGAGTTGTAGACCTACGGAGCACATGTGTTCTATGAGTTGTGGGTAGAATGACAAAGCCAGAGCTCCTTCAATACGCTTCGTTCAAACGACCAGGTAGGCTCCACTTGTTTTGTACGTACGCAGAGTCCGAAATTCATCCAGGAGGAAATGAGGACAAGCAACGGCCTCGTAGCTCGCCGCTCATTATGAAAAAGAGAGGAAAGTGCGGGGCTATCAGATGCTGGTGGCGTCCTGTATCCATCTTGCGGGAGGGTTATGCGCGTCTTGATCCCGATTTTGGGTCGGGCGGTGGAGGCAATGGTTTCCCAGTAATAAGGGGGCGTGGTCGCACGAGCCACTCTTAGAAGGCTCAGACGGCAAGTAGGGAGTCGTATAGACCGTTTGAGTGCTCGCCCTCGACTCCTTCATCGGGAGTGCCTGTAGGTCGAAGCGTGTGTGGTGTGGGTGAATGCACCTATACCCAAAACGAAGTCGAAGTTCAGGGAGAAGGAAACCACCCACTACGTGTGTTGCACGAGAACCTGGAAATATTTCCTATCACATCGCACGAGACGAGCGAAAAGATAGAGAAGACACCCACCGTCGCATCCCAATCTCCGCGATCCAGATCGCCGCCGAGCACCCTGCCCTGGAAAGCCTCCCCAGATAACCGACGCCCATTGGAGAACCATGATGTTTGTGTACGTCCACCTACTGTAAGACACACTATGCTCTTCACCAGGGCGCTTGTCATATACGTGCAGGGTCGTCTTTACTGCGGTAGAACTGGTCGAGTGTATGCAACCGCGTGAACTTCTAAGATTACTGAGTATGTTGGTGTCAAGTATCGATATACATCTTGGGAAGGAGCGGTAGAGTAGACGTAAGAGAGAGAAAAGGCAAGAAAGCGCGATGTCGGACCAGCAAAACTCACCGATACGCAGACCTCCGATCCAACCCCACCACGCACTTTGCCTGTGCCCACGAGTAGCCCTTGTGCTCCATCTAGCTTCCGGGCATTGGACCTGAGGAAGCCAGAGACTATACCTACTTTGGCTTTGGGAAGCGTATGCGAAGGAATCGCGCGTGTCGTCACTGGATTTTGTCAGGTATGCGCCGGTGTAAGCCAACGAGGCAAAACCCACTGGGGTGAGGTGACCTGCGTTCGCATTGAGATGGTTAGACTCCGTGGGGAAGAAGCGCTGATGTGGTAAAGCTGATAGAAAGAACACACTGCATCTGCCAGGAAGAACGCCTCGCAGAATGCGACGATTACACCACTTTGCGTAGATACATGCCTTTATTGATAGTGGTTTCTCTGTAGTTGGTGCAGACGGTGGTCTCTGGTGCGCTTTTGGATGGTGACGGAGGCGAAAGTTCGGCGGAGGTGCATGGTCCGATGTCTCCATCTATCTGGCTCAATGCACACTCGTTTACTACTCATTCAAGGCCTTGGTTGTCGAAAGCGTACCTTATTCTAGGCCTCCCTGGCGGATCTCTCAACCTTCTCCAGTGTGGCAGCGGCAAAATATCCGCGGTGCGTTGACCTGTGATCGACAATGTGCTGCTGCGGTATTCGCTTGGGAGCTGAGCGCTAAACGGCCGCGGATGCGCGTGTCTTTTTTGATGCATGACATGAAGTAGGTTTGTCGCAAGCTTGTCGTATACCGAAAGTCAGGGACAACCTTGTTGGTGAGCTGCCCCGTTGGCGCAACACAGCGATCTCTTGACGCTGCAATTTCCCGTCTGCTGGCGCTCCGGGCCGGTTAAGCGTCGCGTCTCCCACACAAGCATGGGGTTTGTCACCGACGACCATCTTCAGCAAGCCTGACTGCAACGAGGCCGAGTGACGACTCGTTTGATTCGAAGGCCCACAAGAGGACTCGGTGGCAGTCCGCCCAGGAATCAGGAATCTCTGAAGCCTTGAAGCTCAAGTCATTAGCACACTCCTCCATTGGATGCCGTCCGTGCACTGGTCCGACTTCCAGGTGCGTCGGTTGAATCGTCTACTTTACGTCGAGGCTGATGTCGGATGTTTGATACATGGAAGACTTGACCGAGTATATCCAAACTTCTCGCCCAGATGACCGTCACCAAGATCACGCTCTTTGACATACCAACGACGCTACCTGTTCCTACGTCGCCGAATACTTGGAAAGTGAGGTTCGTACCTACTTGAAAGCATATCTCAGTCCCTTACTCTTCACCTTCTTAGGATTGCACTCAACTTCAAGGGACTGCATTACACTACTCGATGGGTCGAGACGGCTGACATCGAGACCGTCTGCAGCCAGCTCGGTATACCACCGACCAGCACGTCCCCGTCCGGCGCACCAAAATATACCCTCCCCGCCCTCATAGACGAGACCCGCTCCACCGTCAAGCTATCCGACTCAACCCCCATCATTACATATCTCGAAAGCACCTACCCAGACCCAGACCCACGCAGGGCGCTGTACCCCGCCGACACGCGTGCTCTACAAGCCCTCTTCGAGGCGCACGTCGCGCAGCGCATCACGGCACGCCTTATACCCGTCATGGTCATGCACATGTACGACAAGAAGACGCCCCGCGACCGTGCCGACTTCCGTAGACGCATGGAAGCCGCGTTCGGGAGGCCGCTCGAGGACATCGAATTCAAGGGTACCGCCAGAGAGGAAGCATGGCGCGAGCTCGAGGGAGCGTTCGATGAGCTGGCCGTGTACAAGGAGAAGAGCGGTGGCGTGTACTTCACGGGCGGCCAATTCTCGGTGGCGGACTTGACACTCGCGGGCATTATCCTGGCCATGCGGTACGATAGCCCGGACGAGGCATGGCCGAAGTTGCAAGAGTGGAACAAGGGAGAGTGGAAGCGGTACATGGACGCGTTCGAGGAGTATCTCATTGTGAGATGAGCACACGGTGAGCTATGGTGCCCTCGTTTGGTACAACGATCGTGTAACCACCCCCTTGTTAATCGATGCATACAATAGGACTCGGAGCTCCGTTATCTCTTCCCGAACGACATCCACGTTCATGTTTCTGTGTGAAGGTATGCTCTGCCGACCAATATAGTTGTTTGTGGTCTGGACTCCATACGACAGCCATCGATCTGGCTCTATGAACAAGAACGGTTCACTAATAGCTACCACGGTACTGGTAACAATCTCGCTTTCATGATCGAGACGAGTGAAAAGAACTTCCGTCGTGGCGTCGAGAAATGTCTTGAGCCCTTCCGATCAACATCTTTCCCTCTGACGTGCGAATGAGGTACGCAGAGAGTCTTCATGTACTAAACCTGTCTGACCGAGATATGTTTAGTTTCGAGTGCCATCGCATGCCGATCGAGGGTCAACCATAGCGAGTCATGAACTTCTTCATCCAGCCCTTGCCGAATGGTTGTTTTTAAACTGTGGGTCTTCGTTAATGTTGCGCAACTTCTACAGAATATGTGGAAGCTTAGGCACGGAATGAATGCTCATCCTAAGATATAGCATAGTTCGTGACGTCATGGCCGCTGTCTACGCTCTGGTCAATAGTTTCCGTTTCATGTTCTAATGACACGCACTGTTATCAGCTCCATAGGAGTCTTTCGTGGCTTCGAGGTCCCCGGGTCGATATGACACGTTCATAGCGGAAGTTTGACGGCAACGCGCACGTAGGTGATTTCGCCGATCGGCACGTTCAATCCTGAGTTTCCTATTGATTAGTGTCGTTTCCGGTGTCTCACGTCGGGAAAGCTGGACAGCGGTCGTCCGCGAGCTGAAGATCGCGATGGTACCCTAAATTCTCAGGTGGGCATTGATCTCAGCCGTTCACGCATTATCTCTAGTCATCGGCACGTTGTTGCTGATCAGATGACAGGACATCCCAGCGACCCTCTTTCGACGAGGCAAATATACACGCACTTCTGTACCCTCACATGTAGGAGCTAGGTGTTATCCCAAGTTCCTCTTTGTACGCCTCCGACACCCCAGCATCCAGGTGCATAGAACCAAAATAGCATATCGCCTTTAGGCGCTTGTTTCCTTATGTTCTCTGCTGGGTGCACGCTCATATCGCAAACGCCCGCGGCGGACTTACCATCACCTTGCGACTCTCGAACCCTCTCTAACGCTCGCACGGCTACGAGGCGCCCTCACAGATGGCCGTCAGATATCCTTCTTGAACATGGTTGAGGACACGCAGCGCCGGCGTGCCTCTCAGATAGGCACGGAGCTTCATCGTGTTCGATGTTCGTGTGTAACCCATCCATCCATCTGTTTGTGCGTGCTATCTCCGCCCTAACCTCCATTCAATATAACAAGGTTTCGGACCGTACCCTCTTTCTGTAGCGTGGATTTCTGCACCAAAGAGATGATGGAAGAAGCCCTCTCAATGGAGAAGAATGCCCGTGTTTACGTGTTGCGCATCAGCGATCTTACTCTAGAGCCCTCGAAGTCGAGGCCTCCGTCGTGTCGCACCCCGCCTAACCCCGGTAGAGCACTATCTTGACTATCGAGAAGTCTTGAACTTGCGCTTGAGCTTACTTCTTACCTATCTGCGACGCTCGCACACCACATACAGAGAAGCGATATGTTTCAGGTAACATGCGCATCGCGCCAGTATCTGGGATAATGCACCGGCGTCAAGGACTCCTTGGCGCCCGTTTGGAAGTTCATAAGGTTCTCGATAACAATGCAGGATTCATGATCGCAGGACATTACTTGCCTTGTTCCCAAAACGACAAGTGCGGCTGGCTCAAGCTCCGGTGCTTAGTGATTCATTTACGATGAGCGTGTGCGCCAGCATGACAGGAAGCATCTAATCATCTACCATCGAAGCCGAACTGGGTCTGCACGGTACCACATGTTAAACTTAAACCCCCGGGTGCGCCGCACAGAAAGCACGCAGCAGCAGCAGCATAGCACGCGTTTGACAAGCCCAACATCAACGTTTCAACGAGGAACCGTGGGTGCTCGACTATGCCAAACACAGCAAGGGAAGGCTCTTCTCCGGACGGGTCCTCCATCTCTGGCAAGCTCGCTGCTCGTCCTGCTAAAATGCGGCCTATTAACGGAACCAAGAAAGAACTTGATGAGCAGATCCCCGCGCGTCTCAGCAATATCACGAGTGACGATGCTCCCACCCGCATCCGAATAGCTGCTGATCGATCTCAATCGATCCCAAGGTGCGGAACGACGCGTGCATTGTAGACCGGGGAGCGCCATTCCGGTCCTCTGGCCGTATCCTCGCACTATCTGGGTCCGAGTTGACGCGGAGACAGCATCATCTATTCTGTCATAGACAACAAACAGACACGAGCTTCCCAGCGTAAACTTGGCGATCGAAGACTCTCGCGCTGACTACGGACACCTTCACAGTTCACGCCTATTCATAGACCTTGGCGAGAACAGAGTGGGTCTTACTGGACGCCGATCAGATTTGTAACAATAAGTCTTGTCGAGAATATCGCCTTGTCTGAACCAAAACCGAAACTTTCTAGAGTACCGTGCGTGCAGAATATTGAGAACTTTACTTGCCCTTCTAGCCATTCGATTGATAATGCGTGAGACTCAACTTCAACCAGGCTAGATTCTCATCTGACCGTGTATGCGTAGAGACTTTTACCACTTTGACAAGTATCTGTTCACACGTAGTGTCACAAGGCCAGGCCATGAGGGTAACTTGAACATCACTAAATGGGTGGGAAAAGTTTGACCGTTATACCGAGTGATCACCGTTATAATATCATCGTCGAGATAGTTTTGTATGATCACGAATGGTGACACATTCCCATTGAGTGAACATATCCTTATGGTGTGGCAGTGAATTTCGGCCGAACACCATGTCGCGGACACTTTACCATTGATCAAAATCGATGATCTTGCTCGTACATTTGTTAGTCGAATATAAAATACGGAGACCATTTCAGAAACAAAATTATCATTGAGCGATAACTTCAACTGCATATGGCAGCCACCGCTTTAGGTAGACACGAACACTAACGAACAATAAAAACGGTAGAGATTCGAATACCCGCTGACCTTTACAATGATGCGAACCCGGTTGCATTGGTGAGAGCCTCGTCTTCACCCAAAAAAAGCTCTTGATCTGTACGTGCTGCAGTCTCTGCTTCAGAAAGCTATGCTGGGTCTCCTTCTTCATCGCTGGTATCACCGCTCTCTGTCTGAGTGAGGTTGTACACCGCTCCGGCGTTGGTCTGGTGGATGGCTCGGGATGCTCGGGAGAAGCGGAGAAGCGGAAAGAGGACGGTTCGGGATGCTCGGGAGAAGCAGAGAAGCGGATGGAGGACAGCTCGGGATGGTCAGGAGAGGTAGAGAAGCAGAGAAGCGGGACAACGTGAAGGGATAAAGGTTGGAATGCATGGGGTCGCCGACATGTATATATGGGCGACCTCTCGCCTCGCTTTCCCCCATCCGCATGTACTACTGCGTATGGGGTCTAATATACCATAACTTCTAACACCCACGTCCTCCCGTAGCAAGGCACCAGCGAGCGCTATCGAGTCCGACCTCTCCTCAATTGAAGAAGATCCAGCGCCGGTGCCAAAGCCTGCCATTCGAACCAGTGCCAGGATTAGTACAGGGGGAAAAACAACCGGCGAAGAAGACTGGCAACTAGGCATGCTATATCGGTGTATCACTGCTTCATTTCGCTCACGTCCCCTCCCTTCCCAGAGATTGTTTGTCCCGGGCCTGTGTTCGCCCTAACGTATGTTTTATTTTCTTGCTCCCTTCCAACTGTCGCTTCACGGTCTATACACTTTATTCTTTCTTTGTACTTCCTGCGCCTGCGCTCGTCTACTGCTGCTGCTCTCGTGTATTATCCTCGTTCATCGGTTTAACCTCGCATAATGCTACATCATGTACTATACTATTCACAATGAATGTCTTGTCATTGATATCATGGGCGAGATTGCGAGTCCTCATCATATGGTGTGAGCTTTTATCATACGGCATAAAACACCAGCCGATCTTATCATGTAATTATCATGCAGGCACCGTCAACGGTAAGATAGCCATCAATATTATAATATCATCCCTGATCTGACCATTTCACCGTCTGATTTTGGTCTGATTTCCTGTATGTTAAAAATGGACTTTACGCTCCACTCGTGCTGGAGATTCAAAATATCACTAAGGTACGGTGTCAGTTATAACGGATTCTACTACTGCTCATGTACTTATATTCGGACCGCCCATTTAGTGATGAAGATCATAACGCTTTTTATGTACTTGCCGTCGGCACTTGGGTAGGTGCGGAATGGCATTCCGACTGTCTCTGCGATTCCGTGCCTCTGAGGTACTCCGAGGACACTCAGGACCCGTTGCTGTGTCTCTGGATCTCGTACAATGGTTGCCTCGAGGCGTACACGGGGTGTACTCTGCTCTCTCAGGTTTAGCATTCCAAATTTACTCGTAAATGAATCTCTCGCCCTAGACTTCATATAGAATTAATCTTAACAAGAAAGCATACCTGGAATACTGCGCCCTCCACATCTATCATCCAAAAGATCGAGTCGCAGAGATGGCCAAGAAAAGAGGCAAGATCAGAAATATCTACCTCGGGAAGCGTACGCACATCATAAGAATGACAAGAGTGTTTCGAGTTACATTGTTGTATGTGAGACAGAAGACCTTTTCTTGTCGATGGTGAACAAGGACGAGTCCATCCGCGGCTCTTAGAAACAATGTATCTTTAGGTGGGTACCTCAGCATCGAACAAGCGTCTATTGCTGTGTCACATTGAAAATCGAGAAAAATCTGCGTGGAATGCCTCGCTCAGGCACTGAAATCACTAGTATACCAGTAATCAATATCATAACGCCTGCGAAAGAATTTAAATAGTTGTGTTCTTGCAGACAACCCGAGAACAAGATTTAAAGCAGAAGCTGAATCATAGGAGATCTCTTACCTGATATGACCGTGTTCCATAGATCAAAATCAAGAACCATTCGGACCGACCGCTGAGAATTCAGCCAAAAACGCGGACATGAAAAGAACTGCTGTGGGTCTCAAAACCGTCTGCTGTACACGGTCATATAACAAAACGCCAGGATCGACTTCGCCGTTGGAAGTCCATACCACCCGTGAGTACGAGGAGAGTCGTGCCGTGGCAAGACGCACGGGAGGTCCGGTGTCCACACGATGAAACGGACGCTGGTGGAGTTGCACCACGGTGGGGACGGGTGAAAGAGAGCCTATAATTACGGGTTGGAGAACGGAAAGAAGACAACTGGGAAGGAAAGACTTGTCTACGAGTTTAGCACTGAGTGATTGGTGGGGCTACGAGAAGCTGAGAAGCATGTCTCGAAGAAGTGCTTCTATGAGCGCTGTTAGAACTCGACCGATGTTGTCAGAAGGTCTCGGGTGCCAATTCTCTCATGCTGGTCTTCCTCTATTCAGTTGCATATGGTCTGGATATCAGTGTTGACGAAGTTTCATATGGAGTAGTAATATGTGTGCTACATCTGCTCGTCTATCATGATGGTCAGCCCTCGAACTTAAAAATAGAAAAGGAAACACACGCTAGTTTTATTTTTAGCGGAATCATCAAAACAGGAAATGTATCCTGTATCAAGCGTCTGTGAAATCGGTCAAGGTCGTACAAAGGGTAAGCATTTGTTCGAAATGGAGTGACGGATAGGGACAAAAAATCGTCTTGGGCGGCAAGCTCGTGGTTTCAGGCGCTTGAGCTTGAGTCTAAGAGATCAAACAATTCAGATTTAGGCCTTACTATATTATACAATGTCCTTCTTACCCAAGCGTCTTCGATTTTCGCAGACTTAGTCTCATCGCGTGATCGACAAGTAGAGAAGTAACGAACTCACATCGTAGGGGCCGAAAGTAGTGCAGGACGGCCAGTCGCCATATTGGTAATGCAACACGCTTTTACACCAGCCGTATTGCATGGATCAATATCACGACTGCTTCGAGACTGGTACAGCAGTTGACACACTGGTTGGTGGTGCGCGATCTATGGCTCCACAAGGGCACGAGCGGTGGAGAGCTTGCCCAGTGCTCTTTGTCTGCGCATGAGAAACCGAAGACACGGGAACAAAAGTCACCCACCAATGTCTGCATCCCCTACCCCGTTCAGGAAATTGAACGCGGAGAAGTAGTGGCCCTGTCATCCTCTTCTGGTGCATGCTCAGCCCTCTCTCGACGGCGACGGCGACTTGAGCCATGGGAATATTGGAGCTGCAACGACACTATGGACGTCGTATATCCAATGTGACGTACCGCAACACGGGCGCATGCCGTGTGTTTCACGACACGCATGAGACGCACCGCGACTGTGTATGACATTGACTTACTCACGCCGCCCCTTGAGACACTGAGGTCAAAGGACGTTTTCGGAAGGCGCTGACATATGGCATGATGAAAGGGAACTCACAAAGACCATGGACAAACCTTGATGCGATCGCCGCAGTCTCAGTCCTTCCTGCGAACCACATGCAGTTGGCGCGAGCGATGCGCTTGAGGAGCGCGAAGTGTCCATCTTGAGAGCATGGCGCTCTACGCACCGTGCCGTGCGTGAGACGCCTTGAGAAATTGACACCCTGTTGCAACGCCCGCGTAGTTAGAGTTCCATGTATATTTTGTAAGACAAGAACCACCACGGACGTTCCCATCGACCGCTTGTGGCCGCAGAGCGTAATGAACGGGGGACGTACCGTACTCACTGCATGTATGCGCTGGACATCGTGAGCATGGTTGCTCGGGTCATTCGATCCGAACACCGAGTTTATACAATCGGCAAAGCAGGAGAGGTCGGCATCCAAAGAAGCACACAGCGGGGACGGACACCCCCCTCGAGCCTTGGGAGTCGTCCCGATCAAAGTCCAGGTGGAGGCACCCACGGAGACCCACGGGTCACGGCGAGACGCGACGGAACGTCGTCATTCAATGAACTGCGACGACATGCTGTGAGAGGACCAGGGAGCATCAGCCGCAGGCACCCCTGCGCGTTGTCAAAACCCGAGGGGCTATGAGTGGGGTTTCGGGAACCTCGGTCCAGGTCGCCGGCGTCGCTTAGCGGAGAGTTGTAGGCGTGCTGCACCCCGATCAAGGTTGTATATGTCAAGTTTGCGATCGAGCCTACCCGATGATGTTATCGTAATGTGACCCTTGTTCATAGATTTGACGCACAAAAGTGAAGAAGGCTGGAACGTGGCGAAGTCCTGGTAGGGCGTGTCAAGGATCAGCTGAAAGTGGAGTGCAGTCTTGGGAGTAGATATTTGCTCATCCGCACGTCAACTCTCGCACCAGCCGCCCGCCCTGCATATGCAGACATCTGTTGCGTTTCAGAAGGTTTACTATAGTGTGTGAAAAAAGGGTTATCTAGATGATCTTGCCTGTCGCGTAAGAGCGGTCTTCTAGCAGATGCAGAGATCAGCATGTTTGTTCTGATTGGCGAATGAACTTGCAAGCTTGCAATCGACTCCCTCGTGCTGTCGATGAAGTGATTCAGCGCGATCATAAGCACTCAAACGACGATGGTAAGATGCAACGCTGAGTTCGATAGTGTGTACACCGCAGGCAAACACCCATATTCTGGACCCGAAAATCAGTAAGAAAATGTCCTGGAAAGGAATCATTTTCCGTGATGTTTCCCTTTGAACAATAGGTTTCGTGTTTCGATCGATTTTCGGGTGACGGAAATCGAATATCCTTCCGCATATGGAAGGTGTGGCCGGCGGAAGTTTAAGTTTCCGCATAGACTTGCCTTGTTTGGACGTTGTGCACGGCAAAAAATGATAACTTTCCTCATGCTGTTCCTGATCCGGAAATCCATAGGAAAAGGATTTCTTTCCAGCTCATTTTCCGTATCATTTTCGGGGCCATAATTTTGGCGTTTGCCCGAGGTGGTAGTGACGAGTCGTCCGCTAGGAAAAAGGCGTGGCAATTTCCACGCGCGATCCGGGAAGTTCCGGAAGCCACCCGCGACAGATGCGCTCACACACACATGAGGGCGCTTGGACTTTGGAGGCCTTTGCCAGCAAACTTCTCCAGAATCGTAGGCGTTGATTACGACGAACATACCCAGGGTGATAAACGTCGATTCTGATGGAGAAATCTACGGCGATCGAGAGAATCACACGAAGTGACGGACGAAGATGTAACCGCCGGTATATGCAACGTGGACGACACTTGATGTGGGGACAAATTCCCTCCAGCGTCTCGCACTCAACGTGGATCGGATTGCCCATCAAGGGCTTCAACGGAGCGTACTTGACAGTCACATCCTCCAAGAGGGAAATCAGAACGATCGAACAGTGATCAGACTCGGTCTGTCCCGGCGAGTACGGCCATGTTCAAGTCGATGTGCTGATCAGTTCTTTGGATGGATATCGTTACATGTATCCGCACGACAGCGCGCGACTGAACGCCCGCACACGTCTTGTACTTTCATGGCAGTAAGATGGAGTGAACTCGGGCTAACTCCGGCGTGCAGTGCACTGATCAACGATGTGATCGAGAAAGAAAACGAGGAAGACAGGGTACTTCCGAGTTCTACACGAGCTTATCTTCTGTTGGTGGGTATATACCACCTCAAAACTGCAGCCCGTTCTAGTGGAATGGAGGTGCTTCTTCTTCTACAACCCGACATGATGCCGCTTACCAGCGAAGCATTTCCTCAGTATCCCCGGGCTGCAGCTTTGAATCGGAGCCAGATTTTCGCTGAATCCACCAAAGAAAGTCATTTATGCGAAAAGTGCGAGAATGATAGCATAGTGTACGCACAGATCATTTGTGGTACCAAGTTACATCGAGGAAAACAATGGCCAGCACCGCCGACAAGATATATCAAGGAGATCGCACCTAACGCACCAGTGCAATGGTGAACGAGCCTCTCGGTCCCGCGTAGGGTGATCCCAGGCTGTCTCCCATCTAGATGCGATCACTCGCGCCGTCGGCGTGTGCCATTTTTACCTATCACCATATCTTTTCCTAGGCTGAAAACTCCCCTTCAACCAGGCCCAAGGGTATCTGCCGACGGCTCTGCTGAACGGTGCTTGCGGGATCTCGGGCGCGTCTGACACTGAATGTAACCGCACCGTCGGCAGTGGCCTGTGGGATCGGATTTGGATGGCAGAACCGAGACAAATATAACGCAAACAGGGGTGGGGGTCGGCGCTCTCGACTCTGGCGTACTACGTGCGATGATGGGTCCCTGCGCAATGTAAGTGCTGGACCTAGAAGAAGGTCGACATCGAACGCCAAGAAAGTTCTGTAGACGAACGCACCAGAGATCCTACTTAGCGCGCACGCACGCATTCGGGCTGCGTTCCGCGGGCGAGCTCAGGCTAGAGATGAAAATAGACCCGTGCAGTGTGGGTCAGCTGCATGCTACTGAGAGTCCAAAGTAAAAGGTCAAGCCAAGAGTGGTGATATCCTCGGACAGTAGAACGCCCGCACGACGCGGCGACACAGCCCGCCAGACGTCCGACCATAGGGCTCCCCGATGGGCGGAGGTAAGCGTGTACTCCCACTAGAAACAATGGCTAGACCTTAGAAACCAGTCGAGTCCTCGTCGGCCTTGCATAGACCCGCCGCGCGCTACATGCTATCACATACCCACAGGAAACATCAGTCCGAGCGTACTGTAGATGTGATTGTGATCATGAAAGACCGACTGCGGCCCCGCCTCGTATTGATCCCCGTCTGCATCCCAGGCGCACCTAATTGTAGATCACCGGACGAAGACCCCCCACAGCATCAGCCAGGTCCAATTTTGCCCCAGCGCCCAGACTCAAACCAGAGATCCAGCTGCCTGATGTCGTGAGTGTGGGCGTGGGCGACCTATGTGAGAAGGGAGAGCCAGGACAAGGACATCTTAGGAGCACTTCCCAGGGAACTCCGCACTCGACGTGGGATCGTGCACGGTGACTTGGGGATATCGGCACCGTTTCCGAGCCCAAGTTAGCACGGCACGATGACCGCACAGAGGTGGGGGCGCGTGAGCTCCAGTTGCCGCAGCTCAGCCCGAAGCCTTGAGTCCAAGAAGGTTTGCATCCCCTGGCAGGGGTGGCCCTGCCAGCGGACCCGCGGGTGCATCGGGTGCGTAGGTTCAGTCGGTTGCCTGGGATGAGAATGCTTCCCGCCGGAGTGCGAGGCTTCATCCTGAGCGTGCATTCGTACGGGAAGTGTCGTTGACAAGCCTTTGGACATGGTGTGGGGACGCAGCAACGTTGAGAAAGGCAGGTCCCTCACAGCCAGATGGAGCTCCACGTCATATCGACATCATAACATCCCGCATCATGACCCGAACGGCAGGCTCGGGGCCGAGCCAAAGTTATCTGATAAGTGTGATCGTGGTGTCGGCGAGCGAGTTTTTAGACTTTCATCCCATCGTCGTCACATATCCGTCGTGTGGGAGTCTTTTCCTGCGCAACATACCCAAATTTGTACATTCCGGCTACTTATGTTTCGCTCAGTGGGTAACAAGAGATAATCACGCTACAGCGACTCGCCCCGACCGTGGCGATCACTCCGAATGCTGAGAGACTTACAGCCCATGTCCCAGGTCTCCAACGGAACTGAGGTTACGCGCCCGACACTAAGGCACCGCCTGTGCACCTGTGGGTGCTTACCCAGCAGAAAAACATATTTTCTCTTACAGACGCTCTCTCCCAGGACACGTCCCGTTCTGGGACTTTTGTCACAAGTCTGCATTCCAGCCGTCGCTATGAAGCGCCCCCATGCATGTGTCCGACCACCGTGTCTGAACTGTGGAGTTGAGGCTGATGCCACACTCAACCCAAACCTCTTGGCCGTGTTTGAAGATGGGCGCGCACATCCATTATCCATTATGTCGGTGTCCCGCAGTGTCGGCTCGCGGAAACACGTCGTAGTTAAGCTTTCTGTGGCGTGGTTTGTTGGTCTCGTGTTCGGTCACCATGTCTCTAGATCCTGATACAACTGTCTCCGTCATTGCAAAACGTTTTTTCAAGCTAGCGAGGATTAACATAACTTGCGCCAATATGCGGAAGGTGCGCGGGACTTGTCAAGCCTCGAGGGTACCGGAACGAAGCACTAAAAATGAACGCGGATCGGTCGTTCCGTAGGCCGAGCACACCTGGACGACGCCTAATTGATTAGGAGCCCGTCGTCAACGGAAAGTCTGCAAGCTTACAGTAGCTCAGGCACTAGCAAAGGCCTTTCGAGAATATAGTGTTTTTTCTAGTCTGCACTGTGTCAGCCCATCTGAGGTATTATTATTCTCATGGATCCCTCTTGGCACCATCGCTCACGCCTCGTGCACACACCTTGCCACACATACGAAAAAGTGGTTGCACTCACATCGTCGTCAGAGCTGCGAATGTGGGCATATGTGTTATGGAGTGATGCAATACAGTACGCGGCTCCGAACGCGCGGTACGTACACATTCTTCTCATCGTCAACTCGCCACTTTGTTTGATATGTTGCATCGCGCGTTTCACAGCCTCCGTAGTGCTCGTCGAGATTGCCTATTACCGTAAGAACGTAAAAAGTGCTGACCATGCCAGGGCGGTGCTAGCGCTAACTCGTCGTCAACATGCCAACAGTTGAGATGTCGTCGGTGGGAAGTCTCCGGCATCTTGGGAAACAAAGGCAACCGGGCGCGGGACCGACCTACCGGTCCTACGAACAGGGTTCAGCACTCAATTGAGAACCAGCCCGGACCCAGGTCAGGTCCCCAGCAAGCGCCGTCGTTGTCGGAATTGTCTGAGCGTGCTTACAGACACTGGGGATTATCCTGAGAGCTGGCCGAGCCTCGCCGACTGTCTGCAGAGGATGTGGCCGCCACTGAGTCTCACACCCAGGCTTGTGCCCTGTACAGTGCCCCTGTCAGTACAATGCTCGTGAAACTCTAAGTCTTGTTGAAGCCCGTTACCCAGGGAGAACGTTCAGTGACTTCGTTTGTCCCGCCCTTTGGTTCTTGTAGAACTTGGACCTGGGCCTTACTATTAAGGTGGACGTTTAAACAGTACCGTCGGAAGCTTGAACTCCGAGGACACCTGAACGTTTTGAGCCCCCCGATAAGACAGAAGAAGGATAGATACGACCTTCGATTTGGCACAACGAGAAACCTTGATTACTGCACATACATACAGTGCAGAGATCCTCGATCGACTCATCGATGCAGTACGGCGAATGGCAACGTAACTCCGGATGCGGATGCGGGGTAGACAGGTGGCGTGCATCCCCAGCGCTGCAGCGAAGCGCCGTCAGCAGACCGCCCACAGGACCACTGCAGGCATTCGAGGAACCATCTACATCAAGCACGAGAGATCAGGCGGCGCTGGGTGAGAGAACGTACCGCCACAGGCACGCAGAGTGCCAAGGGAGTGCAGGCAGGCAGTGAACATGGGAGATTCGCACTGGGAGGTATCAAGGGGCTAGGCTGCAAGGGGCAGCACGAGGCGGCTTTTTGGGGCAAAGTTTGAATCGAGGCTGATGGCTAGTTGTACACGAGTTGTGTTTGCGAAGAGGTGAAGATTCACAGCAAGCTCCAAAGAGCAAGGCTGACGAGGCTGAGTTTGTGTTGGGTGTAGTAAGTAGACGTGGTAGTGAACAAGGCTTTTCGGGGTGGCCCGGATCGTGTTCCGGAGAGCACTATAGCGGAGTCAGGAAGCATCCGAGTCCAATCCTCAGACAGATCCACTAATACTGCAACGATGATGCTATGTGTACTCAGCCCCGCTCTGTGATAACGATTCATGACAACCTTTAGTCACAGGTCGTACAGCATTGGAACAGAATCTCACACCTTGTCCAATGCGCTTCATGAGGCAAACTGTATGGCCAAGCAAAGCCATGAATTGACAAGTCTGATGAGCGCGCACGGATTCCCATGACTAGCGTCGGCGCAGAACACCTGCAGCACCTTACAGTCGCTTTAAGGTCGTCCGTAGTACTTTCTACGAAGCATGCATCTCATCATCGACCATGCACGTCGAACACCAGGAAAGGCTTCATACTAAACATCAGCGGGCATCAACGTCAATACGTTATTGAGCGCAAACCAAGCAGCAGAAATAAACCTCTCGATGAGTCACTGTAGCTATGTCACTCGGAAGCTGGAGCCCGGGAGCCACCAACTTGCCTTTGGAGGCTCGAGGAGCTCCGAGTCGAGCCTATCTTTGAATTCGAGTGCGTAGTCGAGGTAACCGAGTAACCAGAAGGCGGCAATCCACGCACCGCCCGACGCTCGTCACCGTGACGTCGCACATCGTCGTCGTCGCGCGTTGGGCTATAGTATGTAGTCTATAGTAGTCTCGGAGCTCCGAGCCATCCTAGAAGCTGGAACAAGATTGTCAAGCCTCGAGGCCCCTTCAAACAGGAAAAAGCAGAGGAGAAAGCACGCAAAAGGCAACTCTCAACACGAGCCCGCGACCCTATCCAGGAGATGGGCTCGATCGCGCCGAAGGCCTCGTTTCCGCGTCCAAAAGTTGGCGCTCCGCTCCAGGCGTCAACGCGTCAACGTCACGCGCGTCAAACCAGCCCATCTATCCACTTTGCGACTCCAACGACCCTACACGGCTTCCCATGCTCACTCGGATTCACGGTTATGCACTTGCCTTTAACTTTGTGATATCGCAGCAAGCACGGCGACAACGAAGTTGCCCAAAGCAGCAGACGCCAGCGCAAAGAACCCGCAACTGACATCGCCCCGCCGCCACTGACGCACACGGGCTCTCACACTGATCAGAGGTGCCAATGATCGTGTGTACGCACGGTGCGGCACACTCTGGCACACCACTCTGGCACGCTCACTGTATGCGCACACCGTGTGTCATGTACATACCCGTGTATCAAGTACCATGCACATCATAAGTTGATCACCAGTGGGGAAACTGTATGCGCACGTACTGTACTGCCTATCATGACGCATCCCCCTCCTCTGAATCCGAACCCGCGCACGTCACGCAGTGCACGCCCTTGTCGACGTATGCACCACATTGCACCATGTTCTTCAACAAGGCCTTGGCTTACTGGGCAAAGCAATCATGCGTGCAAACGCACGGTCAGGCCAGCTAGCGGACGGACACCAGCCAACCACTCGGTGCTACAAACGTTTGCACAGTCTGTCCTACATGTTCTATTATCGAAAAAAGACAGACGAAGAAAGAAGACCTTCCAAAGTTCCACAAATCCACACAAGGTTTCACCACCTCAAGCTTGGCCCTTGACCCGCACCGCACCCGCAGCGCCAGGAAAATACGTTCACGCACGCACCGCACTCACTCACTCGCCCACCCGCCCACCCACTTTTAAGTTTCCCCTCCGTTTTCCCTCCGGCTTCGGATCGATTCATTGAATATCGATTACGATGATCTCACACACGCTCAAACTCGGACAGCCAACCAGCGAGAAAACAGAGTTTCAGAAAGTTCTTCGGATTCGAAAAAACTCGGGTTCAGATTCAGAAGAAGGCCAGGGTCCCCCGCGCGCGGGGAAAGAACGCGCGTAACGTCGATTAATATGGTATAATGAACATGGACAGACGACCACCCGTTGGTTACGTATGTATGATTTGTAAAGTAATGTGTGAGTGCAAGCCGAGCATGCAAACAAGGGGGGTCAAAGTGCAAGATACTACTCGAGGATAAGTAAGCGCATGGGCGCGGCAGAGCCAGGCAAGGGGTATATGGTACAATCAGAACCCGTTGGTACAGAATGGAAAATGTGCAGTTGTTGTTGGTTGGACTTGCAAATGGACAGAGAACAGCGCGCCGATATAACACCCTCGTGGGGTGAGGAGGTAGTTGGTTGGATTGGTCTGGGGAGTGCGGCGATGGTGGGGTGATATTGAGTGAGTAATGTAGCGGAAGGGGGTGTGTACGATACGAAGAGCCGCTCCGGCGCGCATGCGAAATAGTAGGTGTGGATTATGGTACAGTCCGAACGATTATTGATTATGCTTGTCATGATGGTCGTCGTGGGAGAGGCGAAACGCGGAACAAGAAGAAGAACCGGAACAGAAGCTTGAATGTAGAGCACGAGGATGGACAGAGTGGACAACAGGCGGCAGGCAGCGATACGCGAGAGTGAGAGTTCGAGCGCGGTATATGCGAGGGCAGAGTGAGAAAGCAAGGGCGAGGAGGGGTGTGTGCGAAGCGTGTTGTCTGATGCGGCAGGCGTAGATGTGCGCGGTAGAGCTCAGGAGAGACAAGGGTCGATTTTTCACTCGAAGTCGTAATCGACCGCGACGCGACATGCCTCGTTGTCCTGTGTCCGGCCATGTTCCCGGAGAGCCTGCGGGGAGTAGAAGGGTGTATCGCAGGCGGGGCACGCGTGGGAAGGGAATGTCCGGACAGGCGCAGCGCGTCCATCAGGCGAGCGGGACCGTTTCGAACACGGCTAAGGGAGGAGAGGGGTCAATATGCGCGACTCGGAACGGGAGCCGGAGGGGTACTCACCGAGTCCTCCTGCACTCCCAGCGACTGCGCCTTGCGTTTTAGTGATGGTCTTGATGATGACGATGACGACTCTGATGAAAGAGGGGAGTGGCGTCAGAGGGGTGGTGATGGAAAGGAGACGCGTGGGGAGACTTACCAGCAGCGAGGGCCTTGGCCGCGACATCGCGCCAGGAGGTGACGCGCTTCATGCGGATGTCGTGGGTCTCATCTGTCCAAAGGACCTTTTGTCCCAACGAGGCCTCATCCGAGACATATGAAGAGCAATACGAACTGCTGTCGGTGCAGTCATCCTCGTCTTCCTCATCCGACGAGGAGGTCGGACATGACGAGGCGGAAGAGCAATACGAGCTCGAGTAGGCGACAGAAGATACGCGACGCGGGGGCGGGGGGCCCTCGACGAGCTGGATGATCTGGATGGCGTGGGGCTGACGGACGTAGAGGTGATTTGGGGAAGCGACCTTTGACTGGAAGTGGTCGAACATGTGAATCGGCGAGGAAGAGGAGTCCGAGGACGATGGCGAGGCGGGGTGGGGGTACATCATGGGTTGTTGGAGGGCGAACATGGGCGGGGAGGACGGCTGGGTCGGGGGTGGGGAACGAGAGAGAGCGTCCGTCTGAAGAGGAGTTTATATTTCGATTCGGACGGTGCAGCCACGCGAGCGAGCGACAGTCAACTTGTGCTGTCACGGACAGAGTGGGCCATCCGAAAATGGGAAAGCTCTGACCTGCGAGACCCATACGAAAGAAGTCGGCCAAAAAGGGAAGGCATTACCCGAGCCACGGCCCTGAGCTGAAGGGAAGGAGAGTGAAAAAGAAGCAGCGGCCTGTTTGTTTCTTGTTTGCTCGGAGATCCTGACGATAAACAGCGATCTGGGTGGCTGATCCTGCACTCCGCTTTCGTCCATATCCGATCGAGCAGATTTCCCAGCCTGCCGACGCTCGGCTGCACAGATCTCAGGCTGGCCAGATCCACAGCCCCTTGCACATGGCCTTATTCGGCAGGTGTGTTCCCATGTCCAATGTCTTCATTTTCTTCGCTTTCCCATCGACTCGCTCGCTCTGTGGTCTCTTGTCCGCTCCTTCGCCCCGTCCATTCCCTTCTTTCTCTCGCTTCTTCGCTACCCCCGATTGCCACATCCGATGCCATCCACACCCCCGACTCCTTCATTTTGCCTCGACACCACTCCTCCAACATTCAAAAAACTCTTTTCCGAATCACAAGCCACCGTACATACACTCTCATGATTGTACCCTTGCTACACCACATGTAACAGTACTACTGACAATCACAACCATGATCATCATATCATCATCATCATCATGGCCTCATCGGAGCCAGCCAAGCCTCTGCAGCCTCAAACTGGTCGATCAACTCCCGCAGCACCGCTCCCTCCGAGTGCAGCTGCCTCATGGCCGTCAAAGCCTGCGAACGAGAGAAAAAAACAAAATAGAAACAGCACAGCGATGAGATCGCGTACGTTCCGAACGTCAGCCTTCTTTCCTTGCCACTAGAAAGAACTTGCCCCCCACTCGGCCTCTACGGCCCACATAGGCCCACGTAGAGACCAGGCCAGGCCAGGCCAGGGCGGAGCAAGAAGAAGAAAAAACACAAGGAGACGGAAAAAAAAGGAACGGAACGCACCACATCCCAGAATCGGAACCCGCGTTCCACCTCCTGCTTCGGGTACTTGACACCAGGGAACGTCTCCTCGCATATCTCAAGCGCCAGGTCCTTGGCCTCCCGCACGCCCTCCGCGTTCGGATCCCGCACCCGCGACCGGTTGTTGATGTGCGTGAGCGCGTCGAGGTACACCTTGGCAAGCACCCCGAACCCCGTGTTCACCTCCGTCTGGAACGGCAGCGAGATCGTAATGTCCAGCAGGTCGTCCCGGTGCCGCCGCGCGTCCGACCGCAGAAGCATGTTCAGCGTCGTCACCTCCAGCAGCGTCCGCAGCGCCCGCGTCAGCGATCGCACGAACGAGTTGAACACCAGCAGTTCACGTGACAGTGGCGCGGACCACGGCTGGGGCTAAATGCGGCCATCGGCGTACGCCATCAGCGCGAGAGAAAACATGGGCCGGATATGAACGAGTGATGGTGAGAGATTGTATGATGACATGATAAAAGAGTAGGCAGTGATCAGCATTGCACCCTCCGTCAAACGGCGAACAAACAAGCGAGCGAGGGAGCGTTCGCCTACGCACCTTAAAGTTGAGCGGCACGATGCTGAGCACACGCATAACCAGCAGCATGCACTTCTTCTCATCATCTACGCGACGTCGAACACGCATCAGTCCACACATGGCCGCGTGAGAGTGCGAGATCGACAACGTGAGCATGCCCGTCAACAAAACTGCGTGGACGAGAAAAATGGAACACTGCACGCACCGGTACCGAACGAGGGGCCTCCGCTGAATGCGCGGTTCGACCACAGGTGGCCGTGCATCACACCGGCCCGAACAAGCTCGAGGAAGAGGTACAGTGGGTCCTGGAACTTGTCGTTCAGCCGCGCCTGTTTTAGCGCAGTGTGCATCGCCCGTGCGAGCGGCGAGTGCTGGTGCGTGTTGAGCAGGAATCTACCCGTCGGCAACGGAGAATAGAAACGGAGGCACACGAATATACCGCACGACCATACGAAACGAAACAAAAACAAGAGGGGTGGGAGGGCGGGCGTGTGTGAGCGCTATATGAGACAAGTCGGGCGTTGCGATACGACGGCTTACCCTCTCAGTTCAAGGAACCGCCAGATCACATTGGCGACGGCCTCGTCTTTCTTCTCAAGAGCGCCATTCGCGGGCTTCGCCTTTGTCCTCGCTGCGAGCTTCTCGGATACAGTCGCTCCCAGGCAGAGCGCGAAATCAATCGTTGAGGACTGGTCGATACCACCCACGATAGAGTCGAAACCGCAACAGACAGCAGCGAAAATAAGGAACGATCAGCACATCATCATCAGACAGCCCCCCTTTCCATCTTGGAGCTGGTAGACTATGGGGATATGATCATGATCGACACTCACGTTCTGTCTGCGCAGCTCCTCCTCGATGATAGCATACGTCACGTTCCATCCCGCGACGCGCTCCGCAAGCTGAACGGTCTGCTGCGAGCTGTGCCCGATCGGCTTCTGCGAGTGCGGCACCGGGCTCTCGAACCAGAAGTGGCCCGTGACCTTGCGATTGTTCCAGAACGTGTGCGAGACGCTGCTGATGAGCGCGAGCGCCGTCGCGCGCGGGCCCGTCGTGCCGTCCGTGATGACCTCCTTCACGAACCGCTTGTACTCCGTCGTCTCCCCGTTGTCGAGCGGCGGCGGCTCGACGATCTGCCCGCTCGTGAGCCACACGAGTGCCTGCGGGCCGAGCAGCCCGCGCGAGAGGTAGAAGTACACCTCGTCGGGCAGGCGGTGCGTGAAGATCTCGTGCAGATCCTGCGGGATGTCCGCCGCCGTGGGGTGGTGCGGGTGCCCGCCGTGCGCAACAGCGAGCGGGAGCGGCTGCACGGAGCCCTCGGAGGAGAAGATGAGTGAGTACTTGATCATCGAGCGCGTGCGTGCGTATTGGTCCGCGTAGCCCATCTGCTTCGTCTGTGGGTGCTCCGCGTACGCAGACACGGCGGCGTGTCCGGATTTGTAGTACCGCACCATGTCAACGGTCGCCTTGAGGCCTTCGCCATGCACCGTGGGCGGGAATGAGGGCGAGTGGTCGGACCCGACGAGGATACCGACGTCGAGGAATTGGTCCTCGCTGATGCCGAGGTCATGGAGGATGCTCCGCTTGGAGCAGTAGTTGAACGAGGGGGAGAGAGAGGTGAGATCGAGCGAGGTGATGAGTTTGTCGACGCCAGGATAGAGCAGGGTGTCAGTCGGGCCGAAGATTGCGTGAATGTAGGCTTTGGGATGGCGTTGCATGTAGATCAGCTATCCTCGCGTAGGCTTTCGTCAGCGTCTAACACCCGCGTGCAACGTGTTTACGCACCTGTGCCCATGCGACGTACGGTGCAATCAAGAACTCGACATTACGGTGGCGGAAGATGCGCAGGACCATCCGCCAGAGGTCCCACTGGTGCAATCCAGAGCGAGTTTCCCAGAGCCGCGTCGCTGCGTCCTCCTGCCCGTTCTCATACTTGGACCATGCTTCTCTCCTGTCGCGCAGTGATTCGTTGTACTCTGCATTGTTATGGCCTTTCCAGCGTTTGTTGGGCATAAGCCCGGGGAATACGAAGACGGGCTTGATTCGGAGTTTTTCGAGAGTACGAAGGTCAGCCTCGATGCGCCCCGTGAGCGCTAGTGGGAGACCACCGGTGGCAGCGAGGAGGGGCTCGCGAGAAGGAGGGGTTTCAGTGAGGGTTTTGAGATAGTAAGATGCATCGATTCCAAGGCGTGAGTCGGTGAGAACGGAGAGGGGAAGGGTTGTCAGATGCTTGCGCTCTGAGAGGTAATCTGCGACAAAAATGAGACGAATTCAACACTTCTTTCCTATCTTTCTTTGCCCAGACTTGATGAGATCTTACTTTCGAGGTACTTGATGGGCATAGTGAGCTAGATTCCGGCCTGAGAGCGCTCACAAGCAGTCTGCTGGTCTGGGGGCAGCCTGGGGCGTGGTGCACGACGAGCACAGCTCCTCCAGAACTTTTGGCTTATGTAAGACATCTGAAAATGGACGCGTCCTTGTCTGCACGGCATCGCATGTTCGAGGCCTGCCGTTGCCATATTTTGACCATCCTCTTGGACCAAGACCAGCGACTCTTCCAGCCAAATTGCCCGCAATCTGATTGTTGTCGAGAATCTGTTTAGACGTTTCTTGCTTGGACGTTCATGTATAGCGCAGAACTTTCCACTGCTCTCCGAGATCGCCATGCACATACTACTTGTTGCTGACGGCACAGCTAACGAGGCGCTAAGCTTGTGTTTTGTATTGCAAGCCTCGCCGCCACCATCATCACAAAAAAACAATTCCTCCGTATCTTCAAGCTTAGCCCCGGTAAATTTCTCAACTTCTTCCAGCTACTCTTCCGACGCGATCTGAGCCTAACAACAGCTGACAGCCCATAACTAGCGCCGGGTGTCCGACTTTACCAACTCCAGCTAAATTGCTGTCTTGTCGGTAAACGTTCAACTTCGCAGAGGTCAAAACACGCACCTGTCATGGTGGCAACGCAATAGGAAACGTTCTCCCGCGGTTATCTTCTGCCTGTTTACTTATCCCTGATAATCCATCTATCTTTTTCTGCACGAAACAGATGTGGACAGTGCCACCGACAGCCCGACCCTCAGCACGGCGATCACCCGTGTCTTCTCACGTCATCCATAATCTGATCCCAATGCGGGGTAGCATCGTACCTTCGTCATCTGCCTTCCGATGCCGTTACCAGCTCGACGCCCCGGCGAGATTGCACCAGACCTCTAAGGAAATACACGGACCATAGACTTCGGTTCCTAGCTGCTAGAAAGTCCAAAACCTATGCAAACGCCACTGAGAACTTGAACCTGCACGCGCGCTCGGCATAATAAGTGCAACCATCTCGAACAGGCACCCCACTCCCCTTCCTTCACTTTTCTCTCATCCCACGAAGACGCGGTGGATGCCAAGACCGACTACCCCGGAGACTTTCCAAACACACTCCGGGCTCAAAACGTCCACCAACGTTCATGATCCATGTCGAAATGTCATTTGGCCATCCATCCCGTGAGCCACCGGTGCACCGCCGCTTAACCTACGTCTCCCTACGGGGATGCGTGCACTGCAGATTCGCGCCCACCGCTGCTTACCATCTGACCCTGCCGGTCGGTGTGCCCTTGCCTGGCTGATTCATGTGAATGTAGCGTTCAGTTCCCAACGTTCAGTTTCCAGCGAGAACGAGATGTAAATGTTACCAGTGACACTTGAGCAACGCGTCCCGGCCTTGTTGACATGCGTCAATGCGCAGATGACGACACACCCTGACGTGGACTCATTGTCACCTGGAGCACCATTTAGCTGATATTGAATAATTCAATTCGTCGTGCTAAAATTCAATGGTGTTCGAGTGTCGACGTCGCTACTTGTGACAGAGAAGTGGACTGGGCTTTCGTTATGCGGCGCGATCGCTACTCCGGTTCTCGATCGGGGCTTGCTTCCATTTCCATATCAAGGGCCACGTCCGTCACCTTCAACAAGATTTGCGGAGCGAACGAAAAAAACACGCGAAATCACCGGAGACATCTCTAATCCTTCCACATGTGTGGACGTCCGACCGACGAAAAATCTCTTTCCGTGCGGCCGATGACGCTGACGCCAGACGCGCAACAAGGTTACTTCCCACCGGCGATAGACTGAATGCCTTGGGCGCGCAGTCTGCTCTCTCACGTCCTTCCAACCTTCCACCTGAGGGTGATCCGGTGGTGAGCCCAGAACCAAGGCTCAGCCGCGTGTATGTCTGCTGATACAGTGCAACTAGACCAGCTGCCTGGACCCTGAGGGTCCCGCTGTTCTGGTGCAGAGCAACTTCTACTTCGAAAGGTTAGCCTCATTGTAGAGTTCGTGTTGGAGCTACACTCAGCTCTACACGAGACCACGCCTCAACGCGACCAATTGGCAGACGACTGTTTCGAACCACAAACCCAGACGCATTCAAGTTCCTTGCGAGACCTATATGTATCTCGAGGCACCATGCATGTTCTGCCGTCGGTGCACTCAATGGACACGTCAACTTCCCCGGATTCGCAGAGCCAATATGTAGGGCTCTGCCTTCCCAGCAAGTTACATATCTGCCTACGGTAGATGTGCAGTGACTTCGCTTCCCAGGAGAACTTCTTGGAAGTCACATTCATCACTGCCATGGTAAGAGCTGGTAAGAGATGCACTTTCCACAATCGACTTCTATGATGTACACAACATTTATCTGGCTTTATCTGATAATGCCATAGGTTTACGTCTGAGAGCTCGCAGTCGTGAGGTGCACAAGGGCTACCTGCCTACTAACTTCTGATGCGATAGCTTGCGGAAGGGTGGGAGCAACACCGCCCAGGTCGTCAAGCTCGGCAACGAACGCCCATGCATGAGTGGTGCTGCTAACTCCGCCTTTCGCTGCTTGTGCGAGTTGCAGAACGCGAAAACAGCTTCGAGGAATTGGATGATCTGGCCACCTGATGGAAGCACTCTACTCATGCGGCTGGAGACAGCAACGAGAATAGCACACGACGTTCAGTATGCCAGTGCGCTCTCAAGGTACGCCTCCATAAGACTCGAACACAATCTTGTTAACGTTCAGGAAAGGCGCCTCGTGTGGCAAGTTTTGCCTTAACACCGTAGGCTGGGACGATCTCCCAGAAGCGTTGAAGCTTGAAGAGCGGAGCGCTTTAGAATTCATTCCCATGCCGCCGGGTCGGTGAGCTGGCTAGATTGATAATCAGCCATAAGCTTACTTATCGTGGGTTCACTGAGATTTGGTCCTCTCACCGAAGTTTCAAAGCGGAATGCTATTCCTCGGTGAATGAATGGAAAAACACTGGTGAGCTGGATTGCTTACGAAGCTATTGGTGTTCAGCCAAACTATAGTTTGTAAGGTGAAACGTGTCTTCTGCGATACTCACGGACAAGGAACTAGATTTCCACTCGATATGTCCGAGTCCTTCACCCGCATATACCCCAACTGTAGCCAATGCTCGCAGGCGAAACTCGCGCACGAGGCATGCATCTTCGTCATCGTCACGTACAAGCCATCACTCGCCGTTCTCGATGATTAGCGGTTAGGGCCGTCATACCGGGCGCGTTTGCGCATCTTGCCTCGCGTTCTCATCAGCCAATGAAGCTAGCGACGGGCTCACTCACCGACACCCACAGTTCGCTTGCCCCGAGTTTGATATGTGCCTTGAACCAGAGCGCTCGTGAGATAGGCAAGCACCTTCTACGGCGTCAATACCCGACGATTTGTGTCCTAGACTCCTGCTTGCTGGATCGCTGTCGATGCCAATACTCTGGAGAGATCACAAAAAGTACTATATCGTGTAAGTGTAGTCCCTTTCAATCGCTACAAGTTTGATTGACCTTGAACAGCAATACCTGACTATGCCCGGCGAGTATCCTGCCGGTACAATCTCTGACTGCACCTGTTCCAGAGCACACGAAAAACTTTTCCATGTAAAACACCCATGCGCGGGCTGCAGATAACAGCCCAGAGCAGCTTTGCGGAGCTTGCACACGTAGCAAGGCTCTCATCTTGCAAAAGATACTCTCATGTTAATATCCTCGCAGTGCGCGATCCATTTTAGGCAACCTCAGTATGTTTTCTGCCACGCTAACTTTTCTTTCCGCGTTTGCACGGTTGCAACGGATCGGAGTTTTAGCTTCTGTCAAGTGTGGGGTGCCTTTCATTTCCGAAGGCACGTCTTCGGCAGAACTGATAGATCGCTACCAGAGATCGATCATTCAGGGGTAGATTATAATGTGCGCGCGTATCTTATCAGCCAGTCTGGGGATCCGGCATGCTGATTGTACACTTTATTGAATAAGCCTCGCAAACTACGTCTCAAAAAATCATCTTGGTCTCCAGGAGCAAAAAGGCACTCGAGTAACTCAACCTGTAATGTGTATGCAATCTGTTCGGACTCGAGCACAAGCCGGCGAATGATTTAAGGTGAGGTGGGTGTTTCAGAAATTCACGTGAAATCGGGTAGCTCGGTAATCGTCGGTGCCAATGCCATTTTCTTTTCCTCCCATTGTGATCACTTCAGCGCCTTGTGCAAGGGCTTAACATCCTGCTTATACGTGGCGCCCCTACCAATGTGCTGGATATCGGCGTCTTAAACAAGCACCGCATCCTTGGCGCCTTTTTTGCTTGTTGTTTCGACAAGAGTACCTGATTGTAGGTTGGTGGTAAATATGTTTCAAAATTAAACAGGATAATCGTGTTTGACTGCATGGTAGTGGCAATACCTTTGCGAGTATAGCATTGCGCTCGGACCACAACAGAAATTCGTGCACATGTGCACACACATTGAAAGCTTCGGAAGCGCTCAATGCATTAGCATGGGGTTATACTTGGAACTACATTAGTAAGCGGTGCTGATATATTGTCTTTTCGCGCTGTCTCACGTCTGTTCACTTGCCTCGTTCTCAGCCCGCATGCAGTGGGGTACATCCCACCTCGAAACTGCGTGACATGCATGCAGCATCTTGATCGATGATCTCTGGAAGTTTGTATGAACGGACACGAAAGGCGCCCCTGACATCGTAGTACTCCCTAGTACTCCCATGCTTCAGCCACAATCAGATACTTCCCCCAAGCCGACATTCTCTACCCTCGTACATGTAAGCTATAATGCATCGCATCTCAATTGGTAGCATAGATCGCGCGTGTAACCAGGGTGTGCTCTGTGAGGTCTCATGGTCTGGGGTACGGTACCGACCCCGCACTTCTGGGACTTGCTTCCCAGCTGACGGAGGGTTAACCAACCACCGAAGTCCCCGTCCTACGGAGCGCAGTCTCACACTAAAGGGAGCTTATGCTAACATTGGAACAGGATTAAAATCCTCTTCGCAAAGTATGATAGTGGATCTCCCTCTGAGAATTTTTCAATGCGTACCACTGACATCCCGCTGGCGATATGTTCCCGTGTTATTTCGTTGCTTTTCGACGGAAGATTTTGCTCGTTTGTTGCATCTTTATAGAAGTACTGATTCCGCCTCCGACACCCCGTCCCTGATCGATTTCTTTCAGGAACCTGACGAAATGCTGTTCACGGTTGACGAAGACATGAGAACGCGAGCGGAGTGTCAAAGCACGATTAAAGTCTAATCAGTGCATATATGAGATGAGATTAGATCTATGGCGGTGGCTATACACACTACAGACACACTAGTCACAACGCGTACACATGCTTGCGACTAGCTGCTTTGCATTAGCACGTATAACGGGGCCTGTATGATTGATTTTTGCCCTCATGCATCCATGGTGTGCATGCGCCGACAAATACGGAATGTGGATTGGTGGCGCCAAGGATATGGGCGCCTCATGAAATGGTTGTGGGCCGTAGGGTCTGGAGACAATTGTCAATGGTGGGACATATCACCTCAAACTGGTATTGTCAGCCCCTGCACTGCGGCTGTGGAGATGAAAACAGCTCGTGAGACATCCTAGCGCATTTGAAAACAGACAACGTGCATGGAAAGGTGAAATGAAGCAAGCCACTTGTTCCGAGCCGGGCGAAGAAAATTCTAGAGTCAAGTTTGGTCCATCCACAAAAGTCGTGGAAATGTCATTGTACTCTCAAACATATAAGTCACTTTACAAATTCGGAAATCTCCTAGTGTAAACATGTAGATCTTCAGAGCGCTTTAACACGCGGATTTGGAATCAGCTGAGATGTGTTTAAACAGCTTTTTGTGTAGTCTCACGCCCGCGGGTGGCGAACAAGATTTTGGGAGTGATGGCAGCATCCTTTGGAACGAAGAAACGCCGAACAATAATCTCGGAAAACAAAAAGAAATGCTGACATAACTACGTCAATCCGAGCGTAACGGAAACATCATTGCGGCGACGGTATTTATGCTTCTGGGCGACAGAGGGTAAATTTGTGCTTCTACCGTCAATCGCGCGCGACTGCCGTAAACAAGTGGTTGGGCTGACGCACAGCGCTAATTATACGCACTCTCTCACCCGCGCACGCCGATGCCCAGGAGGAACGGCCACAAGGTTAGGATGACGACGACCGTTCAGGTCAAGCAGAGTCCAGGTGCGTAGATCAAACCGCCTCTGGGCTAAGGAAGGCATGACCTGAGGCGAGCCACGCATATGGGAGCCAATACTACTGGATCTCTGAACTCAAGGTGTCGGCGGAGCAGCAGGCAAGCAAGAGCTATCCTGAAGCGTGACGTACTCATGTATTCCGTGTCATCGTGGGACCACGTGTGCTGGGCGAGTGCGATAGGGCGATGGCCCACTTACCACCAAATTTGATTCAAGGGTAAAGTTAGTACAAACGGTCGGACCTCGAGCTTTGGTATCAGCGACCAATAGACATGGAAATCGTACCCTATTAAGCGTCGGGTGCCCTTTTGAGTGTTACATTCCTCGCAGGTTATGAATTGCCAAGTTGAAGGAGAGTTATTCTTACGCTGAAACACGCGCCAAATAATTGTCAACACAACTGACGACTCAATTGTAGAAGGGCATGCCTAGCATTGACATAGTCGAGTACAACTATCACATTATTCCATGAACGCTAACTATATCGTACGGGAAGTTCCAGCCAGTCATACAGTTGCACTAGTCAATGAAAAACAGACCCGGTGCGTCGCATCGCACTACTACACGCCGCTACTCCGACAACTTCTTCAACTTGGCCTTCCACACCTGACAACCACTTGTTATTCGTATCAGGAGGTTGAGTCCGGTACCGAGCAGAGGACGTAGTCGGGGGATTGGATGAAACCGTGTGATCGATATCCTGCCTATGGCATCGGAGAAGTCGAAGAATGGAACAAGAATAATGCTGACTTCTCGTCTCGATGGCTACATACCAGTGGTGCATCATGAAACCTGTGAAACTTCGACCAAAACTCCATGAATGATCACATCGCCGCCGAGTAGAAAAAATCGGAGAAATCACGGTGCATCATACGTCTTGTTCTATGGTTCCAGAGCCCGATTCCTTATTACAACTAGATCAGAAGTTGCCCGAGATTCGCTAACAGACAGCCTTGATACAAGAGGCGCTCAATCATCGGAGGTGTATCGAGCAACGAATCTTCCCTATGAGGCTCCACATTGAAACCACCGAAGTTTCAAGTGTGAGTGTGTGCCCCTAAGCTTGCACATCGACCCCCATTTGACGATTGAATGGAGGCTAGAATGCGGCTGTAGATCAAGGTAGAGATGAGGCGAGCTTTGACCGATGGCTCAGCGCACGAAAGAAGCCACTGGTGCGAACCGGAGCGATGCTCCTAACACTACCAATCGAAGTGACTAAGCAGCCAGACATTTACTGCCTCTCTGGGAGAACGCATGGATTTACTGGACGGGTAGAAATTCTGAGACGATCCTGCTCGCTCGACAATGTCTGTACACGATGCGAAATGAGAGTTCTGGAAATGTTCAAAAATATGATATATTCAGTGTAACATGACTTCGAAGGCGTTCAGGCTGGAGGATTGTTGCAATGACTCGCCTTCTCAAAGTAAAACGATCAATACAGTGATCCCGATTGAGAGGTTAGCCCGTCAAAAATTGTTGGAGATAGCAAATGTTCATCGATTTTCTCATGCGGAGTCCCAAGCTTGCGTGCATGCGCATTGGAGGCGACATCCCCTACCTTCGGGCTTCGCTAGCCTCGCGGCCTTGATTCAAGGTAGTGCAAACAACGCCTTGAACAAAAGTTGGGATCCCGAATAGATATGGTCAGGGTCACAACGCGGCCAGAAATTCAGAATGTCTGCAACAGGCCAGACCGTGTCACGTCAGACCCCAGGACATCATCTTTTACGTGTGCAAGAAAGAGTGTCCAGGTGAGGTTCTCCCCTACTATCTCGCACGTAGACCGATCCCATATGTACGACGCATCGCCGCCGAGTGGTCTCAGAGTTCTTACTTCTCAGTGTCTAAATGGGAAGGGTTAAGCATACTCCCGCTGAACAGAAGAAGCCTGAAGTTGCGAATGCAGCCTGGCTCTGACGTACAAGAAATAACATTCAGGTGAGGCTTTGGCCGAGCGTCGCATCCAGACTGGATCCAGCTGGACGATGCTGTGTCACCAGGGTCGTCTCATACTTCTGGCTCCAGTGTTTTGGATAGGGAGGGTAAACAACACCCACGCATTATAAAAGAAGCTTGAAGGTGCTGGTGCAACATAACTCTGATACGCGAGAAAATACGTTCAGATGGGGTTCGAGTTGACCTCGCGCCCAGACCGAGTCTTGGATGATGCATTGTCGCTAGGACCTTCTTAGAATCCCGGAATCAGACTCAAACAGCATGAATAGGCAGGGGTTCGACATACTCACGCCTGTCAAACGATACCTGACCAAGTTGACGTTGTTAACCCGATCCGCTCAACTTTAAAGCGATGAACGACCACCCATATCGCCTGACAGAGAGGACGTGGTTACCGCGAAGCTGTAGAGAAGCCCTCCTGAAGCCAAAGAGAAGGTCTGATGCATAAGTCGAGTTAGGCGCGTGACGTAGCCCCAATAAGCGTCCTCGTACCCACAGACAGTCATAGACCCTGCGGCTGCCCTGCAGCAAGAGTGTATGCACCAGCGAAGACCTTCTCACGACGGCGGCCACCACTGGCAGGAGACCCCGACGACGTGCAGTGGTTGGACAGCGTGGTGCATTCAAACCGAGGTCTTCATTGAACTACCCGGCGGCAAGCTAGTGTATGCACCAGCGGAGGCTTTGTCACGACGGCGGCGGCCACCGCTGGCATGAGGCCTTCCAGCCATTGGATAGCATGTTGCGCAGCGACCATGTCCTTGAATCAAACATTATGGTTGAACCTGGGTTCTCATGTAGCATTTTGGCTTACCAGTAGGACAGCGAGCGCGAGGCCGTCGAAGTATGAGTCCAAGACATCCAACTTCCGCGTGACTGCGTGCCGTTTGTGGCAGTGTGTATAAGCCCCTATTTGTTCTCTACTCATCCTCGGTACTCTGTGGTCGTAATCCCTACTGAGTCCACCAGTACTTACCATAAGCTATGTCAAGTGCTACTAACTGGCCTTAGCAGCTTCCAATGAAACCTTGGGTGAAAACATTAACGCTCGTAGGTAAAGGAGTCCTTTATCGCCGAGCGTTCAAAAAAAAAATCGGCACGCTAAAATTCTGTGTAAAAACGGCACAGAAAGAAAAGCTACCATACCTGAGACTCAGTACAATCACACGTGCAATGCGACATATTCACAAATGAACCGCATAGTGGCGTAAAGGGAACACCACTACGACTGCAAGCGCTCGGTCTCCCTAGTTTTGCATCATGCCCTTGTCAATCGCCCACACCACTCAGGCTCCGACACATACAAAAAGTCCATCTCGAAAAGCCAGAACATCCATGGCATGGTGATCTAGCGCACGCGCACAATATCTTTAAGCTCAAGGTCAACCCACAACAACGTCATACCCAACTGTTGAATTAATAAATCCATAAGTTACAACCTACGAAAAACACAGATCTACAAAAAATACTCTAACAAACACATAAACAACACAAGATCTAGGAAACGAACGAGTTCGAGAAAAATCTAGACACACTAGAATGAATAACTCTATACACGCACATAACGAACGTCTAGCTCAGCCTATATGCCGATTTTGCAGAAAAAACTATCAACGAGCTCTATCCCAGTACCGATACTGGATAATCAAGCCAAGGCGGGATACGGCCGCGATGTAGGATAAGTAGGAGAATACGAGGCAAATACGATCCGTGATCAATAGCGATAGCGAGGTATATAAAAAGGAAAAAGAAAGGAAAGAAAGGAAACGAACAGCGAAAACGAGCGTATTAGTGAGAATGCGATGGAAAGCGCAATGCAATGCATGATCATAAGCCACGCTATATATACATGCGAATGGGAGACGGTACGTAGCGTGCTGGACAAGGCAATGGCTATCGATAATATAGGGATGACGGGGAGGGCGTGTGTGGGAGGTGAGTCGCGAGTAGAGTGTGGGTGGAGTGTGGAAGTGTGGGATACTAAGAGAGGGGTGGGGGGTATTTTTGTGTAAGTGAAGGGATGAACAGCGTAAGACGATGATGAGACGAGAACGTGGGCTCTAAGCTGAACGTCTGATATGCAAACATTAATATGCAACATGCTGTATATGAGATGAGTCGATGCGGTCATCGTCGAGTGAATAGGGCAGGGCAGTGGGCAAAGGAAGAGTGGCGAGGGTGCACACGAGCAGACACGAGCGGACGTCCGCACCGTCCCGTTAACTCCCATCAAGCCCGGTCCTCGACCACGCAAGCCCACAACCCCGCTCTAACCCCCAACCTCCCAGCGATATATTGCCAGTGGGCGTGTCTAGTGAACGAACATATCCCTCCGTCCACCCTGGTCCGCTCTCGAGAGGGACGGGAGCAGCCCCCTCTCACTCTCCGCGTCCACAGCCATCGACGAAGAGCAGCCACCAGAAGCGGTGGTAGTGCCAGGACGCGGTGCCGACGCAGCCGCCGGCGGCGTCACAGGAGACGGAGACGAGCTGTCGACGTCCATGAGCGGGATGAACGACAGCCTCATCCTGTTCATCGGCGTGCGCTGTTGCGGCAGCGACGCAAGCGGCGCGGCGCCCGAAAGCTCGAGCGGCGAGGGCGCCGGGAGGCCAGGCGAAGGCACAGCCTCGAGCTTGCAGTAGCTCAGCGTAGGCAGGGCGCCGTTGAGCCCGCTTTGGCCGAGGCCCTTGAGGCGGGGAGGACCACGTGGCATGCACGGTTTGCTGTCGCTCTCGACGTCCGCGTCGAGATCGAGGTTCAGCGCGAAACTGTCTTCGATGTCCGAGTCCCGCCCGTAGGCCCCGTGAACGTGGGTAGGCGATGGGGAGGGAGAGGCGGGCATCGACGGGGGCGGGCTGCTCGTGCTCGCGAGCGAGGCCGTCGTGAGCGACGGCGTGGAGAACTCGGTGTCAGACGCCATCGAGGCGGACTGGTCCGTGTCTGAGAAGTACGCGTGGTCGTGCAGATCTGGGGCTGCTGCGTCCGCGTTTGATGTGGGCGTTGACACCTCGATAAGAGACGGCGAGTGTTGTGGTTTCTCCGATGGAGTGGGGGGCGCGGAGGTGGTGGTGTCGAGGAGGGGCAGGAAAGTAAAGTTGCGCCGCGGCGGGAGGTTGGAGCCGATGAACGGCGCTGACGGCGCCGTAGGTCTCGGCGGGGGCGGGGGTGGAGGAATGTCCCGGAGTTGATGGGGTTGGGGACGGCGGAATGTGATAGGTAGAGGGACCTCCGGAGGGGGCGGAGGGGGCGATCGGATAGGAGACGGAGTCGGGCTGGGGTTCAAGCTCGAACTTGTACTCGAGGTGTTCGAGCCGGAGACGGTGGTGGGGTTCAGAGGGAGCAGAGTAATGGGGACATGGGAGAGGACGACCGAGTGGGGTCTGCTCGACAGCGGATCATAAGGCTGCTGGGCGTACGGCAATTCCCGTTGAAGCAGCTTGAGCTCGAGGATGTCACTGTGGGTAGATGAAGAGAGCGGGATAACGCGTTGAGCTAGGGGGTCAAGCCGGGGAAACGTTAGATGACTCACTCGTAAGAGAGTTTTTGGGCGACTTCTGCGGGCGTCCTGTCCCATTCGTCGGCTTCGTACACCTCTTCGATGCAGTTCTCGGTGAATACGACCCGTTTCTTGGACGATTCGCTGCTTTCGCTGTCTACGGGAGTGGAGTACCCGGAGTGGTTGGGAGAAGTCTTGAGACAGCTCTTGATGCGATGCATGGTAGGCCTAGATGTGGACGGGTCGTCACACGACTCGAATGGGGAAGATGGTTCAGACATGGTGTGATGGTGTGGTTGGAGGGAAGATGAGAGAAGGCGGAAGGTATTAAAGCAAATTGGGTGAGCTTGAGGGGTGGGTAATGAGAAGAAATAACAGAGCCTCAGAGGAGGAGCTGTAAGGGAGGAGGGACAGGCGTCCTCTGACACATGGAGCGCATGAGGGGACCAACTCCCTTCCCCTCTCGGGCATGCACGGAACCGCGGCCATTCCCGACTATTCCTCGGCCGACCTCTGATCCGCCTCCTCAGCGCCACAACCCTTGCGGTCCCCCGTGACCTCCTCTTCTCCGCTATCATTCACAGCCCAATCCACAATTGCCTATTCCCTCTTCAGCTGCAATAAACACATGTAACTCCTCGTACCCTCGCTACCCTTGGGCTCTGACAGCTCACAACAGATCTTGACGGCCATCATCTCTCCTATCGCACTCTTAATCTACCCCGCCTGCGCTCATCTGGGATATCGAAACAAGGGCGCACTCTACTAGGCAGACAACTACAGCTTTTTCGGACCAGAAAAACTTGGCGGTGTACACGATACGTCAAGCCACCACCCTAGTTGCGCCCTAAATTTTGTTACCGCACGTGGCGAAGACGTCCTATAGACGTACAAGTCTCTCGATGTACCCTTCTTTTCGCTTTCATTTGACTCGTTTGATGGGCAAGGAGGGCGTGTAGGTATGAGCGCATCGCTCGTTCGCACAGTGGTGCTCTGGGCTCCTATAAGAGGGCAGAACGGGGATCAGAGCACAGACGCCCGTCCGGAAGGAGGCTCCGCTTTCCGGTCACCTACGACTCTGCATGCCCGGCCCTCCATAACTCGCTCGCCATGATCGCGTTCTCTTGCATAGACTAACTGTTTTTTAACCATAACAGAGAGTCCTGCCTACGCCCATGGGTGAAATGCTGGACAGGGTACTGAGAAGTTCTATTTTCGACTGAACCTGCTGTCGGCTCTAGCACCGCCACCATACGCGCATTGCTCGCTGCGTCTGAACGTTTGTACTAGAGACCTTATAGGTCAATCAAACGAGGATGTCGCTCTGCCAAAAAAACACTCTTTTCGTGTGAGCTAGACCCTTCATGCCGTGCCGGGTGGATGCAAGGCTTTACTCGTGCCTCTTCGGATCTGCTCCTGGATGCCAGCTTATGCGTCACCAGTTAGACTTCGTATGTAACCGGATCTATGCCTGCTCGCCTAGCACTCTGTGATCCGGTCGTTGGTCTGGTGTTGGCCCTGTTTCACCTCTCACAGTCCACCGCTGGAGGCAACTCGCCGTGCTGCCAAGGTTATTCGAATGCGGAACCTAGCCTAGCCATTGTAAAACTGAGGTGGCTTGCTCAACTAGTAGTTGCTACCGCCGTGAGCGGTAAACCCATGCACTATGCATCTGTGTCAGAGGAGACCGGTAACGCACAATACAGTTTCATACCAACGTCTCAAACTCACATGCCGTATAGTCACCGCTACAGGAGTCATAACCAGACCTCACTGTCTCGTCTCTTACAACATAATTTCATGGCGTGGCATTTGCGACGTGACACACCAACACTAGACGATTACACGCTCTCATACAACTTTCTATCGAACTACCTATATGCACATATGATGTATGACGTATACAGTATACCGACAAACGTAATTGGCGTTCTGCGCCACTTGGAGTCATCAACGCCCCCATAACATACTGCCTCCTGCAAGGAAGGCTAGCTAGATAACGCGTCATTTCAGCCACAGCCAAGTGTAAAACAGGCGCACGTACCTTCCGAAACTGCAGAATCAAAGGATACTCCCACGTTTTTGAGAGGATAAGGACGCCGTCTCCACATTTGCGTACCGTACTTCCTTTGTAATCGAACGGGTCGTCGCGGCACCAACCGGGCCTGTAACCGGAATGAAGACCAAGTGTATGTGTCATAGATGGTACCTTCGGGATCCTGTTGCTTGACCTCGAAACATCGATGTTTGAACTGGGAGCCGTCGAACTCGTCTAATTCTCTGACCGCCGAGGAAAGTACCCTCGCTTTGCTCCATATTAAATACCTGGTAGCATTGGGGTGGTCGTTCCGTTCTAGCAAAAGAGCTTTGTCGAAGTGTGAGCATTGCTCATACTTCAATTCGTGGAGCTCGAAGGCGAATCAATGTCGGAATTTACGAGGCACATCTCCTGGGCTGTCAGGCCAGAATCTATAAGGCTTGCAAATCCCATCCTCCATGTACGAGCACAGCGGAGAACACGAGGAAACAAGCTCTTATAAGCGATATGCTATTTTGGCTCTAAGCGCCTGGATGTTGGGACGTCGGAGGTATCCAAGCAGATGCTTGGCATGATACCCAGCTCCTACATCTGAAGGTATAGGAGAGTGTATATTTGCCTCATCGAAAGAGGGTGGCTGGGATGTCCTGCCATCTAATCAGCAACAACATGCTGATGGCTAGAGATAATGTGTGAACGCCTGTATCAATGCCCACCTGAGAACACTTAGGGTACCATCGCGACCTTCAGCTTGCGGATGAGCTCTTCCCAGTCTTTCCGACGTGGGACACTAATGATAACACTGATCAATGGGAAACTCGGGGTTGGACATGCCGATCGGCGAAATCAACCTACGTTCACGTCGTCGTCAGACTTTCACTCAGACAGGTTTAGTGCATGAAGACTCTGCGTACCTCATTCGCACGTCAGAGGGAAAGAAGTTGATCGGAAGGGCTCGAGAGACGCCTCGACACCACGACGGAAGTTCTTTCCATTCGTCTCGATCATGAAAGCAAGATTGTTACCAGTACCTTGGTAGCTGTTCGTGAACCGTTCTTGTTCAGTGCTATAACGATGACTGTCGTCTGGAGTCCAGACCACAAGCAACTATATTGGTCGGTAGAGCACACCTTCACACAGAGACATGAACGTGAATGTCGTTCGGGAAGAGATAACGGAGCTCCGAGTCCTATTGTATGCATCAATCAACAGGGGGTGGTTACGCGATCGTTGTACCAAACGGGGGCACCATAGCTCACCGTATGCTCACCGTGCGCTCATCTCACAAGGAGATACTCCTCGAACGCGTCCATGTACCGCTTCCACTCTCCCTTGTTCCACTCTTGCAACTTCGGCCACGCCTCATCTGGGCTATCGTACCGCATGGCCAGGATAATGCCCACGAGTGTCAGATCCGCCACCGAGAATTGACCGCCCGTGAAGTACACACCACCGCTCTTCTCCTTGTACACGGCCAGCTCGTCGAACGCTCCCTCGAGCTCGCGCCATGCCTCTTCTCTGGCATTCCCTTTGAGTTCGATGTCCTCGAGCGGCTTCCCGAACGCGGCTTCCATGCGTCTACGGAAGTCGACGCGGTCGCGGGGTGTCTTCTTGTCGTACATGTGCATGACCATGACGGGTATGAGGCGTGCCGTGATGCGCTGCGCGACGTGCGCCTCGAAGAGGGCTTGTAGAGCACGCGTGTCCGCGGGGTAGAGGGCCCTGCGTGGGTCTGGGTCTGGGTAGGTGCTTTCGAGATATGCAATGATGGGGGTTGAGTCGGATAGCTTGACGGTGGAGCGGGTCTCGTCTATGAGGGCGGGGAGGGTATACTTGGGTGCGCCAGACGGGGACGTGCTGGTCGGTGGTATACCGAGCTGGCGGCAGACGGTCTCGATGTCAGCCGTCTCGACCCATCGAGTGGTGTAATGTAGTCCCTTGAAATTCAGTGCAATCCTAATGAAATGAAAACTGAGTAATCATGGTGTATGTTAAGGTAGGTACGGACCTCACTTTCCAGGTATTTGGCGACGTAGGAACAGGTAGCGTCGTTGGTATGTCAAACAGTGTGATCTTAGTCACGGTCATCTGAGCGAGAAGTTCCGGTATGTGTGGTCAACTCTTCGACAAAGCAAAAGGTCGACGTCAAGTTCGCTGTAAAGTAAAGTAGATGATTTGCTCACTCGCTGTCTGGAAATCCGAGTCAGACTCTGATGGCAATGCGGTGGACGAGAGATGTGTTGATATTCTGCCTGATAGACCTTAGTTTCAAAGCGAGAACTCCGTCCACTGTCAGTGTATACCCCTGACCCTTGGGAATGAAATTCAACAAGTTGTTGATGGTTGTCGGTGACAAAATAGCTGTTCGACGTCAGGAGGCAGACGCGTATGCGCGACTTTAGCCACGTGCTCGGCGCGCTGAATTCTCACGATCGTTCAGGAGAGCCAAACAGTCAATGTCAACGTCAGCACCAGGATACGACGACCACTTGACCAGAGCAATTGTATCCTGTCAACTACCTTGCCTGGAGCCGCTCAATACTCTCGAAGTCGGCCTTGCGATGCAGAATCGTCAAGTGATATGAATCGCTCACCAACTGACTGCAGTCATGACCTTGAACTGACGAGTAGGCCGGGCGGCACCGCGATAACGCTCTCTAGCAACACACCCGCCTACGCCATGAACGAGAGTCTCAAGGCTGTCCTCGCTATGATACCCAAAAGGTGCGTCTCTCCTCTATGTTTGTGCATCATGACCCTAATCGAACAGTAGTGACCTGGTGTCATATGATAACGTTAGGGCATGAAACTTACGACCATGTTCCATTTACGTTCTCCAATCTGCCCTCCAGCCTTCTCGACACAAGCGAAAACAAGGAGGGTCCAAGAACGCTTTCTTGCCTGCCGTCGCCCCACAATCAATAGGAATATACGGGCATCATTGTGCAGTGCATCTAGCAATTGGTGGTCTGACGTGGAGTTCTCGTCTCCGCGCAGCGCCTAGCGGTCGATCCGCCTGGCCCTTTCTTCCCAGAAATTTCCTGATCTTCATTCTCGGTTTCTATCCTCTTAACATGCCGATAATATCACGCCTCCAAACCCCACTTCCCCGTTACTCTAGATTCGGGCTTATCCACACACCCAGGACCCTCGATAGAGGCACCGTTATGCATGCTCTTGGGGTGCAACGCTAGGATGAGGAACCTCGCAAAAGGAGGGCAAGCGGCAAGCGAAGCCTTAAGGCCCCAAAAGCGGGAAGGTGGACGAGGATTCGCCGCAATGGCATGAGAGGTGGGAGATGGGACTGCTTGTATAGCCGTCCATCCGTGAGTGCTGTCACGTTTTTCTGCCTTGTGCTACGGTTTCTTCCTTTACTCCCTACCTTGCCTTACATCCCCTTTGCTTCTGTCCAACCGCTCGCCATGTTTGATTGTCTTTCTTAATCTTGTCCGCGCCTGTTCTCGCCCGTTTCCGTATTTTCGTTTTCTTAGGATAACCTCTCTCCTTTCTAGTCTCGTTATTAATACATGAATTGTTTCTGATGTCGTTTAAATTCACCATCATGTCCATGGTCGATGTAAACTACCACCATCGACCAACACACCAAGTTGTTCAATGAGCTCCATGCATCAGAACCGGACTCAGCGTCGAACTTCGGACTCCCACCACAGCATGTTTGAGGTTTCAATTAGTCGGGCACAGGAAACCGAGACTCCTAACCCAATACTGGGGGGTATGTGTAACGTAACCTACTTCTACAGGCCACCGCAGAGGTCGCCATCAGAACTTTTCCGATAAAGAAATGGAACATGGAGGCATGAACGAAGCGGAAAGCTGGAGATGCCAGAAGAACAGGTGACACTGAAGCGGAGGAAGACGAAGAAAAATATCCGGGAGTAAGATGGACTTCAGAAAAGCATATTATAACTTATCGTTCTCGAACGCAGTACGATATACCGAAGCGCCGACCGTCCCTTGTCCGTGCCGAGAATCCTCGTGAAACGGAACAGAGATGCAAATAGCTGAGGCCAGATCACCAGAACCGCGTGTCGTGTGGTGGAAGGCCCTGCAGCATGCGGAACATCACGACATTCGATGTCAGACTCGAGAACTAAGCCATAATTCAGCACTCGAGTCATCAAAGAAATAATAAAACCAGACGCACCCCATTGCCAATAAACACCTCCGCCTTCTGCCCAATCAGCATATCCACCGCCTGCGCAACCGGCTTCGCCTCCCAACTCAAGCTCATATCCCTGCTCGTCACAACCGCATCCCACTCCTTAATCTCCCCAAGCGCCACCCTAAGCTCCTCGAGCCAATCCGCCTTCCCATTCGTCATCACATACACCCTCCTCAGCTCCGGCGGCGCCCTCTCTCCCGCCCTCACCGCCGCCTCCTCTCGCTCCGCCATCACCTCGCGCACCCGGAACACAATCTGATCGATATCAGGAAAACACCGCCGGATATACATCGCGCGCGCCTCGTCCGTCGTCTCGCCCCACCCGGTCGGCACCGGCTGCTGGAACGTATCGGGCAGCGCGGAGAACTGGTTGAGCCCGTTCCAGTCCGAGGACCACTTGGCGAGGTGCTCGCAGTGCTGCTTGAAGTCGCCGCGCCGGACGTGCAGAACGAGCAGCCCCGGGGTCGTCTCGACGTCGGACGGCCGCATGTGCGGTGTGATCTCGTGGAGAGGGAGGTGGTGGTCTTTCCGTGTGGGCCGTTTACGCCCGAAGAGCCGGGAGAGGAAGGATTGGTCGGGGAGTGGGCCTTCGAACAGGTCTGCGTTCTCGTGGTAGGTGTTGAGGATGAGGGGGGCGTAGGAGTATTGTTGGAGGATGGGGGATTCGGAGAGGAGAGGCCAGAGGGAGAGAATGCGTTTTGTGCCAAACAACCTAGTCGAGGTCAGAACAACTGCGAATGAAGCCCTGAAGGGCATGAAGAGAGTGGGACGCACCAAATCTCGAAGAGCTGGAATGAGTTTTTGTCGATCTCCACGCACGGCTCATCCATCGAGTTAAGCTTCTCCACCCATTTCTCAAAGATCGTCAGCGCGGGCACGTCGGGATCAGTCCGCAGGTGCTCGTTGACGACGTTGCTGTCGATGACAGTGGGATTTGGGCAAACTTTCTTGAAGTATTCACGAGACACAGCTCTTGGCGCGTCGTCGCCAGGTGGGAAGGGTGCGCCGATTGTCGGGCCTGGCCATGCATTCGTCAGCCCAGGGTGATGCGTATCAAGGTGGGAGGAGACACACCACTGATGAGGGTGGACAAGGGGATGCGAGCTGGTATGAGCTTGCCATTGTAGTTGGCGTAATCGCCCTCATCTTCCCATGTATAGTTGTTGAACACGAACCTGCGAAACGATTATAGCGCGGCCGAGATGTGATGTAAAGAACACGTACGCTCGCTTGGTGTGATACGCCAGTAATGAGTTTACCAGCAACTCCTGCATCGCATTTCCCCATCCCGACTCTGCATAGCAGTGATGGAACGCATGAGAACGCGCAACACGGTGAACAGAGCAGAGACCAACGCACGATGCACATGATTTGCAGCCCAGAAAAACTTCGCGTCCCGACCTTCAGGATACGGCAACGAGAGGTTATGTTGTGGAAGGTGCCGCTCATAATCGTGGTAGGATTCATAGAGCGGCGGCAGCTCATGTATGATCGGGACATTTACAGGGATGTCAATTTCCTCCTCGCGGCAGAAGAGGACGAAGAGCCAGAAAGCGCCGACGCAGCCCAGGAGGAGCCGCACGTAGCGTTTGGAGAGAAAGCCGGCTCTTGACAGGCCGGGAGATTTGCTGCCCGCCGAGGTCGGCAATATGGGGCCCCCTTTCGAGCGGGAGTGTTTGTGCTGTGTCCACGCCGGCGCCATCGCTGTGCGCGTCCGTTTCTCGTCGTCGTCCAGAGTTGAGAGGTGGAAGGTGGAAGTAGCGTCGGCTACGAAGAAAAAAGAGAGACAAAAGGCGTGACACTGCTGGCGATTCTAGAGAGCTGCTGCGCGCGAGTCGCCTCACGGAAGCTGCGACACGGCTCGCACTCCAAACATCATCCCCATATGGAAATTTCCCTCGGCCCTGCAACCGACGTCATCGTCCTTTTCCTTCCAGGGTTGCACGACATCACGAAAACAAACATTGAGTGGTTTCTTCTGGCTAATTCTGTGCTTCTGGTGTTGTTTCGCGTTTACATCAACTTTCTGTTAGCGGAGGAAGAGTACCAGCTCTCAACCAAAACTTTCCGCAGTTTAGCGTCGAGCGCTAATCGGACCCAGAAGGTGGCGCTAATAAGCTTTTTCGAATAGCCAAGGAGTGTGGACATGACAACAGTGCATGCGAAATGAACTAAAATATCGTTACACAAGGTGATTAAGATACCGAAGCGGCGCAGTAGAAGTCATAAGTAGGCAAGCGATAAGTGTATGTTCAAGAATCAAAATGCTCCACGTCATGTGAAACACCAAGGCTCATGTTTTATGTTTCATCTGCAAAAACCATGCGACGAGCATAAACGCGCCTCCTCCTAGGACTGTGATCTATTTACCGTATCTGTTTTAGAAATGTCACAAAATAAATGACAAAATGAGACTCACGGCGCTAAAAAGCAGGGGTTTCAACCACTCGTACGCAGGCGGATGAAGCAATACACCAGCTATGGGATTCCCAGTAAGGAGCCCAAAGCTCGTCACGAAAGTCATAATCCCGATGCGTGTCCTGCCAGATCAGATCAGCAACGCAGCTTTAATCGTATCTTAGACGAGACTCACCCGATCTCCTTCACGTCAACTGAGAAGGACGCGGATGCAGGTGCAGCTAGCGAGACAACTTCGATTGTGACAGTTAGCTCTCGCAACTAACGTGCCAGCTTGACGACAACTCTCACCTCCTCCGCTAAAGAACCCGTACAATATGGCGAACACGACGAGAGCGCCCGTTTTGGTAGCAGCGAGCATGACAAAGACGAGGCCGCCAGAGATCAATGTCATCGGCGTTATCACTGCGCAGTCAAGTCTTTCCATGAAACAGTTTGACACGTTCTGACATGACCAACTTACCGCTCATCGGACCCCACATATCAGACATGATCATAGGAACGATACGCCCAAAGAACCCAGCGGCGTTGAGGATTGCAACCTGAGACTCGTCAAATTGCGATGCTAACAAGAAGCCGAAGCAATACGTACGATGTAACTCTCGACGATGCCAGACTCGTGGTGCTCGCTTGCAAACAGCTGGATATAGAAGACTAGCCCAAGGATGAGTCATCTCCCAGCTCTCGATGTGGTCGACCTACTCGGAACGAACAAGCCCCAACACGCAAAAGTAATCCTACCACACACTGTCATCAATCAATTCCCGTGAGGAGAGACGACGACGTACCCAAACACCGCAAGCCAGAATATAACGTCCTTGAATATCCTCCGACATTGGCTGTATATGGAGCCGTCCCACTGAGCTGGAGGGAGCCTCGTCCGCATAATGCAGTTTGCCGAGACAAGAAGAAACAGGTCGAGGAACGACACGATGCGCACGGCCCACCCAAAGCCGACAGAGACAAACAGGTGGTTGAGCATGATGGGGTACAAGACGGCGCCGACAGAGCTGCCTGTATTATCATGCTTTAGGGACATGTGCTGTTGATACTCTTAGGGTGTGCTTACCAGCTATGATGATGCCCATCGTCAACCCTCGTTTCCGACGGAAGTAGTGAGCTGAGACGGACAGCGATGGAAGGAATAGGATGCCCATTCCAACTCCCATCCCGACACCCTGCGCGAGGAAATTTTGATAGTAGCGGTGTGGCTTCACGAGCGAGAGCACTAAAACCGCGTCAGATGCTCGTCGAAGATACACGCATATATGCACGCACTAAAGGAGGAGAAAAGATAGATGAAGCTCCCGACGACCAGCAGATGTCTGAAGTACCCATGGTCAAATAGCTGTGCAACACTCGTTAGCCTTATTGACGCATGTACGCAGCACCGGCTCACCTTCCCGCTGAAGAGTCCCAACGAGAACAGGAAGAATATCTGAACTGAACTGAAGCGCATATAATCAGCTATAGTCAACCGAGAGCTGTGCATAGAGTCTCACCCTATCCATGAGATATCAGACGTCGGATACTCGCTCAACGACTCCCTCGTATAGTAGTCTTGATACACCCCATACGACTGGATGGCACCTACGTGTAGTCCAGTCAACCAACGCGCATACATGAGCAAAAAAACAACGAGAATATACCGAAAGTACAGAAAACAATCATCCACCTAAGCGAATCCGAAACATTGTCAGTAGGCGCACACACACGAGGGCAGGCTTGGCAGGAAGCAGCGAGGAGGGAGAGAAGCACGCACCCGCCAAGCACCGTCAACCATGCCTGCGCTCCGCCCTCCGGAAACTCCACCGCTGCGATATTCGGACTTGGACTCTGACTCTCCATCTCCTTCCCTTCCGCCGCGCCCGGGTTTGACATCGATGTGTGGTCTGTTTCTGACATCCGACGGCAGCGTCGCGCAGGCTAGCAAATAGACGACACGAGTTGAAGAGAGCAGGCAGAATTTAGGGAGGGGAGGGAGGAAGCGCGCCTGGTCAAATGGACATTGGAAGCTTCAAAACATGGTCTGGCCTGTTCACATACGCCGTGGAGGGAAGGCTGATACTCTAATGGCTGGCGCTCACACGCTCTGCATCATGAGGCTGCGTCTTCGTGCTTCTGGGAGAAGACACGAACAGGGTCGTTGCTGCGTCGTGATGTGCGTGGAGCTGCATCTGAGAATCGACGTTCGAAGTTGGCGAGAGATGAACTACTTGAGCCTGCGCTGAACTTGAACGGTGACGCAGAGGGACCTCAAGGTGTTTGGCGCTAGATACACGCGACCGTCCAGCCCATTTGCTTTGATCTGTACTGTGTTGGACCATTCCAGCATCGCCATTGTGGTGGGAGTCTTCAGGGATATTAGTCCCGCACTGCGCATCATGCATCAAGAACGGACGTCACCTTGTGATGTGATCTAAGTATAAGTAGCTCCGTTAGATCGGGCTGAAAGCCATATCATCGGCATATTTTTGAGAAAGTTTAAGTGCACTTGTTAGCAAAGAAAGGAGGGGACGAGATAAAGTCGACGGTACAGGTGCTGTGAACTCGTTGAAGCTGAAGATCGCGTTGCGTCTGTACGTCCGTACGCGTCCCTAGGGGACGCATCTCCGAAGTCCGATTCTAACTCCGACTTCCACCTGGTCAGAGTTTGTGGCGAAGTAGTACTTGGCCGCAAATCGCGATCTACGCGATGTAAATATGTCGCCATCATTGTCCTGCATGACGATCTCCGCCAGATCACCACCGAGTCCCCAACAACTATCCACCAACACTTCATCCCAGTACCATCCGAGATCTTGTCTACTTTGTTCAGCCTGAAACCGCGTAACTTGGTGCTTCAAGAATATCATCTGAAGCGAATGTGAGTTTTCACGTTTATGCATAGCCGATTCTCGGTATGTCATCCCAGCCTGGTACGGAGTCTCAATGGCCTCTTCACCTTGCACATTCCGGGGGCATAGGTCCAGTGTTCGGAATGGCTAGTCTATATAGACACGTCTCATCCATAGAACTCTGCCTGGGTGTTCGTGCGCCATGCTGTGTCCATGTGAGCCCAAATAATGATAAGGTATGGTGGAGTACTCTAAAAGAAGGTCATTGATATTGAACACACGAAATGCTATTGACATGCGAGAAATACCCACCGACAATGTTCTCATATGCCTTCCTCTTGATGATTCACAGTCCAAGAGTGGAGATGGAAGCTGATACTTACATCCATAAATATGGCACTAATCCTAACGGCGAATATGAATTCCCGGGTAAGGGGCTATATGGCGACCTCAATGGTCAAGGATTTCTGAAAAGTGACGCTGGAGAAAGTTAGCGATTACTCACATCAATCATGCCTCCGCTTATGTTTTAGCTCACATGTGGCCACGGTGATGGCGTGTATGCATTGAGGTGCCACGTTGGGTCATTAATCGGTCCGTGATAGGCCGGCGGAGGCCTCACTTGCGTATAGTTCAACAGAATAGTCGACTCGGAGATCAACCGGCCAAGTTCTATCAACTCCTCCGCCGAGCACCTCTAGGCACCTCTTGCCAAAAGAGTTCACGGCGTGTCAGATTTCGGAGCCTTCCATGCCCACCGGTGTTTTACTGGAACGCCGCAAAGGACTTCCGTTCTTGAACAAACACAATTGTGGCGGCTATTTCCCGTTGTCGCCGGGGTTGACGCGAGGGTTCCCCGAGTTCAACCTCATTCGGCCCACCTTTCGTATGCTGAGCTTGCTAGAGGCATGTTCGTCACGGATTTCTCCAGGTTCCTTGCAGTAGCTGACCTTATGACAGTGTTGAGTCGAATTGCAGGATTCTGAAACGGGGACCAAGACGAGAACTTCGAGCTTAGGCACAGGTGACACCTTAAGGAGCAGTTCTGCGACGTTACACACGACTACCAGTCCGTGAAGGTGTGGTTTTCGGACTTAAGTAACATCTACAGCTTGAATTGCGTTACAACTATAAGAATGATCCCTCCATTTCCATGCACAATCAGAGCATATGGTTGCCTAAACCACTAATAAGACGATGTGCGATATTCAAACATCGCCCATAGACGGTCCTTTAATACTATCGCCAAGCTCAGAGGCAATCTGCTCCCTGCTTCTTCCGGTGAGCTCGATGACGTCTCCGTTGCCCCGCCGCATGGTTGATAAGTTTGCGGAAATTCCACTGCGGAGGCTGTTCCCGCTGGTGAGCTCAGCCGCAGTGTGCACAGACCATGCACGACCCATTGATACCCGAAGAATGATCAGGTGAGGTGTCATGCTCTACGCAGTTATGTAAAATCAGAGAGAGGAGGCATGCTAGTCCTTGAGAGTGCTTACCGATAATGTTCCCCAGATTTGTGAGAAGGCATATACCACAGGGACCTCCAGTCCGTAGGTGACTAGGTATATGATACCGGAGATACTCATCGGTGCTGCTGATTCGATGACGAACGCGATAACGCCTGTGTAGGTTCTCGAGAGATGCGGAGCTATCCTGCCTATCCTGAACTTCGCCATGACCAGTCTCGTGCATACCAAGACGGTGACGATGTTGTTGAATCCGATTGACAGAGTGAACCAAGAAATGCCAATGTTCTTGGTGGCTGCTCCGAAGCGGCTTCCACCTGCATCATATTGTTCGACACCATACGTGATAGCCATTACTATGGGCATGACCGTGAGTTTCCATGAATTCAATAGCATCACAATTAACACTCACTCTCCGTAGCCAGAAGGATAAGTCCAGGCCCAATGACGATCGACCAGCGCGATCCCCATATGATGAAGCAGCGATAAAGCTATCTGTAGTCAGCATCTGGGAGCTCTGTGTATCTTTCAAATGACGTACGGTAAGCACATTTACCATGAAATCCAGGATGATTGTCGTCGCAATGTCCATAATTCCCAACCAATCATTAGTATGTGTCAGGATAAACTGTGCCGGTCCTGAAGCGGATGGATCGTCTACGAACGCCCATTGCCCGATGATAACATTTGTAAGGATAGCGAGTGTCGTCACAATGATCAAGACGAGGCCGTACACAACGTAGATGTACTGCAAACGGCCTCGGCGAGTGTCTGCGAGCATCGTGCTAGCGTAAGTAAGAAACATAGCTATCGAGCAGCCTGAATTCCCATTCACGTGAATTTGATAAGTGACGTCCATGGAACGGATATAGAACATACCATGGAAGAGCATGGTAATCAAAATGCCCCAATAGTAAGAGCGGCCAACGATGACTTCTGTGCTGCTCATGATGTGGCGTGATCCTCAGATTCCCGGTGGTGAAGACGAAAGAACACCGAGTGATATGAATGTGCGGTACTTATACTCAAGATCGACTGTGTTGATGTGCTATATGTGACCTTGCCGGCCTAGGTCTGTCGGTTTGGAGTTGTCCGCTACTGAACTCACCATCCCTCCATGAAACAGCGTGATAAGCCTACAATTAGAAACAGTCCATGCGGCTGATTGTGCCAGATCAAAGTAAGTAGAGTTTCAACCGCTGTCAACGGAGCCTCCTTCAAGCCTACGTACCTGTGAAGTGGCTATTTTCAACATGATGTACACCAGCTCCGAACACAGCCTAGCACTCAGAAAGGATAACGGTGCACCGGAGCATTCCCATTGAGGGTGTGATTTTCGACGTGAGCTGTGCACATGAGAGAGAAGCCGCTATTTGTGAACGTGAATCACACACGCGGGGGCCCCCAAGCAGCGTAGGTTGTATTCTACCTCAGTTGCTTCGCTATTCATGAACTCGACAAGCCTCAAGGGCTGGAATGATCAGATTCTGGATTGTTAGTGATCGTGACCCCTGAATTGAATATATAATCGTGCCTAAGTCACAATCAACGACACAAAGATACCGCCGCACTCTGTATAAGCTCAGAATGTCTCTTGACACAAGCTCGTCCATAGTCGTTCCGCAGGAACGTGTGTATCATTCTATCCCAGGCGCTTCATATTGTCTCCCTGCCGATGAGGAGGAGGCACTCAGGTTCGTCAATCGTCGTCAATCGTTGCCACTCCCACTTTGAGCAACTCTCTTAGGTTAGCAAGGCAGTACTTGCTTCTCAAGAAGTTCTTTGGTGGCGACATCTCGTTTGCTCCAGCGAGCCTATCTGATGGCGACGAGGTCCTCGACAGTGGTTGTGGATCAGGTAACGTTCTGACACCACATATTGCTGGATCTATATATTAACGCTCATGGTGGCGGCCGTGGCAGGACTATGGCTCGTCGATTTCGCCCATAGCTTTGGGAACAAGGTCACGTTCACGGGCATCGACATTTCTTCGAAGCTGTTTCCCGCTGGAAAGATCCCCGATAACATCCACTTCGAACAGGCTTCCGTTCTCAGCTTGCCCGAGCACTGGGCAGCAAGGTATTCCCTCCTAAACCAGCGGTTCCTCCTTGCTGCGCTGAAGGTAGAAGAATGGCGCACCGCCATCGCGGAGATGTATCGCGTTCTCAAACCAGGAGGGTGGGTTCAGCTCATGGAGTCTTCCTTCGGCATCCGTTCCGACAAGAAATGCTATCGTATCATCAACAAGCTCTTCAACTCTTTGGGGCTTTTGGTGGAGAACCGCTGGGAAAGGTTACAGGAGATGCTCAAGGAAGTAGGGTTTGTTGACGTTCATGTGCGGGAGAATGTTATCAGGCTGGAGGAGTGGTCCGAAGAGGAGAAGGAGTATGGTCGCGGTGTTTACCTTGCTTCGTTCAAGGCCGTGAAGGATGGAGTCGTACGGCAAGGTGGTCTCGGAGAAATAAGCTCACCCAGCGATTTCGATGAGTTGTTTCAGCAAACGCAGCAGGATGAAACAGTCGGAGCTGTTGGTGGAATAGATACGCGTACTGCAGTGATATTTGCCAGAAAGCCTGTAAACTAAGTACCTGTAGTGAGTCACCAATTGAACTCTTGGGCAGTAATTGACGCAAGTACTCATAGTGTGCATCCGATTAGCAGGTGATAAACACCCTCCACTCGATGCTATTGGGCTCAAGTATACATAAGTCGCTTGCGGGACCTCCAACGATTTGGAAAATTCCTATTACCTGATAAACGCTCTCAGCCTTTCCACATCCTGAACAGCGGCAACAGCAGAAGGCCACGCGAAGCGTAATACATGTGGGCACATCACGGAGCTCGAGCGATGGTAGCAAACTTGAACAAAAATATCTGATGCGTGGCACATCGCTCACAAGCGAAGAAAAAAGTATACGAGTTTTTCTCGAGTCCGCCAACTGTGGAGAGCGCGTAGGCTAGGTGTGACCTCAACTCCAACTTCCTCGGCTTTGGAATGCCTTGGGACATGCTCTCTGGTTTAAAGTATGCCTTTGGAATTCTATCGTTATAACAGAACCTCGACATGATCGGTGTACTGATCCTTCGAGCCGAAGATATTTCTATTTCTGGCAAGTCCTAAATCAACAATGAATTAATGACGCCACAAAGACTTGCAAGGGCAAAGCCATACCCTCGGATAGCGGAAGGCCGGCGGTCCGCCGGCGTACTGGCGGACGAGATGCGCCAGCAAATCGCCGTAGTGGTGCATTCTCACGATCAAGTCCCCTGATTAGGCTTCTGTATAAGAAGCCAAATCGGCGACCGCTTCGCTTCGAAAACATTGGACTACTGAGGACAACGTTGGTAGATACATCTCAGTTGAGCAAGTTGAGCGCTTGAGCGAAGTGACTCAGGGGCCTCGAGACTCTGAACGCCCCCACAACGCCACCCACATTTCTGTGATTCTGGCTAGGTATCCTCCATAGTGCACACCCAGGAGTGGTATTTTCTTATAATAAGTTTGGTTCCTGTTCCAAAGATTCACAGCATCAAAACATATGCCCGATAATCAAACCGCAGCAAGGTTGATGCGGGTCGATTCTCCGCAAGTTAAATGCAAGTTCAGGGCGTAGATCATATCATGATTTCCCACTAAATGCTTCCCATAGATGGTTCAATAGCGGTCCTCCCATGAATGATTTGATAAATAGGCACCTAATCAAGCGATGAAACATACGGGAAAGACGGAAGAGGAACGTGGTGTCAGCCAAAAGTATTATATTTGATTCCAATGCTGCCGCTTTTGAAACAATGAAGTGATCGTGGATATTACTTGAGTAGAGCCGGCCACTCGCTGTTCAACAACCACTGCCGACTTCTCAAATCCATGGTGCGTCATGGTATGTGATCATCCTAGCTCCTCCCAAATTATGAGTAGATTGTTGACTGATGGGATCACGGATAGCAGAACGCCCAACCACAGCGCGCCCAAGGATAAACTAATGGTCACAGACGCAGACACTAGAGCAGACATTGTCACGGCATCTTCTACGTATGCAAATTGACAATTTTCGCTCGTAGAAGACGCGTCTGACATAAGAGTCGGACCAGTCATGTGCTCCAAATATCAGCAAACCCATAAATTCTGAACATAGGCTTGACGGTATGGACCTATCGAACTCACAATAGCCAGATACAACCCGCCTGAAGCCGACTGCAGCTTAAATAGCCACGATATAACTTGAACTTCCTGATATCCATCCACTCAGCATTTTGTAACGTTAGTATCATATCTATAAAGTACCCCTCAGACCTTTGTGAAATAAACCTGACTCGCGTTTCTGCGTCCATGCCCACTATCAGGCTGTAACGGGTGAGTCCACCCGTCTATCCGATCCTCAGGCCAAACTGACAAGAACGACGTCTATTATCTAGTACGCGTATGTCGAGTATGGTAGAGGTGCGGATAAGAAAGGTAAACTACGGTAATTGAAGCCCGTCGCGTCGGTTACACCAATGTTAGCCGAATTCCCACATTACCCAGGCGCCCTGGCCATCGATCAGAGCTGTAGATAGTTTACTGCCAACGGAGGCTTACTCACGAGAACAGGAGATGACGACCGTGTATTGACCGTGTATTCCCGGCGTTCACGATTCTCATCATCAGCAAGGTCTTGCATCTACTCTACAACAAATTGCACGAAGATCACAACATGTAACCTCCGATTGTGGTGTTCTTGTCAGGATCAGGTTTAGCGTGTAATGTAGAGTCATAATTAACTCCCAGCTATTTGCAACTCTACATCACAGGTGATCACGGAGTCCACTGTTTCCGTTTGTAATTTGCACCAATGTCTTTGCATCTGCGACCGATATACTTGTCCTGTAAAGATGACGGCACACTGTCACAGTATTCATTCAGTTCCAAACGCCGGACGCTTGATCAATTGAACCGTAGTGCAGCTTACCTCATAAATACACGTGGTGTGCACTGGATTTGCAGCGCTTGGATGATCTGATACATTCCTCGTCGGAGTTCCAGCCGTTTTGTATGGTATTATGGATCATTGGCAAATGGGAGTTTCTTGTGAGAGAAGAGGGTCGGATTTAACAAAGACGGTAGTGCGCCGTAGTACGCTTTATTTACATAAATTGCGATGCCATTGAGAATTTCTAGCAAAAACGTACGGTATAACTTTCAACGATGTCAGACTCGTGGTTCTCGTTTGCGAATAACTTGATATAGAAGACTAGCCCAAGGATGAGTCATTTCCCGGCGATCGATGCGGTTTACCTACTCGGAACGAACAAACCCCAACACGCAAACGTGATCCTGCGCCACGCCGTTACGAATCAAGTCCCGTGAAGAGAGATTGCGACGTACCCAAACACTGCAAGCCAGAATATAACATCCCTGAATATCCTCCGATACTGGCTGTATATCGGCCCGTACCACTGAGCCGGGGGTAGCCTCGTCCGCATGATGCTGTTCGTCGAGACGAGAAGAAACGGGTCGAAGAACGAACCGATACGCACGGCCCACCCGATGTGGTGTGGTCACCAGCGATGATAATGCTCATAGTCAACCCTCGTTTCCGCGGGAAGTAGTGAGCTGAAACGGATAGCTATGAAAGAAACAGGATGCCCATTCCGACCCCTATCCCGACACCTTGTGCGAGGAAGTTTTGGTAGTAACGGTGCGGCTTCACAAGCGACAGCACTAGAACCGCCTCAGATGCTCGTCGAAGATACACGCATATATGCTACGCACTGAAGGAGGAGAAAATATATATGAAGCTCCCGACGACGAGTAAATGTCTGAAGTACCCGTGGTCGAATAGCTGCGCAGCAATCCTTAGCTTCTTCGATCAACGCATGTATGCATCAAGGGTTCACCTTCCCGCTGAAGAGCCCCAACGAGAACAGGAAGAATATCTGAACTGAACTGGAGCGCATATAATCAGCTAAAGTTGCCCAAGAGCTGCGCACAGAGCCTCACACTATCCATGAGATATCAGACGTTGGATACTCGCTCAACGACTCCCTCGTATAGTAGTCTTGATACACCCCATACGATTGGATGGCACCTACGCGCGCACTCCAGTCAATCAACGCGCATACATGAGTAAAAAAACAACGAGAATATACCGAAGGTACAGAAAACAATCGTCCATCTAAACGGATCCAAGGTCAGTAGGCGCGCATACACGAGGGCAGGCTTGGCAGGAAGCAGCAAGGAGGGAGAAGCACGCACCCGGCAAGCACCGTCGACCAGGCCTGCGTCCCGCCCTCCGGAAACTCCATCACTTTCCCTTCCGCCGCACCCGGGCTTGAAGCGTGGTCTTTTTCTGACATCCGGCGGCAGCGTCGCGCAAGCTAGCAGGTGGACGACACGAGAAAAGAGTAGGGGACGTTGGAAGCTTCAAAACATGGTCTGGCCCGTTCTCATGCGCCGTGGAGAGAAGGCTGATACTCTAATGACTGGCGCTCACACGCTCTGCATCACGAGTCTGCGTCTTCGGGCTTCTAGGAGAAGACATGAATAAGGTCGTTGCTGCGTCGTGATGAGCGTGGTGCTGCATCTGATAATCGGCGTCCCAGGTTGGCAAGATATGAACCACTTGGGCCTGCGCTGAACGTTGGACTGTGAAGCAGAGGGGCTTCAAGGTGTTTGACGCTAGATACACGCAATCTCCCAGCCCGTTCGCTCCAACATGTGCTGTGTTGGACCATTCCAGCATCGCCGTTGTGGTGGGAGCTTCAGGGATATTAGTCCCGCACGCATCAAGCATCAAGAACGGGCGTCACCTTGTGATGTGATCTAAGTATCAGTACCTCCGTTAGATCGATTTGGGTGCATTGTCTTCGGCGTAGGTCGGTGTATCCGTGAAAGAGTCTAGGTGCACTTGTTGTTAGCAGAGCCCTAACGTTACAGCTGCCAAGAACTTGTCTGAATGTTGAAGTCATCGCAAACGCGCCAGTAGCGCGTCGAGGCGGTGCCATCCCGAAGTCCGATGCTAATTCCAACTCCGATCCCGATGCGCGATACGGTTTATTGACGGTTTATCTCGCGCAAGTCCCCCCATATGTCGAGCCTTCCTTCGTGTACCATGCCACTCTTAGCCAATACTTCAAAGATGATGGTCGTTCGCTGTTTCCTCACATATAACATGTGGCTCAAGTATGTAAGGTCCTTTGCAACTCCGCTCGGAGCGCTACTGACTTGTACCTTAAAGAGTACTTAACTCTGTTCGGACATGACGGAACTGATTTATCAAAGTGCATTTCATTCACATTCCTACAGCATTGCGTGGGAGATACAAGCATTATGCCTGAGTACCATATGACCTCTCTTTCTACTGCTCAGGCGACAGTCATGCAAGGCGCCTTGAGACTGTTCTCGAATACAGGAGCAACTTGCTCCCTTCTTCGGTCAGCTGATAATTGATATGTCAACTTGGTCCTGCGCGGAAGCTCGATGACGTCTTCATCGTCCAGATTTCGTGCAGTGGGCCTAGGGTTTGCGATGAACACGCTGTGCACACTTTGTTCGGATACATCCGCAGCGGTTTGGGAGGACCACGCAGTGCCCATGGCGACTCGAAGGATGATAAGGTGTGGCGACATAGTCTGATAAATAATTGCCGGATTAAGCAAAAGGTTTGTGACTTGCTGTAGTACTCACAGAGAATCCCGCCCAGATGTTTGAAAACACGTCCAACATTGAATTCTCCAGCCCATAAAGGACCAAGAAAACAATGCCGGAAATACTCGTCATCGCAGCAGATTCAGTGATGATAGCAACCAATCCAGTGTACATTTTAGAAAGCGTTGGAGAGACCTTATCCATTTCTCCCTTTGCCATAAAGAGTTTGGTGCAGATCATTACGGTGACGACGTTGTTGAACACGATGCTGAGTGTGAACCAAACGAGCCCCAGTTTCTCTGCCAGTGCTGTATTGCTGAAAAACCCTCTCTGGTTACTGGAAGATCTTGTAGCAAGAAATGGCAGCCATCACTACAACGTATGTCAGGTTGGGCATGCGGTTGTACGTGTATATTCTTACCTTCCACGGCCAACAGTAGTACTGCCGGCAAGGCAATAACAGGGACTCGTGAGCTCCATATGATGTAGCAACAATAAAGCTGCCGATAGTAACAATGGGTGTTTGCATCCTTTAATCAATATGAAAGGACATACAGTGAGTACGTTGACCATGAAGTCCGAGATAATCATCATGGCCATGTCCAGGATACCTAAATACCCGCTGTAGTGCTCCAAAAGGTAAAGAGCTGGTCCGAAGGCGGAAGCATCGTCGACAAATGCAAACTGTCCAACGACAGTAGTCGTCATGGCACCGATCATAGTCACGATAAGCAAAAGGAACCCATAGAGGACGTAAAGATATCTGTTCTGTCCTCGGCGTTTGTCACAGCATAGTACTGGCATAAATAAAGAACATTGTAACTGATGCACCTGGGATGACATCATAAATAAGCTTTTCGATGTTATCCGACAATTGTGTAAACATTTACCATAGAATGCCATGCTCAGAAGAACACCATAATAATACGATCGCCCGAAGATGATTATCTCGCTGGCCATTTTGTTATGCGTCCAAATGATCGGGAGTAGGCAAGTGTAGGTAGAGGCGAATACCCGTCCAGAGGGCTTTACTTATACTGTGTCGGTCACCCACCCAGTTCCGTTGACATCCAGGGTAGCACATCCACAGTGGATCATCTTGATGTAAGGGTCATCACTGCAACTTATCCAAAACGTGATGATCAACGGGATGCACAATAGCGCTCAAAGTCTGTTGCAGGCCGCAGGCTGCGGTGTATTGTCAATTGGATAGTGGTTTCTGATTGCTTTAAAGCAACTATTCCTGAGTGCCCATGGTGGATGTCATAACCCCGTGTTTTGGTACTGTTCGCCGTGTCACAATAATGTGTTAACACAGAGCATTCGCCGCGGAAAACTCCGGAACTTGCCCGCCAAACGGAACACTACAGGCAAATGCGATAATTCTGGATCCGAAAATAAGGAGGAAAATGCACTGGAAAGTAAATATTTTCCTCCATATTTCTCTTTGACCAATAGAGGCCGAAAAAGTTTCATGTTCCGGTGAATTTTCAGGCAACAAAAACAAGCTTTCCTTCCATTTATGGATGTTAAGCACTGGCGGAGATTCAATTTCTGCTACGACTTGCCTTATTGGGCATCTTGGCGCACCAGAAAATGATAACTTTCCGCGTGCTTATCCCTTGCCCGAAAATCTGTAGGAAGATGTTTACTTTCCAGGTCATTTTCCTGCTTATTCTCGGGCACAGAATTAGTGTATTTGCCTGTAGTGGAACCTTGCTTCAGGACGCGGCTCATAAAGCTTATTAATGCTGTGCAATCCACACATCGGTTTCATGTTCAACACCATAGCAATACTGATGTGATTTTATGACTTACATTCATTGATACACCATCCCTTCAATCTGGCTATGCCAAAGCTGTCGAATCTATTCAAGGATCATAGAAGCTGGGATAGTGACAGATAAGCGCTTGGCTTTCTTTTAACATCAGAGCATCATAGAATCACTATCATGATATGAGACCATCACAATCATGATTTATCGTTACAGAAGATGAAACCCATGCAAAGGATCTGTTGGCTTGTTCGTCAAAGAGCTGATATGATGTGGTAACAAAAGGAGTGCAGTGTTGGCCAATGTGACTGAAGCAGAGCTGAAGGAAGATATGAGAGTTGCGGAGGTAGCAAGGGAAGCTGTTAATATTTTATAGGCTTATTAATTGTATCCATTACATGGCAATATCCTTGTTTCTGTGGGTCAGGCCTTATGCAGAGTTGGACTGTCCGATCGCTGTTTTCATCTTACAGTGTGCTAACCGAGGGTCACCTTTTTAAGATGCATCAGAAGGTGGACTTCAGCACAAAACTCTGGTTTGATCTAGTTATGACGTCGGACCATATTTAACAGCGACCTAGGTTGGATTCAGTCAGGATAACTAGTAAGAGGTAATGCTATGCAAGGTCCTCTACAGCAGACACAGTATGAGGTCTATCAAATTAGGACATACAGCTAAAGCCTGGACTCAGAGTTTAAACACTGCAGCAATGCATGCTAACATAAACTAGTGTTCAAATGGTGTGAATCTGTATTTACAACCTAGAATGATGGAAAGTCCCGCACACTAGCCCCGGGGCAAATTCCAGCATTTCAACCTCTGTAACTCCTGATGCGCCTCCCTCTTGCTGGTTCACATTGTATTCTCGGATGCTCAGCATCATCAGAGGTCCAAGGACGGAAAGCTGAAAGCTGGTACCTAAATTAACAAATATGGTACTGAACCCGACAGTGAACTCGAGCGCGCTGAGAGGCTGCATGTCGACCTTTTGTCAAAGAAGCCCTGAAGATGAAGCAAGAGATCAGAAAGTGCGTACCACTTTATCCGTAAGAAGAGAAATAGCGCTCAGTGACAAGCTCAAGAAAGCCCTATCGTGGAATTAGCCTGAGTTTCTTGAGTATTGTTTTGCTAACGCTTACAGTAGAAAATAGAGTACATTGTCCCTGATCACTAGTCCTTTCAATGTTTCTGCTATTGTTGCTAGGCTTTGGTTCCGTAGCTGAAGATGTCTGACAAGGCAGAGGAGCGACATCAAAAACAACACAAACTCGTATAGCGCCTGAGAAGCAAACGCAGCAGCCTGATACCACGCCTTCTGGTATGGTACCATGTATCCGCACCATGTCCCTTCAGAAAGGGCGGCATTTACGAGAACTGAGAAGTGTACTTCGTTAGGTCGTTATGTATGGCTAGTACTGGAATTTTCACCTGAATAACTGAGAGGGAGAAGTGCCATACAGTTTAATACTATGTTGGTGACTTGAACAATCGCGAAGAAAGACCCTAAACATACAACATATCAGTACTATTGTCGATCTTTTGTAGAGGGCATGTATGCGGAGTCCCATCATTGCTGAGATGTGGGATTCATTAGCTACGTCTTTCAAGAACATGGTCGGAGCTGTTACCATTCAGCACAAAGAAAAGGACAGGATTGAGGATTAGGTATACCATAACAGTAAGCATTGAGCCTGAGATGAATCAGTTTATAAAATAGACAGAGCTGTATGTGACTTACAACTAGAGCAAAGTAAAGGAATTATTTACGTCAGAAATAAAGAAGCTTACACCTGATAACAACCAGTCATTATAACCCCTCATAAAGGTCTATATTATACTAACTTTGAAAGCATTATAACTCTCAGGAATACCTGAGGCAAAGCCCTTGTCTAGTTCTCTTCATTTGATCTACGAAACGGCTTAACTCGCCTGAGCTTTCATTGGTGATAAGTACCAACATCACATTTCATATTGAAAGAGTTACAATCACTTACACGCTCAAACATACACCGCCGTACCGAAGCTTTGTGAAGACATGCGACGCATTTTAAGCAGTAGCACGCCCAAGATTAAACATTAACTCACTACAGCATAAAGCACCTTAGATATCTTTGGGCATCTTCTCGTCTGTTGTGAATGGTAAGGTGGTTAATTTGGTGCTGATCATGCCAAAGCTCACCCAAATCAAGTCAACCTGCATTCCGAGGACGATTATTGGGTTAGTATGTAGCAAACCAGAGAGTAGTGCATACCTCTCGGTCAAGGTTGATGCATGATGACTAGTCGTGTGAAATTCAGAAGTGCGGAGCGATCCTACGATGTATCAAACGTACCCCAATCATATACCGTGAAACAAGTTCTCATAACCAGTATAAACAAACGAGACGTGAGCTTGGCGTGACATGCATAGATTGATAAGAAGCATACCGGCCATATAATCTTGCACCTGATAAACATAGTATTGTTCAACCTGGACAGAGAGTGACATTGGAGATTCTCGGAAGGTATGCTACCACGTAACGTCAGCCATTTCCCCCAACAGTTTATGTATACTCCACCAAAGCGCTTGCTGTATAGCGCGACAGGTACTACATCAATAGTTGGAGCGTCCAATTCACATTAACGCCGAAGCAGTGGCATTATCCTGGACCCGCAGCGTCCAGCGCACCAGGAACGCCGGAAAACTCAGGTCCAATACGCACCAATGACACGTTTTGGACTATTAAGAGACAGCGTGAAGAGGAGCTGGGAAGGCTATGAAGTAAAATGGGCGGTGTCCAAAGACCGGTCTATCAAAGGCAGGTGGTCACTTCGTTACCCCCGAGCAAGATGTGTGCTTCATTAGCATGACGGGAACTTTGATTGGAGTGGGAATGCCGCCACATGGCTGGCCACTCGGTCCAAACGAGCCGGTCCGCAGTCGCAGTTCTTGCCAAGCAAAGCTTTGGGCGGAGGCTCGGTGGAGGCGCACTCCCCTTCTCCTCGTCAGCGCGGTTTGCTACGGATATGCCACGGACGTGAACTTTGGTAAACACTCAAAACATAGTTTCTACGAACTAAAACCAAGCTGATTTCCCTGCGACATCCAAATGCAAGTTACTGTAATATTGCTCTTTTCAAAATCGCGGTTCATTGTCCTCTAGGGTACGGCCCTATGGTAGACTAAGGTCCTGATCTTGTGCATTCAGAGAGGACTTTGCTAGCTAGGGTTTGGTATTGGTGCACGCGTTCGTACAATGATATTATATGGCCTTTTACTAACATGGTATGGATACGAAGAAACGGTACTTTACATGTAATCTCGTTGTATTCGATGTAGCTAGCTCGTGAGCTCCTCCGTGGGTTTATGTAACTTAAGTCCGAGACATTCCTGGGCTGGTCCACATCCGACCAAATCTATTGTCAACGAAGAATTTTGAGTCGACGCTAAGCTAAAACCTACTTGATGGCGAAGACATGTTTAAGCTGATACACTATGGCGTTTCGTCGGCGAGAGCTCTAGACCTTCCTCGGAGGTGGAGGTATGATCTATGCCTCGTTCCTTCAGATAACCAGAGCCTGCGTCCGTATGGGTCATCTTTGACACATTGATGGCAAGAGGAGGAGCGTTATTCGCCTGCTGATTCGATGAAGGGATGAGAACCTGTCTCCGTGTTGTCGTATGGTAGGTTGTCATAGTTGACATCCCGAGGCCGATTCTGACAATGATCAAAGAGAACACAATCCCCTAGCACCATTTCAGTGTGATAAAAACGCTGAAAGGTGATGGAAACGCACCACTACCGGCATTAGCTGTGGATGTAAAGATGAGTTGAATGAGCCCTCATACTGTCTAACGGTGGTGTAGGTGCACTCACCGAGTCCTGGAAAACATACGCGTAGAAGCTGTTTAAGCCGAAGCATGCGAGAAGGCCTATCGTTCCAGCCGAGTAAATGGCACCAGACTCAATGATGATGACAGCGGCCGACATAGTATTCCGGCCTTGAACGGTCATTTCCCGAAACTGCCTTTCATTCCAGATTATCCGCCCGGCGATTAGCGCTAAAATTATCGGGTTAGCACGGTTACGCGGAAGGAAACACCAGAAGGCATACCTGTCCCGCTGAAGTTGACTCCCAATGTCATACTGAAAGTCGCAAACGCCCAATTCCTGATCTCAAACACGTCCCCGTGGTTTGTCCCGGACGCATGAAGAGCGCCGAGACTTGTTGCTAAATGGAATTGATAAGGATGGTATACGGAGTAGATGTTGACAGACAACTGACCCATGCTCCCCACGAGGGCAATGCATATCGGTATTACGATGCGTTTGTCCCCGTTCCAAACCTTGTACACTCGATACACCTGAGATCTCCGACTCAGTAAGCAATCGCTGGTGGAGAAGCTTTACGGCACACCATGAAACCGTCGCCAACCCAAACAGTCTGTACCATATATGCGGTGGTCTTTATCATGTATGCAACAGCGGTTGTCGCGTTGAGGACATCTAACTGTTCCTCAGTCGTTGAAACTTGGATGAACGCGTTGATGACCCTAGCAAAATCTGCCGCGAGATGCTGAGAACGTCAGCCCCGCAGAGTAATGAAACATATCTCTGTGATGTGCTCACAGTTGATGCTATTATGAACATGACCCAACCTGCCGCAGCTATGGGACGGCTAACACCACTATCCGATCGTTTACGGCGGCGTTCCAAAACATAACTAGAAGCAATAAGCAGGACGATAAATATGCCTGCGTTATGCGATGCTCAGCCACTCGTCTCAAGTAGACGACATGCACTCGTACCGTAAAGGATGCTTTGCGTCAAAAGCGACACGAGCGTCGCTATTTGCAGTGACTTGCCCATAGCGGCGAGAAGGATAGACTATACTGACAACCGGGAAATCACGAATGTACCCACATTTGATTTATACCTCATCCTTGCGAGGAGGCACAGCACTAGCACTAGCACGAAACGATCAACGGCCCCGACAACGGATCCCATTCTTGCATGCTTTTCCCCAATACCGCACCATCCCCCCTGAGAAACCATTTATCCCGCATACATGCTCGATAGACGTTGCTACAAGCGTGCGTGGGATTTGATGCCACGGTGGTGATAACCTAGACTGGCCAGATCATGAGCGCATATCCAATAGCTTGTGAATGGATCGCTGTGATAAATCATAACTTACTTTGAGTGAGCAGCGGACTTCCTTCTCCGGTGATCGTGAAACGAGATAAAACCGCGGGGCGAGCTAAACAGAGTGTCGTCATGCTTCAGTACTAAACGCAATGCTTATGACGGCGTTGATTATCTCACAGGCTCTAAATTGGTCCTATGTTGCCACAATGCCTACGCTGAGTTGTGCGAACTGAGGGCGTACCGTGGTCTTAGTGATCGGCCTTGTATGCGCACGAGACCGAGGTTTATAAATATCAAGCCAGGGGAGCGCCAGCTACCTCACTGAACATCAAATAGAGGTGTCCACATGCGAAACGAAATTCGAAGTTCATGTCCGTACCTGCATACCAGTCGTACTCGCTATCTTAATCAGAATCCGCTTAAGTTCCGATACTATCGATGCCCCCCCTGTGAAACAATGTACCCCCTGTGAAACATCGCAGTTATTCGAGCATATCTCGTCCATCCCCCAATCAATGCTCACGATTATTTTTCTATACACTGTTCACACCCTAGTCTATAGCATAGTCGAAGCTCAGCAGTAGAAGATTAGAGCTGGGTGTTGTACAGCTCGACAAACCGTTCTAAGTTGCATTGCTCAAAACTCATTCGCTCCAGCACCTGTTCAAATATGCCTCGCTTACTTTGGGCCTTTGGTGTCTGTTAGAAACATATGCCTATTAATCACAGTACGAATTGTGCACATTGATGTTTAGTTGCCCGCGTTTCAGCAGCGTTGGGATTTTGAGCTTGGAAGACAGGGGCTCAATCGTGACAAAAGCGTGATGGAGTAGCACAGCGGCACGCGTCGGCATGAAGTTATTCAGCTATCAAAACGTCGTGACCAGTGTGACATAGCCGTTATGGTCACAGGTTTCCACAGTGAGGGTAGAGTCACAGTATCGGCATCCCGCTGGCATCTCTTCCAGGCTTCGAGAAAGTATGCAGAAAAATTGAAAGCTACTGAATACGCTGAATTACATGAATAGTAAGTTTACAGAGGTTATTGGCTAGATAAAAGGTAAAGGGAAAAAACACAAGACGGAGGTGTTTCACAGGGGGTACATTGTTTCACAGGGGGGGCATCGATAGTATCAGCATCTGGGTACGGCATTTCAGGTGCAACAATAGCGCAGTGAGCATGAGAATTCCACCTCCGGTTATGGTAATCTTCAACTTCCGCGTCAGAACTATGATGCTTCGAAAGAGAGAAGCAAAAGCTCACCGCGCTGAAGAGGAGAAGTTTGATCCATTCGTAGTGTGGGGGGTTAAGCAGCGCGCCGGCTGTTGGGTTTCCTGTCCGTAGGCCAAAGCTCTTGATAAAGGTCATAATTCCAAGTCAAGTTCTTCGAAGTTTCATGAGTAGCAATAACACCTGCTAGCCACATATGGCATACCCAACTTCGCCCGGCGTAGCAACAAAAGATGCATACGCTGGCGCTGATAGTGAACCAACTATCGGAAGTGAATCAGCAACACTCGGCACGTACACTGCGATAGTAAGAATATCTGCGCTACTGAAGAAGCCATGAAGTACCGCAAAAACCACGAGGATGCCAGTGTCCGTAGCAGCCAGCATGACAAAGACAAGGTACCCAGACACAAATGTTATGGGGATCAACACTGCAGTCTGTTGTCAGATTGTCCCGTGTTCCATACAAAACTTGTTTAATCGTCCTTGCCATTCATAGCACCCCACATGTCCGAGAGTATCAGCGGAAGGATGCGTCCAATAAATCCGACCGAGTGAATATCGCGATCTTCGGTAGGGCAAGCCGACAGCGCGAATACTGGTAACAAAGCAAGACGACTCACAATGTATGTTACAATTATCCCGGACTCGTTATGTAGAGTTGCAAATAACTGGATGCAGAAAACTTGAAAGAGAACACTGAGGTTGGTTACCAATGTCATTCGAGATAAAGCTGACGCACCTGGTATGTACAGGCCCCAACATGTGATCGTGATTCTGGGTGTCAATCAGAGATGGAGACCTATATAGGTGTACGTGAGTCAAAGGTTGCAATACAGAACGTAAGGTCTCCAATTATCTTCTTCAGTTGGGAGTACGCAGACCCGTCTGGACGAGTTGGCGGCAGTCGAGTACGCATCAGCAAACCAGCCGATACGAGAAGACCCATGCCGAGAAAAGACACTATACGCACGGCCCATGCGAAGCCGACTGTAGCGAATAGGTGATTGAGCATGATGGGATATACGACGGCGCCAACAGAGCTTCCTAAGTAACACTAATTTCAAGCATTTTGACTCGAATGATTCAAATCATAGACTCACCAGACATGATGATTCCCATTGTCAACCCTCGCCTTCTACGAAAATAATGCGACGGAACAGAAAGGGAGGGTAAAAAGCGCATCCCCATCCCGATGCCCATTCCAACGCCTTGGGCGAGGAAGTTTTCGTAGTAGTTGCGCGTTCTGGTGAGTGAGAACACTGATTTAGCGTGATATATGCGCTGGATTTTGAGAGATACGAGGGAAATGCGCACTGAAAGAGGAGAATAACCATACAATGTTTCCGGCTACGAGAAGATGTCTGAAGTAGCCTTGATCATACAGCTGAGAGCCGCGTTAGATCAAGGTCACGGGGCCAACGATATGCACATACCTTTACGCTGATAATGCCTGATGCATATAGCAAGAAAATCTGAATGGAGCTGGTGGCGTCCCAAGTGTAAGCGTGGCCTTGATATCGACGTCTGAACATCGTTCGAAACGCTCACCCTATCCATGCAATGTCGGAAGTCGGGTGCTAGTTCAACGAGACCGTGGTGTAGTAGTCGTGATACACTCCGTAACGACTGAATCGCCCCTGTGCGGGATCTAGTGCGAGGTTTGGGCTCACCAAAGGCCGCGTTGACCAATTTGAAAGGTACAGAACACGACCACCTGCAGAAAATGAGATTCAAGCGGAGCGTGATCGTGGGAAATGCAGATACGCGCACCCGCCGAGCACTGTCAACCAAGCTTGCCGTCCTCCCTCAGGCAAATCCGCCGGTGCTTTCTCTATCACCAACCTTTTAGCGTCGGAAGGGTAGCAATCGACCTCCTTGGAACACAATACGCCGTGCAGGTCTTCGGGGGATAGAAAGACGGATAGAAGTTCCCTGCGATATGGTCGGCTTTAAGGAAGGTCTGTGCGCCGAGGGCGACACCCCACTTGATCACGCCGAGGCTCACGAAACTGACTACAACTTCTGGGGCTGAAAAGACCCACCTAAGAGCGAAGGGTTGATTGCTTTATTTACAATGCTATACGAAGCTCGCAGCTCACAAGAAGACATTTTGTTATTCACAGGGATGGGCGCTATTACCAATACAGATGACGACACAACTAGTATGTTGGCACTCAATTTCACTAGTAGATAGCAACTCTCGTGTACGTACAATCGCGTTAGATTGAAGTTATAGGCGTGTAACTAGTAGCCCTCCGCGCTCATCAACAGCTCTTTCTGCCCATCCAACGCTGCCTGATTGAGCTCTGCAGGCGGATGTTGGATCATGTAGTCTCTAACCACAGTCCAGTCTTTGCACCGGTGTACCATACCGGAGCCACCGTCTGTGGTATGCCTCCACATTCCATCGCTGAACCTAGGGCGTCCTACCTCCAAGGTCACGTCTGAGTTACAGAGGATGATCTGCCTGAGGTACCGCAAGCAGTGCTCAACGTGATGCATCGAGCCCGTTCTGTTCGCCACCATCCCGACGCGAATCACGTCGAGGCAGTGGAACTGGTGGATCATCGACATCATGAAGGTTCGGTTTTCGGGACCGAGGGTCAAGAAGCCGTCGTTGGGGAACATTGCAGACCACTCCTCGTCGTTGTGCAGGTCATAGTGATCTTCTCCGTCGGCCATCTCAAGCGCGACAGCGGGCAACTGGATGGGAAGCTGATCCGGGTAGTCATCTCCCTGCCAAGCTACAGCACGCTTATCCGTCGGCAGAGCGGAGGTGAATAGGATGTGAAGCTTACTGTAGGTCTTATGAGCGGGGACCATTTCGTCTAACACGTGCACGGTTTGGACGGTATACACGACATGTAAAGTGGTCGCTGCAAGATAGATGAAGAGATAGAAGATATGCGCCTTGTTGGACGTTGACTCCTCCATGGTGCGAGAATGTGTTTGACAGATGAAGTCAGTGGGTACAGTATGCTCGCACGACCGGGAAGCAAACAAGGGTGTCGCAAAAACGCTTCGGTTGGCCTGAGGTTTTATCACCACCTTGGTACCATGATCATTACCTGAGCATTATCTTCTCTGACTGTGAAGAATCAGTGCCGCGCTCGCGTCCCACGATGGGCGTCATGTGTAAAAGAGCCTCATTGCTCCCGAAACTTCCTGATCCCTCTTCACGCCACAAGGTGATAACGTTCACACACAGAATCCCACGCCATTTGTTAAACAGCCCCGAGGGAACGGTAATTACTGAACCACAATTTGGAGATCAAACGCTATCATAGAACGCAGAAAGATAGACTCGCGCAATACCTCGTTCTTCTATCCTTAAGAATACTCTGTTCCTGGGCATTGTTTCTCCGCTATATAGGTTGAATATCCTGCGGCTCGATAGAGGTCACCATAACCTTCATTGCACTGCTCATGTGAGTATAGACCTACACGTAGTCATATGGCGTTAACGGACGTCTCTTTCAGCCTCAGACCTCCAAATGCACAGCGAAAGTGAATACGCCCCCCTTCGCCAAAACGAGGACAAGGACTACCGTGATGATGAAGCGACCTTTGATATTACTCAGGTTTCCAAGCGCTCCCGTAGCTCCGCGCTCGCAACTAAAGTAAAGGTTGGAGTGCTCATTCTGTTGCTTGCGGTAAACGTCGCTTGCGTTGTCGCAGTTAGTCGAAAGGCTACCGTGGTACGCCTCCTCTTGCGTACATATGTGGATCCAGCTATTACTCGCGATCTACCTCGCCCGGATCCGTACTACGAGCTTCATTGATACATGACTACTGTACTACCTGCTTACCAGTATTGTTCTGATACGTGACTTAAGGCTCAGATAGCTGCTCGCATATACGTGATGTGCTCCTCTAACGCAGTCGCACAGCAAAACCGAACTTTCATCGTTTCTTTGAGTGTGAGACTGTAAAGGTCCATCTCTCGACTTGATGAAATACTCACACCATATTCTCTGAAGTGAGGTACTTTCTCGTTCCGCATTTTACCTCATCTCAAGACTATGAGATTCCCATGTTATTTGAGATAAATTTACCATGAGAACCCTCGTTTCAGCATCAGACTTCGTGAGCGATACACACGGAAAAGCCCAACCGTTGTACTTTTGAAGCAAGTGCTTGTTCTACTTCGATCACTCTAAACCCTAGTGCAATCAGATATCAAAGAAGCCTATCGTTCGCTCCCTGGATGCCAGTGATGATGATTCGTGACGAATTCAAGACGTCTTCCGTCCTTCTTCCACGCATTGTATGCGGAGACATGCGTTCTGTCGTTATGTTTCACAATATTCATTTCCTCATGCGTGCCATTAGAAGCGCAGACATTTGATGCTTCACACGTTTGGACCCAAAAAGGGTCATATGATGCTGATAAGCCGCAAGCTCATTGTCAGAGTACACCAGCGTGTACCGGCAGCAGACTAGACATCAGAAGCTATCAAAATCAAAGGAACGGAAGGCCGCTTTATTCGTGAGACTACGCGCTGACTTCAGGTTTTTTTTCTTCGGTGTAGATTTCGCAGCTATAATCGCGGTCACAGCGCGATATGCCCTCATAAAGGTTATAAGCTCAATCCTGGTAATACCGCGCTGTTAGACCAGCCGCATCCGATGAAGTTCATCTCTCAGATTATCATCGTTACTCTCGCTATCGCAGCGTACGGCGCACCAATGGGTAAGCTGAATCCGCTATCAACCAAGCTAAACCCTCTCTGACATGCTGGTACTAGTGGAAGAGCGAAGCCCGCCTCTCGTCGCCGGCAGTGTTCACGAGAAACTTGCTGAGAAGAGCCCGCCACTTGTCGCTGGCAGCGTGCACGAGAAGCTTGCCGAGCGTAGTCCCCCGCTTGTTGCGGGTAGCGTGCACGAGAAGCTCGCTGAGCGTAGTCCTCCACTCGTCGCTGGTAGCGTGCATGAGAAGCTCTTCGAGCGTAGCCCGCCCCTCGTTGCCGGAAGCGTTCACGAGAAGCTTTCGGAGGAGCAGTAGTTCATGCCGGAGGTGGCGTTAACATGGTAAATGTGTTTATCGTTATTCACGAAGCCAGACGCTTATTAGTATTGTGATATAGCCCATCAGCACGACGTTTTTTCAAGCCGCTATTGAAAGGGTATGACACACGTACCGTACTTAGCTGAATAAATGCTTATGCGGTACCCAATCTCATTGACGAGCGATTTTGGCATTGGACGTGTTTGTGTCATGTACTAGCGTATAATGAGACACACATCTATGCCGCCTTGGACCCTGTCTTTGCTGACATACAGCGCATGGGCTGCCTGAATGAGAATTGCCATACATATCTGCGTCAGGCACTGTAAGCAAGGAAGGCTTCCGGATCTTTCCGTATTTGATGCCTCTACATGGGCGTGTTCACTTTTCTTCCCTCAGCAAAAATTAGCATCCGCAGCCCTACATCCGCGGCACCGTTGGAGAAAAGTTTCCAATGATTAGATCTCTCACATACATCCCCATAATGGGTTTCTCGGAACAGCTCTCCGCGTCGGAATCCTCCAGGTCTTCTTGATGAAGAGTGCAGACCTGTTCGAACCTTCACACATACGGTTAAGCCATCGCTGATCCCATTATTAGGACATTCTCCGGTAGCATTCTGGGGCATCAGGCCTCAGGGCTTTCTATAAGTGCATAGAAAGATACAACGAACGTTTGTGTCATTCCATACGTCTTGGATCATGGCGTCTAGTACGTCAAGCCCGAACAACCATTTCCTGTCGTTCCTTCTGTCTAGGTTCTCCGACAGATCTGTAGCGTCAACTAGGCGCGTTTTCTTTCGGCTTGCCGACCGCCACGTTCGGTCATCTGTAGTCACCGGCGACGAGGGGCCTCTCGAATGGGACGAGATCACCGACCGTGCCCTTGAGGAGCATCTCCTAGCTTTCCGAGGGTACTTTGAACGTGAGCTGCGGTCGAGAGGTGTTAAAGATAAGGAGGTTGTTCCACTATGGTGAGTGTTATCGTCTGTATGACAACGTTACGATCAAGACCATGATACGAATAGGCTCACCGGAAGAAGATACGAAGATATGCTCGCCATCTTCTCCATCTCGTTAGCAGGTTTCGTTCCAAAAGTGATCAGCACGTTGTACACTGCGTCTTCTGTCGTCGAGATGCTATCTCCCAACGATAACTCGGCCACGGTCGTCGTCTCCGATCCAGCGGTCACACAGATGGCTCGGGAATCCTTGGCGGGTAAGCAGACCCAGTATACTTTGGTAGAGCTGCCCGATCTCTCGGCCCTTCCACCGGTTCCCGAGAGCGCCAGCATTCGTGATAACTTCCCATCGGTGTTCAGTGCAGACGCCGCTGCAATCTACCACTCTTCAGGAACGACTTCGTTGAGCGCGCCCAAGTCCATCATCATCTCTCACGCCTCGCTTCTCAACAACGCCCTGCATAAGATGCCTTCCTGTGCTTTCCAAGGCAGCTATGATAGCCAAGAAGTCGTCAATACGTTCTCCAACATGGCGTTAGTAGCAACCGTCCTCAGTAAGTCATATTCATACCTGATTCGTGCCGCTAGTAACTCCAGGTTTCTAGTTGAGACGGCAGCGATAGCCCACGGAGCGTGTGTCGTCCATGCTCCGTTCTTCAGAGACGTGACACCGGATGAAGTTCTCCTAATGGTCAAGAACTGCGGACTGAACCGCATCATCATGTTCGGCAACAGTATGACCAAACATCTAAGCGCTGCAAGGAATAACGAAACGCTCTGGAATACTCTCAAAGCAATGCGGCAGGTGACTTACTGTGGTATCGCAATCAGTGATGAGGAAGATCGGTACGCTCGAAAGAATGGCCTACCAATGACGGTAATATTTCATTCAATCTCCTCCCCCTCGTCGCTGAGGCGCCTCGCATAGACTTTCTACGGTAGCACGGAACTCGGTTAGTATTCATATTTAGCATGATGGCGGACATACCTGACGGTAAGAATGCCAGGGCCACAGTTGACATCCGTCATAGGCACTGAAGAGAACGACATGCTCGTGAGGAAAGCCGCAGGCGCTACGACCGAGTTCGTCGTACCAAAGGATATGGAGCTTGAGTCTTCGCAAGCACAGCTATACGAGGCCGTAGTGTCCGCCTCGTCACCCGAAGCACCACACCACACGTTCATACGTGCTGACGGCTATTATCATACTGATGACTTGTTCGATCAGCCGGCCCCCGGTCTGTACCGTTGGCGTGGTCGGACTGGTGACTTCATCAAGCAAGCCGAAGGGTACCCTTTGTTCTTGAACGCAAAGTGAGTGATGGCCGGAATGCGGGGAATCATGGCTGACGACTGCTGCAGGCACATAGAAGAGAACGTGCAAATAATATGTTCCGACTTTGTCACGGGTGCTGCAGTGGTCGCCGCCCCATTAGGGCTCCCCTGTTTGATCGTGGAGGCCGGCAGCGCAGGCAGAGACGTTGATAAAGAAGGCATTAAGCGACGCGTCCTAGAGAGAATCACCCCATTCAATGCCACACTCATGGCTCACGAGCGGTTTACTGATTCACGGCTCTTGCTCGTCGTTGACGAGGGCACTATCCCTAAGAATAAAGTGAGTGACATACTACTTTGTTCGGGTGTTGGCACTCACGGAATGACGGAACTAGATGAAAGGAAATGTCAGGTCAGGTCAGAGTCCAGTTTTCCTCGACACGAGATTGGCTGACAAAGCCTTAGGCGCCCAGCCACAGCAGCAGCGTTCAAGATGGAGCTTCTGGCCCTCGAACGCGCGTTTAGAGAATACCGGAAGGTAAATGGGGCAAACGGAGGATACAACTGACGTAGCATGTAAGCTCAGCACGCGCCTTCGGTTCATGTATACGATTGAGTGTCATTGTGTGGGATAGGCGGAAGTACATTGAAAAGGAGGTGGAATAGCTATGTCTCTGTAGATATGAACAAACGTTAGCTGTGTTTGAAGTACGGCATGAGCGGCCCGTCCACGGTGACAGTACCAGCTCGCGCTGGATGACGCCACCAGCTATCCAAGGGTGTGGACGTACATAACCTCGCTTCACTCAGCACTTCGCAGGAGCTACTACTTTCGGGTTATACAGCCTGATGAGCGTTGAGAAGCTGGACTCGAGGAGAATTGTGCCCTGAGTTCTTGCCAGTTACGACGGTGTTCGTGCCATGTGTTGTGAGCGCTGAGAGTGAGTGCATGGAATATGGGGTTTGGCTGCCAACGGAAGTCGTGGAGAGGGCGGCTAGGGGAGAGAAAGCACGTTTAACGCCCGCGCCTGTGACCGGTTACGATGCGGTTTAACACTGGCGATTTAGACGACAGAGGGCAGCGCACCGAAATTTTTGAGCCCTTGACCCCCATCCAGCAATGGCCTACACACTTCAGCCTTCCCCCCACTTCTCTAACACCATGATAGAGTGAACGTTATGTCTCCGTCCGTAGTGCCTCGCCAATAGGAGTAACGTTGGTGCCCGACCATCAACAATGAGTGTCTTCTGAAGAGGTAACAAGCCGAACACTCATGGAACTGGCAACAAACGCACTTGGTTCCTTCATTATCATCTTGATACCTTGATGTTTGTGGAATTAGAAGAGGTGGGGTGAGCGTAGTTGGCGCTGCCATTCCTGACACAACACCTGCAATGTTATAGGATGGGAGGTCCTCGCGTCAATCAACTCTGCCCAGGCATGGAGTCGGGATTCCGAGGCATCGATTGTCTCTTTCACATCAACTCACTCCCTGAAACGAGGCGCTGGGCCCACAAGTTCCAAGGATAGAACTCTAGCAGTGCTAGCAGAGTGCGTACGACGGTGCATTGCCGGTGGAGACAACGAGTGGATCTCGAGGTGGGATTCATACTCCGATTTACCTTCAGCGCAGCCCGCTCGCCAAGTTCGGCTAGGTTTCGGAGTCCGACTCTTTGTGCCTTGTAAGTGCGCGCTGATGACTTCGAGAAGTGACATTTCTTCGCAAAGGGATGAGGGAGCGAAAGTGGAGGATCATTACAGTAGTGATGTTGTAATAAGTAGTAGCCGTTGTGGAGTATTAACTGTGGCACACTCGGCCATCTATCATCACTTTTCGCCGCAATACTCTTGCACTGTGAGAATCCTGCCTTGGGCTCTAGAGTTATCACAGTCAAAACGTCATGTAGAGGTCTAGATTAGAGGGCGGAGTCTCGACTTGGGAGATTGTATGTATAACACGTTGCGAATTTGTTTTCACGTTGTGAGAACTAAGCGCGTCAACGCATAACCCTTCCAATAAAGTTCCCAAGCAGAGTTTTAACCCTCTTCATTTGTGTTCGTGATGAGCAATCGTGGGCGGTTTACCGACGGGGACTCGGGTTATGCTCGTCTAGTATGTATCTCAGTGCAATATACACGATATCTGGATATGATATAGTTTTCAAGCTGCCGTGTTGTGTAACACGCTGACATCTAGCGTTGTCACTATCGGGTCGGCTTACCAACAGCCCAGCATATGGCTGACGCATCAACACAGACGAGGGGCTCAAATGGCGGACACCATCTCGCAGGTTCAGCACAGCGGACAAACAGAACCAAATGAATAACGGTAGGAAGGTTAACTATACGGCAAATCTTCGAATAATAAAGTACTACGCGACAGCCCTACGATTCAAGCTGCAGTGATGGGGAATAAGGTCGATATGCGGAAGGTAGCAAGTCGGGCCGCTACCTGAAGCAACGTGCAGTTTATGAGATGCATGCTCGAATTGCTGTGTATGTTAACGGAGTTGCCTATCGCCGATGACCGCGGCCGGCCCACCGTTTGCGGAGATATCGACGCTATACGTCACCCATCTCGGCTCCTGGGCTAGTTAGACTAGGTATGAGTATCTGAGTTCAATCCGCAACACAGCAAATCTCATTGAGGATCGAGGACAGGATAGCAAGCTGAAACAACATTTACGTCGGACATTAACAGACAAGATCACAGCCATCTGGTCGTGCTAGGGGCGCCAATTGTCGGGGACGTCAATTGCAAATTTCTATGAGGGTGCATCAGCGGGGCTTCATGCTTTTACAGTAGTTATACTACTCGCCAGAGGAAACAGTTGTCGGTCGGTAGGCTCGCCCACGAGCAAAACTGGTCAAAAACTAGTCATCAAAAGATTGTTTCGGCGCCGCTGGCCAAGCTCCGACATTGGTGCCAGTCCTTTCGGTATCCCTCGACAACTGTGGAGCACCTTCCCCTCAGCTGGACTGCCCGAAGCCTTCATGCGATTTCCTTTCGTCCAGGAATCCATCTTGAGTGACATCCATATTAAGCAAAATTGAGATCGGACATTCTTTTGTTGATTCCGCAGATGAAGCGACTGAGAAGATATTCTACACGTCACGGTGTATATCACCATTCCCGGAGATTAAGCAGGCAGGAATAGGCGCTGGTGGGCCCGCATCTTAGTCACCTGCGTTGAAAGCCGCGACGAAGATGGATGGGTACGTATTGTCTACTTTGTTTGTAGCTTTGATGGTACTTGCCATATTGATCACTGACGGGAAACGTCGTAGTGGAGCGTTGATTGCTCGATGCTAAATCTCTCGTAGTCGACAGGCCTGAGAATGAAGCACGTTCTGTCTATAATTTTCGTCTATGTGACCTTGGCGTCTCACATGAAGATGAAGCAAACCCCGGGACCTGTATTATGGTGTGGGCGTGTAGATAGCGTGTGCGTATGCTACAGTAGACTGTCTGGAATCATGCACATGTCCGCATTGAAAGAGTTGCTTCGTACAGTGATTAATACTGGAGGTCTACTCACATCCCGTGAGTCCATTTTCGATTCACCAGGCTGCTGTGTATTCACGATCATCAAAAATCCACTTCAGACTGGGCGTAACACGTTGCCCGATGCCACAATTCCGACCGTAGCAGTGCTGTGTGATGGGCGCCTATCCGGCGCTTACTCCTGGATTCTACAATACAGAGATCTACCTAGTGCCCTAGAATAACGCTCGCAGTCTATTATACGGGTTCTGATATGAAGACTTATGAATCGTGTGCTATTCAGCTTCACAGCTCGATAACTCGTATCTTCAAAATTATGGTAGGCTTTTGTTGACCTTTGTTTGACGTTTTGATATGGGGTTTTCCTTTTTGAGCTTGGCCTGCGATGTTTATCCCGAACAAATCCCGAACATAGTAGAACAACACTTTGTTGGTGATACGTGCAATTATCCATGGTGCGTTTTTGTCCTCAGCTAAGCTCTCGGGAAATTTGTGATATGCTGTAGCGGTGTGAGCTCGAGCCATTAATATTGCTAACGTCGATAGAAAGTGCCGGAGCGTAGCGCGGCATGTCTTGTATCAATATATCAATATCCGTGCGCTTGAGATCTGATGCGATCGCGCTGTTTTCGGACCCAGCCTTGCCTCGTGTTGCATGTCCTTGGGGCGTGTTAGCATCCTGCTCGCTCCATCCCCCATCTAACACCAGAGCTGTACTAGATCTCTCATAAGCTACGGCGTACGCAGACAAATATCTCAATCTCCTAGCCATCAGTCGTATCTGCACATACAGAACTTCGCAGAAAACATCCGTAGTCTCTCCTCCCTTTTCCCTTTACAGGTCTATCTTTAACAATCCGAAGGTCGACCGGTCAACGTTCAACCTTCACAAAACTCCATTCGTCTCCTCTCCTACCTTTCCTCTAGGTTTTTACAGGTCATCCGCAAGATTCACCATTCCATCTACCGCTGAACGCTTTTATGCCCGCAGACACTCCTTCACAAGAAGCGCGCTGCGATGCATGGAAGGCCCTCAGCGAGTTGTGCGTTCACTCAGCACTGCTTGACTCTCCAGAGCGTCAACCGTTTTCCCAGTGTCTCTCCGGTACCCGCACAGAGCTCCTTGACACCCTCCGAAGCACTATCAAGAACACCAGTCGCAAGATCATTTGGCTCTCCGGCGAGTCGGGGTCTGCAAAGTCGCCGGTAGCGTACACTCTCGCGGAGGGATTTCACAGCAATGGCACGCTCGCAGCCTCCTTTTTCTTCTCCCGAAGACATCCAGTTCGTAGCACCACCGAACGCGTCATCCCTACCATCTCCTATCAGCTCGGCCTTCGTCACTGGCGTGCCAAGGAAGCCATCTCCGACGTGATCGCTGAAGATCCAAGCCTCCTAAGGCCGGAACGATCGCGTTACGAGCAGTTCACTCGTCTTATCCTCGAGCCATTGAAACGGCTAAAGAACGTTTGGAAGGATGCTAAAAGCTCGATGGTTATGTTCCTAGAGGCCTTGGACGAGTGCGAGCCAGGAGAAAGCAACGAGCGCCTTGCTCAGCTCGTTGACCCTTTTGTCAGGGCGCTCCAGCAAGGGACGTACCCAGCTTTCACGTCGTACTCACCAGTCGCCCCTACCCACATATTCAATATCAGATGGATCAATATACTCTCGTCAGACGTGTTCAGATAGAGCATTTCGATGCCAAGGGCGACGTCACACACTTTCTGCGGACATCCTTCAGTGATCTTTCGAATGCTCGTGGTCAGATCCCTTCTTACCCTTGGCCATCGGAAGACGAACTTCAGCAAGTGGTTAATGAGGTTGCTAATCGATTCATTGTTGCTACAACCATAGTCAGGCTCTTTGAGCAGAAGGGGCCGTCTGAGCGCCGCGCTTTCTTGTCCACGCTTCTGCAAGCTCACAAATTCAAGACTATAGATCAACTTTACAACCATGTCACCGCTTCGTCAGAAGATCCTTCTAAGGGACACGCCATTCTCTCCATGATCCTCGCATTGCGTCAGCCGCTGTCCATTGACGAGTTCTCTGAGCTTGTGGGCTATGAAGTGCGTTTTGTCCTTGACTCCATGTTAGCCATTGTGTCTGCCCCGCCCGCCCGGGGACCCGTCACAACGTATCACACATCGCTTCGCGACTTTTTGTGGCATGCAGGGCGGTCTAAAGAGTACTTCACGCATCCAGCCGTCGTTCATCGTCGCCTTGGTTGTGCTTGCCTGACCTTGATGCAACGGTCACTTACGAAGGATGGTTGCCGATTTGGCGATCCGAGCAAGTTACATAGCGAAATCCAAGACTTCGAACAGAGACGGGCTGACGCCATATCTCCTGTTCTTGCTTACGCTGTCACTAACTGGGGTCATCATACATGCATGTCCCTTCCCAATTCCACTTTGTATAGCGTTTTCATGGATTTTGTCAACGAGAACCTTCTTCACTGGATTGAGGCTGCCTCCATTATAGGGACATTGGATCAGTGTCTGGTGTCGCTTCAGCGAACGATCAAAGTTCTGAAAGTGAGTGAGCTTTACAGCTGGGGCATGCAAACACCCTTACGCGATCCTTCCAAACAGACCTGGAAGCTATGGTCCGAGAAAACGTCGGTCGTGGCTCTGCTATATGACACGTACCGGCTTATGAGCATGTTCTTCGAGCCAATCTCTCAATCATCTCTCCATGTCTACCACACCGCACTTGCACTATGTCCTACCAAGACACGACTCCGGGCGCTTTATGCAGCAGATCTCGAATATGCCAAGACGGTCGCCATAGAGTTTAGACGAAAATTGACATTCTCTTCTTCGGACGGTCGAGTACGAGAAACGCGTTAACTGTATTTCCCACGATGGACGTCTCGCTGCGATGGGGACTAATCCCATCGAGTTGTGGGATATTATGGCGAATGTCATGATCGCCTCTCAGCCCACGAAATACCAGGAGTTCTCTGGGCCCGGCATTATATTCGACTTGAGGCTTAATGGTTGCTTCTCGCGGGATTCCTCTTGTCTTGCATATCCTGAATGTCCTGTCCGAAATGATACAGTATGTGTGTGGCTGCTGTCAAGTAACGTCATCAAGAGGATCAGCTCTCCCAGTTCCTCCTTCGCTATCTCGTCCAACGGAAGTCGCGTGGCTGCTTATAGCTATTCCATGTCAGAAATATCGATTCTAACGGCCGACAAGGGCGAAAACGGCAATCAGCCACCGAATACGTGTCGGAAGGTTCAGATACCTACCTGTGGCTGTTTCCACGAGATGTCATTTTCTCCTTCAGATTCTTGGATATGTGGTAGATATGGATACCTAATCTCTATTTGGTGTAGCAATACGGGGAACCTTGTCTGGCAGGTTAGATCTCATGATGTGTTCTTCATCACACCCGACGAAACCTATATTGCTCGTGCTCATCTCCCACACGAATCACCTCCTCAATTCGATCTCCAGCCAATCAAAAAGGAAGAACACGGAGCGTTGGTCCATCCCTGAATGGCTCTGGGATCGAACCCCGTCGGGGTCTGATTCTAGTAGTCAATCCGGGCCACATCCCCAGACCGAGGTCGTGAGAGTTTCTCAGCATTGGCTGATCAAGATTGGCCAGCACTACTATCAGTCTGCGGATCGTGGTGTCATGGAGGTATCCACAAGCAAAGAGAATTCTTTGGTGCTAGTCATGAACGACAAGATCATTCAGATTACTGATCCCACGTTGCCACCACCTCTTCTCTCGCAACATGACATGAAGAGGGAAGTGCTGGGAAGCTGCAAAGATTCAGCGTTAATTGTTGCGACGGCCGTTGAAGATCTGCTAATGCAAGATGGTGCACAGATTCATAGAATCCATTCACAGGGCTCCATTTCCCAAGCGAAGCTTCCGGGTGCTCGTGGGGGGATCTATGTTGATGGCTTGACAGCATCCCCAGACGGCAACCTCGTTGGCTACAGAACGACGAAACAGACTACGTGCATCTATGAAATCAATCCCTTGAAATCTCTCTTTACCATCACACACGGAGACGACATTTCGGGAAGCTGCTTCTCTCCAAAGTCTACGTACTTCGTTGTATGTGACAAGTCATCTATGGCTGTCCTGATGTGGTCGGTAAAGACTCGCAAGGAAGTGGCTCGGATCAAATGCAGCCGCACCGGATCCAATGCACCGTATCTTGCATGGTCGATTTTTGTTTCCCCCGAGGAACGGCGATTGGTGTTAATGCAGGCACGCAGCGTCTTTGATCTCGGCGACAAAAAGACAACGGTATATGAGATAATCGTTCAAGATTGCCGGTTAGGAGCTGGATCTGGAAACCTCATAGCGCGCTGCACCCATGAGCTACTCATCCCACAGTCGGTATGCGATGTGCGCTTTAGACCTGACAAGTTGCTCCTGCCAAGTAAATGCATCTACTCGGACAAGGATGAAGCGCTACAATGGAAGATCTTTGAAATATCCTACGACAATACGGTTCCCCTCTGCATCCATAAAGCGTCATGCAAAGTCCCCCGGTACACTATCTATCCCACTGGGGATGAATGGAAATCGGAGGACCTCGACAGAATCCTCGTTCTCATACGCGATGTGAAGACGCGCAAAGAAGCCTTACTCGAACTTACAGAATGCCGCGATGCAGGTTCGCAGCATGTGCGTCAATTCGAGGTCGTACGAAAGGAAGACCCTTCCACACTGTACAACACATCCATGATATCTTCGTTTCGTCTGTGTCCCGACGGCTGGCTATGGGGCGGTTCGCGTAGGGTGACATGGGTTCCTCACGAGTACAGGCCCGCTGCGGGCACCTATTACTACCAATCCGCAGAGGGAAATAACATAGTGCGCGAATTAGGCGATGGTGTACTCGTCTTTGCAAAGGACCACGGGTATCCTTTGATCCTGAAATTCCGATAGGTATGTGCTTATATGTGGTGCACCGCAATGAACGAACCAAGCCTTTCTAACACGTACCTTTGTCCATTTCAGATAGGAACTACAAAGTGGCGCGTGTGCTTCCCGCGATGCACTGTAACATAAGAATGGCGACGCAAATTCTTCACATACCTATGCATACATCCGTATCGTGCTTGTTTGTAAATATACTTCAGTAGGATCATAGTGCTTCGGCACATACAGTAGCTTGTATGAACGCCATACGCAATATGGAAACGATGTATCACAAGACAAAAATATCAATTCTTCCATCTAAAAAGAGAGTATATCGAAGATTAGCGTTGTTGATGTAGCACGAAAAGTGGCTGCACGCTGCGACTCACATTTTCAGCACCCGGTCGCGTCCACCACTCACGACCTTGTCGGCGACAAAGTCGACGCAGTACACCTCGTCGGTGTGGCCGGGCAGGTCAGACTTGATCTTGTACGTCCGAAGATCCCATATCTAAGTAATGCCGCGTCGTTGTTAGCACTGGGGCGCAAGTATCGTGTCATTTGAGGGAGGGACGCACCTTGACAGTCGCATCCTTACTAGCACTAACCAACATCCTCGAATCCGCACTCCACGCCAACCTATACACAGGCCCAACGTGCCCCCTCAGCGTCGCGACGAACTTGCCCATCCCACCCCCCTTGGCGCCTTCAGCAGCGTCCGAAACAGACCCAGAGCAATCCCACAGGCGCACCGCCGAATCCCACCCCGCGCTCGCCGCCCTCCGCCCGTCCGGCGAAAACGCAACATGCGACACCTGGCGCTGATGCCCCGTCAGCCGCGTCAGCGGCTTAATCTTTCCCATCTTCGCGTCCGCGTTCCCTGAACCTGAATCTGGCGAAGACGAAGGAAACGGATTCCACAAAAACAGCGTATGATCGTCCGAGCCGCTGATAAGCAGCTCGGGGGTACGACTGAGCACCTTTTCGTAGCGCTCGAGTGCGCGGTGCTGTGCTTCGGCGTCCGAGGCGGGTTCGCGCGCTGTGTGGTCGTATGCGCCTGTGCGGAGGACGAAGTCGGTGTTGAGTGCGAGGGTGGTGACCCAGTGCGCGTGGGCGGTGAGGGTGTGTAGGAGTCTGCCCTGGATGGTGTTGGAGCGTGGTTAGTCGGATGAGAGATGATGTTTGGATAAAAGGGTAGATAGAGCGAGAGATGAAAAGTGGATGAGACGGAGATGTGAGGGAACAAGAGCGAGGGTGATGCGAGGCAAGGAAGCAGCGCATACGCAAAGAGAGGGACGGTACACCAGGCGTCACACCGAGCATGCGTAAAGACGGAATGATGGAACAGCGAAGACGCAAATGGAAGACATAAAACACGGAAGCGAGCGGGGACAGCGAGCAGACTATAAAAGTGCCTCGTCCCGAAGAGCTCGAAGAGAAGTCGACTCACCCCATCCGCATCCCATATCCGCACCGTCCGATCGCTGCTCGCCGTATACAGCACGCCGCACTTGAACCCCTGCCCGAGCCCGCCGCCGCCCCACTTGACGACGTTGACGCTCGCGGTGTGTCCGCCGAGCGTGTACTCCACCCGCCGCGTCGCCGCGTCCCAGACGCGGACGGTGCCGTCTTTTGAGCAGGATGCGAGGCGGGGTGACGATGGGTTCCTGTGCACTCGTTAATTTAGGGAACATAGAGAAGGAAGGAGGAAGCACAAGAAGAGGAAGAAGAAGAGGAACAAAGAAACGCACAGATGCACCGGCTCCCAAGCCAGCCCCATCACCCACTTCTGATGCCCGCGCATCGCATCGCCCTCCGGCTTCCCCGTCCTCGGATCCCACAGGCGCACCTGCCCGTCGTGTCCGCCGCTCGCGAGGCGCCGCCCGCGCGCGTCCCACTCGACGCAGAGCACCCAGCCGTTGTGCCCTGCGAGCGTGTGCGAGGGGGTCTCGGTTGCGAGGTCCCAGAGGCGGACGTGCGTGTCGCCTGAGCCGGTGGCGAGGGTGGAGCCGGTGGGGGAGAAGGAGGCGCAGAGGATTGGGGAGGTGTGACCTGGTATTTGGGGCACGATCAGCGTCCGCGGGAGCACATAAGTGATGTGAAGGCGATGCGCACCGCTCAGTGTAGACGAGCACCGCGTCGCAGGGCGCACTTTGAACACGGACTGCGGCGCGCAGTGTACGGTGATCACATCTTCATGTGTAAACGTCTGCGAAACATGCTCCAGAACGTCCGCTTCGATCGACTTGGCGACGACGATGCGCGTCGGTGCATTTTTATTCCCCGCTTCCTCTTCTTTTATCGACGACGGGGCGGGGAGGAGCACGTGGAACGCGAACGGGACGTAGTCGTCGTCTTCCTATGCCGATGCATGGTCGATTCTTTATTGTACAGCGTTTTTGGGAGGCAGACGCACCTTTTTAGAGAGCCTGTTCACGAGAACCTCGAGGCTCTCGCGTGCGATGTTGGCTGGGACGCTGATGGCGGGGGCCATGGCGCTGCCGTCGTGCTCGTTCACGAACTGGACGACGACATTTGGCGATGGTTTTGGAGTTTCAGGAACTGGTTCAGGGATGCCGTGATACTGCTTTTGACGTTTTGGCGGGGGTAGAAGTGTGGTCATCGTTTTCTAGACTTTTCCGATCTTGTCTCAGCGCTGTGGAGGAGGGGCTGATGGCCAAAAAATAGATAGTGGTGTGTCACGTGGAGAACATATCCCGAATGGGCAATGTTGTGCCAAAAAAGGGATTGTGAGACGTCACAACGGGGCCATCGGATTTGTGGTCTCACACAAGACAAACGGCCACTTCTCTCTTTAAAACACACATCGCTCATTTTAATCCAGCGGACGACCACGGAGATTGCTGAGACATAGCGAGCACACTGTGCTCGCGAGTCAAGGCTTGTTCATACGAAGAGAGCCCAGGTGAAGCGTCGACGATGGCAGCTCCCATATCCTTCCCCTCCTCGGGCCCAGACACATCCCACCTCCAGCCACCCGTACCACGCAGCGCCTACCTTCCCTTTCGCCGCATTTCTCTACCCTCCCAGCCGCACCCAGCGCTCCAGCGGCAGTCGGTGGTCAGCTTCGCGTCGGTGGACTCGTTCGCCGAGGAGAGCACTAGTCCAAATACCAATGCCCATGGCCATACCCAGAATGTCAACGCCAATCCTAATACTATTCCCAATCAGAACGGGGCAGCTACAAATACCCCAGCACCGTCCACGCTTTCCCCCCCTCCACCGGGCAGCCCGAGCGCTATAGGATTCCCGACGGCGGCCTCGAGACCGAAACGGCGCTCGCTCAATCAGCAGCCGACGCATCTCCGGCCTGCGAGGCGTGCACGGGTGGTCGTGAACGAGGGGCGCGAGGCAAAGCGGCGGAAAGTAATCACAGAGTTTGTGGACACCGAGAAGTCGTATGTGGATGGGCTGGATCTGATTTATTCTGTGCGTTCCCTCTTTCTTTCTCTATCTTTTCTACGCGTACTAACTAGCCTCACCTCTTACCCATGCTGCATCGCCGTGCCCACCTACTGCGTACTGCGCACCGTTGCACGATGACCGACCACGATAACGATAACCCCTGACATCGCCTCATCCCGCCTCGCTTCGTCATCCCGTCCCCGCTTACGTACAACACAGCACTTCCTCACACCCATCATCGCCTCGCTCGACACCCCCAAGCCTCTCCTGACGCGCACAGAGCTCACCGCGATCTTCTCCAACTTCATCGACATATGGAACCTCCACCGCTCCTTCTACTCTGCCCTCTCCGCCTACCTCGCCGCAGCACCCGCAGCGCCAAACGGCACCGGGCGCCCGCCGTCCTTTCCGCCCTCGGCCGCACTGGGCAGTCTCGCATGGGGCTCACAGACCTCGCTGCAAACGTCGGGGCTCGCATCCTCCTCGCAGACGTCCCTTAACCAAACGCTGCTCGCCCCACCGACGATCCCGCTCCCGCCTTTATCCCCCCTCTTCCGCTCGCACTTCCCCTACCTCTCTTTATACACCCCGTTCATCACGTCCTTCCCCTCGTCGCTCTCCGCGCTCACGGCCCACCTGTCGTCTTCGCCCCAGTTCGCCAAGTTTATACGGGCGCAGGAGGCGCACCCCGCGTGCGGGAAGCTCAGGTTGCCGGATTGGCTGTTGACGATCGTGCAGCGTTGTCCGCGGTATCTGCTGCTGCTGAAGGATCTGATCGGGTGTACGGACGAGGCGGACCCGGAGAGAGCGGCGCTGGAGGACGTGCGTGGGCTCGTCGAGAAAAGTGCGTCCCTCATCCCTTCCCATTCTCTCTCTTTGTATATCACATACTAACGCAGTCTGGCGCAGTAACAACCTCCCTCAACACCTCCCTCCACACACACGCACAGACCCTCGCGCTCCTGCACCTCCAGCGCGCAACCGCGCACCTCCCGCGCACGCTCGCGCTCGTCGCGCCCGGCCGCACACTCGTCAAGCGCGGGCCGCTCAGCGTGCTCGTGCTCCCCTCGGGTGCACTGCGCTCCCACGAGTTTCTGCTGTTCAACGACTGTCTGGTGTGGCTCGCTAGGGAGGGATGCGAGGAGGATATGCCGCTGCCGCCTCTTGGTTTGAGCTTTGAAGACGACGAGGAGGGAGATGGCGATGCGTCTGTTGCGTTTCCTGGGGAGAGTGGGCAAGGACCGGGGGTAGGGGCAGGAGTGGGGAGAGCGAGAAAGATCAGCAGACCGCTGATGGTGCGCAGTCGGAGTAAGTCCGAGGCAGAGCTGGGCGAGTTGAGGGTGCAGCTGCAGCAGAGACAGCGCGGGCGCCTCGATTCGGGCGCGGGGGCGGGGGCAGGGCGCGAGCCGACGAGGGGGTCGCCGTTGAACGACTCTAGGGCTCTCCCGGCTAATGGCCAGGGATCGCCATCGCCGCCTGCGCGGAGTCGCGAGCGCGAGTTGCCGCCAGTGTCGGCGCCTGCGATGCCTGCGCGGAGAAAGCAGCAGCAGCAGCAGAGGAAGTCGGCGAGCGAGCAGCAGGGCGATGAGCGGTGGGTGTATAGGGGCCATGTTGCGCTTGTGGATGTGGAGATTGTGTTGGATGTGTGTGAGGAGAGAAGGATCGAGGTGTTGAGTCCGAGTGGGAGTTTTGCGGTGTATGCTGGTGCGTTTTCTCTCTCTCTTCCTCCCTCTCCCTTTCCCTTCTCGCCTCTGTCGCCTTCCTTCTCATCACACTTGCGATTATCCTGGAGGTTTACTAACACGCACCACGCAGACTCGATCCAATCAAGCAACGACTGGACGACCGCCCTGCGCTCCGCCAAAGCATCCCTCCTCGCCTCGCTCAACACCAAACTCCCAAACTCAACACTCACCAGCTCCGCATCGACCAACCACGTCCGCCGCGCCCTGCGCGCCCTCCCATACGACCCCGCCCTAACCTCAACCTCGCCCTCCCCGCCCCCTCCTCCTCCCCCCGGCGGCGGCGGCGACCTCAGGGCCTCGGCATCCGCAAGCCCGCCGCCGGCGAGAGAGCGCCGGCTGTCCTTTGCCCCGCTGTTGTCGCGCTCGACGTCGGCGCTGTTTGGGGGCACACCGTTTGCGTCGTCCTCGACGACGAATCTTGCGCTGGACGCGGCGCCTGCGGAGGCGTTTGCGGCGTCTGCTATTGCGGAGGACGATGAGCTCGACGACGCAGGAACGGGAGCGAGAGGAGAAGAAGGGACAGGGAGGGGGAAGGGGAGAGGGAAGGGGAAGAGGGCGCCGGTGGACAATTTTTTGCCGCCGGTGTGGATCCCGGATGCGCGGACGGACGCGTGTATGCGGTGTGCGAGACCGTTTGGGTGGCGGTATGCGAGGCGGAGACATCATTGTCGGCTGTGTGGAAGGTGTGTGTGTGCGGGGTGCTCTGGAAAGGTGCGTTTCTCCTCCGTTCGTCGTCTGTATGCGGGCAAGAGCTGATACTACGGACGCAGACTTTTTACATCGTCGACGCATCCGACTCCTCTTCCCCTGCGAAACCCGCGAGAGCGTGCAACGAGTGCTACGACACGGTGTTCCCCGTCCTCGGCCCCGCGCACGCGTACTACGACCCGCCGCGGATCGCGCCGCCGTCACGGGCGCAGTCGAACCGCAACTCGCGTGTCGATCCTGTCGCAGAAGAAGAGGACACCGAGCTCGACCTCGCGAACGCGACCATCCGCCCGTCCAGAATCGGGCTCGGGCGACTGAGCAGCGCGCCGAACGTGCTTCTCGGCTCGGCGTCCACCGACTCTCTGCACCGGGCCCGCGGTGCATACGCCGGGGAAGGAGCCGATGGCGAAGGCGACGAGGACGAGGACGAGGAGCTCGAGTCGCCGACGCTCACACGCGCGCCCGCGTGGGTCTCGCTCCCCGCCGCGCGCCGCGAGACGCCCGAGGCGCTCGGGCTCATGGCGATGGCGCTCCCGCCGAGCCTGAGCGGGAGCCCGGGGCCGTCGTCCAGGCGCAACTCGTACCAGCCCGGTGCGGCTGGGTACGCTGCCTCCGGCGCTGCACATGGATACGCGCACTATGCGAATGGGTACACTGGTGCGGGCGTGCTGAGCAGCAGTCCGGCGCGGAGCAGTCCGCTGCGGAACAGCCCGAGTCAGCGGGCGAATGCGGCGTTGCCGCCTGTGCCGTTCAACACGGTTTCGGTTGGGACGGGGAGGAGTCCGGCGCGGAGTCATGTGAATGTGGTGTTGCCTAGGATTTCGTCGGATGATGAGAACTCGCCGTATGTCGATGATGGTGGTGTCGAGGGTGAGGATCCGCTGGATTTGGCGGGGAGTCTTCTCGCTACCTCTACTGGTGATGCTGAGGGCATTGACGACGCGGTGATAGGTGCGCCGGGGAGTATTAGGCGGGAGGGAAGTGCTGCGAGCGGGAAGAGCGGGACGGCGATGGGTCCGATTCGGGTGCGCAAGGGCGCGAAAGCGCGGCCGAGGAGCTATGTCGATATCTTGGAGGACTTTCATGGGAGAGAGAGGAGTGCAGCGAGCAGCTTTGATGGGCGCGCGGGGGTGGTGCCTCCGATGCCGGATGCGAGCGAGAGGGAGAGAGTTTACGGGGCTATAGGGCTGCACAGGCGTCCGTCGACGCCTGCGAGCATTGCCGAGTCGGATGAGGAGGGCGAAGAGGACGAGGGGGATGGGCCCCATCCGGTTCTGGTCGGCCCGGTCGATGAAGATGCAGTCGACATGGCGAATGAGCTGGACCCCGCCTCCTTCCCGGAACTGCAACCGCGTCGGTCGACGGCGCTCGCCCGCGGCGACGGCGCACCAGGCGAGCGCGAAGACGAACCAACAGTGCGCTTCCGCGTCTCCCGCGTCGAAGACACCGCGCGCCGCGCGAAGCGCTTCTCCGTCCCCGCCATCGCATTGCAGACCACGCCCGTCCTCGCGCGGACGGTCTCCCCGCCGTCACCGCCCTCCCCGCCGCTCGCGCGGGAGTTACCTCGTATCCCGCAGTCTGTCTCTACGCAGGATCTTCCTCTGCCGAATGCGACGACAAAGAGCGGGAAGGGGATCGGCGGGCGGCGATTTTCGCTCGTTCTGGGTGGAGCGGGCGCGAGAGCGGCGGCGAGGAAAGAGAATTTGAGTGCGTCGCGTCGGGGGCACGATGGTCCCGATGTGGGCGCGGGGACGACGAAGGAGAAGGAGCGCGGTGTGGCTGCGACGGCTCTTTATGAGCTTCTCAAGGGGCGGAGGCGCAAGGGCGAAGTGTGAGGCGCGAGGTGATTTGTGAGGTGACGATCTACATTGTGTGTTGACAATTTTTATATCATCTTGGTTTTTGAGCATTTAACGATTTCATCATTCCACATCTTGTAATGCACCGGTATACCATATCGACTTTGATCTTTCTCGTATCTCCACATTCACGATATTCTTTCATGTTTACGTTCACAAGCATTTGCATTTACGCATACTATAGAGCCCATCTTTTCACCTGTTTGTTTTATGAACAGTGTTTTATACAGCTGAAGACGATTCATACGTTGATACGAAGTGCTTCTTGTTATTCTTTCTAACGCATGGTGTATGGTGCAAAGACATGCGCCTCTCCTGTGCTGCAGCTTTCCAAGCAGCTTCAAGCATTCCGGTTAAGCACCGGGAGTACACAAGTGGATAGATGCCAAGTTTATAGTGTGGATACGTGTATATTGTACCGCATGCAACAGTGGGGAATGAAACCGTATGTGTCATGGCCAGAACACACTTAAGAAAGCAAATGCTTCTGAAGTGCGATGGCGGCGGAGAAAAGTAGGAAGGAAGAGCTCGGTCGCTCAAGCGCTCAAGTGCAGCTTGCCGCCGAAGATGCTATGTCTGTTGTTGGATTGCAAATACCCGGATAATGTACAACAGCCTATAATGACGTGGATACAACCTTCCGTTACAGATGATAGGAAGTGCTTTAGGGGAATAGGGATCACTATCCACACTACTTCTTTCCACCTCCGACTCCAGGAACAATAAAGTACGGAGGTGATCGCCCCTTGTTGACAACCCACATCTCCTGCAACAGATCCACGATTGCGCTTGGCAGCGGGTCTTTCTCGCTACAGCGATCGTAGGTTCACGTCAGGCTTGGCCTTTAGTTCGGAAATGATGATGAAATTCTCACCTGTCTTCGACATTAGCCTGCAGTTGCTCGAGGCTGCTTGCGCCGAGGATGATGCCGTCCTCTTGTCCTAGGGCGCTGTGATGCTGGAGCCATCGCAAGGCAACTTCAGCCCCGCTTAGGTTGTGTCGTTTCTAGTTAGAAACCAAAGTTACAACGTAAAGCATTCTCATCTCCTCAACGCAAGAATTAAATAACGTACAAGTGTCTCTGTAAGTTGAGGGAATATCTCTGTGTAGCCTTTATAACGCATGTGCAAACCGGGAGCCATGACGGAAGAGCTGAAGTCCCAGCGACTGCCTTTCGCTGGAGCATTTGGATCTACGCCTCCGAACAGGCCGCGACTACATCAATGATCGTACTGAGCAATCAAGACACCCACTTGGCATATTGACACCTACGCCAGAGGGCTATACGCCACAAAGCTCAGCCCAAACTTGCGAAGGCATGGTATAAGTCTATTTTCTCGAACGTCAGTAAGTAGGTATCTGGTTAGACGGACAGGTGTAGCGTACTCGCTTTCAATGTTACGCTCTAGGGCGTTGTATACTCCTTGATACACGGTTGGCGCAATCCAACCCTTCGCCTTGGCTATAGTCACTATCTCTGCCACCTGATCCGAGTCTGTTTGAACGTCAATCAGTTTTGACAATCCGTTGGCACGCACCTCCCAAGAGTAGTAGTTACTGAGCCCGAAGTACTCGCTTTGCATGATGTTCAGCTCGCTAGGACGCTCACAGACGAGGTCTCGGGTAATACTCACAACTTTCCCTCCTTGTAAAGCTCATTGATCTCGAACAACGTGTCTTCGAACGGTGTGCCCCTGTCAGGAAGGTGCAAGTAGAAAACCCGAACTTTATCCATGTTTAAGGCCTTCAATGATTCCTGTAGAGATGCGCGAAGTTTTCCTGGTGCATGGTCTCCTGGAACTCCTGGAATAGCAACAAACACCCTGCCATTGGTAGCATGTTAGGCTTCACTTGATCGTAATAGTAGCAGAGACTGACTTTGTGTCGATTTTAGCGCCCTCAAGGGCGCCCAGATCTCTCAGCTTCCCAAGGTACTGAGAGAGTGTAAGCGCATACGACGCTTCAAAATGACAATGACGCACTTCTTCCGATGACCCATCGCCATACTTTCGAGCGCCGTCGTATTCATGGTAACCCTTGGAGTTCAAGTACTCGACGATCCTTCGACACTCGTTGATATCGTGTATGCGTGTACCCAGTGTGCCCTTGATGCCGAATGCAGACGAACCCTATATGGGGAGGCATGTGCCGCAACCTCAGTAGAAATATATGAAACAGAACGCAGAACTCACAAACAAGAGGGGGACACGAGATTTCATGGCGACGGAACGGGTCCAAGCCTAGTGCAGCCGCGGAAGGAGGGTGAAGCGGAGCATTACTATCGAGCGCTTGAGCCGCTATTTTTGTCGTGTTGGAGAACATTCCTATACCGCTTCGAGCTCTTTTCAGGCGGCGCTCAGCCCGGGACGGGGTTTTACTACATTAAACGCGGTGGGAGTCGACCCTATTTGCGTTAATGACGCTTTATTCTGACCCTGTCCTGCTCCCGAGTCTTGGTGCGCGCGATTTCTCGACCATTATAATGACTGCAAACCTTGTCTGAAAATAGATGTTTCTTATCTCTTATCTTGTTGTCGTTCAACGAAGTTTTGACACCTTCGGGTTCGGCATCTTAACAGTACTCCCAACAGTGGTAAGCGCGATGCCTTTGTACAGAAAGTGGCATTCCTACCCCTATCCACAGATCTTTGGCTGCGTCCCAAATTTGTGACTTTCTGATGGACGTAGGAGGTCATCGCGAGAATGATCTTGGGTGCGTAGAAACAAGGCTGCGCGCTTCACGCACTAATTGTTCGGAAAGATGCGGGTTCCCTAGCGTGATTACCGTCTAGGCGTGGGAACGCAGAGAAATGGGACGCGCTGATAGTAGGAGCGCATGTTGTTGGCCTGTTGGCCTATCAGTATTCCTCCTTACCGTCCTCCTACATCTTTGACTCTCCTGTTGACACCATGGCCTCAGCGACCGACCTTTCTGCTAATACGTCGGAACAAAAGGTCTGGTTCAGTACGTACCCCAAGAGTAGCGAACTCAAAACTAAACACTCACTCACTTCTCTTACATAGTCACGGGCGCGTCGTCCGGCTTTGGAATCTAGGTTACTCAGGCCGCACTTGCGCGTGGCGATCGCGTGTTTGCCACCCTCCGCAGTCCATCCTTACTTGCCGACCTTCAGACAAAATATCCTGCCTCGCAGCTGCGCGTTCATGAGCTCGACGTTACCCACGAGGGCAAGATTGGACCCGCGTTCGTGCAAGCCGTCGCCGCCTTCGGCAGGATTGACGCCGTATTCAACAACGCGGGCTTCGGCGTCATCTCCGAGGCTGAGGGCATAGACGATGCCAACGCGCGTAGTCTCTTCGAAGTCATGTTTTGGGGTGCATCCTACGTTACGCGGGAGGCGGTGCGTACATTCCGTGAACAAGTCCCTCCAGGGGGGAAGTTATTCCAGGTCGCATCCAGGACGAGTATAGAGGCAGCACCAGGTGTCGCGCATTACTCTGCGGCGTGAGTTGTCGTTGTACGTCCGACGCAGCTGATCTCACTTTCTTGTGGTTATTTAGGAAGGCCGGTTAGTTTATTGGCAGATTTTCTCTTGCACCTAATTCACAGAAGTATTCCAGCGCTCGAGTATCTGACAGAGGCGTATTTACAGGAGGTAGACAAATCATGGAACATATGGGTTCGTTTGGCGGCGTTATATTTGACTCCCACGATGGCGTTGACCTTGTGCAGTTCACACTCCTTGAGCCAGCGTTATTTCGCACAGCCGCCCCTTCAAGGAACATTATAGAGCCACAGCACCCTGCATACAAAAACCCAAGCCTCGCCATAACTAAATCCCGAAATGTCCTTCAAGACCTCTCCAAGTTCGACGGGAATCCTGCCAAACTAGCCAGAGTTGTCCTGGAGCTTTCCGACATCACTGACGAGAAAGCTTGGCCGTTTCGTGTGCCATTGCACCGTGTGGCTCTCGAGGCGGCTCGTAGAAAAGGACGTCATCTTCTTGAAGCAGCGGAGACGCAAGCGTTTAGGTCAGATGACGTCTACTTCGGCAAGGGCGGAACCTCTTTGCTGTAATAACCCTACCAGAGCAATTCTACCCCAGCTCCACCCCAGCAGCAGTAGCGCAGTAGTATTTCATAACGCTTTTCTTCGATTGGCGTCGCGACTTTCCACTACATCTTTGCCTTCTTCATGCTATCCCCCTGTCCGCGCGACGCAGAGGCGCAGAGGTTGTTCATGAGAAAAAATGCATCGTGATCATGATGGACTGCGGGGCCTGCGACCCGCATTGCACAACTGCGATTCCATCGTAGGTTACTGATGCGGCGTAGCCTTCTATTTCCCGTAGCTCATGCGGCATGGCCTCAAACTAAGTGAAATAGAAGATGGTTTACAATTGACTAATAGGCGAACATGGTTTGAACCAAACGGGCGCGCGCCGAGCTTGCTTAAACCCTAATTTGATCATGTGGGTGCGCATCTTATCGCTACGTGCCATCCCGCCACCTTGGGTGCGTCTTGCCGATTTGTGGCGTTTATTCGAATTTCCGGCACCAATATAGCCGCAGCCGGATGCATTGACAATTGGAAGCTTTGTGGCGGTATTTATTCCCGTATAAGGCCTGGATTCCATTTTTTATTAGAGTGCTTGAGCTCTCTATGGTTGCTGGCTAGACAGCTGGTATCTTCCATCTTTGATATTGGAACATCTTAATCATGGAACTTGAAAGCTTGATGTCTGCAAGGCGAAGAGGAGTCACGTTCTAAAACTGTGACCGCGAACATCCAATGTTCTGAACAGCATCGGTCCAGGAATGAACAAGGCTCCACGAAGTATGGACACATGAGAGCCACCCTTCTTTCTATTAATAGATACTATCAAGTCACTGCTCAATGTGGTGGTTGCATTAACGATAGGAGAACCAACCTCCTCGTGATGGATAGTAGAAGGTTGGATGTAATTATAAGGGTCACGGAAGTGTACATGCACCGCGGGACGGATCCTCAATGTGCCCGTGAATGGGTTATACGCTGCATTTCTTACATATGTCCGAAGCAGCTCGGGTAAATTTCCGTCGGATCAGCTAAAGTCGCCGGATTAATCTCAGATCAGAATCAAATTCCAGTCCCTCGGAAGCACCTGTGAAGGCCTTCGTGGCGGAGATGGAAGTCTTCCAGCGAAGATTACCATATCTGCGTGATAGCTATGATAAACACAGCCTGAATGTGTCGGGTGCAAGGCAAACGCCGGCGGTTCAAACTCGTCTAAGCAAGCGGCATGAGAGCTTGGACTAGAGCGCGGGGTCCTCTAGTTTCGTAACGCTTTTGGTCCCTTTTTGCTTCTACGGAGAACGATGGATAGTAAAATGCAGCGGCAGGCAGCAGATACTTCAGCTCTCCATGCGGATGCAAATCTCGACTCCTTTCCTGAACCCAACGGTGCGAGCCATCGTGAAGGAGAGTCAGAAAAATGTTCCGAAGCTCGAGAAGAGGAGACGGACGAACAGCCTCCGGTGCAACCTTACATTGAGGGAAGAAAGCTGGCTCTGACGTGCGGGTGAGTCGCAGCATCGTCACCACCGGATGGGTCCTTACTCTCCGTTAGCGGGCTTTTGATAGCAATATCTATCGCGTCTATAGGTAGTTAATCCTCGCCAAGTGGCTCAATGGTGGTTTCTCACTTGTCCATCGTAGACGTGACTATCGTCGGCACTGCGACTGCAACGATAGTATCGGAGTTTCATGCGCTCGAGATGGTTTCCTGGTGAGAGTGGTTTATTCTTTGTTTTCACTGTGTTTATCAGACAAACGTCGCGTTATACCCTCCAACAGGATATCTACAGCATGTAAGAGGATGATGTTTCTGGGGGATAGCAGTTCTCTTTGACAGTTGATTCAGACTTCTTGACAAAGACTGTCGCCACCCTTCCCGTCGGTCAAATCCTAACCCTGTACTCAACTAAACGCGTGTACGTTTCTGGAATCTTGATTTTTGAGCTGGGGAGTCTTCTTTGTGCAGTTTCAACCTCCATGCCATTTCTCATTGTTGGGAGGCTGATAGCCGGGATTGGCGCTACAACGTGCGTACGTTGATGTCCAAGCTGACTGATTGTTGACCTATGTGATAGCGTCAATGTTGCTGCGATTTGGTTGATAGCGCAGGTATGTGATCTCTGATGAATGCGGTTAGTCGCTACTCAACGACTGGGCAGATTGCACGGCTGGAAATCCGCCCCATACTTTTTGGTATGATCGCGCTCATGGAAACTATTGCATGTACGATAGGTCCCATTATCGGTGGTGCATTTTCTGGTGAGTAAAAGCGTACTTACGTGTAGTCTTTGTATAACACTTGCTACTAGAAAAGGTGACATGGCGTTGGTGCTTCTACGGTAAGTGTGGCCTCATCAATTACGCTAATACTTCACTTAAAGTCATTTTTTTGCCAGTAAACCTACCGGTGACTTCGATTGGAGTATATAGCTTCTCTGGTAAAGCTGATTGAGATGTAGATCGGCGGCCTGGCTCTCGCAATATCTTACTTCATGCCTGGCGAGAACGCACCGAAAAAAGCCTCCTCTGACAAGACTTTGGCTGCTAAGTTTCTAGAGTGCGTCCATGTTTACACATTTTATATGCATGTCTCTCATTCGAAGTACTTCATGCATTTCAGGATCGACTGGATCGGATGCCTTATCTCAAGCGGCATGATCATCGCGTTTCTTTTCCCCTTGCAGCTTGGCGGTAACACGTATCCGTGGAAGTCTGCTTCAGTCATTACCCCGCTCATACTCTCTGCGGTTGGGATAGCTTCGTTTCTTGCTTGGCAGCGTATCAAGGGTGCGCGGGCAATCTTGCCATGGAGTATTCTCAGAAAATCCATCCTCGGTTCTTCTTTTGTTTCGTTTTGGACGTACTGGGCGCTATTCGATCAAATTGTACGTTTGAACACTCAGTCATACCGAGCTTGTCTAACGGTTAATTCTTATCAACTCCCCAGTATTACATTCCGCTTTGGTATCAAGTACAAGGGCGTACTGCGCTTCAATCAGGAATTGACACCCTTCCGTTCCTCTTATCCAGCTGCCTCGGTGAATCTGGTTGCCCATTCGATCGTTACTGGAGCTGATTATTTGTTTAAAGCTCCTGTATTTGCGGGACTGTTCTCTAAGAAAACTGGCTATTACTGGCCGTAAGTGCCCGTCTGCATCTTGGTGGCATCCGAAGCTAAGATCAGAGTAGTATAATGGTCATATTTCCGTTGCTCAGCTCTATAGGGACGGGGCTCATGTACACAATGGGCCCTGCCTCGTCGCGCACGCGAATGATTGGCTACCAGATCATCAGTGGTATTGGTACAGGTGGGTATTGATTTTGACATATGCACCTCACATCTTGAGGTAAGAGTTCTTTAGGAGCGACGTTACAATTACCCGATGTTTCTATTCAAGTGAGAAACACGATGTTATATACCGTGATGTATCTATGCTGATAATGACGACAGGCAGAGCTGGCGCATGAGTCCCAGTTAATACCACAAGCAACTGGGCTGATGGCGTTGGTGCAGGGAATAGGAGCATTGATTGGGCTAGCGTATGGCGTCTCAACCGAGCAGCTGCGCATCACTAACAAGGTTATAGAATATCAGCCGCTGTATTCCTCAACCAACTTACCATCGACCTTCGCGCCACAGCCCCGTTTCTCTCCGAGACTGTGGCAAAGGAACTACAGCAAAGTATTGCTTACATATTCACGCTTCCAGCTTCCGAGCAGGACTTGGTTGTCCAAGCGTATATCAAAAGTTTAAATCTGGTTTTCATTGCTCAGGTGCCGGCTGGGGTATTGGCCTCCTTGACATCGTTGTAAGTATGGCTCGTTCTCCCAAGCTGCGGTTTCTCAGCCCCTTCCGTATAGGACGATGATACGGAACTACAATCTGAAACACAGGGGAAGAGGAGCTGGAAGTGCTGACGAGCGCATGGATGCATGAGCTACAGGTCAGATTAGCCTTGACAGCTTACAGAGCTTCAATTCCTATATTTCAGCCGTGTGCTATGGCTACTGCGATGGTGTGTGGAGTCCGCAGTCATCGCTTGAACTATTTTTTAAACATTAATGAAGATATAAGAGGCGTACATGTGCACTAGTGAGCGTTAGAGAGGTGATATTGGAGTGTCTTCTCCCGAGATGTCTTCCGTGGGATCTAAAGTTCAATAGTGGATACATGAGACAAGCTGGCTCTCACGGGATTCGGGGGGTCTGGATGTGGTACGGTTACATGGTTGAGTCGAGTATCAAGACTCGTCACCTAAAACCTCATCAGATCATTGAGGTAACCGGTGCAGTAACCAAATACTACATACATCAGACAGTGCATTCTTCATAGAAGCTCACTTATCTTGCCTGTGATATGCGGCGACCTATGCTGTTCGGTTTGAAAAGCGGTATACAAAAAGCATGAGGAAAGAAGTCCTCTGAGCCCCAAAATGATCCAGCCGCTGGTGGTATTCGTGGTCCTGCTAAGCGACTCGATTCCATCGCGAACTGTGGGGGCTCGGCAGCCTTCGGCTCCAGTTCCCAGTCACCTGGGCTTTCCAAACCTTAATCCTATCTTATCCACCAATCGCAAGAGAGAGAAACATTGGGTTCTACGATCAGCGCGCAGGTCCACGAATAGCGCCTTCTCTCGGTGTCTCGTGGCTGTAGGGGTTGTGATTCGATATTTGTGCCGTCTGCATCATCTGTAGCACAACCGAAAACCATAAGTACCACCCGCACGTTCATCTGTCTCTCGCTGTACCTCGCTTACTTGACCATGGCCACATGCGATGTTCCTACGGACATTCTGCAGATGTAAGCGGTTTATTTGCTCACTAACCAATGCAGTTAGCTAATTCATCTTCCAGGCTCATTCCGCACGTAAGCGTTCACAATGTATGGATATCATAGTAGTCTATGTAATAAGGACTATGACAGATTTTAGGGGACGAGTTAAACTGGGCCCTGTATGGTATCCTGATAGTACAGCTTTGTAAGAATGTCCTTCAATTCATCGACGTCTCGCTTACATGACCACAGATACATATCATGTTTCCCCGTTCTCCGACCCGCTAATTGTCAAGATATGCGTCTACATAGTATTCCTCATCGAGACGGTCCAAACTGGGGTAGCCTCCCATGATTCTTGGGAAGTCCTTGTCTATAGCTGGGGATGTGCTGGGGACGTTTTTCTCGTTTACACCGAAACTTTGACAGAAATCATTCTTCCATCGCTTGGTGCGTTGAACAGTCATTTTTGCGACATTGTTCAGTACTGAGTGCGACCAAGACAGTTGGTGCACTCGTGGAGTGCTTTTATGCTTGGCGTATATGGATTATTGGCCACTCCCTCGTTCAGAGTATTCTGGTAGCATCAGTATGGGAACATTTATCGTATGTTATCCAAGAGTAGCTGATGGCTCTACAGCTAGCCGTTCTTCAATTCATCGCCGCCCTGGTTAGCGGCATCAAAGAAAGCCAAGTTGTTTCAAAGGACACGACAAGAGCGAGTGATCTCCTTAAATATATTACGGTGCGTCCTATCGAAATTTCAGGCGGAACAAACGCTTATAAGCGTAGGTATGGTCTGCATTGATGACATTGTGTGATGTTGTTATTTTCATTCTCATGTCCTACCATGTACGTGGTTTAATACGTACGCAAGGATCACATTAATCATTGCATTCATTTAGCTGGCCCGGAGGCGCACAGGCGTTCGTAAAACGGACAAGATAATTGGCGAGTTGATTCGAATCATCGTTGAAACGGGAATGGCATCAGGTATCTGCAGGCACTCTAGAAAACAAATGAAAGACTAACCGCCTTTAACAGCCGTCACCTGGCTGGTATTCCTGAGTCTGTTCTGGGCTTATAAGGACAACCACTTTGAAGTCACACCGGCAATTCTGGGGTCCAAGATATACAGCAACTCGCTCTTAGTGATACTTAATAACCGGAGGAAATACAGCGACCCGCGACTTGCTTCATTGAGTATGCCTCCTCGAACGAGACGCCAGCCCTCGGATACGGAGGACTTGCAAAACGCCACAAATACCAGCACATTTGATGCTGTAAGAGGGGGTGACCAGATCGTTATGTTCGACTTTGCAACTGTAAGTCCGAAGACGTGATGTATTCTCCGGCTAATTCTGACTTTGGGATAAACAACGACGTTACAGACAGGCAAAGAAGGAGAAACCGTCACGACCAGCGACAGCGCCTCCCAGCGTCAACTCTGACTCAGCTACTGCGCACGAAATGTTTGTCGTTGGCTCTTCGTGACGTGTTAGACGAATTTGCTCTTTTCAACCGTCACAATGTATGTTATACCACTATATGTCCTTCCCACCTTGGATACCGTCCTTACCTTACGCTCGGAGACAAGTCTTCGAGGTGATCTGATTTCTTGTCGTTAAAGAGAAGTACAACCCACACGTGTCTTATGCCTTTGGTCTTACTGAGCGTTGTACCTATTCTGCGAATGTACTATATGCTACGAGTATTAATGCGGCATACTCGAGGGTCGCAAACAAGACCATATGGATCCAGACATTCAAACTTGGTGGCACAGAGAACCACTTCATTCTCTTTGACGAGCGGACAAGATCAAGGAGGCCACACCGGTCTCTCGGCGAGCGCGCGGACGGATATGAGGCAATTTTGGACCACAGGCACGTCTTTCCCTGTTTTTCGTTCTGTTGTTCAAGTTGGGCTTTGTAGTTGGATGACGGAGAAGTGTTGCGAATATGATAAACGAGCCTATAAATAGTACTTGCATTCTGAATCGAGACATATTCGAACTGAAAGCGCGTGAAGATCTGAAATTGGGACAGAAGGGGGCAAAATTACGAGCCTCTATATTTATAAGATAAGGACAGGAAATGTAAGGCCTTAAGCTGCCTTAAGGCCTAAGAGTGGTCACCGCACGGCGAAGCGCGCGGCCTGCATAATGCCGTTGTGGCTGCATATATTACGTCACTGTACCGAGCGTGGAAACCTTGCCGAGGTTTGGCCGAGGTTATTGTTTTTTTCCGCACCTACAGGCGTCTACTTTCCAGTACTGAAACGTTATGGGCACTCATACATCCCCGACGCGTCAAATTGTGATCAGATGGTATGCATAGTGAAGGTTTGATCACACATAAGGCTTTTTCAGGGTTTCCCGCCTTAGGCGATTCACACGTAGACACTGAACGCTAAAAGCGCGTTGACGCGCGAATACTGGCCGTTCCAACGAGGCGATGATAGGACGATGCTGTATATGGTACCCGGTGCATGGGGATACAGGAAAGTGGTGAACAGGAGACGATCTATCTACCGCCCAGGTGAGTAAGCCGGTGTAAACCAGGAATGAGCAGCAGAATACCTTAGAGTAGCAAGAGTGCAAGAAAAGAGTAGAAAAGAGTTGGATAGCAAATAGGGGGATTAACGCCGACGAGTCGAGCAATCGAGATAGACTCTTGGCTTCCGAAGCCGATGGGATCCACTTCTCGAAGCGGTGTGGGCATAGTAAGTCCGAGAGGGCGTCGAGCTTAGGAAGAGTTCGGTTGCAAAGTGGGGGGCTGACTAGTAAATATCAATGGCTATCGTAAAAACTAAAGGGCGTAGAATCTCAAGTACGAAATTCGTCACGATGATCCTATCCAACAACTTCATTGCCATAAGGGTTGCATCGTGGCTGCGCCTAGATCGCCGCATGTCCATCGCACGTTTATCTCGAGGTTAGACTTTCGAAGACGTGAATATTTGCATGCTCGCAGATATTCCCTAGCAATCAATTGGTACTCCATTCGGTGGTGGCCTGTGGTCCCCCTTCAACTCGTACGAGCACAGATCGTAGCCCTCACCGGATTCGATACTTATACCTCGTATCTTCAAAATTATGGTAGGCTTTTGTTGACCTTTGTTTGACATTTTGATCTGATGTGAATTTCCTTTTTACCTTGGCCTGCAGTGCTCATTCCGAACAAATCCCGAACGTGATAGAACACTATGTACCGATATTTTGCTGGTTATACGTGCAATTCTCTATAGTGCGTTTTTGTCCTCAGCTAGGCAACTTCTCATATGCCGTAGCGGTGTGAAAACCCATTGTTAACTTCGGTGGAAACTAGGGTGCCGGAGCGTAGCTCGGCATGTCTTGTGTCACCTTACGCTGAGAATGAAGCAATAACGCATGTGAGCTGACCTGATGGCTTTAGTCAGATGTGTGTATCCTCACCAGTCCTACTGATATTATGGGCTTTTAGAGGTCCACTTTGGGACATGATCAGATAGCGTTACACCTAAATCTGAGAACCAGCCTACATGGCGAACGCAAACGTCAGTAATAGTATTTTATATGATTAGCAGCACATTGCAACTGACACGGGCGATTGAAATCCACTTTGAGGAGCGTTGCAACCGCTTGCAGCTTAGACGTGATAAAATCTCAACCATAGTCGCTAAAAATACTTTAAAATCCGCGAGACTTCCGCTGCGTTCCCGCTTCAATTAAATTGCAGGCTGGTTGCAAGGCACCAAAATCGGAAATGGCTGCAATCGAACTATCAAATTTGCGACAAAGTCTACGCTTCTGAGGATGCATCGCTCCCTGAGAATCATACACTAGATTTGGTAATACAAAGACGCGCAATCGTAACTGTAAGAACCAGCATAAGCTCTCCTCGTTTGATATTCTACGGGTGAGTCGGTCAAGAACTAATAGTAGCCCATATCCGTTCCATTCTTTGCTTCTCCTCCGTAGCCCCAAACCTGTTCGATTTCCACAGGAGGGTTATCGATTAAGAAATCCCTGACCGCCCTCCAGTCTTTGCACCGATGCACCATTCCAGACCCTCCATCCGTAGTGTGGCGCCAAGTTCCATCGGCGAATCTCGGACGCCCCACTTCCAGAGTCACGTCAGAGTTGCAGAGGATGGTTTGCCTGAGGTATCGCAAACAATGTTCAACGTGGTGCATCGACCCAGTTCTGTTCGCTACCATTCCGACGCGAATAATGTCAAGGCAGTGGAACTGATGGATCATGGACACCATGAAAATGCGGTTCGGCGGACCGAGGGTCAGGAACCCGTCATTGGGGAACAGGGTAGACCACTCCTCGTCATTATACAGACCAAAGTGGTCTTCACCATCCACCATTTCGAGCGCCACAGGAGGCATGTCGATAGGAAGTTGGTCCGGGAAATCGTTGTCGATCCATGCTGTAGTCATATAAACGTTATATTATCTGACGAAACCAAATGACGAGAATTCCAGCTTACTGTACGTGCGAGGTGTAGGCAAGGCTTTATCCAGCACACTACCGGTGTGAATAGTGAATGCAACATGCACTGCAGTCATAACAAAGAAGGTGAGGAGATAGAAAGTACGAGACTTGTGCTCCCATGGGCGCGTCATGAACGGAACACCGTCGCTAGTTGAGCTACTGGAGAGCATGGAGGTCGAAAGTATTTGCCTGACTGATACTTTGGTTGTACAACCTGTGACCTTTATTACAGGATGCTGGGATCCATCACTCCTTCGATTGTATGATCATGAACTTAGTTTTTCTGTGGATACCGAGTGTCGTGTGTGACGAAGCTCCACTATTATTGCACCTCGGTCCTTGGTGACACCGTGACCTTTTCCGTACATTCGACTTCTCTGGACACTCAACGTCAGAATGAGATGCGGAGTTGATCGGCCCATCATATGCCATGACTAAAGTTAGACATTTGCCAGCGATATCATCGGACTCGATTCCACGTGAAGAAGTCAGGCGTATTTGGCAGCATATTCGTGGAGGGGACAAGTCAATTTCATCCGATATATAGTGAGATCTTGGGCCAAATATCTCCTCACCAACCAAGCTTAGCTGCATCTTTGTGAGTACGAACCCTCACGTCTCAGCATCATGTTCTGACTTTCAGCAATAGATGTCTACGGAAAGCAAGTACCCTCTTCTCAGTCCTCAGGAGGACGGCGAGCTCTACGAAGATGAGCAGTTGCTCAACATGAATCATGCCCTCGGGGCTTCAAGCAAGCGTACCATTGGCATAAGATTCGAAATCGCGATGTTCATTCTACTCCTCACGGTCAACGTCGCTTGCATCATCATTACTTCGAACAAGGCAGAAATAGTCTCGCGTCTCTTGCGTGTGCATGCTGACCTTACGACGAGTGCTCGCGACCTTCCTCGCCCAGATCCATATTACGGGCTTCATTAAACATCTGCGCTGCTGTCTGTATCGAATAAACGATTACATGGTAGATGCTCCCAAAGACCCATATACACCACCGCGCTGTCTGTTTGTGCCCCGTAACCTTCCATGCGCAAAATCTGATTCAGAATGATCTGTTTCTCCGTTCGAATCTGGCAAGCTAGAGGAGAGTAGCTCAATGACACGCTTGGCGCGTTTATCAAATCAACCCATATCTTTTGAGATCCGGATAGTGAGGTCAAATCGAGATTCACGACGCCCAATTGCAACAGCACGATGCATAGCTTGGAACCTCAGGGCCTTGTGGTTAAATTGTCTTATCTGCTTCCAAGCATCAACCAAAGAAGGTTTTGCCTTCGTGGCTTCGGAATGGTTTTAGATCGCGCCTGTTCCATGGCTGCGGTCGTGGCTTCCCTGACGCAAATGCTTTACCAAGTATACTTCCAACTCTCACCCCAAGGTATCAGAATCAGAAAACAAAGAAGAGTTTAAATAGGAGTTTCATTGATGTGCTAGGGTGCTCCCAGGCTGACCGATGGCAGCCACGTCACGCTTTCCTATATCACAATGAATGGTCAGTGACCAAGCCAATTTTATTAGTACTTATATTCCAATTGGTAGCTGACAAGCTGTTATCAGAAGCACGAGTTGAGTTTGTGTCATCACCTGCTGATGTCTGCGCGATGTGACCGGTACTCTTCATCGGGTCAAGTCGATACGCCACAAAGTATGGTGATCTTCGCGTATTGTTCGGTTTGTTTACGTGGGAATTGCTCCGAAGGTTTCGGGTTTCTGACGGAATGGAAGAGTCCGGTGTACCTCCTTGTACCGGAAGGTGGGAAACATCTGAACTGAAGTACTGATACTCCGCCAGTGCCTTAAATATAGACTGTCCTATCACGTGTGATCAATCAAACGAACTCTTCGTAATTGTTATAAACACGGTGCGAGCTTTGACTAGCAGGAGTAGAGCACGCACTCGACATGAAGTTCACCTTTAGTATCCTTTTGATTTCTCTTGCTGGCGCCGTGTGCGCTGCACCGACAGGTAAGGTTTCATTTCCACTACAAATTAGCAGCTGCTTACCCTTTCCTTGGCGTAGACAATGCTGGGCGAAGTGCGCCGCTGGTTGCTGGCAATGTTCATCAGAAGCTCGCCGAGCGTAGCGCACCCCTAGTTGCTGGAGATGTTCACCAGAAGCTCGCTGAGCGTAGCGCACCCCTTGTCGCAGGTGATGTTCACCAGAAGCTGGAGCAAGATTAGAGTAATGAGCGACGCGCTCAAGAGGCACGCAAATCCACAGGCTAAAAATGGCTTGCACTCGAACTAACTTCCAAATATTACTAGTCTCCTTTAGCCGATAGTGACCTCGGCATCAAGCATAATGTAAAGACATGCTGGCGTAGTATACAAATGTATGCACTATAACTCATGAATGATTCGGGCACCATTAGTACATCCGTGAATCCCGTAGGAAGTGTCGCGAGTCGAGTTTAGGGACAACTTAGGTTGAGAGAATCACACAGCGGATGAGAGCAGTGCGAGCTGAGTATTTCTCGCTCGAGTTCGTCTATTATTTATACTACTAGTTTGTAGGGGCTATAGGCCTCCTCTACTTTAGATTACTCATACGAATTCTATGGGCACGGCTTGCCATCGGTTTCAAGTGTAGTGCCGTCCGACTACTAAATTCATTACAACAGGAGTAACCTCAGTCAGCGCGCTGCGGAGAGCACGTGACTTTACTCATGACGCCGAGACTGACGTCGTGTCATTCTCGTCTCGCTTTATTCAACAGGACACCCTCTATATCTCCCTTTTGCGCTTTCAATAACTCTGCCATCAAATACTCTTCGAATAAGCTACCTGTGGAGAACGTGTACTCGGTATAGTGTGAGGCACTTGATGAACGAAAGAGAGGTCCTGATCTTGACAGGGGAACTGTTAAGATGCGCTCTCAGTGATATTACCTCATATTCAGGATGCCTGGGTCTACAAGTCTAGGGAGGAGCCAATGAAGGATGGGACGGGCGGCGGGAGCACGAGAAACACGATCATTGCGCTGGGGTCGTGCTTTTGAAGCATCAGCGAGGATTACGGTTAGTCTGCATTTGACGCCTCTCTACTTTTTTTTACTTATGCAGTTCCTCTGATATTATCTCGTCATAGTAATCATTCATGCTATATCAATGGGCAATTTTTTTTCTGAGTGCGTTTCAGGCTCCAGAACATACACATGGCGTTCCCGGCGTCGTTTGCCGACACATAGCCGGGTCTTCGCATACAAGCCAGTTTCACCCTTGACGCACGCCGCTGCGGTAGAGTTACTATTAAAACATCTAAAGCGTCCCTTGTGCCAAGTTTACGCTAGCATCTACGAGAAAGCTACTGGAATCAGAGCATGACGCCGCGGCGGCATCGGTTTATCACCCGCGCGCGGTAATGCTCATTCTGTCTTCCAATTAAGAACACAGAAATCCCCTTCAATCAGGTCACGCCTGGGTGCACCTCTTAGGAATACGGGGTGCTCTGTAATGCGTATAACACTCTCCTCAAGTTTGAAGATCCGCGTCTGATACTAGTTGCTGGCGAAGGGAGCATTCCGCGGAACAAGGTACGTGAAGCTATTCTTCTCTCAAGTAAGTTTACCGACGAGGTTACGATCTCAGTTGAAAGGGAACGTTAGGTGAGCTCGCAGATAAAGTGAGATATATCGCTTAGCTAAATTCGCTCGAGGCGTCCCGCTACTGCTGAAAAGTTAAGATGCGAGCTGGATGCACTCGAGCTCCCCTTTCTAGAGAACCAGTCGCTCGAAAGCTAGTAGTAGAAGTCAACGTGATGGGGTTACTCGAAAGGCGTGTATCACAACTATGCAGACATCAAACATTGTCGTTGTACACTGTTTTGGATAACCGGCCTTACGTCTGTGAATTCTACATTACTCGTATCTTCAATATTTCTGCCCGCTTTTGTTTGGTTTTTTGTTTGTGCTCTTGATCAGATCCCCTTGAGATCAGATTTGCTCTCGATTCGGACATCCTCAACCATTTTGGGCCGTACTCCCGTTGATAAGATAATGGTCCCTGAGCGCTTGGGCCTGAGCTGGCGCTTTGTTCGTCGCCATCCTTTCCTCCCCTCCTCTTTCCCCTCCCCATTTTCGCACCATGGGTCTTCGCAGTCGCACGATTGGTATGTCGTCCAAGTCCTCTAATGTTTACACACACTTATTTCAGCCCCGCCAGGACTACGGAGCAGGGTTTTCAGTGCGTACCATATCTATCGCTTTTTGGCCACCAGCTCACGAAAGCATGCTCCCAGGTGGCGATAGCGCTCTTCTCGACTCCACTTGATGTTCGCGAAGAACACCTTGCCTCCATCCCATTCTACTCCCAGCTTGCTCGAGATTCTCCCCCTCGTTGCATCCGATGCAGGGTTCGCAGGTACGCCCCCTCACTCAAACACCATTCATTCCCCACTGACGAAAATGTCCATCACAGACACCCATGGGCTCATGTTCAGCCACGGTCAGCTCGTTCCCTGCCGCCCGGTGTGCCCTATCTCATCCCTGGCACCTTGGCCAGCCTGACCATGACCAAGCTGTTGCTCTTACGCTATCCGCCTGCTCGCGTAAACCGGCAAGCCGAGTTGAGCAAGCTCACACCCAGGTACGCTCTCTCACTCGAGTACCAACTCCCGCTGCTCACACATTGATCACAGCACCAAGCTCGCCCCCTGTAAACACGTGTTCGGCCACGGCCAATTCAGGCTCTTGACACCCGCAGCACCCTCTGTCCCCCGGTCTCCTTGCGCTGCCCATTGATGGCTGGGCTTGGATAGACCCCTCGCTCCCTTTTCTGCCGTCTGAACATGCGAATCGGTGCGTGAACGTGCCACGCACTCGGGCATACAATTTGTCACAACGTGCTGACCCCGTTTCCCTGCGCGCCGCGCACCCAGGGTTTGCAGTTCGCTTTCAGTGACCCAGGAGAGCATTCTTACATGCGAGGCGCAAAAGTGTCTATCAATGCACCCCTGCACGGAACGCATTCGGGGACGCATCATCGGTGACCATCCTGGGAGCAGGCCTTTTATAACGGTAAAAGGAGGCTGACGCGAGACTTAAGACTCGCACTGGCGGGACGCTGGGTTCGTCGCTCACGCTCGCGTCTCGCCAGAGTTTCCCCAGCTTCGAGCCTCACATCTCTATAACTACATCTATACTTATCTCTGTTATACTATGATTTATCTACTATTTTACTTGCCACACCAGCATTTGATGCTACGAACATGGTAGCCGCGGCATGGTCCGCTTCAGCTTCAGGCAGGATTAACATGATGTACTACAACTTTCGCACCTTCCTTCATGGTACGCCCTCGCGTTATCTTCCTACCTGTGTCCTATTGAACTCAAAGGTGCGGGCCCATCTTTGTGCTCTGTGATCATAGTCTATTTCCCGTTGTGTGTAGATAGTTAACTGTTACTTCTTCAAATCGTTGAATGCATGTATATGTGTACTCTGTCAGATTAATGAGTCTAACCCCGGCATTTACTTCGGTTGAGATGCTCTGCTGATGGTACCTATTCCTGAATCTCATCAATATCCCAATGAAAGATCGTGTTGCCGACAAAGGTTAATAGATCTGAAGGTTCAGGAAACCTTAAATAGGTTTTTGTTCGTTTGATACATCATGGTTGCAAAGTGCAAGCCCTTATGACAGGTCCGACCGACTTGCCGAGACAGGGGAGGACGACTATCAATATTGGAAAACTCAGGGAGCAGATGAGATTCGATTGCATAGCACCGTGACGTGGTAGGCCGTGCCAGTTGGTCTAGAACCTGTCTGATTCTCTCACATGTAGCAGACAACAGTTCGCTAGTAGTACATGCTCTGATTTTCACGTCTTCGGCCATCAATTTTGCCGTAGCGGAGCACGGCATGTCTTGTATCTACATATAATTAGAGGACGGTCTGGTTCCCACGAAATACAGGCATCTGATTGGCTGAGACAAACCAGAGACAAACCGGACGTCTGATTGGCTGCTTCTGCCGCCGCGTCTCGCGTATTTTGTGCTGCGCCTCTTTTGGGATGAGTTTCTCACGATTTGTTGCGCGTCTCGCGTGGCCTCGAGTCCCCATGAGCTGGAACCTCAAGCTAGCTTCAAGCCGCTTCAGCTTCAGTATTCAATATTCAATATCCAATTGCTAATTGTCCGCAGTGCCGTATAGATAGCCTATCATTATACGCGCGCAAGATACAGCATTGATATATTTGATATGTACTTTAAGTGTAAACTGGGTAATACATGGGTGGCCTGGGGGCTCATGCATGAGCTGGACTGATAGGAAGAAGTGAATATCAAAGGTGAACCGGGAAATGGACACTGCAAGCATTCCTCAACAACAGTGGTATTGTCATTTGAAGATTATTCTAAATAATAAGGTGAATGTGGGTACCCAGGTTTCAATAATTAGTTCCTCATTATTGAGAACATTTATCGAAAGCAGGGCTGTTTAGCTGCCATTGACAGGCAGCTTTCTTTATTATCTTTGATAAAGATTCCGAATAATGGGAAGCTGATTATTGAAACCCGGGTAGATGTATTCAACTTATTAATCAAAACAATTCAAACAACAAGGTCATGCTATGATTAAGAACAAATTAAGAAATGCTTGCAGTGGGATAGCTATGCTGAGGCATGTACAGGCAACCCGGGCAACATACGTCAGAGACATATGTGTGCAGATAATATATGGGATGGAAATACATTGGAACTATGCACTTCCACCTTCCACAAGGACATTTATTTCTTGGACTTGCCAGTCTGTATCATAGACGTATGCAGTGATTACTGTAATATTGATGTTAACAGCTTTAGTTGCATTTATAATCACATATCTTAATTGTAGGCTGCAGGAGTATGAGAACTTTATATATAATCTATTGCTTGGGCATGATTCGACCTGATACTGATGGCAGGAGTGCAGAGGTAAATATTCTCGACTAGAGGCTTCCGGTCCCGTGGCTGTCCACGGGTTCCGCACCTAGTAAGCTAATATACCTTAGCCGTATACATGGGCATAGCGTTAGCCGAGAGAGAAGCCAGAAGCGCCACGTATACGGTCGTAAGGGCGAATACAAACGATATATACATTTCGTAAAGCTTAGCGTAAGAATGCGCCTAATTCGACAAACAAATGATTTGTAGTCTAGGCTTCTTTGTGGCATTCTTCTTATGATAACTGCAAAGCTTCATCGGAAGCGGCCAACCTATGATCTTTTGTGTAACCTCGGTCAGAGTGAGTATGAGTGACCTTTGATACATTAATTGCCAAGGCAGGAGACGGCACAGTGAGGCTTTGAGACAATGGGTGGCCTACCCCTGAGGGCCTACCAGTGGGGTTTCGGGTCAGTGTTGTCGAATACGTATCTTGAAACGACATTCCAAGACCGATCCGTAAAATGATCATGGAAAATACGATTCCCTGATGCTGTATCGGTGCTGTGTGGTGTACAGCCAAGTTAGAGAACTTACCACTACCTGAACAAGCTATGCCATTTGATGAAGGATTAATGCAGTTAAAGGGTAAAGGTAGCTATAAACGCACCGCTTCACCAAAGACATAGTGAATATAGTTCCCCGAACGGAAAAAGATGAGGAGAACGATTGTTCCAAGAGAGTATATGGCCCCAGATTCTATGATAACTAACGCTGCTGCTAGCGTACTTTGACCCTGAACAGTGATCCTTCGAACATTCTTTTCATTCCACATTATCCGGGCAGCAATTAACGCTATCAAGTAGACAGTCTGAGAACAGTATCATTCACAAGAAGCGACAGGAAAACATACATGTCCCAGAGAAATTGACTCCTAAGGTCATGCTATACGTAGCATATCCCCATTTTTGCAGTCCAAACACGTCTATAACGACGTCTGTCGCACAGGCATGAAGAGATGCGATGCTTGTTGCTGCAAAAGCGCTGTCATAATGCGGTTTGAAGGGGTGTGCTACGTGACTGACCCATGCTCGCTACGAGGGCAATGTACATTGGTATCATCACACGTTTATCGCCGTTCCAGACGATATGGAGCCGATACACCTGTAATGTGATTATACTTTGACTTGCAGCTCATGCAACGATACCCACCATGAATCCATCGCCGACCCAGACTGTTTGGGCCATATATAACGTAGTCTTAATCACGTAAGATACAGAGCTCGTTGCATTGAGTACGGCTTGTTGTCCCGTCTTGTCCGGTTCCCGTATAAAGGCTTGGACTATTCGGACAAAGATTGTGGCAATATGCTGACAAGGGACGAATGTCAGCTATAAAGTACCGATACTAACACATACACCTACTGCAGATGCGAGCACGAACATGATTGGACCTGCCACGGCTATAGGACGACTTATGCTGACATGTGCTTTTTGACGTTGTTTCAGGACGTAAGTTGATGCAATGAACAACATGCAAAAAATACCTGCAACGCCTCTGTATCCATTCGAACGACACATGAAACAGGCTTATCGGACATACCATAGAGAATACTTTGCACAAGTAAAGATATCAAGGTTGCAAGTTGAATGGACAGGGCCATGGTCGTGAATAGGATGCTGATGACCAGTGATGTTCACTATATATTCGCTCAAACGCAGTGCTGATGAATGCACCGCGAATGGACTGAACGCTATGGGCATGAGCTGCTTGTGGATATCAAATAGAACATCTACTGTGTGGATGTATCAACATCATGGAGCATCGTTTATCATCGCCGTAGGGAATCTTCTCGAGCCGGCGTCCCAAAGCTGTGACTGATTGGACGTGTTTATTATAAGTATCCAAAGTGCACCAAACTTCTTTATCCGTTACGCCGTAAACTAAATTTACGCGAGTAATTGCGCAATCAAAACGGATGGTCCTTCCATGCCCAAAGACGCTGAAGCTTTGCTTTTCATCAAAAGCAAAAGACCCCAGAAGTTTGTTTGCCATTCGTTGACCTAGCGATGACCGAGACCTTAGGAGAGACGCTATTTTTAGGTGGGAAGTCATTGATTCATCCGAGCTGTGGAGCGCGTTCCGCCAGATGGGCTATGTCCTCGGGAAATACCGGAGGCGGTATCGGACTGGTTTGTGCGTTTGGTATTAAGGTTAGGGTTGGGTTCTAGCGGCCCCGATCAACGAGCTTGAGGGCGCGTACAATTAAATCGTTCACTTTGAGCACGCATAAGGATGAGCGTTGTATCAATTGCTAGACAGAGTGACAAAGTACAGCTAGTCAGTAAAACAAGATCACAGACGTCCATCCCTCTCGGTTGTAATCCGATATACTGTATCACCCCTTTAGTGTCACGGTATAGTCGATAAAAAGTGCAAATAACAAGATCAAAACACGGTTATAACCGTTACAACCCTCCTACACTCGTCCTTCTCTGCCTTATCTACCCATCAACTGCGCGAGGACTGTAATTCTCCAACCGCATAGTGCCACACATGAAACCCTTGGCGAGAGACCTCGGAAGTAGCCGGCCTATCTTCGATACCTCGCCCTCGCGAGCTCCATCGACGCCCGCAGCTCCGGACTTGCCCAAGATTCCGCGTCGTTGCTACGGCCGGCCGCGGCGGTTCTCCGTGGTGGCGTAGTAAACGGTGCATGCAAGCCACTAAACTCGTTCACGCTGCTACCGGGCTGCGACCCAGCGAACGTACGCGATCGCGGGGAAGATGTTGGCGAGGGCGTGCCATACGACGACGAGGGGCCAGCAACGGAACCACCAAGAGTGGGCGTCGAGTGATTCTGATTGAACGTCGAGTACGCCGGAGGCGGGCGCAGCTCCTGCGGGCGGTGCTGGCGTCTCAAAGAGCCGCCTATGGCTGTCCCCGAACTTGCACGAGGTCGGCGGAGTGATCCCGACCGCGGCCGACGCAAATTCGACGGACCCGCAGCGGGAAGCTCGTCCTCCACCCAGTCCCCACCACCGTCGTCGACAGCGTCCTGCGGATCCTCCGATGCGACGACGACTTCCGACCGGAGGGCGGCCCGACCCGCGTTGAGGAGCGCCTCCATCTGGGCGCCTAATCGGTCCAGCTGGACTTCTTCTTCGGCTCCCCCGTCTCCCTCGACGTCCATCTCGACGTCAGCATCACCCTCGCGAGACAGGGGCTGAGACCTGAAGTCGAACTCCGGACGAGTTGGTACCGAGAGATATGACGACTGACTGGACGCAGAGGCCTGGTGGTGGCGGCCCGCTGCCGCTACGCGTCGACGTTGAGTGTTGGTAGGGCGCTTGAATGCGCTGCTGTGGTGCGGTGCCTGCGCTCGCCGATGCGGCTTCGGCGAGGGAGGCGCAACGCGGGACCGATGGTAATCCTCAGCGTGGTATGGTGGGGGCGGACCCATGTCGCTAGAATCTTCATGTGATTCGCGGGGCTCCTCCGGATCCTCTCCTGGAGACGCCTCGATAGCGAACTCCTGTCCGCGGTCGCGCCATCTACGACGAAAGTTGGTTAGCAATTTGATTTTGGGAGGATATTGATGCATATATGCAATGATATGAATGCTCTTCGGTTCATCGAGAGATAAGGAATGATGGGTGGAGAATTTGAAAATGTGTGATGAGGACGTACAATCGATATGCAGTCAGACCGACGGCGGTCCCTATCAGGACGGCGCTCACAGCAGTGGAAACGATGGTACCAGCAAGCGTACGGCGCCGCTTCACCGGCGGGAGTTCATCTAAGCGAATGATGTTAGCCAGGCAAGCCGCGGTCGAGTTGAGATGGATGGTCGGAGGCATGAAGAAAGTGAGAGATAAGGGGACAAAGCCATGACGGTTTATGTCCTCCTATACGACGAGAACAAAGGAGGTAAATGCGGGGATAGAACAGGAAAACACTCGTTAGCGCAGGAGATCGCTCTCTGTACGTCAACTACTCGCGAGCACGTGGCCGGAGTGCAATCAGAAATGCGGAGAGTGTGTGCGAGAGCATAGTTTCGAATGGAAAGGTGCGCGAGAATGGGTGACGCACCAAGAGCAGGCTCCTGAGCAACATCTTGTTGTGAATCCTCCATGGCACGATGCTTTGCTGGCGGGTAGAGATGGTCTTTGCTTGGAGAAGAACTTGAGGATTCCCAGCCGCGTTTGCGCGAGAGAGAAGCGGCGGAGGGTGTGGGTAGAGGAGAGGGGCGGCGAGCGACGGGAGGCAGATCCTTGCGGGAGATGTGAGGGGTCGGAAGAGAGTCAGAGGTGCTAGCGGAAGCATGTGCTTGATGAAGCGGGTGAAGTGTATCATCAATTCGGGGCTGTCTTGCAGCCGAGAACGGATTTCGGAGGCCAGACACCGAGAAACTAAATGTGAAGAAAAAAGACATAGTGAGGTCGTAATAGGGACGTGAGCGAGTGAATGGGTGCGTTAGCGAGGTTGTTTTAGCGTGCAGAGGGGTCGGGGCCGCACTCGAGGCTCGAGGAACAAGGAGTGCGGCAGCGCAAAACAAACATGCCGCGGCGCCGGACCATGTGGCCGACGCATGCTCCGTCATTACAGCTGTAGGAAATTCATTTGTAAGCACCTAAACTGGCCTACACTGTTCTCGAGACCCACTCGACACTGGCCCCGAGCGCAGCCACTATGGCTATGAAAGAGGCACTCTCGGGACACCAACCCGTATTCTGATAGCATTTCAACTCTATTCACGTTTTACTGATATGGTTGTTGGCGGGAATACACGCATACAACCACAGACCTTTCGACAAACCTTTCGAGTCCCAAAAAACCTCCGCTCGTGTCAACACCGCGCGGCGGAGTTTCGAAGACGCGTTTAGCACGCTTCAAAGCGTCATCCAACGGTTTGGCGAGCGCTCAAACACAGCGAGGTAGCAGTCTAACTCTCAGGAGTCTCCATCGCTAACTATTGGGCGCTTGATAGCTTCCACAGGACATGACTAGCCCATCTCCCGGGGAAGCATGGAAGGCATTGGCAGATGAATGCGTCCATGGCGCACTGTATGACTCTCCTGAACGGCAGCCTTTCCCTCGGTGCCTCCCAGGGACCCGGGTGCATCTCCTCGAAAAGCTGCACCACGCTATAAACCACGAAGAGCGCAAAATCATCTGGCTTTCTGGAGAGTCAGGCTCTGGCAAGTCCGCAGTTGCGCATACACTCGCCGAGGAGTTCCGTAGCAACGATGCCCTTGCGGCCACTTTTTTCTTCTCTAGGCGACAGTCGATCCGTAACACGCCTGCTCGTTTCTGGCTCACGATCTCTTACCAACTAGGCCTTATACACCCTCGAGCCAAGGACCTCGTTATCCGAGCCATCGCCAATGATCCTACACTGCTGAAGTCAGAGCGGTCACGACACGATCAGTTCACGCAATTGGTTCTCGCACCGCTGATGTTTCTAAGGCGATACTGGGATGGCACAGGGAAAAAGATGATATTGCTCTTCGACGCCCTTGACGAGTGCGAGGGCTCGGGATACGACCACGTCGATCAGCTGGTCGACTTCTTCACTGAGGCACTTCAGGATGGCGCACCAAGTTTTCATGTGGTGATGACCAGCCGCCCTTACTTCCACATCAAGAACATCATGCAGCATTCCTCTTCGGTTTTCTCCATCTGCATGGAGGACTTTGACTCCAAAGCAGATATCGAGCTCTTCCTCCGATCATCTTTTGACGAAATCAAATGCCGCCATTCACTCCCTGTTCCCTATCCGTCGCCGTCCGAAGCCGACACCCTTCTTCTAGTAGACAAAGTCTCGCATCGCTTCATCGTCGCTGCAACAGTGGTCAGGCTCCTCAAGCAGAAACGCTCGTCTGAGCTTCGTCCATTCGTAGATGCTCTTTTACAAAAACAACAGATGAGGTCAATCGATGAGCTATACCATGATGTTATCGAATCTTCCGGGCATCCTTCGGCGTGCCCGTCTCTCCTCGCCCTCATCTTATCGCTTCGCAAATCTATGTCTGTTAATGACATAGTCTCTCTCATCAATCACGATGTCCGTCCTACTCTTGACTCGATGGCGGCAATCGTTTCCGTCCCTCCCACAGACTCTAGCAACCCTGTCACGATGTACCATACTTCCCTTCGAGACTTCCTCTGGGACAAGACACGTTCCAGACACCTTTATGTGGCTCCCTCTTCTGCCCACTGTCGCCTTGCTCACGCCTGTCTCGAGCTGATGAGACGTTCTCTAACCAAAGATGTCTGTCGACTTGGCAATCCTTCACTCTTGCACGCGGAGGTCGACGAGTTTTCCGCTAGACGCGACGCGGTGATTGCGCCTGCACTAGCATATGCTGTCTCCCATTGGTTAGACCATTTATGCGAAGCCACGCAGGACGACCGCCTGTATCAACTCATCCTCACGTTCGTCCAGGAGGACCTGCTTTGTTGGATAGAAATGGCCTCGGTCCTTGATGTTTTGCACACATGTACTATAACTCTCCCGCGAGTTATCGGGAGACTCCAAGTAAGCGCTCACGTATGTCTTCGTCGTAGAACATATTCTGATCCGCATTTAATCCTTCGAACTAGTAGACGTGGAACTCTGTATCCGAAGGGGATCTTGTCGTCGATCTCTTATACGACGCCTACCGACTCGTGAACGAGTTCTTCGAGCCCATCCGACAATCCTCCCTACACGTCTACCATACTGCGCTAGCGTTATCTCCCACCAAGATAAAGCTCCGACAGGTGTATTCGAAGGATATCGCGAGCGCCAACACCATCGCCGTAGAAGGCCTTGACCAACACTGGAGCTCCGTGCTCCGCAGCATCGAGTTTCCCGACTCTGAAGTGCACTGCATCTCCTGTGACGGGCGCCTGGCTGCAGTGGAGCGGCATGAGAGTGGCGAAGATCGTCGAGTCGAGCTGTGGGACGTCATGGCAGGCGTGATGATCGCCTCGAAACCAGTTCCATACCCAACCTACATCGTCCGCTACTACTTCTCTCGAGATTCGTCTTGCCTTGCGTTCCATGGCTGGTCGTACGTGGAACCCCAGGACTTTGTGCAGCTCTGGCTTCTCTCAAATCACGTCGTGTTGACGATGGAGACACCTGGTGCAAGCTCAATTGCCATCTCATCGGATGGGATACGTCTGGCGTGGTACAGCAAGAGGCTTCGAACGCTTACAGTCGTGAAGAGGGACCGCAAGATCGCGGATACGACAGTGATCTTTGATAGGCGCTTGTCAGAGACGGACGTGCCGGATGATGCTAACCTCAGACTGTCATTCTCGTCTTCGGATACTTGGCTTCTCGGGCACGATTCACGCGCAAACTCCATTCTGCTGTGGAACAGCAGCACCGGTGACCTCGTTTGGCGGGATGACTGCGCCGATCGAGATTGGTTCACCACCACCTCCGACGAGCAGTATATCGTCCGCTTGAGAAAGTCCGGGCCAGGTGGTGATGGTAATTGTTTTCAGGTGCGCTTCTTTCCGATCGCGGATGAGGACACCTTCAATCCTTTCAACCTTCTTGGGAAGCGCGGTGTCGACTATACTTCTCTGCCTCAGTACGGAGTCAAGCGCCTCGAGAACTCTATTATCCAGATCGAGAACGCGTATTACGGGATGGACTACTGGAATTGGTGTATCTTCATATCCCGCGACAGAGGAAGCAGTTCATTTGTCCCCCGCATCACATCACCTACGCGCGTCGAAGTTATTGATCCTTCATTATGCTCCTCACACCTTATGCCTGCGGATGACGCGACACCTGCACTCCTTAACTCCGCCTCTAGAAGGAAGGCACTCCATGGCTGTGGCAAGCACACGTTTGCGATGATGGAGAACGCGATCGACGCGAAGTCAAAAGAGGTACGGGTCTATGTCAGAGACCCCCAGCGCTGGAAGCCGGTCGTCAAGCTGCCGCCACCTTGGGATACCCCTTCCATGCAGCGTGTCGGCTTCAGGGGATGGTCAACTGTTTGCTCCACAGAGGGAGACTACATCGCCCATCGGATCTCGGAGAAAATGACAGAGGTCTATCGCGTACATCCTCCAAAGCGCCTTTTTGGCATGAACCACGACCCCGACGTTTCCTACTTCTTCTTTTCCCCAAAGTCGACATACTCTGTCGTTGTCAACGACTCCTCTGCGTCTATCATTGTCTGGGCGGTCCAGCGTAGTGAAATGATAGCGAGGATTGCCTACGAGCCAGCGACGACGCACTGGCAGAAGCTTCGCGTCCACATCTCGCCCGATGACTCCCAACTTGTGTGCATCCAGTACACCGAACCGCTCGCCGATCCGGAACAAGAGTTACATGAGTCCAAGGTTTGGATTTACGACTTGGACAACACCATAGGAAAGCTCGATCCCGTTCATTTCGTCGTCAAGTCAACGACTAGTCCGGCAAACGCACTCTGCTTTCTTGATGACAATACCATACGTATCACGACGTCAGCGCTGTTTCCGCTGCTGAAGTCGGACTCTGTACCTGTCGTAAAAGCAGCGGTATGGGAATCAACACTTCATCGTGGTTCACAATGGCTTTCTTCATCTCGAAGTCTGTATCAGCCGGACTTCAAGCTCAAGCCGCATTGGGTCGAGCGTTCACCTCAGCACGATCGGCTCCTGATTTGGGGCGAAGACGCAGACGCTAATGACTACGTCGTCCTGTCTCTCGAGGAACGTCATATTGAAGACCCTGATGTATCTAGCTCTCGTCATGCCACCCATCGCTTTAATCTAGTGAGGCAGGATCCGGGCGAGACCATGTACGACACACATAGCTGGTCATCGTACCGGCTTTACTCGGACGGCTGGCTCTGGGATGGATCAAGGAGGCTAACGTGGATCCCTCACCGGTACAGACCCAACGGATATCTGCGGTTTGATAGGACGAAAAACATAGTACGGAAGTTTGGGGATGGTGTGATACTCTATTCAGAAGAACTTGGCCCGCCTGTGATTTTGACGTTTTCCTAGGTAAATGTTGGATATCTTGTACATTAATGGGGCATGTATACACGGTTTACAATATCCTGAAATTGAGTTGGCACCCACGTCAGATTGCCTGTTCTTCATCGGTCTCAGTCAAAACTACGGTTTGGTTCATTTGACTTCACGTTCTATTATTATGGTATCACATCTCCTTTAAAAAAACAGTCATTTATGTAGTTTACCTAAAATAATACCAAGTGGGAATTTAAGATTAATTTATAATTTACTCGACATGCTGTGCGCCCTTGGCATGGCAACCTTTTCCTGTAGGGCGATAGAATGCTTGCTCTATCACCTCCAACATACTCTTATGCAAGTAGGTCGGTCGATTATCCCTTGGTACTTCTATCCTCCTGAGCCGGTTTCAGCTACAGAGCTTGCATAATGTCTTATCAATTCACTCCACGTCAAGAGGATACATGGAAACAACTTAGTGACAATTGCGCTCATGCCGCGATTTTCGACTCCCCCAAGCGAGAACCCATCTCCCGATGCCTTCCTAACACACGCATTGATCTCTTGTCAAAGCTACGAGATGCTGCTTGTCAGGAGCATCGCAAATTCATCTGGCTCTCCGGCGAATCTGGGTCCGGCAAGTCTGCTGTCGCCTTCACACTCGCAGATCAATGCCACCAAAGCGAATTGTACGGGAGCGTCTCGAGAGTCAAAATTGCGGCCACTTTCTTCTTCTCCCGACAAGATCCCCTTCGTAGCAACACTGAACGCTTCTTGCCAACCATTTCTTTTCAACTTGGTCTTATGCATCCGCGTGCAAAAGACACAATAACCAAGGCGATTGCTAATGATCCATCCTTGCTCAAACCAGAAAAATCGCGGACCGAGCAGTTCCTCCGTCTAGTGCTTGAGCCATTGAAGGCTCTGCGGACTTACTGGGAGGGCGATGACAAGACAATACTCATGATCTTTGATGCATTGGACGAGGTTACTGAGACGTCGCATGCCACTGTTGGGCAGCACGTCGACTTCTTCGCCAAGGCTCTCGAGCACCACGGCGTTTCAAACAACCTTTCCATCTTACTCACCAGTCGCCCCTACGTTCTGATCCATAATGTCATCAGTCAAACTAATCCAGCAGTACATTACAAGATGGAAGACTTCGATGCTCGGAGCGATATAAAAACCTTCCTCAGATCCTCTTTCGACGAGCTCAAAAGTGCGTTTCCCCGTTCTTTGGCCTTTCAGTCTTGGCCTTCGGAAGAGAAATACATCGAGTTGCTGGACCTGGTAGATCGACGTTTTGTTATCGCCGATACCGTTGTCAAGCTTTTGAAGCGAAAGCGTCCGGAGAGTTGTCGAGCGTTTCTGGACGCTTTCTTACAAAAGCCAAAACTGAACAGTATCGACGAGCTGTACCGCTTTGTTATCGCCTCCTCAGGTGACACCCCAAAGGTTGTGCCCCTTCTAGTCCTCATTTTATCCTTGTGTCAGCCGTTATCTCCTGAAGACCTATCCAGTCTTGTTGATTACGACGTTCGACCTGTCCTTGATTCCGTGACAGCTATCCTCCATCTCCCTCCAGTCGACTCAACAGAGCCAATCACAACATATCATACCTCACTTCGCGACTTCTTTTGGGACCCCTTGCGATCCCATGACCTCTATCTTAATCCTCTTCAAGCTCACTGTCACTTATCTCACGTCTGTTTGGTACTCATGGATCGCACGCTCACCCAAGATATCTGTGGTTTGGGCGATCCTTCAGTGCCTCATAGCGATGTACAAAACTTCCGCTACAGACGAGACACTGCTATATCTCCTGCGCTTGGTTATGCCGTCAACAACTGGCTCCATCACTTGTGCGAGGCGTCGCCAGACGTTTCCCTATATAGTCTTCTGCAGTCATTCGTCAAGACTCATCTGCTCCATTGGATTGAAGCCACCTCGATACTCGGGACTTTGGATGTCGCAGTCGCAGCTCTTCTACCAACACTTGCTACTGTAAAGGTACGTGCCAGCTTACTCCTATGACATCCGTTATTAAATACCCATACGCCTAGACGTGGGATTTTCTGCCTGAGAAGGATGTTATCGTTGCACTCCTTTACGATGCATATCGACTCATGAATGAGTTCTTTGAACCCATCCAACAATCAGCCCTTCACGTCTATCACACAGCGCTCCTGCTCTGCCCCTCCAATACTAGTCTTAGAGAGATTTACCGCGAGGACCTCGAAGAGCTGCCGACACTCGTTGTTGAAGGCCTTAATGAATACTGGAGTTCTGTGGTTCGAAGCATCGACTTCTCAGGCTACGTGCGATGTATTTCATTTGACGGTCGGCTGGCCGCTGTGGATAGCCCAGAAGGCACCACAATCAGAAGAATAGAGCTATGGGAAGTCATGTCCAGCGTGATGGTCGCCTCTCGGTCGGTACGGCCTTCGGAGGGAAACGTCCACATCGGGCGGATTGACTGCTGCTTTTCCCGTGATTCCTCTTGTCTAGCTTACCATAGCCAGACACTCAAAGACAACGTGGCCGACAATGACATTGTTGAGTTATGGCTTCTCTCGACAGATGTTGTCCTTTCTGTCCGGATATCAAGTATAAGCACGTTCGCTCTCTCGTCAGACGGAGGCCGTCTGGCTTGCATCGGCAAAAACTCAACGTTGACTGCTTATGTCACAAATCATGCGCCCACCTTTATTACACTCTGGACAGCTCCATCCTTTGCGGCGGGTCAACTATCTTTCTCTTTTTCGGATTCTTGGATTCTTTCGCACAATAGGCAGTTGCGATCCGTCGCAGTATGGAATAGCCTCAACGGGGACCTCGTGCACCAGACGAACTGCAGCGCTGGGGAGTGGTTTACAATAACCCCTGACGAGACTTCCGTCGCTCGACTGCAATTGGAAAAGCATGAGTCACTGCATGACGGTTCGACCAGGATGTTCAAAAGCTATTCTCTGAAGTTCGCTCCAATAGTAACCCGAAGAACATCATTTGTATCGGATATACTCGGTTCTTGGGGGGAGCAAGGCAACGACAGTGGCTCAGTACCCGAATACGAAGTTGTTCATTTTCCTGGGCATCCAATCATCAAAATTCGTGGTGTCTATTACGCGGTGGATTTTCGAGGCAACCTAACATGGACATCTGCGCTGGCAACATGCAACAGTGATAACATGCACCCAATTCCGTATCTGGCATGGAGGCGTCGCATCGTAATTGTTGACCCCTCCTTGTCCGCTTCTCACTTTCAGTATCCTGAAAGTCTTGGAGTCTTCTCGGGTCAGAGGAGGATCGAGACAATACCTTTAGATGGATGCAATAATTCCACCTTTGTCATGATGACAAATTTCGATGCTCATGGACGGGACGAAGTACGCATTGTCATCCGAAATACGAAACACGGTTGGAAGCCTGCAGTCTCTCTCCCAAGACCATACAACGGATGTCTACCATGGTGCTCACAGGATGGAACATACATCGCTCATCGAACAACGTCAACTACTTCATACGTCTACCAGACCTTCCCTCTGAAACGCCTCTTCAGCATCAATCATGAAGTCAACATCTCCCGGTCTTCCTTCTTCTTCTCTCCGACATCTACATATGCCGTCCTCGTTGATGAAACCTCCATGACTGTTTCCGTTTATGCCATCCAAAGCGGTGAACAGGTCGTGGGTATTGCTGTCAACCAAGCATCAACTCGTCTGCCTAGTTTGAAGTTCAGCGCGAATGTCTCACCAGATGACAGATACCTTGCTTGTTTCCGGTACTCTAGTGCATCTTGGCCACATTCAAAAGACCGACTTCTTCAACCCTCAGTAATCGTTTACGGTCTGGACACCGACAGCAGGAGCTCGGAGACACAACAATACACTACCTTTGACATCCAACCTTCGCTGACCCCACCTCTCTCCGTCCGCTTCTCCAAAGACGGCGAGCTACAATTAATGATGTCACCTTCACAAGCTTTGTTACGCTTCGCACACCGTCCCATAGGCAGCAAAGTCACATGGAAACTTGCTGAATACCGACAGTCACGCCATCCTAGCTTCTCGGACACTTCCTTTGAAGTAGACTTCCAACTCGACATCGTCTATGCGAGATGGTCCCCACACAACGATCGTCTTCTCATGAGAGGGTTGAACAAGGACACTCAGCAAGGAGTCCTCGCATACTTCGAGAAGAACGTAGATCCTGACTCAGGCTCGCATTCTCTCGTACAAAGATCTGGATTCAGTCCGAAGAATCACATTGATATAGAGTACGACACTTCCACCTGGTCCTCCTTCTCTTTGCACCCCGATGGCTGGCTTTGGGAGGGACAACGTCGTCGCGTTTGGATTCCACAGCAGTACCGACCTTTGCGGTATCTGGGACTTGTTAGCGTACGGTATACACACACGATACGAAGTTTTGGGGACGGTGTTCTCATTCATTCTGAATTACTGGAACGTCCGTTGATTCTGCGATTCAGATAGTGATGTACACTTCGTGGCCTAAACTTCGGAAATGCAGAGAATACCCATATATGTAGCTGAATTTGACGATGGTTTAGAACATGGAAACACGAGCAGAGGGAAATATACCGCGAAAGGACAGGTCGATAAATCATGCCATGCGCTGGCACCGTAGTCGCCTTGCCACTGATAGATAGCGCGAATGGACGTACCTTGAGGTGTCGACAGATTGGGAAAGGGTTCGTCCCCCCTGAGGCAACCGATCAATGACGGCCCTGGACAAACTGGCAGAGGATCGAAGGAAAGTTTGCCAGATTACGCCTTTGATACGGGAGAAGCGACAGGTGGAGGTGGGAGAGTTGAACTTCGATGAAGGGGGTGACGACGACGATCTGTTTGGAACACGTGGAACCACAGTGATCTGCAGCAAACTAAAGAGGAGGAAGGCGATGCGGATGCTCCAGTCAAAGCTTGTGATAAAACCCAGCTTTACCCTGGGCAAGATCTCACCAACTCTGCTTGCTGAAGAGTCCTATTAGTGGCCGCAACTTGAACTTGAAGGGAGAACCTGCCATCAACATGGTCCGACATTGACGAATTGGAACCTCCGAGTTCTGGCAGAGCCCATGAATTGCCTGGCTGGGTGCCTCGTCATATGAGACTCTTCCTTATGGATATCTCTCCTATATAGGTGTTGAGCAAGACCTTGAAGAGCTGGTTGGTTGGCGCAAGAAACAATCTTTTCTGCTTAGTAATGGCCCATTACACGATGGAGGGGAGAGCACAGCCACTTGGCTCGCGCTACACGGACATCCCATCGCTTGTGATCCCAGGCCCCAACGCCCAACACAGCGGCACGACATTGCCCGACATCGTCACAGACTACCGACGAGAGCCAGGCGAGCTGAACACTTCTAAGTGAGACTTTCAGACTCTATCATCCATACTGGACACGCTTGCAAGTCTGTAGTCGAACATGTCGGTCATCTCCACCCAGATCCGCAACTTCAAGGAGCCCACCAGAGAGCAGCTCAACTATGTCTTCTTTTCGATGCCACCACCACCGCCACCCAAGCTGGGTGAGGAGGAGCTGGAGAAGATGGAGATCAATGCGGTGCTCAGTTTAGGAGTGGCAGAGGGGAACGCCGAGGATGCGTATGTAAGTTCAACGCTACGCCAGTGCTCTCCTCCCAGAAATGCGTTCTGAACAGCGATAGGCAGGCAAACTGCACCTGCTGCCTCCGTATCTAGCCTTTACTTCGCTGGACCGCAAGTCCGTTCGGTTCACGCTGCCGTTGTCCACGATCCGACGCGTCGAGAGGTTGAATGCGCGCGCAGGGGTTTACGCGCTGAGTCTGGCAACATGGCATGGGATGAAGATCGTGCGTCATCGTATATGGTTCCATAACAATGTTACTAATGCCACCATAGATCGTTCAACTAACATCGCTACGCCCCACTGCCGATTTGTTCTGCTCGCTCCTCCGCAATGCCCTCAAAGACCAACTTCAACGCGGTCAAATGAAGAATGTCAAAGGCTTCGTCAAGACATGCTACTCTGAACTCCTCATTGCTTCGACATCCTCATCACCCGAAAACGAGCGAGAAGATGGGTCCCTTCTGGACGACAAGGACGGTGTGCCATCCGAAGTGGCCTATCACGGCGGGCTTGGTTTGCGATTCAAGTTTCCCGGCGATCCCCGAAAGTAAGAATTGCTTCCACCTTAGCGTCTGTCTCTTACGCAACATAGACTGCGCGAAGCATCAAAAATCAAGCTGTGGACTACTTATCTCCGAAGTATGTACGCAGTCGCCTCATTCTTTATCTCACCCAGCCGCTAACTTGTAATAGACCACGGCCGCAACTTGACACTCCTTCGATACCCTCAGTGCACGCGACTTGTCCAAGTCGGTCTGCCAAATCGGCTGCGAGGGGAGATGTGGGAGACGCTGTCGGGTTCAATGTACCTCCGGTACGCGAACCCAGGTATGTACGAGAACTTGCTTGAGGAGATTAAGGGGAAGACAAGCCAAAGCTTCGAGGATATCGAGAAGGACTTGCACCGGAGTCTTCCTGAGTATGCTGGATACCAAGCAGAAGAGGGTATCAGCGCTCTGCGGAGGGTTCTGCAAGCGTATTCGTTGAAGAACCCCGATGTTGGGTATTGTCAGGTGTGCTGTGGTTATAACACCTCATCTTCGCGCCAGCTAAACGTCTGATACAAGGCCATGAACATCCTCGCCGCAGCAATCCTGATGTAAGGGGTATTCGTGTCGACATCATCGTCGCTGACATTTGGTGTCAGATTCATGTCAGAGGAACAGGCATTCTGGCTACTGGAAGTGTTATGCGACAGGCTTCTACCCGGATACTACAGGTACGTCTATCCCCCCACGTTCCATCCGTCATATCTCTCACTCCATTTTTAAAGCCCGACTATGCACGGCACGCTCTTGGACCAACGAGTGTTTGAGTCTGTCGTGGCAAAGACGCTACCCATCCTCCATGACCACTTTATGTCTGTCGATGTTCAACTCTCCGTTGCGTCGCTGCCGTGGTTCTTGAGTTTGTGAGCATGTTTCTTTATCACCCACTAAGCCATGCTAACAAGGTTTATCATAGGTATATCAACAGTATGCCTATGGTATTCGCGTTCCGGATAGTAGACTGCTTCTTCTGTATGGGGCCGAAGGTTCTATTTCAAGTTGGGTGAGCGCATTCTTGAATCGTCGAAAGCAGCGACTAATATTCCTTATCTCAGCCTGGGTATGTACATATCGGGCTTTCCTGTGTCGTCTACGTGCTCATGGTTTCCTAGCCATCCTTAAGATTAATGGCGAGAAACTGCTCCAAATACAAGACGATGGCGGATTCCTCAAGTAAGCCTGACATTAGCGTGATCACTATGATACTAACCATCCGCACAGCCTCATGCGCGACTACTTCACCACCCTCGGCGACTCCGCTCACCCTAACTCGACCGATCCGCGTGCGAAGGCAATCACGAACTTCCAAGAGCTCCTTCTCGTTGCTTTCCGTGAGTTCGCGCTCATCACGGACGAGACCATCCTCGCCGAACGTCGGCGCTTCCGGAACGAGATCGTGAACTCGCTCGAGTCGTTCGCGAAGCGCTCCGCCGTGCGCAACCTGCACACCATGGGCCGGTTCACCAAGAACCAGTCGGGCCTCATCTACGACGCGCTGTACAAGGCGATATGCGAGGCGCCGCCGCCGCCGGAGCTCGCCACGGTCGCGCCCCCTCCGACGCTTTTGACGACGACGGACGCACCGCTCGACAGGATGGAGACACGGGTGGGGATGAGGACGTTCCAAGTTTTCTTGAGCGAGGTGGCGACGTGGGCACGGGACGAGAAGATTGTGCTTAATGGGTTTCAGGTAAGGTTGCTTTAGTCATGCATTCGAAAAGGCTCGTTTTTGCTGATACGATTTTCGTGCAACAGCAACGCATAGATCGGGAAATTCCTGAACACGAGTTGATCCACCGACTATTTTTCTTCTGGGACACGTCGTGCAGCGGGTCGCTGACGCTGCAGGACATCGTTTCGGGTCTGGATGGCGTCATGTTCAATGATCTGATGGAAAACATCGAATGGTATTTCAACCTGCATGATAAGAATAAGGACGGGTATCTCACGAGAGATGAGGTGTTGACGCTGTCGGAGTCGTTCTTGGTGCGTTGCTCTTCCTGGTCTTCATGCAAGCAAGATGCTCATATTGAGCCTTCGTGTAGTTCATCTTCAGACACGAAGTCGGCGACGCGTATTTGGGCGCTGTCAGTCGGTTCATGACAAACGCATTTGAGTACGGCGACGCGTTGCTCCCGCAGGAGGAAAACCCTGAGACGGGCGAGATGCAGCCGAAGCAGCTCGAGTCGAATCAGCCCTATCTCAACCTTGCTACGTGCGTTCCCCCGCTCACTTGGCTAGTGAGAATATGTCTTAAAATGCTCATGTATATCCCTAGATTCCGTATGGTCGTCCTCGCCGACGAAATACTCGAATCTTTCTTCGAGGCCGACCTCTCAGGCTCCTTCCGACTCGAGCCCGTACCAGACCTCGAGCTACCTACCACATCGGGCAACTTCCTCGGCGATCTGTGGCAGAACATTGCGACGGCCGACAACAAGCGCATCTTCCACAAGTTCTCCGACGAGCTCGGGAAGACCATCGGGAAGCACCAGATCGCGTATCGCCCAGCAATCGGGCGATACAAGAGTCTCGAGGAACCCAAGGCAAGGGAGAGTTTACTTTCCCCTTCGCAGATGCATCCCCAGCGCATGGAATCGCCTGCACAGTCGGTGGGTGACAGTGCCGCTTCTGCGTCGAGTGTTGGGAATACGAGCACGAGTACGCTCGTTGGGTCCTCGGCGCCTTCCCAGGCGACAGGCGGATCGAGCTCGCTCACGGTCGATGCATCCGCTGCGGGCCATGCTGGCGATGGCAGCCCCACCTCTGCAGCGCTCTCTTCGGCGGCCTCGGCATTGCCTGCGCCTCATGAGCGCGCTGTGAATGCCGCGAGGACATTGTTGGAGCGCACACCGTTTGCGATTGATGACGTGGGAGATGACGATGAGAGCGACCTGGATCTGTTGCATGGGGAGGACGATGACCAGGTCATGGACGAGGTTCGTCCTTCTCCGCCGACTAAATGTATAGAACCGTTCCTGACAAGTGGATTGCGGGGCTCCCGCTCCAGGTCGACGCGTTCCTTGAGGAGAACGACCAGGGTCTTACGGATGCGGACAAGGAGCTCGCCAAAGGTTCGTTCTCTCCTCGGCCCCGTCCTTGTTAACTTAAGCTAACGGAACTTTCCACATAGATCTCATCCATGCCGAGCCTGTGAAGTAGTGGAGGGATCTCGCTCGCTCGAGAACGCGTCTCCGGAGCCGCCGAGAAGGCACGAAGGTGGAGGCGGTGATAGGAGATGGAGAAGTTAGAAAACCTTAACAATTTACAACCCAATGCTCTCTCGGCCTGTACCGCGGAAGTGGACCATGGCCACCATCGGATGGATGTCACGCATGTATATGCTGTATTTCTAGAGTCTAAAATCTCACCCCTTATGCTTCTTATGCACAATGGAAGTCGCTTTGCATCTCCCGCGCCCTTCTTTTTGAACTCTGGCTCTCATATTGTGTTGATGCTCGCCGCGTGCTGGAGTTGTCTGAGACTCTATGTTTGCATAACTTAGGTACATCCTATTGCCCCAATCGTATTGGAAGGTTGAGATTATGAAGAACCCAGCAAATTCTACTTATCCAGCCCGATCGTATTTAGAAAGGTAATGAATAATCCGACATTGAAGTTTTCAGTGCATGACAAGTTCAACGCTAACTAGTTTACGAAAAGCTTGCTGAGATTGCTCGCACTAACGGTTGCAAAATTCGGCCTAATAAAACCGAATGCAATGACGGCTGCCTCCGGACCGGGGCGCCGAACGCTCGGTGACAAAAATAGGGGCTTAGTGATCACACCTGCTAGTGCGCTATCCAGCTCCCAGATTGTCCATGCTTTCGCTAGGCTTGCGCTCGCTCTATCTCGATCATGAAGTCTCGCATTCCCCTCTTATATGTATGTTCTATGTACAATCCCTTTCCTCGTCCTACTGATGTAACTGCGGTTGCTGTGATCTCATGCAGGGCTCAGCCGCGTTCGGTTTGGAGGGCACGCTAGGCACACGCATACACGATATCGATGAATGTCGGAAGGTTGCTGAATACCTGAGCTCGAAAGGCTACCACGAGTATGACTGCGCTCGCAGGTACGGTGATGGGTCGTCAGAAGAAGTAAGCTGACGTTACTTTACGACGTTAACTTATGTGGACTTACGCTTCGTCAGTTCCTTGGGAAGCTGAGGGACATGGGCGCTCTGGAAGGCGCTATTATCGACACTAAGTTCGTTTCTCGTTGTATTGAGATCGAACAAATCCGACTTACAGCCACCGTTAGGGTGCTCGTTGCTGTCCCAGGCGCCCCGGGAGACCATACACCCGACAAGATCCGCGCGTCGTTACAGGCGTCGCTCGAAGCCTTGAAAACCGATAAGGTCCGGGTCTTCTATCTGCACCACCCTGACAGGGGCACACCGCTCGAGGAGACCCTATTCGAGATAAATGAGCTATACAAGCAAGGAAAGTTGTGAGTACTTTGAGCCTCGTTTCTATCATGATGAGAGATCGAACATCTACATTTAGCGAGTACTTTGGGCTCAGCAACTATTACTCGTGGGAGGTGAGTATCCAGACTATCATCGCGAAATATGTCGGAGTGGTAATAATGGATCAGGTCGCAGAGATAGCTACAATAGCCAGGTTAAAGGGATGGGTCAGGCCGACCGTGTATCAAGGCATCTACAACGCCCTCGAGCGCAACATTGAAACCGAGTACGCTGCGCCTATCCACCTAACCTGGTGTCTGCTTACTCGTATTTGTTCACATAGACTTATACCATGCCTTCGCAAACATGGACTGAAGTTCATCGCATATAGTCCTATGGCGTAAGCGTTGCTGTGCTGAGCGAGAAGCGTTGTCGCTGAAAATGACCTTCGGCGTAGTCGCGGTCTACTCGGAGGCATAGATCCCAGTGCTCCAGCGAAAGGTAGTCGATGGGACCATAGCTCTTCCGTGATGGCCCCAGGCCTGCATGCGCGTTACAAAGGTTACACGGAGACGTTCGCTCAGCTTACAGAGACTCTGGTAAGCCCTTATGTTATACGCCATGGAAGCTAGAATACTCGCAAACGAACCCCGGCACTCAACTTCCAACCAGAAACGACACAATCTAAGCGGAGCTGAGGTTGCTTTGCGATGGATCCAGCATCACAGCGCACTGGGGCCAGAGGACGGCATCATCCTCGGCGCAAGCGGCCTCCAGCAGCTTCAGGATAACGTTGAGGCTAGGTGAGCACTCGAGCGGAGTTTTCGAGTTAGTAGATGCCAAAGCTAAAGGGAACCTTCAATCACTGTAGTGAGAAAGGGCCATTGCCGGACGAGATCGTGGATGTGCTGCAGGAGACGTGGGTCGTGAACAAGGGACGCTCGCCTCCTTACTTCACGCCCAGCCGGTGAAGTCATATTTCTGACATGTCCGTTATCACGGTGTAATCTCCTAGGATCAATGCAGCAGGGGGATTCCATGGGGGCGGGGTATTCGTGTGCACTGACTGACATACCCAGCGTAAAGGAAAGTTATATGACATGTAAGTTGAGGTCGATCGGAAATGTATAGAAACCTGTGCATCAGGGTTAGTCAGGGACTAAGTAAGTGTCTGCATTCCCAGAACAAAAGAGTGAACGTCCAAAAGGGTGAACGGCAGTCAGCGCATGTCTCAAGGCTGTGCAACATGCATTTACCTCGGCGTTATGTTCTGCAGCTGCCACCATGTTCGCGGTCTCTGGCAAGGGAATTGCCGAAGACGTCGAGACCCTTGCCTTTTTGTGACCATAACGCCGGGATGGGCTCATGAACAGCGAGTGTTCTATTTCCAAACATACATGTCGTCATCCGTATGATGCTGACCCTAGACACATCCTGGTGTTCGGAATGTCGGGGCTAGGGTTAGTTCGGTTTGGTGACTATCAAATAGGAAAGTCGCACGTCAGCTCTTGATTGGAACAAAGGGAGGTCTTGTGAGTTGCCAACACAACGGTATATGAGTCCGGTATGACATAGGCTGTCGTAGGCCCTTACATAGATAGCACAGTCCTTGATGGCATGAGGGCTGAACCTACTTTTATTTTCACGCACGTCATGATATATGAAGGTCTATGTTTCAGGCCCAGATGGCTTGTTACGTCATTTTGCCTGCCCTCCTGCAGACACTATGGGCTCGTGTACAGAAGTCCAGGGTTTCACCATAAGGCTGAGGACGTCTCTGGAAGCGTGTATCCATCGTGACGAGATATAGTACAGACTAGCGAGTGAAAGCGAAGCGAAAACAATAATCTAAGTGCAACGTGCAGCCCATCCCACCCCATCTCATTAGACCCTAGTTGCACACATGCACGCACTCACACTAACATCCCGACCCCAGGCGATCGGCGCCACAGTGATTAGCTGGCTGAACATCAGCGAGTAGATGAATCGATGCGGCTCATACCAAATAACCGGTACGAGGCCACGTCGAACACGTTGTCGGCCCAGCAAACCCTATAGTATCAACGCGCCGATCGTGATCATGCGCTGAAAATAGTGGACCGTGGAGACAAAGGGAAGAGAGAGCAGCGTTGACGTCATGGCTATACGAACGGTCCCATTTCGACGACGATCTCCTGGTTAGCGCCGAGCTTCCAGTTGAGCCGGCCCAGCTCGGTCGGGTTCAAGAGCCACAGAGGGTCCGTGTTGAGCTTCTCGGCGGTTGACTGCATGCTCAGCGCTAGGCGCGACACAATTACGGAGTTAATGGCGAGTGTGAAGCTGGCCGGATGGTTCCCACGTTAGGCACAGCGCTAGACAGAATGGGAAGAGATGGACGTACTCAGAGTAGAGGGCGGGAATGTTGAACTCAGGAATATCGACCATGCGTGCGCCCACTGCAGACCCTGTGGCAGCGACTGTATAATATGGAATTAACGAGTTTACGACACACGAGAGTTTGAGAAAGCACACCAAGAGCAACAAAGAAAACGAAGCCACCACTGGAATCAAGAGAGTTAGAGCAAGTAGTATCGGAAGATCAGAACCCACTCTCTGATCAGCCTGACCATCAGTGGCTGCTTCACTATCTTCCAGGACCCATCAAGCGCCCGAATGACCGTGAAGAAGTACAGCACCAGGTGTATCACAATCTGCGGCACAAAGATGCGCCAGATTCCACTCGCGGACGGAACTGTGCAGCCCAAGAGAGGATACGAAATTGGTAACGACGCGACATCCTGATCGTGGATCTGATTGTATGATGCGAAAAGCGTGGCTAGGGAGGCGACGGTGCAAGCGACGAAGCTGAAAACGCAGGCGTACCGCATCGAGCGGCGATCGGGGAACATGTACCATACGCGGAGTACGAGGATGGCTGAGGGTGATGCGTTAGTACGTTTACGGATAATGTGGCGATAATGGAAGGGGTAGAGTACGCGTGGCGCGGGAGGCACTCACCTTGATTGATGGTCAGCGCGACGATTGAGGTAATAAAGGTGAACTGCATGACATGGTCACATCTACAATATGGCGTCAGTCCCGGTCTTGGCGGCATCCCTTTTACGACAACTTGATGGCACTTACGTCTATAGAGCGAATGTTGTGAGGCAAGGTCAAAACGCGCGCGTTGAGGGGTCAATCGATGGCAATGCATATGAGACTCACCTTCGGTTCGATACCTTCAGTGAAGAAGGCTGATGACGTTAGTCGGCGGTCAGCTGGACTGTCAGGGTCGATGTTTATATGGAGGAGCTAACCTGCAGCAATTGGTCTAGGGGGAGTCAGCTGGATGTTATGATGTGTTGTAGAGTACTAACCCAAAGACCACCATCGGCAGGTATCTATTCTGCAGGAAACCTTTCAGCAACAATATTATCCATACGAAACGCGACTCACGAAGAAAAACAGCACCGTGGTGATGTCCCATGATTCAGCCCAGAAGTACTGTATCTTCGTGACAGAGAGTCATTTAGAGGTCGGCCTCGGTGAATAGTAAGTAATTGTTACTCACTTCGTCCGGAAAAGTCAACATGTAGTCGTATACCAGGATAACTAGTCCCACAAGTGTGACGTAATGGGCATTTTGAGCACCAACGAGGAGTCGCAGGAGAGCGTTCCACTCCTCCTCAAGAGGGCTGGGAACGGATGGCACAGTGGATGCCGTGGGCATGGGCGGTAAGTTCGCATAGCTGAGCATGTCGACACCTGGTCGGCCAGTCTCGAAGAGATTGCAAGGTGAAGGTCGTTTCGTTCGTGGGTAAACTCAGATTATGGTAGAAGTCCAAGTCTTGCCAGTTACAAACGGACAAGCGGGAGGGAAAGCCAAGGTGAAGGAAAGCGCGGAAGATGGGAGAGGACCAGCGCGGCCAACGTTGGCCGTTCGGTATGTAAGTATATAAACCGACCTGGCGCCCGGGGGGTCGAGAACGGCCTACTACCTGCTGATCTCTGATTTGCGCGTTTGGGCCAGCCAAAATGCGGACGCGAGATTGCGGTGTCGCAGTTTCTGAATGAGGGGGCGAGTAAGGGGGCGGAAACTGATTCATGATCGCGGGGCGCGACACCTATATGTATAGGACCAATGAGCACTTGGGGCAGCGGAACAACGGGAGGGCCAATCAGGAGGGGTGGGCCGTTTTGCTCGGTGGTCGTGTTGGTGGGGGTTAGCAGCGACATCACTGTCGCCCTACCGACGGCGCCCGCGGCATAGAGGTAACATAACACCTTTGGGATATCTTAGTGGCGAGAATGGCGTGTGTACAGCCCTCTGGCAAGCTGTTGACAGAATGTCAGCGCTATGTAAGACAGGTTTTAGGCCTGAAACGCTTGTGTCTCCGAGACAGCTGAAACTGATAGCCCAGGGGACCGAAGTCAAACAGTGGCTCGATGCTCAGGAACCTGCAGGAACGCATGATGATGCAAGGATGATGCCTTCGACGGTTACAAGGATCCGATCGAGAAGTGATTTGTAAAAATAGCAGTGCAGCTGTACTTGCACAGCATCACTGCACTTCAAGCTTCAAGTTCAGCAGCCTAAGCCTACGTTGAAGTAGTGATAGAACCAATCGATTACTAACCTTTTTGATAATGCAAGGCTTTGGTATATCTTGCAGCCAAGTTGCAGCGAAGACTGTTATATTGCCTAGTCTGCAAGTGAGGCAAGGACTCACATTCAGCCTTTTGGCAAGCAAGAGTAGGCAAGAGTTCACCAAGTCGACCACGCTCACGGAGACATATTTTTGACAGGTTATGTTCCGAACGTCGTGTGACATGGGAGCCGTTGTTGGTCGAGGTTGATCAAGGCCAAAAGCTTCCTGGGAAACCCCCGGCTAGCTCTTTCGCCGCCGGGAAGTTGACGGAGAAACTTGGGCGAAAACGGGTTTTGGCACTGTTTGTACGCTATATACGAGGGTAAATAGGCAGCAACAACGCGCAGCTCTCCTTGCCGCGACACGCTACGACGGATGACGCGCCCACTCATTGGAGGACACACCGCATGCGTCTGTTCTCTTTCTCAAACTCTGTCATCCAGTCACCCGGGCTTCTCTATTCTACCCTTCACCCCATCTCTCAAAGAGGGCTCGGACGGAACTACAGCAAAGCCCCGAGCATCATCAAGGCGTTCGGTGATGCACGGGAAGCCAGTCTTGTTGGTGTAGCTTCCCAAGTCGGTGCACTACCTAATCTGCATGGACTTCCAGAGGTAAGCTTTGTGCCCCATCGCGTACGTCAGAACGGGGCGTCATTTGGTTGACTATATCATCCGAATGTCGTCCTCTCATCTCTTTCGCTTCCGTATAGGTCATCGTTACAGGTCCGTCCGGGGCGATTCTCCTTATGAAACTTCACCAGCAACCTGGCTCATTTGAAAGCTGTTGGGTCACATTCATCCTCTACCTGTTTTGAATGCTCGCACTTGAACTCTATCGCAAAAACTTCTCGTTGTGGCTCGGTACATATATGCGCGCATGTATGCGTGCGAAACAGGCCGCGCGAACGCGGGCAAGTCGACCTTATTGAATGCCGTTATCGGCCGCAGGAATCTCCTATTTACAAGCAAGAAAGCGGTAAGCTCGCCTCTGTAGCCTATGGTATTGACCCCTTTCTCATGCTGTGTTCTTATGATCCGGTTGAACATCACTGACCGATAACCAATTGGTGAACACTCATTGTATATGTATCTCGCCTACGTCCATCCTGTCAAACCCCAAACGCCAAATAATGCCTCTCCGTATCGCGATTGCCGTATCCTCGTCACACGTCCCCAGGGCCGCACACAAACGCTTAACTTCTTTCGCGTCGGTGGGGATCCAGGAAGACTTGTCGTCGTTGACTCGCCAGGATATGGCGCACGAGGCCGCCCTGAATGGGGGGCCGTGTTCGACGACTACATTCGGAATCGCAATGAGTACGCAACCTTCCATCTTTCATTTGATATTTTTGGACTTTCCCGTTCTCTATCCCGTTCCGTACTTGGATACCATGCATGATCATCGACTGCCCTCATTGAGCCCCCCGGTCCACGATGCCACTCTCCGCGCCCCGTTTGGCCTCCGTGAACTATTTGCGGCGGGGCCGACCAGCGCTCCGTGCGACTTGTATGGACTTCGCGATCGGTCCGACATCATTATTGTCACCATTACTATCTTTGATGAGAACACGCTTGCTAACCTAAAGTCTTGTTTCATGCCTTACCTTATGCCTTTCGCACTCTTCCGCTCGACCATCTCTATGGCCAATTCATGGGCACTTGCCTGCTAACATCGTCATTAACCCTCCGGTCGGCATAATCCACGCTGGTGCAACACGATGTAATGACACCATCAATTATCCGGCACCAATCTTCGGGAATGGTCCATTCGTTCGCATTATCGCCACTTAGGTTACGACGTGTGTTCATCCTGCTGAATGCCAAGCAAGGCCTCACCGATGTCGACGCCGCGATGCTCGAGCAGCTCGGCACTAGCATTGCCTCACGCTCCACGGACAGTGATTCGTACGGTTCCGCGAAACGATCATCAACACCGGTGTCTATTCAGCCTATCATTACGAAATGCGACTCGCTCGGAGCGAATGGGCGCGCGCGCGTCGAGGCTATCGCTGCGGATGTCCGAGAAGCAGCGCCGCCGGAGTGTCTGGTCATTTCCCCACCAATCGTCACTGCGTGCCAGACGGAGCGGGGGTTGCCGCCCTTCGGGATTGATGCGGTACGCCAGTCAATCCTGGAGGCATGCATGGGCATCTCCGGTCGATAGTTTCATCTCTCACTGCTCAAGTACTGTTTTCGGGAATAGAAGACACGAGCCATATGCGCTCACAGACTCGAGAGCAGGTTACGCCTTGCAGAGTCACAGAGGGGTGCCATGCATATATGGACATCTTTAGGTACCTGATCTAATATTATCTCCTCGCGAACCGCTGAGAACTGTAGAGGCCACGTCTAGGATGCTGAGCCCACCTGAAACACTTGAACATGTTCCTCGGGCTAAACATCGTATCACTCTACTCGATGCAAAGACCAGCGCAGACTAACCTTACAGCTGTGAATTAAACGCGAGAACGAGGCACAGAACCGCTGATAACGGAGACATCCGGACCTTCAGTGCAGGGAGTAGCGTCCACTTTCTCCCCTTGCCAAATCCACTGGGACCACGCCACGTTCTTTTTTCTCACAATTTGCTTCTACGTCGGCTCAGGATTCAATTCAGCGATAATTTCGTGGTCAGTTCGGTGATATTCTACCATCCTCACCTCATCTCGTATCACAATTCAATGCGTCGGTATGTGTGTACGGATGTGGTGAAGCGCATTCGTTCGGCGATTGCGCTCTTGTCCACACCTGTCCTTTTCATCCATTGTAGGATGCGGATTCAACCTTCCAGGTCCTATTATTGCCTCGGAATTGCGGCCTTTTCCTTTCCTTTACTTCACAATGGGCGCCGAGATGTTGCTCACAGATCTATGCGATTGCCAGGAAATCCAAAGATCCCGCTGATAGTACGCCAGACCTGTGCGGGGACCCCACTTACAACTCAATTGCGAAGCTTCCGGTATAACGCTCTTTCCAGGTGTTCTCTGTATGCGAGGTGCTAACTTCCCCTTCCTCGCTTCACAGTTACCCCACACCCCACCGGGATTCGCTATCGCTTGTCGACTACCCAATCCTGGAGGCATCGCGTGAATGAACCGCCCTCGGGAGCGCGGCGAACGCAACAAGCTAAATTGCCTCAAGGCGCACGGCGGCTCCTTTCGCGGCCGCGCCCGCACAGCTGCTGTGGATAGGCCGACGGGGTGCATTACGTACACGATCCTCAATGAATTGGCTCCCCGAGTTTGGCAATCCCAGTGCCGCCGCTATTGGTGGTGGGCGCCTAATTTACAGTTAGGTTACCAGGAATTCGGGCCGAGGTGACTATAGTTTATTCTCTTTCCAGAAGGTCGGGCCAGGGCCCGTAGCCTGGTGATCAGCGGCGCTCGCTTGATGGGGTTTGGCTTTCGCCCTCGCGTTCCCTCCTCTCGTTCGCCCATCCCTGCGCCGCGACTAGCTGGTCGCGGATACATTCTCATTCTATGATGGAAAACTTGACAAGCTGGTGAACAAGAGGATATGTTCAACGCTCGGGGCTGCCGGGATGACCCACAGGATGTTGCTCGGGGGACTTATCTCTGGTCTGCCGTTCTTTATCTATCAAACCGCCTATCGTGCTGATGGTGGCTGTTGTCGTGATAATAGGGCCTGGTGATTTAATTTCGAATGTATTTATTGAATTGGCTCCTGAAAACGCGGATGCTGCGAAGCGCATCCTGGGACATTCCCTGGGAGGCTTGGCATTAAAGTAATGGAATTTGTTCGATTTTCTCTTACTATGGATGTGCCACACGCATCACGGTGATACACAGGTGCGTTGTTCTTTTATTCGAAGGAGGCTCAAATTGACTAGGAATAAGCTTTGCATCCCCTCCTGCCTTCCTGGCTGTAGCCATGATACCCAATAATGTCAAGTGTTGGCGACGTGAGTACGCATGTGCCCGCCATCTGTCGGGATCAAAGAGCCCTCCGATGTACGTGTATTCACACAAATTCTGGGGTCCCTCTCAGTTGTGTTCAATGTTCGGGGCTGGAATCTTGGGGATCACTGGATTGCGTTTCTGCATTGTGTATTCCTATTTAGAATGGAAAGGTCCAAGGTTGGCAAGCGCCCCTTGCACGGATGAGGGATGCTCTAAGTTTGCATTCTCACTGAGTTGAGGGTTTAAGGGCTCGAGTATGGAAGTGAACCATGGGAAGATGTACGATCGCATTGTGTGTGCGCCTAATGAGTTGGCCCGAGCTGGTCCCGCTCTGACCACGCACCGCATTCGTCACCAGTTCACCGCATCTATGAGCCAGATCTGCATGTGTCGATCGGGCATACCCAAATCTTGCCCACCCTCCGTTACGTCTTCGTTTTCCCTACCAAGGCACGCGGAGGTGTATGGGAGTCGTGTATGTCTTTGGATGCGCGACGTTGTACTCAAACAGCAAGCCGAGACCGAAACCAAAAGAAGACTCGACTAGTGGGGACCCTTCTCTATCTCGATCGGATGGCGGAGGAGGACTCAACGCATTGAATCCTCCACTCGTCTCGAATCTTCCGGCGGTTTTTGCAAGTGCGCATAAATGGGCGGAGGGACCTATACGGTGTTGACTTATCAGGGGCTTCGTCCTACACCCGCTCGCCTATATAACCTCGCTTGTGCATCAGATCCTCTATCCCCCACTTTTTCTTTGCATTTAGGCCTCCGCGCAGACAGCTCCCATCCGCGTCCACCCCGCGCACTTGTACATCGCCTCTACCCCACATCTCCACTTGACAGGTCCTGATAGGTCATAGTCACCTGAGACCGCGTCTTCAACCCTACATCCGCGTCCTCCATTCCTCATCCTTGTGCCGTGCCGCACGTCACTTACCGGCTCAGCCCCTCGTCAATTTGCGCCCGCGCATATAAGCCTCCGCATTACTCCAGCCCGCTCTTCATCCTTTGCATCATCTCTTCATCAGTTACCACCACCACTAGAAGTCCATACCCATACATAACCCAACACCAACACACTACAGCTCTAGTCATGTTCGAAGCCACGTATAACTCCCTTGCTCAGATGTTCAACACCTCCCCTCCTCCGTACAACCACTTTGCCGCCCCACCTCCACCCAAGGGCAAGGGCAAGCGTGCCCAGTGGGAGCGCCGCCAACGTACCGAGTCCTCCGCCAGCCAGCTCATCATTCCCGTCGTCGGTGTCGTCCCATCCTGCGCCGTTGTGCCCCAAGTTACTGCCCCACCCTCGCCGGACTATCATGTTTCAGGTGGATCGGCTCACGGTCGCCAGTCAAGTGAAAGCGTTGCGCTTTCGCGCATGAGCCGGCCAAGACGGAACGGACGAGATCGGTCTGTTGACAGCGCATTGACGGAGGACACGGAAGGCCTCGACGGCAGCATCCAGGGTTCATTCTCGTCGCGTAGCTCGAGCTTCGGTAGTGAGAAGGAACACGAGCAAGATGATGTACAAGTTGTCCACAAGGAAGGCCAAGAGTTGAGGTAAGCTCCTTTTCTAAGTCATCCCCTTCCTCTCGCCCCCTCTACTTGAGAGCGTGCGCTTACGGTATTGTGTATCTTTGCAGACATCGTCGCTATGCGACTTTCTAGACGTTCTCGACAGTCTGAACAAGCTCGGGCGCATCTCCTGTCCCTTGGGTCTGCGAGCCGTAGCTCCGGTTTCGCCGGGAGACGCCGCAGACGTCAGACTCCACCTTTTCTTGATCATACGCACATTACTCTATCATTCTGATTCCAAGTCTACACTCCGCCCCTTCTTCGACAAAACCTCAGGCGCAGAACGCCCTAGACGGCGCTCAGAGGCTCCATGCGACACTTGACCCACCTCCACCCTTCCATTATCGTCCGAAAACTTCTCCTCAGCCCATCACTGCTATGTCATCACGGCACCTTACCCCCTGGCACGTGAGGCTGTACTCCACCCCTTTTTTCGGACCCTTTTCATCGAGCGCATATGACGATACACTCGGCATCTTTATGGTGTACTACGCTTTGTATGGTTCCTCAACATTTTTCAATTCTGTTGTTTTTCGTTTATATTTCCATTCTCCTCTACGTACGACCGCTTTGTATAATGATACCAGCAGGATTACACGGGAATTGACAACGAATATGTTGGAAACCCATAGACTCATTGTGACCGCATCCAATCATTACCGCAAGGTGTGAACGCTTCGAAGAAGAAACTAACTCAAAGCCTCGTGCTCATGCAGAAGGGTAGCGCTTCCCGACCGCCCTTCACCAGTGAGACTGGTTCTGTTGATCACGTCTATCACCGCCGCTGCATCTGCAACGTTCTCTTCTGAGAACCCTTTGGTCGAAATAGATCTTCCCGTGCTTCGCTGTCAGTGGGAAGCGGCCAGCCTTTCGCGGTACATCACGCCAATGCAACGCTCGCTGTGTTGAAAAGGTGAAGGGCCTTTGTATACCGCACCAGCAACTTCGACCATCGATGTGAGGGTACGCGAGATCAAACCATTGTATCGTTCTGATTATACAAGACAGTGCGATATGATTGTATGGGCTACGTTATCGGCGGCAAAGCCCCTCCAATGACCGCGACTGATAGTGGTTAGTGGCTTTGTAGTAGTAGAGATACCGGGCTTGACATGCCCTCTCGGGCAATAATGAGGGAAGTCTAGACCTCTGACGATGGGAAAGTACAATTGATACTTGGTACTTGCCGGTGATGCTGAAAGGACTTGCCATGTGGATCGTGTTTCAGAGTCAGGCGGTCCTCACAACGTCACAAGACTCACAACGGGGCCATGTCGATGACAGGTGTTTGTACCTGCGAATCGCATACTTATTCTCAGCTACAGAACCAATCATGCTGAGCCGTGCTTCTGCACGACGTCACTGTCGTCATAGACCGTCCGTCGTCCTACTCGTCATATCGGCGGGGAAACCGGGGAATCAACAGGAACGAGGGTGTTAATGCCCCCTCGTCCCATCATATCAGCGGGAGAGCCTCGCTGATAATCTTAGATGTACATGAATGTCGTCAGAGTCCGACTCTAGAATCCATAGAAGCTACTACAACAGACTTGCTTCAAGACTAGCGCATGGAAGGGTTCTGATTCTGCGGCTTCGTCCATCATGGTTGGTTGTGTGTGCTTCCCAAAGCAAAGTTTATTTGGACACCGCATGCCGTCGTCACTGGTGGTAACAGTATGAATGACGGCATCCCGCTCAACTTCCCTTCGAACCCCTGCGCCACCGTAGATATCTGATTTGAGGGCACCGATGGGAAGGAGGGTTTAATGTCGGGGGACTGTTAGCTAAGTTTAGGCAAGTTATTGATGTCCGAATCCAGAATAAGACACAAACCAGTGAAGGGTCGGCCATGGCAAGCGTGCGTGTGGTCATGGTCCGCTCAGACGGTTTCCAATGGATAGTGATCACTCAGAGGACCGCCTCAAACATACTACGAAGTGCGTAGAACGTAGGGATGGTGTCAGCGAAGGGACCACTTGAACCCTCTCTGCGGAGGCTTCGAAGACGGTGTGCTTGTGGTACATAGCGCCGGCGATCCAATGATTGCGCCTACATTCCGTCTGAGGCGGCTACCTTCATTGGTTAAAGTTGATTGTGAGAGCGGAACATGGATGGTCGCTTACAAACAGAGTCTCCGGTGTGAACGTCACGACGGCGACGGGCACCCTCTCAGACAGGGTTTGACCACGTTTGCTTTGGGCAACAAGAATCGGAAGGATTTGACGTTACGGCATGACGTTAAGGAGTGCGCGAATCCCTAGCAAAAGCTAGTGAGACGCTATCTGTTTCTAATCCTATAAACTTACAGCAATTTTGGGGTGAACTTACGGCATGACGCAAAACAACCTGGCCCAGGCCGGTCCTTGATACACGAAAGCGTTTGAAAGTGCATCATCACACGGGTGCACTCTGTCAACAGGCATGAAACGGGGACGGATGAAGACAAAGGTGCGGACATGAACGTGGATGTCGACGCGGGTGAGGCAAAGAGGGCCGGAGGAGTTAAGTTAAGTTCTTGAGATATGGTTCCGGGCTAACGGATCGGCCGATGAGGCAATTGCGAACGTCACTCCCACCGCTGCAGCCCGGCTTGCAGAGTCGACTCTGAGCGCCTGATTCCGGTCCGCACATAAGAACCCGAGAACATGGCGCAGGTGGCCGCATGCTGGTAGCGGGTGTGTATCTAAGTCTTAGGTGAGAGGAGAAGGTGAGCGAACGTCGGGGTTGGGCTTCTTGAAGCAACGGCGTCCGTGTAGAGCGCAAAATGAGAGTTCCAGCCTACGAATAATGCACACAGAAAACGTTAGTGATCAAAGTTGGAAGTTTAACACCAAGTGGCACTCCTTGCGTTGGACGAACGGAGCGCCCGTACAAACAGTTCCTTTCCAGTTTATAGCGCTTAGACAGTGTTTGTCGGCATACATGGAGCTTACCGCAATAGTGGACTAGCTCATGTTTCAAAGTTTGCATTCGAGACGAGCTGAATACAAAAGTGAAAATGGCGTAACAGGTCCGACAAGCGAACATCAACGTTCTCGAAGATCGGAAATGGGCATGGAACGATCATTACATATGACGACCATTGCGGTCCTCGAGAACTCGTTATTGATGAATAGTTGGCGTGCAGCAGCGTGCATACTTACTTCTGACCGATTATCCAGCTAGCTACTGTGGATCAGATCTGAAAGCGTATCATGGAAGTTAGTTAGCATATAAGTGGGGAATGGTGCAGATATGAGGTCACGTTGCATTGACAACAGGGAACACGATAGGAAGGCAACCATGACAAGGTGTCATTAGGTTCTGGCATGACAGTGGAGCGATAAGGGAGGAGAAGTAAAGGGCCCTTACTAGCAGAATGTGTTCGCGGTTATCTGATTAAGCGGTGATATTGATATTGCAGGGTGAATGTTTTGAAAGCGAACTGGCTTGCGGCTTGCGGCCAATGGGTGTTGCAGCCACACTGAATGACGCAGGATGACGAATAAACTAGTAGATGAAAGCCTAGATACCGGATATGAGGCTGTCCCATCAGAAGGCATGATGGTCCAGATGTGACCGGTGAGGGAGTCAACAATAGGATTCCGACAGGATTGATCAAGTCGACCTGCCTCAGCCTGGTTTTCTGCTCATTTACCAATCTACAGGGAGGGCACTCTCACGAACGAGCGATAGTCGCATACGGAGAACGACCTTCACAGTATCACAAAGTGTCAGGGCTTGGCCAAACGTGTAAAGCATGAAACGGGTACGTGACCTAGTTTGCGAGCCTCACCCTCTGTTTGAACCGGGTCGTTAGTCGCTAGCCCTGTGGATACGGACGTATCGGTAATCCTTTGCGGTATGTGCGTGCGACGAATGACTCGCAAAGCGGCGTTGACATACAGTCCGATGGAATGACGACGGACATCGAGCCCGGGCCAACCAGCGTGCTCGGATTTGACGATCGGGGCTTTTGTGGGTAGGAGTAAGCGCCAGTCGTCTACGATGACCCACATGAGAAGAGATGTATTTGAGATGCAACTGTAAAATGCGAAACATAGGCTTCAGAAGTTCGGTGAGAGCTGAGGAGACTGTTTGTCGTCGGGCTGGGATCTTCACCTTATCTGATTGGTTCGTGCGAAGAGAACAAGGGCTATATCGGGAAAGGTGAGCCAGGCATAGACATGTCGAAGGATGAAGGATACTCCCCCTTCACCGATATGATACATCGTATGGATGCTCATACGATGATGTAGCCCGTGCGGAAGAAGCGCAGAGTGGTTTTGGTTTGATAGGAGATGTTTACGCCTGTTAGATTTCAAAGCTGTTGCCAAACATGTGCAATCACCATGGGATCAGTCTCAGCCGTTAACCAGAACCGCTACTCTTGACCTTGCCCTAAACTTTTCTTATCCCCGCTTAAAAACCTCTGGAGTAAGTATACAATGATAGTTTTGAAGTAGAATCTTCTAGGAGGCTTACCGGGGACGTATTGTACTTTGATCATTGTTCGGGGCAATCTTTTCTATGACCCGGGAATTAGGGAAAGACAACTTTTTACCTAGAGTTTTAGCCATTCATAGACCTTAACATGGCCTCGGATAAAGCATATCTACTTACCTAAAGAAGTAGCTTTGTGCACTGACGTTCCACCATCGGTATTAAGGGTGAGTCCGGGTAGGAGTAGTAGGCACGATGATTTAAACTCTGTCCGGCTATTAATGGGGAAAGCAAGCCGTAAAGGCTCTAATTGCAAATTGAAGATATCATTGACGGGCGACAGGAGCTAGGGCATCATGAGCCCCACTCTACAGTGCTTTGCGGGACACAGTACCATACATATTCAAGGCATCTCGCTTCCAGGAGCCAGCCGCATTCTTCAATAAGGACGCGAAGTTCTCCACTGGATCCAGTGTAGATTTTTACCCCCTCGGCCTCGAGTGCGTCGGATTGAGCACACGCCCCGGTGTTGGAGATAATGCAGGATGTTGAAACGACGCGATACCACGGGCCTGGAATTGTAGTTTTCGAGATGAGCTTGACGGCTATAAGATTCAATTTAAACTTCCCAAGCCTACGGGGTATCGTAAACCCAAGAGAGGCGTACCTTCTCTGATGCGCCTAGTTGCTGAGGGTTTATGCAGCAGTTTGGCTATTTGACCTAGGACTCTAAAGTTAGAAATAATGAAGGTTTAAAGAAAAGAGACGTGCACGCACCACATGTTACGACCTTCCTCTTTGGGATGAGCTGGATGATTGCATAGACCTAATTGGCATGGTCAGGATTTACTCAGCAACAGTAATATTGCTACCTTACTCACAGCAAGGGTGAGCTCTTCGTTGTTAATCGACATATGATGGGTGTATGTGGTGACGAATGAATGGTGGTAAAGTAAAGAACGTGTATGGAGAAACTCTTTCGAACATCAAGATAGCGAAAGATGAGTGAAGTGCCGCTCGTAGTTGGAGAAGGATGACCGTAGGATGACTTACTATAATGACAGCGGATATTGCTGTTATCTGTAATGTAACGGAGAGCGAAAGATGACAGCCAAGATGACAGCAGGTATTAGCGGCGAGGCAGCAGTTTTAAGTCACAATGGGACTATCGCCAGGTCTTTATAGCTGGACGTCTGCGCTTGCCCGTATGAGACTTCTGACATACTGTACTTTTTCGACCATTCGCTCGTGGGAATATCTTTCCTAATACGGATTGTCCCGCTTTTTTGTTCGCGGCTCGGGATCTGCATAGGACATATGTTCGTCAGGGGCTAGTTAACCTGCTCCATCCGAGACACAACAGCCTCGGGACAGTACTGGTCGTTCACTGTCTTTCCATTCCTTCCAATCTTTAAACCATGAGGTGCAACTTGCATATGTCAGGGTATGCATCAGCATAGTTGAATGCTTGAGATCATGGTAAGTTGTCCACGCCACTCAGCTTGCTAAAGGAATTGACACTCTAGGTCCTATCTCTGGCTTGGCTAGCCCCCGATGTCGCACTACTGACTCTCAGTTGTCAATAGTCCGTCATGTTGCTCAATGTAGCAGATACAAGGTATGTTCCCTCTCAACTTGTTGTTTCTCTGTAGTCTTCTAGTGTTATGACTCTTGAGGCTCATGAGGATTTCAACAACTCGTAGATCCAGCCCTGCAACCTCATAACTCAGACCCTCCGCCCTGATGCTATGCATGACTCAGAGGCTGGTCTCGGAATGGACAACAACATTAGCCGGGTAAACAACGAGGGAAACATCGCAAGGTGTCTAGCGAGTGGTACGACGAGTTCTTAGGCCATTAGAATAGTCAGGATTACACTGGAGGAAAAAATAGAATTTATATTCATTTTTCGCGCGATTTTCCCGAATGTCCCGCTTTTTTGTTCGTAAGTGGCTATAGAGGTGGGACAGTCCCGCCAAAAATGTTCGTTTACCCGGTCCGTGGGACATGGGACGAGCAAACGGTCGAAAAAGTACAGTATCCGTATTCAGCTCGCATCGCTAGCGAGCGTTTCTTGATACTCGTGTGTAAAACTAATCCGCCAGGGGCCGCAGGAATGGCCATGAGGTAACTTCATCACCTGTAATAGACCCATTGCCGAGTTGCCGGAAAACCTGGATGGGCAATCCGAAGGGTGGTTCATTCCTCATGTAACTTTACATCCTAGTTTCTCTATCTGTATGGTTTTTGTCTTTATCGGAACACCGTGCAAGCGGGAGATAAAACGTATCGAGCGTATCTTAAATTTACGTGCTGTAGTATCAAACACATTTCTACTGGGTTGTGCCTCGGAAAAAACGTAAGTTCTACCCGAGGCCATTGAGTCCATCGGAGCGGCTATGTAGCCTCGGCTAGGACTCGCATGTTGTCTTTCCCCAACGCTAGACCGCGGCAATGGCGTTAGCCCGGCTTAGGCACCCTACCGTCACCAGCACCGAAGAGAGCTACAAGTAAGCGATTTCTGAGAGCTGGAGTCTTTCGTGCTGCTTAGGTGTGAGAGATTTCGGATCCCTTTCTTTGCAGGGTCACTCAGGGCCACGGGTGACACTTAGAGTGGCTTCCTGTAGCTTCAATCTTCTGTGACAGAGATTGTACACCATCAAATCAAAGGCTGCCCGCCCTCGATAGACGTTCACTCAATATCCCTGCTTTCTTGGGTGTGTAATTTTAGACTTTGATGAATCAATTAGGCTTCGTCTCTCAGGATCCATAGCGTTGATACTTTACCTATAAGTATCGGCTTAACGCCTTAGCTGGAAGATGTCCTACCCATCACAGGCTCACTTTCCCCGACTGTACACAATGTTCGAAAACGCCCGATTGTACTAGGCTACCGTATCCAGTGCCGTCGCCACTGATTCGACATATTCAGGATATAGAGGCATTAATGATTGGGGCCTCTATGGCCAACCATGCTACTGAATGGCAACTCGAAGCTCACCAATGCTACCAGTATAGATATCAACTCCATCAGCTGCGGGTGCAGGTGGTAAACTAGATGACTGATTATATTCTTAATCCGCTTGCGTTTACGACAAGGTCTGGCGACTTTGGCAGATATTTCTCGAGAAATGGGAATCAGGTATGAATCCAGTAAATCTTTACATTTGATTCAAGCGTTCTTCGTTAGCAACCAGTTGATAAACGTGCCCATCCGCAGGTTAGTACTATCCGTGAATGATCTGCGCGGCAGCGGCGGACAAATCAGTGCGCAAATGACAGCGTGGAATCCACTGATTCATTGTTCTGAATGTATATGTTAACGTGTTCAGTACGTTCTTGTTTCGATTGATGTCTGGCCAAGAGCAACCTATTTGGCTGCAGGCCGGGTCCGTTTCTTGGACGAGCTGTCTACCTACAAAAAGACATCCCCTTCTCACATTCGGGTGCCCAAACGGGATGCTTGATGCGCATTCAATGGAACAAATCGCGCTGTGAGATGCTATCGTGATGCATTGCAGCTTATAGAAGGCACAACTTCTAATGCATGCCCAGGAACTGATGCCATGGCATCATAATTGATACATACATAATGAATGACTTGTGGCGTTCGAACAATTCTCCCACCACAACGCGAATCTCATCAGTGATCACGAATTGATGTAGTTAAGGCCATATAGGGCACAAAGCAAAGGACCAGAATACGCAGCAGCAGGATGGTATTTTGCATGCAGGAGACGAACTTTTACGTGGGAAGAGCTGTGCAAATTCAAATGAGAATTGTATATAAAGCCTGAGCCTGAGCAATCGAAGTGCTAGTCAGTACTCTTGATGGACTCGTCAGAAATATTGACGCTGCAGCTTACCCAAGTGATCGACCATGTTTCTAGTGAGTTGTTAGACCTGATACTGAGTACAAACCCAGCTGACGGTGACTGTCCCTCTAGCCGCCATAGGGGCCTTATCCATTTACAGGATTTGTAAGTAACTACAAATTATTTGGGTGTTACCAGCTGCAGAACACGCAATTTGCATGCCAATGTACCATCCCTAGTACTAAACCTAGATGTGGAGGCAAGCCTTGACCAATCCGTTTCTATTCATTTCTGAGCTTGTTTGTTATGCATTGTGTTAGATCGAGCTTATATGGGTGAGTTGAACTTCTGGGGTCCGGTTTTCGCCCCTAATTTTAGGACACTTGCCATATCATCAAAGACAAGACCTTCAATGCGCTCACGGATACCCTATGTCCTAGTAAGATCTATTCACTAAAATATCGGCTGATGCTAACTCGTTTTGTCTCTCATGGAAAGCTCACTTATGGTGGCGCGTTTTTGGGACTGTAAGCATTTACCGTATAATCATTGGCCACCAATGAGTATGCTAACTTGTGCTGTGTGGCTATATGATGAAGGATTGAAATTCGTAAGAAATGAAAACTGTTTGTATCAAAACAGGAGGAAATCTAACGGTCATTGTCCTAGCTACTTTCAAGACATACAGTGTAAGTGTTATTTGAGCATGATATGGTTCTTTATCAATTACTTATTTCGCTCGTCATAGGGGTATGTTGCTGGCAAAAGCTCTAGATTAAGCCTTCCTGAGTCTTTTATCCTATATTATTTCCTCCAGATGTTTGTATTTCCACGCTCTCAGTTTGAAAGAACCTAAAAATATTCAAATGCACGCATACCTTTAGGCAAATTCTGGGTCATAACCGCAAGATGCATATTGACACCTTTATTTCAGACAGTCATAAATGGTGCATGGAAGCCTCTTCCGTCTGCATTGAGATACTTGCTCAACATTTTATTTCAGCAATGATGGCGCTTCGAGTACTTGCCATGCATAACCATTCTAGGAGAATCCGTACCTTCGTGGTTTCCTGCTTTGTGATTGTCCAGGTGATCAACATCGCTCATGCTTTTGCTCTAGTCATTCAACCTCAAGTATCTGGTAAGTCTCTACGTTCATCAAGCGCCTCCCGCTCCTATGTGGTACTGTGACTGATCTTGTATCTAGTTCTCCCCGTTTTGGGTTGCAGCTGGACCCCTACGGAGACCAACTTTGTCCTCCAAATTGGCAACATCATCGCGCTTTGCATCTATGATACTGTCCTGCTTTTGTTGGCATTGTATAGCATTGTTCGAGACCGTGGTTTAGCAAGCAATTTTGATACACTGTGGGCTATATTGATGAGAGACAATGTTCTCTATTTTATTATGTGAGTTGCAGATTAAATATATGCTCAAGCAACGCTAATTAACACTCCCCAAGTGCAACCGTCTGCTGGGCAATTAGTGTAACCTCTTTCATACCTGGTTTTGTGGCAGTGGTAAGGGGTAAATTTTATTACGAGATGATTACTACTCATCCTATATTGATTATTCACTTTACTAGAACAGTTTTGTTTACGCAGTGATAAGCTCCTCGTCAAGCTGCTATTTCTGCACAATGCTTGGGCCTGTCATGATACTAAGCATTCGGCAGTTTGATGCCAAACGAGTTCAAATTGGTACAACCAATATATTAGAAGCAGACACCATAGAGTTTGCTACACCTGGAACGGGCTCGCAAGGAGGTGTACAAGTGATATCCACGATTGAAGGAGAAGAGGCATAGAAGACTCACTTCAAGATAGCGGATGAGAATTCTGATTCGGTCTTTTCAACTAGAAGCTTGGAGGAAATAGCTTACTGATACTTCTTGATATATTGATTTCTTTATGAACTGCGGCTCGAGTAGAGTGCACAGTATCAAGTATTTATTTTGCCATCCCTTCTTGTCGTCTGAACGTACATGTTACTCGTCTAGTCTGCTAGTGCTGTAGATAGCAAATAGTCTCATGAACTCAAAATTTGCTATCGGCGAAGCCTCTCAATGCCGCTTAGTAGTCACTAGCCTTCACTAACGTTCACTCTCGATGTTCGCTTCCTTTGGACCTTTGGAAATCGAGAGCTTTTAAGTGTATGGGTCGTCTCCCAAGAGTGTTGAAGTATAACTATATCTCAACGGTAAGCCTTATTAAGCCTTATCAGAAGCCGAACAGGCTTAATCATTCTCTGGATAGTCTTCCAATAGTCTTCGGTAAATCCTGTTTTTACACCACCCTTCGTTTTCACTCCGAGAGTGGGGTAGACATACAGAGTAGTTGATAAACTGGATCTTCAACGAGTCTACACAGTCTGAATGTGAACGTCAGTCTACTGAATCGCGACGATCAAAAGTTAAGGGGAGGTGCTCGTGTAGACGCTTGTTGAATCGAAAAGCTGTTGCCAAACACACACAAACACCTCCTGAGTATCCCGCTCTCCGCTGCTATACAGGACAACCCATCGGAATAGGCGCCAGCGTCAACCATAATCACATCTTACCTTCTGCTTACATCTAATTATTCATTCGTTGTATACAATGGATCCACTAGCAGGAATGGACGACTCGACAACTGACGACGAAGGCGCGTCTCAGACGACCGAGGACGACCCGCAGGTCCCGGAGAACGCCCAACAGAACCGCCAGGCATCGTCCGCCCCGGCTCCTGCAGTTGCATCAACCCCAGCCGCAGTAAACGGTGTGCAGAGTGGGAGCGCAAATGGGTCAGGAGGCGGAGGTGGATCTCACGTGCAGCCTCCTCCGGTACCGGGGAGCGCGCGCAACAGGCCGAACTACGAGCTACGGCACACGCTCAGAGGGCATACGCAGAGCACTTCAGCGGTCAAGTTCAGCCCGGATGGTGCACTTCTGGCGTCGTGTGGTGCGTCTTTCTTGTTCTATGTGCCTGTTGTGCGGTCAACCTGAAGTCCAAGGCTCGGGTCGGCAATCCGAGCAGCGGCAGACAACGTCGTGAAGATCTGGTCGCCGCTCACGGGGGAGCTGATACGAAACCTGGCGGGGCACACGAAGGGCCTGTCGGACGTGGCGTGGTCGACGGACGGGGTGTATCTTGCTTCGGCGTCGGACGATACGACTGTTCGAATATGGAATGTTGACACGGTGCGTTTCGGGTGCTTGGCTGTGACCCTCTCTATGGTTTTGCTGATGCGGTGATGTGCGCAATGATAGGGTTTGACGACGAAGCATCTCCGTGGGCACTCGAGCTTTGTGTTTTGTGTGAACTATAACACTGCATCGAATCTGCTGGTGTCGGGTGGATGCGAGGGTGATGTGAAGATATGGAATGTCGCGAAAGGTTCGTCCCTTCCCACCGAGTGCTCAGCTTTAGCTGCTATCTTACGCCCGCCCCTAGGCAAGTGCATGAAGACGCTTCATGCCCACCTTGACTATGTCACCGCCGTCCACTTCAATCGTGACGCAACACTCATCGTCTCATGTTCGCTCGATGGGCTCATGTACGTCCACGTCCACCCTCCTACGTTCCTATCCCACCTAACAGTCTCCAATAGCCGGATATGGAACACTTCTTCTGGCCAGTGCCTCAAAACGCTCGCCGAAGGCCACGATGCCGTGTGCCAGCACGTCCAGTTCTCGCCCAACTCCAAGTACATCCTCTCCACCGCGCACGACAGCGCCATAAGACTATGGGACTACCACACCTCGCGCTGCCTCAAGACGTACGTCGGACACCGCAACGAGCGGTTCTGCATTGCCGCGTGCTTCAGTGTTACGGGCGGCAAGTACATTGTGTCCGGTTCCGAGGACGATAGGGTGTATATATGGGATTTGCAGAGCCGCGAGGTTGTGCAGGTGCTTGAGGGACACGGTGGGGTCGTCGTTGCTGTTGCGGTGAGCTCGCATCATTTTTATTATTCACGTACGAAATCTCATTGGCCTACGTATGGGTGCAGACTCACCCGCAGCAAAACATGATTGCCTCTGGGTCGATTGAGCCTGACCTTGCCATCCGCATATGGGTCGACCGCGGGCCTGCTGCCTGAATAACGTCCATCTGTTAGAAGATCATCATCAGCCGTATGAAGGCTACCTCAAAATACGCTGCCGGGCGATGCATTTCCTGCATTTGTCCGTAGCTCGCTCTAGGGCTCGATATTCCGTCGAGCTTCTTGGTCGCCGTCGACCCTCGAGTCTTGGGGTCAAGATACTCCACGAGGTCATCAACAACTGCAGTACCACTCCTGCAAGGACCGCCGTGACGTTGATTTATTGCGTATAATATTCCCTCAAGCAATTAACCCTCTCTGTCATGAACTCTTGGTGATGTATCCCTCCATGCATATGCGTCATGCGTCATGTATCAACCATGTACTCCCTCCATATGCGCATTTGTACCTTTTCACATGAATTACAAAGTTACAAACTACTATATGTCTCTATTCATGTCGACAGAAATGTGTGACTCGTTTCAATGATGGCACATACTACGCTCTTCACCTCTTTCCCCCCTTTTTTTCCCTTCGATTTCCCCCTCAGTAAATCAACAGTAAATGCCGCAGTATGCCGCCCACGTGTCGACTTGCATCGCCACCATATTTGCGGCCCTGTATCCGGATTCCGAATGTCTCGGACGTCTCGGTGATGAATCGACGACTTGTGATTGATGCTGCCTATTATTATTTCCGACAAGCGACAATTTGCATCTCTTCCCTTGTCTTTTGGGTCTTCACGCGCGCCAAGTCTCGGAGAAGCAGGGAGAAGCCGAAATCAGAGGGCTATGGTCATAGCATTGATGTTGCAAGCTGCTAATCCCCAACCAGATGGAAGGACTGTATGGGCGGGGAAGTACACACCAGAAACGTTATGTCATTGAGACTGCATCTGGAACCTGTTTTCCACGGACTGGTTGCCAGGCGTACACGTCTAGACACCGATCAGGATCAGGATCGCATATGACCACCTGTCAAAACATACCGAGCGCTTGCGTCGTGATCCTTGTCCAGAGTCCATCAGGTTCACCTTTGCCAGGGAAGCCCGCTGCACACGAGCGATCTGCAGGCCCGCGACGCTGTGGCTCCAAGTGCTACAAGTGTCTCCCGAATTGCGCCTGCCGTTTTGACTACTCCACGACCTCCTCAGCTTTTCGCCATCGCTGCGCCGACGTCGTTTTCCAGTGAGACGGCTCAAGACCTTACCGCGGGTTCACACCCGAGTCACAAACCGTTGTTGCATCGTTGAAGCATCTTCCCATGTCATCGAGCGTTGTCCAGGCGTATATGCAGGGACCACTCTGCGGCGCGCTGGCCACTATGCTCCTGTACGGCATCACCTGCGTGCAACAGTTTCACTATCACCAGAACTACAAGTCGGATTCGTGGGTGCTCAAAGTCGTGGTGCGTTTGTTCGTCTTTTTGGTTAGGCAACGGAGGATCATAGACCACGGTTGTCTCCACATACTAGGTGTGGTCCGTCTGGTGAGTCACATCGAGTGCTTCACTCCGCTTCATTTGAACGCTTGTCCAGGATCACCGAGACGGTAGAGACGGGCCTGTCGGTGTACTTTCTTGAGCACTATCTTATCACCAATTTCGCGAACGAAAATGCTCTATACGATGTTGTGTGGTGCGTGTTCTTACCGATCGGAGAAAGCTGTTTTCTCATGTCGCTGCGTTGGAAGGAGCGTCCCGGCGTCGTTTGCTCTCGGAGTGAGTGTCTGCATTTCTCTCCATTGCCTATGCTCATCTGGAACTCGACCGGCGAACAAGTTTGTGACAGCCTATCTAGCTAACCTGTACGCCGCGCTCATCGGTCTCAGACGCGACTTGACTGACTTAGTCTTCGCAGATGCTTTATCTGGCGAATATGGAGGCGTAAGCTAACCCTTCGCGTCTAGCCACTGCGGTTGTGCTCATTCTCCTTCCAGTATCGCGGCATTTAGTGGTGTCGCTTCTACTAGTTCGTGACTATATGCGCCCTTCTTCGTTCCTGGATAGCTACTAAGCAACCCTCCTAGACCATATTGGCAACCGCTCGACTCATTCTCGGCCTGGTCAACTCATTCCTTGCGTACGTCGCGTCCTATTCCCCAAAGTTCTACTTCTCAGACCGCTTACGTCGTAGGATCAACTCGGCATCGTGGGATGCATTCGCAAAGACGGCCTATGTGAGCACACAGCTTGCGTCCCTGCCTATTCTCTCCTTTGACATGGCCCTCGGTTGTAGGTCCCGATCGCCTTCAGCTGGTTTCTTTCCATAGGTGTTGATGCACTCATTGCCTTCATGATGTATCGCACGCTGTACAAGCAGCGGACAGGGCTGAGCGAGTACGTCCTTGTATCTGGTTAGCCTAGCGTTTACGACATGCTCATGGTTTACCTCTGTAACGGCGCGCAGTACGGACAGCATGATCAACCGACTTCTCCTCTATGCTGTTAACACCGGCGCAGTAACATCGTACGTCTTCTTTGCTTCTGCTCATTCTGATCATCGCGTCATTCTCAATGACAGGCTCGGTGCCGTCCTTGTTCTCATTTTGGTAAGTTTAATCCCGACGATGACGCACGTCCGCGCCTCTCAAATGCCACTATTAACTTGCCGTAACCCTTTGCATCGCATTGAATGTACAGTTCTTCGCGTTGCCGCATTCTTTGGCTTTCTTGGGGCCCCTGCAGGTCCAGGAACGAAGTAAGCCTTTGTTTTCCCCACCCATCATACCGTGCCGTTGATCATCATGCTCACCGAACGACCTTGTCTTTTCGATTCGCGCGCTATCAGTGTACAGCGTATCCCTGCTCGCATCGTACGTTCATTTACCTCCGTTGACCCCTGACCGTCCCAGTGCCGGAGTTGCGTCGCGATATAGCTCACTGACGTATGTATCCCTCATTCCCTTTCATATCCCCGAATATCCTCGGACCCGGCGCTCCACATCCGCTTGGCACACGCAGGCTGAACTCACGCCGCGCGACCCTGTCGCTCTCGCTTCCCAGAGGAGAGACCTTCCAGCTCACGTCCGTCGACCCCGACATCGACTTCGAGCCTCCGACCAAGACGATGCAGGATGTCGCGGACGGAGAGCGTGCCGGAGGTGGCGCCCGCGCCCGTGATGCTGCAGGCACGGGCGAGCAGCAGACGAGGAGCAGGGTCGCGTTTCCGGATCTGGAGCTGGGCGGGTGTGATTCGTCTGAGTCGCAGTCGCAGTATCGGGGAAATGATTCTGAGTCGGTATGATGGATCATTTGTGTTTTAACGGGGGTTGGGGGCGATGAGTCTTTAGCGTTTATGACGATATAATCATATATATTGACTTTATATCCAGATTATTGTGTAACCTAGTCTTATCGATGACATGTCTGTCTTCAATTCCGTTACACTGAGCATGCTCTTTTGATTCGCTCTTACAAAAACAAGAAACGTAGAGTGGAGTTAACCAAGCCGAGGCTACTAATTACACGTTGCATCCTCCCGCGTCCAGTATATACATCAGACGCAGGGCGAGCTGCTGGTTCGGCGCGCTCAATGCGGACCCGGTGTCGTTTGTGATCATCAGGAATTTGACACGTGTATTAACCGCACTTTCCTGTCTTTACCAGAGTGAACCTACTTTCCCAAAATTTGAAACCACAATTCTGCTACATTTGAGGGTCCAAATCGGTCTGAGAGACTTGTAGCTTACTCTTTTTAATGAGATTTGCAGCTTCAGTGCCACTGATGTGGTTTTTTAGCCAAATATTCTCTAGTAAAGAGCCGAAAATACCAAAAAAGTAGGTTCATCTCGGCAAAGTCAGGATAATGCCGGTAAAGCGGCTTGTCATTTTCCTGATGATGCTTGAAGCGATCCCTGCTAAACCACCAACGAAGGATGCGTCACCGTCTACTTGCTGAACAATGTAGCGTTTCTCACATACCTTGCGAAACTTCAGTATCAGAGGACGCTTTCTTTTCTCTGTGAAAAGGAGTGCACCATCCCCAAATCTTCTAACCACTTCCGACCGCTGATCCCAACGCTCAAATGGATCATCCCACCCATATCTTGGAGGCTTGTTTCTGTCAGAATATACATCCTCCATGGTCATTGTATCCGCCAGAGATGGCCTATACTGACTTGGGATCCAAACAATTCGTTGAGATCCGTCCCAAAGCCAGCCATCTCTGGTTAGCGCTAGTGAAAACCAGGCTTCCGTGTCAAAAACCGTATACCTCAGATTGTCTACACAGGTGGGCTGAAGCCATCGATGGGAGGGATCCACGAGAGGGGTTACGCACTCCTCGAGGTGTAATACATGTGTCCGACAGAAGTTTGAGTGGAAATCGTTGTCAATAGTATTGGCTGTTATCACCGCAAGAGCCTGATCGAGACGTGGTGAATATTTGATGGCTTGAAGCTGGAAATTGAAGTTTGCTCCGTATGAGGCATACGACGAGCGGACTGGGAGCGACCCTGAAAACTCCGCCCACTCCCACATTATGCTCGAGTTGCCATCCCGGTACTCCAGCGGTGCGGCCTTTCCAAGCAATGGGGATAAGAATCGTAATGTATTTGAATCCAGAAATGATAAAAGGCAAGCGGGACCAGACCTGAACTTCACTGAAATATGTTGAGAATCATCTTCGGTTAGCTGATAGATCGAAACCCGAGTTTCGTAAAAGTTCTCATAATTCGGAAGGGATGGGTATTGAGCACAAGCAAGTCGCATGTCGTCTGGAGAGATGCAAACAGAGAACTCTCCACTCTGAAGAGGTTCAAAATAAAATCTGGCAACTTCATCCCCGCGTTCGACGTCCCAGACAACGATAGTCATTCCAGAGTTGAAGACAGCGATGTAATAAGTCGACTTTGGAGAGAATGATTGCCACGTAACGACTCCGCAGGCATGGGAGTTAAATATTTGTCTGTGAGGGCAAACGCAATACACGTCGACCTTGCCCTCTGACACGGAATGGGCAAGGAATCGACCATTGGGAGAGCATATTATCGTGTTCCCTTTCGATGAGACTAGTGTCGTAGAAGACCTCCATCCTTCTGAGTTCTGGATTACGACCTGTGCGTGCTGTGAAGTGGGGTTCTCGCCGTAATTCACGAAGGCAAATATATTGCTGCCGGAGACACGTAAGACTGAGCACGGGGAAGACACATCGTTGCAAGAGTCGAGAAATTTTGTTGAAGCGTCAACGATCTTAATCTGAGAAGCGGACAGCCGGACTTGAAAGGAGCTCCCCTTGAGAACAGGAATAGCTTGGAGAATCCGTAACTGTTGTTCGTTCGAGTATGCGATACCATCTATCATCGATTGCGACCCGAAATACGAGTAAGATTGACTGCTTGAGATCCTGCGCTTAGTCAAAGAAAAAGTCTTGCTCTTGGCCTTAGCCTGTGTTATCAGGTTTTTGACCCCGGTTGAAAGTGGATGGGACCACTGCTTCAGGCGACGTCGCGAAGGATTGGAAGCGGGATCATCACGGGAGATTATGATGCAGCGATCTTCCGAGTTGGAAGGGAAGACGAAAAGGTGGCTGGGTGTGGAAACATACCGCCACACCAAACCTCCATCGTGTGTGTTCCAAATGCGTGTGTAGGTGGATCCCCCCTCACACTAGAAAATTATAAGCAGTTGGTCTGATGGAGAGAATGCCAAATCCGGGTCGACATCTCTGGCGTCCAAGGCGAGGCTCTTTTTAAATACAGTTGTTGTCCTTGCGTCTTCTATACCATGCCTTTTCACTACTTCAACAACATTTCCTGTCTTGGTGAACAGTGCCAAGATCATGGAATCGGATGATACGGCAAAAGCGCATAATTCAAGCGTCTTGATAGACGATACTATATGTCGAGAAATCAGCCACAGTTTCACTGATTCGGATGGAAGTTCAAGATGTTCAGTGGAATCGGAATTGAGGCGGCTGCGAACGCCGCGGTCAGGGCAATCATTATATGCAAGACAAGAGGAGTCCCGAGAGAAACAGCAATAACTGCTGTAGCACGTCGGCTATGCTGCCACCATTGTGATTGTGTGGATATCCCACAGCTCGATGAATGTGTAGGCTGAGGTGAGATCATCGCGGCTGTACTCCGCGGCCAGCCGACCGTCAGAAGAGATACATTCCACAGATTTTCCAGGACCAGGAATATTGATACTCTGTACTTCCGATCCCCAGTGTCTATCGAGACCTTCTACAGCAATTGTGTTGGAAGTGGAGAGATATGCCTTGTATACCTCTCGAAGCTTCGTTTCGAGCGGACAAAGAGGAAGAGCTGTATGATAGACGTGGAGAGCTGAATCCGAGATAGGATCTGAAAAATGATGTACAAGTCGGTATGTGTCATAGAAGAGCGTGTTTATGATGTTCTGTTCCGGGGATAATTCCCATGTCTATGAGTCGTGAGTCAAATAGGATATGTAGCATAAAAGCAGAGCTAACGCACCGATATGACCTCAGCAACTTCTCTGAGGGGTGAGAAAATACGAATGACTCCAAGCAGAGATACGACTTCGATCCAATGGAGGAGATTTTCTTTAACGAAGGACACGAGAAGGCCCCGTAATGTACTGTCAGGCGTTGCCTCGCGTAAATGGTCGATCAGGTGTGTCACCGCATACGCAAGCGCAGGCGATATCGCTTTATCTCTCTTCTCGTAAAACCCATCGATTTCCGTATGCACCAGTGACGGGTCCCCCAGATTACAAATATCTGTTACGAGTGTGCGTACCATGAGCCGTAAGCACGCGCAAGCTAGGTAGAGATGTGTTTGGGATGGGTTGCGATAGAACTGCTGAGATCGTGTTTTGTCTCCGAAGAAGTCGCGAAGCGATGTATGGTAGGTAGTGACGGGATGCGTCAGAGGAGCAGAAACAATGGCGGCTATGGAGTCAAGAAATGGCCGTGCGTCGTACTGGACTAGGCTGGAAATGGCATCAACGGGCAAGGGCTGCGATAAGGATACAATGAGAGTGAGGAGGGAGGCACCTTCGGACGCATGATCCGAAATAGAGATGACATGACGGTATAGCTCGTCGATGGTCGTCATCTGCTGCGTTTGGGAGAGGGCGTCTAAGAAGTCTTTCATCTCCGACGAGAGCTTTTGCTTTAATAACCTAATCGCGGTGACGGCCACGATGAAACTGCGAGAAACTTGCTCGACGAAGAGTTGAAAGGTGTCATCCGATGGCCAAGACTGAGGAAGAGAAGAGAAAGGGATGTTTCTAATTTCGTCGAGAGACGTCTGGAGAAAGAGCTTGATGTCTTGATGTACAACAAAGTTTTCGATAGTAAGGGTTAGAACCAACGGGCTGCTACACATAGCGTTCTGGATGTAGGTGTAGAGCCGACTCGTAATCACAATGTGAAAGTTGGAAATGTCCTTCTGCTGAAGCGCACGGAGGAAGAAGTCGACGAGCTCGCGAACACTGTCGTGGCCCGAGTTGATGACCTCGTCCAGCGCGTCAACAATCATGATCATGGTCCTAGGATCTTCCTTCCAGATGTTTCGCAACGCTCTTAATGGGGCGAGGACAAGCTGGAGAAACTGATCGTAGCGCGACCTTTCGGACTTCAGCAATGTAGAATCATCAACGATAGCTTTGGTGATGGCGTTCTTTGCGTGGGGATGAAGGAGACCTAGCTGATAAGAGATGGTGGGAATGAAGCGCTCTGTGGTGCTGCGAATGGGATCTCTACGGGAAAAGAAAAAGGTGGCCGCGACCTGCATCCTGCGAAGGTTGTCTGGAGGCGGAGCCTGTGGGTGCTGGAAGATCTCCGGACCCCGGGTAGCGTTCGGCTTCCAGCCTAAGTTATCCGCACGACACTGCTCTGCGAGCGTATAAGCAACGGCAGACTTGCCTGAGCCCGACTCTCCGGAGAGCCAAATGATCCTGCGGTTCTCTTCGCGTATGGTCTGACGCAGAGTCCGGAGAAGGTCGATTCGCGTGCCGGGGAGGCACTGGGAAAACGACTGTCTCTCGGGAGAATCGAACATAGCGGATAAAACGCATGCTTCGCCGAGTTTCTTCCAGGCTTCTTCGTGGGATGGGTTGGACATCTTCCCTACTTGTCTTCCTATGAGCACATTAGCACTTGGCTGTTGTCCAGGAGACTTGGGTCTCTTACCTGACTTTCTCTTGGGCGCAGAATAGTGGGAGGATGTCGATGTTTAGGAGGCAAGTGCGATATAGCTATCGAGACAGAGCGCGCGTACGCCGTGCGCAGCCAGCGATTGGCTAATGTAGCCTCGTACGGCTTGATATGTTGGACTCGATGCCATGTAGATGTGACATTGATGTCACGGTGCCTCGCACCATCTGTAAGGGTTCTCGGGCAACTGAATATCATTCCGTAATATTATCGCCGCATGATAGGGGGATAAAGATAGTGCTGTGAAGAGATGATGAAACTGAAGTGCATGGCTAAGCACGTACGAGCGATGTTCATTGTACCGCCGACATCCCGCTAATGAAACAGCGTTCACGGTAATGGATACTTAAAGCTGTGAATTTGTCGCAGTGGTTCATCTGGCGTATGATATCAGCGGTGAATCGCATTTGAACTGAAATAGATGCGCAGAGGCATGAGTAGAATATGAACAAGCGCGACGGAATCACCACTAAAGTAAAGTTCAGTCAACCCAAAACATAGAGTAAGTCCTGTAAGCGATGACAAAATCGGGGAGGGTATAGAGCAAAGACACAGTGCATGCTTGAATGGTGGACGTAGGTGAACAACTCACTAGGGGTGAGATCCTGGTGGAATGATCAAGCCCGAGATGTACTATCTCAGGTTACTCGGCGTCCATATTACTCTCTGAGATGATCATCAGTAGACAGTGCAATCATTGCGGTACCCGGCTGTGCTCGAAATGATTTAGGGCTTCTACCCGCATGGGTGAGAGAGGGTGATGGTGGTGAGTGGCATAAGACGGATTGTTAGTAAGGGACATACACTGGCAGGGCTGGTAAATCTGGTCTCCAGGCAACGATCCCTTAGAGGTAAATGGGTACCATGTGAGTAGACGTCAATGAGCCGTCCAACCGATATAACCAGGCGTGCGAAAGAGCTTCTGAAGGGTTGAGGTGTGTTAATCTACAAGACGAGTGAGATGGGTCATGCAGTCATGGTCAGCAACCACTGCGAGGAGGGCTCAGGAGGCAGACACCGTAACAATCGTGGGACAGATGTGTCAGCGGAGTATTAGCTTAGGGGTAATTGGCCCCTGTCTCCATTCCGTTTCCTTGGCTTTACAGTAGTTTACAGTCCACTTGGCTTGCTATGCCCATCTGTACACGAGCTTGTTGGCATTTGAACAGGTCCATTCGAATCACATGGAAGCGATGATATCCATTGTTGGTCTTCTTCATCAGTGTCTCCGCATAGTAGCGTGCTCAGTAACCATTTCTCTCTTTATCATTCTAACTGAAGTTCTCCTTGTTTCTTAGCGGTGCGATGAAGGGCCCGATGACGCAACGGTGATCAAAAGACAAGGCCGAAAAGTTCAGTAGGGCAGATCAGGCAACCGGCTGGCGTTTCTCGGGACAGGCCATGCCTCCAATCAAGCGCTAACAACCGGCACTTGTCCGGCGACCAATCAAATTTTCGGGAGATGGCGTAGTAATCAACCGCTCGTACCCGAGTTAACATTGGCTCTGGATCTATATATCAGGACTTGGTGGCCGAACAACGAAGCTGTAAGGGGCTGTGAGGTCGATCAACACCCTTGAGAACGCCTTAACATTGCCGTTCGGATAGCTCTAACCATTATATCTTGCTCCCAGGAACTCTATCCATACGTCTTTGGATGATGGCTATACGACGCTGCCGAGTCGTGCTCTGGTTCGGCCTCCTCCCCGATGATTTAAATCTCAAGAGATGCTACTGCTGCATCATGACCGTTTCTGCTCTAATCTCCCCAGCAACTTGAGCACTTGAGCCGCGAGGTAAGTTCGTTGATCCCGCTTCAGCACATCGCTTACATCTTGTCTTAGCAGTATCATCTGCAACTATGCCCAGCCCATCTCAGGAAGAGGCTTGGAAGAAGCTTGCAGACGTGTGCGTTCGTGCAGCGCTGTACGACTCTTCAGACAGACAGCCATTTTCTCAATGTCTCCCAGGCACGCGCACGAGTCTTCTCGAAACTCTGCGCGAGTCAGTTCAGCGGGAGCAATCCAATCTGATTTTTCTCACTGGAGAGTCAGGATCGGGGAAGTCCGCAGTTGCGCATACCTTTGCACAAGAGCACAGAGAAAACGAACTTGCGGCTACTTTTTTCTTCTCCAGACAGCATCCTGGGCGGAGAAACACGGATCACTTCCTACCCACTATCTCGTATCAGCTTGGTCTTTTACATCACCTCGCCCAAGAAACCATCACAAGAGCGATTACACGTGACCCGAGCTTACTGGATCCAGATAGATCGTGGAATGATCAGCTCGACCACCTCGTACTCGCCCCGCTGAGGCTCCTAACGCGTCACTGGTCCCGGGAAGGACCGGGAAAGAAGATGGTCATGATCTTTGATTCTTTGCACGAGTGCACGAATATGGACTACGACCGCATCAACCAGCTCGTCGCCTTCTTTGATCAAGCACTTCGGCAGGATAGTAGTGGTCGCCTCCAAATCTTGGTTACCAGTCGCCCCTATGTCCACATCCAAGCCGCTATAAACAGCTTGAAAAGCCCACTTCTCCCCCTGAAAATGGAAGACTTCGACCCTAAAGAAGATATCGAACTTTTCCTTAGATCCTCTCTGCTTGAAATCAACCAGGCCCATCCACCCCTCTCCTTTCAGCCATGGCCATCCGATGTCGAGTTCAGGCTGTTGGTGGACAAGGTTGCTCACCGTTTCATCGTCGCTGCTACGGTCATACGGCTACTCCGCCAGAAGGACCCGGCGGAGCGCCCCTCCTTCTTAGATTCCCTCCTACAGAAACAGGACCTGAATAATATCGATGAGTTATACCACCATGTCATCTCCTCATCATCCCACAGCGCTGAAGCGGCGCCACTCCTCGCCCTCGTTCTCAATTTATCTTCGCCCCTTTCCGTGAATGACATCTCCCGGTTGGTGGAGTACGATGTTCGACCTATTCTTGACTCCGTAGCATCCATCATTTCTGTCCCAGGAATAGATTCATCGTGCGAGCCCGTTGCAGCCTATCACACGACCCTTCGCGACTTTTTATCAAACCAGAAACGATCAAGAGGGCTGTACTCAGACCCCGCGGCAGTTCACTGCCGGCTGGCGTCTGCATGCTTGGATCTGATGAATCGCTTGCTTCACAAGGACATATGCCGCCTCGGCGATTCCTCCCGTTTGCATTCTGACATCCAGGATTTTGGCGTCAGACGAGACGCGGCCGTATCTCCGGCGCTTCGATATGCTGCACTTCATTGGATGCATCATTTTTGCCAGGCATCGCGTCATGACGGAACGCAGCAACTTCTCCTTTCCTTCGTCCAAGAGCATCTACTTCATTGGATTGAAGCCCTATCCGTACTAGCAGCCCTGTACACCTGCACTCTCTCGCTCTCTGAAGTGATTCAAACTGTGATGATAGACGTGAGTTTTCTATGTTTCATCCGCACGCAGAATTTAACTTTGAGACTTAGCAATCCTGGAGAGCGCCATACGCCCAAGCGACCACCATCTCCCTACTTTACGACGCGTACCGCCTGATTCACGAGTTCATGGAGCCAATCAAACTATCTTCTCTTCACGTCTACGATACGGCGCTCGCTTTATGTCCCGTGGACATTCAACTTCGTCAAGTTTATCAGAAGGACGTCAAAAATGCGAACACATTCTTGATAGATGGACTATCTAGAAAATGGAGCTGCGTTCTCCGGACGATCGACTTCCCGAACGGAGTCGTACGCTGTCTTTCGCATGACGGGCGCTTGGCAGCAGTGGAGCGGCCAGGCTTGGGACACGCAGACAACGTTATCGAGCTGTGGGACATCGTTGCTGGAGGCATGATATCCTACCAACACGTACCCAACTCATCCTTCCCTGTCCGTTACGCCTTCTCACGCGACTGTTCTTGTCTCGTCTACCACTCCTCTACGTGGCACTGCGTAAAGCTCTGGCTTCTCTCAGCTCGTGATGTTGTCTCTGTTGAGGCACCAAGTGCATCATCCGTGGCCATTTCATCTGACGGTCGCACACTTGCGTGGCACAGTGAAGATAGCCGATCTCTGACTGTTGCATCGAGAGATGCTGTTCGCCCAGATTTCACTCTCCCAACATTCGAGAGGCAGCTTTCGATCTCGGAGGCACCCATGTCCGCGAGGTTTCGCCTATCTTTCTCACCATCGGGCCGCCGGCTCCTTGGACACGATGGTACCAAAATTCGGGTCTGGAGCACCAGTACCGGAGAGCTAATTTGGCGAGACAGCGGCGATGAAAGGGATTACTACACTGCCACCGAGGACGAGAAGTACATCATCCGTTTGAGGCAAAATCAGGCGACAGACAGCAACGTTTCTGAGAAGCTGGAGTGGCAGTTCTCCCCCGTCGACGAGAAGGAGATATCCCTTAGTGACCCGAGGAGCCATAAGCTAGACCATTTGAAGAGTCGCAGCGTTCAGCGGCTGAAGAATATCGTAAAAGAAGAGATTAGACACGTCAAGCCTCCGTCATACTATAAGATTGAGCGGTTCCCTGGGAAGGCCCTAGTCAAGATTGACAGCGTGTGGTATGCGCTGCGTCAAACGGGCGAAGATGCAGGAATAATTACCGTAAAAAGTACGGATTTTCTCCCTTTCATCACCCCCGAGGGCAGTTTGGAGATCATCGACCCTTCGCTATCATCTCCTCTCCCACCAACACATCACAACGCATCGTCTAACTCGCAACTTCCCGCCAGGAAGGTCCTGCCTGACTGCAACGAACACACGCTTGTTATGTACCAGTGCTGCGGAACGGGCAGGAAAGTGAACGTTACCATCCGAACCGAAGATGTCCGATTACCATATTCTGACCCGGTCAGACTCCCATCAAAGTGGCACAAATCCATTGTCTGCTCTCCAGACGGACGATTTCTCGCGAACCGATCAGACAAATCTATCAGCGTCTTTCGTGCACATCCTTCACAGCAGCACATTTTTACCGCAAACATTGGCATACACCTCGCCAAATACAGCTTCTCCCCCAGGTCCACTTACTTCGTGCTATTCGTCTCTGAGACTGGCGTGGCGCCGAGAGTCAGGCTGTGGCAGCTTGATGGCGGAATGGAGCTTGAACCAATAGTGCTCGATCCAGAGGCCGAGGTGAACCGAGAAGAGGATCTTCAAGTCGCATTCTCTCATGACGAGAGTAAACTTGCGCTCGCTCGCTTCGTTAAGCTAGAGCCCAGTCAGCCCTTTGAAACCGAAGTGTCCATCTATCGACTTGACTCGGATCATCTCCCAGTAAAAGTATGCCAGTTTATTGCCCGCCTATCTTTAGGCTTTGGAAAAAATCTGGCCTTTGGAGACCAAGGCCGCCTGTCAATCGCTGCACACTCTATCTTATCTAGCTATAATCAAGAAGCAAGATCTACATCATATCGCATCGTTCAAGAAATAGCCGAATATCTTAACAAACCACCATCCAAGTTTCACCGCACTTCCTATGAGATGGATCCTTCTTTCGAGGCGCGAGAAGTGAAGATATCTCCGTCCCTCAATCAGCTAGTCGTCAGAGGTTTCCACCGATCCATTAACGACTACACGATTTTATTCTTGCAGTCACAAGCTGTCGAGCGTAGTCGGCGCCGACTGGAGCTTATTCGACAAGACACCGGTGACACGCTCTACGATACTGTCACCTGGTCTTCAATTCGGCTACACTCTGATGGCTGGCTTTGGAATGGCTCACGTAGGCTTGTGTGGATCCCTCACCAATACAGGCCAGCTCCGGGCGACGAAACTCTCGGCCAGTACGCGCAGACAGATTACATCCGCAAGTTGGGAGATAATATTGTTATAGACTCGAAGAAGCTCGCGAACCCGTTGATCTTGCGTATTAAACATATGGAATGATTTTAATGTAATTATGCACAGTATTGTACGTTTACTATTCCAGAAAACCTGTCACCCTTCACTACTTGATATCGGATGCTATGGTAGAGTTATTTTTATTTATATGTGTTTTAGCATGCTCTACCTTTGTCCCAAAGCTGTTGCGGGTAGGGCTACCAAAACCTGCATGAATCAGGCTCGAACGTCTTTGCCATTCGGAGCATGTTCACATTCGACGTCAGACTTGACCACTACAACGTTGGTAAGCGCCAAGGACACAATGACAGAGTCATAAACCCAAGCACTCACCCCATTTCCAATGAAGACTTGCGCTCGCTCTGCAACGAGCATGTCCACCGCCTGCGCCACGTACTTCTGCTCCGCATTCAGCTCCAGATCGCGACTGCTTGAGATGCTCTCCCATTTCTGTCCCGCTTCAGACAACGCATACTTCAGCTCTGCGATCCATTCTATCGGGCCGTTTGTCATGATGAACAGACGATTCAGCGGGGCATACTCGCCACTCGCCGCATGTTCTAGCCTGACCTGCGAGACCTTGTCGATGATCTGCGTGATATCAGGATAACACCGTCGCTCGTACTTCGCCACGTTTTCGGGAGTCGTCTCGCCCCAGCCGTGGTCTGCGGGTACCTCAAATTTCTCGACAAACTCGGGAAAGGAGTTGAACGCGTTCCAATCCGAGGACCAATTTGCGAGGTGGTGGCAGTGCTTTTCGAAGTCACCACGGCGCACGTGGATCGCAAGCAGCCCGGGTATTATGTCTCTGCTGTCGAGTGCATTGTCGCTAAAGAACCAAGAGGAGAACGAGGAGAGACGGCGCATGAAAAACTGCACATTGGCCTTGAACGCGTCCAGGATGAGAGGTGACCATTGCCAATGAGTAACGGCTGGCGTTTTGGATAGATACAGCCAGATAGGAAGCATTCGCTTTTTGTCACCAAACGCCCTTGATAACCATGACCGAGTTACTTAGCATACCAACATTCCACAGAGAAAAAAGGGAGAGGCGTACATATAGTCGAAGATAGCTGGGCTGTAATGCGCCAGCTGAACGCAAGGATCCTCTATTGCTGTGAGCGTCTCAAACCATAAATTCAGCAATGCCGGAGCGGACTCGCTTCCGTCAAAGCCAGCACGCTCTTGAACTTCTCTAACGTTGAGAACGGTCGCGTTCGGGCAAACACTGAGGAAGAAGCTAGAGGACACTGCACGAGGTGCTTTATCTCCGGGAGGCAGTGCACCACCGACCATGGGTCCTGTGTAACCCATCACATCAACTTGGGTTAAAAGTCTGATGGTTGTAAGGCGCACCTCCGGCAATAGCGGATAGCGGTATGCGCGATGGTATGATGCTGCCATTAAATGTGCTATACGGATAATGATCCCAATCCCATACGTAGTCGTTGAAGACATGGCTATGACGATAGTTAGATTCGCGATGTAGGGATCAGAGATCAAACATACGCACGATCGATTCGTAACATGAGCTATCAGCGCCATCATGAAGAATTCCTGCATGACATTTCCCCACCCAGATCCTGGTTAGTTTCCACGTAAGTGACGACACTCAAAGGTAATAACAAAAAAGCCTTTACCATGTGCATAGTTATCCGCCCAAAGATACTTGATATTCTCTCTCTGCGAGTATTCCTCGTAATGCGGCAAGTGGTTCTCCTGCGTACGGTATTTCTCGTACAGCGGCGGCAGGGGCTGAATCAAACGACTCGAGCGGTTCACGTGTGCTGCTGGCTCAGTCGCATTTATCTGGGCCTGTGGGTGAGAAGCCCAGTAGTATCGCGTCATCCGTGAAACCCAAGTGATGGTGATACAAGTTAAGAAGAACATAGTGGCCACAGAACGCCATCTGCGTTTGGCGAAGCTGAAATAGTGCGTATTAGCCGAGGAGGGACGTCGCTGCGCGGTAAGGGGGAGAAGGTCGGCCTTGAAGCGCGTCGGCTTCATCTCTGACTGTACATTGCACGTAAGGCATGAGCGGTAAACATGAGGTATCAACGACGTACGAAAGAGATCGGTGACGCAGGACTTGGAGTCGAGCTGCCCAGGCGGGATGGATCAGTACAAGAGACGATAAGCCTTAGATAGACGTTTCTTACCTGCGGTCTCGCATCCCTGCATGAGAGAACATTAGGCACGGGAGACCTGCTGCGCATAATGTCCATGCAGCGATAAACTGTAAGCGCACAGCCTTGAACTTAGGGAAGAGGGCACGCCTCACTGAGAACCTTGGTGGATGAATGCTGAAAGTTTATTTGGCCGTTCGAGGAGGGGGAAAAGCGGGGGATATGATCAGTTCTTATGAGAAAACGGCGGGGGCGATGCTGATGTTACGGCTCCGCATCAAGAGCGTCTGGTTTGAGACTAGGTACACCCATACGTAGGAGGGGTCAATTGTCAAGTAGCCGCACAGCCGACCAAGACGCGTACAAGGGTTTACCTCTTCCGTTCATTCCAAGATTACCTTATACTCACGCGTCATGGCTCCAAGGCATTGTTTTTAGGAGCTTCCCATTCGTCAAGTCCAAGAAAATAGATGGGCGGCCTGGAATGACCGTATATTATGTATGAGATTGCAAGGCTGGGAGGATTGAGTACTAAGACACCGCATTGGGGTAGATCAACTGGTGGCGTAGTTGGTCAGCTCGAAGTCAACCGCTCTTCTCAAATCAAGCCGCACTTACATCGCCAGCGGGAAGAGATCAATCGACGATCAGCGCCGCAGTCGGAGGAACATCGCATTCTTCGACGCGCGCGAATCAGGGTGGAGGTATGCATCATAAAATCCGGCGACAAACTGCTCCGCTTTGAAACCAAATCGGTTGTACAATAGCTGTCGTGGGTGTGCGCCAGCTGGTTTGAAACGAGTGGTTGATAATAAAAAACGGCCACGTACCATTGCAGGGTTGTTGGCGGAGACGTGGAGCGTAACGTCACGATCCGGGTTGAGCGCGAGGAGGTGATACAGCAATGTCCTACGGAGGAAGCGGTCAGGATGAACTCGGGAGGACGCAGACAGCACGCGCTTACGAAGCTATGCCAGCACCGTCCCACCCGGCGCGAACGGTAAGGTATGTTACGTACGCTTCTCGTGAGCTTGGAGCGCTGGCAAGAACGACGGCTACAACGAGGGCACCATGCGTAGCGACGAGCGTGCACCGCTCGGGGTCGTGCTGAAGAGCATCGCCGACTAAAGTACGCGAGTCAACATGGCTTGATATAGACAAAAATGGGGCACGTGCCATCAATGCCATTCCAGAACGTACGCTCTAGAAGATCGTTCACTTGTGGAAGGTGCGTGGCAGCGAGTGTACGATACGCGATAGGCATCTGAAGCTCAGAAGGGTTCACTCCTGGCTGTTCTCTGTCAGGACTGTATTCTGGTTAGCCGAAGAACAGCATTGAAGAGAAGGGGCGACGCACTGCATGAACGCGAAATGTTCTCGAACATCGTCCATGAGCCCCATCCAAGCCGTACGCGTCTCCCAGTCCGCCGCAACCACGTCACCTCGTCTGCCTGCACCACTACTAGCGTTTCCGAGCCCACCGACCTGCGATACGGTGCCAACAGCACTCAGGGCCGAGGGTCCACCGTGTTCGTGTGTTACTCCATGCTCTGCAGAGCCGACTATGCGCGAAAGGAAGGAACGAGAGAATGGGGTAGTTCGGATCGCGTTCAGGCTTGCGATGACACCTGGGGGAGGTGGTAGTGTTGGAAGTGGATTTGGGAGCGGCGACAGTGAGGCTACTGAAGGAACAGGAGTTTTGTCTAAGAGGTCGGACGTGGATCCAGTGTCATCTTCAACTTTCGGCGGGGCCAGGGGCTGACCAAGGGAGAGGTTGGGGCCAGAAACGTGGGCTCTTCTACGTTCCTATTAGGGGGGACAAGGACTCGAATAAGCAACAGAGAGAGGAGGGGGTTACGAGCGGCAAGGCTGTAGCACACATACACGTTCAAGGGAAAGTTTCCGGAGTGCAACAATACGCATCATGGGTGGTGTCTGGCCGTTGGCATAAGCGGGTTCTGGGGCAAGGATCTCCTTTCGTTCGAGGAGGGCATTGGCTTCGTGATGTCTGAGAGGACGCAAGCTCTCTCCCTGAAGACCATTGGTTCAGCAATCCTCACGTTGAAGAGATGGCCGAAACTCACCTGTGCTCCAACCAGCCCCTCTCGATCTATCTCATGTTGACGTGCGGCCTTGAGCTCAGACAGGAGAGGAGATATGAGCTCGTCGAACGCAACAGTAGGTGGTTGACCGGATGCATTGCCGTCTTCTGCATAGCACGGCTTGTCTGGAGCGCCAAGGAGGTCGGGGAGCGGTGTCAGGAAGAGGGATGCGATGTTCTTCGCGCGTCCATACAGAGCGACCTCAGATACCTCAACCTTGCGTCGTTTCATGTGTCGTCTATGTTCCTGAGAGGTTGCATTGGCGTTGGTTATATGCGCAGATACAGAGGGAATGTGCGGTCCAACTTACCTCAATGTATTCGTCCGAGGAGTCGTCATCCCATTCGAGTTTGCCTAGCTTCGCCATCCTTTTACATGTCGTTGGTAGAGGTCTGGTTATGCTTTGTCGTGAAGGCTGGTAAGGACGAAGGGGAACGAGAATAAGGGCGGCTGAAAGCGCGACACATTCCCTGGCTCGCCGATGCGACGGGGGCCAACGCGGGTTGCACACGATTCCCGACTGCCAGTGCCAATGGGCGTCGGGCCTCACAACCAGTCCCACTCCCTTTGGATGCCTCTACTCAACCTGAAGGCGGTAACAATATTTGGATGTATGTGCGCGCTGTCGCTGAGCCCTTCTAGCCCATGACTGATGACCTCTGACGCGGGCGCTTGCAGAATCGACATCTACAAGAGCCACTAGTTCATACACTACGTCCTTCCCGATCCACAGCTCTGAACTCGGCCGTTGAACCGTCCCCTTTGACGTTGCTGAAGGATGGGCAATATGTTTGAGAAGGTGACAGTTTACTGTCCCGTGGGTCTCTTCCGTGTAATCTCCGTTTTCAAGCTTACGGTTTACATCTAGATTTCAGGCTGCACGCCCAGATTCCGCATGAATTCCGACGTTATCTCAGAGAAATATGTGGAGACAACATTGTTCCGCTGGTATGTCGGGCTCTTGAGGAGCTGATCTTAGGCGACGAAGGGATGAAAGATGTCACCACCATTGGTAACGCATGACTGCTGCTCAATCGGCTGTCCACCATAGCTCATTGCCTCTACAGGTGACTTCGACAAGTACGCACGGCAGTTCAGGAATGCCGACACGTCCTTCGAGGAGACTTCTCGTGAAGAGTTGCTGGCGACCCCTGACTCCGATATTCGCGTGCTTCGACATTGCAAAGCAGGCGTGGAAGACACATGGGACTTTGGCGTCGTTAGTGACCCTTCTTCCCGAGAAGAAGATGGCCATAACGGATATCACGTCTCAGTTGGCGTGCTCATCATGGTTCAAACCTTTGCTCTCCCAATCTTGGATCTCGCGACTAATGGGCGAGTTACGCCGCAGCGTCTGTGGAGACTTGCGATGCATCAGGGTTGGTCTGAAGTGCCATCGAAGCGCGGCGATTACGGTTTTGCGGGTATTGACTATGGTGAGATACATCATGAGCGGAAGAAGAACCCATCGCCAGTGCCCTGGATGATTCCAGCGCAAGTTGTAGCTTTGGAGGAGCTGGGGGATTTGGACGTGATCAAGGAGGCGATCGTTTGCCAAGGAGGGTTGTGGGTGTGGATGGGTCCGGACAGGTACGTTCGTTCTTATGAGCTACGAGCTTGTGATCGGTTTCACCCATCTACGGCTCGATTAGATTCCCGCTCGATGGCACTCCTGGAGACGGTCTTATATTACCCGCCTTGTCAGAGTCACCCCTGCCAAAGGACAACATATCCACGGTCGAGAAGTTGCCTTTCGAGCTCCTCTGCGCGATAGTCGCGGAAGGTTCGTTGTCTTCTTTTCTGTCTCTCGCGTCGACATCCCGCACTATGCACGCACTGCTTCTGGGATCTGAAAGCGACAGGAACGCGGTAGCGTTTGCTTGGATCTTCAAGAATGCGCCGTGGTACATCCCCATCGATAGTTCTGACGAAGAAAACCCGCGTTTCGAGATGAGAAAAGTTTCTGGCATGTGGGCCTACTTGCGCAGGTGCCGTTCGAGCGCGTCGATGAGAAACAGGGAAAGAATATGGAGAGCTGCAGAGCAGATTGAAGAGTTCGCGAAGAAATGTGGGGTTTGATCAAGCAGCGTGTCTGCTCTATTACATTAATTTGCATGTGATTCAAATTAAAAAACATAAGCTTTTGTTAATCAATTTCCTTGCTGAACACATTTAGTTTCTTTGTGGTGAAACACACCTGCTGCCTGGATACTGGAGGCGAAGGGAGTGCAAATATCACTTCTAGAGCTGGAGCGTCGGCGCCGCAGGGTATGTCGTTGCCATGCGGGGATCCTGACAGCTCGGAAGCGCCCGGAGCAAAGTGCGCATTGCTCCTGCTTGCACCTCTTGGGTCCACGCTACGGTCGAGTCGACAGCGCATGCAAAGCCATTCACCTACTGTAAACCTCTCCGCTTCTCACTTCGATATCGGGATGCCTCCTTCCAGATAAGCAATCAGATGCCCTATCTGTTGAGATGGGTAAGTCTCCGCTCACGTCGCTATTGGGCTCAACTCTTACCACCGTCTCCTGCAGCAGGCGACGATAGTCAACCTTGTCCCATCAGTCGCCTCCCAACAGAAATCCTCCTCTGCACCCTTGGGCTCATAGATGAGGATTCGGGGTGGGAGACTGTCTGTACTCGCTGGCTTCATATCTTCACTATCCTTCCAACCAAGGAATACTTGCCCTAGTTTGACATCTCTATCTCACTTGACACTCCAGTCCTGCCTTCCGTGGTTGCGGCGCACATTGCTGTTTCGGAGGGCAAGAAGAGGCTCAGGGTATCTCTTACCTCCCGCTCCTCGCAAGATATGGAGAAGGCCGCGCCCGCACGTCACGTTGAATGCTGCAGGGTTGAGACAGCGATGCAGCTCCTCACACCTCATCTTGGGCGCTTTCAGACGTTCTCCGTTGGGACAGTCAGTCCTGGAGAAGACGACGACGAGTGACCTCGTATAGCAGGGATGAGTGACTACTGACACGTGCGTACACGCTATGTACCGACTACGCTGGCCATGCCGGCCCTAAACTACGCATCGTGCCTTCCTCAAGGCTCGGTCCGATCCTCCCTAGTCCACCGTCCAGACGTACTTACTACCGCTCTGCTGGATTAGTCGCCATCAAATTCATCGGCACTATAGGTGAAGGGGATGCTCCGCGGCTCGAAATACTCGAGATCACGTCACGCGTCGCAGATACTATTAAACCCGCGCCTTTCGTCTTGTTCAGGTGTCCGTGGCTCTCGCGCCTCGACTTGGACGGACGGACTTTTGTCGACTTCGCGCACAGTCAAGGCCAGAAGGGACCCAAAAGCGGCGACAAGCGCGAAGAGGATGGCCATCGTCCCCGAGGCTTGGGAACGATGAATCTCAATATTTCGACCTACCGCCCTATATCAGGCTCATGCAATCTGACACCGACGGTGCTCCTTGATGCACTGTACGAGTTCATGGAAGGAAACAGATTCGGTGTGGATCTTGCGATAGACGACGTCGCTTTTGACAATGATTCAGAGAGCAACAAGTACGACGACACGAACAACGGGGATAAAGACGCGAGCCAATCTACCGTTGGCATATTGGATAAGCTCGACAACAACTACATCACGCTCCGTTCCCTGTCCTATCTCTTCCTCCAAGCGTTCTTCGATCGATACGTGCCCGAACGATCCTATGTAGCCGACGGAGGGACGTATTTCATTTGCCTCTCGAATTGCTCCATCGACGGAAACCTTATTATCCGCACTGCTCCTGGACTCCGCCTCGAGCGCATCAAGACCGCCGACGAGATAGCTCGTGCTCTAGCGGGCTGGTCCGGAACCGAGCTCGAGATTGATGATTGCCCCGCGTTCGACGACGCCTTCGTTGATAGGCTACGCTCGGCCGAATGGTGGTCCCAATCTGCAGTGATCGAGTGCCTCCGGATCTGGAGGTGTCCCGGCATTTCTCCGGGTGCGCTGTACAGGCTGCTGGACGAACGAGACATGCACGTGTGGGACCTGTTTGTGTGGGGTGCATCAGTGCCGATCACAGATGAGGAAGAGGAAGCGTTCCGTGAATTAGTAGTTGACAAACCCAGAGCTTGGTGGACAGGGAGATTTATTTGGAACACTGCCTAATTAAATCGGGTACGCACTCTCGTATCTTTAGTCACGTAATATACAAGCCAACCCACCTCTTCTTTTTGGATTACGCAGCTGTGCATGATTGTTAGAAACCGCTGTGGCCCATGCGACGCTTGTTGGATCATGGAAAATACCATATGTTGTATCCCCATACATACTTTTGAAACCCACGGCCAATTTTACCCTTGGGTGTATCTGCATAAAGGTCTGTCAATTGCCAGCGGCTCAATACGAGATCGGGTGCGAGTTTGGTATGTTGCTGATTAAAATATGGAAGCTTGCTGAAAATTCAGTATGAGTATATAAGCTAGAACAGCGAACAGCTTCTTGTTACTTTGGGTAAGGCTGACATGTTTCAAGGCTGTATTTGAATCTTACAGACGCATACCGTGAGCCACGTGTTGAATTCGAAGCGGATGGGCTGCAAACTCAGCGAAAATTGTGTATTCATTTAGGGCACTGGTAGGCTTGCTGAAAGCAGTGTTTTCAAATTCAACTCATGAACCCTCTTTTCTGTGGAGCTACCGGCGGCGTGAATGGGCGATACGGCAACTCAGGTGCCACCGGCCATCGTCGAGGCTATTATCGCAACCCCATGCTAGTTGACTTTGCCTCAGAGTGTCGTGTTTTCCGTAAGAATGCACTCGAGTTTATTCAACATGGACCACTGGGTTCAATTAAAACAACTTGGAAATATCGTTGGACTTTATCGTCGAACTAACCTATCCTAGTTCAATGATATGTCTGGTGCTAGATTCAGTAACAACCGGCGCCAAGTATCAAATCGTGCTAAATAAAGAGTGATTCTCACTTCCTCGGCATCCGCACATTCCCGCTCCAAAATCTTCTGTGAGAGCCACATCTATATTTGCTCAGTGAGGCTCATACAAAGGTCGAACTCTCGCTCAATCGACTCCACCCGCAGCTCTCTCGCGAAGATGTATGACCCAGAGCTTGTGGCATGGGCTCAGGCCTATGTTTCGGCGGAATACGTAGGACGTAGGTTTCACCATCGTTCATCTCCAGAGCTTAGTACTCAAGTTGAAATGACCAGTGGCTGCAGCATTTATCGTGATTTATGACTACGGTACGATCGATATCATTAATTGTTTTTCTTTCTTTTCATTTCAACGTCATCTCATCTGGTACGGGTTTTGTCCCATAGCACTGAACATTATACCTGAGGTGAGCAGGTTGCTACTAATCAATGGTGATGGTCAGTACTCATGAACTCTGTCTCAGGTGGAATTCCTATGGGTACGATACATTATTTCTTGTGCCATAAGACCTCCGTACATTGATCGTTACAGCGGAGAAAATTCACGTCCACAACTCTTGTTTATATGATGGTTTTTTCGTTTACCTAAATTGGGGTGACTGATGAGACTAAATTATATTTGTCTAGCTGCGATATTTGGGATTGAGCTACTCTATGTAAGCGAACAGTTGGGAAATCCACACTTCAAAATATGTCTTAAACGCGTCTTGGTTTCAGATTGACGTTAAGTATGTTGATTCGCGACGCATGCATCTGCAAGCTCATTATGCATTAACCAGCATCGTCGGTTTTGGACGAGCCAGTGTCACCCCTTGTGAGCTCAGCTTCTCAAGCTGAGAATCAGCCGTCACTCACCCACTATCGCTTGAAAACAGTGGTAATGTATAAGCAATTTGTTTTCGTTATCATTATTTTCATGTTACCTCTGTATCACACTACCAACAGCTGTAAGCACTTCTTTCCCGAAATTTATGATATTCTGAACGATTTTTCTATACTAGGCTTTGCTTTGTGGTCGTCGCGCGAAGTACTACAGCTGATCTTAACATGCATTTTGCAAGGTTTTCTTTCTTTCTTCTCTATTACAAAGTGCTTCCCAGTCTTAACTTATATCCAGGGATGATGACAATACGTGCATACACGCTGCTCGGAAGATCCAAGCCGTTTATTTATACTGTTTCTACTGTTTTTATTGTTGTTCAAGGCATTAGCATACCGTCAAACCTGTTCATGTTCAAGGCAGTCTTGAATTCTGCAGGTAAGTCTTCAAATAATGTGGACTCCTCAAAGCCTGAATAGGTCACAGGTCGTACCAATGTTGCCGGTTTCAATATCTGTGACATCGGAGCACCACCGACGTACTCGTGGATTACGCCAACGAGTAATACCTTGTGGATGGCGTACGAGACCATTTTGTGCGGCGCTGTCCTACGCTATGCATTCAAAGAGGTCCCCGCCTTTTCATGGAAAAGCCCGACTCGCTCAGTCAATGCTCTTGTAGCAGTGATAATCCGAGATAATTTAGTACACTTTTTCATGTGAGATCACAAGCTCCCCTATCCAGGCTGGCAAATACGACTGATCAACAAATAGTGTCACCTTCTCGATGCTCATCGCCATCCTCAATGCCACAGGTGTCACCAGTAACGTACAGTTTAACGACCAATTTTTATTGTAAGGCTTCGATTAATCTGGTGCTTTATTGGCAGATATTTGTGTTCTTGAACGGGTCCTACTTTCTGGTTTCGCTGCAAGTAGCAATGATAGGCCCGTGGATAATCATCAACCTTCGGAGGAGCTATGAGAGAACTGCCAGCCCAGGCACATCTAACTCATGGGAGATGACAACAGTCGCTTTTGCTGGCGATAATTCTCGGCAGAAATCCGAGTGTGGGGTATAGCAAACCAGATGCCGCCAATCGAGCGATATAGAATATGGATATGTTTCCGCCACACCCATGTTAAAAGACATCATCTTTCTTGCACGGGCTAGACCCACACATCTTGCTAATATTTCTTGACCCCCTATATTAATGCCTTCGTAATGGACACTTTACCGGAGTTGATCATTTGAACGACCGAATCGCAAATAGCATAACCGCTCACTTATATAATTACAAGCGTCAGAGGGGTCATTTGCACCATGAGGTGTCCTCATGCTATACACAAGACACGCCGTCGCGTAAACGCTCCAGCTCCAACGGCATACAGTTTTAGGTCACATAGCAAAGGTAGATAGAAATCCTTTTCACGCGGTGCATAACACAAAATAAATAAGTATAACACCGGAAGATGAGAGAGGGTAGATAATCCCCGCGATAATTGTTATAGGGTTAAAAAGACGCATGTTGAAGTATTTTACCTCACTCATAAATTATATGCTCCTGCATGATCCTACTTTCAATGCTGAATCTAGTATAATTATCTCAATGCGCAGGTTTACCCTTCCACATCTTAGCTAAGGACTGAAGGGGTGTTTTTCGTCGCCAAGAACGCTCCGTTAAAAACGCGGTTGCGGATAGATCCGCCGCTCTACATCTTGCTCAGAATGCCCTTTGCAGGGAGACATGTCACAGTCAATGACGCCACCATCAATCAGCATCCTGTTCATGTTGACTTCGCGTTACATCGCACACTTTGTGCAGCAAGGTCAGAGTTTGGTTAGGGTATTTCCTGTGCATTAGATTTTACTAACTTTATGTTATTTCAGACGTGTCAACCTTTTATAAGTTGTTGCCTGTGCTTTCGAAGTGAAATGTTGAACCTCCTGTTTTGCATCTGTTTTAGTATCGTCTCCGTCTCCTTTTAGGAGTAGTGTCTGAGGGACATCGATGCATAACTGAATGTACACTGAGTCTTAACCCATCGAATAATGGATAACTGCGGAAAAAGAAATTAAGCACAATTCAGTCGAGCATTGTGACAGGGGGAAATGCCACGGACCAAGGCAGCAATGTACAGTTCAGGGATAGAGCCACTGTGCACGACATGGCAGTGCGATTCCCGAGAGGGGCGACGCCACAGAGCCAAAGATGCCGTCAGGGAAACAATCTCTTCGAGACAAATGAGATGAGTTAGAATTCTACCAAGGTCAGAGACTCTCGCTTGAGAGTCTTAAACACCTCCGGTTACCCAGCTCAAATTGAATATAGCCGGCGAAACCTTTCGCAGTGCTCAAATGCTCATGCCTAGCACGCCAACGCTGCTATTTACGGTAAGAGTCGGCGTGGTAGCCCACCGTGAGGCCTCGAGGTTGAACTATTGAACACCATTTGAACAAAGGCAGTCCTTACTTATGATGCGGACCGGATTGAAGGACAGACTCTGCGTTGTTGTACTGTACCATATTTCTTACTTATTCTGACATAGGGATGGGCCCTTGCAATCAAAGGTAACCCTTTACCACAATGAAAGAGAGTGTGTCGTCGTGTAGGTTAAAATCACTCAAATGGATGTAAACTCGAATGTAAGCGGGAGAGGCGTCGGAGCACATCTAGCTGCTCCCTAGGACACTCAGCACGATGGTCGCTATTCATGAGGCTGAAAAACAATGGGCATGATGCGTGAGCGGCAGAAATAATGAGACGAATGGATACGATGCGATTGTGGGAGACGAGAATGAGAGAATCATGACTTGTAGCCGCCGTTATAAGCTAAGATAGGGTCGATAGCTTCCACACGGCAATATTCATAGAGAGGGAGATCGAGCAATGGATATATGGTGACAGAAAAGTATGGAATACAAAGGCGGGTAACGTATAACAAAGGAGAGAATAACTATTGAACGGCAAGGACCATAGGGCGAACCTCATTCAAAATAAAAGGGTCAACGCATACGCAGCAGCTGCGCCACAAAGGGACTCGCGTTGAAGAATAGAACCACTACCGACCTACATTCCGAAAACAGGGGAGACATTCAAAAGCGGGCAACGTGCGGGCTGACAGGAGCCGCAACCAAACACAACCGCACCGTTCGTGTCATAAGTTTGAAGATACGATTAGATATCAGCCGGAGCCGAGGGCTGTACGGTTTATGCCTCTTGTATTTGATCAAATATTCCCTACCTGATGCTGTCATGTTGGGGTACGATTGCTTGTTCTCAAGCACGACGCGCGATGTTAAAAACGGCACCGAATCTGACGGCCTGCGAGGCGATTCCCGGGGTACTTGATCCTCATAATCTGACTTCCCATATTTATGCAGGGCAGTAAGATCAATCTATGTAGCCGCAGAACGCGAGACATACCGTGTCTCTTTCGGTGGCTATGAACTGAGTGAGCAGGCCTTGTCGACATCTTGTTCTGCGGCGTTAAATTGGGCTCCGCACATGGCATACTGAAGTGCTTTGGCCTATATTTAGAGCTCTGGTCAATGTTAGGCGGCGAAATAGATCAGAAACCGAATGCTGCACACTAAGGCAACGATGCGTAAGATCCTCACATCATATACCGTGGCATTTGTCATAATGCAGTGAGTACCAATGAGATCTTAGACGAGTAAGAGTCTAACGAGGGACTCTCCGAACTTGGTTCGTCTGTGTTACTGTCTTGGAGTGAATGGATCTGGTAAGCCTAGATCAAGCAGGAATTTCAAAGCTTATTACGGGAGGAAATGCATTCAATGCACTCAAGGGACATCTTCTGACACGCAATATGGCGCACGAACGACGGTGAGATGCTATTCGGGTAAGTAACATCTGGAGAAGACACCTTTTGGCCCGAGGAAACCAAATATCTGGCGCATCAGTAGACGGAGGATCATTCCTGAGTACACATTGTGAACTTAGAAACTCCAAAACTGACAAAGCGACAGGTACTTGCCTGACGTTTATCCAACTCTCTGAGATATCTTGTCTCCACTAGCAACATTCATCAAAGACGAAAGAGGTGATATATGACTAGAATACAGTACTGGCCGTTTGACTGGATGTATCGTCTTCTGTAGAAGATGAATTGACTGGCGCATCAAGGTCCAAGAAGAGTAAGTAGCAGTATCAGGAAGAAGGATGGGACAATCTTCGTGCGTCCTCACTGGTTTGACGCTACACCACTGTAGCTACCGTGGATGCTCTTAAGGCGTTCACCTTGGGGCAGCTTCAAGTAATATATGCGTGCGTGCGGAAGGGTACTACGTGATAGAGGCATCCATCTTCGGACTCGTCATTACATCCAAATTTGTCGGGCTTTGACATCCTATTCTGGAGTGGCCGGTTATATTCTTGCGATGCTTTGCTGGTGGTGAATCTGGGTGGATGCTAGCAAGCACGAAGGGGAGAATCAAGGGGTGATGAGAACCAAAAGCTCCGCAACACGGTCGCTGGTGCGAACGGTTTTGACTCTTGACGCGGCTTGCACACGATCCTCCATCGTAATATGTGATCCCCACCAACGCTTGCATCTTCGCATGATTCATTGGTTCTCAACTTGATAAGACATTGCGAATATGTAGGTTTGCTTCTCTCTTTACAGCTAGTCCTGTATCTGACGACCCCTGATGAGCGTCGATATACGCAGTGTCGACGCCTATCGACCCAATGCCACGTCAACCAGTTGCTGTGCGCAACTTGCCTCATCTCATCGATCTCATCCCGCGTCGTCCTGGACATAGAACCCAGCCGCTCTCTAAGTCCACCTGATGCAGCTTAAGGATGGGTCATACACTTGAGAAGATGACGGCCTACTGTCCAGTGAGTCCCTTCTGCGCCATCTCTACTTTCAGTCTTACGGTCAATGTCTAGATTTCAGGCTGCACACCAGATATACCCCACGGACTCGCAAGCTACTTGAGAAAAGAATTCGAGGGCAGCGCTGGTCCGTTAGTGACGCAGGCTCTCGAGGAGCTGATCTTAGAGGACAAGGGAATGAACGATGTCACCATCGTCGGTTAGCACCACAGCTCCTTCGTCCGTTCGCTGTAGCTCACAACCCTTGTTAGGCGACCTCGAAACGTTCTCACATAGAATGACAGATCCTACCACGTCACACCAGGTAACGCGAAACGAGGTCCTTCACACTCCCGAATCCAACATTCGCGTCGTTCGGCACTGCAAGGCGGGCGAGAGGTGGAGTCTGGGCATCGTCGACGACCCCGTCGACTCAGGAGACGACACTGGATTCATCGCTGTGTTCGGCGTGCTTATCATGGTACAGACGTTCTCCCTCCCTATCCTTCACCTAGCCACGAACGGACGTGTCACCCCCCAGCGTCTCTGGAGGCTTGCAATGCATCAGGGGTGGTCCGAAGTAAACCTATCCGAGTCGGACCGCGGCGTCTATGGCCTTGTGGGTGTTGACTATGGCGCGTTAGAGCACGAGAGGAAACAGTATCCATCTCCGCTGCCGTGGATGATTCCAGCGGAGGCTGCAGCCTTGGAGGAGCTGGGCGATTGTGAAGCAATCAAAGAAGTGATGATGCATCGAGGAGGGCTGTGGATGTGGATGAGCCCGGACAGGTACGTTCTCTTCTACGAATTTCATGATTGGCGTTTCACTCCCCGGTCCTGTAATTAGGTTTCCTCTGGAAGCCGCACCAGAAGAAATGGCTCCATCTCACGTCTCCTCAGTGCTGTCGCCGCCCAATGCCAACCCAGCGACGATCGAGAAGTTGCCCTTCGAGCTTCTCTGTGCGATAGTTCTTGAAGGCCCCCTTTCTTCTCTACTCTCGCTCGCGTCGGCATCTCGCAGTCTGTACGCTCTAATCTTGGGTTCTGAAAGTGACAAGAACGCCATAGCATCGGCCTGGATCATCAAGAACGCGCCATGGTACGTTCCTGTCGACTGTTCCGACGAAGAAAACACCCAATCGGATCTGAAGAGAACCTCTGATACGTGGACATACTTACGCAGATGCCAGGCCAGCGCGTCAATGCGGAATAGGGAACGGATATGGAGGATTGCAGAGCAGATTGAAGCGCTTGCGGAGAGATGTGAGGTGTGATATTTTCCTGGCACATGATAAGTTCGTTAACCTACATACAATCTCTGCACTACGTCTCTTGCCTGCTAATGGATTGTCACTCTCATTTGGCTCCCATTAGACAGACTTAAAGCTGAGTCGCACATAGGCGAGACTCTTTGATGTGGACGAGTCCAGACAGGTACGCGTCCTCTCTGATGGTCCTGGTAGTAATATGTGACAAAGCGTTATTATTTTATGCACAAACACGAACTTGAATCGAGACTACTTCAACGTTGTCTCAGATTCCTCTCAACCTTCGTCACTGTAGTGGTAGTGGTAGTCGACGTGAACACTAGCTCCCCGTTTTCCGGGATAGAAGCTCCGTCATTGATAACTATCGTAGGATGGTTCCCCGCTCCCTCAACTCGTATAGCGGGTTCAGAACTGGACACCGTATATGTCGCCTGAGAGATCACCGGGGCACCCGGAGCAGGATTTGTCGTGGGCTCACCCACGCGGCGAACCGTCCATTCCTGTCCTGGCTCTCCAATCGGCGCCAGCTTCACCTAGGTTGTGCCAGCGCATACCTTAGTAACGTTGACGTAGACAGCAAGGCCATCGAACATCCTCACCTTTGTACCTGGGTCGAAGCTGCTCAGTGTAATTGCCAGGGGGCTGTTTGGCCACACGATCCTGAAAGTAGGCGCAGGCCAACACTCCATAAAACCATACAACCCTTGTAGATGAACAAAATACTTACCGAATGGTAGGTTCTCGGTTTCCTGGGATATCTTGTATTGCCCAGCTGACGGGGTGAGTTTTCGTAATCACCGAGCTGTCCGTCTCGCATGTGAGATACTTTCCCAGAATTCCGTACAGAGACCTGATAGAGTATCCCGCTTCAAATGGAGAAATTTCCCACTGTTTGGGGGATGTGGTGTCGGAAATCTCGAGTATACTAGATATGACACGAAATCACCTTCTGATTGGAATATTCGTGTTTTAAATGACCTAAGTGCAGGAAAGTTGTCAGGGGCCGTTAATCTCTAGCAATCTGCAGACTGAAACTGACCTTCGACAGGGTTTTCATTTACCAGGTCCATAGCTATCTGTCCCCCTGACTGGAGAAGTAGATAGACCCCAGGACGGATCGGAGTCGTTTCCATGCTGGGACCTCTCGCGTCTGACGAAGATGCCGCTAGTGGTGAGTGAACACCTCGTTCAAACTCTTCAATGACGGTCGCCTCACTCTGGGAGTGGTCGATGATAGACATGATTGGGCGTCTAGATTGCTGCCGTTTGTGGTGCGGCATTTCCCGTATCTGTGACATGTCAGCTGTCCTCTTTACGGCCGAACCATGTTGTTCGGAGTTCGAGACCAAACATCCTGCGACGCAGGCGCCACAGACGAACATGAATTACACCTCTAATCCGATAGACGACTGTAAAGACGATATTCTCTACTTATCAATGGTCAAAACCAAGGCTAAGGCCTTTACCTTAAGACTCGCCACCACTTGCTTCACCATCGACCCGGAGGGTGATTAGTTTTGACTTGTACTCATATCGTTCACTTTCCAGCTGCATTTGGCGCGCAATAAATAAGATAACATTAACAAACCCAACCCAGAAAAGAATAAACAGTACCAGTCAGAGCAATATCAAGGTATACAGCAGACGATAGGGTAACCATCAAGGCACCCTATAAAACTCGTAGCACTAACACAGACTTATAAAACACACGATGCCATAAAGGACCCCTCGTTCCCATAAATATGCGCCCGAGCAATCATTTCGTGACTTGTCCCAGTCCGATAAAGTGCACCGTCCTTGATTTACTCAGGAAACGCGAGCGAGCGGACCGTCTTGATCCAGGCAGCACCAGCATCGGGGTACTGCCAGATGGAGACACCGGCGTTCCAGTTCTTCGCGGTCGCCTGCTGGAGGCAGGACGCGAGGTCGCTCGCGCTCATGTAGCCGCCGTCGGTCTCGTCGGCGGTGGTGCCGGGCTTGCCGATGACGAGCTTGTCAGCGGTGACGCCAGCAGCGACGATCTGGAAGAGGGCCGTGTCGGGATAGGTGGTGGAGGAGGTGTTGATGAGGCCGTCACAGGTGGTGTATTCGCTGGTGCCATCTACAGTTATTGATGAGAGGTGAGTATGGTTTGAAGCTGTTGAAGAGACAAAGGGTGCTCACCGTTGTAGAACTGCACGTTGTACTGGAGGGCAGTTGAAACGGTCAATAAATGCTCTCGGGACATGTATATATGCAGAAAGGCTTGCCCAATCGATCAAGGAGCCAACCTCCTGATTAACCTTGATGTAACCGCCCGACGTGTACACGCTGGACGAGAACCAGGGAGCAAGAGCTGTCATCTTGAATCAGACACCGTCCCCGCCCTCTAATTAAATTATGATGACAATAACTCACGAGCGTGGGTGATGAAATAGTCAGATGCAGGCAGCTTGTTCCTCAGCTCGGTCGTGAATGTGATGAGCCACTGCTCCGCGGACCCGTCCTTCTTGTTCATCGCGGTGTAGTCCTCGTAGTCGATATCGACACCGTCAAAGCCGTACTGGATGACCCACGCCGCGAGCTCGTCGGCCGTCTGCGTGGGGTCGAGCTCCGGGCTGCCGCTCGTCGGGAAGTAGTCGGCGCCGAAGGCGGACACGACGGTCTTGATGCCCGCCGCGCTGTAGGTCGACAGGGTTGAGTTGCGCGTCGCGGCATCGAGATCCTGCCACTCGAGGGCCTCGTCGACGGGGGCGCCTGGGCGCCAGAAAGAGAGTGCGCTGGACAAAGGAAGCGAGGGCTTGTCAGTTAATTATGCTCGAATCGGAGGTGTAGAGAATTTAGAGATGCATACACAACGTTGAAGCCAGTAAGGTCAGTTGTAGCCGGGGGCGTCATCCATTCATCGATGTACGCGACGAAGTGAGGGGCCGACGGGGCAGCGGAACGAGCAGCTAGGCTCTGTGTCACAGGAGCGGCATTAACGCTTGTGGCAGACAGAACAGCAGCGAAGATAGTGGTAAAGACAGAAGTGAAGGCAACCATGGTTGCGTGGGCAGTCTTGGATAATGAGTGATAGTCGAAGCTTCAAGTGTCAATGAAGGATCGAAGCCGAAGAAAGACTGTGACAAGTGGTGCGGAACCTGGGGAGCCTCGACATTGCTCAGTCTGCCTTATATACATACGAAAGACGTTACCTTACATTAGTGCTGGGCGAGAGCTGGACGAATTGAAAGTCGAAGACCAGATGGTATGTCACGGGCTCGTGCCGTTTCACGAATAATAGCGCACAAGTTTTCGTAAATAGCACGCACATGCGCGTCCGGACGTTTCACCTTGCAAGCCAGCGCATCCTGCAGCAGAGAAATGTACGAGGGGTTACGTCCGCGCACAGACGCCACGTCGACAGCGGGTAGCAATTCAAATGCTCCTCGAAGAAAGTGCCTGGTCCTGAGATAGCTGACAGATATCAATGTTGTTATATCACTCCCTGAGCTGTCGAAGTGACGCCGCAGTTGCCATAAGGTATCATGGAGGTCCCTGAGGTTGATCTGAGACGAGACTTCCTGAGTGTGCTCGGGGCAAAAGTCTACAAATAGTGCCAGAAAGTCGGACTATGTCGCGTCTTCGGCATCATAACTTGATACCGAGAAGTGTCAAGTCAGATGAGCACACCGACATCAAGAATCCCTAGACCTAGATTCAGCTGTATTTTTTGGTATCTTGTATGGCCTGCAGTCGAGAGTTCCAGCGACGCAAAGCATGATACCAGCAAGAGCGATGTGGGGGCTAATGCTGATGTTCTGGCCTGGGTGATCAGAGCGGAGAGATTTTAGATGCCTACTGAGCATTTTGGGGCGAGCGGGTGCCTGAAGTCTGTAAGTCAACTGAAGATGTCTCATGATGTGAACGACGCACTCTTCCATGCAATGTTAGGTGTGCAGTAGTATTGGAGCCCGTGCCTTGGACTTGAACCAATCGACTTGGTCCATGTGGACAGTAGGCTCGCTCTCGTTCGGCGAAGGAGAGGCGTGTCGATGACCGGCACCGAGCGACATCATCGGCCTCCATGAACATGATGAGGGATGCCAGCGTGCTGTTTGCAGTAGACGCTCAGCCGAAACGCGGGATGATGAGATAGCAAGAAATCATTTGAAAACCAAACAGAGCGGGAGGAGCTTTCTCGGAGAATGGCAGGTACGAGCAGCTATTTGAGGCGGGCTATCCTAGAGCCCAGGATGATGAAGCAGCCAGATGTTACTAAGGATGAGAATGGGATGAACTTACTCGAAAACATTGAATTTGTCATGAAACGGCGTTGGCAGGGAGGCGCGACGTGGCTTGAGACTGACTGGATTTTATGAGAAAAGAGAGGCTGTGAGACATTGATCGACGATACTTGCACTATGGCAGGAACGGCAGAGAAACATGATTCCGACTTCAAGTCCTTGCAGTTCACGAGCGGGTGACGAACGAGGATGAACGATTCGATGATGGTTTGATGATGGTCACTGAGCAGAGCGAACAAGTGTGGGAATCCCGCCCGGAGTTCGTCGGCCCGAAAGTCCGTACGCGGCGCGTGCAACTTACGCGTCCGCCTTGGCGTCCGCGCCAGCACGCCCTGAGCACGCCTCCACCAGTGGCACTCAGTACTTTTTGCTACAGCACTATCGAAGCTCGAACACACTGTTTCATCTCGCCTTGACGTTATCTAAGTGGCCTAAAGAGCAGTACACAGGAGAACTACAGCTTGCGCGACCATGCCTACGTACTGTCTCGTAAGTCCTTCGATACGCCCCGTTCTGAGTCGTCATCTCTTATGAATACAGATTTCTGGTTGTGCTCCTGTGAGCGCTAGAGAACTCATCTCACGTTACGTAGAAGAATGGGACAATATTTTCGAGATGGATGACCCACATGACAGTCCGCTAGGACCGCTAGTCTCGCAGGCCATACGTGCGCTGGCAGTGGCGGAGGAAGGGATTAACGACGTGACGATCATCGGTGTGCCCACCTCCGAGCCCAAGCTTCCACAATGTGATACTTCTTTTAACCTTCATCCGCAGGAGACTTTGAGAAATCTGAGGAGGTGGAACGAAGATCTCGTCCCGAACTTCCCCGCGACGAAGCCCTCGAGATTCCTGACTCGAGGATCACTGTTCTCCAAAACTGCACATGTTCTGGATCAGAATGGTATGACGGGTTTGCTAGCAGACGTGAAACGGAGGGGGGTCGCTGCGAGTTCTGGGTTTCATATTCTACCGTGATCATTATGGTTCAGACGTTCGCTCTGCCCATCCTGCACCTCGCGACGTGCGGCCGTGTGACGCCGCAGCGCTTCTGGCGGATAGCTATGTACTGTGGCTGGTCTGAAGGGGTGCACAGCCCCGGACTGGAGGAGGTAGACTACGGAGAGATAAGCGATGCCCGCGACGATATCCCCAAGACTATCCCTTGGTTGAAGTATAGCGAGCTTCGATATCTGGAAGAGCTGGGAGATGTGGAGGCCATCGAGGACGCTATTGTGCACCGAGGAGGATATTGGATGTGGATGAGGCCCGACAGGTGCGCCTTGCCTGGAATAGAAGATCTTGATCTATCCTCATAAGTCTCTCCCCTACCATTAGGTTCCCATTGGACGATGTGGCCACCCAATGCGCGCCCTCTTTCGTAACTCACGGCGTCTCAAAAAGCAATCATACCTTGTCTGTTCTCGAAAGGCTCCCCCTTGAGCTTCTCCACATAATCGCACACCGGTGTTCACTTACCTCCTTGCTTTCTCTCGCCTCTGCATCTCGCATCATTCGTTTTCTGCTTCTAGGCTCTGAAACCAGCAGAAACTCCCTGGCAGCTGCATGGATAACCAAGAACGCCCCATGGTTCTCCCCCGTCACATCTGGCCTCGAGCCCCGATACGAAATGAACAAGGTTCGGGACGCGTGGGTCTACTTACAGAGGTGTTGTGCCAGCGGTTCAATGAGGAACAGAGCACGCATCTGGAAGCTCGCAGAGCAGATCGAAGAGGTTGCAACGCGAAGCGGGCTTTGACCTTGGCTAACAATAATTTAACACCACCAGTTCTGTCATCCACTTTAAATAATGTTGACTACCATTAGAAACACGTATGGCGGCATGTTAAATCCATGGTATACGTTGTCCGCTTGGTAAAACAAAATAAATGTTTATAATATGTATATGACGCTATGAAAGTGTGCATTTAAGGGCTTCTATATCGTTCAGCCGTGGAGAGTACTAAAGTACAAGTACTGTCTGTCTCCAACACTCTGTATCCCAGACTCTATAAAGAGACCAGAGTGGAAGCCTGGCATTACTAGATTACAAGAATGCTTATGAGTATCATTCGAAGCCGTAAGTCGTTGTTATGAAACCGTGTTGGCCCCGGATGGGAGGCGCGATGTTGCTTGAGGCTGACGAGATTCGACGAGCAAAGAGACGCTGCGAGACATTGAGCGACGATACCTGCACCATGGCAGCGAACGGTCGAGCAACAACTTAGTTCCCTGTAGTTCACGAGCGGATGATCGATAATGAGGGTTACTGAGCAGAGCGAACGAGCATCATGCATCATGGGATCTGGAGCTCGGCTTGCGCGCCCCTATTATTCCACGCGCGGCCACAGCATGGGACCGACTTCCATGTTCAGTTACATAATCATTCGAATGCTCTCCCACTCAATGCCATCATTAATCCTCTTGAACTAAACACGTTCGCTTGGTACAGTCACCCAGCTTTCAAGGCAAGGGAAAACGATGGGAAAACCAAGTGAGCGACATAATACTGCTTTGACCAAGTTTTGACCGCCGATAACGCAGCGCCAACTTCATTGACCCCTACAATGATATCACTACTTTGCTAGACATGAGGGAACCGATTATAACCAGTCACAGGCATGGTTTACTGAAATGGCTCTCTTGCTTCTTCCTCCTGTGTGCGATCAAGAACTTTACTTCAGGATCCTCTCGAATTTTGTCACTGTAGATGTCATGGTGTTGGACCACGTCGTAGTCGTTGTGAAAACCAGCTCCCCGTTTTCTGGGATAGCATTTCTGTCATTGATAACGATTGTCGGATGACTCCCTGCCCCTTCAATGCGTATGGCTGGCTCGGAGCTGGACACCGTGTACGTCGATTGAGTGGTCACCGGAGCGCTCGACGGTGCTGACTTTTCCGTGAGCTCGCCAATGCGGCGAGCCGTCCACTCCTGTCCTGGATCACCGGCGGGTGTTAACCTCACCTATCGGAGCGGCGTATATGTTAGTAATATCTTCCCGACATTAACAATCCTAAATAATTCTGACCTGTGTCCATGGATCTGAACTAATCAACGTGATTGCAAATTGACTGTTTGGCCACACAATCCTGAAAGTGGGTGCACCATCCACCAAATGTCCCAAGTCTTGTAGGCGTAAAGCACGCTTACCGAAAATTAAGCTCTCCGTTTTTTGGGATGCTTTCTATATTCTAGCTGACGGGGTGCGGTTTTGTTGACACCGAGGTGTCGATCTCGCAGGCGACATATCTCTCAATAGGCCCACTAACAGATTTGATGGAGCAGCCCGCTCCAAATGGTGAGATCTCCCACTTTTGATGGAATGTGCTGTCGGAAAGCTCGAGCAAACTGGATTCGACATGAACGTACCTGTTGGTTAGGCCTCTCGTGTTTTGTGTAGCCTAAGTGCCAGCTATTTATTCAGAGCCGCTCGTCTATCCACCCGTACAATGAAACCCACCTATTACAGTGTGTCCATGAGTTAGGTCCATAGCCATCCGTTCCCCAAACTGGAGAAGTAGGTAGGTCCCAGGGAGAATCGGCGTTGTTTGCATGCTGGCACTGTCCGCGTCTGGCGACGATGTTGATGATGGAGAATGGACGCTTGCTGAAAACTCTTCAATGACGGTCGCCTCACTGGAGTGGTCAGCGATAGACATGATTGGGCGTCTAGATTACTGCCGGTTTCAACATGGTGCGGCATCTCCCGTGTTTGTGACAGACACGTTGGCTGCCCTCTCTGCGGCCGAACCAGACGAGGAGCCCAAGCAAACCACCATACAATGCACTGAGCGCCATAGACGATCACAGACAAAACATTATATCCGAGTGAGTCAAAGGCGGGTGTAAAGATGATTGGATATACGTATCAATGTTTAAAACAAATACTGAGGTTTTCGCCTTTATGCTCTCCCTATCGAGGGCGATTTGTGGCTAGCACAGCGGTCTCTTAGAATGCATTTTGCGCGCAATAAATAAGATAACATTAACGAGATAAGCCCAAAAAAGAACGAACAGCACCAGTCAAACGATTAGGGTATACAACAGACAATAGGGTAGCTATGAAGACACCCCACAAATCCCGTAGCACAAATCTATAAAAGATCCCTCGTTCTCGTGAGTATGCGCCTAAGGAATCACCTCATGAATTGTGCCGGCCGGGAAAGCGCAGCACGCTCAATTTACTCGGGGAACGCGAGCGAGCGGACCGTCTTGATCCAGCTGGCGTCAGCGTCAGGGTACTGCCAGACGGAGACACCGGCGTTCCAGTTCTTCGCGGTCGCCTGCTGGAGGCAGGACGCGAGGTCGCTCGCGCTCATGTAGCCGTTGGTCGCATCGACTGATGTGCCGGGCTTGCCAATAACGAGCTTGTCGGCGGAGACGCCGGCAGCGACGATCTGGAAGAGGGCCGAGTCGGGGTTGTTTGAGGAGGAGGTGTTGATGAGGCCATCACAGGTGGTGTATTCGCTGGAGCCATCTACGATTTATTGATGTGAGGTGAGTTGAATTTGAGGGTATTGAAGAGACGAATGATTCTCACCGTTGTAGTACTGAACGTTGTACTAAACGACAGGTGAATATGGTTAGCATAGGGCTTCATGGCATAAGCATACGCAGAATGGCTTACCCAGTCGATCAGGGAGCCGACCTGCTGATTGACCTTGATGTAACCACCAGACGTGTACACGCTGGGCGCAAACCAGGGAGCAAGAGCTGTCACCTCGAGTCAGACATTGTCCTCGCCTTCTAATCAAGCCATGGTGATGATAGCTCACGGGCATGGGTAATAAAATAGTCAGACGCAGGCAGCTTGTTCCTCAGCTCGGTCGTGAACGTGATGAGCCACTGCTCCGCAGAACCGTCCTTCTTGTCCATCGCGGGCAAGTCCTCATAGTCGATGTCGACGCCGTCGAGGCCATACTGGATAACCCACGCCGCGAGCTCGTCGGCCGTCTGCGTAGGGTCCAGCGCCGGGCTGCCACTGGTCGGGTAGAACTGGGCACCGAAAGCAGACACAACGGTCTTGATGCCGGCCGCCCTGTAGGTCGTCAAAGCCAAGGTGCGCGTCGCGACGTCGAGTCCCGCCCAATTTTCGGCCTGGTCGACGGCGCCGTTCGGGCGCCAGAAGGTCATCGCGCTGGACAGCAGAAGTGAGGGTTATTCAGTTTGTCAGATTCAATATGGAGGTGACGAGCGCGTTCACAGAGACGTACTAGACATTGTAGCCCTGAAGGTCAGCAGCAGACGGTGGGGTGATCCACTTGTCGTCGTACGCGACGAAGTGAGGAGCCGCCGGGGCAGCGGAACGGGCAGAGAGGGTCTGATTCACAGGGGCGGCGACGACGCCGGTGATAGAAAGGGCAGCAGCAAAGAGAGTGGTAAAGACAGAAGTGAGGGCAACCATGGTTGTGCGGGTTGTCTTGGGTAATGAACGAAAGTTGAACTTTGATCGTTCAGTGAAGGATCGAGGACGAACGGGGAACAGAAGCTGAGGAAAGACTGTGAAAGGTGGTGCTGAAACTGGAGATCCTGGTATTTCTCTGTCTGTCTTATAGTGCTCGAAAAACGTCGACCTAAATGAGTACTGGGCGGGTGCTGGACGAATTGGAGGCCTAAAATCCGTATGGTATGCGCGGGTCAATGTGGTTGCATGGCAAACAGCGCAAACGTTGGCGCATGCAACACGTAGGTACGCGTCTGAGCGTTTCACCTCCCGAGCCAGCGCATCCTGTAGCATAGAAGCATACGAGATTCTCTGTTAGCGCCCAAATGCCACGTCGACAGTGCAATAGCAGTTTTGACCCTCCTTCGGAGAAGTGCTCAGCCTCGAGGTAGCTAACAGATAACGCAGGCGTACCACCCTTCGACCTCGAGATGTGACACAGGATTTGACACGATTTACGGCCCCAATGTCAGGGGACATTTCTAGACGAGAGAGCTATAATTATGTTCGGAGCAAAAACCAGTCAATAGAGGAGAGCGGTTACGTCGCGCCTTCGGCATCTTGATTTGACCCCGAGGACTGTAAAGGGCTTCAGATGAGCGCTTAGCGCGGCCGACACACTCTCCGCACGATACAACTGGTGTCTCGTCGTCCTACACGAGCGGAGTCCGAGATGGCCAGCAAACGAAAAGCATGCAATTAGCAAGGGCGGGAGCAGGCCTGAGTGGCACAAGGGACTTGATCCAATCCACTTTGTCCAGGTGTGTTTATTCGGTGGCGAGCAAAGACCTGATGTATCATGACCAGCACTGAGCGACATCATCGGTCTACCTGGGCAGCGTGATTGAGTCCAGCGTTGCGTTTGAGGTAGACGCTCAACTAGAAACCAGGATGCAACCAGGATGACGAGGCAGCCTGAAGATACACGGAAGCAAAAGAGTCATGAAACGGTTATCTCGGCTGGGCAGTGTGACACGGCTCGAAGTGGATAGGAGTTGGTCGAGTAAGAGATGCAGTGCGGTAATGGCGCCGTTTCCTAGCTGTCGCCGTCGAGCAACACAAGCTCGAGCAGAGATTTCTTCAAGCACGAGTGGATGGATGTCGATGAAGTGGAAAGCAGTCCGAGATGGGAGACGAGAATAAGCGTGGGAATTCCGTGGACCATCGCCGCGGACTCGTCGGCCCGAGACTTTGTAACACCACAGCGTCTGCTTCTCCCACCAAACATAGCACTGAAACCCGACAGCAACTTTTCGTGGCGCTCTTACGCGGTCTCTGCAGCCTGAATAAGCGTACCCCAGATCCACAATCCGCGCGATCATGAGCGTGTACTGTCTCGTAAGTCCAATTCCACTCAGCCCGTTCTGAGTCCGTACTTCTCTCCAAGCCGGATCTCTGGCTGTACCCCAGTGAGCGTCAAGAAACTTGAAGACTATGGGCATACCAGATGTATCAGAAAGCGTCACAGAAAGCTAGGTGCGCTCGTGTTGAAGGCCATACGCGAGCTGGTAAATGCAGAAAGAGGAGTCGAGGACGTTACGATTATTGGTACGCCCATCTTCAGACCGCCTCCCGAGTGCAGCACCCCTTTACTTACCTCTCTCTTAACTGAAGGTGACTTTGAAAAAGCGGAAGAGCTGGCACCATGGGGCACACTTGCACGAGACGAGGCCCTCGCGCTGCCTGATGAGCGCATCACTGCTCGCATCGATCTAATTGATGCACGCATCAATGTTCGCCAGCTTCACTCATCCACCGGACAAACACGGTGTGAGGGGTATGTTAGAGCTAGAGCGACCGCTTCAGGTGTCGAGCAGCGTTTTCTGGTCTCGCATGGTGTGCTTATCATGATCCAGACGTTTGCTCTGTCTATCCTCCATCTCGCGACATGCGGGCGTATGACACCACAACGCCTCTGGCGACTTGCGATGCACCAAGGCTGGTCCGAAGGGGTAAATGGTTATGGACTGAGTGGAATAGATTAAGGAGAAGTTAGCGCTCTGCAGAATGAGGCTTTTGAACCTATTCCTTGGATGAAGCGCGCCCAGATGAAGACCCTAGAAAGGCTTGGAACCGTCGAGCTGATCCAGGATGCGATCACCCACCGCGGCGGGTACTGGATGTGGATGGTGGCTGACAGGTGGGCCATTCTTGGGATCCATGAGTCGGTTTAAACCTGAGCGCTGTTATCAGGTTCCCATTGGACGGCCTGGATATCCAAGACACACCATCTTTCATAACCTACGGCGTCTCTAACGGCGTCCATACCTTATCTGTGGGCGAGAGATTCCCTCTCGAACTTATTCACATGATCGCTCTCGAGTCCTCACTTATCGACCTGCTTTCTCTGGCTTCATCATCTCGCGTGCTGCGCTCTATGCTGCTAGGCTCTGAAGCTAGCAGGAACTCGCTGGCGACGGCGTGGATAGCGAAAAATGCCCTGTGGTACGCCCCTGCTACGTCCGGTCCCGAGCCGCAGTACGAAATGCATAAGGTTCGCGATCCGTGGGCGTACTTACAGAGGTGTTGTAACAGCGGCTCGATGAGGAACAGAGCACGCATCTGGAAGGTCGCCGAACAGATAGAAGAAATTGAGAGGCAAAACGGGATCTATGATTGGTTGTCCAACATACCATGCTACTGGTGAACACCACTGCCCTTCCCCAGTACTCGCCACGTAATCTCTTGTACAAACGCGGCTATAGAGCGGAATTAGTCGCCAGTGTGCAAGGTAAGGCGCGCAGTCAGGGGCGGTTTAACGCCGTCCGGACCGTGGGGGCCGTAGACACGCGACGTCAATGCGACATCCTCGACTCCTGCACTGGGCCCCTCGTGGGTCAATATTATTAATGCGAGCTGGAGTCTAAGCCGCGAGCGAGATGGTGGCGGTTGTGGATCAAGAGACAACGCCACCGATCTCACTGCTCGCTCTGGCCAGAAAAGTCGCGCCGCTGGTCACGCGTGCGTTGACTTTCCGCGACCCTCTCATTTCATGGCTTGCCGAGTGGCAGTGAGCTGCGAACGTGGGGCATGTAATGTATATAGCATGGACCAGTGATCTACTACAAATCTGACACCGACTCCGTAATGTGGGTGAGGCCGGGGTGACACCCGAGGAGAGGCTCCACGATTCCGACGTGCAAGGTTCCCGGGCCAAGACTGAGAGTCAGGTGGGGCCGAGCACGTTGAAACCGAGGTAGAACTCCCCGGGCCGTCAACCGTCTGGGGGTGTGTCGAGCCGGAACTAGTCCAGCCCAGACCACAGCAGGCGCAGCCGCAGACGCTGGCTCGCGGACCCCCCAGACCGTCGGAAGGCGAGCCTGGATTGGAGCTACTTGCGCCCGCGCCAAGCAGGTGTTGTAGCGGAAGAGGGCGCAGCTGAGGCGGGACGACGAGAGGAGGAAGCCGGAGGTAGAAGCTCTGCATGCAGCGGAGCCAAGATGTCCAGGGAGCGCCAGTAACGGAGAAAAGCATCGGAGGACCAGCGACCCATGGTCTTCACCACGTCGGGTGGGACACCAGCTAGAAGTAGCTCAGTTGTACCGCCGATGCGAAACGCGTGGCCAGAGGAGGAGCTGAGGCCGTTCGCCAACCAGATGGCATTGCAGCGAAGCAGAAACTTCCGTTTAGTGAGGCACTTCCAGCGCCCAGAGGAACCCGCCTTGTAGGAGAAGAGAGGCACCGAGAGCGGCGGGCAGTTTAGTGTGAGGTGGGCCTCGAGTGATGAGACAGGATCGGAGGCGTCCATTTGGCGGCAGATGTATACGTACTCGCCACGGGATTTCGAGACCTTAGTGAATGGAAGAAATAGTTTTCGGGAGCGATTAGAGTTCAGTGGCTGCGAGAGGTCCGAGAATAGCGCCGTATGACCAACACGGAAGGAGTCTTCCCAATCGGACAAAATTTCGCCTAGGCGACATTGCCCGTAGAAAGCCGTAGTAGCAGCGGACAGAACAGCTGCGTCCAAGCAGTTACCAGCATCCAGATGTGAAGACAGGGAGAGTAGCATGTCTCGAGTGACGGGCGGACGAGGCGGGCGACGAGAGGAAGTCGGAGTCATATTTTCAACTCCATTGAGAACAAGGTTGAGCCTAGGACCGCCAAGCCACGGAGCATCGTGGTAGTTATGCCAAGCTTTGAGGGCGGCAACGTAACCGCGGACCGTGGTGCCGGCAATGGTGCCGATGCGTGAGGCCGCGAATGCGCAGAGTAAATATTCGGACACGGGAAGCCGAGCGGTCTCGGGGATACTTTCCGACGCGCAAAAGGACAAGAATACTGATATGCCAGCAGAGTATTTCTCACGCGTAGAGCTGGCCCACGCCGTGTCCAGGGCCAGCTGGAGGCGAGAGGTGGAAACAGAGGAGAGGAGAAGAGACATAGTGAAGGAGAGAGATCACACGTTGTTAATAAGGCCACAGGCCGCATTCCAACCCAATGTATTTTAAGACGCAAGGCACAGGAAAGGTTTCAGGTACGAAGGTAAAGCGGGGGCAAAGCCAAATCGCTTTGACGAGAGCGGAAATACACCTCGTGAAACACCGTCCGCTAAGTTCTCGGCCGAGGGAACCCACACGACCGAGATCCAGATGCCGAACTCGCGGATGTTGGAAATGATGTGGCGCAGGACCGCATTTTGAGAGGCGTTGCGTGAACGGCCGGCGTGTAAAGCGCCGACGACGCCCTGGTTATCGGAACGAAAAACAACATGACAGTGGCGGAAGCCGGCCGCAATGAGAGCGCGTAGACCAAGATCAATGGCCACCATCTCCGCCCAGCCAATGTCGCGGTCGGCAGCGCGCCAGCCGTCGCGTAGAGACCACGATAGCCAGCGGCCGTCGAGCACGAAGCCGACACCAAAGGAAGTGGAAGCGTCCACAAATAGCATGTGAGATAGTGGTGGTGGGGGAGCGACGACGGCGGAGCCACAGAAGTCGCGAGCCAGCTGTTCGCGCCACCAGGTGACATCGGAAAGAACTGTAGGCGGGAGGCGATGCAGAGTGAAAACGTTGTCCCTGAATGCGGAGCGGAAGCGATAAAGGGAAGGTAAGCGAGAGCGACCGTCGGGGAGTGCGAGCGTGCAGTGCTGTAGGCAGCCCATGACTTTCTCGCATTCCCGAAGTGAGACAGAGGAACCAGGCTGCCAAGAGAGAATCCGGGCCAAGTACTTGTCCTTTTTAGCCTCCGGAATGCACACGGTTTTGCGGGGGAGGTCCCATTCAAACCCGAGATAAGTGAAAACGAAGGAGAAGGGGCGGTGCTTGTGGAGAGCCCAAGGCCAACCGAGCTCAAGTGCGACAGAGAATATCAGAGACTCGTCGTAAGCGTAAGCCCAAGGCCCCGAAACAGAGAAAACGAGAGGATAGCGCCAGAAAGTATAATCGTCGGACCATTTGAGAAGGTCGTCGACGCCCCGCGCGCGGTAGATGCAAACGATACCGTCGCCCGGGCGACCAAACAAGCCCATGGAGCTGGTGCAGCCAAAGCACCCGCAATGATCAATATAGAAACGTGGAGCGCCGACGCCGTCCACGCGGACACAGACGTATGGCTGATCCTCGGGCGCAATGGGAGACCGCCGATGCGCCGCCTCGACATCGTTGACCGAAACCTGAGAGCCGGGGGGAGCATTAGCGACGAGCATGTAACAATCGGCAAAAGTCCCCCAATCGCACTTGAAAGTGGACCCGTCAATGCTAGAGTTGACAGAGGGATTGGTGGGATCGTTGCGAGGAAAAGAATGATCTTGAATGAGACGAAACTTGGAGGTACCAGGTTTGGGGATAACACCGAGAGGGCCGGTACAAAAGGGCCCCATGAGAGCCTCGAGTTGGGCAAGCGAATAAGGGCCGGAGTAACGACCCTCACGGAGTTCAGAATTAATGTAATCGAGAATAAAGTCGGAATGGTCGAGGGCAGAACGATGGTTCGGTGGAGAAAAAGTAGAGAGAAGCGGGAAAGAGACCCCGAGCCGCCAACCGTCACGGATACCAAATGGAACGTCAGCGAAATCGTGGAGGACGCCCGCGTCGTCCAGCGCCACCGCCCACTTCTCCCAGAGAAAGGGCGTGACGATCCGAAGTGCCCCCAGCTCAAGCGCATGCCTGAGCTGAGTGAGACGCGCCGCACTTGGTGCAGCGGTGGAGGAAGCGGCAGGGTTGGCGGGCACACCCCGCGGCGCCGTTGAAAGCGAAACAAACGAGCTCGTTGGCAGTAGTCGACCACTTGCCAGCCCGGAGTGAGATGTAGCCGGTGTCGGTGATACCACAGGCGCGGTTCCGGCAGCCGGTGGCGAGGCAGAAGATGCAGCGTTGGGAGCTGGAGCCTGCAACAGCGGAGGTAGCGGGAGTGGCAGTGGACGCAGCACGCGAGGGGCGCGATGAGGAGGCGCGAAAGGACGAGGTCCCGGAGGTGGAGGAGGAAGTGGCGCGCTCGACCGAGTGGTCGAGGTTGAAATCCGTGACGATACGGTTCCAGACCCGGTCCTGGAAGGTGGAGGGATCAAAGTCCTCGACACCGGCCGCGTGAATGCGGCGGCACTCGATATCGTACGCTAAGAATAGCTGCCAGCGGCCCCGCTTGTAAACGTCCGGGTGCAGGCGGATACCGTCATAGTGATCCTGCCAGATCTGGGCCCAGCACGCCGCCAAACCACTGTCCGGCTCCTCAGGAAAGTAGAGGCGGATGAGTCGGATGAGGCGCGGGAACGCCTGCATCCACTCGGGCAGCGTCAGCGCATGTTCGCCTTCCGCAGTCCAGGTAGAGGGCAGGAGAGTGAGCACGCCCGAGTCCGAGACGGTAGCGGTGGTGCGATCCGTGGATTTGGACCACTTGAGGCCGCGTAAAGTGTCGTTGGTAAGCAGCGTGAGTGGAATATGTTTGGTCCAACCCGCCTGGATGGCGGCGATGGCCAGCGGGTGGTCCGGCAGAGTAAGGCCACTCAGTAGCCTCCCTGCCGTAGGCAAGGCACGCGGAACGGGCGCCGAAGTGGACGTGGAGTGGGCAGCAGCCGCTGAGGGCGCAGGAGCCCTGGGCATAGCAGCACGGGAACCGCGGGGAAGGGGAGACCCTGCAGGAAAACTGCGTGAGCATAGGAATGGGAATGGGAATGGAATGGAATGGAAGAGGAATGGAAGAAGGAATGCAAGGAACGGGGAGGAGCATGGAATGAAGGATACATACGGGCAGAAGGAGCGCGGGCATTCGCCAGCATAGAGGTGCGGCTCGCCTGGTCGGAGACCATGGATATGAACTGCTCGCGGGTAGCATTCGAGAGGGAGTCCCAGAAGGTGATCCCGGGCGCCGACGCAGGAGCCGGGGAGGACTCGCGAGAGGCCGGGAGGCGGACGGAGGAACCGCCCTGAGGTGAAGGCGGCGCACCTTCGTGAATAATGCGAGTGCCCGAGATCGACGAGGTCGGGGCATCCGAGCGCCCGATTGGGTGAGCGAAGTGAACGCGGGCTCGTTGCGGCAAGGAATGTGGTAAGGCATGGGGGGAGTCGCCGTCTGGTGATGACGGCGGAGCCGCGGCCTTCTCTTTCCCTTTGGCACGCTTCGGCGGAGGAGCGATGGATGCCGAGTCTGAACTTGGCATGCGGCGACGCGTGGAATTCGCCCCTGGGTGGTCCAGGGCCCCGAAGCTGGGGGGAGGAGTGTCCCCCGCCGGATCTGAGGGAGCATCCCCGTCGTCAAATGCCTGCGGCTGAGGTGCAGGGGCAAAGGCCTCTGCGAGAGCAGGAGCGGCGTTGTCAGCCGCCGATAGGATGAGATCGTCCGACAACGGCTCGTCCTCCTCAGGACTAGCAGGTCCAGACGTCCCAGAGTGAGCCAGGACGCTGGACGGCGTCGGGGTGACAGACCGGCGAGAGGTGGCCCGAGCAGAGACGGGGAGGCGAGGAGCCATGGCGGAGAAAAACAGGGAGAGACGAGGTACGGGGGAGCGACGTGAGAGCGAGGCGAAGAGAGAGAAAAAACGAAAACGAAAATGCGAGCTGGAGTCTAAGCCGCGAGCGAGATGGTGGCGGTTGTGGATCAAGAGACAACGCCACCGATCTCACTGCTCGCTCTGGCCAGAAAAGTCGCGCCGCTGGTCACGCGTGCGTTGACTTTCCGCGACCCTCTCAATCATGGCCAGTCTCCTTTCATAATATCTCGTTACCGCCAGTCCCGGTCAGCCCGATATCATATCCACCTTCGACGGGGATTCGAACCGGAAATTGCGAGCCAATGAGGCGAGGATCAATCAATTCTCAGTAATGTCCCTTTTGACTTCTTAAATTTTGCTTTGATGGTTCTTCTGTGATCAAGGGGTACCCAATAATTGGACCTTGCAAAGTGGGTTCGTAGATTTCGTATGGCCACTTCGGCCTCTACCCCCCCTCCCCCCTTTCCATAAATAGAAGTAAAGCCCCTTTTAAACTACATATGTCAGCTACATAACATAATATATCTGGCGGCTCTAAACATATCACGAAAACATCAGGAACTCGACTAAATACACGAGACAAATAAAGATGACACTGCCATCCTACTTCTTTCCCCCGCGTTTGGCCCTCTTGGTGGGTCGAGCGTGCGATGGGCACCTCCAGTCCGTTTCGATGCAATCGAGATACATGCAAGTTAAATGGAACTAAGAGTGAATGGATAGTTAGTACGCAGTGACAAATACAATGTAACGAGAGCGTACCCATCCGGTCTCGCAGCGATCGTACTTGCACCGAATCGCAACGCCGTCGTTGATTTCGTTCTGCGTGACAACTTTATCGCAGTCGCATGTCCGCAGCATCGCGTTGAGATCGCGCTTGCGACTCTTTCGTCCTGCGCGCGTGATGACGTCGTTTTCAACGAACTCCGGCGCGTCGAGACTGATATCGAGTGCCGATTCTGAGACGTGTGAGCTACAAATAAAGAATGATTGACAATGACCTCACCTGCTGGCCCATCCTCAATGTCCGACAAGGTGCCGGAATGTGTGTCGTGATTGCGTGAGGTACTGGCAGCCATAACATCGGGGTCTTCCGCATGAACGTCGCTTAATTCCTGCTCGTCAGCAGCTGCCGATGTTTCTGAAATGTCTTCGTTCGATGCAAATTTTGAGGTCCTATGCGCGTCTGAGATGGCGAGTGTCGGAGCATGATATACCTTGCGAGATTTCCGGGATTTGGTAAAGCGTCTTGCCCAAACAAGTGTCCGCATGTTGTCGATTTCGTCCGGAGGGATCGTGAATTTGGCAGTGAGATGGGAGAGGAGTTGGGAGGAGGCATGATGAATGCGAAGGTGGGCGACCATGGAGTATCGCCATATAGCGGGGTTCCGGACAGCCATCTTGTTTGTTGGGGAACAGATCGGGCAGGCAAGAGGCACATTTGTGCATGGCGCGGACTCGCTTGCAGTTGCGGCAGAGTGGTAAGCAAACGAGACGAGATTGGGGCATAATGACCGAGTATCGTCCACCTGGAATGTACTAGAGGCTGAACCTCTCGTCGGTCGGAGATAGACTACACACCCGGATTGAGCCGTTGGCTGCAGGCAAAACCCACACACCTCAACTGTACGGTCCATGGCCTCATCGCATAGAATATGCGCACCCACATGCTCGATGAGGCGCGGGCCGTTTTCGCGCGGCCACTCAAACGAGGGCTGGCACCGTGGGCAGAGGTCGGCTGATCCGTCGACGGCGCTGATGTTGCGTAGCCCGTCGAGATCAACGGCAAATGCAGTGCGGCCTACAATAAACGACTCAATACAGCCGCAAACACGTCAACGAGAATGCTCTTACCTGCCGATCTATATGGGAAGTCCTCGTTTGCAGGTAGCAAAGGCAGACGAGTGAGACCATCGAGGCGGATGACTTGAGCGTGAAGGCTGGTAGCGAACGCTTGCAGTTCTGCCGTAGTGAAAAGGAATGCAGGGATGTCGGAGTCGGTGGGGAAGACGGTGGGATTAATCACCTGGTAATTATGCCCGGGGGCAGACTTCAACATCTTCCCCATCTTACCCGTCCATTCCCAATCCTCGGCCTCCGGACCGAGATTCTCGGCTCGTCGTTCTTGCAAAACAAGAATCTGAGCAGTGATTGACACTCCTTCCTCTGCAAGAGCGGTGGCGGGGATTTCAAGTACGTGACTTGAGTGAAAGTGAATCGCGGAGACCTGTGCAACAGCCAGGAATAGACGAGAATCTGTCTTTACGAGAGTAACTAGAGGCTCGCCAACAAATAGGCGAGCACCACCAAAGACTGAGAGCGAAGTGAGAACACTTGTATCGATATCAGGGGCTGCTGTGAACCGCAAAAGCCCCATGACCCGTTTCAAGCGATCCGTTGAGCCGGCTGATGAAATGAAGCGAAACAGTTGACGGAGGACACGGGCCTTGTATACCAATTTACCCTCGACTTTGACATATGGCGAGAACGAGCTGTTTTGCACAACATCCTCATTGGCAACTTGGTCTTCCAGGTCCAGGTCGTCCGTTTCAGGTTCGGGAGCAGCATGTGGAATTGGGTCATCTTCAAGGACATCATCGGGATCTGGCTCTGAGATGGGATAGGGCCCGGGGCTGGATGGATGGCAGCCGTCAGGGAATAGAAGATCGCCACCGGCTTCTTCAATCCCCAAAAAGCAGTCGTGCACCGAGAAGGCTGTATATGCACGCTCAACGAGCGCTCGACCCTGGGTCCACGGAGTGATGGGAAGGACATGCAGCAAGCAGACATCGCCGCGCCAAGAGGCCGGATTGACATGGTCGATCTTTGCTGAAAGTTCGACGTTGCTGGAGAGACCTGGTAATCTAAGCCGACGGGGTGTACTGTCCCACTCTGGGTATTCGGCAAGTATCTGTGACGACTGGATGGTGTGTGCAATGCGATGGACAAGCTGGAGAATGTCTGCGTTGGCATCATTACCAATTATTGTGCGGTAGATTCCAAAGGATATCTCAAGACGATCGGTACCGAGCATGATAATATAGAAGTTTCCGAGTGGCCGGTCCACCTTTGCCTTCGCAACGCAAAAGAACACATTCTTGATAAGAATTTGGATGTCTGTGTATAGCTGCTTTGGCAAGAATGCGGTCCCACCCCCCGGGTATGTATAGAGACTGCAGGCAAGATGGGCAGCGGCGCTGAGATGCGACAGCTGATCAGAAAGGGACATATCGAGATCCACGTAAGGGGTAATGAGGTGCCTGAGAAAGTCGCCGAAGATTCGGATATGCTTCCGTGCGGCGATGACAGTTGGGCGCGAACTAGATGTTTCAGGAAGCTCCCATATTTCCTTGAGCAAGGATACCGCCAAGAGCACATCTTGCTTATCATTTGGGTTCATTAGATGCTCTACCTGGTCGGGTGCTAGATCATTTGAGCGAAGATGCCAGTTGAATGTCTCAGGAGTGATAGTAAAGCCATAAACAGAGATCCCTTTGTCCCGGAGAATAGCACAGCGCACACGCTTCATGATGACGTGCTTCCAGTCTTTGTCGGACGTGATGTCGTTGTCGCCCACCAAGGTGTTCATGAGTGGTAGCTTACCGACATACGAATAGATTGGTGATGATGCCGGCAATTTGCGTTTGTGCGTGAGGATGACAAGGGCTGCTCCGCGGCGTGCCTCACCATCAGAGGCAATGCTATACAATCGGCCCGGAACCTTCTCGTGCTCGCATGCATCAATGACGGTTTGAATGAGTGTTGCATGAGTCGGCGCATCTTCTGCTTTGCACGTTCCTGAGACAAGAATAGGCCGGGCAGCGTGAGACCGAGCATCACCTGCGAGAAAACCTATAGCAGCTACAGTCGCCTATTCGGAACTCAGTTGGTGGTACCATTGCACATACGAGCGGCTTACCTCCACAGCCAGTCGCACCTTTCCATCTGCCACCGCCCTGCAAAGCGCGTATGCCTCTGCCTCAGAACAAAACTCTAGCCCAATACGGTCCGCATCTTCTCGCGCCACGCCAACAATCCTGTTTGTCTTCTCATCCCAACGTGGACGCCCTTCCACCTTGATCTCGTCGATCATCAGCTGGTAACCATAAACCTCCTCTGCCCTTGATGCTGACTCCTCAGTGAGTCCTAAGTTCCCCCCGCCTGCGAACGTATTTTTGATGTTGTAACAGACCTCCTCCACCGTAGGGAACCCCGCCGACGCACGTAGAGGATGAGTCGCTGCAAAACGACGTAGTGTACTGGTGGAAGGTGAGCCTATCGCATTATGATAGATTTGCACGAGGCGAGGACCAGCAAGATGAAGCATCAACACGGCGAGCCTCTTCTCAGCCTTGTCGAAACTCTTTGGACTATACAGCTTTTGCGTAGCCTTGGCCAGCTGCTCTCCCATTTTCTTCACCGACATCCCGTTCTTGAGACAGACCTTGACAAGCTGCCCAACACGCGTCATGTTGCTGCTGCCAACAGCAACAAGGAACTTGTTATGATCATCAAGGACTTGAGATTTTCGTCCAAGACTCTTCGACATATTGACGCGGCCGAGACGTAAGGCCTGCACTTGGAACGTCTTCGCGCGGATGATGTCGTGCAAGCCACTGATAGGCTGGTAGACATGTGGTGTGTTTTCGTGCACGCCATCCGTCATGCGTTTGACGATTGAAACAAGCTGACCATTGTCCTTTAGTGACGTACACGCTGTGCACGACTGCGCATTTGTGGTACCCGTGCACTTGCTCGCGGTGAGCCAAACTCGCCGGCCTTCTGTATGAACTGACCACGGGAGAACCCTCCGCGTGTGTAACGCGAACGGGTAGAGCATGACGCCCCACTGCCCGTCTGGAACCGGTAACTCGAAACCCCTGCAGGCGAGCATGCGCTTGTCGACGAGCGCCGATGCCGGCTTCTTCCCGGTGTTGCCATGATTGCGGACAGCGTCTCGATCGTCATCACTGTCGTCAATGACGATGGCATGAGACGATGGAAGGTGCGCAGACGCCATCGAAGACGAGTCCAGTATCGACGACAAATCGAACACACCACTGCCAGCACCCGAGCCGGACGTCAAAGGTGCACCCGACATCGAGGGCGCGCCTGTCGTCGAAAACGCGCCCGCGCTCGACGACGCTTCAGTTGCCACAACCGAAGCACTCGTCATCGAACCGGCTGGTGTTGGCGTCGATGAAGGACCAGCCTGGTCGGGGTTCGCAGGCACAGTCACCAGAGCGGCAGCCGTCGATCCGTCGTCCAATGATGGATCTATGGCGTCAACTCGGCCACTAACCAGGTAAGCTGTTATCTACGTAAATAGTTTGCGACACTCACTATGATTCGATGGCTCTCAGGAGGCGATTGACCTTCCCCTCCACCAGGCAGGGCTTGATCCCTTTGTCGATCAGGAGGAACTCGAGGAAGGTGAGCACTCCATCCAATCCAGCTTCCCCTCTCCGTATCAGCGCCCTAATCTCCTCCTCAGGTATGCGAGAGCCAAACACGGCATTCATCTGTTGATCTGCGTCCTCCCAGATGGTGTCGCAATCTTTACTCCGGTAAGCCTCTGCCCAGTTCTCGAAAACTGCGAGCTCATCTGTGTTGCATCCAACTAGAACAGAACTTGGCATGTGCGCGACGGCATCACGTAGCTGGCCCAGCAGCGCGTTGATCTCAGGCGAAGGGGCTGGTCGTGCGATGGGAGCAGGTTGAGAAGGCAAGCTAGAAGGGCCCAACACCGGCTGAGACACGGCGCTGGAGGGAAGAGGGCCTGGTTGACTTGGAGGGAGGAGGGGGTTCCCTATCTCGAAGAGGGTGCATTGCTTCATCGGCTTCTTCTTTTTCTTCTTCTTCGCCCGTTCTTCCTCTTCTTTCGTCTCCTTTTCCCGCTGCCTTTCCCGCTGCCTACACTTCTTGCTGCCCTTGTGCATGTCCATGTTCTTACTCCCCGCAGTACCGACAGTGACCTGTTGGCCGCATAGGGGGCATTCGTCTGTGTCAGTGGCTTTCGGTTTCACTACGCCCAAGCCGGACGCCTTCAACGGGAGGGTTTAGTAGGGTACATAGCTTGCTATGCAGGTGCGTACCTCAGCCCCGTGGGTGGTCATGGTGTCGAGTAGTGCTGATGGTCTAGTGTGATACAGGGGGGTTTGAGGACGACATTCAGGATGGTGTGTACGCGTCGGAATCATTCATTTGATTAATATTTGTCTATGCTCTAGTATACAGGTATTGTAGTACAAATTGTAGTAGCTCTGCGCTGCCATTCCGTGACGCGGCAGCACAAAATCGCCCGAAAATCATCACGATTGTACGCTCTGGACCTCTCAGATAGGGGCTAATCTACCCTTTTTGGGTAATCACGTGGGCGTTCTGGCAGTTCCCGACCTCAGCCAGCGAATTTGGTAAGGCCAGTCCATGGTACCCCCCCCCTAGACCCTATATACGGCAATTGAATCTTGACCACCCCTTGTCTGTGATTCTCATGAATACGCTATACAATACTTACTTTCCGAGACGGAGTCGGACATTAAAGAACATGTTGAAAAATCCGCGAACGTTCGCGTATATTACTGTGTTTAGGTAGTCTACCTTTGACATTAGGACACAGCGAGTCATGCTTCAAGAAGACTGTGTTTGGTCAAGCATGTGCATGAGTAAGTAGCCCCCAGATCTACTCCCGCGAAGGAAAAGAGTCAGTACTAGCTGTTTCTAGGACATTAATCTGATATTCATTCATTCATTCACAGGCTGGCCGGAGACAAACCCACCATAGGCAGCTGTGATTGCCCTATGCGTGCGGTCGCGATTTCACCCTTAATACACCGAGGCCGAGGAGGACACCGACATTGAAAATAAAAGTTGGTGCTTGGGTTTGACTTGTCAAGGCCTAGGCATGTCGACGTGTATTCTTGTCTTATCTCTCACGAGTTCAGTAAACCCAATACAGATTTTTACCACGTTAGGATAGCGCAGAGCAACACGATTGATCGCTCTCTCTGGACACCAATGCTTGGGCCAATCTGGATTCACATCTGACGTCAAACTTTGAGTATGAAGAGCCAACTTTATAGTCTGGCGCCAGCAATTAGCTTCGCATGACCCAACGTTCGTGTTCAGAAGCATTCACGCAGTCCAGAACCTTTCTCGGTGCCTGTCAATTTCGCCGAACCTACTCCATATCCAAGGATATTGTACTTCTTCTCGATGGTGTCCCTCGATGACATTTCGAGGTGTGTGTGCAATAGCTTGGCCAGCGTCATGCCATTGTCAGCGGAGCTCCGTCGACTTCTTACTCTCTCTGCAATGTGTCTGGATTCTCCGCCAGCACCCCGATTCTTACTGCGGTGCACGCTGCTCCTGACGTTCATCAGCTGCATGATCAAATAGTACATGCGTGAACTTGAGCATGACATCGGGAGGGCTGCTTCTGAATAGAGTTTCTCGAGGATCCAATAGCCTTTATCTTCATGCTTAAACTTACTTCGACCTTCATACAAATGGGTGTCAATTTGTACACGAGATGCATGTGGCAATGTATTGGCAGAAGCAAATCATACGTCAAGGGATCTCAGCGAATGAAGATCTAGATTGAACGCTGATTCTTGTCGCACATCGTTGTCGCAGGAATCTTCCACAACGCCTCCCTGGGCGCCTTCGCATCATCGTTCGTGATGAGCCAGGTCGCGGGGCGCTTTTATCCGGAAAGGATCCGAGAGGGCCCGGATTGCCACAGGTCGCGGTTGCCCGAGCGAGAGGAGAGTTGCAGACCATACCTCTTAGCCGCTCTCTCACCTCCTCTGTCCTGACCACCTTGAAGTCCCCCTCGAAAGCTGAAGGTAAGGTGCCGCACCGGTTGCAGAGGTTGGCTGCTGACAAAGTCTCAGCTGACTTATCCTTGTTCTGCAAAAGGAAGTTTTGACACACGGTTGCTGCCGACGCGTCTCTACTTCGCGTCCCAAAACGACGCACACGATTGGTCTTTCTGCCCACGTCGCTGCCCCCTCGGGCATAACGGTAGGTGGTTTCAAGGTTAGTCGTAACGTACATTGCTGGGACATTCGAAGTGGAGCAACAGCTAACGTTAACCCTCAGGGAAAGATCGCGATCTCGCCTCGAATCGCGTAAGCGGAGCCTTTCAAATACTAGCCGAAGGTGAGCACTTTGTCAACAGCTGTTCATTCCGGGCAGTCAGACTCCTGCATCATGGCCCACGTACCTGGGGTCGTTGCGTCAAGGGAGCTCTTTTATCTCTTCTTCATGTTGTCGAGGAGCCTGGACACCATAGAAAGCTTGACTTGTGGGCCCAAACGATGCGTGATGACCTAGCTCTCGGCACCTTTTGAGAAACATGAACCTTCTTATCCATGTTCCTCTTCTTCTTTTGGTCACCTACGGAGATGCTAACACCAAACCGCAGTTCCGCTGACATCGACTGGGTCTCCGTCCTTCATCGGTCGTAGCACTCTCGGCCTCATAATCAAGGTTCATTAGCCACGCTTTGAACCACTTCGTCCCCTCCATTCGGAACTATTTTGTGACTGGAACCCTCGAAAAAGCGCTCGCAGAACTCTTAAAACATTGCTGGTACTCTTTCGTACTTGCAGCACTCGCCGCTGTTCCTTTCCTAGTCATCTCCTTTCCATGTATCCCTCGCATCACCATCAGAACTCCCAAACCATGCCCGCACCCACGTATGAATATTCTTACTCTTCACAGTACGACCATGGTCCGACATCAGGAAGGGCCATGAGGCCGGATTCGTCGGAGTCACAGTCGTCTAACCCACCTCAGCCGTCATTCGCCCAGCAGCACTCCTATGGCCCCCCTTCTAGCTACTCCTCCAACCCCCACTACCCTCCCGTCCAGCAGCAACAATCCACAAATCACCATTGGTCGACGCAACCCGATGGTTGGTCGCACTACGCCCAGCCGTTCCCCTCTCAAGGACCCGCGCAGTCGATGGACGTAAGTTATGGAGGCTCGACACGTGCGGAGGCTCCGTCAGGCCCGGCGCATACCCCAGAACGCACGCGGGGGTACGATGCGGGACCTCAGCCCGGTGACTTTCGCCGAATGGACGAGCGGTATCCGGGCCCAAGCTCACCGGCCTCCATCAGCAAAGCGATACCTCCTCCCAAGCCCAAACGCAGCGATTCTGGCGAGTCACCCCCGATCATCGCCGAGAGCCCACCTTCGGTCCAGGGCCTCGATATGAATAAGGTAAGTCAGATTCTATATCCACATGAGGCGCTTGCAGAATGCCGTTCATGATTTCTCCGTTATTAATGGACGAATCCTACAGCTTCTTGAAACTTACCGCTTTATCTTGGACACGAGCAGCTCCAGCGTTTCCGGTGGCCGCTTGCCGGCGTCAGAATCAATGGAGCGTATAATACAGGCAGCTAAGGGTAACCTGCAGATGCTTCAGACCGCAGCACAACAACAGCAGCAACAGCAGCAAGGCAGTCCTGACCCGGGAAATCGACCCTCGACCTCGGGGAGCGAGGAAACGCCGTCCGCCGGCGCAAAGCGACAGGTGGGCACTTTGTCTCGTTTTGAAACTCGTTCACCTCAACGTTATGATTTTTATAACACCCGCCACCACTCCTGCGTGGTGGGTCGTGCCTGGATCCGATTCTGATAACGTCAAAACACACGATACTCACGTGGCTTTCTTTTCTCCTCCCTTTTCCCTCTTCTCCCTGCCATGCCTCCCTTTCGCTTCCTTTTTATCTGAAGCAGGGCAACACCGGCCAGAAAATCGGCGAAGACGGCGGCCCCGTGCCCGAGGGTCAGACATGCTTGGGCTGCAAGGCGACAGCGACACCCGAGTGGAGGCGAGGGCCTCTCGGTGAGTCCACCATGCTCTAGGCTTCTTCGCCCTTCCCCTTTCCCTTTCCTTTTCCTTTCCCCCCAATTTCTCTTTTGGTCTGTTGGGGCGTACCGCGATGACCGGTGGCTGACTAAAAACGCGCTTGCACCGCGCCACCCACTTACTACGCACGCGTCGTATCGTTCCGGTTTTTTAACGCACGGCTCAACAGGGCCTCGAACGTTGTGCAACGCATGTGGCCTCGTGTATGCTAAGATGGTACGTCGCCCTTTTTTATGGCAGCCACTTGGGCGTGCCCAGTGTCGATCCGTGCTATCGTGAGCGCTGACGTTTGGGGGCTCCTCTGTTTGTCGCGGTGCCGGGCATAATTTTATATGTGACGCGACGTGTAGCTCAAGAAGAGGGCACGCGCGGACAAGAAAACCACCGGGCAGCAAGATACTGGAGCCCAGGCCGCTGCGCTCGACGAGTCGAGCGGCGAGAGCGATATCGGCGACATGGACTCTTTCGAGTCCCCCGAGCGGCATAGCGAATATGAGGGGTATCGTAGGGGGCAGTCGTGAGGACAGATAAGCGTATCCCGGACTATAATCTCTGTGCTCTTGTTCGTTGCCACGGAGGCGTTCTCAGTCTCTGTTTTCTTCTTCCTTTTTTCTTGATATCGATACGTGAATTTTTGGGTGCTTTCTTACACCCAATGCCTCGTTTACCTCTTGATCTACATATGCATTCGTCCCTAGTATCACTCGCCTGTTTTCCCTTTTTTGCCTGGACTCCGCAATAGTCCGAGACTTTGATATGCCTCTCCTAGTTTACTGGACTCTACTACTCCTACTCGGCTCGCTAGTTTGCTACATACACACGGCTAACGGAATCGTATTTATTGGCTCAAAGTTCCGAACGTGCCTCGCTTCTATATGCGCAGTTTAGGTTATCTTCCTTCCCACATCTTCCTTCTCCTCGCTTGCGCACGACGCCCTAATGATGCCGGAGAAAAAATGTCGAATGACGGCATGCATCGCCGAGCCGTGTGCTCGGGACTGCACAGAACGAGAAGCAGAGAAAGCACGAGAGAATCAGGGACGCGGACGTAAAATAGCAGACTCTGCAATGACAACGAGGGGGCGATATGTCCGCGGGCAGGGGGGAAAAACATGTGTGTCCGGTGTATGCACCAGCCAGTCCAAGGCGATGGGTAGGGTGATGCTATCCCCGCTGCGTATGCATATAAAACTAATTTTTCTCAAGCCACCGGCGCGCCGTCGGGTAAACTGCACCCCAGGCTCGAGGTGTAAGACGTAAAGCGTCGCAGGGATTGGGCAAACGCCGGAAAGGCTGATAAGCGCCGCTGCAGACGGGGTGATATCATGGTACTGGTGATGATGTCAAGATGATATGGAGAAAACGCTGTTGATGATCAAATCCACCGTGTCGACGTAATTCAACGAGCGTGTGTGCGATTTTTTTGAACCGCTTGATTTCCGAGGAGAAGAGAGCCGATGTCGTTCGTCTTCGACTGGCGGTCAGAAGGGGGAAGCGAAACACGCACAGAAAATAGGCGGGCTAGAGTGTAGCGCAGTAGGACTGAGAACAGGGAAGGTCGAGCAGGCCGCGGCTCGGTGGCTGGGCTTGATAAGGGACAGGAATAACATACAGACGTCGGTCTTTTAAAATGAGACTGAAATATTATGTCTCCTTATGGTTGTTCCTGTACCAGAAGATGTCTGAGACCGACATATGGCAATCGGAGCAACGACACATGTTTTCAAGGTTTTCTCCGAATCCGAAAAGACATATGCTACTTTCTCAAATAGCCACCTACCAAGGTTGTGACCGAGACGATACTATCAACCTGGTATCCCAGCTTCTCCTTACGACATCCACCGAGAAAATGCCGTCTGATGCACGCGTAACGAAAGAACGTCAGATAAGAAGGCCTTAGTTATACAGGGAAAACGTTGGCCATGGCACGATGTTTGATAAGAGCTTAAAGACTGTACGAGAATCTGACATAGCGATTTCTTTGGGACTCAACTACTTTATCAGCCTTTACTTCAAGGCTGTTCTTCAGGGTACATGAGGTTTCAGCACGCAAGGATTAGCATCCATTTACCAGGCCTGACTTCGTATTTGCATCGGCATTAGGGCACGGGAGCAGCAGGATCAGCAAGTTATTTCAGCCGGAATTATGATGCATACCCGGCGCACACCGAGACTGGGCACACAAGGAATCCCCATGTCCTAAAACGCGTGTCCTCATTATAAACCTAGACCGCAACCTCCCATCCACACATGCAGCAGCATCAGGATACGCCAGGATACGTCGATAACAGAAGACAATCTGGAGGAATCAGCGCAGTGCCATCCGGCTCGCCTGGACTCCTACGTAGATCCCAAATTCACATCATACTGTTGGGGTACTTCAACGCGGTCGAGAACGACGGAAATGGCCCGCAGGGCCAAAGGGTATACTCGATAAAGATGCTAGGAATAAATGTACAGGCTCGCGCGATCGAGGATGCTGCAGTTTCCGTACTGAGATAGCGAATAAAGTAGGTGCGCGGTACGTGCTACGTATACATACGGAGCTCGACGCGATACACGATACACGATAGATTATGTGAGAGCATAGCTAGAGCAACACGGGACAAGACAAGACAGATAGACATAAGTCACGGAGAACACGGTGAGATAGCACGGTCCGGGTCCATGGCGAGTGGAAAACGAGGAAGATGAAGAAGAGGATAGAGTCCGGGATGGGGGTGAAGTCATATTTAGTGGTGTGGGCGAGCAAGCGCGTGTTAACGTGGGCCTGGGAGCGATCTCCATGATGCTTTGCGAGACAACCTGGCAAGAAACGAAGAGACGACATCTTCAGTTCGTCTATCGCCCGCCGAACGCCTCAGACGTCGCTGTTCCAGTATCCAAGGCGTACCCAGCGCCCCGCGCTCCGTACTACCGCTGCGCACCAGCCTGCTGCCCCGCCTTCGCAGCCGCAGCAGCCATCGCCATCTGGCCCATCTGGCCCATCTGGCCCATCTGGCCCATCTGGCCCATACCCATCTGACCCATCTGGGCCTGCATCCCGCCCATGCCCATCTGCGCTTGCATCCCCAGCTGGCCCATGTGCGCCTGCTGCATCCCCGCGCCCTGCCCGCCTTGACCGGTGGGCACAGCCTGCATCTGCCCGTTCGGCAAGAACCGCCACGCGAACCCGCCGCCCGACGCGCCGCCTGCACCGGCACCGGCGCCCTGCTGCTGTTGCTGCTGCTGCTGCTGCTGCTGCATGCGCGCGGCAACGGCGGCCATCTGGGGTGTCATACCGTTCGCCATCGCGCCGCCGTTGACATTGACGTTGCCGTTGCCGTTGCCGTTGGGCTGCAACGCGTACCCCATCGCCGCCGCCGGGAACGGGTAGTACTGGGGCATCATCGCGTGCTGCTGCTGGCCTGGCTGCTGCTGGCCACCACCTTGCTGGGCGCCTTGTTGGGGCTGCTGCTGACCGCCCTGCTGGGGCTGCGCGTTCTGCGGGCGCGGCGTCGCTTGGGCCTGTGCCTGCGCTTGGGGCTGAGGTTGGGGCTGCGCTTGGGGTTGAGACGCCTGCGCCTGCGCGTTCTGTAGTGCGGGCGACCGTTGGTTCTGCTGCGCCTGCGCGGCCATCATCTGCCTTAGCTGTGCCATCTGCGCCGCCTGCGCCTGCGCCTGCACGCTCTGTCCCTGCCCCTGCCCCTGCTTACCCGCCTGCCCCTGCCCGCCGCCGCCGTGTTGATGCTGCTGCTGCTGCTGGAGCTGGAGCTGCTGTTGGAGCAACTGAAGCTGCTGCTGGACCTGCTGCGAGTTCTGCGGCTGGTTCAGCTGGGGCGAGCGCTGGTTCTGCCCCTGCCCCTGCTGCTGTCCTGGCTGTCCTGGCTGTAGCCCCTGCCCCTGCCCCTGCTGCTGCACCTGCGCATGCCCCATCATCGGCGACCGCCCCGCCTGCTGCGTCTGACTAGCACCAGCACCAGCACCAGCACCACCAACAACAGCCGCGAGCTGCTTATTCTGCACCATCGGGCTGCCCCTCGCCGCCGCCGCCGCCGCCGCCGCCTGCGCCTGCACCAACGGGCTCCTACCCGCCTGCGCAGCCGGCGTACCGGCGCCCGCCCGCGCCTGCGCCGCGCGCTGCGCGTTCACGAGCTGCACGAACTGGCCCTGCAGCTGCGCCTGCTGCGCCGTGTTGCCCGCCTGCTGCGCGTGCTGGATCGCGGTCTGCAGCTGCATGAGGATCGCACCGATGTTGGTGTGCGGGTGTTGGGCGTGCGGCTGCTGCCCGCCGGCGCCTGGCGGTTGCGGTTGCGGTTGCGGTTGCGGTTGGCTTTGGCTTTGGCTTTGACCTTGCGCTTGGCCCTGCGTCGGCTGCTGGGACTGCTGCGCGGGTTGTCCCTGTCCTTGACCTTGGCCTTGACCCTGACCTTGACCCGGCTGCCCCGCGCCGGCGGCGCCTTGCTGCCCACCGCCCTGCGCATGATTCTGCGCCTGCTGAGCAAGATGATATGCCTGCAGCTGCGCCATCTGCTGCGGCGTCAGCTGCTGCGTCTGCCCGTTCGCGCCCATCTGGATGCTCACGTTCCCGAGCTTGGGCGTCCCCGGCGCCTGCGGGTGCACTGGCTTTCCCCCTTGCTGCTGTTGGGCCTGCTGTTGGGCCTGCTGTTGGGCCTGCTGTTGGGCCTGTGCCTGCTGCTGTGCCTGCTGCTGCTGCTGCTGCCTCGCGTGCATGTGCGCCATGTACGCCGCGATCTGCGCTTGCGTCGGCTGCTGCTGGCTCTGCGGATGCTGCCCGAGCTGGCTCTGCGGACGCTGCGGATGCTGAATCGCGTGCTGAGGCTGGGGCAGCTGCATAGGGTGCGGCTGCGGCGTCCCTTGCCCCTGCCCCTGCCCCTGCACATGGACCTGCCCGTGGACCTGCGGATGCGGATGCAAACGCTGGTTCTGCAGCTGCGGCGTCTGCGGGTGCTGCTGCACCCCGTTCGCCCCCACCCCCACCCCCACGCCGTTCACCGCCATCATCCCGTTCATCTGCGGCGTCTGCGGCGGCAACCCGGCCCCATGCATCGCGGGCGATCCGTGCGGGATCTGACCGTTTGCAGTGAGGCGCGGCGACTTGACGAAGCCGGGGCGCGTTGATGGGGGTCGAGGCGAGGGCACCGGCGGCTGCTGTTGCGGATGGGGCGGGGGAGGCTGGCTGTTCACCTGGAACGTGATGTTCGTGTGCGGGGGCATCGGTGAGCGTGCGGGGCCTGGCATCGAGACGGACACAGGCTGCGGCTGCGGCTGAGGATGAGGATGGGTGGGCTGGGAGGGGTGTGGTGGGGACTGGTTGATGACGGTGAGCTGTTGCGGGTGCGGGACGGAGGGAGGGGCGGGAGTTGCGGAGTGCGATTGGCGGATGAAGTCTTTGGATGGGCTGTATGGGCTCTGCGGGTGCGGTGTCTCTGCTTTCTGCATCTTCTTTGCGGGCGTCTTCCGTGGCGAGTCGTCCCCTGTCGACGAGGACGCGGAGGAGTGCACGCCGTTCGTAAGCGCCGGGGGCTGGATGGTGCTTTTCGACGGGGATGACTGCTGTGAAGGAGGAAGGAGGACTGTGGGGTTGACGGACACGGGAGTAGAGGAGGTCATGGTGGGGGTATTCGTGGGGTGTGTGAGTGGGGGCATCGGGATGGCGGTCGGGTGGGCGGGGGTGGAGTCGACGTCCATCTTGCGGTTCTTCATCTGCTCTTTGATGTCCAATATTCGGTAACTGCAAGTTCCAGTTCTCGGTTAGGATAATGGAGGCAGAGCATGGTGAAACGTACGTTGGGACCGTGCCACGGTTTAAGCGCGGGTTCATGAAGTTCATGATCTTGGCTCTACGAGCCCTGTCAGACTCGTCCTCCTCCTGCGATGAAATGGCGGTGGCTTTGCGTTTGAGAGATACGGGTGGTGGAGGGGTGGACACTTTGAGGGTGTGGTTGACGATGCGCGTTAGGTGGGGGTTGGGGTCGAGGCATAGGGGCGATGCGGTATGTAGCTAAATAGTGGGCCTGTCAGCAATTATGTGGTCAATGGATCTGGCAGGACGCACGAGTACACGGGCCTCAATCTCCAAAGCGTCGTTGTCGGTCCACTGGTTCCCGTTCCGGGCGTTCAGGAGACACAGGTCGGTCCACAGAGTTTCGGCGTTGGGATGCAGCAAGACACGATTCCGCTCGGGTTTCTCGAGCAGCGTGTCCTTGGGATTCCGCGGGCGGTAGTCGAGCAGGTCGACGATCATGCAGCCTGTGGACAGCAGACGCGCGCAGTGGATGAGAGGCGTGCCGCTCGGCGGACACGGGGTGAAACGCACCATCGTAGAAGGGCACACGAGCAGCGTCAAAGAGCTCAATAAAGTCAACAGGTATACGGCGAGCGTGAACATCGTCGAGGAGAGACTGTGTGCGAGAGATTCGGTGTTAGTGTCGAGCCGTTCGGGTAGCCGCTCACGCGACAGACGTACCGCTACAGGGTTGTTGTAGAGAAACTTGGGCCCTGCGTTGAGTGTCCAGTGCTCTGGGTATAGGTGAACGGTGAACGAGGGCTGGTCGTCGTTGTGTGCGGCGAGGAGAGCGTCCTGTGCCCTCGAGACGTTGAACGCTGCCATCCGACGATGAAGTCAGGTCCAAGACACCTGCACAGCCCCAGACACACTCTAATCCCATCCCACAATAGGGGCTTTCTCTCAACAACATGTCCGCCCAGTTCGAGGAGGTCAGTCAACTAGAACAATAACATAGCTCATTGCTGAGACATTTACAGCTCATTCCGTTTCTGCGGGAAAAGAACCCGCAGGTGAGACAGCTCGCACTCTCCAATCTGCTCGGACAGACACCACAAGGCTCACCTCATCGCAACATTTTCTTCAATGGCCTGTCGGGAGGAGGTGGACTCAAAAAGCCCCAGGAGACAGAGGTCATCAGGGATCTCAAGCTGCTATGCAGAGACCAACTCGTATGTCTTGACCACTTGTAGCGTACACGTCTAAAGTTTATTGTCAGGCCGTCGCACACGATGCCTTCCGTGCCCTCGTCAACCTCTCCGACTCGCCCCTGATCGTTCCCCACCTCTCAGAGCCCTCCTTCCTCGCCTTCCTGGTGTCCTACATACTGGTGCGCACTCCGCATGCGCACGATAGCCCGGGATGATCTTGAGACAGCCTCCATCTCACTCACACCACCCATGCTCAACAGCACCCCGACGCCATCTGCGCCGATCTCGCATCGATGATCCTCTCCAACCTCTCCGCCACGCCCGCCGTCTGCGCAGCCATACTCACCCTAAAAGTCCTCGTTATCCCTACCAACCCGGGCGCTTCGCCCTCGTTCTACCCTACCCAGTCGCGCTCGGGGACATGTGCCGCGCCCGTGCCGTATCCGACGCAGGAGCCGCAGGAGGTGCTCGCGCTGCCACTTCTGCTGGACGCGTTCGTGGATGCCGTGCCGGTAGAATTATCCGGAAAGGAGACTCAGAGAAGGAGGAAAGCCGAGCTGCATTTTCTGGCGAGCGTGTTCGCGAACATCAGCACGGCGAGTCGCATCGTCTTGTGTCACTCGTGCAAGTGCTGAACTGATGCAAACCCGTTCTCCTCGCTGGATGGACAGGCACCCGCGGGCCGCCTCTTCTTCCTCACCCCGTGGCCTGCTGACGCCGTGCGCTCCACGGGCCCGGAAGAGTACCCGCTCGCCAAGATCGTCGCGTTCACGGAGCACAAGGACACGATTCGGCGGGGCGGCGTTGCTTCTACCATCAAGTGCGTCCAATTCCTCCTATGGGAAATACATTGATGCTAACTGTCGATCACTTCTATAGAAACTGCGCGTTCCACGGCCCAGCGCACCAGGCCATTCTCTCGCCCGAGAGCGAGAAGGTCGCCGTGTCGCCGTCGACGCAGGCGGCACCCGGGATAAATGCGTTGCCGTATATTCTCCTTCCGCTTGCGGGGCCGGAGGAGCTCGATCTCGAGGTGCGTCCGGTGCTTCCCTCTTCAGTTTCTCCACTTTTTCTCTCCCCTCTTTTTTGCTACCATCGCCATCGTCACAATCCCTATCCATCACCCGCTAACCCACCCCACCCTAAAAACAGGAACAAGACCGCCTCCCCTCGGAACTCCAATTCCTCCCGCCCACAAAGACGCGCGAGCGCGACGAGGTCCTGCGCCTCACGCACGTCGAGACGCTGCTCCTGCTGTGCACGCACCGGTGGGGGCGCGAGTATCTCCGCGCGCACGGTGTGTATGAGATCGTGCGGGGCGCGCATTTCGAGGAGACAGTGGATAGGGTGTCGGAGCATATTGAAAGGCTTGTGCTGCTGGTTAAGGGGGATGAGGCGCCTGAGGAGGGTGAGGAGGGTGGGGCGGAGGTGGTGGTGGAGGTAGACGAGGAGGATGAGGATAGCAAGATTGTGGAGGTGTGAGTGGGAGAAGGCTCGTAGACTTCTTGGGCGCTTCTTGAGAAGCGCTGGTCGTGTAGCCTGTGGTGTGCATACTGTCTCGTACTGTTTCTAGCAGACAATAGACGTATATCTTAGGCTCGTGTGTGCTTATCTTGAACCCAGAAGCACAATTGAAATTAAGGCGGCGTGAGCACAGTGCGGCGTGCAATGGAGGTTTGACTTTTGAAACATATAGAAGATATATAGCTCTATCGCTACAGTGTGCTTCGTGAGACTAGTAAACTACAAGGGTATTTACAACATGAGAATTATGTATAAAAAGGTCATGCAATAACGAAAGTCCAAGATGATTAGTAGCCAAGAAGATACGGATTAAAATGCATTGACTTGGTTTCAAGGGACAACCGACAATGGGCGTCTATCACGGGCGTCTACGCGTCTAAAAGCAGGCTACGACTTGTTCTCCCCGGAATTGATATGCCGCGCGATCTTGCTCTTCGCTCTGATCCGCGGCCCATAAAAGAACAACACCTGAGAACAGCACGCACTTAGCTCCGCCCATACCGATAATCGAGGAACGAAAGAGGGGCGCACGTAGGGAATCGGGATCATCAGCACCGCGACGGCGCCGAAGAGCGTGTTCGCCCAGCGGTATGTCATGCGCGCGTACATCTGCGTTGTGAAGAGCGGGAAGATGAGCGCCATGATGTTGCGTAGCAGGGATTGGCCTGCGAGCGCGGAGCTTGCCCAGGATCCGTAGCTACAGTGTCCGATTATAAGTATAAGCATCATCAGCGTCGGCCCTGCCCTCAAAGACCAAGCACGGGTGAGAAACGGGGGAGGGAGACGCACCAGTCCGCGAGATACACGAACACGCTCTGGTAGATCACGTACGCCGCGCACATGAACACCGCGAGGCCGACGCACGGCGCGGGCCACGGAACGTGCGGGGACGCTGTCCACGCGTAGATGAACATTCCCGCTGGGAACAGGAGCGCTGCGAGCAGTGCGGTGTAGAGCCGCGCTTCGAGCCCGCGCGCGGGGAAACGCAGGCGGTAGATGCGTTCTTGGGCTGTGTTGAGGAGGAAGCCGAGGAGGGCGCCGATGCTGGATGGGGGTGAGAGGGGCAGGAACGAAAGAGGGTGTGTCAGCAATGGGAGATGGGAGGAGGTTAGGGAGAATGCGTATGTACCAGAGAGCGGCGAAGACAGAGCCGGATTGGCCTGTGGAGAAGCCGTAGACGGAGGAGAAGAGGGCGCCGATTGATCTAAGGGTATTAGGTGAGCGTCGTCGGAGGTGGGTGTGTCTAGAGAGATGTGCTCACTCGATCATCACGTAGAGCACGGCCCATGCGAAGCCAATCCAGAGCTGTATCAAAACGACCTGAGCTTGATCTACTCAGCTCAGCTACGAGGCAAAGCTTACGGTGAAAGCGAAAACCACCGGTTCGGTGAACAGCAGATCTATCACCTCCCAATTAACATACAACAAAGAAACAAAGCAGACGGAGCTGTAAAACGCACAAACAGGCCTCGTACACGACACCCTCAGCAGACTCCACAATCCCGGCCTTCCAAGCTCAGACGGCGCACGATACCGCTCGTCGCCCGTCTCCTTCCGCACCTGCTTCGCTATGCGCGCGAGCACGATCGTCGCGCGCGTTTCGTGCGTGAGGAAAAGCGCGAGTAGGAGATACGCGCCGCCGAAGCTGATGCAATGCACGGACCCGTCAGCGCCGATAAACACGTAGAAAGAAAGAAAAAAGAAAGGAGGGATTGAGTAGGAGCGGAAACGCACATCATGCCCACCCAATCGATCCAGCGCCACCGTAGCGCCTGGTTCGTGTCGATCCATCCGGCGACGACTGGGCCTACGCACGTCCCGAGGAGCGCGGTGAGGCTGTACAGCGACATTGGGAGGCCGCGTCTGTGCGTGGGGGTGTGCATCGTTAGCAGCTGTTATGATTGTGGAGACATAAGATGATGCTGGATGTGAGATTGGTGCTCACTGAGAGGGCTCCCAGATGTCGGCAATAGTACCGCCGACGAGGACAGCGCCCGTCGAGCTGAAGCATCCGCTGATGAATCGGCCGACGATGACAACCGCGATGTTTGGCGCTCTGATACAATAACAATTCCACAAATTAGCGAATGGAGCTAGGAACATCGTATGGGCACTTACAGTGCGACCATAAGCTCCGCAAGCACGAACCCGAGCGCAGAGGCGAGGTATACGGGTCTGCGGCCCAGCTCCTCGCTGAACGAGGAAGACGCGAGCGGGAAGAAGGCGAAGCCAAGGAGGAATAGGCTGAGGCCGAGCGTGGCCTCCATGCGCGTGCAGCCGAGGTCGGACATCATGCTGTCGTAGCCGAGAGAGTACGCGGAAATTGAGGCGGCTGGCGAGGGCGTCTAAGTCAACGGGAGAAAACTTGGCAGGGGGAGAGGAGGACGGGCGTACAGATTATAGCTGTGAATGTTATTGCTACGAATGTGATAGTCCATTTTTTGGCGTAGGAGAAGTTTATGGGTGCGCGGGGGTCGTTTTCGTCGAACTCGACCTAGCATGTTTGTAAGGAGCTTGTACCACTAGAGTAGATGTAGTTTACTTACGAGCAAAAAATCTGGCTGCTCCTTTTCTAACACAGAAATAGAGCGGGCGGATTTGTCGTCCTTCTCGTCGGGTGTCATCGTCACTGTGATGGTGCTAGCGCCCATGCTCGGGATAATGTCGATTTCGAGGTCGTCAGCCATCGTTAACTATGAAGAAATCTACAGAAGCTGGAGCGAAGAAGGGGAAAAACGAAGGCAATGAGGAAAAACGCCGGGGTCGCAGGAAAAAAGACAGGCTAAGCTCGAAGACGTTACGCGGGCGCCAGCTCCTGCAATCCACAACGAGCCATGGTTTTTTCACCGACACGAGGTTATATAGGGACGCCAGATGGCTGTCAGGTTGAAGACTCAACCGCGGCTCTCCGTCCGGCAACTAGCTGGTGGATAACAATGGACAGCATCAACCGAGCAGCCAATGAACGAGCGTGCCGAGTCAGAGATTAGCGTTGTCGAGACTATCAGGAGTAAGCTAGCAGCAAAGTGACTTGATAGAGCCAGTTATGCTCGGGCACGATGTCCGACGCAGCGCTCGGCAGCCCCGGGACAACGATGTCGCTGCTTGGCGCGCCGGCATGCATTGTGATTGGCTCTAGAGACCAGCGGCAGGCCAACATGAAGAGTAAGAGATTGGCTAAGCGAGCAGACGGCATTCCGTGTGATAGTTTCTCCTTTTCCCGGAAGAATCGTACGAGCGGTTGCCCTCGACGCGGCTGATCGTGCCGACAACACCGAAAAGACTAAAACGGGTGAAAGTGGCAAGATGGCTCCAATTTTCAGGTTTATTTGTCTTTGTTGTCCAAGAGCCTCTAAAATCAACAGGCCACAACAACGCCTTGTCCACCGCCAGATTAAGCAACTTGGGTATCCAGCAGAGGAGCGTCCACCGGTACGTCCTCCTAAAGTCCCCGCGTCAAACAGGCTCATTGTATGCACAGGGACACGTGCGCGAGTCATGGAGTCATTTGTGGGACAGATGCAACGGAGCTCGACCAACCTTTACTCTGACACGACACACCGCCTGACTGCGCGTCCTGCCCCTGTCCAAGCTGGCAAAGGGCGCGCATACGAGGCCATGAAGAGCGACTTTAGCCCTCCGAGAAAGTCGAAGCCGCCACCCACGAGCCAGCCGTCGCAGAACGCGAACGATCACCTCCTCACGTACAAGGGCCCGCGCCGGGGCGACGTAAGGGGCGACCCAGAGAGCAGCGAGGACGAGCTGCTTCTTTCTCAGGATAGCATAAGAGGAGAGGGCAGGAAGAAGCTGAGTCATACGACCAGTATGCGTATCAGGGACAACGAGGAGCGGGGCAGGAAGCGAAAAGAGAAGGCGGAGAAAGAGAAGGATCCGGGGCGGGCGGCGCTAAAGGGTATCATGCCTAATCCCACCACACAGAACTTCAGAGGCTTTAAGATCACGAAGAACTCAACGGCTGCGTCCTCGAGCAAGCCCGAGGGCGCACATAGATCTGTCGAACCGCCCCCTAGTTCCTCTCTAGCCACCATAGATGTCGACCCGGACGATGATACCTCTCACACCACGCGCCTCGGAAAGTCTCAATCGCGCACCGGCGCTCGCTCTGACATGACCCCTACGCGCACCTTGGCAGGAAGCAGCCGCGCGCAGGGAAACAACGCGCATATAGCCAACCAGACACGCGAGGCGCGGCTCAAGAAGCGCGTCATGGTCGAGAAGACGCGTCGATGCGTAGACACGGACGACGAAGACGAGGACGCGGACCTGTTCGAGCACCCGCCAGCCGCACGCACGCGCGACGCGGACAAGGACGTGTCCACATCCAAGCCCAAGCCCAAGCCCAAGCCGAGGAAACCTCAAGTTATGTCCGACGACGACTCGCCGCCGCGCCCCAAGCCCACCGCCAAACCGCGTCCAAAGCCGCGGCAGAAGATAAAGTCCGCCGCTACCGACGAGGACGAGCGCGCCCAGTCCGATCCGGAGGGCACACCGCGCGCGTCCCGCCTCCGGAAGCAACACGGCTCCACCACGGCTGACGATCTCTTCGGCCCCGACTCACCAACGTCGCCATCGACGCCCAAACGCAGGATCAGGGCCTTTCCGATGGGCTTGCCCGAGCCGGCGAAAGAGAACACGGGTGTTCCTCCGCCGAGGCAGGCGGGGGGAAAGGGCAAGGGTAAGGCGCCGGACAAGGCGAATACGTTTCCTACCTTGTCGCCGCTGGCGTCTCAAGGGGGCAACGCTGCGAACGTGCCGTTGACGCCGCCGCCGCGTCGTCCACAGCGGAAAGCGGGTATCGGGAAGGCGGCGACGGTGGCGGATCTGCCGCTGCCGTCGCCTTTACAGGGAGCAAAGAGGAACGATACAAAGGGGAAGGAGAAGGAGGTAGAGAAGGGCCTGGGAGCGCTGCCGCTTCCGTCGCCGTTGTCGTCTCCGAACTTGAACATGGGGTTGGGTCAAGGTGGGCACTTACGTTGAACAAACCGAGTGCAGGCATCGACAACTGACAACATCACCCCCGTTTCTCTCAGACGATGGCGGGACTCGCCCGGCGCTCCGCCCCTTCCCCATGGCGGGGAGGACACCCAAGGCGACCAAGCGCTCTAGCCCTGGTGCGGACTCGGACGACAGAAGGTCGACGAAACGAATACGTGACGGGTCTTTAACCCTGTGAGTCTCTGGTGGCGGACGCGACAGGCAGAACGGCGGCTGATAAACATTCATATGAACAGCGATTTGCAGTATACCGAGGGCGGTGGAATGCAGCTTGATTTCGCAGAGGACTCATGTAAGTCTGTGACATGGTTTTATAGTGCATATAGTGACCTCGAAGCTGCTTTGCATGCTCCATATGGCCTCCCCCGCTCATGTGCTACATCTTCTGCGTTCACAATCCACGCTATCACACTCGCACATTGCACATTCACCACTTCCCTTCTCCACATCTCGCACGTCTCCCTCCCACACCCCCAGTCGACCTCGACACAGACCTACACATCGACCCGCGCCAGCTCTGCCCGTACTGCGACGACCCCCTCCCCACAGACCCCACCCCCAAACTCCGCCAGCTCCTCGCCGCCGCCCAGCGCAAATCCTACGCCGACCCGCGCCCCTCGAACCCGCACGGCCTCCGCGCGCCGCTCCCCGCGTACATCGCGGCGTGCCAGCGGCACGCGTTCGAGACGCACCAGCTCCCGCTCGCGCGCGCGCGCGGGTGGCCGGCGCAGATCGACTTTGAGGCGCTCCCCGCGCGTGTTTTAGAGATGAAGGACGCGTTGTGGCGGATTGTGCGGGACGAGGGCGGGGTGCGCGGAAGGGTGTGTGTGTTTTGGGGGGAGGTGATGCGGGAGGTGGAGAGGACGGGGAGTGTGCGGGCTGTTGTGGGTGTGAAGGGCCAGTTTGCGAGTTTTGAGAAGACGCAGCCGGGGTAGTGAGTGTTTTGTCCTGTCCTTTTTTGTTTCTCCCCCGCCTTTGCTTCCTTCCTCGTGCCCTTGTTTACGGATGCTGACGCGTGTTGGGTGTTTGAACAGCTACGGTGAGCTGGGCTCGATCATCCTGCACCAGACGCTCTTCAGCCTCTTCCCGCCGTCGTCGTTCGACGCGGCGCTGATCGCGCCCCTCGCGCCTGCCGAGTTCATCCAGCGCATACTTGTGCCCGAGACGGCGGTGCGGCTGGTCATGCAGGACCTCGGGCAGCCGCCGGACGAGGCGCTGCGGACGTTGCGGGAGAGCGCGCAGTATGGTGTGGCGATGTTTCCTGATGCTGGGATTGAGGAAGGCGGGGATGCGGACGAGGATGGAGAGGGGGAGGGGGATGTTGATCCGCGCGATGGGTCGGGGAGGGCGAGGCGGAATGGGAAGGGGAAAGGGAAAGGGAAGGGAAGTGAAGGAGGGGGGAGAGGGACGGTGTCGCCTGGGAAGAGCGCGGTGCAGGGGTGGGATGGGGACGAGGAGATGATGGGCGTTGCGGATCGGATTGTGATGGAGCGGGCGCGGGTGCGTAGGGTGGAGTTGCAGGAGGAGGAGAGGATCGAAGAGGAGATGGTGAGGGAGGAGGAGGAGCGTCAGAGGGAGGAGAGGGAGGAGAAGAAGAGGCGGGAGCAGGAGGAGAGGGAGAGGGAGGAAGAGAGGAAGAAGGAGAAAGCTAAGGAGGGCAGGGAGGAACGCGCGAGGAGGAGGCGGGAGGGAGGGGCGGCAACGGACACAGACGGTGACGCGATGGCGACGGACACGAGCGAAGCTGAGAAGCCGCCGCAGCGCGCGGGTCCGCCCAAGCCCAGGCTCAAGACGATGTCGAAGCAGTCTGTTATCTCGATTCAGTCCTCCGAGCCAGGACCTTCGCAGCAGAAGCAGAAGAGGGTCGCATCCCGTGCGCCGAGTACAGCCGGTTCCGAGAGCGAGACGAAGCGGGCTTCGACGTCGAGGGATGGCTCAATTTCAAAGGAGAAGAAGAAGAAGAAATTGATATCAGAACAAACGATTGACCTGTCGAGCGCGTCAGAGATGGATATATCCGCTGACGAGCTTGCGGACGCGCGACGCACGGTGCGCAAGCCTCGAAGGCCACAGCCCGTGCAGAGGAGCGTCGTCGGTCGCGGAGGTTCAAGGGCAGCGATGGACGACGGTGAAGACGGTAACTACCTTTCGAATATCACCAATCGCAAGGATCGCCAGGACACTGGTCCCCTGACAGACGAGGACGTTCAAGACGATTTCTTTACGTCCATCGCAAAGGCGTCGGAGGGAGACGACCAAGGCGAGCAGACACCTCGAGCGAAGAGAGGCGCCCCCATCCCAATTCCTGGAGCTGGCTCGAAAGGGCTCAAGCCGCTGGACATGGCTAGGTTGCGGGCGGTCAAGGGAAACAACGGGTATGTCCCCCTCCCTTTAGATACGACTTTACCTCTGACGCGAATGTACAGTGGGCAGTCTAGCCGAGCTTCCAGTGACCATGACCACATGAGCGAGGCATCCGCTCAGCCACGCAGAAAACGTCGAGAGGATTGGCTGTTTTCTTCTTCAGATGCTGAGGAGTCGATTTGATCTCGTCCTATAGATGCTACCAGTAAAGCTCGGTAATGCGTTGTTGACTTGTTTGTTGACTTGTGTACAGTAGAGCTACTTTAGAGCAGGTGTAATTGTGCTGACGTGATGAATAGCCCCTATCTGGGTGTGGATACCCGAATGTGCCGGAGTCTGTTTCTGTCAAATAAAGACAAATAAGTGTGTTCATCGTTCCGCCCTCAGCTGCTCTTGCAAAAAACAAACATATCCCACTCAACCACCCGCTAAACACAGGGTTGGAACTATCTTATTTAACGCAGGTGTGTATCACTACATTGGATATCTACCATTCACTGCTAATCTGATTCCCTTGCTCAGCTCGTCATATGCGCTGAAGCTCCAAGCGCACGAGCACAAGGGACACCTCGAACACATTATCCATGGTCGTAACACGCAGGACGCCAGTCGTCCCCCCACCGCCCACCTCGCGCACATCCTCCCAGCAGGCATTGCCTCGCACAACTCACACTCGGCCACAGGACGACACAACGCCCACTCCGAGCCCCCTAGCCAACGGGGACCATGACGAGTCGCATGACGAGTCGTCACCTCCACACATCAATGGACACGCCAAAGACGGTCCAAACTCAAGAAAAGCAAATGTAAAGCAGAAGGAAAAGGCGAAAGCAAAGGTCTGTAACCATGCAGCCTCTTATCTCCCGCGTTGCTGACCTCCCACCCACTGTGCAGAAGCGTGGCTTCTTCGACACGCTCTGGCTGCTCATGTTCACCGCATTTGCTGCCTACACCCTAACAACCTGCCCCTACAACGAATCGAGCGACTCTCTCGTCTGCCGCGGCCTCTCTGGCTACCGCGACATCGTCATCGAGCCCTACATCCTCCCCTCCCTCTACGCCGCCCTCGACCACCCCTCCGTCGCGCCCTACGTCGAGAAAGTCCGGCCCGTATACGTCGCCTCCAAGGACATCTTCGACACCCGCGTCGCACCGCAGTGGAACCGACGCGTCGTCCCGGCGTTCTACAACCACATGCTCCCCCGCTGGCACGCGCACGTCGTGCCCGTGTGGACGCAGCACGGCGCGCCGCTGTGGGACGCGCATGTCATCGCGCGGTACGATGCGCTCGTCGCGCCGCATCTGCACGCGTACGTCTACGGGCCCTGGAACGACAAGATTGTGCCTGTGTGGACGCAGCATGCCGCGCCGCGGCTCGTGGCTGCGCGTGCGTTCTATGTCGACAAGGCGCGTCCGGCGGTGGACACCGCCGTCGCTGCGCTCTACAGGTGGCAGCGGGCGTCAAGGCCGTACGTCGCGCGCGCGGCGGAGCAGAGCAAGAAGCTCGCGCCGGTGGTGCGCGTGCTTGTCGAGCGTCTTGCGGTGCTGGTCGAGTTCCTCGCTGCGCAGAGGCGCACGTTTGTGGATCCGCATGTTAGCCGTATTTGGGAAAAGGTCGTCGAGCTGAGCAGTAGCGGCGGCGGCGCCAGCCTGCACCCGGACTCGCAGGGCACGCGCACGTCCTCCTCCATAGTCGCGGAGCCAGAGGCTGATGCCGGGGCCAAGGCCGAGTCCGTCCTGCGGGAGACGCTCATGCCGGAGGGCACACCCGAAGCCATCCCTATCGCGTCGCTCATCTTTGACCCCTCCGCATCCGAGGGCAGCCAGACGGCGTCGGTGCCCCAGGGCGCGACGCCGTCGACCGCGGAGCAGCACGCGGAGCCCACACGGGCCCCATCAGCAGCAGCCCCATCCCTCCCCTCCGAGCCCGAAGAAATCGACCTCGACGCGTTCTACGAAGAGCTCGGGTTCGCGTCCCCCACCGAGCCCGCCGAAACGCGCTCATCATCCGCCCTGCCGCCGCTCGCGCAACGCACCGCCGCAGCCGCGGCCCCCGAGTCCGAGTCTGAGCCCGAACAAGGCGGCCCGACGCGCGACGAGCTGCGTACAAGGCACGACGCGTGGGAGGCGCAGCTGCAGGCGCAGATCGGGGCGTCGTTCTCGAGCCTGCGCCTTGCGCTTTCGGCGCTGAGAGAGCATGCGAGCGAGGAGCTGAGTGGGCTTGATGATAGGCGCGGTGTGGAGCCTGGGTCTGGGACCGGGGCTGGGATTAGCGGGGTGGTGGATGCGCTCGAGCGCGATGCGGAGCGGTATGTGCGCGGTGCGCGCAAGTATCTCAAGGGGTTGGTTGGTGATGGGAAGGCGAAGGCGAAGGGTGGTAATGCTAACGGCGGTGCGGAGGGGGGCAAGGAGCAGCTGTGGGCGCGGATGGTGGACAGGGTGGAGCAGAAGTTTGAGGAGCGGGCGATGGAGGCGGAGGGGCAGGTGAACGCGTGGTGGGTGGCGCTTGTGGATGCTGAGCTTGCCGAGGTACGGGTTTCTTCTTGCTGTTTCTTGCTATGTCACTATCTCGCAGTCGCTGACGCGTTCACCCATTATCTCATCGTAACAGGTCGCGAAAGCCGCGCAGGCGGTGCGCGCTGTCGCGGAGAAGGCGCAGGGCGATATGGCCATGGACTATGCTTACCTCGACGACGTCACGTACCTCGACTGGCAGCGCTATCACGCGCTGATGGACAGTGAGTGCTGCCCCGTTTCTGTTCCCCGTGCTGTGCCTTGCTTTTTCTCCTTCAATCTTGTCTCGATTCGCTTTGCTTTGCTTTGCTGGCGAGCGCTTGCGGCTGGACTGAGGCCGTGGGCGTGGGTGTACGCACGGGCGATGAACTCTCCATCGAACCCCTGTTCTTCTTTCCTTCGCATCATGCATCCCGTTTTTCGTTGCTTCCCCCTTTTTTTTCCAAATTCCAATATTGGCGCTCTCGTTGCGAGACGACCACGGCAGCGGCGGGTGGATTTACCCCTCCTCCTCCTCGTTCTCTTTGGACGTTCGGTTCGGCGGTCGCCATTGCTTTTCTCAGGCAGACAGACCGCCCTTCTCCACGTTCTGGCCTTGGTGACCATGCATATGGGTGGTGGTGGTGGCGTTGGTGTCGTCTTGCCTTTTTCTGTTTACTGTGTACCCCAGCCCATCGGGAGCGCACCTCGTGGTCGGTTTGGCTTTCCCTGCTTTGACCGACCCTGCTGCGTTTTTCGTCATGAAGTGACATGACAGCGCGTCTCGGGGCCTTGCGTTTCACTTTATTGTTTATTTTATTTTGTTCTTTTTGTTGGATGGTGTACTTTGCGGAGGTACAAGTCGCACCCCTCGTCTGTTCGTCACGCCAATCTTTCCGCGTTGATCGTTTCTTGGGTTCATTTCTCGTTGTTCAACTCCTAGGGCTGGGATTTTCCCTGCACGTTGTTGCCCCATTATTTTTTCCTTCTCGGGCGAAGGAATCGGGCGTTTGGTTCCGTGCTGCGTCGTCGGGGCTTGGGCTCATCGACGTTTGCTAATATTTTCTGGCTGTTGGCGGCGATGCTTCGGACATTGGACCCGTTGCATTTCTTATCCCAATCGCTCTTGGCGTCGAAGGCTATTGCCTCCACGCTCGTTTCATTTTATTTCTTTTTGTCTACATTTTTCCGCCGGCCAATCGGCCCTTCATTCTTCGGACCAACGAGTGCTAACCACGCAATTATTATTTCTCATACAGCCAGCGACAAATTCACGGACGAGATGCGCGCCCTCCAGAACGGCACGTCGCTCGCGAACCCGGTCGTGACCGTGCTCGAGGGCCTCGAGAGCGAGGTGAACGACGTGCTGCTCGGCTTCGACGCGCAGATCCGCGCGCTGCGCCAGGAGGGCCAGCTCGCGATCGAGCGCGAGGCGGAGGCGCTGGCTGCCGAGCGCGTTGCTGCCGCCGCGGAGCTGCCGTTTGCGGGCGAGGCCGAGGACCAGGACCAGGATCAGAAGGCTGAGGCGGTCACTCGCGTTCCTGTCCCTGAGGAAAAGGTGGAGGAGCTCGTGGAGAGCGCGGTCGCGGAGGTTGTTGAGGAGGGTCCCGAGTCGGAGTCAGACGACGAAGAGGAGGGGCCTGAAGTGGTGATCCTGCCGGTGGACCCTTTGCCTGAACAGCCCGCGGCGGAAGAGGTGATTCCGCCTGTCGTCATTGGGCGGGGCAAGGAGGAGATTCTGGAGGCCTTTGGACGCGCCGACCCTGAGTCGATCGCGGTGAAGACCCCACGGAGCACGGAGGCCCAGGGCAAGGAGAAGCCGTCTGTCCGTGAGCACGTTGAGCTCTAAGCTCTGAGCTCGTCGTGGGGTTTGGTAGCTGTGTTGGTTACGCTCCAGCCTCGTAGTGATTCCAGTTTAACATTTTATTTCTCCTTTCCGACGCGGTCCTCATGCCTACATACTTACTATGCCATAGACTGTTTTAGCTTTGCTTGGAAAATTCGCCTTGCCTACTTACATTTCATCCGATCATTCATCCTACGCATTCCGCTGTTCTGTTTCGCTCGTTGATCCATCCGGTACTCACTTATTTCACTTTACCATATCGTATGCCTACATTTCTTGTTCAATGTAATCTCTCGCACAAAGCCTTTATCCGCATCCGTACTCGTAGGACCCTTACTCCGACTGCATGTGTATCTGTTGCACTAGCAGTGGGGGGCACTGTACGGGACAACAATACACTAGCGGCACGCCATGCCGACGTTAATCCCTCTCGTCCTCCCAAAACCACAAGTTCGTAGGACGACCTGGAAAGTCCCGAGCAGAAGGGGGCGGTCCCTGGATGGATGTTGTGAGGCGTCGATCACGTCGCGTGGCCAGAAAAGGAGCGCCTTGTTCGACGCGGAAGCATAAGTGCATGCTTTGACAGCGACTGACTTGGCCGACCCTGAAGCATGAAGCATCGCAGTGATGCAATGATGGGCTAAGCGCCGCAGGTGGCAGCCCCGGGCCGTTGGCTGTATTAGAACGAGCTAAGCTGCGACATATGATCACGGTCGACGGTTATCTTGTGATTACCGAGTATTGTATGCGACAGACGGGGACTCGGAAAACATGCGCTTTGCGCCGTGCACTCGGAACGTATGTCAACGATGCTTCTGCCGCAATCAATGGAGGGCAGTGCCATTTGGTGTCCAAAATAAATGTTCTCGAATGGAAGAACTTCTTGCGGGCCACGGAGCGGGCGCGCTGAGAGCTATGTGGTCCTGCTAAGTACGCGTCCGGGCTGATGGTAGTGACAGCGGTTGTCGATAACCTCAGCTGGCTAGTACCGTGACGGTGCTGTTCAAGTGGAGCATGTATCGGTGAATGCAATCCCTGAAACGAGGCGATGTACTGTAGTCCGGTAAATGTAACCAGCGGACTCCAATACGTGAGGAGCGAGATATCGTAGCGATAGATAAACTTGGGAAAGAAAAAAATGTTGTTGATTCTACGGTCTGCTGGAAATAGAAAATTTAGCCGATGCATTGAAAAGTCCACATCTTGATACACATGTCCTTCAAGAGCACAGCTCGAACGTTATGGATAGCACGATCCGTGGACACATCATAAATGCACCCGTTTGTACATTCTATCGTTGCAAGTAGGCGGTATCAGGCACATGTTGGTAGTTGTGTCCTGACATTTTGATTGATTCTGAACGGAAATAATATATCTTCTGAATCAGACTTGCTTTGAAAGCTGACGTCTCATTCAAAGGTCATCGAATGTATTATCCGTGATCACACTTTCAGGACATCTAACAAAGAGCGTACCTCAGTTCTCTGACGTTTCCGCTCGAACTCAGGTACTACTTGCGGGTACCTACAACCGCTATCAATACAAAGACGTCACCGCCCGTAGGTAGCTCGAGGAAGCTCACGCGAAATTATGATTATTCAATATCCACCAGCATCTGCAGTCTCAATGAAGTCAGGTCAGGTCGCCGTCACAACCCAGTATGTCATGATCCCCCGCAAGCGGCGGCAAGAACAGTGACTCTGAGATACCCTGAGCGGCGGCAACAAAAATGATTCTCGCGTGGCGCTCGCGTGGCGCTCACATGGCGCCTGCGTTCATTCAATGAACCGATTCATGCCGTCCGAAGCGACCGAATACTCGAACGCTCATCGGACTACATTGTCCCATGCCCTCTCACCTGTCAACAGAGCAGCGGTATCACCCGCCCCAGACCCATATGCTAAAGTTACAGTGCTCCCGTGTTAGCCGCAGAGCCCTGAGACCAAACCCTGACAAAGGAGTAAAAGGAAGTAAACCCAAAGTAAGCCACAGAATCTCAGAGCCGATCTCCGTATCGCCAACCCTGAGATCTCGGTGACATACCTATGACTCGGTGCAGGTTCTGAATTATTGCTCACCCCACGTGCGAGAAGCGGTTATGTGCCTTGATCGTCGTTGGAGAACGTGGGGCACAGCAGTGTGGCTTCCTCGGGGACTAAGGGAACGGGAAGTTCGAATATGAATGTTCGCGACGACGGTAGCTACGGCACTCAGAAGGTAGCAGCACTTGCTTATCTCGTAGTCCGCTGGCACTACCTTTAGGCACTGCACCATCCGTGTATGCGAAACTGAAACGGAGCCATCTGCAGCATAAACTGTTGAACCAAGTAACTCGTAAGCCCGAGTGACCGGCACCAACCTCCGGCTCGCAAAATCTATTGATCCACAGCCAGTGCGCCAACACCGCGACAAGACATGGCATGTGTCTCGTCGTTCTAGGTGGAGAACAACACTCGACGTTTCGAGCCTTGACATTGACAATTGACAAGAACCACGCGACGAGCCGAGGATCGTGTCAATCATATACATACTGTTACAGCAAGACCTTTCGCGGGGATCACCCAGGCCAATGGACATGAAGAAAACGAGGGCTCACCCTGAGCACGGCCTCTGCACTAGTGCTGACTCCAACATGAAGTCAAAAAAATAAGAGGTCGACAGCTAATACATTATAGTAACGTAACGAATATAACGCTAAACGATCGAATGATCGTCTTCAGGGAACATTGCAGTCGTTCTCAGTGCCGAACATCGCTTCCGCAACGCATCTCCATTTGACATATCAAGTTCTACCCAGACAACTGGAGTTCCCCAGAAGCCACTCTGGATCGATTGCAGTTAGCTGACGGCCACCTCGATAACTTTAGGAATCTGGGATACGCTACTAGGACTGTATATTTTTTTCGGGGGAAATGGTCATGACATATTGCATGCATCAGACATCCCCGCTCAGATATTCCAAATTCCGTGAACGCCCAGCCTACGGGGCTGGATCGATCGCGAATCGCGCGCAGTTTGGTCAGTGCCACTGGCATGGCATGGCCGCCACCTCAAATTTAACGTTAGACGATCGAACATTGGACGATTGACTGCGTTTGTCGCGTTGCTCACTTAGGCCAACGACTCAAATACATACGTATAGGGACGTGGCGCATACCATCAAACTCTGTCAAAGCCTAAAACAGCACAGAATGGAAGGGATGACTTATGTAAGGTACGGAAGCTATGTACAGTACATGCGCAACGACAGCAATGCAACAGCGTACGAAGGAGGAACTAGGAACTAGGGGCCGGTAAGAAAAGGCAAAAAAAGTACGTACGAAACAAGGGGTAAGGATGCGGGTGATGGTAAGACGCGGCGATCTCGGAGAGGGGAGCACGGCGAGTGGACACACTAGTCAGTTACTGTACGTTCTGGACTCTGGACTCTGGATTCTGGATTCTGGAATTATACTTTCGAACGGTGGGGTACAAATCGGCGTTTTGGGACTGACGGAAAGAAAAGGCTCAAGCTAGGCAAGAGGGGGAGGGGGGTGTTTCTGTTCCAACTGACTTCCCTCCAATTCTTCAATCGAAATCTGATATCTCTGGGGGTTTGGCTAGATTCGGCATGAGGCAAGCGTAAAGTTAGGGTCCGAACTGAAAGGGCATTTGAAGGCATAACGTGCAACAGACTCCAGACGGTCTCCGGGGTCCGGGTGATGTCCGGATTAGTGCCTTCGACTTTAGTTTTTGGCGCCGTTTTCGTTTTCGTTTTCGTCTTCGCCGGCTCGCCACCTGAGGTTGGACTCGTAGAACTTGATAAGCTGTGAGGTGATGTTAGTGTTTGTGTTACAACAAGCGTGACATGGTGGAAATCAGGAGCGAAAGGCAGGAGGCAAACGGATATTGACGCGTTCGACACACCTTCTGCGGGAACTTCTTTGCGCACAGCTTGGACGGCTCGCGCATACGGACGTCTTCCTCGCCATTTCTGTTGAGAATACGAGTCAGCCAACGTAGAAACTATGCGAAGAAGGCGCGCCGCGCGTCCGCTGCGTCGCCTGAGATTGATGATGTCGAGGCGGACGAGGCGGGCCAGCCGGAGGGCGAGGACGCCTCCGAGAAGGACAAGGACGCGAGCGAGGGCGAGGATGACGAGGACGACGATGAACCCGAGTACGAGATTGAGAAGATTATGAAGGCGAAGAGGGGGTACTTTCATCCTGTGAGTCGGTCGTCTGCGTTCGTCTGCGTTTTCCGTTCGTTTTTGTTGGGGCGTCGCGCGAGCGCGTGTCGTGTCGTGGGATGCGATGCACCCTTTCGTTCGAAGGGAACGGGAACTGTTCGTCCGTTGGGTTCAGAGTGCTCACGCGTTTTTTCGTACGTACACAGGGCCGAATGGCGTACCTGGTCAAGTGGGTAGGGTACTCGGAAGAGCACAACAGCTGGGTCGACGAGCCAGATGCTGGGTGCGTAACCCGTTTACTGCACTCTTGTCATACCATATGGCTAATCATCCAAATGCACCCTGTCGCTGTTCACGTTGCCTCTGACGCGTTCGCATCTGTATCTACGCTCAAACAGCAACGCAGAAGACCTCATCCAGCAGTTCTGGCGCGAGTCAAAGTCCCAGAAGGCGGCCGCTCCTGCGGGCCGCAAGTCCGTCGGCGACAAGCCCGCGCCCAAGAAGAACGGCCGCGTATCCTCCCTCGCGCGTGAAGAGTCTTCCGACAACGACTCCGCCGCGCCGGCTAAGAAGCGCGGGCGCCCGAGCAAGGGCGGGGCCGTCGCTGCTGCCACCAAGACCAAGGCGAGGGATGAGGACGAGGACGAGCGCGCGGTGAAGAAGGCGCGCAAGAGCACGACGACGTCGGTGGCGACGAAGAGGGACAAGCTGTCGAAGAAGGCCGACGCGATGGATGTGGACGGGGATGACGACGAAGACGACGGGGAGCCGGATAAGCCGATCGGGAGCATGAAGGAGCACATGAGCACGCAGTCGTGGGAGTCGCTCGTCAAGGTCGTCGACACCGTCGAGCGCGACGATGACGGGACGATCTATGTGTACTTTACCGTGTACGTTCCGTTCCATTCAACGTCACGGCTGCTATTGTCCTCTGCGCTTTCACAGCTGCAAGCGAGTACCTGTTCGGCGCGGTCTTCGCCACGCTCGCCGAGCGCGTGGACTCGGGCTCGCTGTCGGATGCGGATGCACGAACCATCGTATAGAGAAGCTGTAGAGATAGAAGCTGTGTAGTATCAGAAGAAGAAAAAAGAGCAAGGTGCTATGCAAGGCAGGGGTGACGCTGGACTGGGACACGGGCGCGTGTGTGGTGTGGATGGAGGAGAACAGACGACGGCCGTGGGAACGAATCAGCAAAAGCGGGCGACGGGTCAGTGCGCACGCGTCTCGTCTCGTCGCGCGACCTCAACGCGGCTGTGGGGACGGACAACGCGTCGGTGTCTCGCGCTGCCTTCGGATCGGCGGGAGGCGCAGATGGTCGCGACGATGACGCCGAGGGCGGCTGGATACTGCGCATGCTTACTATCACGCAATTAATCAACGGTTGGGATGAGGGCAGTGCCAATGTTGACCTAGTCGCTGGCTGTCCAGCCCATACGTACTCGACGCGTAGTAATTGTAAAACCCGCGAGCAAGGCTCCGTTAATGATGATCACGGACACCAGCAGATCCCGACGACCATTCTACGGCTCCAAGGTCTGCCCAGTATGCATACATGGCCTCGGAATCTTCAGATGTCCAGCGGGAAAGACGGAAGCAAATGCCAAGCAAGTATAGTATTTTGTTGGTGCAGACTCAAGCACTTTCACCTTATGGGTCGTGCTATGTACAAAGGGCTATATGCGCAGCAGACGTACACACCCGGAACAAGAGACCCAGTCTCCATTCCTGTTTCTATTCGCTTCACTCCCCTCCCCTCCGACGCGACGGACTCGCGCTCCTGCCTCGGCCCTCTCGGCCTCCTCTGCCCTTCTTAGGGCCCGTGGGTGGCGGTCGAACGAACGCATAGTCGCACTGGATCGCTTGCTCCAGAAGCGGCGTGTTAGACGCGCCTTCGATGGCGGCCTGTGCCTCAGCCATAGTTTCATATTCGACAAGCGCATATCCCTGTTTATAGATGACGAGACAACAAAAATGGGTCGTTAGCGTTCGTCCGTCTCATCTCAATTGAAGCGCGAAGGGAACGGGGATGAGGTACGAAAAACGGCGGGTAACATTAACGGATGAAGGATGAGGGACGGAGGAGTGGGGATGTAGCGTAAGGCGCAACACTTGGAATGCAAGGAACTGCGGATGCATGCGCATAGAGGCAAGAATGAATGAAGGGGCGACGCTCGGCAGGAGCGGAAGCGGCATCGACGAAAATTTGCTAGGCGTACCTTGACATAGCCCGTCCGACGGTCTAGGTTCAGGTGCAGGTTCTTAATCTCTCCGAATTCTGCGAACTTGTCGGTGACGTCCTCTTCGGTCGCCTCCTCATGCACATTAGTCACCAAGACAATCCAGCCCTCGACGGCTACATCGTCGAATCAATCAGAAGTTTCGGATCCGAAATAGACGCCAGCCAAGATAGGTTGGTTAGTTGGTGGAAGAACAAGCGCGCGTGTAAAACGTAAAACCAGTGAGCGGGCCGTGCAGCAGGAGACGGCGGGTCAACATAAGGGGAGACGTACAGCGTGCGGCCCGCGTATCATCCTTCACATGCGAGGTCTCAACCCGGTCGTACGTGTGCTCGGCAGTGACGGTGCTGTCGTTCCCGCCTGAAACAAAGAAAGGGCGGTTGAGCCGCGGTTGAGGGCAGACAGAACACTTCATCTCGCAAGCTCACCGGTGTTCTGGAAGCCGCGGCCTCTACGGCGGACGGCACCGCCGGCAGCGACTAGCAACCAAATGGTCAAACATCAGCTAAACGCGTAGAGTTAGCGCAGACTCGCCGGAAACATACCTTCATCGATGTTCATTTCATCGTCGGACATGGTGGTCTAGTAGTGAGGGGTGTGACACTGTCACTCACCGTCACATCCCCATCCCCACTCAGAAAATTGAAAATTGCCCAGCCTCAAAATAAAGACGGGTGTCTGGGGACCCGAGCGTGGAAAAAGGGCCCGCGTTCTCCCGCAACGCGGCGCCGGCCAGTCTGACGACGACGGCGAGACCATGGCCATTGAGGACACAATGAAATCTGTCGTTGCTTGCGCTCCCGAAGCTCTAGCGCAAGCGAGATCTGTCCAACATCTCGTCGCATCTCGCGACACAACCAGAACAAAAAAAAGGTCTAGCGATGCGGCTAGCTCTCCACCGAGCCCGATGCAACCGAGCCCTCAACGGAGCTCGTCTCTCGGATGCGACCGATCTTCCAATGCTTCAGACGGACCAAGCGGACCACGTATGTTCAACTCCGCAAGGAAGCCTGTATGAGTAGCACCGGGCATCTGCATTGACGCGGACAAGGCACGCATACAGTGATCGTCCCATTGTGTCATGGAGATGGGGACATCGGCGAACGCGCTGGGTCGGTGCATCCGTCACTGCATGTCGGTGTCGGCGTTCGCTGGGCATATGCACGAGCTGCGGGTGGGCATATGCGACACCGGAGAAAGGCCTAAAAACAACTTTCGTCCGCACTGGCGTTGTTGTAGTGCTCCAACCGCGACGATCTCACTTTGTTTCCAGAACACCACTTGCACACGCACGTCCGCCGGTCTGTGTGTCTATTGCAGGAGGTCCAACGACCGGTTTTTTTTTCCTCGCTCGCTAAACTCTCGGGACCAGCCACCGCCCAATGTCTCCTTCCGGCACCTGGGCACCAGCGGCGTGTCCATGTCTTTGAATTCGCCCTCGCCGTGTTCGTCACCACTCTTTGAGGTTCACAATTGCTACATAGAGAAAGTCCCTACGATGGCCGACCTGGCGGATGGGATAACGAGGGGGTCCAAGCCAAAGCCATAGCCGCCGCGCACGCGCGTCATACAGTAATGGTTTTGATCCCGATTGACAACTTCTCCGTCCATCGTCCGGTCGCTAAGACCACGCGTCTCCGACACAAGTCCCGTTACGCGCCAGCCCGCCCTTACTTAACCTGGTGTGCCTGATGAGGCGACGCCAGAACACAACAAACCACCCTGACACCCTGACAGGGCGCCATTCGCTACCGCGCATTGTGTCCAGTGCACCGCCTTTCCGATGATGATGATGACAGAGAAAAAAAAAGAGAAGATTCAGAGATCCCATCGAGCCGAATCTCGATCCACCTCTGTGGCCCAGTAACCAAAACTTTCCACACAAGTCACACCCCGTCTACTGTATACCTCCTACCGGGCAGATCCTTCCTGAGTCAAAAGTCTTTTCCCTTTTTACTGCTCCTTCCTTCCCTTTTTTGCGTTCACACAGATCCCTTGGGCTCAGATTTCGACCCACTTGTCGGTTCGCGCACGGCCCTGAGCCCACTGGCAAGCGACCTGCCACTCCGTTCCGCCCTGCCAGACCGACAGCCTCGGCCGCTCATTCCTCGGTATTTAAGAAGCGGAGGGATCTGCCATACCGAACCAGCCAACGCAGCACTCCTCCAGCCGACTTTGCCTTCTTCTTCTTCTTCACTTTTCTTCGCCTTCTTCAACGCTAATTCTTTGTCGCCGTCGTCGCCGCCGCCGCCGTCGCATCGCTACTCGCTATAATCCCGCGCCGCCCTTGCGTCTTCTCCGTCGGCCGCGTTGCTTTAATATCCCGTCCCTCCTCTAAACCTTCTTCGTCTACTGCACACTACCTACACACACTAAACCATGTCCATGAACCCTATCCCCCTCATTAATCACCCGTGCACGCTGTGCTGTCGGCCTACCTCCATGTGGTGCAGCCGCTGCCAGAGCGCCTGGTACTGCACGCCGGAGCACCTCAACAGCGTGAGTGTTACTTACCTTTTTCTTGTTCCGTTCACCGTGCACCATCATCGCTGCTTTTGGGCGACGCCATACAATGCCGTACACATTCTTCTTCTTTTGTCCGCCCGGCGCGCCCTGCCGCGTCGTCGCGTTTTACCATGTCTTGTGACCTCTTACCAACCTTGCTACCTCTGTTCCTTTTTATGGTCGATGCTTATTTGTGTTTTGCGCTACTGCCATGTAGGACTGGTCCCGTCACCGCAAAGAGTGCGTGCCCGCTGCACCGAACCAGAGCCAGAACTACAGCAACATGATCGCGACGCCCCCGCCCGCCGAGCAGCAGCTCATCGTCGTGTCCGCCATCCTGTTTTCGCCTGAAGAAGGTGGGTGTTAACGCGCCTCTCACCCTCCGCACCGTGCCTCTCGCCTTGCGCCCTCCTCCCCCGTCACATTCTGTCGTCAGCGGCTGACCCTCTCTCCCATTCTGCTTCCATTCCTCGCAGAACGCCCCCGGATCATCACCGTCAAATGCCGCCCCCCACAAATGCCCTCGCAGGGCATGTGCCCGCTCCCGCTCGTCGCGGGCCACTTCGCCGACGGCCAGGCGGAGAGCATCGTGCTCACCCAAGGGCTCAACGGCGAGCCCTTGCGCTTCCCGCTGCACCTCTGGTACTCGCCCACCGCGCTCACGCGCGGCGCGCCCGTCAACCGCGCGATATACCACATCACGTCCGGCGCGGCGCCCAAGGCGTGGGCGGGGACGGTGGTTGTGCTCAAGTACAACGGGTCGAGGCGGCAAGGGTACTCGGATGCGGGGAGCAACGATTTGCCTGCGTTGTCGGCGTATTTCTTGGCGTACAAGTAGATGCGGCGCGCGGCCGAGGACAACGTCACAACACCAACAACAACAACAACAAGCTATTCCACCTGTCCCTCCAAGCTAATCCGGATGCGACTGTGTTTATTTGACTGTGCTAACTTATCTGGACCGTCGTCGTCTGCTGGTCTGACACGTACGCTGTTCTACCATTATCTCTCTTGAATTCTCTGCATCATACGCAACCTCACCGCACATACTACTCCCCTTTATAATGCGCACCCGTTCACTATACATAGTATTACCATTATCACGCCACCACATAGACCCTCTGACCTCGACTTTGACTCTGACTCTGACTCTCATCTTCCTATTCCTAGTATCCTACTCGCTGTGTAGCTCTGCCGCTCTGCTTGTCCTTGTCTTCATACATCGTCTCCCGTAGTAATCGTGTATTGCTCTCGTGCCCGAATGCTATATCCTAATCTATTGTGTCGAAAAACCCATACAGCCCGCTGCCCGCGTCGTTACGCGGCGCGCAGGACAAAAAAAAACTAGCGCGACGGAGCCAATATTAATGTTGAGATTGACACGCTCGCGGTCGCGTCAGTGACGTGTTCTGCGCTTCGCGAAGCTGCACATATTCGGCAAGTACGTAGCCTTACCTATTCGGGTGCTTTTGATTATTCCTGTCATCCCAAACCCTCCTAAACCTTCAGAACCAGGCAAATCGCAGTCTAGTTTCAGACAGATTTCAGAAATGCTTCTGGGCCCTCGCGTACTAATCGTGGGTTCTCGGGAGTTCTCGGCTGGGCGCTGATGTTACTTGTGATTAGGGTTGCCGCAAGTCAAGTTGGCGTGAAGGATTGTCAAGGTCAAGGCGACCTTGAGCTGTCATACTTGCCTAATAGAGGACCTTGAGCCGACCTTGAGCTTGAGGTGTCCATCAAGCCGCTTCGCGGAACATGCCGAATAGCCCACGTTAGGCAATAGCCCCTTTTCTAATCTAACGCGTTTCGCGTCTATGGTACTACGCGTTTGCTCATTATCATCCTTCCCGTTCCTCTCGCTCATCTCGTACGTATGCCGGTGGACTATTCAACGCAACTTTCCAACATCCGTGCTCTGTAAGTTCTCACTGCATCTAAACCACAGCCTTTTTATTGATCTGTCATCTCCGGAGCACTGCCCACTGACGAACCTGCAGGTCCAACCGGATGTACAATGGATAGCAGTCGGGCTAGAGTGCGTCGGGAGTGCATCGAGAGCGCGCCATAGTCACCATGTCGGATGGTACGGAGCATGTATTTACCGATAGCAATGGAAATATTGGTATCCCTCATGCATATGTTCCGAAATGCATAAAAGCTCAGAGATAGTGCAAGGTATGGCTATCAGTCTCGAGAGATGCCCTGCTTTTGTGGTCGACCTCCGCCGTCGTGCATCTGCTTGGAGATGCAGAACGCGTTTTCTGCATCTTGGGCACCACCATCTATGCCCTCTCACTCCCAGTATCCACATGTTTCACCTGCTTGGTCCGACTCTCAGTACATGTTGTCGAGCAACTATGACCCCAACTCCATGCCGGCTGTCCATGTTCATGCTCCAGCTATTGTCAGCTACCCAACCTCTGCAGTTAGCAGGCAATCGGACCATGGAAGGCATCACCTCCACTCGAATCCAGGCTCTGAAAACACTTGCTATCACCCCTATGCTTCGCTTCCTGCCCCAAGTACTATACAGTCTGGTGTTCTTGCTGATACAACAGATGAAACTCTGAACACAGGAAGCCTGCACTCTCGGAAGCGTATTTCTCGCTCTTCCCGACCAGCTCAGGTGCAGAAACAAAAGGGAAACCCTTCCAAGGTGCCTCACTCTACTGTTCCAGGTGTTGGTCCTACAGCCGCTGCTCCCTTGGAAGCTAATGTTCACCGGTATGGTTCAATCATCAAGAGATCCTCTGGTTCAGAGGAGTCACGATCTGCGACCGATGTATGGCATTTTTTATATGCAGTAGAGAGCCGGGACAAGCCCAACTCCTGGCAGCCTCTAGCTAAGGATGTTCTTGATGCTATTCCTCGGCTTAAGGCATACCCAGGCAAGTCAGTCACTGCAGTCGCTTGTCGCGAGTGCTCAAGGATGTGAGTGCTTCTATTATGAATCAGAGGAACATGTATCTGATTAACTATGAAGGAAGCGCTGGCAAGCATGGAAATGCGACCATGGTCAAACAGTAACCATCCGGAATCATCTTCAAGAACATCACCAAGAGGAGTATGAGGCAGATGTCATGCTTTATCATCTCAAAGGCTACACAACCCTTCATTCAACAGCATCTGAGTCTAAGATTCGTCAAAACTGTGATCCTTGGACATTGCAGGGTTTCTATGATAGATTAGCAAAGTGGATCGCTGCTGATGATCAGGTAAGAGCAATCTGTTCACAGTACTGTCCAAGCGACTGGTCTGACAAGTTTTGGCAGGCAATTTATGCGATTGAGTGTCCTGAGCTTCGAGAGCTGTTGCTGTACAGCAACATTGAGCTCAAGGAAAAGGAACTCCCTCACCGAACAAAACTTATGCAATTAGTGATGGAGAGCTTTGATGTAGAATATGCTAAGATCTTATCTGGAATTGAGGTGAGAGCTGGCGTTTTTCTACACTCTCTACATCAGCTAAACAAGTTAAAAAGGGCTCAGAGGGGCGTGTCTCATTTGCCAGCGATCTTTGGACGGATCCAAAGCTGGTCTCATTTATGGCAGTGACTATACACTACATGGCACTCACTCGCAGTGGCTATCTTGCTCTCCGAACACAGCTTGTTGCATTTCGTCGCATTGCTGGTGCACACGATGGGATAAATCTCTCTCAAGCATTTGACCAAATCCTTGGTGAAATTGGTGCTCGGCATAAGGTACAATTTATTTCGTATTATCTAGCAGGTGCCACTCTAACCGGTGCTGCATTTAGGTCTCTGCTATTACATTGGATAATGCATCCAATAACAATACCATGCTAGACGAGCTCCAGGTCCGTCTGAGTGACCAGGGATTCGATTTTGATAGCACAATGCAGCGTATTCGGTATGATTTATTTTTAAAAAATTGGGCTACCTTTTTGACTGAAAACTTCAACTTGTACAGATGCTTTCCCCACGTTGTGAATATTGCTGTAAAGGCAGGACTCTCCCAGCTGACACAGCTGTCGGTTTTTGATGATGAGGACTTGCAAGAGACCCTCAATGATGTAGGGGTTGATTGGGATGCAATTCTTGTGGATGATCCCGATTACCTTGAGTCGGTGCGAACTGACGTTGTTAACCGTTGCCGGGGACTTGTTTCTGCTATCAGGAAGTCAGGCAGACGACGTGATGACTTACAGGCATCCGTAGATGCTGTAAATGCCTTAGTAGATGCAGAAACCGATCTTATTGATCTAGATTCAGCCATCCCGCACCTTGAGCTCATCACTGATGTAGAGACGCGTTGGTCATCAACATTCTTTCTCATTGATCGTGTACTTCATCTGTATCCTGTAAGCATGATGGTTTTTGCTTGCCCATGATTTATCTCTGACGATAACATAGGCCATTGATCACTATCTTCAATCACATCAATTTGTTCATGAAGGCCTCAGTCCAGCTGATTTACGTGTGCTGGCTGATATTCGAACATTCTTGGTTGTTCCTCATGCCGCACAAGAGCTTGTATCAGCCCAGAAAACAAGCACACTATCTGTTGTGTTGCCTATATACGAAGAACTGCTGGATCTCCTTCACATGGCTGCCGAATCACTGCCATTAATTGCACCTGCAATTAACCGCTCTATCAAGAAGCTCCAGGAATACCTGACACTGTCGAGAAAGTCTCGCTTGTATGCTCTTGCTATAAGTGAGTAAAATCCTTATCTCATTTATCCGGCAATATCTGAGTTTATTATGTAGTAATTAACCCTCTATATAAATTTGAGTGGATGAGGGATCATTGGGAGACAGAGGAGGTGAAAGAAGCGCAGCTGTGGCTCAAAAACTCGGTCCGTTCATGTTTCCTCCCTGTTCTTCTGGTATTGAGATTAGATTAGATGGTAGAATTCTCGAAAGCATTTCCGACACCACTTCCTCATGCTCCACGGAATTTGGCTCGTACCTCAGCCCCTCTTGTATCAAAGCCACTGAGCTCTCAAGCTGTATCAGCTCGCTCTTTGGCTCGTGGTTTTCGGAGCATGGGTGACCTGGCTGTGCAGTTGGGATTCAAGAAGCCAGAAATACCACTTGATCAATCAAAACTCGATGCAATTGCTCATCCCACTACCCTTGTACCTCGAGAAATGAGCTTGGACGATCACAATGAGCGTGTTGACTACGAAATATCAAACTATCTAGACGAGGAGCCCGTGGAAGACACGGATTATTTCGACATTATCCGGTACTGGCAAGTAAGTTAGTCCAGCCATCTCATCATCCGCTACAGTTGTTTATCTTTAACAGGATCACAGAACTACTTACCCTCTTCTGTTTCGTGTAGCTATGGACGTTTTGCCTATCCAAGCGTCCTCAGTCCCATGCGAGCGTGTCTTCTCATCGAGCAAGGCCACTGCTACTGACACCCGGAACAACCTGGATCCAATCACTATGGAGAAACTTCAAATTCTCAAGTTCTCATTGCGGAATCAGCGCGAAGCTGGTTTCAACAGCGAATACAGCACAAACTCATATAGATCGCCCGTAAATGTTGGCCCTTCTCGTGCTTATAACAGCTACGCTCGCGACACGAGCATCGGGCCTTCAACACAGTTCAATGCATCTTCGACTCTGCACTCACTGTCGGATGATGGCCAATCAGATATTAATGTTTCGGACCCAAATTACTTATAAATTAGATTAGGAGCATGTTATATATAAAATACATCACAACGTGAAGCTTTTGTTCGTAGTTATCCCTCGAATTTCATGTCTCAAGACGCTTGATTATGCGCGTTGTGCGCGATTGTTAGGGGTTAGCCAAAAATGGTAACACCTTGAGGCGGCTTGACGCGAGCTTGAGCTGCTCAAGGTGGCCGGATTCGGACCTTAATCCCACCTTGAACCTTGGCTTGCGGCAACCCTACTTGTGATGCCTATGTATGATGGGGCACTTGCCACTCGCGCGCCACCACGCCACCGACACCACCTTTTCTTAGCGCTCGGCTAACTTAAGCAAGGTTGACTGGCGAGTGAAGTTGCTATGATATCACAACATTTGAAGTTTGTTTTTTTATATTACGGTTTGGGAGTTACCTTGGTGGCTGTTGGATGAGGCGCGCTAGCTAGGCTAAGTTAAGCTCGCGGCCGTGTGGCGGGTAACTTTGGGAGTATGATGTTCCAGCAGGCCGAGCGGGTCAACGTTGAATGCGAGGCTAGCGCTGCCGCGCCGAACGGCGTCGCGCGTAGCTACAGCCTGCTGATACTGTAGCTATTATGTAGCTACGTTGTAGCGGCGGCGCGGTCTCGGAGGCTGCTTGGTAGCTACTTTCGGTGGTGTGTTGTTGGCAGCAAGAGAGGTTCTCCCGGCGGCATGAAACGATGCTATCATTTGCGATGGCCGTCGTCGCGACATCGCGTGCAGTCGCCGTCGCCGTCGTCTTCTGTGCTGGGCAAGCGAGCCCGCGGCGCTTACACACCTGAGCGGGACTTGCTGCGCACAAAGTGATTTGGATAGTTGCATTTAGCGCCTGTGAGCTACGGCCCTGAGCGTGGCGGGGCCTACGACGACTGTGGCCCGTGGCAGTCCCGCTGGCTGGGCTACTTACAATAGGTTAAAGAGGGATTGAGTACCGATTGTACGGGTTTTGTCGCCGGTGTTCAAGCTAAGTTGCACATGCAAATCATCGCATCGATCAGAGGCTTCGACGGGTCCGGCCAATCACGGTGCCGTCGATGACATAGCCCGGGAGCAGGTGCCTTGATATGTTCCGCGTGGTCTCCGGGGCCCAGGACAAGGCGGTCCGCGGATTGCCGGCTACTCGACTCTCTCCCGCTCTCCTTTCCCGGACCACCCACCGAGCCCATCGCACATGTCGCTCTCCTTTGTCTCGTTCACACCATCCACCTTCAACACCGACTACACCGAGGGCAATGCACACGATGGAACAGACCTCATGGACCTCGATTACGACGACGACGCCCTTGGCGGTAGCGGCAACGCGCGCATCACAAGCCCGGGGGAGACCATCACCTCCTCGCAGGACTTCATGAGGTGCGCCTGCCCCCTGATCCTTACTCTTGGTCACCACTCGCTGAACGCCCGTTTGTCGCCGTGTGCTTCCATCATAGGGGCCACGGTACGTACGTGGAGAACGAAGAGGTCATCGCCTCCGTCGCGGGCACGATCGAGCGCGTCAACAAGCTCGTCACCGTCCGCCCGATCTCCACGCGGTGAGCCTGCGTCTCCTCCGTCTTCACGTTATGCCCCCCGAATGGTACTCACCGAGCCCCGCCAATCCCGCGCTGCCCCATTCGTTCCCGCTCTTTCGTTCTTTCTTTCGACTTTTCCTTCGACTGCTCGTTCGCTCTCTCACCCGCACTGCTGCGCGCCTCAACCCCGAAACGACGGCACGCAACGGGTGTATGCGGTGTGCTGCGCTCGCTTAGATACAACCCAGAGGTGGGGGATCTCGTCGTGGGGAGAATAACAGAAGTGATTATCGCCATTTCCTTTCTCCCGTGCCCACCGCGGTCGTACACGTTCTACACACTGACCAATCTCATATCTTGCTTTTTGCCCCCCCTCTCAACGACCCAACTTCTTCTTCTTCTTCTGTTCAAATCCAAAAACTCAAAATACGCATTCCCATTCCGAACCAAAGGTTCAGCCAAAGCGCTGGAAAGTCGACGCCAACTCGCGGCAAGACGCGGTGCTGATGCTGTCCTCCGTCAACCTCCCCGGAGGTGTCCAGGTTCGTACGCGCCGTCTATCCCAAACTCAAACCCCTATGCACACTACTCCCCAACTCCGGATAACACTTCGTTTGATGTGGCATTGGTGCCTTGACACTATCCCGCCACAGTATGCTATCTATCCCCTTCAGTTTCCAGTTTCTGTTTCTGTTCCCGTTTCATCTTCCGTTTCACTTGCCGCCGGCACCTACTCTCTGATGGCTGATGCGCAAAGACTAATATCGCCGTTTCGGCTTTTTGCCCCATTTCTTTCTAATGTTGCTTTGTACATTTAGCGCCGGAAACTGGAGAGCGACGAGCTGCAGATGCGCAACTTCTTTGAGGAGGGCGATCTCCTCGTTGCCGAGGTGCAGGCGTTCTTCGCGGACGGCGCGATGTCGCTCCATACGCGCTCGCTCAAGTACGGCAAGGTGCGGGTTTCTTCTTTCTTTCGCAGTAGGAGCTTTAAGCACATCCCCATTGTTGAATGTGGGCGAATGTGCCGTGGGGCATCGCATTGAATCGCCGTGTGTGCTGATGGCGCATCGCGCATGACGCATACGCGCACGCACGACCCATCCGGCGTATTGCATGTTCCCCATGCTATACCCGTATACCACACCTCCCCGCTCCTTCTGTTCCCTTCCTTCCCTCCTTCTAGAAATCCCCTACTCACCTCACCCCATCCCACTAATATAGCTCCGAAACGGCCAACTCGTAAGCATCCCCCCGCTCCTCGTGCGCCGGCTCAAGTCGCACTTTCTCGCGCTGCACGCGGGCGGCGGCGTCGACGTTGATGTTATTCTCGGTCTGAACGGGTACGTGTGGGTGAGCAGGCACGTCGAGAAGAGCGCGCAGGAGGGCGAGACGGGGTTTGATGCCGAGGCGGTGTATTCGAATCGGAATGATGTGAGTGTGTGTTTGTTTGTGGTTTTGAGGGGTTGGTTTTTTTGTTTTGTTTTGTTTTTGTTTTGAAGTTTGAGGTTTTTTTTGGTTCTCCGGCTTTCTGTTTCCCCGGTTTCGATTTTCTTTCTTTATTCATTTTTCATTCATGATCGCACTTGCCTCTGCGCTCCGCGTCTGCGTGCACACGGACGATTGTGTGTTACCCATTTTTTTTTCTCTCGCACCACACGACGACGTCCCCACCGCGGCGCGCGCACACCGATACAAACATAACTAACACATTCCTTTTGTTTTTGTTTTGCGACAAACCAGGACATCGACAGCCCGACACGCACCGCCATCGCGCGCGTGTCCAACATCATTCGTGTGCTCGCGGACCACGTCGTGCCCCTGTCGGACGCCGTCCTCGCCGACGCGTACGACTGGGTCGCGCAACAGGACATCGCAGCGAGCGCGCTGCTCCGCGCGGAGGTTGGCGAAGCACTCGTGGGGGCGCTCGGGGGCGGGGTGTTTGCCGGGTCATCGCGGAAATAAGCAAGTCTTGGTGGGGTTTCCTGGGGCCCGTTGGCGTTTCTGTTGGTGTCTAGTGGCGATGGCGACGATGAGTGTATGTGGGTACGGAGTTCCGTGGAGTTCTGGTTGTGTATGCTTGGAGGCGGGGGTGTTCTGTTTTTGCTTGCGTTTTTGGCTCCGATGTAAAATGCGTATAGCCTTGCTTTCATGCAACAATACAGTCCAGCAATAAACAAAATCACCCGTCACTCATCATACCGTACTCAATTCATAGATGAGGATGTTTGGTTTTGCCTGTATTATTCGGCCCAACGAGTATGCACTGCCTCGCGTTTGTATTCAGAATTCCGAGGGCCATGTAACATCAAACATCGTCCTCGTCATCATAATCATCACCTTCATCCGAGCCTTCCTCCTCATCCTCGTCTTCCTCATCACTCTCCTCTTCCTCCGTATCCCCCGCATCCGTCGTATCCACCCCCCTCCCCTGGCCCTGCTGAGCACCCGCCTGCGCCCCCGCACCAACAGCGCCAGCACCAACAGCAGCACCACCGACAGCAACAGCAGCAGCCGACTGCGGCCCGGGCCCCTGCCCGCCCGTCGTGCCGTTCGCCATCCTGCGCGCCTCCGCGGCCTTGCGCGTCTCCTCCTTGGCGTCGTCCGCGGGGAGCAGCTGCTCGAGCGCGAGGTCGCGCCAGCGCAGCGCGCCGTTGATCCCGCCGCCGGCGTAGCCCATGTCCTCGAAGAGCGCGCGCGAGGTGGGGTCGTAGGTGGGGCGCGGGCGGGCCGCGGGGTGTTTGATGCTTGTGGGGTTGCCGTAGGGGTAGGAGGGGTGGACTTGCGAGGGGAGGACTGGGTGGGGAGTCGGGAGTCATGTGGGTTTGGAAGGAAGGTGGAGGTTAGTGAGGTGAATGACGAGTCGAGGGTCGTGATTTGTGGAGTTGGCCGATGACGAAGCGATGCGCGGTGCAATGTGGTGTGGTGCACGTGAGGAGGGAAATGTGCGTCAATCAATCGGAGGAGTGAAATGCAGGTGTGTGTAAGCATGCAAAGAGAGATCAGGCGAAAGTCGAGAGACTTACTGTCCGAGTCGTCCGGGTTCGGCGGGATCATGTGCGCCGGGATGTCGAGCTCTGGGGGGGTCCAGAGTAAGTAACGGCTTTGTCGAAAGGGAGCTCAAACCACGCAGCATATTCCCTGTCTGTCTCTCTCCATCACTGAGCGCGAGATAGGCGCTCACTGGTGGATAGAGGAGTGAGCGAGTCCGCCAGATCTACGTACCTTCGTCAGATAGCTCGCCGGACATGTACTCGAGCGACTCGACCGTATCGAGGACCTTGAGGTCGTTCTCGGTCATGTGAATGTACGAATAAAACAAGTCCTTCAAATTCAGAGAAAAACAAAAAGGTAAACGGGTTAGCCTATTCGGAAGCAAACCGAGCGCTCAAAGCAAAGAACATTCTTAGCTGACTGACAGTCATGATGGCCGATGGCGGATAGCGAGCAAAAGGTGACGGCAGCGAGAGGTCTGGGCTATGCAGCGCCCCCGTTGACTCGTAGTTAGTCTTAACGAGGTATGAGCCGGAAACCACGCTTTTGGCGGAGGCGAACGGACGCAATCTGACGGCGATTACTGCCTGCGGTAGCGAGGGGTATGTGCTAAAGCACTTGACCTGTCTTAGACCTGACTTGACGTCGTGTCAAATGTCAGAACGGAGCAAAAAAAAAGATTGGTGAGCAGCGGATGTAATCTAGTCAGCAAGGGGTGACAATGTGGACCCACAATTGGAATAACGTGACAGCACCCTCAGATTCAGAATGGGAGATCGTGGAGGGTTTGAGTAAGACGCGATGACGGATGAGTTGGTGGAAGCAAAGAACGTTACAAACTCCGTCCGCGTCGGACGTTGTAACCTGATCGGCGTTTGCCAGGTGGCGGTGCCAAGTAAACTATCTTGGTCTTGGATGATCCTCGTTGCCGTCGCTGTAGCTTTTGGCCATAGAAGTGAACATTCGATCGTCTGATGTTCTAGTCAAACGTGTATGACATAGCCAATCCATAATCCCGTCCAACAAAAGGAAGTAGCGCACTGGAGTGCGGTGTATAGAGTTGGGAACACAGGAAAGTTGCCAAGAACAAAAGTTCGCGAGGCTCGGATTCGGCCCTGTTTCGGATCAGGCTTCGAGTAAACAGTCTGCAAATATACTTTAAGCGCGCAGTGCATCGCCGTGAAACTGACGCTGTGGGCGATTCCGATCATGGATCAAACCTTCAGGAGTAAACAGCGCAAGGTTAACTCTTACGGGGGAACCGCGCGGCCCAAGCGAGCTCGTAGCTCACGCATACGGTGCCGACGAAATTTGCATCGCATTCACTCGATGCATCTGACGAGGTAACGGCATTGTTCAGCCTGAGTCAGGAGGCAAATGAGGGTCTATACGTGGCGGCATACTGCTACCATTCAACTTCAAGGCGGGTAGTTTGTTTGACGTGTGACAAAAAATCACAGTGCAACCGGTCGCCGTGTTCACCACCCCCTTGGACGAAGAAGGCAAAGTTGACTCGAGCATGAGTGTCCGGTGAGCTCGCTCAACAACCTACAACTGTGCATGAATGGATGTTGACCGGACACAACAGGAGTCGGACCGCGGGTTTCTGATGTCTCAAGGTATCAAAGGTTAAGAAGTTTGAGTACGCCCATGGAAATGCAGACGAGTCAATTGGTCCTCCGTTGGTTTGGTAGAGAAGTTGCCTGCTCCTGTTGCGATGTCACTGCGAACTCTCCAAAGCACTGTTTCATGGTCTTCCGGTTCTCTCGGTCACCGACCTTTTTTCCGTGTGGTGTACTCCATACGACGTCACAACTTTGCGGACTGGAATCATTGAACAATGAGCTCACTCTGACATCACTTCCTCAAATTAACCTCGGCCCAGATCTCTCTTTGGCGTATGTTTTTCTCACTGATGCAGTTGTCATTTCACACGCTCCACTATAATCGCGCATGCTAAGCCACCTAAGCGGTTAGCGCTGTAGCATAGCCATGCCATTGAGTTAGGCCCCATCTTTTCATCCCGGCACTTTGTCCATCGCGCGTTACGTGACTATGCACCTTTGAACGTCCGGAAGCACGTCGCCGATTCAGGGACACTGATCCCAACTATTTTTTTGGCCCCTTCTTTAGTCAACAGTCAGATGCAGATCTGCTACCGCACGTGGGGGGTATCGGGCCAGATCCCTTCTGGTGTTGCTCTGAATGTGAAGTCGACGATCCCCACAAAAACTCAAAGCAACGTAGGTCGTGTGGCGACTTGCTTCGCGAAGAGTTTAAATCGGGCGTGAACCTAAGTTGTGTTTCTAAGATTTCGACGGTTGCGAGGTACACTTTGGGTACAACTTGCCACGAGCTGCCCACTCCGCAAACGGCCCCCTCACTAAGATCGTTTGCATTTTTCTATTATCGTCGCACCCCGTTTCCTGTGCTCAAGAACTGAGGTGTCCCGATTCTGAAAACCGGACTGCTACAAAAAAGGTTGCTCGTGTGCGTAGACTAAACCTCGTCAAGAAGGGCAATAAAAAGGGTTATCACGAAAGCGCCACACATGCGCCATAGGAGCCTATAGTACTCAATTCTCGGAGCGATCAGGCACCCAAGGGCGATTGAACGCACGTGCACAAGCACGCGCACAGTTCCCGCCACGAACAGCCTCACCTAGACAACCTGCTGGACATGTGCATAATGAGCAGACATGAACAATCCTGAGCGGATGCAAATGTGGCTTACCTACCTAAACCCATTGCATGGCCGGATCGGCGATTATCCAGATCCCCGAGACATGTATATGTCGATCTCGGCGGGGTGCGAGAACTTCCGGGGAACGCCTGGCGGGAGAGGCGGGATATTACTAGGATATAGATCCCACGAGGTTCCACGTGCGAGCGTCTCCAGCGAAGAGGAAACGAAACACGTGCAAAATATTGATAATGTCGCTCGAGCCGTGTATGCGTGGGCCCCCCTTCCAGACAGAACTTCAGTGGGATTGATTGGTCCGTGTGTGAGCGTCTCCGAGTCCGTCGAATCGGAGACGAAACGCCTGCGAGATATTGTTAATAATTGCATGAGCAACGCACGCAGACGCGTTGTATGTGCGACGCGGTAGGCGGTAATCCAGGAACGGGCCGCCCATCGTTGCCGTTTCATGCGCATGACCGCAATTGATCTTTTCTTTTCTCCATCTTTTCATTCACCATTAGCCCCATCCTGATCTCCACTTCATTCCTCTGCGGCTTGTGAGAGCCAGTGATCCCTGTGGCTGCAATAATGGCCATCTGACTCCCAAGCGCCAGGTTGCGGGACTGCGCCCTCGCGAGTGCTATTCGGATATTGGTCATTTCTTGCCATCTCCTGCGCAAACGCCGAAGTTGATAATTGAGTAGTCAATAGGGGCTCATTGATCGGAGCGCGTCCACATTACAACCTAATATTTACTACTCGTATGCGGTGATTTGATGCGCCTGTTTCTTGCGCTGGAAGCGATTGATCGTGATGGTAGGTACCACCTCAGGACCGCTCGCACCATGTCGCGCTTATTGTTATGTTGTTTAGCATTGGGTTCTGAGTCACTCAAAAAGCTTAACGGCCATCATCCCTTTCAGTCAAGCCACGACATTGTGATATTGAAAACACGTTTTTCTGTCTCGCATCTTTGTGTCCGCTCGCGTGCGCGAGGACTCATATCGCTTACTCGTCACCTACCCTTCTCCGGGAAGTAGGCGTACGACCCTGATAGCAGTTGGTGTTAAACCGGTGCAGTAAGCGAACCACGCGGAACGTTCCTGAGTAAACTTCTTTAATTTTGGTCTGTGGTATGTACCCCTGCCACCTCCACATTGTGAACGTCACCATGACTTCAGCTACGCAAAGATCACGAAGTGAAAAAAGGGTTCAGCGTTGTCACAGCGAAGACGATAGTGTTACAGTATGCATTATATTGCTGAAGGGTTAACGTTAACTATGTGCTTTGCCAAACTCTATGCGTGTGTATGCTGATATGTATACGGAATACAAACAATCAAACCCCTTCTTGGGCCAAAATACCATTAGGTTGCTGCTCTCCGGCAAGCTCATCTCGATTTTCCTCGAGCTCCGGCGCAGGTGGAGGTACATGCAATGGTGGAGGCTGGGGACGCTCCACCGTTTGAGATGACCGTGGCGATGACTCGGTCTCCAAGTTTTGCAGACGCATCTCGACGAGGAACTCGCTGTCCCGGACGGACTGGGCCCACGTCGTGTACAGACGCACGGAGCTCATCATGGCGCGAGAAATACCTGCGATGGCGAAAATACCTGGGTAGCCGTGTACGACTTGAAGAGGGATGAACATCAGTCTTTCATCGTAGGATACGCCCAGGAATGACTACTCACGAATAAACTTTCTACCAGCGGGCAGCTCCATGAAGTGCCGGAGCACCCAGACGGCAGCCGCGGGCAGAAGAAGCATGCCAAGGAGTCCGCCAGTCATTGGGGCAATCACGTCCCTAGTTGCTGTCCATGGGTCAGGATGTGTCCATCCATTCGTCCGTATCTAGGACGTCATATCCAAGTGAGTCTTCAAACGGAAGAATCAACCATCAAGGTCGCTTACCGCTGCCAACCCCCTTGTTATCCGCTGCGGCAGCTGAGCCCTCCTATTGCGCATCGCGATCCTGCCATACACAAGCCCGAGCGCCCACATATCTACGATTCGTATCTCCGGCTGCATGCTCGGCTTGACCGCGAGACGGAACGGCATGACGAGGTACAGCTCCAAGACAAGCGCGAGCAGGATAGGCACCACAACGCCCAGACAGAACACCATGTACGTGGTACGGAAGAGCCACGACAGACTGCGCTTGACAAGGAACACCGAGAACTCCGGTCTGGGGCCATCACTGCTTCGTCTCTGGCGGTGCTTCTCCAGGCGCTCGATGGCCTTGATGATGGCGTAGCATGCCCAGAGCAGATAAAACCCAGCAATGAGCGAGTACCCGTCGTGCAGATCCCGCGCCGTGAAAAGACAGAAGAAGTGCCGCCCCACCTGGACGGGTAGCGCGATGCCGGCCGCAACAAGCACGGATACGATGCCCCATACCGCGAGGATGAAGCAGATAATGCGCCAGCGGAACTGAGGGGGGATGTACACGACGATAAAGTCGTCCTCGATGTTCCGCTTCGACTTGATTGCCTCCGCGTTCTGCGCCGCCATGAGCTTCGCTGCCTCATCGTCCACTGGCTGACCGTTCTCAAGAACCTGGGCCGTTGCGCGCATATCCTTGGGTAGCGCGATGTTATCGCTGGACGGCACGCGACGGTACGTCCCATCGGATGTCTCGACAAACTCCCCATCTTCAACAGAGCGCCGGAATAATGCGGACCACGTCTTGTATTGCACAGTCTTCTCCTCAGCATGCGGGCGGTCTCCGAACATGTACGACGTCAGACGCAGTTTCGAGGCAAGCTGCTTCCAAACGCGCACGGACGCCTGGTGAAAGATCTTCCGCGGACGCACGTAGCGCATGGTGTAGGGCAGCGCCAGCATCAAAAACAGCAGGTCGACAGGAACGTCCGACAACGGCTCCCTGTATCCGCAGACAGAACAAAAAATAGGGGTCAGCCACAATCACAAAACACGTTCGTAAACTTCAAGGGTTCACGACGACGAGCACAAGGTTCAAGGTCTGAACACTAAAGGACTAAACACCCACCTCGTCTTCCATCGAATCGGAAATATGGACTTGCTAGCCACAAACAGCAGCGTCGCAACGCTGCCCACGCCTGACGCGACAACGAGCGAGTACATCAGCGCCGAAACGAGTAGCTTGCGGAATTGAGTGAGCGTCGGCCGATCGAGAATGTCCCGGATCGGGTGGAAGTTCTGGTCCTGCGGGTCCTTGATGAACCACATCGCGCCCGGGCGCATTATGTTACGGCAGCCTGACAGAAGGACCGCGAATTGGTACCTGTATAGCATACACGGCATAGCAGCAATGGAAGGCACATTGGTCAGCGATTGCGCCCTCCCTGAACCAGGATAGGAGTAGAAAATACTCACATGAACATCGTGCCCGCAACCCAGTGGTAGAATATCGCGGTGAGCGGCGCATGTAGGAAGAACGCGGCGCGCGACTCGATCGTTGCCTCAGGGAATAGCCATACGGTGCACACGTCAAGCATAATTCCGCAGCCAAGCGGGAAGATGATGAGCTCGATGATGATGAACATCGCGACCTAGGCCGAAATCAGTAAACGACGTTGCGCAACCCCTGAAAAGCAACTATCTCTGCCGCCGTTGCTCCTTCCGTCGGACAAGCCGAACAGAGCCCGCATCGGCGAGTAGCCACCAAAAAAAGACGGAAAGTCGCAAGTCTGGGGCGAGCAACAGCGGAATGATAGACGGCAAGCCCTCGAGGCTAATATTCGAAAAACAAAAAAAGAACCCAGAAGAACAAACGTACCTTGAGCACCAGGAGCTGTTGCCTAACAGCCGTCCGCACCGCCCGACCCGCGCTCCGCGCATTTCCGACCGTAAAGACATTCAGATACAAAGCCAGCACAAAGCCGACAACCGCATAGCCAAGCAAGATTGCGAACACGCGCTCGTGGGGCCCGTGGCCGAGCGCCATGCGCACCCAGCCCGTGCGCGCGGTAACAGCGCCGCTGCGCACTTCGTGCCCGAGCGAGGCGAAGCGGGGCTCGGCCCACTGCGCGAGGGTGGAGTTGGAGTCGAAGAACGCATTGAGTGGTTTCATAACGAGGTGTTCGGTCGCTGCAGTGGGTGCTGGCGCTGAACCGAATGCTGTTGCCGCAGTTGCGGTCGCGGTAGCTGCGACCGACGACACCGATGTTGAGGATCCTGCGACGGTATTCCGTACAGCACCCCACCGATTCATAGCGAATGTAGTCTGTAACGGAGCAGAGTGTCTTGTATCAGCGCCTTCCTCTCCCGTAGCGAATCCTGCAGTAAACCACTTCACCCATTCATCGAAAACTTTCCCAGCGAATACCGCTTGCTCCTCCTTGCCCGACTTCGTCACAGCGAACTGCACGAGGCGCTGCAACGCGGCCCAGTAGAGCCGCGACGCGCCAACAACCAACGGCACGACAGTGCGAGACGTCACGTAGGTGATCACATCCACAATCGGGTCGGTGACGTAACGGATCGCGCGAATGGGCAGGTGCAGGATGTAGAACAAGCGTGGGGGGTCGAGCTGTCATTCACAATGAATCAGCTGTCTGATAGAGTAAGAGAAAAAGGGCATACCGAGAGCAAGGCTGTCGTCTTGCCCAGCGTGAACGGGAGCCATATCCCAAACCCAATGGTCGTGTCCAGAACAAAGATCATCAGAACGGCCTGTCGGGCAAGCGATGTTAGCCACCATCATGCATATGCATAGAGGACCAAATAAATCCATACGCACATTCTGAACCACGCCAAACAGTGGCCCCCTAAGCCCGATCGCTATACAACGGACAAACGAGCATCAGCACCTTCGACCTCCAGGAAGCTAGCGCCCTAGGAAAAAGCCAGAAGGAATGGCGAACCGAGCACTCACCTTCCAGCGCACCCTCCACATCATCTTCAACCCCAATATCATCCTCCAAATTCCCATCCATCTCCACCTGTGCACCAGGGACATTCTGCGCGCCCGCAGGCTGCTGCGCCTCGCCCACACCGCCACCGCCGCCGCCGAGCCCGTTCGCACCCTCAAGACCGTTGGCGCGATTGAAAGCGTCGAGCCCGTTGATCCCGTTGAGCCGGTTAAACCGCTCGTTGACCTCGCGAAAGTCGTTTTCGTCGTCGTCAATATCCATATCCATATCCAAATCCATATCCCCCTCCTCGATCTCGACGTCCATATCGAGATCACCGTCGTCGTCGAGATCCCCTTCGAAATGACCGTCGCCGTCGCCGTCGAACCGCCCGTTCTCAATCTCCCACCCCTCCGCATCAAACTCTCGTTCTTCATCATCTTCGTCTTCATCGTCGTCGTCGTCGGCATACGCACCAAGACGACGGCGCAGCGGCCGCTCCCCGCCGTTCTGCGGATGCACAGCGTCCTCGCCCGGCCGCGCATACGGATCGCGGAAAAACCGATCATACTCCTCCCTCTGCCCCTCCCCCCCTTCCCTTTCCCCTGCCTCTTCCCCGTGTCCTTTACCTTCTCCTTGCCCTTGCCCTCGCTCCCGCTCCCGCTCCCCGTACGCACGCCCAAATCTCCGCACAGGCTCACCACCAACCCCATCAAAGTACCCTCCCAGCCCACCCTCAGTCTCCGCCTCAGACGACGACGTGCCGGCGTTAAGCTCCTCCGGCGCATGGTACATCGCGAGCCCGGGCGACACGAGCGGCACCGAGGGCGCACCGGGCGGAGTGCTCGGCGTGTTCGCGCCTGTGCTGCTGGGCAGCGGCGGGCGGCGAAGCGGAGTCGCGAGCGGGATCGGGATGCGCATGCTGCTCGAAGACGAAGACGAAGCGCTCGCGTGTGCGTGTGAAGAAGGAAGATTGTGCAGGCGCGGGTGGAGGTGCGGGTTGAAGTTGAGTGTGTCCGGTGGCGGCGACGTCGACGGCGCGTCCACATCCGCATTTCGCGCTTCACTGCCTCGTTGCTCATGCTCGTGTTCCCGCTCCTTCACCTCCGCCTCCAACAGCTCCGCCAAACTCCCCGCCTCGACGCCCTCATCCCTGCCCTTGTCCTTCCCAGTACCACCCAAATCCGCCCCGCGCTCGCGCTCCATCAGCGCCGGAATAACCCCCTCACCCTCCCCATACCCCATCCGCACATCCCCCACAGACTCCCCCGCCAAATCCGCAAAACTCCCCAACACAGGACTCGCCTCCCTCGAAAACGGCACCGGCTCTTCCGCCGCCGCCGCCGCCATCGCCGCCGCCATCGACATGTCGAACGAGCCCTCCGCGAGCTGCAGCTGGTCGTGCACTGACAGCGGCCGCGAGCGAGACGAGGAGCCGCCACCGCCAGTGATGGAGGAGATCGAGGCAGAGCCCGAGGAGAGAATGGACGCAGAGCGCATGCGCGCGCCGGACCTCGCGAGGCTGCTGGTTGGACTCGTGTCGGGGCTGAAGCCTGGTAGAGGGTTCGCGTTTGAGGTTGCAGCGGCGTTGGCACTCGCGTTTGCGATCGAGGTCCCGTCCATCTTCGAAGTCGTGTCGACACTCGGCGCAGAACCAGGACCAGGACCAGGACCAGCGCCAGATCGATATGCGGGATGATCTTCAGGGAAAGGCAAGAACAGACCGGGGTTAAACACCGGAACATTCCCAGACGGCGGACGGAACTCGAACGTGAACGAGGTCGGGGGTGCAGCAGACGAGGAAGACGAGGAAGGCCCTCCCGCTCCGAACGAAAAGTGCTCAGCCGCGCGCATCTTGCCCTTGCCGCTGTCACCGCCGCTTGTTTGCCCTTGTGCTTGACCTTGCACTTGTGTTTTTTCGTCGGCACCCCCCTCAATGCCGTTCCCGACTGCATCCACACCCGCACCGACACCCACATCTCTACTCCCACCACCCCCCACATCAGCCGCACCATCCCTCTCTCTCCCCCCCTCATCAGCCTCCAAAAAAGGACCCGCAACAACCCCACCCGGCGCCATAATATCCCTCGTCGGCACCGGCGGCGGCGTCGGCGGAATCGGGAACTCGGGCGGCGGCAGCCTCTCCATCGCGCGAGCGCGCCCCGGCCGTGCGAGCATATTCGGTGCTCTCTGGCGCTGGCGCTGTATATCCTGCTGCTGCTGTCCGCCCCGCTCCTCGCCCGCGCCCACGCCCACGGCATGTCGATGTCCCTCCTGCTGCTGCTGCGCTCCCGGTCCCATCGGAGGTACCACAGGCGCCACAGCGGCAGCAGCCGCCGCCGCCGCCGCCGCCGCCGCCGCTTCTTCCTCTTCAAATATACCCGGCCTCGCGTTCTGACTTATCCACTCGCGCAGCAGGAAAACAGCGACGAAGATGAGCACGATGAGCGCAGCGATAATCTGCCCCGTCAAAATGTCCTGCGAGAGCGTGTTCCAGAACGGGCGGGACGAGACGAATGTAAGGAAGGTCGAGGTGCTGTTGCGCGCGGCGGAGAGGGAGAATATCTTCTTCAGCGCGAGCGTCGCGTTGCGCCCCGCGGCGGCTGTGACGTTGCCCGCCGTCGTGCCGTTCGCGAGTGTCGCATTGGCAGCAGCGTCGGTGGCGTTGGTGGTGGCGTTGACGGCGCGAGAGACGTTGCGCGTGAGGCTTGCGAAGAAGGGGTCCGAGGCGCGCGGGCGGCCGCTTATCCACCACGCACTACATGTTGCAAGAATTCGGTTATTATTATGATTGTTGGAATGGGGAAATGGGATGGAGGAGATGGAGCACGCACGTAGACTCGCCCATCGTAAAATACACTCTCCACGTCCATATCGTGATCCAGGGGAGCAGCGCGAGCCACACCGTCGCGATGAGCACCGCTCTTAGCCCGAACAAAAGCCCAAAGAAGGCTTGCTCGAGTAGGCGCCGGAAGAGGAGAAGTGTCGGGAGGCGGTCGGGCATGTCAAGGGCGTACACTGCATATACGAACAAGCAGGCACGCGATCAGCCTCAAGTAAGACGACGGATGCTAAAGGTGGGGATGCTCACCCTTCTCGAATGAATACGGGTACTTGCACACGTCGCATGTCTTCTTCTTGCTATGCGAGAGCCATGTCGTTAAACTGCACGTGAAATCCTGTCAGCCCCAATATCCAACATGCAAGCTTGAGAGCGGGAGAGAGAAAGAGAAGTGCTCACCAGTCCTGATGTATGTACCGGATGGTGCCCGAGCACTTGCATGGATAAAAGAGAGGCTGGTCGGGCTCGCCTGGCGCACTGCATATTCTGCATGTATCTGTTCGGGCGAGAAGTGCACGTCAGTCATTTGGGGCAGTTCAAAGGTACGGATGGGTTGGATGCAGAGAGCAGGGAGAAAGCCGAGTGTAGCTCCAGTGCCAGGCCGGTGAAGACGGAGCGTACGACACGGGATAGGCTGGCACGGACGAATGAGCGGGTGTGCAGCATACCTTGCTCGTCAGATTCCTGCATGGGCGCCTGTCAAACCGGTGCCCTGCCCCAGGAGGGTTGCGTGTCTTTCGGAGATGTAGTCGTGAACAGAAAATAAGAGAAACGTGAAAGCTAAACAAACGATGAAAGACAGCAAGAATGAGGAGGTGGAGGTAGTGGTGGAGGAGGTGGATGAAGCTGAAGCCTGCCAATGGGGAACGTTGAGCTGACAGACGCGCGGACGCAAATTGGTTCCGGTTTCCGACTCCGACCCTTCAGGGGCTGTTGTCCCTTACGACCTCGACCACAAATTCATGCCTCAAGGATGTAAGGAAGGGAAACGCTCTGTTTGGCGTGGTTCATTTGCATCTGGGCTATAATCGGAGACACAACCATACCTCATGCCCTGGCGTATCCACACCTCTTATTTACAAACGCATTCTCTCTTACCATGACGAGTGTGATGGAAGTGCCCAATCGACTGGCGCTCGTGGGGCAACGCATGCAGTGCACCGCCGACAAGCCCGAGCTGCACCGGCAGTCCGACGAATACTACGTTGTGGGGTGATGACGTTCAAGCTGAGGATCGTGGAGTCCTGCAGTGTACGTTCCTCAGTTAATTCGGGGCTTTGGCTTTCCGTTTGAAGAGAAGTGCGTCGTGATGTCCTGCGGGTGTATCATTTTGTATGTTTATGTACGTATGGTTTATGACTTGGTCATGATCCTTAGCGTCCGTAATACGGATCGTCATTGAGGCAAAGAACAAAAACCACGATCTAACGGAATTGATTTTATTATTGACTTTCTTGGCCTGCAAGCTCGATGGACTCAGAACGCCCAGCCAAGAACGCCTCCACTTGAGAGCTGACTATGCCAAATGGACTTGGTCTGTGGATATGATCCAACGCGGACGTAAAATGATTGGCTGATGAGGGTAATCCAATGAGCCGCTAGCGTTGCATAGCGTTGCCCTGCTGATCCTCGGCCGAACCCGCCCAAATCGAACTCACCAAGCCCCCTCTCGGATGCGCTCACCGACTACGTTTCCTCTGACAATCCCCACCTCTTCCACCAATGACATTCTGCCCAAAACATGGACGCACAGTTACAAGCAGAGCACACACGCGCGTCTATCACAGCAAGAACTCTCATTGGCCGCTAACTCGCCGTTCCACCGCGCTGATGGCCGGGCACACGGCACGGGCGGGCTAGTCTTGAGCCGCAGGACGATTGATCCTCCGCCTCCTCGTTCCACTCCAGCCTTATATGAGAACGCTTAAAGGCCCGCTCTGGCGCGATGCTGCCCGCCCTTGTGCTATTCCTGCCATCCAGTATCGTGCTGCCTCAGGAATCGGCCTGGTTCTTCTTCGCTCTGAGGCTCCGCGTTGATTTTGCGCGCTTCTTCAAGTGGTGACGATTCTAATTTGTAGGTGCTTCTTGCAAGTTGATTTTGACTCAACTCAAGAGCCACCCTCGCTCAGCACTCAGTCTCCCTCGACTTTAGTTTGTCAGTGTCACGCTGCTTGAAAATATGTCGGATCTGGAGAAAGCACGCGTCTCCACCAAGGAGCTCGACGAAGAGAACCCCATCGTCGGGAGCATTTCGGCGGCGCCGACGATCGCCAACGAGAGCGACGTGATCATCGTGAGTCTCCCTCGATCCCTCAAAATTATAACCTTCGTTCACCGAGCGGGCCCATTTCATATTGCCGTTGATAGGTTGAATTTGAGGAGAACGATCCTCGCGCGCCCATGAACTTCTCCTACTCCAAAAAATGGGCCATCACCATCGTCTCTGTCGCATTTACTGCCATAATTTGTACGTCACCGTCCACTTGCATTCCCGGTTCAGCCGCTAACCGCGAACCTCATCCTCGTATTCGCATTCGCTCGCCAACAATACAACACACCCACTGAACCACACTCCTATCATCCGCCCCACCCCACCCCACCAGCCGCATCCTCATCCTCCTACTCCTTCGGCTACGACACAATGATCGCCGAGCTCCACTGCACCACAATGGAGGCAACGCTCGGCCTCAGCCTTTTCACCCTCGGCTTCGCCATCGTCCCGCTCGTCTCGTCCTCGTTCAGCGAGGAATTCGGGCGCAGACCCGTCTACCTCGTCTCCGCCGCGTGCTTCCTCCTCTCGCAGGTCATGGTCGCGCTGTATGTCCCTTCTCCCCCGCTATATATGCCATTCTGTTGCCACTAGTTCGTTGCGCTGACTCGAACGCTTGTCCTCCTGACCTGTTTGTTTCACCACGCGCTGGACATCTCGGCCGAACCCGAAATCGCCGTAACTGGAACTCGTGTGGCATCGTGTTAATGCCATTCTTGCTTTTCAATTCAATTCAATTCAATTCACTATACCGAAACCGTTACCCTGCTACTCAAGAGCGCCAAACATCGCTGTGGTCATCGTCGGCCGATTCCTGAATGGCGCGTTCGGCTCGACGGGCGCCGTACTCGTCGGCGGGACCGTTGCGGACGTTTGGGAGCCTGCGCAGTAAGTGTTTTAATTTGTGTGCTGTCTATGTCATGTTTCTCTTTTTCGGCTAGAAGTTTTCCACCTCCTTCATTCGTCCACACTATACCCTTCCCCTTCCCATCCTCGAACTCTCCTTCAGACCTGATCCATTCCCGCTTTCTCCCTCTTAATCCACGCACACACAAATTTAAAAAAATCAGAAAACATAAGCTAACACCCCTTCTCCCTCTTCTCACGTTGCGAACCAGACGCGGCCTCCCGATGTCCATGTACAGCCTCACCGCGCTCTTCGTCACCTCGGCCGGCCCCGTCGTCTCCGGCTGGATAGACGCGAACCCGCACATGGGCTGGCGCTGGATCGCGTGGATGAACGCCATGTGAGTCCGCCCCCCTAATACCTATCCACACCCGCACCCGCATCCGGCCCGGGCTCAAGCTCATACCCCCTTCTGCACACGAACCACAGATTCGGCGGCGCATACCTCCTCTTCGCGCTCGTGCTCACCAAAGAAACGCGCGCGACGATTATACTAGCCAAGATCGCGCGGGCGAAGCGCAGGGAGACGGGCGACGGGCGGTATCGCGCGCGTTCGGAGGTGGATAATGTCGGGTTTTGGACGATGGTCAGGATCTCGTGCACGCGGCCTTTGTGTATGTGTTTACTCCTCTTTTCTTGTGGCGTCATTGTTGAAATAAGGCTAACCGGAGAACAGATCTGTTGTTCACCGAGCCGGTCGTTTTCGTGTTCAGTGTAAGACGCACGAAACATGGCTGTGTTGCGATCGCGGTGTTGACTTGTCTTCGCAGCTGTGGATAGGCTTCGCGTGGGGCATTCTCTACGCCATGATCGAGTGCGTCTCTTTTTTAATGTCTCGTTTTCATGGACTTGCATTCTCACTTATACCTAACAGGTCGATCGGCTCCCTGTTCAAGAGCGTCTACGGCTTCTCCACGGGCGACACCGGCTCCGTCTTCACCGCCCTCTGGTACGTTCCTCTTTTATCCCCCCCACCTCTCATTTATCTCTACTCCTCCCATATTTACTTATCTTACCCTGCCCTCACACAGCATCGGCTCCCTCTTCGGATGCGCCCTCAACGCCTACCAAGAAACCATCTACCGCCGCAAATACGCCTCCCGCGGACCCGAAGCGCGCCTGTACGTCGCACTGGGCGCAGCCCTGCTCTTCCCCGCCGGGATGTACATCTACGCATGGACCGCGTTCCCGCACGTCACGTGGGTCGCGCCCTGCGTCGGGCTCGCGGTGTTCATGTGCGCGACGTACGTGATCTACCAGACGGTGTTCGTGTACCTCGCGGACTGGTGCGTTCTCCTCTGTTCTCAGCGGAACGAGACTCTGACGAGGTGTTGATACGGTAGCTACGGCCGGTGGGCAAGCTCGGCGCTCGCGGGCCAAAGCTTATTTCGGAACATTATGGGCACGGTCTTCCCCCTGTTCACGACACAGATGTACAGTAACCTGTCGTATAAATGGGCTAATACGCTCTTTGCGGTCATCGCGACGCTCATGATACCCATACCCTATGTGCGCTCTTCTCTCTCTTTCCGTTGACCCAATTAGTCTTTGAGGTCTTACTTTGCTGTACTTACTTTGCCGCACTTAGGTTCTATTTTTCTATGGATCGCGGATCAGAGCAAAGAGCAAGATCTCGCAGAAGATCACCGCCGATGACGACGTCAAGCCTTCCAAATAACCTCTACGTGAAACCAAAACGCGTTACCCTTAGACTCGATTCGGGCCCCCGACCTCGCACTCATTTCTCGGTATCTTATTTGGGCAGGAAGGAAAAGGATAATTCCCCGTACTCACATACATCCAGCGCGGTGCTCGTACACGACGGCTTACGGCTCTGAACGATATTCATGAGCACTCTTGTAATCTAGTAATACCTTCCACTCTGGTCTCTTCATGGAGTCTGGGATCGCAGAGTGTCGGAGATAGACGGTACTCGTACATTAGTACTCTCCATGACTGAACGATATAGAACCCTTAGATACATAGTTGCATATCGTCATATACGTACTATAAACGTTTGTTTTGTTGCCAGGCGCACAACGTATACCACGGAGTTGACATGCCACCATACATGTTACTAATGGTGGTCAAAGATCGTTGGAAGTGGACAACAGTTTATTACATGAGCAAACTGATGGTATTAAATTCTTGTTAGCGAAGGTCAAAGCCCGCTTTGCGTTGCAACCTCTTCGATATGCTCTGCGACCTTCCAGATGCGTGCTCTGTTCCTCATTGAACCGCTGGCACAACACCCCTGTAAGTAGACCCACCCGTCGCGAACCTTCTTCACTTCGTAGCAAGGCTCGAGGCTTGATGTGGTGGGGGCGAACCACGGGGCGTTCTCGGTGATCCACGCAGCTTCCAGAGAGTTCCTGCTAGCTTCAGAGCCTAGAATAAGAAAAAACGAATGATGCAAGATGCAGAGGCGAGAGAAAGCAAGGAGGCGTGTGAGCAATGTAGTGCGATGATGTAGAGAAGCTCGAGGGGGAGTCTTTCGAGAACAGACAAGTTGTGATTTTTTTTGAGACGCTTTGAGTTACGAAAGCGGGCGCGCATTGGGTGGACGCATCGACCAATGGGAACCTAATGGTAGGGGAGAGACCTATGAGGATAGATCAAGCCATTATATTCCTGGTACTAAGGCACACCTGTCAGCCCTCATCCACATCCAATATCCTCCTCGGTGCACAATAGCATCCTCGATGGCCTCCTCGATGGCCTTCACCATCTCCAGCTCTTCCAGATCTCGAAGTTCTCTATACTTCAACCAAGGAATAGTCTTGTGGGTATCGTCGCGGGCATTGCTTACCTCTCCATAGTCTACCTCCCCCATTCCGGGGCTGTGCACCCCTTCAGACCAGCCGCAGTACATCGCTATCCGCCAGAAGCGCTGCGGCGTCACACGGCCGCACGTCGCGAGGTGGAGGATGGGCAGAGCGAACGTCTGAACCATAATGATCACGGTGGCATACGAAACCCAGAACTCCCGGCGACCTCCCTCCGATTCACGTCTGCGAGCAAACCCGTCATGCCGTTCTGATCCAGAGCATGTGCAGTTTTGGAGAACAGTGATCCTCGGGTCAGGAATCTCGAGGGCTTCGTCGCGGGGAAGTTCAGGACGAGATCTTCATTCTACCTCCTCAGATTTCTCGAAGTCTCCTGTGAAAGAAGATTAGTAGAACGATGGCATTGTGTAAGCCTGGACTCGGAGGTGGGCACACCGATGATCGTCACATCATTGATCCCTTCCTCCGCCGCTGCCAGCGCACGCATAGCCTGCAAAACTAGCGGTCCTAGCTGACTGTCATGTGGATTCTCCATCTCGAAAGTATTGTCCCATTCTTCTACGTAACGTAAGATGAGTTCTTTGGCGCTCACAGGAGCGCAGCCAGAAATCTGTATTTATAAGAGGTAACGACTCAGAACGGCGCGTATCGAAGGACTTACGAGACAGTACGTAGGCAAGGTCGCGCAAGTTGTAGTTCTCCGGTGTACTACTCTTAAGGCCACTTAGATAACGTCAAGGTGAGATGAGACAATGTGCTTGAGCTTCGATAGTGTTGTAGCGAAAAGTACTGAGTGCCACTGGTGGATGCGTACTGGCGCGGACGCGTAAGTTGCGCGCGCCACGTACGGAATTCCGGGCCGACGAGCTCCAGGTGTGATTCCCACGCTCGTTCGCTCTGCTCTCAGTCATCGAATCGTTCATCCTCGTTCGTCATCCGCTCGCGAACTGCAAGAACCTAAAGTCGAGATCATATTTCTCGACCGTTCGCTGCCACAGTACAGGTATCGTCGCTCAATGTCTCACAGCCTATCTTTTCTCATCAAATCCAGTCAGCCTCAAGCCACGTCGCGCCTCCCTGCCAACGCCGTTTCATGACAAATTCAATGTTCTCGAGTAAGTTCCTCCCATTCGTATCCTTAGTAACATCTGGCTGCTTCATCACCCTGGGATCTAGGATAGAGCCCACTTCAAATAGCTGCTCGTACCTGCCGTTCTCCGAGAAAGCTCCTCCCACTCTGTGTGGTTTTCAAATGGTTGCTTGCTATCTCATCATCCCGCGTTTCGGCTGAGCGTCTACTGCAAACAGCACGCTGACATCCCTCATCCTGCTCAGATAGACCGATGATGTCGCTCGCTTCTGGTCATGATCCATCAGCCCTCGTTCGCCACCGGACATATTCACCTGGACAAAGTCGATTGGATCAAGCCACAGGCCCAAGTGTCGCTCAGTCCCGCTCCCGCTCTTGCTAACTGCATACTTCGAGTTTGCTGGCCATCTCGGACTCCGCTCATGTAGGATGACGAGATACCAGTTGCATCATGCCAAGGGTATGTCGGCCGCGCTCAGCGCTCATCTGATGCCTTTACGGTCTTCGGAGTCAAATCAAGACGCCGAGGACGCGACACAACCCGACTCCTCTATTGACTGATTTTTGCCCGAACATAATCATGGCCCTCTCATCTAAAAACGATCTCTAGCACCAAGGAGGTAAATCATGTCAACTACTGTGTCACATCTCGAGGTCGAAGGGTGGTGCGCCTGCGTTATCCGTCAGTTACCTCGAGGCTAGGCACTTCTCCGAAGGAGGTCCAAAACTACTATTGCACTGTCGACGTGGCATTTAGGCGCTAACAGAGCTAACAGAGAATCTCGTATGCTTCTATGCTACAGGATGCGCTGGCTCGGGAAGTGAAACGCTCAGACGCGCCCCTACGTGTTGCATGCGCCGACTTTTACGCTGTTTGCCATGTAACCACATTAACCCGCGCATACCATACAGGTTTTGGCCTCCAATTCGTCCAGCACCCGTCCAGCTCTCATTTAGGTCGATGTCTTTCGAGCACTTATAAGGCAGACAAGAAATGCCAGGATCTCCAGTTTCAGCACCACCTTTCACAGTCTTTCCTCAGCTTCTGTTCCCCGATCGTCCTCGATCTTTCACTGAACGATCAAAGTTCAACTTTCATTCATTACCCAAGACAACCCGCACAACCATGGTTGCCCTCACTTCTGTCTTTACCACTCTCTTTGCTGCTGCCCTTTCTATCACCGGCGTCGTCGCCGCCCCTGTGAATCAGACCCTCTCTGCCCGTTCCGCTGCCCCGGCGGCTCCTCACTTCGTCGCGTACGACGACAAGTGGATCACCCCACCGTCTGCTGCCGACCTTGAGGGCTATAATGTATAGTACGTGTTTTCTGATACGCACTTCACCTCTCCGAGTCGTTCACAACCTAACCATCCTCCCTTCTTCCGTACAGCGCGCTCACCTTCTGGCGCCCGAACGCTCCCGTCGACCAGGCCCAAAACTGGGCGGGACTCGACGTCGCAACACGCACCTTAGCCCTGACGAACTACAGGGCGGCGGGAATCAAGACCGTCGTGTCTGCATTCGGCGCCGATTTCTTCCCGACGAGCGGCAGCCCGGCGCTGGACCCCACGCAGACGGCCGACCAGCTCGCGGCATGGGTGATCCAGTATGGCCTCGACGGCGTCGACATCGACTACGAGGACTACACTGCGATGAACAAGAAGGACGGGTCTGCGGAGCAGTGGCTCATCACGTTCACGACCGAGCTGAGGAAGAAGCTGCCTGCGTCTGACTATTTCATCAGCCACGCTCGTGAGTTATCATCGCTAGGAGGCAAGGATTCCGGGCTGATTTGAGGTGATAGCTCTCGCCCCCTGGTTCTCGCCAATTTACACGTCTGGTGGTTACCTTAAGGTCGATCAACAGGTTGGCTCCCTGATCGATTGGGTAAGCCTTTCTAATTATACGCACACCTCGGGATGCTCTACTAACCATGTTCACCTGCCCTCCAGTACAACGTCCAGTTCTACAATGGTGAGCACCGCTTCGTCCTTCCAACATCTCCAAACCCCACTCACCCTTCACTTATTATTCACAGACAATGCCGAATACTCCACCTGCGACGGCCTCATCAACACCTCCTCCGCGACGTACCCCAACACGGCCCTCTTCCAGATCGTCGCGGCGGGTGTCGCCGCCGACAAGCTCGTCATCGGCAAGCCCGCCACCAGCGCCGACGCGCCCCAAGGCGGCTACATGAGCGCGAGCGACCTCGCGTCTTGCCTCCAGCAGGCGACCGCGAAGAACTGGAACGCCGGCGTCTCGGTCTGGCAGTACCCCGACGCTGACGCCGCCTGGATCAAGACGGTCCGCTCGCTCGCGTTCCCCGAGTAAATCGAGCGCGCTGCGCTTTCCCTAGCCGTGATTTCTCATGAAGTTAGTATTACTCGGGCGCATACTCGTGCAAACGAGGGATCTTTTGTGATATCCGTATATTTTATAGATTTGTGCTACGGGATTTGCGGGGTGCCTTGATAGTTACCCTACCGTTTGCTGTATACCCTAACTGTTTTGACTGATATTGTTCGTTCTTTCTTTTTGGGTTCATCTCGTTAATGTTATCTTATTTATTGCGCGCAAAATACAGCCTGTGAGTGAACATTAAGCAGACAGCTATGCCAGCCATTGCCCTCAATGAAGGTAAAGTCCTTAGCTTTAGTTTTACCCATTGACACGCATATCACGTCGTCTTTACATTCAGCTTCATCTCACTCGGGTCAATTTTTGTGTGCGTGATGGACTGTGGTTCTCAGTGCATGGTAGTGTGATTCGGTCGCTCCTAGGCCGGTGTGGTTCGATCGCAAACAAGGCGGCCAACATATCACAAACACGGAATATGCCGCACCACGTTGCAAACGACGGTAATCTAGACGCCCAATCATGTCTATCGCTGACCACTCGAGTGAGGCGACCGTCATCGAAGAGTTTCAAGCAAGCGTCCATTCATTACCAGCGACATCGTTGCCAGACGCAGACAACACCAGTATGCAAACAACGCCGATTCGCCCTGGGACCTACCTACTTCTCCAGTTTGGGGGACGGATGGCTATGGACCTGACCAACAAACACACTGTAACAGGTGGGTTTCATTGTACGGATGGATGGACGAGCGGCTCTGAATGTACAGCTGACACTTAGGCTATACAAAACACGAGAAGAATAACCAGAAGGTACGTCCATGTCAGATCCAGCTTGCTCGAGCTTTCCGATAGCACCGTGCGCATTGAACAGTGGGAGATCTCACCATTTGGAGCGGGCTATTCCATCAAATCTGTTACCGGGCCTATTGAAAGATATGTCGCCTGCGAGACAGACACCTCGGTGTCAACGAAACCTTATCCTGTCAGCTGGAGAATAGAAAGCATTTCGAGAAATGAAGAGACCAATTTTCAGTATGTATACTTCACGCCTCAGAGAATTGCGTGATTTTAGAGATTGATGTTGATCTCGTGCTCACTCGCAGAATTGTGTGGCCAAATAGCCAGCTGGCGATCACATTGACTAGTTCAGATCCAGGGACCAAGGTCAGAATTGTTGAGAATTGTTATGACCGATGATATACTAACATATGCGCCGCTCCGGTAGGTGAGGTTAGCGCCCGTCGGGGATCCAGGACAGGAGTGGACGACTCGCCGAGTTGGTGAGGTCAGGACAAACGTCGCACCAGGCGCTCCTATGACCACTCAGTCGACATATACGCTGTCCAGCTCCGACTCGGAGCCCGCCATCCGCATTGAAGGGGCAGGGAGTCATCCAACGATCGTTATCAATGACAGAAATACTATTCCGGAGAACGGGGAGCTGGTTTTCACGACAACTACTACGTGGTCCAACACTATGACATCTACGGTAACAAAGTTCGAGAGAATCATGAAGTAAAGTTTTCGCTCGCGCACAGGAGGAAGTAAGAGAGAAAATTGCAATAATACATACCTGTGGCTAGTTATAATCGGTTCCCTCGCGTCCCGCAGAGAAGTGATATCATTTTGGGGGTCAATTGAATTGGCGTTGCGTTATCGTAGGGCGAAGCAGCATTATGTCGCTCACTTAGTTCCCCCACCACTTTCCCACATCTTGAAAGCTAGGGGACTGCACCAAGCGGACGTATCAGATGTATGGTTCAAGACAGTTAGTGATGGCGTTGAGTGGGAGAGCATTAGAATGAAAAATCGAAACTAGAGAAAGCGCTACGTGAGGGATAAGGCACTTTGCGGCACAAATTCCTAAGTCGGTCTCGAGACCTCATGCTATGGCCGTGGGCACGCAAGCCGAGCTCCAGATGTGATTCCCACGCTCGTTCACTCTAATCAGTAAGCCTTTCTTCGTCAATTCTTCGTGCCCATATTAATATGTGTTCACGTTAACACCGGATCTTTCACTGATTACGACAGGAGTATCCATCTGTTTTCATGGCGGGGGCATCCCATGATTATGTGTTATCTGGGTTGTATAGTACTTGGTGCTCCGCACGGGCGACCCATGATAATATTCGCCCGCGAAAGAGTGACCGGTCTGACACTAATCAGCATCCTGCTGTACATTTCTCTTTTGCCCATGTCAAAAGCCTCATTTTTTTTATAGCCATCGGCGCCTTTTATCAGACTCATATTCTAGTTTTGCTGCAAGTAAATCTAGCAACAAGCTTGGATGATAGAGGAGTGAGCCTCGCGGGAGAAGTGTCGGACTTTGGAGGATTCCGGTGGCGCCGAGAGCCGTGGGTGCTACTATACAGACGGTTCAGCCACAGATATACTACCCCATTCACTTCTACCATGAGTGAGGGCAGGTTTGACAGTACTTGCATAGTATTGTACCTAGCGCCCGTTCTACACCAGCTGCGTTCTCGTCACGCGTCTTCAACATGGACACAGGTTCAATTCGCCCAGGAATCTACCTGATTCTGCAGTATGGTGGAGGTACAAGCATGGATTTGGTCGGAAAACGTGTTGTGAAAGGTATTGTTATGACAGTATTCGAGGAGGACGATTCTCCGCAACTACCTTGTGTCACTTTACAGGCCACATAAGACATGAGGGAGACACCCAAAAGGCGAGTCTCCGTTGAACCTTCTGATCAGGATTTTTGATGCCGCACGACATGTACAGTGGGAGCTCTCGCCATTCGGAACTGGACATTCTATCAAGTCACTGTTTGAGGACTCCGGGATGTATATTACCTATGACACGGATGCCAACGTGATCGCGACACCTTACCCCGTTTGCTGGAACATAGAAGTCATCTCTGGCAGACCCGAGCCTACCATCCGGTACGTGTGGTTTACCAATGAGACGCTTGATTGCGTTCTTGCACCATACTGAATTCACGCCGCTTCATAGGATCATGTGGCCAAACAGCCCTTTAGCAATAACACTAAGTAGCTCTACCCCAGACACAGGGGTGAGCGCCCTCAACGACTACGATACCTCAAACGATATCACTAACTATTGAGTTGATCCAATAGGTGAAACTATCTCCACTCACGCAGCCAGGGCAGGAGTGGATAGCTCGCCGCGTTGGTGAGCCGACACCAAATGCTGAGCAGGGTGTCCCGGTGGTGCTTCAGTCCACGTACACAGTGCCAGGTTCAGAACACACCGTGCGCATCGAAGGAGCAGGTAAACACCCTATAATTGTCATTGACGACAAAGATGCTATCCCGGAAAACGGGGAGTTAGTCATCACATCAACTACCACTACCACTATTACTACCACCACAGTGACAAAGGTACATAGGAAGTAGTTTCTAATGAGGCCAATTGGCGATGCATTATCGCAGCGCGTCAGATCACCGCCGGTGTTATGCCATGCACTCAAAGGAGTGTTATACTATTATCACACTACTTGTTTCTTTGTACGCAAAGATCTATTTATCGCTTAACGTTTTCTCTATCCTCGGGACAAACTTACATAGGAATGACGTGGGATACCTGTGAACAAAAAAACTCCGCAATTAGGTCTTAACACACCACAGAACAAAAGTGAGCAGCTTACGACGTCGCACCACGCAGCTCACTCAGATGCCGGGCCAATTACGTTGTCAGCAGCTCCATTTGTCTTCTCAATGTGGAAAATCGCGAGGATGCGGGCCATCGCCGACCAAACCAATGCTTAAGTTGCAAGGTGTCGCCCAGGGCCAATACGGCGACTAAGTCCGACGGCTGACAATTTCAGCGTCGCCCTTGGTTGAAACAAATCAAGTGTTTGATATAATACACGTGTTAGTGCTGGGGGGTTTGTGTCAGAGAGGCAGAGTGCATCTTACTTCAGCGTGAAACATGCGCCACGCACTAATGGGGCTCGCATGGTTGAATCACAACGAAGGCGCCCTTCTGAAACGAAAAATAAAATTGCCAAGCTTACATTATCAGAAATCCTCAACTCATCAACTACGCCCGAATTCGCCTAATGGACTCGACTTATGAGCGCTTATCAGCCCCACACCTTTCCAATAGCAACTTGGAAGTATAGAATGCGCCGCAATATGTACATATTCTCAGCTGAGCGAAAGCAGAAAGAAGATGATGATTATCAGATCCTAAGAGTACAACAAACAACGATTATCCCAAAAACTGCTTTAACAAGAATCGATGCACGAAGAGTAGAGATCGCCTAGAGCTTGTCGTAGTACGTGTCGAGAGGAGGAATATCGGGCTAGAGAAAATGATTAGATACCATACTAATGATCAAAACGTGTTACTAACCTTAAGACCCTTGCGTGTGCGGATATCCTTGACAATCCCCTCGAGTTTGCTGCCCTTGTCCAAGGGAGCTGGACGGACGTCAGTACGGTGTTAGAGCAAAACGTCACTTCATAATACGCACATCCGTTCATGATTTCCCAGTGATCGAAGACACTCTGAGGGAACGCCTGGCCAGCAGTTTGTGACCGGAGGTCACCGTTGAAGCCGAACGACTCCATGACGGGCAGGTAAGCCTTGACGGTGAACATAGGGGTTCCGGGTCTCTGCTCTTCGCTGAAGACCTGTCCGCGACGTCTGTTCAGGACACTGTAGATACCGCCGATCGCGTTCTCAGGGCACTGGATCTCGACTGACACGAGTTAGACTGGGGTGAACGATATCCAGTAAAATGTGCGTACCCAAGAAGACGGGCTCCTGGAGACCTGGATCGGCAAGGAGACACGCGGCGTAGGTGACACGGCGGCAGGCGGGGATAATTTGTCCGCCACCACGGTGAATTGCATCAGAATGGAGCTAGGGAGAGATGAGCGCTTATCTGACTATCAAAAACGCACTGGCTTACCGTAACATCAATAATGTTGACGCGGACGCCACGCATGTTCTCTTCAGCGCAGACACCCTCCTTGGTGGCCCACTGGAAGGCGGCGACGCACGAATCCTTGATTTCGTGCAGGTACTGAACGCCCTTGGTGACGTCAACGAGCAGGTTAGGACCAGCAGTGTCGGGACCGAAACACCAAATCTTCCTGGCATCGGTGACATCCCAACCGTACTCGTCAGCGAGGATACGGGCGCGGGCCTTGTTTTCGTCGCGGGCATTGACCTTGCCTTCCTCGATCGCCTTGGTGAGCTCCTCGTCTAGGGGAATGGCCTTGGCGTAGAGACGGCTGTGCTTGTTCTGAGACTTCGAGAGGGCGACAATCGAAGACTCGGCCTTCACCGTCTCACGGTAGCCGACGACAGGGTCGGAGATCTTGAGGGGAACACCAGCGTGGTCTTCTTGCAAGTCCTGTCGATGGGTTAGTACAGCATATAACCGACCGGATCATGGTAGCGCACCTTCAAGCAAATCTCCAAGTGCAGCTCCCCGGCACCGGCGACAATGTGCTCCCCGGTATCAGCGGTCCAAGTTTGCACGCAAGGATCCGACTTGGAGAGACGCTTGAGGCCTTCGACGAGCTTGGGGAGATCGGAAGCGTTCTTCACTTCGACGGCGACCCGGACGACAGGGGAGACAGAGAACTTCATGACCTTCATGTTGTGAGCAGTCTCCGAAGTGGTAAGAGTACCGTTCTTGAGCAGGAACTGATCGATGCCGACAAGCCCGACGATGTTACCGGCGGGACAGTCTTCGATGGGCTCGACGGAACGGCCCATCATGAGAACGGTGCGCTGGATAGACTTGACGAACAAGTCGTCCTTCTTGCCGGGAATGTAGTTGGGGCCCTGGATGCGGACACTAAGGCCTGAGCGAACGGTACCGGAGAAGACACGGCCGAACGCGTAGAAGCGTCCCTTGTCGGAAGTGGGCACCATCTTCGAGACGTAGAGGACGAGAGGACCCTTGGGGTCACAGTCCCTGATACCGATGGCTGACTCATCGTCCATGGGACCCTCATAGAGGGTCTCCACACGGTAGTGCTGGGCGGTTTGGGGGGAGGGAAGGTTGATGACGATCATTTCCAGCATCGAGTCGCCGGCGGGGAGGAACTTGCGCATCATGACCTTGAGGAGAGCTTTCCCCTCGAGAGCACGCTCTTCCTGGAGGAGTTTGATGTCGAGCTTCTCAGTCATGACAGTGATCTGGTCCTTCTTGCCGTTCATGACAGCATCGAAGATCTTGAAGATGGGGTCGAGGACGAACATGTTGAAGGCACGCTCCAGCGGCTTGCCGTCAGAATCCGTTGACTTGGTGGTCCACTTGGAGGTGGCAGGGTTGAAGTAGTTGTCGCCCCAGAGCTTGGCCATGATCTTGTCCTTGTCGACGCCAAACTTGCTCGCGTAACGACCAGCGAACTGACGGAGGGTGAACCCCCACCCATGGAGACCAGAGCCGAAAGCAACGGTACCCTTTTCAGGGTAAACCTGGACGTCACCGAGGGCGGCATCGTGATATGTGGAGATGATGACGTTGACAGTCTCGATAGTACGCTGGAACGACTGGTAGAGGTCCTCCTTTTGAACATGGAGCTCAAGAAGGGCGCGGTCGACCTTGTTGATGATGATGACGGGCTTGATGCGCTCAGCGAGAGCCTGACGCAGGACGGTCTCTGTCTGGACACAGACACCCTCAATGCAGTCGACGACGACGAGAGCACCATCGGTAACACGGAGAGCGGCCGTGACTTCAGACGAGAAGTCGACGTGTCCGGGAGAGTCGATCAAGTTGATCAAGAACTCGTTACCTAGAGACATATATAAGCCGTAGTACAGGCTTGATAGAGATCAAGCGTACCCTCCGTCTTTTGATTTCTTGTTACAGCTCCCAAGTCGTCCTTTTCGATCTCGAAGTACATGGAAATAGCAGTCGACTTGATCGTGATACCACGTTCCTTTTCGTCAGGTCGGGTGTCCGTAAACAGCATCTTACCGGCCTTGTCGTCGGCAATGATACCAGCCTTCGAGACTAGTGAATCGGTGAGGGTAGACTTTCCGTGGTCGACTAAGAGACTTCATCAGATGGTGGCGGGCCGTCGTGAGATTATTGGGGCTTACCATGAGCAATGACACTCATGTTTCGAATGTTCGTGGGGCGGTCCATGAGCCCACGGATCTGGTCTGTGTGATTGGACCATGATAAGTATGCTACGGGAAAAATAAGAGAAGAAAAGTCGGTGCTTGCCTGTGGTGAATTTACTGCGATCATCAATAGGGGTCATCAGTACGATGGAACGGTATGGTGAAGGAGAGAAGTTACTGACACCATGGTGAAAGGACTTTACAGATTTAAACAGATCAAAGATACTGAGATACCGAGTTTTGGATAGAGAGGATGAGTCGACTCGAGGGTGTTGAAACCGCAGAGACTGGGCGAAGAGGGCTAAGGGTTTTAGGATAGGGCAGACATGCAAATGGCATGCATTGCTTATATATGCACGGTAGTAACTGCCTCGATATCGTTCACTCTCTCAAGATGTTGCCGGGACCGCAGTGTGCTGCAGTGTGACTTGTCGGTCGGGTAGCGGCAGCGAGAGTGCCTAGACACGGATATCCTGAAACTAGACTGTTACTTACCGACAAATGATTCAAGAATAAGATACCGAGTCATGGAGCTCCTCAGTGATGCGCCCAAGCCGGAACCGACCGGAATCTGATGGAGACCCGGGAATTCATATTCAGTAGTGACTCGGAAAGCGGGACCCCTGACAGCGTATTCTGAGCAAGTGACTAAGTGAGCGTTGACGAAGTTGAACGTTAACGTTTGAACGTTGACCACGACTGTCGACACAATATCATGTATGCGCGTGGCGATGCTTTCCCTGAGTAAGTTACAGAGAAGCAAGACGCGACCAAGGAGATGATTCGGGGATCCATAATTGTAATCGTAGTGCGTTTTCGCAAGAAATGATAAATGATACCAGACGATTACAGCATCGCCCTCAGCTGAGAGAAATGGAACCTTGGATAATCTACACGTTTAACTGTGTGAGTGTGAGTCAGAGTGTATCTCACTGCCAGCGGGGAATGTGCGCCACACACCGATGAAGTTCGTATGGCTGAATCACAGCACGTCGTATCAGTTTAATGTCGTCAACTCAACAAATTGCTATCAAATTTCTCTACACATACAACTGGCCAACGAGCTTATCAATCTGCTCTGCGGCCTTCCAGATGCGCACTCTGTTCCGCATTGAGCCGCTCGAAAGGCATCTCCTCATGTACGCCCAGGGGTCGCAAACTTGGCCCATCTCAAAGTGTGGCTCGTAATCTCGGGATGTAGCAACGGGAATGTACCACGGTGCGCTTTTCATAATCCAGCCTCGCGCTATTGCGTTCCGACCAGCTTCCGAGCCGAGCAGTATAGCTCGTAGAGTGCGTGACGTAGACGAAAGAGAGAATAAAGAAGTCATCGGAAGCTGTTCTGTGATTGCGCAGAGGAGCTCACACGGCAGGCTCTCAACAGCAGATAAAGTGGTGCCGGCCATCGGTGGCTCGATCAAGGTGAGTGGAGGGTCATCGCGGCAGGATGCCAGTTCTATCGGAAAACTAATCGCGTCAATTTCATGGTGCAAACATGGAGGGACGACTACCACATACCTATCGGGACTCATCCACATCCAGAAACCTCCCCGATGAATAATGGTCTCCTTGATGGCTTGCACGTCCCCCAACTCTTCCAGAGAAATCACCGCTTCTGCATTCATCCAAGGTATAGGATCCGGGTACTGTTCTCGTTGCTCACTGATCTCGCCGTAGTCAACGTCTACTAGCCCGCTACAGTCCCCACTGAGATCGGAGTGCCCTTGGTGCACCGCGAGGCGCCACAGGCGCGCGGGTGTGACCCTACCGTGCGTCGCGAGATGCAGGATGGGCAAAGCGAAGGTTTGGACCATCAAAAGCGCACCAAATGAGACGAGGAAGGGGCCTCGTGCATCTGCCTTCCCGTTAAGACCGAAAGGCCCATCCACGGCGCCGTGTTCCCAACTACCACCTGCTCGGCAGTGTCGGAGAGCACTGATCCGAAAGTCCGGGGTACCAAGAGCGATTTCCTTTGGGATACCGCCGCCTGAATCTTGATTTTCATGTGCATCGAAGTCTCCTGTTACGCGAGGTGTGATCATTATGCTTACTCTTTACGAGTCAAAGGTCGAACGCACGCACCAATAGCCGTTACGTCATTTACTGTCTCCTCCTCCGTCCCTAGCTCGCTGAGAGCTTGTGATACCAATCGTCCCACCGAATTAGGAGGTTGGTAGTCCTGATAAGTTCGAATTCTGTGGGGAATTTCGGGGGTGCAGCCTGAGATCTACCCACTGATAGTTAGCTGGCGACAGCAGACCATGCTAAGTGATAAGACTCACGAGACAGAATACCGTTATCTTCCCCATTCTACAATGGGGTGAGTGCCGTGTCCTTCGAGAAGCTACAAAGGAAGTGATCCCAGAGAGAATCGGGAGGATGGCGTAGAGTATATGCTGGATAAGCGTTCTGTGGGCCGCAGCAATGGCACCTAACACGTTTTTGTGACGCACCCACAGCTGGTCTGGGAATGAATGTTCAATGGTGATGACAAGGGGAATAAAGCTTATGTAAAGTACATCACAGAGAGTCAAACACATTCATGGTGCACCGTCTGTAGAGGGATGGCAATGAGCACGTCGCGGTGCAAAGTCCGACTCGGAATCGGTCTGCTGTGTCCGTGCAATGGGGGCATCCGTGGGAAACCCGGCATCATAACCTTCCGGTTCGCACCTCAGCGTCTTCATCCCCGCTCTCAGCGTCCGCTCTTTTATCCACCGACCACGAGTCGGTCACTTTCCCTTGACATTGGCGAAAGAAGCTCGGAAGAAAGAATTCGCTCATGTTTTCACGCTGCGTTCAGCGCGCATGACTAGCGACTCATTGTATGACTCCAATCCGTGGAGTCTTTCGGCAACGCGTGAAACGCGTGAGCTAGCGATGCTATGCCGTCGCGTCACCTTCTTAAGCTCGCGACCTGCTCAACATTGTCCTTAAAGATCATCTCTGCAAACATCCACACTCTTATTTTACTGAAGTCCCTTCAGCATGGGCAAAGTCACGGTATTCTGCGTCGTAAGCCCTACTCCCTCTACGTGCCGGTCCTGCTGCTTACTGAGTCATACGTCCAGATATCTGGCTGCACTCCGGAGAGTGCCAACAACCTCTCAGGATATACTGATTACTACGCGGACAACTACGAAGATGAACTCGACGAAGACGCAGAAGCGAACCAGCTTGACAGAGATGAGGAGGACGACTCTGAAGGAAAGCTGGGTCCTCTCGTCTCGCAAGCTATACGCGAGCTAGCCGATGACGATGAAGATGTCAATGACGTGACAGTTATAGGTGCGTTATGCTCATCATGATGTCCTCTGCGGCCCCCTTACCTTGTCCTTTCCCTCAGGCGACTTCGCCAAAGCGTCGCAGCAAGACACCGGAGGCCGAATCCCTAAAGACGAAGCACTCAAAGCACCCGACTCAGCGATCACCGCCCGGCGGCACTGCAAAGCCGGCGGCGACTGGGAGTTTGGCTCCGTCGACGCGCCTGAAAAGGGTGACTACCTCGTCTCGTTTGGCGTACTCATCATGGTGGAGGACTTTGCGTTGCCTATCCTCTACCTCGCGACGCGTGGGCGCATGACGCCGCAGCGCCTATGGCGACTAGCGATGAATCAGGGGCACTCAGACTTTTCGGGCGCCGGGTCATCGGGGCTGGATGATGTCGATTATGGCGAGATCAACGACGAGCGCGAACAGTTCCCGCTGCCGATTCCGAACATGAAATGTAGAGAGGTGAAAGCCCTGGAGGAATTAGGCGACGTACAGGCGATTAAGGATGCAATTGCGCATCGTGGAGGGTATTGGATGTGGATGAGAGCAGATAGGTGCGGTTTGTTTTCAGCTACCCGAGTTAACCATGAATTAAGCGCTTGTTCAGATTTCCGTTAGACGGTGAACAGAGTGCCCCGTCCGTCGCATCTCCGGATGTTCCGCCTAGCGTCCCCAATGCCCCGACGATCGAAAAGCTCCCATTGGAACTCTTTCACATGATTGTGCTTTCGGGCCCGATCACTTCCCTACTTGCCCTCGCCTCAACCTCCCGCACGATGCGCTCAATCCTCTTGGGTTCTGAAGCCAACCGCAACACGCTTGCAACCGCGTGGATCGCGCGAAATGCGCCGTGGTTCACACCCGCCACATCGGACCTTGAGCCGGAGTACGAGATGCACAAGGTTCAGGATGCATGGGCGTATCTGCAGAGGTGCTGCAGGAGCGCTTCGATGCGGAACAGGGCAAGAATATGGAAGGTCGCAGAGAGCATTGAGGACGTTGCGGAGCAAAATGGCGTGTGACATTACATCTCGAAATATGGACAGTACTTTTAGTATTACGCAACTATGCAACCACAATGGCAACAAACACAGTAACAGCCGTCGTCTGAGCATGAGGCCGTAAATTTTGGGGAGTGCGTCTTGAAGAAAGCACCTGACGCATCGGGGACCATATCCCAGTCGCCATCGTCCGAAGGAAGGGGCTAATTGTTTACCAAGACAAGGCTGGATCAGCGTCAGGGCGTCTCGCATCACTAAATCGGGGGGAAAATGTCGGCGCATAAACGAGGTTATCAGTGTTATAATATGACCGTTGATAGAATCCTGTATGACCGTAAATGGCGAGGATTCAACATTAGTTAAGCGTCAGCCCACAATATGAGAATGAAATATGGTAGAATATCATATTATCGGGATCTTACCATTGAGTACCATATGATCGTGAGCTTACCATGGACCGAAACTCGAGGTAAAATCACTCGCAATATGTGGGAGCATAACAATCCGGATCTCATTTCGAAGGCAACATGATCATTCGATTATATGAAACTGCTCATAAACCGGTTAGCAACTAACAAAAGCGCGCTGAGCAGCAGAAGACTGACCTCTACAATTCATCAAAGCCAGCCTCGTTAGCGAGCGCTTTGTCCTCACCCAAGAAACCTCCCTCATCCGCCTGATCTGCAGTATCCATCTCCATCTCAGCCTCATCCTCGTCGCTTCTATCTCCGCTGCAGCTGGCATCTGTGAGTTCCTCTCAGGCTCCTCACCTTGCTCTCCCTCATCGCTGATGTGGTCATCGAATAGATCGCGTTCCTCGGCCTTGGGGATGCTCGAAGTCAATGCTAGGAGCTTTTGGTGCCACTCTGGGGGTAAGTTGTGGCCAATGCCACCACCTCGAAGCCGCATGAGCATGTCCCTATCAGCGAATCTAAGGAATAGTCAGTAGAGTACATTGATGTTTGGAGAAACATGGACATGTTCACATAATAGAATAGCCAATTGCTCACTAAATTGGGGTTCTTCGGCCCGAAGTGAAGACATCCTATATGTTAAGGAATTGATGGACCAGGTGTTTGCTCGTGCTTGAAGCTTGAAGGCTGGGATTAAGTCCTTGGGCACCTCAAATTACAGTGACAGGATTAATGAAATATCGTTCTGGAGCCACCAGACAAGAAGAATAACAATCTGCCGATCACAGAAGGACACTCACTGTGGAAGTAGACATTGACATGAAAGGTATCAACTTGAACGAGTCTGTTGGAATTCTCCAATTGACGTCATGGTGTCATGTCGGGCGCTTCGGGAGAAGCACAGTGGAGTCGCAGAGAAGCATGACGGAGACGGGAGATACGGGAGAAGGGAAGCAGAGAGATATGGAATGCTGGCCTTATATACCCGACCCCAGCGCCGCGACGTCCCTCACTCGCTTTTTATGCCACAAGCATCTGAGGGTAAGTCGTCCCGGGACACCGCATCACTGTCGCAGTCAGTATCACTCATGTAAATATTCCTTAGCTATAAACTAAGCTGTCTAGGTAATTCTACTCGCTTATGTCACAAGCGTCTAAGGACTAATCTGTCTATATTTTCACAGGTTTTGAGCCGCCTGCGTTCCTAGTGATCCAGAAACAAATGTTCAACCCCTCAGTCCCTCCCTTTAATTTGCCACTGCTCGCATATATCAATCATACCCATCCTTTGCAGATGCTAGCCGCAATAAATTCTCTTGTACACTGTAATGTCTGCTGTAGAGTGTACTGTAGTATTTGCAATGAAATTCTTGGTATTGGAAACCTTGTTGTGATCACAAGCCGTTATAATGCACCTGTTGTGAGTTCTAATAGCTGTGAGTGCCTATATGTTGTTATCATGTGGCCTCTGCTGATGGTAAGATGGCACTTAGATTATGGTAGATGCGAGTACCCATATGTTGTTTTCATGCCGTCTCTGCTAATGATAACACGCCCCTTCGAGTAGATAATAGATTCTTTGCTATGATCATATCTCCGTGATCTTTCCTGCATGCTCAAAATGGACTTTACATGCTACTAATGTCGGAGTCTCACCATTTCCCCGGTGTATATTTGTCATGATCTGTGATGTCGGTCAAGGTCATTTACTTATCATTCATCCCCCCATTTAGTGATGCGAGCGCTTGCCACATACCAGTTCGTGAACTTTGAGTGCCGAGTCCCGAATTTGGTTAAAAGACTGCTTGACGAGATGCCTGGTTCCATCTAGCCAGTGCAGTGCGACGGCTTTATCGTGATTCCATGGCATCTTCCAATGCTGAGGAAAGGGTCAACCGGCAAGTCTAGATTGAATCAGCAACACTCACTTTTACGACGTCGTACCCATCGGATAGCATCGCAGGGGCTGCGTCCAACTGATCCAGCAGCGACAAAACCTCCACCAAACACAATAGCCGAGTCTTCACGACCGCGAATAGGAGAGCACACAGCTTCTCGTCGCATTCTGCCTTCTTCAAGTGATATGTCCAGTACATGACGGCATATCGCAGGGGTTTCGAGTTGAGTTCATCACGCCGATTGTGAAACCCAGAGATCTCAGTCTGTCTTTGAACAGAATTGCCTAGTCCAAGAATGTCCTTCTTCAACTCTTTCATCAAGACCGTCAAGCACAAGAAGAGTAGCCTTCCGTGAGACTCGGCGGCTCGCACGTGAAACTCCTTTGAGCGAGATGGGTCAAGAACGTAGTCGCGTAGTGAGGCATGATAAACCTGGACGCAATCCGCGGAATTTGGAGAAGGTATACAAGACATGCCGTGCTCCGCTACGGCACAGTTGAACGCTGATGGGCAAGGACCTGAACAATTAGAACATGTCTAGTCAACCTTCTCGCACGTGCGGCTAGTCACACCAGAAAAAAAAGTAGAACTGCCACTGCTTCCCGAGCCTAAGCGCAAATGGTACATTGGACGCGGAGGAGACATGAATCAACTCAGCGCCAACCACACTCAGAAACATATTACTGCAAAACTTGAACATCGTAATAATTAGCACCATTGACCGTTCACACCCGAAGTCAAGATTTGAAACGTCATATTGACTATATACCGTTACTGGTGTTGGTTCCATTTATCCCCCGTTACCGCATCTGCGAGCATTGATACTACACGCTAACGAAGGCGCTATTGATTGGGATCGACGTAGTGCTATGAAGTAACTACAAACATGGGGCGGACATGACCCAAGCAAGCGATACTCGCGCTCATTTCAGCATGTCATACTGACGATATGTGTTGGCGCCTACGTCGCAACGTCGATGCTATCGAAACCTAGCATTGCCTGCGTTGCGACTGCGATGGAGAAAGACGGCCGATGTCGAGGCGCCGTTGGACTGCGCGACGCCTTGGCAATTCCAACAGCGACTTACTGAGAAGTTGCTGGCACTTGCGCAGCATAAGGTACCCGTTGCCTGTCGTTAAGTTCCGGTGACGCAAGTGATGCCGGAGGAGGAATTGCAATGCTGTAAAGCAATTAGTAGGCATTAGAAGAAGACGTGTGATAACGTACGGATTTGTCGTAGCAGGAGGCATGGTGTGGATCTGGGGAGATGAAAGGATGGGGTGCCAGGAGTGAGGGAGTTTCAAGGAGGGGCGCACCGAGAAACAGGATCTGAGCTGGCGGTGGTCGAGCATGCGATGAGTGTATATTCGCGGATAGCGAGTTTGAGTCTGTGATAGACATTATCAACGGAGATGGATGGTATTCGAGCAAGAGGGCGTACCTACATATTCTGCATCTGAAGCGAGTATGGGGGCGATCACGAACGAAATGAGGGTAGCGTCGGATATGGCAATCACTAAGGCTGAGTCGAGAAGACTGCAGTCGCCATCTACGAACGGGTTTTCGTGAGTTAATAGCCCAAAAGTGATGAGAATGGTACGTACTGAAGGTCTGCATTGAGGTCCTGGCAGGTCTGGTAAGCGGGTGTAGACGTTAGAGAGCTTGAGAGACGTACCACTTCTACAATTGCGAGGATCCATTTAATGCGAAAACGGGAGGAAGGGGAGGAAAGGATGGCGACGAACGATGCGCTCCATTAACTTATCAACCGGATGGCCCAAAAAGGACGAGGATTTCCAAATCGAAAGCGAATCTGATCTTAAGGGGATCTCATCAAAGACACAAACAAAAAGCCAAACAAAAGCGGGCAGAAATATTGAATATACGAGTAATGGACGACCGGAGAAAGATGTGCCATGCGCTGTTGAAAGACACGATCATTGAAAAGCTTGCTAATGTTGGCGAGCGACAGTGCTTCTGGGAGGAAAATGATGTCCGCTAGGCACTCAATTCCGGGTCGACGGCTGGACTGGTCGCAATCTGAGAGAGAGAGATAGAGAGAGAAAATCTATATTTATATCCCGCGGAAAACGCGTTTAGGGTACGTTAAGAGGCGGCTAAGTGCTACTTGGTGGTAATCTAGTCGGTGCAATAGAGGGGTAAGTGGTAGATAAGTAGAGTTCGTCTGCGGTGGCATGATCATCTGGTAATAAAACCCAATGGGGGTGTACGGGTGTAACGTGGTATGATGCGGACTATATGTTTGGTAGGCTATGGACATGCGCAATGCGGGTCGCAATCTGAGAGGACGTGGCGATAGCCCGAGTCGATGTCGCCCATGTTGTCAACGTCAACAACGTCGCCTCGGTACATGCGTGTGACAGTGCTGAGCCGTTCCACCGGATCGTTGGTAGCGTGAGTGAGTTTGATGATGGTCGAAGCGACAATGAAGTGCCCCTTCATCCGATGAGCCATCATGGCGAGGCTGTCCTCGTTTGGCCACGGAGCTGGGTAGTTGATGTCCGGACGCTCGTCATCTTCGCGCAATTCACAAAGGGAGTGATGCAGGAACAGCTTGACGTCGGCAACGGCGTCGAAGAACGCGAGATCGTGGCGAACAAACAGGCATGCCAGGTCTGGCTGTTTGGGAATTAGAGTGGGACGCCAGGGGACGCCTGCTGGTGAAAAGGATGCTGCTGATGGGAATATCAAGAGATGAGTCGCGAATGAGCTGTGTCAGCATGAGAACCAGTTCTTTGATCTGATCGACGTGGTCCGCCTCAACCGCGTCCGCGGCGTCAAATATCATCATCCAATGGCATGAGCTCCACACGTTTTTGAGACTCTTCAGCGGCTTGATGAAGAAGTGTTTGAACTTCTCCTGGCGGGAGCGGTCAGGCCTGAGCAAGGTGGGGTCGTGCCTAATAGCCCCAATGATATAGCTTTTGGCACGGCGGTGCAGGAGACCGAGCTGATATCCAATGGTGAGGGCTACCCGGTCGGTGTTGCTCCGGGAAAGGTGTTTCTGAGAAAAGAAGAATGTTGCCGCCAACTTTTTCTGCTCATTAAAGTGCTCAGCAAGGGAAAACGCGATGGTCGACTTGCCGGTGCCGGACCCTCCGACAAGCCAGACAATCTTTCGATCGACCCCGGTCAACGACGCTTTTAAGGCTTGAGTCGCCTCAAGTCGTGTGCCAGAATAACACGAGGAGCGAGGTTGACGCATGGGAGAGTCGTATGTTGCACCGAGGGCTATTTTTTGGGATAGCATGTGCCATATTCCATCGTCACTGAAGCGCTGTGGATCTGGTGTGCCAAGTGGCGGCATAGAAAACGATCATAAGGTGTTTCGGAAAACATACCTGCCATGCCGCTGTCCGTAATGGAGCCACTGGAATGCAGAAGACGAAGGGGACGTTTTAGAAACACGGCCAAGGACATACAACCTTGTAAGCGCTCAGCATTCTTCACCGTAACATGTGCCTGATGCTGTCAGCGCCTAAGATGCACGTTTTCCTCCCAAAAGGCGAGATGACCACCCTGGTACCTTCTCGATGCCGCAGTTAATAATAGTTCTTCGCACTATGTCCAAGGGTCGAGGATACTGTGGCACCTAAGACACTGTATGCTTCCGTGAACGCGAATGCATTCTCTTCGTTGGAGCACATGAGGATAGAGTTACAGGCGGACTCGTTCAGTCTTTCTGGTTTCCGCATGATGTTGGCCGCCGCGGCCCGCACGCGGAGCCGAGAAACGTGTTTAACGTGTTTTCTCCCATGAAATAGCAGTGCCGCGGGAGAGGATCGAAAGGTCCCAAGCAGGAAAAACGTTAGTATGTCGCTACAGCACGAGAAAGGACAAACTTGTGGCGCTACTCAACGAGCTAGTCCACAACCAAATGTCAACGAGTCCTGTGGGCCACAGTACGGGACAGGTGAAGTGAAGTGAAGTGAATATTCATTTTAATGTCCAGGAGGGTGAAGAACCCTAAGACGGACAGTACGACCATAAGTACATCACGATGACAGTCTGGGAACCCGTCCCTCGTGCCCAATTTACCCCGAAAACATACTCCCAAGTGCCCGTCAGACGAGGCTGCGAACACCGTGAGCGTGAGAAAGCGAAAGAGACCAGGAAACCATCCCCCCAACCACAGTCAGGCCAGCCGACTCCAGCCCCGATCCCTCCAGCCGACTACCCCACGGGACAACGGGCAAAGCTTCCGCGACGAAGCGGAGCACGACCTAAGCCGAGTATTTCTTCCTGGACAAATCCCCATAAGTCTGTCGAAGACGACCCGTCGCATTGATGAAGCGCATCAAGGCCTTCACCCCCTTCTCCGTGTTGCCAGTCCGAACGTCCAGAGAAGTATTAAACACGTCGATTATATGAGATATGAAGCTGAGAGCGTATGTTTTTGGAGTGTATCTACTTCTGTACTCGTATGCTTTTCGGGGTCCCAGTAGGGGTACCACGCGGAGCGGAGTCAAGAAGCGTCCTACGGGACAGGTACTATAAGTTTGAGTAGTACTTCAACGATTTCAGAGAAGCGTACCTGTGAAGCTCAAAGATCCTCGCGACCCACGCTACCCAGCCAAGCGCCATCTTCTGGGAGCAAGTACGTGCTGTACGTTATCTATGCACGCGTGTCGACGTATCAGCGCATCAAGTAGCCCACCACCTGTCGGTGTGTCAGTCACTTCTGAGCGCTTGAGTATCCATGAGTCGTAGCACATGCGTTTTCAGCATCACCACCATATCGATATCATCGCGCAAGCATGCGCACCCGAAAGAGGGGAGCCAATCCTACATTAGCCTGAGTATGGTCTTATCAATGGACCGAGTCAGAGATCAGAAGCAAAGATAGGATATGGGCTGAATCTACCTTTCTTGGTTTGAATGCATATAGACCATATGAAATTGAGTGGGGTTGTCCAACGGTTGTATCACCGGACCAACGACATGGCGAATGGAAGGAAGGTAAGCGCGTTGCGGTGTGGTTGTAGTAGCAAATGACGCGATACTGGGATCTCCTGGCTGTGGGAATCGGCCCAGCTGCGGCAATAGAGACGTTCTCCCTCTCCACAGCGAATGCTCAAGCGCTCGAGTCTGCTCGAGTTAGGCTCATTGCAGAGGGTGGTGACTTCCACTGTCACCTCCATGCAAGTGTCTGGATAAGTATCTACTGATAAGAGGAAGGTGTATGTACCTTGAGTAAAGCACGGCCTTGTTCCTTGGATTCTAATGTAATGAAGGGCGATGCCAATCTACGGCAGTTCAGCGAGAATATGAGTGCTTGAGTCTGTAGCAGTACTTGACAATGATGGAGCAATCAAATCTCACCGGGTGTAGGAGAAGTCGAAAATTCAAGCGCTATTTTGGCGCCGGGGAAGGCGATGGTTCTAATGTATTATATTTCTCAAAACCAAAGCTTTTTAGAACCACGGTTTGTGATGTTAGTATTGATGATCGATGGCTTGACGTAACCTCATCTCAGTCTGGGTCTTTATAGGGAATTTTATACGTGTGGCACCCATTCTAACATCACCGAAACATCGATATTTGTACGTTCATGTTCACGTAACAACGGCTTATGAGCTCTTCGCTATTCTGCGTTGCATTCGAGCTGTAGCAGTTGATATATATATATTGTGATAGTTCTGCAGTACCTTGAAGGACTTAAAAGAGTCTGAAGACCGCTATTAGATCTACGATGGTAACGAGGACGCAAACTATAATTTTCATGGCGCAGCGACAACTTATCACGGGATGGTCAAGCCACAGTTCGACTAGTTTGACCCATGTTTCCATCCTAGACGGAGTTGACGCCAAAAATAAGGCTGTAAACTGCTTCAAGAGGGGTGCATATAGCGCGGGCGTCCATGCTTCGCTTGTACGATCAGGCAACATGTACACAATTTATTTCACGCTCCGAACACATTGGAGTGAGAAGGCAAGTTAAGAGTTTGGCACTGTGGCGTCATAAGTACATATTGGTGTTCAGAGCTGCTCCATGGCGTATATTGCATTAGCCTCTTGTTTCGACCTTCGTCTCACAAATTACAGTTTAATGTGGCACCGCTTTTACGTGAGATACTCATCAGATAACCCACCTACCGACATGAGCAAATGAAATCAGATTAACAATCAAAACGGTCAAAAACGGTAGTAATGTCCGCCCATCGTGAGCGAATCCTGTATGATCAAACGCTATTGGGAAAGCGCTTCACGGAGAAGAAACTGACATATAACATCTTCAGAGACACTAAGCTTTGCAGGTCGGATATCATTTTGTGCTAGTGGGGAAATCTATAATTTAGTTAATAGAAAAGCATAATTTAATTCAAATTGTAGTCGCATAGCACTGGCTACAGGAGGCTACAGGAAGATTCAACACATGAAGCGAGGTCACACCTAAGTTTGAGATAATACGTGAAATTGTGTTTAACAGATGAGGAACAAGAGAAACGCTAGCGTGTGGAGTAAGACCACGGAGATACCAGCAGTAACTTACAGGCTTGCTTACAGGACTAGATCCGGCGAAAGGCCAAGGCGAAGAAAGATGAAAAGCGAAGCCGTTCATCAGACTTATCGTATTGCATAGTGCGTTGAGACCTCACTACAGCCGTGCACTTTAATTTGAGAGGGTGTTTGCAGATCGCTGCCGTCCGTGTGAATCGTGAATGGGAAGGATTATGAGAGTTTGCAGTGCATTGCCACAAACTTTATATAGCGCCCCCGATTCGGATGCCACGTGCTGTCAGGGGCTCACGAGTACCGTTGGCGCGACCTTGGACGTGTGTTCCTTTTCAACTTCCTGCTCATTGATGCCTCCCAAACATATCCTTATACTCAACACCTTTTCGATATAACAATCGAACATGGCAGGCGGAACCCTTCCATCACGCCTTTGGGAACGAGGCTAGCGTTGGCCAGCTGAAACGTTCATCAATCGGACGCTAGAAGCCTAGAACACGACAAGGTGATGCAGCCTTGAACGTTTGAACCCACCAATCACCATGTTGCCTCCTACTTCTTCGATTATGGTTCATCCGCATGCCATGCCTAGAACACCCTACGCCAATGATGCCTCAAGCACCTCACAACTATCCTTGCTGATTTGGCGGTATCGGACCAGTGACTTGTTAAGGAACACTTACTCCTTTGAACATCGGCGTAGAAGGAGGGTGTGACTATGTAAGCCGTCCAAGTTTAGGAATGTTGTCATTGACGCTGGTACTTAACCTTGGTCTCTATTCGCTTCCGTCTTCACGCTGTTTCGTCGACCCCCTCTGATCTGTATATGTCAGACGTCGAGAAGGGCGTTTCCGTCAGTCCCGTAGCTGGTGGTGATGCTGCCTCCAAGGAGCTCGACGGCGCCAACGCTGCCGTTGGCAGTATCTCCACGACGCATACAGCCACAGCTGAAGGGGACTTCCTCATAGTGCGTGATCTTTGTTATGTCTTCTCCTGACCTGACTCATCTATGACGGCCTCACTTAGGTCGAATTCGAGAAGAACGATCCCCGTGCACCAGCAAACTTTTCATACTCCAAGAAATGGTCCATCACCTTGATCTCGGTGCTGTTCACCGCCATTGTCTGTGCGTCCATTCGCTCCCCCGATCCATCTCCTCACCGCAAAACGGCCACATACTGACGTAAAATACTAACTCCAGCTGCCTCCTCGTCTGACTACTCTTTCGGCTATGACAGCATGATACCAGAGCTGCAATGCACGCAGATGCAAGCAACGCTCGGCCTGAGCATGTTCACGCTCGGCTTCGCCGTCATCCCATTGGTGTCGTCCCCGTTCAGCGAAGAGGTCGGGCGCAAACCCGTGTACCTCGTATCTGCGACTGGGTTCGTGTTGTCGCAGGTGATGATTGCTCTGTACGTCGGTGGTTCCTACCGTTCCTGCGCCAGGGGCTCTTCTCACGCTCTACACATAGTGCGCCCAACATCGCCGTTGTCATCGTGGGCCGGTTCCTCAATGGTGCTTTTGGATCCACGGGTGCCATCCTCGTCGGAGGGACGATCGCGGACATCTGGGAGCCTGCTCAGTAAGTCCAGGTCCTTTTCTTCTCAATTTCATCCATACTCCGCCCTTCCCGGGCACATCTTTGATGCCTCGCTGGTTTATTCTTGGTATCTGTACTTGATATTGATGTCATTTTGGCGCCCACCGAACGTGCTAATTTGGGGTGTTCATTTCCTAATGCTTACAATGTAACAGGCGTGGTCTCCCGATGTCGCTCTATAGTCTCATCGCACTCTTTGTCACCGCGGGCGGGCCGATCTTCGCCGGCTGGGTGGACATGAACCGCCACATGCAGTGGCGCTGGATCGCGTGGCTTAACGGCATGTGAGTTTTCCTCACCAGAGTCACCACCCCATCATCATCGTCTTTCTGTCACACGGATTCTTTGTTACTCAACCAATGGCGACGCAACATGCAGATTCGGCGGCGCGTACGTGCTCCTTGCACTCGCAATCACCACGGAGACGCGTGCGTCGATCATCCTCGCACGCATGGCAAAGGATAAGCGCAAAGAGACGGGAGACGAACGGTACCGTTCACGCTCTGAACTGGAAACACCTGGGTTCTGGACCTTGATCTGGATCTCGTGTACACGGCCGTTGTGTTAGTGTTGCCTTCAGTTTTTCCAGCCATGGAGAGACTAACCAATGACTTCTCACAGATTTGCTGTTCACCGAACCGGTCGTGTTCTTCTTCAGTGTGCGTGCCTCAAACCCTTTGACTGTATTCGACGAAAGCTGACTTCTGAACTTGTCCTCTAGCTCTGGATCGGTTTCGCGTGGGCGATACTTTACGTGATGATCGAGTATGCAGCTTCCTCCCTTCCACCTCCGAGAATATATAGCTCACATGGTGCGCTCTTAGTTCCATCGGCTCGCTCTTCAGCTCGGTCTATGGCTTCTCTACCGGAGAAAGTGGCTCTGTGTTCACCGCCCTCTGGTGCGCCTATTCACCCATCTCGCAATTTGCTCTTTTTACTCATCCCATGAACATATTCATGCATGCAGCATCGGCTCTCTTTTGGGCTGCTCCCTCAACTACTATCAAGAGACCATCTACCGCCGCAAGTACGCCTCCCGCGGCCCCGAAGCGCGCTTGTACGTCGCACTGGGCGCGGCCCTGCTCTTCCCGGTAGGGATGTACATCTACGCGTGGACCGCGTTCCCGCACGTCACATGGGTAGCGCCCTGCGTCGGGCTCGCGGTGTTCATGTGTGCGACGTACGTGATCTACCAGACGGTGTTCATTTACCTCGCAGATTGGTGCGTTTTCTCCGTTTGCGTCAGGAAAGGCGGATGAGCTGACGCTGAGGTGGGAACTGGGTTGAAGTTATGGACAGTGGTCGAGCTCGGCGCTGGCGGGGCAGAGCCTGTTCCGGAACATCATGGGCATGATCTTCCCTTTGTTCACGACGCAGATGTACAATAATCTGTCGTACAAGTGGGCAAACACGTTGTTTGCGATCATCGCGACCATTATGATTCCTATACCCTGGGTGCGTCTTCAGGGCTTCTGAAATCAGACTGGAAACGTGTTTAACCGTGTTGTTCGTTGCAGGTCCTGTTCTTTTACGGGTCGCGGATTAGAGCAAAGAGCAAGATCTCGCAGGAGATCACCGCTGATGAAGCCAAGAAGTGAACTATATTGGGTTCATAATCTTCGAGGGTACAAAAGAGCTATTACGCGGCAATAGCTTTGTCCCGCAATCCAGATTCCTGGGACGATACTGATAACGTTATCTTGACGAACGAACTCGCTCCGCGTGACTTGTCCTACAGCTGATCCCCTTATAAAGTTTCTACTATCGGTTACAGAGGATCACATACATTCCTGCCCTTCATAATGTGACCTCGGACTCACACTTACATAGATTCGCGGTTATCACCCGATTGTCTTAGATACAGTACATAGAACACCATTCATATACTGCACATATATCGATACCACACATTCCTGCTTTTTACTCAACACTCCGTTTGTCCCCAAACACGCGGATTGGACATCATCTCGGCTGGCCTTCCTTGCCTTGTGATTGTCGTTCATCTCGCTCCTGCGTCAACGACTTGCCCCATTCCTGCACCTCGGGATGTCGCAAGAATGGAACGCTGCTGTCGAAGAACGGCTGTAGATTCTTGTCGTGTGCTTTCTCGTATTCAGATGCTGCGTAGGTTAGGCCGGATCGTTTGGTGTGAGGAATAATCGTCGGCAGTAAGGCAATGAAGCGGCATGGAGAGAGGATGAGTGTACCTTGGATGGCCATCTCGAGTCTGTCTAAGTCTGATTCAAGCCTGGGTGAACAATCGCTCTTTGAAGTATCACGGAGGCCGTGCCTACCTTTGACGAACTTGGCTTCTGCCGATTGGCCTTCCTCATATTCCTGCAGAGGAGTGGGCGCCCGTTAGTTGTGTTCAGCTCCTCAAGCGTTACCGGTACTACGCTGACCTTCCAAAGCGCTTCTATCCGCAATGCAGCGGAGCTTCCGTGGAGCATGTCGTAGACGAAGTTGTGCATTGCTTCCTATGAAAGTTGATGTTGAGCACCATACGAGGGCGTTGAACTTGGGTTGGGAGTGTTGCTTACAGCTTCCAGTCTCCGCTTCTCGGCCTTGGATATGCCCTCACGCGGGGCGATGTCGCCCACTTTGCAGAGCAAAGCAAAGCATGTGCAGTAAGCCATACAGATTCAGAATATAAAGCATGTGTCTGAGTAGATACCTTGAGCTTCGGCGAGGTCGTGAACCACAGCCATCATCACGCATCTGTTTGAAGCGTGATTCATGAACGGCTCAACACAGTCCCTTGTTGCCAAAGAAGGATTGCCACGCACTTGGACACGTCGAGGTTCTCATCCGAGGTGCACATGGCGAGGAGGGCCATGCGGTACATGTGATCTGATATGCTGTTTGCAAGGTGAGTACAATGTGAACCCACCGTCACGCACGGTCCTTAGTCGACGAACCTCTCTGCGTTAGGTATCTGGACTACGTCAACCGCGTACGAGTCAGGGGCTTTAGAAGCTGGATGAGCGACGCACCCCGTTGTCTACCCATCCCGTCCGTTTTTGTGTCTAAATGTCCTGTGCAGTTAGCTTGACGCAGAACATATCGTTGTCTTGAACAGGGTTACCTTGAGCCGCTCGATGATGTGAAAGAACGCAAGTCTGTCCGTGGAGGCATTTCCAGATGCAACGTAAAGCGGAGGAAAGACGCGCTTGGCTTCCGAGCCAGTACTAGCACCAACACCCGTCCCAGTTGTGTTCATGACGATGATGGTGCAACTCGCAGAGTTTTGAAGCCGTTCCGGTAGATCTATGATAGGAGTCCCGCATCTCCGAATTCCGATTGTAAAGATAAGATAACAGGGAGGGTAATAAAATAGCGTAATACAACATCAGTCAAAAACAAAGCAAGCCTCCGAGGTCCGAATCCTCCACATCCGATCCGGGGTGATCCACATCTATCAACGTGAACATAAAGTCTACAAGCCTGATCCAACACAGCGGAAGGCAGCAGGCTACAGGTTCATGAGACCTTGTGAGACGAAGGAGCAGCTGCACCCCTCCTCCGCTTGTTTCCTCTCCGTATCTCGTTTAGGTCCGCCTCGATCTCCGCGTCCTTGACGGTCTGCAACGGCAGCAAGCTCTTCTGCACACCGTTCTTGTCCCCGTTCTTGTCGCCCCCGCCGCCCTTGTTCCTTCGCCTTCCGCCTCCACCGCCGTTTCCGCCCCCTGTTGCACCTGGGCCGCTGCCAGACGTGAGAGGGACTGCTGTGAGAGGGAAGGGGAACGGAGAGGGGAGCTCTTCGACGGCGAGCGAGTGTGGATTGGACAGAAGGCCGTTGGACAGCTGCATGGGCCCATTGGGGCCGCTGGCGCCTCCCGACGGTGCGGGCGTGGGCGGTGGCGAGGCGCCGATTTTGTTGCGCAGTTTACGGGTTATATGCGAGCGCGAGTGGGAATCCAGTGAGACGTCTAGCGGGAGGTAGAGAAACATTGTTAGATTCTGTACTGACAGGAGGGAAGTAAGAGCAGGAAAACACACCATTAATAACACCCTCCCCGTCTTTCTCCTCCCGCGCCCTCCGCCTCTGTTCCTCAATGCCCTCAAGCAGCCGCTCGCGCACGCGTTCGCGGCCCTTGCGCCATTCCTCCTCAACGCGCTCGCGCTCCTCTTCGTACGCGGTCTCGACGCACCCGAGCTCGTGCCGCTCACCGTAGTCAAGCTCGACGAGCATTGCAGAGCGCTCGAGCGAGACGGGGTACATGCGTAGCGTGTACAAGGGATGCGTACTAGGCCGTGACGCGAGCTGGATCGCGGAGCTGTGTAAGGCTGAAATGGATTCGGTGATATGTCGGCCTCTGTGGGTTGGTGGCAAGCATGACGGGTTGCCACAGACACATATGGTGGAAGGGAAGAGGAGAGAGGAGAGGAAAGGAAACAACAATTAGCATACGAACACAACAGACTGAGTATCAGAGAAGAAACGCACTCGTTCCGCCTATCGCTCATCTCCCTCCCCACCTTGCCCGACACGTCCTTGCGCTTCTTCTCCCGCTTCCCCTCTTCTACACCGACACCAACGAGTCCAACACCATTACCAACATTCGTCAGCACCCTGCTCATTGCAACCCCACGTAGCATCAAGACTCACCGTGCCTGCTCCCACTCGGGCCCACAATCTGGTGCGGCGCGTACCCGTCCGCGCCAGGGATAGACATCCCGCCTGGGATCCCCCCGGCAGCGGCTTGCTGGTGGTACGCGAGCGTCATGCCCATTCCGTCTGGATGTATGACGTCCGCACGCGCCTTATGCGTCGAGGCGTATGGGAGGGCGAACATCCCTGGCTGAGGTGGCATCTGCTCCTGCGATGCGTTGCGTTTGCTTGTGGGTCTGCGTCTGGAGTGGGTTGACCGAGGCTGTACGCCTTTAGTTTCTCGCGCCTCCGAGTCAGGTTTTCGTTCGTGCGTAGTGAATTGACGTCCGGTGGTGTAGTAGACAGATAGTTTGGGTGGTGAGAGGCCGCGAAAAACGGGGAGAACAAGCCACTGGACCTCTCGAGGGGTGTTTGTCCACGGCGCACGGTTGGAACGGTTTCCGGTTTCCGCTCCGGCCGGCAAGTCCGGCACGCAGTATAGTTCCCGTTGCACCGCCACATTCAGACGCCCTGACATGCTCCCACGGATCAGCCTCTTTCAGCAAACGTCCACCAGTCCAAAGCTTCATAGGGCATACGAAGAGCATATATCCATTTTTCTCTCCTCTGAGCCTCTCCTCATGCCCTCAAATGTGGATAGCTACTCATTCCTGCAAAAGATCAGACAGACGATATCACCAGGCCCTGACAACATTATCACTGGCAATGGGCCCACGTTTACACACCGCAGCATGTCAACTGCCATGCCCCAGATCTTCAGACCTCAATGCACCCATCCCATGTCCTGCAATTTCATCAGATTCTGAATAAGGCTCGTCTATACTTATGCTATGGTCACAGGCTAGGACCGCTCATAGGGACACGCGTAGGATGATGGCAGCCCCTCTCAAGCTTAGTGCGCTCGGCCGATGATATCAACCATGTCAACGTTCACACTTGTCCATAATGAGCACACCGCCAGCGCTCTAAGCCTCAGGTATCAAGCGTGAAGAGCGATCGAAATCTTACAAGCCACTCGATATAGCTCCGTATGCAACGAGGCTTACGCGTGCAGCACGTACTGGCTCCCGGAACATGGAGCGGTATTGCGAGGAAAGGGCCTTCGACCTCTCACAGGTATGCTTCACTCAGTATATTCGAAACCATCTTCTGCCCTTTTCCTCTCCTTATTTCTCTTGATCACATCGTGTTCTATCATATCCAAAAGTTACTTGAACTGTTTTCTTACGGACAGAGTTTTTCTGTTATGTTTACGAGGCTCTTAAGCAAAGGGCGACCCCTTGATCTTGGATAGACGCCCCGCTGAAATAGGCCTCCCCTAAATGGGAAGAGGCACTTGTGCCTTTCCATTCAACGACTAACACCAGAGTGGCAAGGCGACTCAGCATGCACACGCGACCCGGCACGGCAGGGGTTACTTGCAACGTTCCCCGAGACACGTTTCGTATAACTTTCACAGGAATTCCCTTCGGCTGGGCTACAAGAGATCGTATGTGTGTCCCCCCTGTTACATTCCAACTCTACTGTGCTCCTCGGTGTATTCATGGCGGAGATAGGTACGCGCCACGTCTCCATCCCAGCGTTTGCTCACGAACTCATGTATCGGACTGTAAAGCCGTGCGGTCTCGCGAGGACCACGAGATATGGCTAATGCTTTCTAGAGAGATAGCACATGGCGCCGCCCACGATTCAGCCGAACGTCACCCCATCTCTTCATGTCTTTCAGGAACTCGGTTTCGGGTCTTGGATACTTTGGAAGCCTCTCTTTCGCAGGTGGATCGCAAGGTCGTTTGGCTTTTCGGGAGGGCAGGGGCGGGAAAATCGAGCGTTGCTTACTCGCTCGCGGAACGACTCCGTGAACAGGACAAGCTGGCGGCAAGCTTCTTCTTCTCCCAGAAGCATCTTAGTCGCAGCAATACCGACCGCGTGTTCCTCACCATTGCCTATCAGCTTGGTCTCCGTCATCATCGTGCTAAAGCGTGCGTCATCGAAGCCATTAGGAGGGATCCTACCCTACTCAGACCCGAGACCTCTCGCCGCGAGCAATGTGAACGTTTGGTCGTCGAGCCGTTGAAGAGTCTCAGAAACGTATGGGGAGGTGGCGATAAGGTGATGATATTCGATGCTGCGGAGGAGGCTGAAGCGCCTGCAGGCAAGGGAGGCCAGATCAGGGAGTCGGTGCTCTTGCTGACGGAGCTAATTCGCAACACATCACCCCATCCTCTCCCCATCAGTGGCATCCTCATTACGAGTAGGCCCTTTCCCCGACTCGAGAATATCCTCAAAGAGCCGGGCATCACGGACCTGTTCATACGACATTCTCTCGAGGACTTTGACGCTGTTCGCGACGTGACGTTATACCTTCAATATTACCTCTGCGAAGTTCGCAACAACGACGACCGCCTTTATAGGTACCCTTGTCCCTGGCCTATCGACGGCGACCTTAGTATGATGGCCAAACTTATGAAAGGGCATTTCATCGTTGCTGCAACTGTCCAGCGACTCGTCCAGGTTGCTGACGATCCCGTGCACCGCCTTGATACTATCACGCGGTTCTACCGAGGTGACGTCCGCCTTGGCAGAGCCAGAGGCGACATCGATTCGATCTATCACTTCGTCCTCTCCAACTGCGACGAATCGATTCGGCGCCCTGCTGTTGAATGCCTCGCTGACGTTATGTCCCTCGCCGAGCCCTTGACGCCCATGCTTCTGTGGGAGTTGTTCGGATACGACGCTCGGGACCGCATCTCCCATCTCGCTGCTGTCGTTAATATCCCCCATTCGAGATCGTCCCTCGACCCCATTCAGATTTACCATGTCTCCTTACGCGACTACGTTTCTGACCAGCGTCGCTCAGGCGGGTTTTATGTGGATGCTTCCGAGTCTCACCAGAGGCTCGCGTTCATGTGCCTGACGGTCATGCAGAGACAACTGGAGGATTCTTATGGTGGTGGCGAACCATCACATAGGCATTCGAACTTCCCCAACCTCGCCGACCGCCACAATAAACGGATCATTGGGTGCTTGCAGTACGCTTGTCAATACTGGGCGCATCATCTCGAACGGGCGAAGGACGATGAGGGGCTGCATGTTCTCGTGCTTGATTTCCTAGAGAATCGACGATCGTCATTTGTGGAGTTTTTGTCCTTGCTAGTCAACCGAGATATGGTCTTCACTGTGTTGTCTGGTGCTCGTCGGGTTGTTGCGGTGCGTGCCAATCATCATATGTGGGTTTGACGCCTCATGTATACATGCTTACGTTAGACATGGTCAACATCCGAAGAACACTCGCGCGCACTACGATTACTTGACAGCACCCTGCAGTTGGTCACCCCCGCCAACGTTCGTCGTTCTGCCGTCGATATATATCCGGACGGAGCACTCAGCAAGAATCGGACCCGTCGTCCTAGTATGACGTCCCCCACTTCATACTCGGGAACCTCCGGCGTTCCTATGCACACCGTGCGGTGGGAGTCAAAGGTTGTGACACCTGAGGGTAAGGCTGACACAAACGACGACTCTTCGGCCACTTTCGTTAGCTTATGGGCTCTTGTTACTATGTTATTCGTCATGTCGTACCTTCTTATTTAGTTTTCTTTTACTGGTGACTCCGATTTATTGTATGTATTATCAATCAATTCCTTGTATCTACACATCGCACATTTTCTTCCTTCGGACCGTGACAACCGGTATGTGGTCGCCGATGCATCGGTGTTTTATGCAAACCGAAAGCACCAATATTCACGGCTTTGTGATCAGACGATAGCTGTTAATGTGTCTGTTGTCGTTGTCGTGGCATGGCAGCGTAACACCACACGCGGTATATACATGTCGAGAAATCATATCATACACCACTCTGCACCGCAACGTCTTCGATCCTCTCTGCGACCTTCCAAATCCTCGCCCTGTTCCGCATCGAAGGACTCGTGCAACACCTTTGCAGGTACGTCCACGCGTGTTGTATCTTGTGCATCTCGTCTTGTGATTCCATATCTGAGGTGGGGGGTACGAACCACGGCGCGTTATGTGTGATCCACGCTATTGCGAGTGTGTTGCAGTTGTCTTCGGAGCCGAAGAGGATGGAGCGCATTGAGCGAGAGGTGGATGCGAGGGAGAGTAGGGATGTGAGCGGACCCAATAGCACGATCATGTGGAGAAGTTCGAGTGGGAGTTTCTCGACCGCGGATGCGTTGGCGCTGGTTGGCGGAACGTTAGGAGATGCGAAAGACGGAATACTCCCTTCACCGATATTACCTAGCGGAAACCTGAATAGACAAGCTCAAGCCATCTTGCACTGGAGCAGTTCCAGAAAAGACATACCTATCAGCCCGCATCCACATCCAATACCCTCCTCGCTGTGCGATTCCATCCTTGATCTTCTGCACATCCCCAAATTTCTCCAGCTCTTTCACCTCTCTACATTTCATGTTTGGAATCGGCAGCGGGAACTGCTCGCGCTCGTCGTTGATCTCGCCATAATCGACATCATCTAGCCCCGATGACCCGCCGCCTGAAAGGTCTGAGTGCCCTTGATGCATTGCGAGGCGCCATAGGCGCTGCGGCGTCACGCGTCCGCGCGTCGCGAGGTGGAGGATAGGCAGTGCAAAGTCTTGCACCATGATGAGCACGCCAAACGAGACGAGGTAGCTGCTGTTTCCGAGACCATCGACGGAGCCAAACTCCCAGTCACCGCCGGCTTTGCAGTGTCGCAGGACGGTAATCGCTGAGTCGGGTATTTCGAGCGCCTCGGCTTTGGGGATTCCGCCACCGGGGTCTTGCTGAGGCGCTTTCACGAAGTCGCCTGGTGGTAAGAACAAGATAAAGGGATCACAAAGGGCACGATTGTCAGCAAGACGCACCTATGGCTGTCACATCATTGATGTCTTCCTCCTCTTCGGCCAACTCGCGTATAGCTTGCAAGGTAAGAGGGCCCAACTTTCCTCTGGAGTCGTCCACCTCATCTCTATTAAGCTTGTCCGCTTCCTCGTCTTCGTCTTGTTCATATTCATAGCTGTCCGCGTAATATTCAGTATATGCCGAGAGGTTGTCGGCACTCTCAGGAGTGCAGCCAGATATCTGGACGTGTGGATTCAGCGGGCAGGAGGATAGGCATACGAAAGTAGCATGGCTTACGATGCAGAAAACCGTGACTTTTCCCATGCCGGAGGAGGTTCAACACAATACAAGACGGGGAATAGTTCGTCGATGCCAACAATATGAGGATGGGGCTGAGAAGGTCGAATTTAAGAAGGTGACGCATCACTCAGGCGTTCATGTACATACGTCGCGGGAAGACTCCACGCGTTGGAGTCATGCAAAGAGTCATGCGTGCTGAATGCATCACCAAGTTGTGGACAACGGAGCTCACGCTGAGAGCAACGGGATGCAGAGGTGCGAATTCTGATACCTGGTTTCCCACGCCAGGGCTTGCTCACGCTTTTGTATGTTTTTAATTCAGACAAAAAGCACGGGTCCGCGCCAATGACCATGTTCACCTTTTATTACCACAACTCTTTTTCTGCCAGCTTTTACCCAAATTGAAAGCATCGCATCGCATACATCCATACGTCTCACCTCTACTTCGGTTGCGAACGAAGCTTCACCCCAACTTCATCCATAGCAAATCGGATTTTCCTTGCGGGACCCGGGGGCGGGGCGAGCGCTCAAGCGCTCAAGGGTGAGGAAGCACACGAGTCGAGTGCCATGCCCAGCGCCCTAGAGAAGTGGTTCGTACGAACCGCGTGGTGATGAGTCTTATCTTGACTTCAGACCTTAATTTTCACCCCGCCGTCACTCGTCTTCCAACCTCAACCGGACTTAACAGCTGGGCGCTGTCTACGTGTACCGTTGTGCTCACGAGATCAAACGTTTGGGAGAGGCACGTACAGCGTAATGTTCAGGATCGGACGCTCGGGCATTACTATAGAGTAACCACTCTGGACTAATGGTCGACGCCTCGTGAGTACCTAGTCAGTTGCTCAAGAGCGATTGTCAGCTGATTGGCTGCAGATAGCTCTGCATAGACAACGAGGTTCACTGCAAAAACATATGTACCTGATTCTCAGGTATGCACAAGGTACACAGCGTCTGATTTTGTTTAATCATGTGCTCTTGACATGGTTCTGGAGTCAGGTACATGTACCTGGTATACAAAATCATGTACAGCTACCTGAAACCACAAAAATCATTATCACCCACCCATGATGATTGTAGACACATATAAATCTTCCAGCTAAAAACCATATTATATTACACTATGAATTTCAGTGTTCAAACGTTCATTAACACTAGTGGAGCTTCCCCTCCTAAGCTATGATCCGGTGAGACTTGCTGTGTGTCGACGCGTGTGGACACTTGCTATATTCGGGCAGAAGTTTGTAGCTCCGCAGCAAACGGCTCTCAACGTTTCAACGCTGACAACATCCTCAATGTCCATCCACCACTGCGTCGACCACAGCAGCCCTCAGGCCTCATGCCTCGACCAACGCTAATGTCATGCTATCAGCGGTGCTCTCTTCACCTCAGCTGCGCCCTCATCGCCCCAGCTGTGGCTCCTTTGCTATCTTGCGCTCCACGCGCAAGTTCAGGTCGCCCCAAAGCTCCTTCATCTCCCTCAATCCATGCACCCCACCACCTCTACACTCGTGCTCTGCTCGCGCGTTATTCTTCAGGCAGACCAATGTTCCCCACGCCCAATGCATCGACGTTGTGATGTCCGATGGGAGACGGTAGCAGTGTAAGTAAAACCGTCTATTGTCAAATTCACGGAGACATGCTAACCATTATCTTCGCTTCTAGCATGCAGGCGGCCCATCTGCACGGTGCTCCGGCTCATCGCCTCCCCGCTGCCGCTCGGAACGCAGCTTGCGCTCCCCGTCTCCTCGCCGCCTCCACCGCTCGCGCTTTCTCCTTGCGCGCGACGTGGCAATTTCACACGGAATGTACCCCCCCACAAATGCGACAGCAGACTGCGCAGCCCCTCGCTCGCGTCCTTGCGCACCCATTCCCGCTCTCGCACTCCCATCGGCGGTGGCCCGCTCCCATGCTGAGGCGCTCGCGGACGCTTGCCCATCGAACCGCGAATCCCGACAGCAACGAATACAACTCGCAGGGCGAGCAGCAGGATCAAGTGAGCACTCCCACGCAGACACGAACAGGGCACGGTGATGGCAGCGCACAGGAAACAGAATGCACGCAGTACCAAAGGCAACGGCTGCTGTGAATGTGCGGCGGGATTTCGTGTCGATGTGGAGCAAGGGAAAGCAGAGGGAGCAGTAGAGTGACAATCCGGAGGAGGAGGAGACACTGCTTGGGCGTGACACGCGAGATGGGGATGGGGAGGCGCAGGCGCAGAAGCAGGCGAGGTCGCATTCAAGGGTGAGTCTGCTTCTACTTAGCTTGGAGAAGACTAACAAGTGAATTTGGCCCAGGTGTTGAGCAGATCAAGGAGCGGCAAAGAAGCGTACGACGACTACAAGTGCAACCTCCGCGACCGCAAGGCCAACTCCCAAAAGTACCTCATCCTTACCCGGCCAGACCACGGCGCCGCCGCGGCTGCTCACGACGACAACGACCCCCAGTTCTCGGCGCTCGGTGATGTCGACGCGGGCCCACACACACTATCGGGAGTAGTGGCGGAGATCTAGTAGCTATTTATATCATTATGTAGCTCATTAATAGAATTGCATTTGTCCTGATTTTTGCACGTTCCCGATGTTGATAACTGCCTCGTTTTCAATGAAAACTAATCATTTTACCGTAATCTTGCCTTTCTGCCAAAAAAAAATCAGGTACATGTAAGGTGATTCGGACAATGGAATCGTACAAAAATGTACATGATTCATTTTCGGGCAAGGACCTGATTGTCATGACAAAACCCCATTGATACTATATACATAATGAATGATAATCATAGATTTTGCACACGATTTGTGCTCATGATATTCAGGTATGTCCGGGTTCACAGTGGTTCACGCATGTAACTTGTACTCATTCCGGGAGGATGGCGTAACCCCGTGGCGTGAGCCTCGTCGACCTTTCCACAGGTACGGTGCTCTTGATCTATCAATTTGACGATGCTTTGCTCACTAGAATATTCTTGAAGCACACGTAGTAACAAGGCCATTGGAAGGAGCGTAACAGGCCACGCATACATCTGAAGGCATGGTAATGTTGGCTAGGTGGCGAGACATTCTGGGCCTCAGCTCAACAACATTTACAGGCATATCAGTACTATAGCAGTCGCATTGGTGAGTTATGCGTGTCCCTGTTTCTTCTGCCCTCTCCTTGCCTTACAATTGCTCCCCTTTCGTTTCGTGAGAAAAGTAGCTTCTTACATATCCTCAGGGGTCATTATAAAATAGATCTTTCAAACGTTAGGAATCAATCCTTAGGCCTCATGTTGAACGGAAGATCTCGGCTCTCGTTGCGTCAATTGCAGATCTGGTCAATATCATTCTCGCTCAATATGGCACTTCCTAGCTGTAATAGTGTGATCCATGATGTATGGTAGGTCAGTCGTTTCAAATTCATCACGCCTGAAGCTTGAAGCTCTGAAAGCGTCAGGTTTGAACCGCTTTGTCGTAGGGCGCTCGAAGCGCTACAAGGTCATGTATCATGTCACACGTGGCTGCATCTCTTCAACCCACACTTGGATAATTACGCATTCCACAAGATGGTAGAGGGCGCATAATCTCGGAAAGCGACCACTGGTGAGGTTGATCGAGGAACATGTGGTCTTTCATGTGACCAGCGTATGCTAATCCACAACTGATCCATCTGTTGATGTTCTAGAGCAAACCATGGACGTCTTGATTACGTTGACCTGTCGACTAGGGCTCAGGATAAATCGTTATTGCACTCCTCCACCCTTGCTGAACGCGATAGGCTCCGCAGTAACGAACAGGGTAGCACGAGCCATGCATACACAGCCAAGCGTGAAAGGGGTTGTGATCAACGTTCTCTTTGACACGCTGTCTTTGTCTTAACTCCGCGAGCGCGTCGTTCAGGAGACCTTCAAGAGGGCGTATGTACGCCTCTCCTCTCGCCCACCGACCGTATAGCCATGCTAGTCGGGGTCATGGCGGCGACAGGTAAGTCCCAATGTATCTGTTCAGCTTCTGTCTCACATCGTCGTGTTATGAATCGTCTAGGAACACTGGCTCATAGCGACCATGAGATATGGTGGACGCTTTCCCAAGAGATAGCCCACGGTGCCGACTACGATTCAGCCGAGCGCCGCCCTATTTCTTCGTGTCTTTCGGGAACTCGCACTCAGGTCCTGGATACCCTTGAAGGGTCTTTGACGCATGTTGATCGCAAGCTTGTCTGGCTTTTTGGGCGGGCAGGAACGGGCAAGTCGAGCATCGCGTACTCGCTCGCGGACCATCTTCATAAACAGGACAAACTAGCGGCCAGCTTCTTCTTCTCCCAAAAGCATATCAGGCGGAGTAACGCCGACCGAGTATTGCTCACAATTGCATACCAGCTCGGTCTTCGTCATCCTCGCGCCAGAGCGTGTATCATCGAAGCCATCAGACACGACCCCACGCTGCTCAGACTCGAGGCCTCGCGCCGGGAGCAATTCGAGCGCCTCGTTGCGGATCCGTTGAGGAGCCTCAAGCACGCGTGGGGTAAAGGCGATAGGGTGATGATCTTCGACGCTGTCGAGGAGATCGAAGGGTCTGGAAAGGGAGCTCAGGTCAAAGAATTGGTCCTCATGTTGGCGGAGCTTATCCGCAACTCATCCGAGTCATCGCCTCACAGTCTCCCCATCAGCAGCATCCTCTTTACGAGCAGATCCTGTCCCCGACTCGAGACTCTCACCAAATACCCCGACCTCGCGGACTCGCTCACCCGTCATGACCTCGAGGACTTTGACGGCGTCAATGACGTAAAGCTGTATCTTCAGCATACTCTTGAAGAGCTTCGCAACAACGACGACCGCCTTTACCGCTATCCAAACCCATGGCCTATTGAGCGCGATCTCAGGATGATGGCTCGACTAATGAAAGGGCACTTCATCGTCGCTTCAACTATACATCGACTTGTCCGCGTCGCTGACGACCCAGTACGCCGACTCGAGACTATCACGCGATTTTACCGAGGTGACGTCAGCCTTGGAAGGGCCAAAGGTGACATCGACTCAATCTACCACTACATCCTCTCCGATTGCGACTTGTCAACTCGTCGTCTTGCCGTCGAATGTCTCGCGGATGTCATCTCCCTCGCCGAGCCCTTGACGCCCATGCTTCTATGGGAATTGTTCGGGTACGACGTGCGGGAACGCATGCTGCATCTTTCAGCTGTCGTCATCATCCCCCATTCGAGGTCCTCCCTCGATCCTGTTCAGATCTATCATGGTTCCTTACGCGACTATGTCTTCGACCAGCGTCGCTCAAAGGAGTTCTACGTGGACGCTTCGGTGTCTCATCAGAGGCTCGCTTGTATGTGTTTCGCGGTTATGCAGAAAGACTTGGAGGATTCGTTCGAGCGTGGTGCCTCATCTCGGAGGCGTACTACCAGCCTCCCTGACTTTGACGATCGCCGAAATACGCGGCTTCTGGCATCCTTGCGTTATGCTTGTCGGTACTGGCCATATCATCTGGAACGTGCGAGGGGAGACGCGAAGATCCACACCCTCGTGCTCGATTTCTTAGAGCATCAGCGATTATCTTTTGTGGAAACTTTTACGTTGATATCTGGTCTTGACTCGGTCTTTGACGCCCTTGCTGATGCACGTCGGGTTTTCATGGTGTGTATACTATTCCTGTATACACATAATTATCATCTCATACTCGATATAGAAATGGTCGTCATCCAAGGAACGCACCCTCGCGCTAGAATTACTTGACGACACCGTACGTCTCGCTCGCCTCAATATGTCTAGTCTTGAAACCCATCGCCGCTCTGTCCACGAGGCCAACAAACATCGACATAATAAGACACAGCACCTGGTTCGCCCCGCCTATTATAATTTTTTTTTCACTGCCGACCTATCTGTCGTTTCTGAATATTTGCAGATAACAGCTTGTGACGAAATGCCTATCACTGAGGGTGTTCCAGACTCTGCCGTCAGTGTTTCTGAATTTCACTGGGACAAATCCTTGAAGCATTCCGCGGAGGGTGGGTCTCGCACACCTGCGCGGGTGTCTCCCGACTCCCTCGACGCTGAGGTCAATTGTTTGAACACGACTTGCTGGGAGTCAAGCACCATGGCAGCCGAGCGCTCTGAAACGAAAGATGGCTTATCGTTGACTTTTCTCTACTCATGGGTTCTTGTTTCCTTTTTCATGATTATATCTTATTTATTTCAGTAGTACATTTACGTCGATCCTATCCCTTCGGTTGTTCTAGTAGAAGTTCTGTGTTCACCCAGATAACACACCTCATCTCGGACACAACTCTGCTCCGCAAAATCCGCCGTCCGCTCAGCGGCTTTCCAAAAGGACACCCTGAACCACACCGGGCTCAGCATGCGCTGGGAGGACCTGAGCTGGGTCATGCTGACTCGGTGAGAGGTGATTCGGAACCGGATTAACGGAGCGCAAATTGACGTGGAGGATTTCGTGCTTACGCTTCCGCAACAGCTCGAGAATGACGCGCTTTGAGGCCGAGGATCCTTACTGAGAACACCTACACATTTCTCAGAAGTCTGCAAGCACCAAGCAGCATTCCTTCAAGAAGGGATTGGAATTGCTATCGCCCGTGTTCATCGAAGAGGGGTAGCCAGAATGCCAGAAAAGAGTAGTAGACGCCCACCTCCAGGGAATTTAGCTACAGCTTCGACTTCTTTCTAAGCCTCCTTTGGAGAATCCGTGTATCCGCATTGCCTCATGTTAGCTTTCAAGAATTCCTGCCTCTTGACTCGACAGCAGACTGAAATTTACCGTCCACGTGGCGGGCTGGAGTCTCTTCTCCTCAATCCCCGCGGCGTGCTTTCTCTCCTTTCCCCGTTGCTTCCCTACGTACGACTTATCGGTATGCTCCATACACCGGAGGACTCCCCATTCGACGACATCCCTGGTCCATTCACCTCTCAAACCTATGGTGACCCATTCGGCACATTTTTCATATTCAGACCGCATTCGTCACCGCCAAACGCCCACATTTCCGACGAAGAGCGTATCAGCGGCGAGCATGCCGGCATATACATGAACGGTCATTCGACACACTATCGAGAGCTCGACACGCTCCTTGAAGCCTGTGTCGCGCTGGACCAGCGGAGTGTGGACGTAGCTCGTGAAAAGCAAGAGATGTTTATTCGACTTCGAGGGGAGCTTCGTCGGCTCGCTGATGCTAAGAGAGAAACGGAGAAGAGCGCGCCGAAACGCTACGCTGATCTGGAAGTCGAGAACGCGGTTTTGATGAACGCCAGGGATGCGCTTGCAGCGGAGAGGGGTGCGATGGAAAGAGAGGTTGTGTTACTGCGGGCAGAGCTAGAGAAGGAGAAGGCGGCTCACGTTGGGACTCGGGAGGCAATGATGGCATGGTGCGCGAGGGAGGAGCTGCAGCAGAAGGTCAACAGCGAGATGGAGAAGGAGAATGAAACCCTGAAGGAGGACATCGGGCACCTTCACGAGGTGCTGGGCAGGGATGTGCTGGAAATATCGCAACTACATGGGCAACGTGTGGCGCTGGAGCAAGACAACGTCAACCTCTTTGCTGTGACGGCGGCGCTGAGGGAGGAGAAGAATGCACTGGAGGAAGAGGTTCGTCGTGCTCGCGGGGCAGTACAGGAGAGGGACCAGGAAATCGCGATTCTGATGGAACGATGTACAACACTGGATAATACAGCGGAGGACCTCGAACACGCTAAGAAGAAACACGCGAAGCTTGCCGAAAAAGTGACGCATCTGAAGAGGGCGCTCGATATCGAAAGGGCGACGCACGCGACACTCGAGGGTCGCGTGGCAGTAATCGAAGGCGACAATGCGAAGCTGGCCCTTGCGTCAAACAGCTTCGCATACCAAAAGATGGAGCTGCTGCAGAAAGTCCAATATCTCGAGGAGAAGTACAAAGAGGAGACGCAGAAAAACAAGCGTCTCATGCACAGGCTGAAGTCAGGAGTCGTTGAGAAGGCGATCTTGGAGGTTCAAGGACCGGGATTTGCGGGTAAGCTGGCAGAGCTCATCAGAGCAACGCAGAAAAAGGCTAGCAGAAAGGAGGCAAGGGCAGCTGAGTGGCTGGACGTGGCGAACGTCCTGAGGGTCATGCAAGGGAACATACTGGAAGAAAATAGCAGTCTTCAGTAGTCAATAACGGATACCACAGTATATGTACATCAGAAACAAGTTCCTGGGCTCCTTTCAGTGGGTTAGACTTACATGTTTACACGAATGTATGGCTCCAGTCGCTGGTACCTCAGTGATGTTTGTGCGTCGTCGGATGTCCGATGTCGGGAAAGTCTACTGTCTGATAGAAAACACGTCATCCAAATTTCCACTGTCCTTAGGGCATTAATAAAGCTGAGAAAGCCATTGCTAAGTTCTCACGACGACAAGTCCAAGAGCAACCTAAGATGTACGGATTGGCCTGACATTTTCTTGCTCCGAGTCGGTGGTACGGATGATGTCCTGGCTCCCGCCAATGGCTCTGAGTCCGCCATGGCTCGGGCGCGGGCGGGTGCTCGCGAGAGGGTCACGTGGATGTACGCTGATAAGGGGCGCGTAAATGGGCGAAAACATCCGCGACGCCTCTTTGAATCTAACGACCATGTCGTGTTCCTGACCCAAATCATGGCGTCGTGCACAATCCATCTTACATCTCGCTGGATGGCATGACCAAGCCTGTCACCGCTGCAGACGCATCATCGTATGAGTCAACAATGAGACCATGTCGTCGAACGATGCCATGGGACCATCGAAGCAGCTTCGCAATAGGTGTTACTAGACATATAAAAGGCCGATGGTGTATGACTAGCTTCAGCAATCCGGCACTCAGGTTCAGCATAACCTCTCTCTCAATCCCCTATTCTTAAACCAGCGCCAACATGTCTCTCTGTTCTCATTGCGTTCAGGGTCGGTGCCTCCCCAGTCTTCCCTATGACCGCGCTGCTGACTGGCTTGTGATGCTCCAGGCGTTCGCCATGAAGGTACTCCCAAGGGTATGTACATTTATTGTTGATACGATACCGCGTCTCTAACATTTCGTATCCCAATCATTCACAGGTAAATTCGAGACTGTCGACAACATCAAGTGCTACGTAGCCACTCCCTCGGGCGACTACGCGAAGGACAAGGTCTTGCTCTTCCTCACTGATATCTTTGGGATCGCTGGGAGCAACAGCCAAGTAAGAATTGCCTCCACCAAAATGTCGCACAAGGATATGAGTTGACAATGTTCTCTTCAGCTCCTCGCTGACGATTTCGCTCGCAACGGATTCAAGGTCGTTATGCCCGACTACTTCAACGGAGACGCGGTGCCCGTCGAGGAGATGGAGGTGAGCACCACCTGGCTCGGCTCTGTTCCGCCTGTCGGATATGCTCACTACGATTTTTAGAAAGGCACATTCCCTATCATGGAGTGGCTCCCTAAGCATGGGCCTCCGCAGTCGCGCCCTAATCTCGACAAGGTTATCGCCGGGTTGAAGAAACAGGGTGTCAAGACATTTGCTAGTGTTGGATACTGCTACGGAGGTGAGTATATGCGCCACTGGAAACATCTGGAGGCTAATATGCACAATAGGCCGTCACGCGTTCAACCTCGCCATCGAGGGCATCACCAAGGTCACGGTGACAAACCACCCTTCCCTGTTGAAGAACCCTGACGATCTTGAGGTACGCTCCTCCTCCCCTTATCTACACCTCGTCTGCGATCGCTAATAGAGGATTTCTACATCATAGGCGTATTTCGCCAAGTCCAAAGCCCCGCTCCTCATCAACACGTGCGAGACGGACAACATGTTCCCAGCCGAGTTCCAAGCCAAGGCCGACGAGGTGTTCGAGGGCAAGTTCGAGCCCGGGTACAAGCGCGAATACTTTCCCGGCTGCACCCACGGCTTCTCTGTTCGCGGCGACATGACCGATCCAAAGGTGAAGGCGGGGAAGGAGGGCGCGTATAAGGCTGGTGTTGAGTGGCTGAAGAAGTACTTTTGAGTCTCAGGTATACTTTTATGGACGATGGTACGCTTAACGTTCTTTTACTGTCCCTTCAAAAGCTGACTTCCCACGAAACACAGTCAGTCTAGGGCTGTAGTGATTCGTACAAGTGTAACTGGTTACGAGCTCAAATGTTCAAAGCCTCGGCGGCATTTCGGAATGCGACTTGTGGACTTTCATGATGCGATGACCTCACCACCATGAGTAAGCGTTTCGCTATATATAAAGAGTCCTGGCCCTTCTCGTGTTCCCGCCCTGCCAACACCCCACAACTATGTCTATGTGCGATCGGTGTGTCCAAGGTCAGTAATACTCCTGAACCACTAGCTGAGACCAAGCATTAAGCACTCATGATCAGGTATTCGACATGAGGGCACCCCAGAAGGTGGGCACTCCCCTTCCAGTTCCTTTTTGAAATGTGCTTTCATCTGAAATCACCCATCATGCTTACAAACAGGCAAGTTTGAGGCTATCAACGGTGTCAGGTGCTACGTTGCTACGCCGTCGAACGACTTTGCGGCCGATCGGGTTTTGATCTACGTCGTCGATCTTTTTGGTGTCGACTTGATCAACGGCCAGGTAAGTGGTTCTCTTTCATAGTGGTTGACTCAATTTCTTAGAACTTGCCTCCGATCAGCTTCTAGCTGATGACTTCGCTCGAAACGGTTTCAAGGTACGTACATATTTTCCGGTGCATCGTGTTAAACCCTCGTGGCTCAGCTGGTATTTGTTATATTCGATGTGTAGGTGGTCATGCCCGACTTGTTTGAAGGCGATAACGTGCCCGTTGACGAGATGGAGGTGAGTCCACCTGCCGTCTCAGGCTCAGATAAGGCTCGATCGAGGAGTATGTAGTCAGGACGCTACAACCTCCAGCCATGGCTTGCTAAGCATGGACCTGCTCAAGCACTCCCCTATCTGTATAAGGCTATTGCGGGACTCAAGGACCGTGGAGTGACGAGGCTCGCGGCGGTGGGTTATTGCTATGGCGGTGAGTCATTGATTGACCTCATGAAAATGTGGTGTAGGGACTGAGACTGCCAAATTGACGTGTCAATGTAATCTAGGTCGTCTCGCCTGGGATCTCGCCATTGATAATGTGACTCAAGTCACGATAGTGAACCACCCCTCGCTACTCAAGAACCCGGAAGATCTTGACGTATGTTCCATTGTTGCAGACACTTCCGCCCTCCGTTGACATATCTCACTATAACCAAATCTCGTCGCTTACGCATACAGAAATACGTCTCCCTCTCCAAAGCGCCCTTGCTCATCAACTCGTGCGAAATCGATCCTGTGTTCGGCGCAGAATTCCAAACTAAAGCCGACGAGACCTTCGTGGGCAAGTTTGAGCCTGGGTACAAGCGCGAATATTGGCCCGGATGTACTCATGGTTTCGCGGTCCGGGGCGATCTGGAAGATCCGAACGTCAAGACATGAAAAGAAGGTGCTTTCAAGGCAGGCGTGGAGTGGCTGAAGAAGTATTTCTAATGTACGTCGGATCGCTCTTATACTCCCGTACATTGATGTAATCTTGTGTGCTCATCAGTGAAGGCGCCAGTACGCATACTGTACTCAATTGTGACTTGTACTATTACAAAAAGACTTCTCTGTGACCCAAAACCGGTATCAACAGCCGAGATACGCATGGTACGCTACATAACTACGCAACCACAACGACAACATCCGCAACGCCAGCCGTTGTCCGAATCGTATGCCACACTGCATAACTCACAAAATAATGGCTGCTTGGGGTAAGTATCTACTTCCTTCTTCATTAGGGGAGTTGCGACGGGTTGGGTATTGATAGTAAGTGGAGCCTTGCCTGACGAGGTCTCACTTTCCTCTAGGTGAGTCTCAGTGTCAACGGGTATATCTTGTGGCTTTTCCATATAAAGACCGCTGAGGCGCTTAGAGACCGGGATGAGAGGAAGCTCTTTATCTGTGCGAAAGTGAGAGGGCTTCTCATCCTGTTGCGGCGACGGTTCTTCATGTCCGACTTCATAGACTTTGAGAGGGAAGTCACGGATAGGCTCATAGAAATCCCAAACTAGCGCCTTCGCTCTGTCGAGCGAATCTAGCGCGATGTTCTGTTCACTGAAGGTTGACCATCCCTACTCAGACAATGAGCCATCAAGATCGAAAATGATAATGAGTCACACACCGAAATGATGCGGGATGCATCAGACACGAGGCCATAGGCCAGGTCCAAATATCCCAGCAGAGACAGAGCCTCCACAAGACACAACAATTGGGTCTGCAAGAACGCGACGAGGAGAGAGTAAGCCTCTTCATCCATCTCTGCCCGAGCGAGGTGATGTGTCCAGTAGACACACGCGTAGCGCAATGGGCTTGAGCGAAGATCGGCTTGACGTTGCTCAAATCCGTCAATCTCAACAGGGCGCTTTGAGGAGTCACCGAGGTCACAGATATCCTTCTTCAGCTGCCTTAGCATGAGTTTCAGGCAAAGACAAGTCAAACGCCGTTGTGAATCGACGGCCTTGACATGGAACTCCCTCGAACGCGAGGGGTTAAAGATGTAGTCGCGTAGAGAGCTATGGTATATTTGGATTCGCTCCTCAGAATCCGGGAGGGGTATATGGACGAGGGCAGATAGGTGCGCAATTCGTTCCCGAATATCGTTGGTGAACAGAAGGCAGATACTGTCAAGTTGCAAAGGCTCGGCAAGGAACGTGATATCTGCGAGGCATTTTACTGCAGGAAGCTGGCTATCCGGGTCGCAATCGGAGAAGACGTGTCGATAAATGGAATCGATGTCGCTCAAGGTTTGTTCTGGGGGTTGCACGTTTCCTTGATACATTCTGAGAATGGTGGAAAATCGTTTTACAGGATCCTCAGCAGTGAGAACAAGGCGAACAATCGTCGAAGCGACGATAAAGTGTCCTCTCACAAAACCTGTCATTGTATCAAGGTCGCTTTCAAGGGGCCACGGTTGACTCGGAGGGTACCCATAGTGAAAGCTGCTGTTGTTCGAAGCCTCGTGAAGAGAATACTTGAGGTATAACTTCACGTCGTCGGTGGAGTCAAAGGACTCGAGAATGTATCGGTCAAATATCTTAATATGATCCGGTTGTTTGACGAGGTTCTGGAATCGGGGAAGGGGCCTACTGGTGAAAAGGATTCGAGTGATGGGGAAGGGGGACCTGGCTGAATCCCGTAAGAGTCTGACCAGCATACGGACTAAGTCTCCGATCTGGCCGCTATTCTCCGCCTCAACCTCCTCTGCAGCGTCAAATATAATTGCCTTCTCATTATTTTTCCATATGTTCGTAAGACTTCTTAAAGGCTCAGCGACGAGACGCTCAAGCTGGTCGCCACGAGATTTGTGTGACTCGAGTAAAGTGGGGTCGTGTCGGATTGCCCTTATGATGCGACTTTTGGCCTGGTGGTGAAGGAGGCCGATTTGATAGCCAATGGTAAGGAAAACTCGGTCGGTGTTGCTTCTGTTCAGATGCTTGCGTGAGAAAAAGAAAGTTGCAGCCAAGCGATTTTGGCTACGCAAGCGGTCTGCAATGGAGTAGGCAATACTCGACTTGCCGGAACCTGGGCCTCCGAAGAACCAGACGACCTTCCGATCGGTTTGGGTCAAGACAGTCTCTAAGGTATCCAACGCCTTGACACGTGTTCCCGGAAGACACATAGGAAAAGGTTGCCGCTCGGGCGAGTTGTACTCCGCGCCAGGGGCTATCTGATGAGCCAGCATGCGCCACACATCGTCGTCGCTTAGTGAGCGAGCACCTAAAACGCCACCGACATTAGACCATCCAGTAGTGCTAGCGAGAAAAGTAGCCGACATACCTACATCTGCCATTTTGCTGCAGTATAAGGCTTTGGATGCAACGCGAAGGCAACAGAAGTCTCTCTCGGTATGCTGCTGGGCTAGTGGTAACACAGTGTGGCGTATATAAACTGCTGGACTCAACGTGGCCAATGCACCACTTAGCGCTTACTAATTGTGCTATGGTCCTTCGATTGGTTCCGGCCGATGCATGGAAAGCATGTAAGTAATTAATCTGGGAGGAACGTTTTCGACTAGCCTCGAATAGGCTTCATTCATGTGATGGATCTGACAAACAAGCTCTATAACAGTTGGTCGCTGTATTTGGGAGAAGCAACCGGGTGCGCCGCAGATGTGCATCTCGAACGTTCATGGGCGACGATACACGCCCCGAAGCAATCCCTGCTTCTCATGACCCACGTTTAAGGAGAAAAAACGCATTTCCTTCGGCTTATAGACAATTAGTTGGAACGAAGAGGCGTTCTAATGAAGGCACATCATATTAACGGATACTAGTGCCACTACTTCACGTTCTAAGACAGATGCATTGTTCGTTACCTGGATTCTTCACCTGCATAAAGTGTAAGTACCCCGTAATTCTTGTCAGCGGTCTAGGGTATATGAAGTTCGTATAGCAAGCACAAAATCACACTTTCGTAAATTGCACAACGCCAACGATCGCTACCAGAATCGGCAAGATTCTGGGGGGAAGTTCTTCGCCATTCGTAAAATATTAACGTTAGACGTCATGCTTGACCACTGAGAGAGAAAAAAAATTAAACGCTTTACAAAACAATACCAAGAGAGAGGTGGCACTTACCCCGTTCCCAATGAACACCTGTGCTCGCTCGGCAGCGTACATGTCCACGGCTTGCGCCACATACTTCTGCTCCCAGGTCAGCCGCATATCTCGACTGCTTGAAATACTGTCCCATGCTTGGCTCCCAGCTGTCGCTCTCTGAACGGCTTGCTTCAGCTCGTCCACCCACTCCGTAGCACCATTTGTCATGATGTACAGGTATTTGAGGGAACCGCCCGCGGCGTCTCGGACATGGGTGACCTTATCGACAATTTGATCGACGGAAGGAAAACATCTCCGCTCGTACATCGCCCTGTTCTCCGGTGTAGTCTCGCCCCACACAGCGTCTGTCGGCACCTTAAACTTGTCTATGAACTCGGAAAACGCGTTGAACGCGTTCCAGTCGGATGACCACGTTGCGAGGTGCTGGCAGTGGTCAGCGAAGTCCCCCCGACGCACGTGGATGGCAAGAAGTCCCGGGATCATGTCGGGGCTATTGGATTTCGGCGTATTCGAGGATGAAAGGATCGGAGAAGTTGGTCCGAAGAAGTGGAGATTCTTCTTAAACGCGTCCACAACGAGCGGGGACCACCTCCAGTGCGTCATTACCGGCGTTTTTGAGAGATACGGCCAAATAGTGAGCAAGCGACTTTTGTCTCCGTATATCCTAGTAGGGCGGTTAGTTAATCATACATATACGCAAGATTACGAGAACTTGATAATCCATACCAGATTTCGAAGATAGGTGGATTATCACTAGCAAGCTTTATACATGGGTCGTCTATTGAGTTGATCGTCTGGATCCAAGTCTCTAGTATTGACGATGCCGGGGCTGAATAAATCATGTCGTGGGTATTGACGTCCTTGACATTGACGATGGCTGGGTTAGGGCAGACTTTACGAAAAAAGCCGCTGGACACCGCGAGAGGAGACGTATATCCGGGAGGCATGTTGCCACCGACCATCGGACCTGGCACACATGTCAATCAGAAAGAGTCTCGAAGTATCATAAATCAAAAACCAACCACCAGCAAGAGCAGTCAGCGGAATACGTGAAGGAATGGCTTTTCCGTTGAAGTCGCTGTACGGTCCGTGATCCTTATCCCATACGTAGTCATTAAACACATGGCTGTAGGAGGTATTAGTAGCAGTATATCTCTAGCGCGAGTAGGAGACAAACGAGCGATTCGTGACATGAGCTAATAACGCACTCATCACGTAGTCCTGCATGATGTTCCCCCACCCAGAGCCTATGGACGATAGGTTAATTACACCAGACATGAGATGAGCAGGCACAACACTCAACCGTATGAGAAGTTTTCTGACCAGAGGTACTTGACATCTGCTCTTCTTGCGTACTCCTCGTAGTGGGGCAAGTCCTCTTCCCGTGAACGATACTCCTCATAGAGCGGCGGCATATTGAGTCGATTGTAGAACCCCTGATTCCTGCCTCGAAACATCGCAACGACAGCCAAGCAGAGGAGTGTCAGCAAACCCATGATCAAGCGTGTCCCGCGCTTCGTCAGGCGTCCGGGTGGCGTATGTGCAGGCAGTGACGGCGTCCGAGAAGCGGGAAATGGTAGGATCTGCCCGTCCGGAAGCTTCAGCTTCCATTGGAGCGGAAATTTGGGAACCATGTTGAGGACTGGTAAGGCACTGCAGTAGGACAGAGGAAGCCTGCGGAGAGAGGGTAAAAAGGCGAATGAGGCATTCCTTAACGGATGAGAGCCATCTGTATATGTGGGTGCTGCACGCAGCTTTAGATTTTAGGCACAGCCATTTCTACATCTCCGGTCATTTCAGTAGTTCCCGTGCAAAAGATGCCACCCAACGTTAACCGTTGTGATGTCGTCTACCCAATTGCAAATGGTTTATCAGTAGACCTGCAAAACATGTCTTCCACGGCTATGTCAACCGACTGATCGGCTTGTCAATCCACCTGCCAAATGTGCCGCTCATCACGGCCGGTAGAGTAGAGCGTTGCCTCTCTATGCTTTTCTTTACCTAAACTTGAAGTGATCCTGGAGGATGCATCATCTTTTCTGTTCACGGGATGGTCGGTCTTCAGTGCGGAAACAAGTGCCCAACCCGATGCTGGTGGTCGGGAAGACGTCGATGTTCTCAAGCTTTCTTTGCGTCGACACGGATCAGCGTCACTTCGCAGGGTGATACCTGCGTAATGGCTCTTCTATTCCAATGTACTCTAGCTGCTCGAGCCATTCGTATTTGATTGGTTGAGATTAACGCCGTCTGAGAGATATCTAGGCATGCGAGTGCTTGGCATGAGAGTACCGAGTCACGTATGGTTTAAATTGGCATCCAACCCGATGTGAGAGAACGTAAAACCTGGACAGTGATCCGCACGTTGCCAGCCATTCGAGGAGAGCGCAGACCATCGTAGAAGCCTTTGAGCGTGTACAGTCACTCGTGATCTTGATGTGCTTCTTAACCCGTCGCAAGGACGTAGAACTATCTCAACTGGGGACGTACATGCGGTGCGACGCGAGAAAGACTGAGTGATTGGCTATTTCTGGCCTCAAGCTCAAGGGAGTCGCGGGAGAATGGTTGAGGCCGGTGCTAAAGTCCAATCTAATGCTACGACAGACATTCGATGGGTGGCGTGAGCGAGATATGTTGACTATGGCCCCGTTATCTCGCAAAAGGACGCCCCAGAGAGTTTGCGAGTGCAAAGAGGAAGCCTAGAGATGGCGACGAGAAAGAAGAGGGAGATGAAAACATAGGCTTTACACCGCCACCACGTGGCGCAATAATTCTGGATCTCGGACTCTTTTCTTTGCTCAGCGCTCCACCTTCAGCTTCAGTCACCCCGCCGTCCCAGTGCAACAGACAGCAACAAACTCCCAGCCTGTCGAAAACTTGTCGTTGTTCATCTCACCTGAGCTTACGATGGAACCCGCGTTTTCATACCAAACCTCCACTAAAATTCACCAATCGGTACAATTTGAAGCTCTCCGAGCCACAATGTCCGGGCCTAGCCAGTGCTGCGTTGAAGGTGAGCACAAAGTTGAACGCATACTGATTCTGGGCCTTTCTGGCGCTTATGAAGGCCATGTCCTACTCCATACTACGGGTGTGCACCACGAAGGCACCCCTACAGGTAGGTTTTCAAGCCTCGCCCATGATTCTCTATACCATCCCGAACTCGACATCCTCCCCCAGGTAGAATCGAGAAGATTAACGACGTAGAATGCTACATTGCGACACCCCCCATCGACTTACCCAAAGGAAAAGGCTCTGCTCTTCCTACCGGACTTTCTCGGTGTCACGTTCAGGAATGCCCAGGTGCGTCGTCCACTCCACACCCTTCTTAGCGCATCCTTTGGCTAAGATGAGTGGTTTGCGGGACGCGTTTGGTCTTTGGTAGCTCATCGCGGATGACTTTGCTCAGAATGGGTACAGCGTGAGTCTCCGTTGTTCGAGCGCCTGATGTTTGAGCTTACATTAGATCGGTTCTATAGACTGTGATGCCGGACTCTCAATGGCAATGGTGGCCCGCCCGCAGAGCTCGAGGCGCGTTTACTCACCGACCCCCAGCACCCCACGTTTCGCTTACCCATGGTTCGCAGAAAGGAGCATTTCCCGTCTAAACTGGTTCCAGCGTCACGGACCCGAGACGTCGCGCCCTCCTCGGGACAAGGAGGGTGTGACGACGTTCGCTGCGTTCGGATACGGCTACGGCGTTGAAGAATACGCATAACGTGCTCCAAGGGGCTGGAAATGCTAGATATTCTCGGGCTGGGACCTCGCCATCGAACACATCACCAAGGTCACGCTATGCAACCACCCTTCGCCACTCAAGAACCCAGATGACTCCCGTCTCTATCACACTAACACAATTTCCCATCCCCGAACCCCATCTCAACACGCGACCCGCATGCATCCCCGCAGAACTACCTTACAAAAGCGACCGCACCCCTGCTTATCAACCTCTGCGAAATCGACCCGCCGTTCCCGCCCGACTTCCAAGCAAGCGCGGGCGAGATCCTGAAAACCAAGTTCGTACCCGAGTATCACCGTGAGCACTGGGTGGGCTGCAAGCACGAGTTAAGCGTGCGCGGGGACATCCAGGATCCCATGGTCAAGGCTGCGAAGGAAGAGTCGTTCGTGAACGCTGTCGAGTGGTTGAATGAGTACGTTTAGGGTGTTGGTGCAGTGTATTTTGACTATTTGCTATGCGTTTTGCGGATATTTGATCGTCATTACCTATCGGCAAGTAACAACAGCGTTAGTTTGTCGACAAAAGGCTATGAAGTGTGCTCGCGAAGCCATTCTATAGCGGCTTTGAACGCGCCCTCTTTGCCCGCTTTCGACCTCTCATCGCGCAGATCACAGCGCACCGAGAAGCCGTGCTCGCACCCAGGCCAGAACACGCGTTTGTAGCCCGGTTCAAACTTCCCCCCGAAGATCTCGTCCGCTTTGGCTTGAAAGTCGATAGGGAAGTATTCGTCGTCGCAAGTGTTGATGAAGAGTGGTGCTTTCGAGTGGGCAAAGTATCGCTGTTGATCAAGCCAGGTGTATGATCAGCTGGGCCATTCCGCACTTTCAATGCGGAGAAAGAACAGAGATGAAGCGCACCTCGAGATCAGCAGGATTCTCAAGCAGCGAGGGATGGTTCACCACGACGGCTTTCACGGCTTTGTCGAACGCGAGATCGAACGCGGTTCGACCACCGAAACAGAAACCGATTGCAGCAAACGACGTGATGCCCTGTTCTTTGAGACCGGAGATGACCTTGTCGACAGGTTGCCGCGTCTGGGCACGGTTGTGGATGTGGAACCATGTCTGTAGGTCGAACTCGCCTTTCTGTGGGACACCGTACAGCATGAGTGTCTTAAGGTACAAGTGAGCGAGTGAGCTTACGTCGTTGGCTTCGGCGGACACGGGATCTCCGTTAAAGAGGTCTGGGACGACGGTCTTGAAGCCGTTACGCGCAAAGTCGTCTGCTAGGAGCTGTGTATAGCCACGATGTTACAGTGTTGGAATCAGCGACTCAAAAAAGCGGGTAAGTCGTACTTTGTTCTCTTTGAGAGGGATGCCGAAAACGTTGGTTAAGAAGAGGAGAGCTTTGTGTTCCGGGTACTTGGTGGAGGGGGTGGAGATGTAAGTCTCAACTCCGTTGATGGTCTCTATCTCTCCTGTATGCGTAATGATCAGGCTTGGTTGCTTACACTTGACCTATATTGACATACCTTCTGGAATGCCCTCATGGCGGACACCTGGCACATTCATTGATTAGATTTGCTAGGCTCGTCGTCGAGGAAGCCTAGTAACTGCCAAACCTACTACACTTTTCGTGCTCTGAGACGTAGTCATTGATCTTTGTAATGGTCTGATGAGCGAGGCAAGGGTAACTTGTCGGAGAAAGACCATTCGAGGTGATGAGCGTTTTCACTGCTCTGTAAGTATCCTACTGAGTCAGTGCATTCGACTGTTAAGCTGACTCGCCCGTTTGCGTTACCCGACAGCTCAAGAAGACTCTACTGCCTGTCATCTCGGTGAGAAACGGCGAGGATGTCGATGAGCTTAATGGAATGTTCCTTGCCTGTCAGCGTCGATCGTGACAAAGAACGATGGGGATGCGTGGAGTGTATGTCAGCCGAATGACCTCGTCACTGATCCCAAGAAGTTGAGGTGGTAGCGCGCGACCGATACCGCCGATCCTTTGACCAGACGATACAGGTACGATGTTGCGTTTCTCTGCGTAATTAGGCTATGGTGCCGAGCTGTGGAGGCAGTCGTGCGCGTCAAAGAGCGATTCGGGGGCTGCTCGGTGGCCGAGAGCGTCCTTCGGGTGGAGTACTCGGTGTGAAGGCCATGTGACCCTCGAGGCGAGCGAAAGACGCAACCAACCAGCTGGCGCACCGGACGCAATTGGGCTGGACGACGTCAGCGCGTTCCTTAGAATCCTTACGCAAGCAGCATTTGTTGTTCTATTTCTGCATTTTGCTTCTATTATCGCGATCGGCATCTTATCAAGCGTCGCATATGGTTACGCTTCGGACATTCCATTTAGCCAATGGCGGCGTCCCAGGGCCGACGTATAAGAAAGCGAGCGAGAGATGACGAGGTCCTTACTCAGCTAGCTGCACCCGTTTCTCATCCTATAATCAATCCTCTCACATCGTTCAACCTCCCACCGCTCATTGACGAGAATGTCGCTCTGCAAGCACTGTGTTTCTGGTGAGCGGCGACAGAATTTCATTCACGATCTAAAGCCGTGCTGATCGGTGCTTTCTTCCGACAGGTGTCACTCATGAGGGTACCCCTGAAGGTATGCGTCTCCCTCCTCCTCACACCCGACAGGAGGCATTGGTAGTTGACTGACTATATGTAGGCAAGATTGAGATTATCAACGGCGTCGAGTCCTACATCGCCACCCCCACTGGCGACTATCCTAAGGACAAGGTTCTCCTTTTCCTCACCGATATCTTCGGTATCCCCCTGGACAACAACAGGGTCAGTCGGCTTACTCATGAGCGATCACTACTTAGCTGAACCCCGCCTCGATAGCTCCTTGCCGATGCTTTCGCTCGCAATGGCTACAGGGTATGTAGCTTTCGACACTAAATGAACATACGCATGACGTCATCCCTAGACCGTCATCCCCGACTACCTCAACGGCGACTCCATCCCCGTCGAGGCCATGGAGGTTTGTCTTTCCTTCCACACGGAAACTGACGAGATTTTAACGGCTACGGTCCAAACCTTCAGAAGGGCGAGTTCGACATCAAGGCGTGGTTCCCGAACCACACGCAAGCGCAGACGCGTCCCACGCTCGACAAAGCCATCGCCGGCCTCAAGGAGCAGGGCGTAAAGGAGTTCCTCGCCGTTGGCTACTGCTACGGCGCACGCTACGCATTCGACCTCGCATTCGAGAACATCGTCAAGGTCGTCGTTGTCAACCACCCCTCGCTGCTGCAGAACCCCGCCGATCTCGAGGTGCGTCCCGTTTCTCCTCATTTTTGTGTCTAGAGCTAACGATACGACGCAACACCGCAGAAATACCTCGCGGAATCGAAAGCCCCCCTGCTCATCAACTCGTGCGAGACCGACTCGCAGTTCCCGCCCGACTTCCAGGCCAAGGCCGACGAGATCCTCAAGGACAAGTTCGCGCCCGGCTACAAGCGCGTGTACTGGGCCGGCGTCACGCACGGCTTTTCCGTCCGCGGCGACATGAGCAACCCCACGATCAAGGCTGCCAAGGAGGGCGCGTTCAAGGCCGCCGTCGAGTGGTTCGGGGAACACGCGTGACTATGCTCGGACGATGGGAAGGCAAAGATGTAGAATAGTAACGTTATATTCTAACGTAACGATGAAGTTGAATATATATGTATTTTATGGACCAAAAAGTGGCTTGGTCGTGTCCACGCACGACGAAGGGTGGGTTAACAGATGTTTATTCTGAAGCAGCGCCCTGAGGCTTTTTAGTCTACTACTCTACATACTCAAGTACACAACTTCTTCTCATCTCAATTCTTTAGTGATGGAACAACCTCAGCGACGTATGCGCAAACACAATCCCATGCTCGTCCGCCGCCTTCACACACTCCGCATCCATCACACTCCCGCTCGGCGCCGCAAGATACCTCACCCCGCTCCTCTTCGCGCGATGCACATTATCCGGGAACGGGAAAAACGCATCGCTCGAACACGCCACGCCATCCAACTGCGCAGCCCACTCTCTCCTTTCCTGCTCGCTCAGCGCCTGCGGCACGCCCTCAAATAGCGCCTCCCACTGCGCGCGCTCACCGCCCTCGAGCACCTCCCCGCCCACGAACAGGTCGATCGCGTTCGCCTTGTCCGCGCGCTTCGTGCCCTTCTTGAACGGCAGCGCGCGCACGCGCGGGTGGTGCCGCAGCCACCAGTTGTCCGCCTTGGACCCCGCGAGGCGCGTGCAGTGCACGCGCGACTGCTGGCCGGCGCCGAGACCGATGATGGCCCCGTTTTTGGCGTATGCGACACTGTTTGACTGCGTGTATTTGAGCGCGAGAGTGGCGAGGGTGAGGTCGGTGAGGGCTTCTTTGGTGAGCTGGATATCATATTAGATTAGGTTCGTGTGAGTGAGACGAAAGGATGTGTGTGAGAGATAGGGGCGTACGGAGGTGTTTTGGGTGACGACGTTGGTGAAGAGCTCCGGTCCGATCTTGGCATCGTTGCGGCGCTGTTGTAGGTGAATGCCATACACTTGGCGAGTCTCTACCTCAGAGGGGACATAGGCGGGGTCCATCTTAGAGTTGTAGCAAGCCAGTCAGTATATTATCACGGGCGCTAAGATAACGCAACGTACCTGAAGGATGCAGTATTTGCCAGCCTTCTTTTTCTTCAGCACTTCGAGGGCTTCTGGCGAGTATCCGGGAGCAATAATACCATCGGACACCTCACGAGAGATGATCTTGGCGGTGGCGAGGTCGCATGGTGCGGAGATGGCGATGAAGTCTCCGAAAGACGACATACGGTCGGCGCCTATAGATATCATAAGTTAACGGGTCATACACTGCAGTGATGAGACCTTACCGCGAGCACGGGCGTAGGCACATGCGAGTGGCGTCAGGGGCTCTTTGAGATCCTCGACACCGTACACCTGCTTCTCGGCATCGTCGAGTTCGATGCCAACAGCGGCACCGGCGGGAGAGACGTGCTTGAACGACGCAGCTGCAGGGAGGTTGAGCGCTTCCTGGAGCTCCTTGACGAGTGCCCACGAGTTCAGAGCGTCGAGAAGGTTGATGTATCCAGGCGATCCGCTCAAAACTGCCACCACTGCTCAGCACACGACACCGATGTAATCCAGATACGCGGCAAACGCACCCTTGAACGGAATTTCCCCCTCCGTAACATACGTCTGTGCCGGCTTCTGATGCGGATTCGCCCCGTACCTCAGCACCATCCGTTGCACAGGCCCGACGAGCTCGTCGCCCTTCTCCGCCGACGCATACTGCTCCCTGAAATACCCACTGATCGCCTCATCGTACCGCGCCGTCATCTCAAACGCCTTGAGCGCCAACGAGCTGCGCAAACCCTGACCGACGTCGCCCTTGCCCTCCGCCCACGCGCTGAGGAACGGTGCGTAGTCGGAGGGGTCGGAGAGCACGACGACGCGTGCGTGGTTCTTCGCGGCGGCGCGGAGGAGCGTGACGCCGCCGATGTCGATCTCCTCGACGGCATCGGAGAGCGTGCAGTCTGGCTTGGCGATCGTGGAGGTGAATGGGTAGAGGTTGCATACGACGATGGAGATCGGGGAGATGGACTGCGCAGCGAGGTCGGCCTCGTCGGAGGGGATGGAGCGGGCGAGGATGCCTAGTTCCGATCAGGTGGATTGGGGAGATTATGATGAGGTGTCTGTGAGCTGATAGCGTGCCGAGGCGGTGTTGTTCAATGCTTACCTCCGTGCACTGCTGGATGCAACGTTTTGACGCGTCCACCGAGCATCTCAGGGGCCTTGGTAATGTCGCTCACATCTCTGGTCAAGTAAGCTCAGTGAACGCCCCATTCACTATAGCAAGATATCCTACTCACGAGATCTCAATCCCAGCTGCCCTGATCTGCTTTGCAGTACCTCCGGAACCAAGCAGCCGAACGCCCGCCTCGGAGAGGCCCTTCGCGAGATCGAGGAGGTTGGTCTTATCGTAGACCGAAAGAAGAGCTGGCTCAATGGTTTACTACCGATTTGAAGAAAGTAAGAGTAAATCTCACCTGTCAGTTGCGCCATTTTCGACGATTATCCAACAAACTCCAGTATTGTGGTCCTTGCGAGAGCTGAGACCGAGGGAGGCTTGGAGAGGAAAAGAAAAGAAGAAGAAAAGACTCAAAAATTAACGTTTATCTTATCTATACCACATTTAGGTTGATTAATCATAGTATACTATTTCTCACGAGTCTTCTTGTCTTGTTGACAGTTGACCACTTGTCTGCATGTCTATGTGGACAATGAACGACCTTGGCATTATATATCAGGGAAGGTGCCATCATTGGGCTAGGCCTGACAAGCAATGCTGAGGCTGGGCGCCCAGGCATTTGAATGTTCAAGCTTCAAGCTTCAAGCCTCATATCGACGACACTGCAGGCCTCCCTCCAATATCATCGTGCAGGCACCTCTTGTGTTGGTAGGACCTGGGTCTCTGTTCCGTAAGAGAACAGCTGTAAAAGAGTAAATGCTAGACATTGTGAAGTGAATACGAACATTGACGATGTCAAGCTTCATGCAAGTTCGGTCGATCGGACTCGGGAGTCGGGACGCGCATGTCCCGAGTGAGGTAACTTTGGCACAGCCACATCGACCCATCCTCCGTTGTGTTGTGGCTGTGTGGCTGGACCAGACCAAGCGGACGGACAAAGCGTCCTAAGATTGTCCTAACCTCCCAGTCTTCCTCTTGTCTCACCCACACTATCTTGCTCACTACATGGCAGACATCATGAGCGATCTCCAAGAACAACTACAGGTGAAGTATAAACCTTGTTGCACACATCCCACCTCTGACCGACAAGCTTGGTCATCCACCGTCCCCGGGAACATGCAGCGCGAATTCTGCCCACCTTTGGACACCTCCCTCCTAGCTGCTCTCCTTGCGGAACTTGACGACACGCCTGAGCCAGAGGCTGTTGCATCCCTGAGACAAATCCTCGAGCAGCTTGCCGCCCATGCTGACTTGGATACCGCCGCTTCCGCCGAGGATCGTGAAGTCGACGTCCCCAATGGCTCCCTCTCATTCACCGACTCCCGCTCCCGCTCTCTCACAGCCACGGACACCGAACCCACCGAGTCATCCGTCGACTTTGACTTTGACACCACTTCCTCATCTGCTGCCCCTCTATCGTCCTCGTCCTCACCTCCGTCACAGTCAGGCGCCAGTTCAGCGCTTACCTTTCTCCGCTCTGTTCTCCCCGACGTCCCACCCGCTCGACTGCGAGAAGCGATCGCCCACGTACGCGGGACCAACTCTACCGATGATCAAGGCTCGATCGACGATGACGTCGACACCGACGTTGACATGGAGGCCATCATCGATCGCGTGCTCACGGAGGAGTACATCCGGGACCTGGAGGAGCGGGGCATGGACGCGCTCGATGACGTCGTCGGAGGCGACTCTTCGGGCGCGGTTTCGGACTGGCGCACCGTCGACTCGGGGATTGTGGCAAAGAATCATAGGCCGAAACCAAAGCAGAAGCAGAAGCCGCCAATACACACGATTCGACTGGGGGACGTGCGGCAGGGAGGGACTATGAGGCTGGAGAAGGGCAGCAGTAGCGGGACGAACGGGCCAGGGAATGGGAACGGGATGGGACAGGGAGGGTACGTTGACCCATGGACGTCTATCACTTCGCTCGCCTCGCACCTCTCCACTCTCCTCCCCCCACACCCACCCTCATTCTTCTTATCCTATTTCCACAATCCCGCATATACCTGTCCCGCCCATGCTACCCGAGCTGCTCTCGCCGCTCTACAATCCCAAACCCCATCGCCTCCAGCAATGGCCTCTGATGTCTATCCAACGCAAGATGTGGATGAGATCGATATGCTCACCATGATACTCGAACTCTTGCACGCTTCCCCGCCTACCCCAACCACTCCTGTGCATAGAGGCGCTCAAAATGATCCGCTCTTTCCCGTCGCGTTACTTGCACTCCGTGCAACTGGTACACCACCCCGACCAGACGACGCTCTCGACCTCGCACGCCTTCTCACCGAGCTAGATGCCGATGCTGTGGGCACTTCGTGGGAACGCGGAGTGTACCACGTCACCCCAGACTCGCCCAAACTTGCGTCGAAACCCAGAGAAATTCCCTCTCGTCTCCCTGCGCATCCTCCCTCCCCGCAGCCAGTTCCGTCGTCCTCTCGGTCTTCGTCGGAAGAGTCGACATCTGTCAAGGCGACCCGGCGGAGGCACAAGGTCGATACAGCATGGCACACTGTTCCCCTTAAGCCGACTCCCCAGCCCCACCCACTCGCAGCATCCATCCCAGCCTATGCCACTGCAGGTCTATCCGTCCCCCCTGTCTCGCGGAAAAAGAAGAAACCAGCGCCAGCGCCTATGACAGTCACCCCCTTCGCGCCCAACACGCTCCTCAAACCCTCGCCTCCTATCTCTCCCACGTCTCCGACCTCACCAGGCGCGTGGGGAAACAGCGCGCCGCTTTCAACCGCGAATGGCACAAGCAAAGCACAGGCGAAGGCAGCGACATTCAAACAGAAGACAACAGCGACCGGGTACGGATACCCGTACCAGCCGTTCACCTACAGGAGCACGGCAGGGAGCAGCCGTGCTGCAGTGAGCCTCGCTTTAAGGAAGAGAGATGACCTGCTGCGCGAGGCGTCGAGGGCGTGGAGAGGCGGTGGCGGGACGGGGAGGCATGGGGGTGAAGTTGCCCTTGCCCTTGCGGATCGGGTGAGTTGTCGTGTTTTGTGGGTGTATGCGCGGGTTTATGCGTTAACGCGCGCGTATATGCACACTTTCGTTTTTTCTGTCCTTTGGCGTTCGTTGGCTTACATGAATATGTCCTGTTCAGGCACGGGAGTACGGCGAGATTGCGAGACTTGAGACGCTCGAACGGGCGAGGGAGATGGTGCTCGACAAGCGGTGCGCATTCCTCGTGTTTTCGCGCCACATTCATCTCCATGCTGAAATCTTCTCGCTTCAGTGCAACATCGACAGACAAACGCACGATCGACCTGCACGGGACGTGCGTTTCGGAGGCGGTCACGATCGTACGTGATATCCTTGCCTCGGAGGAATGCTCTGCGTGTATGTCTCTCTCTGCCTTGCTGTTCATGGTTGCATATCATGGTACGGACGCTGACAATCGGGTGGCTTTTGTTGCAGCCAAACCACTGCGGATCATCACCGGCCGCGGAACGCACTCTGTGAATGGCGTCGGCGTGCTCAAGCCCGCTGTCAAGAATGCCCTCATTGGTGAAGGCTGGAGCGTCGGCATTTGGGACGGCGGACTCGTCGTTCGCGGTCGATCTCGTTCTTAGTGCTCCAGCCATTCAGCGAAAGACTCGTTTATGGCTTTCGACGATTCTCATTCTTGCTCCCGCCCGAGTCAATGCCCTCGGAGCTGCCAGCTCTAGGAGGCATTGCCCTTCTTAAACCTTTCTTGTTTATTATCTGAACTGGTTACCAGACTCCCTGCGCTGGACCAATTTCCACACTTTTCTTTCCCTGTCTCCTGGTCTGGTCTAGTCCTTAGTTGTGATCACGCCCAGACCAGTTCTTTCTCTAGATCTAATACCATGCGCCCATCTATCTTTGCACGTGGGCGCTCTTGTAGCTATTAGTCCCCCATCCTGCCCCTTTCTCGCTTCATATATCGCCAGGACTTGGTCGCATAGATTTCTTGTGATATTACACATTATATAATATATACTTGAGCGCAACACGCTGCCCAAATAAGCGCCCGTGAGTGGGTGCCTAGGCGCTGAAAGTTGGCCACGTTAACGCAGTCGGGCCATCGTTCAAATGCATCATATATGCCAAGCCTTCTCTTAAAGTGATAAGAACAGGTATGTCGAGCAATGCACGGCAGTCATTTCAACCCAAGAAATGCTAAAGAAGAAGTCCATAAATTCACGAGATATGTATGATGGCCGAGCGACAGCGGGTAATAGAGTAGAAATGGGCATACACAGGCGACCAATCCCCAGTAACGAGAAGCGAACAGCATAAATAGGACGAGACGCAGGTTCCAGTGGTCATAGCCTCGTCACAGCCTTGGAGTCCAGTGGCATACCTGTGTAGCGGAAACGAGAGGAAAGCGGAGAGCGCGTTGAGTCATCCGAGTGCATGCAAACCTAGAATCGAAACGCACCCGTAGGATCAATCCCATTCCTCGCCAGGATCTGGTTGTGCCTGATAAGCCGTGCTTGGTCGAACCTACAGCATCGCAGACGCAGAGGATCCGAACGCAGCAGCGTACGGGTGTCAGTCAGTCGCACGGTATACAGTCAGCAGAAGCGAGAGTGAGACGCACGTAACCCGCTCCCTCCGCATGATAGCCAGCACCTCCTGTGTCCCCTGCTCGTCCAACCCGGACCGCGAGTCGCCCGCATCGAGGTTGTGCGCCTGGATATCGAACATGTTGGACGAGAGGCCGGCCTCGGCCTGTGCCGCGAAGGTGGGCAGAGGCGTATAGTGAGCCGAGGATATGCGTGTGCGTATGCGCTCGGGGAGATAGGGGATGAGGGCTGCGCGGAAGCGGAAGGCGACTAGAGAACATCCGTGATGTGCGAGTGTGGGCGTTCGCGTGTTTGGTCAGCAGGGACAGTGCGAGATGAATGTTGGAAGACATACGAATGCAGATGACGAGGAAGAAGGCAAACACTGAAAGATGGAATAACATTGTGAGTGGGTTTGGCTAGAAGTACAAGAGTTGACGATGGGTGTTTGGGTCAGGAGCAGTTGGTGTGAATGTGGACGCTGCTGCGGGATAGGGGCCACGTGGCGATATATGCAACACCGCCGAATGCGGTGTAACCTTTGGACAGCAACTTGCTGTGAACGCAACAGTTCAACGCTTATGACTGTACCTCGTCGGCGCTCGCTCCAATTTTTCCCATCCATTCTTCCAACTCTCTTCAGTAGACAGGTGAGGGATACTGCACACTTCCGGCTGGGTCGTCTTCTGAACCTTTTGTACAGAGGGGCATTCAGAATGACCGTCACGGACGACGAAATATGGCAAAAGCTAGCCAACGAAATAGCACCAGGAGCAGAGTACGACTCCAACGCTCGGCGGCCCTACTCTCAGTGTTTACCTGGAACCCGTGTCGAACTTCTAGACGCGTTGGAAACGTCTTTGACACGAGGGAATCAACGGTTCGTCTGGCTTTTTGGAGGCTCTGGTTCGGGCAAATCAAGCGTCGCCTACTCTATCGCAGAGCGTCTTCGAAATACTGAGAGTCTAGCTACTACATTCTTCTTCTCACGGAAGTATTTCGCCAGGAGCAATACCGATCGTGTCTTCCTCAGCCTTGCCTATCAAATTGGTCTTCTTCACCACCGTGCCAGGAACTGTATCATAAAGGCGATTAGGTGGAACCCCAGCTTGCTCACTGCTGAGGCATCTCCCCTCCAGCAAAAAGAGGCGTTAGTTGTAGAGCCTTTGAAAGAACTTCAGCACGTATGGGAGGGCGGACGAACAATGATCTTTGACGCCGCCGACGAAGGGGAGGATAACCGCGGTGTTCAGATCAAAGACTTGGCTAACGAGCTAGCGGAGCTTCTCCGCGACCCCACTATCCCCATTTCCAGCGTTCTTTTTACCAGCAGACCCCGTTCTTACCTTCAAAACCTGACCAGACACTCGGACATCGCCAATCTTGTCACAATCCATCAAATAGAGCACTTTGACGCGAGCCATGATGTTGAGCTATTTCTCCGTTATCAGTTCCAAGATATCTACGACATTCGCGACATTTCTTTCGTACACCCTCATCCATGGCCCTCGCAAAACGTCCTTGATACCTTACTTCATCAAATCAAGGGCCAGTTCGTCGTTGCTTCGACCATATGTAACCTCGTGCGTAACGCTATAGACCCTGCGGACTGTCTCAATCTGGTCGCAAACATGTACGAAGGAGAGGTTGATCCCATCGACGTCGATTTGGGCAACATCAACTCAATCTACCGCTACATCCTCAGCGGTGGCGATCCTCAGTGCCAGAGTTCAGACGCAGAGACCCTGGCAGACGTCGTCGCGCTCGCGGAACCTCTTCCACTGTCCGACATATGCAAACTGTTCACTCGCGACGTTGGACAGAACCTCGTGCATCTATCTCCGATCGTCCATATCCCTTCCGCGGAATCCCTCGGACCTGTTCAGATCCATCATACTTCACTGCGCGACTACTTCTCGCAAAGCTCGCTTTCCGGCGATTTCTACGTTGACCCGGCGCATTCACACCAGCGTCTCGTGTGTCGGTGCTTAAAAATCCTGCAACGAGATTTGAAGAAAGATATTTGTGGACTCTGTGACTCGTCGAAACTGCATGGCGAAATCCCCGATTTCGGTGAACGAGTCAATGTGGCGGTTTCAGGTGCTTTGAGATATGCATGCCGATATTTGACGTACCACCTCGCCAGGGCGGACCATACATCTGAAATTCAAGCGCTGGTGTTTCGTTTTACCAAGAAATATCTTCTGTTCTTTTTGGAGCTATCTTCGGTGATTGGCAGTCTACACATTGGGGTGAGAAGTCTCATCGACGCAGAAAAAGTTCTCTCGGTACGTCCGCATCACTCTCTCCTAATATCCTTCTGAATTGTATCCTAGAGTTGGGGAAAATCCGAAGATCGAGAGCTCGCCTTGAAGCTACTTTATGACGCATGGAGGCTCGTTCTCAAATTCTTTGAGCCGATTCGAGATTCGGCTCTTCACCTATACGAGTCTGCACTCCCTTTGTGTCCACCCCAGACACAGCTTTTACCTGTCTACCGCGCACTTTGCCTTGTAAGTGTTATGGCTGTTGAGGAAGGACTTGGTGATCGATGGGATTACCACATCCGCGAATTCTTTGTTAACGTTTTCGCTACTATTATCATGTCACCCAACGGGCATAGGCTGGTTACTATCGCAGCACACGACATACAAGTGTGGGATCCAGTCACAGGTGCCATCATCGCCTCCCTAGATTCTGTACAGGCACCCGATCGTGCCGCGTTCTCTCCTGATGGGATCATACTGGCTTGTCAGTATCACACCGGCCGCACCTGCATGTGGTTCACTGAGCCAAGCTCTTTCGTTGAGTTGATCCCTCCTCAACTTGAGGCAGACGCTGCTGTTTGCGCATTTTCCCATGATGGGCTGCTGCTAGCTACTGCGGTCACCTGCGCCGCAAATTATGGAGTTACTGTTCATATATTTGATCGGGACAGAGATGGCGAATCTTGGTCGCATCGCACGCCGCTGAACTTTCCCGGAAATGGCCGCGTTCAAGATCTGGTTTTCTCCTGCGCAGGTCTTATCATGATCGTTACACAAAACCGCGCGTATATTCTCGACATCACAGACAATAGCTGGTCTCCGCATGCTCAACCAGATAAGAAGTGGCTCTCACCATTTCACTGGCACTGCTTCACATACAACGGAGATGCTACGTTGCACGTTACAGGTGGTAATGAAGTCCGCATGGCGCGTCTGAATACAGGCGAAGACCCTGTACCGACTTGGCGAGTGGAAGGCGCAGATGTCATGAACCCTCCTCCGTTTGTCAGGAGACTAGGAGACGCTTTCTTGCTCGGAGACTACATCTACACGCGAGACAGACAGATTTTTCTCCCTTCGCAGACTGGTAATTGGCACTCTCTAGGAGTTATCACGGAAGGCAAACGCACCTCTATCATCGATCTTTCTTTATTGTTCGGCTGGAAGAAAAGCGCCCCTCGGACAAACAAAACCCGTAGAAAGGATGGTATTGCTTTTATTCCAATCTGTCGTCCAGACCTTAAACAAGCCGTGATCATCAAGGCGGGGCACGAACAGCTCGCTACACACGTGGCTGTGGATGGTATTTCTGGATGGAAAACAATCACACTCAACGGCTCAATCTTTGACGTGCCACGGAGCCATGTTTGCGTGTCTCGCAACATGGAACTATTCGCTATCTTGGATGTCTCCGGCAGAACGGTCTGTATCAGAACCCTCAAAGGACTCAAGGTCTGCGACGTCACCCCTGAAATCGACTGGGTGAAGATTTTAGAGCCATCCATATCTTTGAAGATAGATTTCTCTCCGGAATCCACTTACTTTAATCTTGTTGCGCACGACCACCTGACAGTGTGGCTCGCAGCGACTGGCGTTATAGTGGGCACTACTGATACCTCGCGATTTGCCTTCTCAAGCGACGATACACTTCTCGCTACTGCTGGTTCTGACGGAACTGTCCGTATCTTCTCCGTCGGCAATTGCATGGTGCCGCTTAGGTGTATCACGAATCTCCCGAAGTCCGTCACAGATCTCCCGAAGCCCGTCACGGATATACAGCTAGCCTTCCCTGGACTTACCTATGACATCGACGTGCTGACGTATATCGAAGCCACAGAGGACTCACACGGCGAATTAGCGTTCTCTCAGTATAATTCAAAGACGAGCAACATTCTTCAAACCACAACGCAGCAGACACCAAAAGACTCGTGGAGCAAGCAGCTACTTCGCTCGCCGCATCTCAAAAAGTTCATACTTCGCGAGTGGTCACACGATCTGCCATGGATTCACAACGTAGAGCTTAAGCTACCAGAAGACGGATCTCCAGATACAACCTTATTTGAAATGGACACAGTTTGTTCACCGGGGTCAGTGGTCGATAGTAACACTTGGTCAGATGTGACTATTGACGGTGGATGGATCCGTGTCGGGTCGAGGCGGATCTGTTGGCTACCTCGCTATTACAGGCCACGACAAGGCTCGTTCTGGGTGTTTGCGAACAGGATACTTTATAAGCCTTCATCTCCTGCAAACGTGCCTCGTATAGTCTTACGTCTCAAAGGGGTAGATATTTATTATTACGATTGGTGAAGTCGCCATGATTAATTGGGTGTATTATTTTCTGAATGCATTAGTCTATTAATTATCACGTCAAGGTGTCTCGACTGGAACGCCGATGAGCGGGGAACACTCAGAAAGTTCGGACGGAACAGAATCGAGACGGTGACGTGTATTCGGGAAGTTAGAGCAGGATATAGGAGAGAAAGAGACTGGGAGAGGAGGTACTGTCTACTGGTATGAACGAGCAGTATAAGTATCTAAATAGAGGTGAATGCCATGAGCGCTGTATCGAGTAGAGTGAGGTTCAAAGAACCAATGCTGAGACTGAGTCAAAGCGGAAGCAAAATATCTGTCTCGTAAAAGGAAAGGAAGCATCGAGGAATATGGTTCTAGTGGAGCGATCAGGTACGTAGAACTTGGAGCGATCGGAGACCGAGGGAGACGCCGGCGGTGTGGCGTAGTAAGTCATTGGACGGGCTACATCGACGCATGCTTTTCTCAATGGACGATGACCTTATTTTATGAAACACAAATAAAGTGGGGCGATAATATTGTGGTAAAAGCTCCGACGAGGCTTCGGTCCATTCCTTGTCAACGCCAGTCCAAGCCCGCCGGGGATGAAGTCGAAGCATCGGTGAAACAAACAATTACATCGTCGTGGAGGTTATTCGTAATATTTACCTCTGTTCTCTTCCCTCGCTCGCTATGTACTACTTTGATTGAGATCTCATGCATTATCGGTTTGAATCCTTCTCTTCGTCGCCGTGAGACTACAACATTCTTCTGCAAGGTTGGCTCAACCAGCTCTCACGGGGTTTTACGTAACTGGTGTAGGAGCGCACAGGCTCATTCTGCACAAGGTTTGTAAATTGATGGGAAGGCGATAGTTGAGAGTCGGACAGCTCGTACCCGTGCAAATACGTGCACTCAGTGAATTATCACACCACGAAGATCCGAGCACATAATTTCAGATGCATTGCAGACGCGAGAAACGGCTTTCATCACATAGCTGCAGGACCACACAGACAGACCAGAGTAAATCATGAACAAGCACACAGCCCCCTGATCAGGCTTAGTTTTCGAGAACAGCCGATGTTAGTGCTCCAATCTTGAACGATCAGTAAGATGACCACAGTACGCTAAAAGCCATCACGAAAGCATCCATGACCACTTACCATCACTTGCGTCCCCTCGACGGCCTTAATATCACCCTAACCCTTCCCCTCTCCCTTCCCCTTCCCCTTGTCAGACCTCTCGAAATGGGCCAGTCCTCCTCTCTCCACGGTCCAGTCAACAGCAATGGGTCATCCGAGCTCTCCATTGTTGACCTCACTTTCGACCTCCCCTTTGATTTTTTCGTCATCCTCGCCTTCGACTTGGACTTGGAATTAGGTACATTACGCCCCTGCTCCGGCTGGAACTCCGGCTCCTGCCCCAACTCCGGCCGCTCCACATCCATCCTATCCTCGACCGCTCCCTCCGCCATGTCCTCAATTACCTGCGCCACCGCCGACCGCGACCGCTTCGCCCTCCGTGACTCCGCATGATCCCTCTCCTGCAGCGTCACCGCCGTGGAACTGCGCGACGCCAAGCGGACAGACTCGCGATCGTCCGGGCCCCACCCAGAGCGCTGCAGCGTCTCGTCATTGACATCGTTCGCGTCCCGCGCGTCGTCCTCATCCTCTCCCTCCTCGTCCGAGCGCACGACATGGCGTGATCGCGATTTTCGGGGTTGGTTCTTGGGTTTAGCCTTCGACTTCGGGACGACAGGGTCCGCGGAAGGGCGGCGCCTAGCAGAGCGCCCAGTACCAAGAGTAGCGCGCTTATTCTTAGTCAACGGAGGAGCACCGGAACCAGAGTTCGGGCGGATGACAGTGTTTGGCCTTTTGTGTTGCCCGAGCGTAGAGGCCGATTCCGATGTAGTGATAGCAATAGCGGTAGCAGTCCCGGTCCCACTGTTCGCAGAGAATCCAGCAGATTTGTTTGAGCGAGCCCGAGGTCCGCCCCCTGCAGAGTCGCCTGCGCTGTGCAGTTGAGCGTCGTCGGGCAACGAGTGCGAGCGTCCGGGGTCCGAAGGCTTAGAAGTGCGCGTGCGATCCGGAGAATGCGGGTCGGAACCAGGTTGCTTCGGCGCAGGTGGACCGACCCCGTCTGCAGAGCATGAGTCAGTAGCAACCCAGGTAGACGCCGTGAAGAGCAATCGAGGTGTGAAAAGAGCTCAAGCAGAGGAGATGATAGCTGAAGATAGGAGATGAAACAAGCGGCATCGAGACCCAGGACGTACCGCCCGCTCTCAAACTCGGCCACAACATACCTTGTACAAGAGGTGAACCCGAGGGCTGTTGCTCTAATGCAGGCGACGAAGCCCTTTCAGAAGGCGGGGCAAAGTATGCGAGCGATCGATCATGGGCACTATCAGAATCTCCCCTGAAGCGCACCGGGATGTCCTCAGTCCAGAACTGCTCTTGCACGATCCCGTCCTCGATAGGAGACACAGCCGTGCCTTCGTCGTCATTCACAGAAGCAGAGGGCCCCGGCGGCATAGGAGGAAGACGCCCCGTGAAAAGCGAGAACTCGCCAGAGGTAGAGATGATGCTGTTCCCGGAAATATGTACGTGCCTGTGCGACTGCAAGATGCCCCCGGGAACAGGGTCGGTCAAGTCCATCATGTCCACGCCTTCTGTGATGGAACCGGCGCCAAGGACCTCGTCTCCATTGTCGTCGCCCTCAGTCATGTCCATGATCTGCGTCGGAGTGACAGAAGGATCCAAAGGTTCGAGTCCTGTCCGAGATAGCTCTTTAGTTTGCTTACGCGGTGGCGTCGAGTAGTACTTCGGGCGTCCGCCGAGGACGCTGCAAGACGATGTAGGCGAGGTGCGACCATGAGGGCGTATAGCGGGCAAGTTCCACCTCGACGGAGACTGCGGTACGATATCGGAGATGAACGCGTAGGGGCCTTCTTGCGATTGAGTGCGTGTGTATGTCTGAGCAAGAGTTGACGGGCCGGCGGACCTTGGTTTATCATCAGTAGGACGAGACTCCTTAAGAAGAGACTTTCTAGGAGACCGTCGTGTGTTCTTCCTGGGAGAGGAAACAGCAGATCCTGGCCGGCTGTTATGAGGGGATGCGAGCATGGTTCGGCTGTTTTCCTTGAGATTGCGAGAGGCTATAGTACGCGAAGGCGTCATCTTAGTTCGGGGAAACGGAGACATATTGGCACGAGGATCCGCCAAAGACTGCTGCCGAGATTTTTTAGGAGAAGAGAGAGAAGTACGATGGCCCTGTCGTGCAGCGGGGAGCAAAGACTCGCGCATATAACCACTAGCATCCCGAGCATCCACGTCCTTGCCAAGCTTGGACTTCTTAGATTGCGTATCGCGATTAGTAGCGTTCGCGCCCGCATCGAAGAGACCAGAGCCAGAGCGCTTGAGCATCCGGCGCGTCATCTCGGAGCGGGTGATGTTGTCCACCGCGGGATCGAGCTTCACTGGCGAAGAGTGATGCGTAGAGTTGGGGTCCGACTGGCGTCTTCCTAGGGTACTCGAGTAGGTTTTTATGTCTTGAAACTGCTGTGATGCCATACTTTGCTGCGTGATGTGTGAGCTAAAGCGCATAAAGATGTAGAAGGAAAAGTGAGCTCGCTAGATGCAACAAGTCGCGACGCTCGGAGACTTTGGCCGGTTACCCAGCTTCATTCTCCGCTGATTTTCTGGTGAGTATCCTATATTATTAGAGCTCCGCTCCAAGATGCCGTCGACGGCGACACACCTTATCTCTTTACAGTTACGCGTATGCGTTGAGCTGATCGCCGTTTACCACATGTGCGCCTGGGTTTCATCTCCCCTCCTCCTGCAACATACAACTCAACATACCTCCGCATGCTGAACCTTCCCACAGAGCTCGCTCTCCAAGTCATCGCGCTCCTCGACGTAGGATCTGTCTTCACACTTCGCAAGGCATCGCGCTTTCTCCCACTGGCCCGGAATATGTCTCGCTCATTATTGACGTTTTCCCCGCACGCGCTGTCGTTTGCTTCCCGGGCCACCCCACATCCATCCCATTTTCGTCGATTCTATCTTGATAACAACAGACATGCACAACATTAAGAGACTTGACATACGATCGCACGCTGTGGCTCGGGCTCTACCACTGGGTGCGGTCGTTCCTCCCCGTCCCTACCCCAGACTCGCCTTCTAGCCACGACCCGAGGGCTCACAATTCAAGCTCGTTGGAGACACTCTCACAACCCTCCCTCGAAAAGCTCGTCGTCGCATCCCTGCAAGTTGAGCGCTCATGGCTCCTCCCGCGTCCGCGCATCCTCACTAGGCTCGTCTCGCCCTCCGCCCCCATGCGATCTGAACTCTCCCTCTCTTCGCTCGAATTCGTGCGCGATAGGTATCTACTGGCGGTGTACGAGCAGGGCATGGTCGATCTGTGGTACATGGACACGGACATGGACAAGGACGGGCAGTGGAAGGATATGAAGCTGTATGCGTGGTACGCGTTTGATGAGGATCTGGGGGTACTGTCGAGCGCACATGAGGTTAGCGTTAGTGAGGATGGGGAGGTGTTGTATGTTGCTGTTACGTTGGCTGAGGTGTACGTCTTTTTGCCTGCCTGCCTGCTGGATCGAGAGCTGACAAACATGGACTCTAGGTTCATCACGAGGATAATCTCCATCCGACTCGATGCGGAGAGCGCGAACACCATCCAACGCTTTGACGTCGTGAACGGAGTCGACCTCTCATCTCCGAGGGTCGTCCGGGCCATCGATGTCGAGTCAGGCATCGCGCTCTTCTCACACGTGTCGTCGATGGATGTGGTCAACTGGCGGACCAACACCTCTGTTCCCATTACTGTACATGCAGACGACGATCTTGAGGAGCTTGTATGTGCCTCCCGTTTCTTGATGACTATTCCCACCTCTGATGTGTATGTGGCAGTGGAACGGAATAACGGCCATGACCTTCTGCGGACCCTACATAGTGTGCTTCCGCGCCCGCTCGATCGAGCTCTACCCCATCCCCTCCCTCCCTGACACTGCACCCTCATCCTACACCCCACACTACCCCCATCTCCCTGTCCTCATCCACCGCTTCTCCCACATCACCTTCCGCCGCGTCTCCGTCTCCCACCGGCGCCCCTCACCCTCCACCTCACCCTCCTCATCTCTTCCAACAAGCTACACCCTCTCCTTCGTCGGCTACGACGTCTTCCACGGCCTCTTCCAGTGCCTCCTCACCCTCACCCTCGCCCCCGTCCCCTCCCTCACATTCGCCCTCGCAGCACTGCACCCCGTCGGCATCGCGCGCGACATGGTGCACGCGTACGCGAGCGTGTTCGGCGCGGGCGCGGGGAAGCCCGCGTTCGTCGGCGCGTGGGCGCTGGGTCCGCAGGGGCGGCGGGGCGTGTGGGTCGAGCGCATGCGGGAGAGTCTGACGACGAGCCTGTATGCGTTTTCGTGGGATCGTACGCGGCAGAATGTGCGGCCGCGGTTGAAGGAGAGTGTTGTCGTGGGTGAGGGACCCGAGGACGGGGATGGGGCGGTGGACGATTCGGATGCTGTGGATGGGATTGTGGTGGAGACGGAGGCTGAGTCGAGCGACGAGGAGGAGGTTGGATTTGTGAGGGTGCAGACGGGGGTTCCGCTCATGGACGGCAAGATCGTGATGGAGGTGCCGTCTATCGATCTTCGAGGTTCGTGCCTTTCACTCTCTTTTCTGATGATACTGCGTTTACAGTATCTTGACATAGAGGACATCACACTATGTGCTTTGTCAGAAGCTACAGGTCGCATAGCGCTCGGGCTCCGTTCTGGGTCTATCAAGATCGTGTAGCCGCTCGTGCGGTTGGTACAAGCGGAATATCAATATATGCGTTGGGTTTACTTCTGATTATACCATCCTACACACATTACATACGCCATGGAAAGCAAGACATGGTTTTCAACCAGGAAAACTGGTACTTTTTGGAGTGATCGATGAGAACGTGATCATCAGTAATCAGACGCGCGTGCCGTACACGTCCTTGGGCTCGACGCCGGCTTGGCCTCGACGGATGTTGGCCTGGGCCCACCTGGAGATATCGTTAGAGAGCAAGACCAGGTAGAGAGGTGAGGGATACGTACTTCTTGATCCGGATGCTCTCGATCTGGATGAAGCCCGTGGTGTCGGTAGGCTCGAACCCGCCGAGCTCGTCCATTGACGAGAACTTCTCGTCGTACAAGCCCTGTGAATCATGCACATCAGCCAACGATCAGGCTCCAAAATGCACGATCCATCACATACCTCGTCGGAGTACCGGCCCTCGACGACGACGTTGCCCTTGTACAGCTTCAAGCGCACTACACCGTTCACGGTCCGCTGGCTCGCGGGGATAGCGCTCGTCACGAACTCGCGCTCGGGCGTGAAGAAGTGGCCGTTGTACAAGATGCGGCTCAGCTCGACTGTGACAAACTGGTCGCGCAGCGAGCGCACGTTGCGATCGAGCGTGAGGCCCTCGAGGTCCATATGCGCGACGCGGAGGATCGTCGCGGCGGGGGACTCGTAGCACCCGCGGCTCTTCACGCCGATGAAGCGGTTCTCGACGATGTCGATGCGCCCGATGCCGTGCTTGCGCGCGAGCGCGTTGAGCGTGAGGAAGACCTCCACGGCGTCGGTCGTGTCTTTCCCGCCTGCGGTCACTTTGACGGGGATGCCGCGCTTGAACTCGATCGAGATCTGCTCGGGCGTCTCGGGGGCGGACTCGGGTGAGGCGGTGAGCTTCCACATGTCTGCTGGGGGAGTGGTGTTGGGATCTTCGAGGATGCCGGCTTCGTACGAGATGTGGAAGAGGTTTTCGTCGGTCGACCAGGGCTTGGCGGCGGTTTGTTGGACGGGGATCTGCTTTTCGGCGGCGTAGGCGAGCAGGTGCCCGCGGCCGGCGAAGCGGTTGTAGAACTCTAAGGTAAGATGAGTGCGTCAGTGATCAAAACGACTTGGGAGGAGGAAGTGATGTGCATACCAGGAATACGCCAGGGTGCGATGACCTTGATGTCGGGCTTGAGGCCGTAGAAGGCGAGCTCGAAGCGGACCTGGTCATTGCCCTTGCCCGTGCAACCGTGCGAGACGAAGCTGTCGAGCGCTTAGATAATCGCCCACAGATGAATGTTGTTGTGGCTTACTCGCATCCCTCCTTGTCAGCGATCGCGATCATACCACGGGCGATGACTGGGCGAGCGAGCGAGGTACCGAGGAGGTAGACGTTCTATGCCACATGAGCTATGACCTGGGAGCTAGAATAAACCGTCACGCACCTCGTAGATGCAGTTGGCCTGGACAGCTGGATAGATGAGCTCCTCAACGAACTCGCGTTTGAGATCCTTCAAACTGCAATGTCAAGCATGGATCGTTGGATGCACGGCACGCGACGCACCGCCAGGAAGAACTTCTTCGCGCCAACGGCGAGAGCCTTTTTCTCAGCAGCTACAAAATCCTATAAACGCGTATGAGCACAAAAGCAAAGGCTCGTGCTCATTTATACCTCTTCCTGTCCGACATCACCCATGAACGCGTAGACTTCGTAGCCTTCCTCGATGAGCCATGCCAGGATACACGAGGTGTCTGAACGGTAAGGGAAAGCGGTGAGCTGTTTGACCTTTACCTAGTCATGCCAAAGCTTACCCAATCCACCCGAGTATGCGAGGAGAACGCGACCCTTTTGCTGTGCGGAGGCCATGAAGAAAAATGGAGGGGTGGAGGCTATCGATAGAAAGATTGGAGGTCGAGTCAGAACAGTTTAGCCTCAAGGTGATTAGATTACGGCGTCTTCCGCATTCGGCGTCTTTTCAATTATTCGTGACGCGTAACGCGTATCAGATAGGGGCTTTGTGACAAACAAGGTAACATCACGCCAGTCCATTCCATCCTGTGGTTCCCAGGAGGGACGAGGTTGATGGAGCGATTGTTCGTCTGGAACGAAACACTTCCCCTTCCCCTTTCTTGTCTTTGTAACGACAATCTTGACAACCTTTCACGACGACAAGCCACGTATACGACATCTCTTGAATTCACTTTGTTTACTTGTAAGCGACTCTAGCCTCGTTGCTGCAGCGTGTCTTGACCCATGCGGCTACCGCGGCGCTAGACAATGAACCACGCCGAATCGCCCACCAGCAAGCGCAACCCGACCCTCCGTCGGACCACTGCGACGCTGGACAGTCACGCCGCCGCCAGCTCTTCTTCCCGCCGTCAGAGCCGCCGCTCGCGCTCGCCCCGTCCGAATCTGCAAACCCGCATCGCCCAAGCGCGCGCCGACGAGCCGTCGCAGAGCGCGTCAGTCAAGAAGAGGAGGTCTGGAACAGCGACGATGGGTCAGCCCCTCGGATCAACGCCTCACCCGCCCTCCATTCAGACGGCGGCGGAAGATGAGCGAGGGAGGAAGTCCAAGATCCCCAAGTCGAAGGGGACCGCGCGTCTAGCTGCGGACAACGCCCAGGCATCGACGTCTCGCGTGGAGCACAGACACTCGGCGAGAGAGCGTTCAAGGAGCCGCGAGTCCGCAAGAGAGTCGCAGGCTCCGACGGATATAGGGGAGGAGTCCAGTGTTGAGATTGTAAAGCTCAGGCGCGAGCTGGAGAAACTACAGAAGGTGCGCATATACTCATTGCGTCTTGGTATATCGACTGATAACCGGCACCAGAAGGAGCATGAGCACAAGAAGTCGATCAAGAAGCAGAAGCAGGTGAGTAGAATATGTCTCTGTTTGCTCAACCATATTGATCTGGTTGCATAGCATCTCGAGGAGATCCGCCAGCAGCTGGCTGCCAAAGAAGAGGTAAAATTTGATCCGTCTGTTGGGTTGAGTCGTTCCTTGACCTCCATTCCAGAGCGTGCGCGAGAGCAAGGAGGAGTTGCAGGGGTTCCAAGCCAAGGCCAGAAAGGCCGAAGAGGTGAGCTAATCTACTCCACGCGCGCCATCCATGTCGCTTAAGCCTGCCTACAGGCTTTGAGCACCATCGAAGTGCATTCGCAATGCCATATCTGCATGGATCTCTTACATAGACCATACACGTACGTCCATCCTTCCTTTCAAGTCCCTCCTTCCGCGCCGTGACCGCCACACCCGCAGGCTCCCCGGCTGCGGCCACACCCTCTGCATGAGCTGCTTGCAAGAGTGGTTCCGGCAAGCACCGCCGGCCGACGGCGAGACGTACGACGAAGAGGATCCCCAGTACCTCATGTACCGGACCAAGCACTGCCCCGCGTGCCGCACCAAGGTCTCGCACCGGCCCGTGCCATGCTTCGTCATGAACTCCATCGTCGCCACGCTCGAGAAGGCAAAGGCAGCGGCCGCGCACACGACGACAGGATCGTCCCCCGCTCCGCCGCGCTCCCCGTCACCGCCCGCAGACGCCGACCCCTGGAAGGGCCTGTTCCCGCCGGACGGCGAGCACGAGCCCGACGGCTGGGACGGCGACGAGTCTCCTGCCGAATTCGAAGGACCCTCTGATTCGGACGACGACGACGACGAAGACGAGGACGACGACTCGGACGACATGTGGTACGACGACAACTTCTCGTACGGCTCCGATTCGGACGCACCACCCTACGATGGGCTGTACACCGAGCCGGCGTGGGAGCCGGCGCAGTTCGACGCGGCGACCGTCGCGACGGAGCACTATCCGCTCGAGGACCTGCTCGAGGACGATCTGCGCGTGCTCGCGCGCGGCGGGCGGATCGGGATGATGCACGCGTGGGAGCTGCGCTATGCGCACGAAGAGGGGCTGAGCGCGTTCGACGAGCGCGGGAACCGGTACTTTTTGGGCTGGAATGTGAGGCTGAGCGCGGACGACGAGGACGGGAACGGGTATATGGAGTGGGTGATGGCGGATATGCAGATTCATCCGGAGAGGTGGCGGATCGAGCATCTCGAGGACGGGACGTACGATGCGCATAGGCTCGTGCCGTGTGATTCGGTCGAGGAGTATTCGGATACGGATTCGGACGATTATTAGGACGTGGGGGTTTGGGTTTGCGGTTCTGATATTGTATCACTAATGGCTGTACAATTTGTAGATCAAGCAGGGCATTCTGTGTCATAAGCTGAAAGATGCTTTGAGAAAAGTCATAAGTCGATGTACAATATGAACGGTACGCCAATTCTATTCGTTCAACTTCGGTGGAGGTCAAGACCGGAAGCTTGGATAGAGAATGGGTTTCAGGCACATAGTAGCTTTTATGGTGAGAACTACTCTATCGGCCACGACGGAGAGGTCCATTAATCTACCTGTTAGTGCTGCCGTCGAGGCGAGGTCACCTCTAGGGTCGCCTCGCCTCGCCTTGACGGCAACACTACTTCTGAGCATGGTCACGCGTGGGCGCCGAACCACTCAACGGCAGCCTTGAACGCACCCTCTTTGGCTTCCTTGATCGTCGGGTTACTGATGTCGCCGCGCACGGCAAAGCCGTGCGTGCAGCCAGCCCAGTACACGCGCTTGTAGCCGGGCGCGAACTTGTCCTTGAGGATCTCGTCGGCCTTGGCCTGGAAGTCGGGCGGGAACTGCGAGTCGGTCTCGCACGAGTTGATGAGCAGGGGGGCTTTCGCTTTCGAGAGGTATTTCTGCGATATTAATGCGTGTTATCGTTAGCTCTGCATGCAATACGATGTGAACGGGGATGAGGCGGAACTCGAGACTTCGCCAGCGGCAGCGGATGACCGATAACAAGGACGCACCTCGAGATCAGCGGGGTTTTGCAGGAGCGATGGGTGGTTGACGACGACGACCTTGACGATGTTCTCGAACGCGAGGTCGAAGGCGTAGCGTGCGCCGAAGCAGTAGCCGATGGCGAGGAACTCCTTCACGCCCTGCTCCTTGAGGCCGGCGATGACCTTGTCGATCACCGGGCGCGTCTGCGCCTGCATGTGGTTCGGGAACCACGCCTGGATATCGAACTCGCCCTTCTGCAGGTCGGAACGTACTAGCTGTCAACATCTGATCAGGTTTCATGTGGGTGAGGAGGCGTACCTCCATGGCCTTGGCAGGGATGGCGTCGCCGTTGAAAAGGTCGGGAATGATGGTCTAGGGATAACGTCATGCATATGTTCATTTAGCGTCAAAGCATTCACATGCTACGTACCTTGTAGCCGTTGCGAGCGAAAGCATCAACGATGAGCTGTCGAGGTAAGTTTTAGCTGAGTAGCAATTACTTGTGGACTGATCGACTAACCTTGTTGTTGTTGAGGGGGATACCGAAGGCATCGGTGAGGAAAAGAATTGCCTTATCCTTGGGGTAGTCGTTGGAGGGGGTGGCGATGTAGGACTCGATGCCGTTGATGGTCTCAATCTTGCCTGTTTTCGTGTCTCTATCAGTTACCAAGTCCTTCTTCCGTTACAAGAGGGAGGTGCACATACCCTCAGGGGTACCCTCGTGGGTGACACCTATCGAAAGAAAGCGCCGATCAACGTTCAACACGGCTGTAGATCGTGAACGAAAACCCAACGCCGCTCACCAGAAATGCAGTGCTTGCAGAGCGACATTTATCGGTAAGGTGGGTGGTTGAACGATGTGAGAGGATTGGTTGAAGGATGAGAAACGAGTGCAGCTAAGGACCTTGTCATCTCTCGCTCGCCTTTATACGTCGGCCCGCCAATGTCTGAAGCTCTGAAGCGTGATCATATGCGTTTGCTAATATGCCAGTCGTGATAATAGAAGCGAAATGCAGAAATTGACCAGAAAATGCCGCGTCAGGCCGCGTCTATCCATATTGTATCCGGTGCGCCAGCTGGTTGGTTGCGTCTTTCCCTCGCCTTGAGGGTCACATGGCCCTCACACCGAGAACTCCTCCCGAACGGCTCAAGGGATGCTCTCGACTAGCGACCAGCCTCCGAGCCACTCTTTGCCGCGCACGCCTACCTCCACACATAGGCACCACAGCCTGATTACGCAGTGGAACACAACACTGTACCTGTATCATCTGGTCAAATGATCTGCGGTATCGGTCTCGCGGTACCACCCCAACTCTCAGACAGGCTGGAATAGGTCATTCGGTTGACAACTTGACATACACTCTATCCAATCTCATCTCTTTATTTTTTTTGTTAGTATTGAACACTAATAAACAAGCAGCGTTCAGCAGAGCTCATCCACGCCGTGCAGTTGCTCAGGCTAGCGCTCAGGTACCGGGACGACGGATAGTAAAGCCTTCTCGAGGTGTGAGGTAACGCGAACGGGTGAGTCAGCTAAACAGTCGAGTGCACTGACTCGGTGGGATACTCACAGAGCATTGGTAGAGAAAACGCTCGTCATCTCGGAGGGTCTTTCTCCGACGGGCTACCCTTAAATAAGCGATGGAATGCAACTTCCGACAAAAGCAGAACACACAGTCAACATGCACTGCGCTAGCACCCTAGAAGTGCTTATGTAACCACTCGACAGCATTCACGAACGACCCCTCCTTCGCAGCCTTGACCATCGGATCCCGGATGTCCCCGCGCACGCTGAACCCGTGCTTGCAGCCCATCCAGTGCTCGCGGTGATACCCTGGCGCGAACTTATCCTTCAAAATTTCGTCTGCGCTTGCTTGGAAGTCGGGCGGGAACGGCGGGTCGATCTCGCAGGAGTTAATGAGCAGGGGTGCGGTTGCTTTTGCGAGGTAGGTCTGTGCGGGGGGTGTGAGTTACGTTTAAATGGGGTAAGGGATGAAGGAGGGAAGTGTCGGGAGAGTAGAGACGGACCTCGAAGTCCTCTGGGTTCTTGAGCAGCGACGGGTGATTGCATATCGTGACCTTGGTGACGTGCTCGATGGCGAGGTCCCAGGCGTGGCGAGCTGCAAGGCCGAGAATGTCAATTTCACGCCCCTCGGAGCGTATTATGCGTATCCCACTCACCTCCGTAGCAGTATCCAATCGCAGCAAAGGCCGTCACACCCTCCTCCCTGAGCCCGGCGATGACCTTGTCTAGCGGAGGACGGGACGTCTCGGGCCCGTGACGCTGGAACCAGTCTTGAACAGGAAATGTTCCTTTCTGCAAGCGCTGAGTAAGCGAAACGTGGGGTGCTGGGGGTTGGTGAGTATAGGTACCTCGAGCTCTGCGGGCGGGACACCGTCGCCGTTGAGGTAGTCCGGCATCACAGTCTACGGAGTCGTACCAATGTAAGCTCAAACATTGAGCACTCAAGTTGAAGAGACTCACTCTATACCCGTTCCGGGCAAAGTCGTCCGCGATGAGCTACCGACCAAACACCGGGCACGTCCCGCGAGACTCCCACATTAACCAAAGAACGCGTCAACAAGGGTGTGGACGACGCACCTGAGCGTTCTTGAATGTGATTCCGAAGAAGTCAGGCAGGAAGAGCAGGACCTTTTCTTTTGGGTAGGTAGCGGAGGGTGTAGCAATGTAGCATTCAACATCGTTGATCTTTTCGATTTTGCCTGGGTGAATGATGTCAAGTTCGAGATGGAGTGGAGAATATCACAGGTGAGAGACGTACCTGTAGGTGTACCTTCGTGGTGCACACCTATAGTATGGAGTAGCACATAGCAGTCATGAACACCACTATCAGCATGCGTCGAACTTTGCGCCCACCTTGAACGCAGCATTGGCTCGGTCCAGACATTACGGTTTGGAGAACTTCAAGTTGTAGCGATTATTGGGTGTTGTGGAGGTTCAATGGAGGTTCGGGATGAAAATGCGGGTGTCATCATCTGTTCTCGTGAGGTGAGCATCGGCGAGTTGTCGACGAGCGTCGTGGATTTCGCGCAGATAGTCTCGGCGGGGAGTTTGTTGCGGCCTGCGAGGGCCTGCTGCACCGGGACAGGGTGATCGAATTAGGGGCCATGTGGAGGGACCGTGGGTACTGCCGCATTTTCTTTCTTTCGCATCTCCATCTCCAGCTTCTTCTCTCTGCTCACCGACTCCCTAAGTGTCCTTTGTCCAACCCAGGGGGCGCTTCATTCATCATGACCTGCTCACACCATCCAACAACTTTCTGTCCTAGCATCACGGGTTGACATCGGCCTCAACCGTTTTCCCGCGACTCCCTTAAGTTCAGAAATAGCCCGGTACTTGAGTTGTTCTCGCGTCGCACTGCAAAGTACCTCCACAGCTGTGGCATTCCGTCTCTCTTATGGCACACTCAAACATACACCAAGACCACAAGCCCCAATGCATGCTCAAAGACTTCTACAGTGTTTTGTGCTTTGCTCAAACTAGCGCCAATCATCTCACATTGGGCTAGGCGCTAACTATATGCGATCCACTACTCTCATGCCAAGGCGGCTCTCCCAGGTGTCACTGACTTCAACGGTTTGAGCACTCACGGCTCAGACAGTCAGAGCAGTTTTGAATAGAAGAGCCGTTACTTAGGCATCACCCTGCGAACACTGATCCGTGTCGAGGCAAAGAAAGTATGCGAACATCGACGTCTCCCCGACCACCGGCATCGGATTTAGCACCCGTTCTCGCATTGTCTTCCGACCCCCGGTAACAGCCAGTGTGAGTGCGCATGCGCAGCACCCACATATACGAAGGGTGTCAACCCCTCAGGAACGCCTTGACCACCCTTCCTCGCACTCCAGAGCCGGCTCTGTATTACGGCGGCTCCTCGCTCTTCGTTGATCATGTTCTCCCCGCTCCCGCTACGGAGGAAGCTGAAGCTTTCCGATGGGCAGATCCTCCCCTTTTCTGACTCTCGGACACCGTCACCTGTGCACACGGCACCCGTACATCTGACGAAGCGCGGGTGGCGCTTCGCCACGTGTCTGGTGACATTACTCTGCGTAGCTGGAGTCATGTTGCTTCGGGCTATTTCCGGTCAGCTCAGGTTGGAGCTGGGGGTGGTGCAGAGCCACTCGTCCCTGCCGCCGCTCTACGAGGCGTATCGGTCACGAGAAGAGAATCTGCCTCACTACGAGGAGTACGCGCGGAGGACGGACATCAAGTACCTCTGGTCGGAAAACTTTGCACGCAGTTGAGTGGATCCTTGTTTTGCTTTAGTTGCAGCTGACATCGTCCAGGCGCAGGGTGGGGGAACATCATGCAGGACTTCATGATGATGGCACTGCTAGCTCATGCGACCAATCGCTCGTTAGTCCCCTGGCTTTTTCACGGTTTAACTGATGCCGACACTCCCTTTAGCCATGTCTTCAATGACTACGTTTGGGACCCAAATCGAGGGCCGTACAGCGATTTCAACGGCAAAGTTATCCCTTCACGTATTCCGCTCACTGCCATTGTCGGTGGTGAGTTCGTAATCCCTGCGACTTTGGACTCATTCTGAATGGGAGCATGTAGGTCCGATGGTCGGTGGCGATCTGCCACCAGAAGATACGACCCCTCGCGCAGTGTCTAGTAGTTTCTTTCACGAAGTCTGCCCCAACCCGACCATTATTAACGTGAAAGACGTCAATACCGATGACATGGTATATGGTGACGTGCCAGCCTCGTCAGTACTAAAAACGTGGATCAAGAAAATCGACTCCATAGACGATCCGTGTGTAAAGCTCGCTGGTGACAATCCGCCTATCTTCGAGGTTTGGTGCGAAATATTCAGTTTGGTTTTTCTGTGGACGACCAGTTGATTCGTGCTCCTAGGATATACGGAGATAAGAAACGGATGCTTACCATCTGGCCGTATCTCTCGAAGACGCCTGTGATGACACACTGGAGGTGGTCCCCGCTCGTCGTCGACGCATTGAAGAGTAACCTTCGGCTATTCACGTCGACATCGTGGTTCTATCCACTCGTCTCTGATACACAAGAATCTGACGCTCCCGATATGATCCCTGGGCTTCTCGCAATCCATGTACGACGGGGCGACTTTGCCAATCACTGCCGTCACCTCGCAACGTGGTCGTCCGACTGGAACGCGTTCAACTCTTTCCCTCAGTTCACTGACAAATTCGAGGTCCCTTCGGACGTCGGTTGGGGGGAGACGACACCGGAGAATAGGGCGATGTACGAGCGGAGGTGCTATCCTTCCATCGATCAAATCGTGGAGAAGGTCTCCCAGGTTAGAAGTGACGCGAGAGGTTCACTGAAATACCTCTACATCATGACGAACGGCGCGATGGAGTGGGTGGATGAGCTGAAACAAGCGGTCCAGCGAGCGACGTCAGGGTCTCAGCCATGGGATAGCATCGCAAGTAGTCGTGACTTGAAGCTGACCTGGGAGCAAAAGTACGTCGCTCAATCTGTGGATATGTACATTGCCGAGCGAGCGCAAGTGTTGATTGGGAACGGGGTGAGTGCTCCTCTGTTGGACTATCCCGAGCTGATTTCTGAGCCTCGATTGCACAGTGGTCGAGCTTAACATCAAACGTCAACGCTCTGAGAATGGTAAAGAAGTTTTCTCCTGATTCTGCTAGGTTCTGGTAGCGGACGTTATTTTTCGGGACTGTGTACGGACCTGTGTTTATTCCATGACTAGATATACCCTACACTATACTTTCCAGGACATTTGGACATTCACTGGCGGCCATAGCCGACGAGATAGCCATCCCATTCGCTCGCTAGGGTAACAGTCTTGTGGCAATCTTGCCAAGGTGATACCTTGATATTTAATCACGTTCAAGTTACAGGGCAACTCATGATACTCGCGTTGAAATATCCTTTACCTTTCAATATTTGTGGAGAGGGTAGCGCGAGGTTTTATAGCCTCGGCATTTTGCAGTGAATACCGTTGCTGGTGGAGACCGGTCGCGCTCCACATTTGACCCTCCTTGTAGTCCATAAGCATCCGAGATAAGTTTAGGATCGCGAGGGTCGTCCGACTGATCATGTGTTTCAGTTGCTGCAAGATTAGTGGGCAACTCTTGCTATCCTCCGACCAGTAATTGGGTAATCTCACGTAAAATGCAGTGCACCTTTTCTCGCCAAATGACTTCTCTACCTAATCACAGTGGCCCCATAGTTTACAAGGACCATCTTTTCTCTTCCAGCAGCACAGCAAGAGCTGCGTACAGCTCACACTCAATAAGACCAAGTACTGTGGACCTCGTTGCCGGCAATGTTCCAGGCACAGTGTACCTGACTGCAGCAGGCTGCGGCGCTTCTTTGTCGGCACCCTTCGGCACCTCAACATTACGATGAACGGAGATTTCTTAGACTGCCGATATCGTGCTAGGTTGTCGTGATGTCTAGATGTTATACGACGATTCCGGAACGTCTTGCAGTTTCACTTACAATGCCAAGGATTGATACGCTCCGTACCACGGGCTTCCGATCTGAGAACCCGTTACAAAGGGTAGGGTTACTACATCTCTTTCCAGCTCATTCTCAGTTCCAGATAGTGTACTGAGTTTGCTTCCGGTGACAGGCCTCGATTATCCACGCGGCCTTGGCGTCCTATGGACGCGAGTGCCATCGTCGCCGCCAGTACATCCCACATCCCCGGAGATCCAACAGTGAGCACTCACTGGGGATACTAGAGGGTACTTCAAGATTATGTGAACTGAGTATCCTGCCAATTGGGTCACGCTGAGGTTCAGTCTGTGCTAATAAATTTGCCAGGCTCAACAACATTTTGCCGTTAACTTGCAGTTGCCTTGACAGGTCTGGAAAAGTTTACAATCCCGCAAACCGTAAATTCGTCGTAATATTGGGGAGAGATATACTATAGATATCTAAATTTTCTATCGAAACAACTTGCAAATGTTAAGCAGCAGTCATCGTAGTATACAGACACAAAGATGCAGTAGATATGTACACAGAAGCTGCTGGACAAGGTTGATCTCGGAATGGTGGCCATGTGGTTGTAGGCGCTTGCGAGCCAGCACAATCACGAACATGTCCACCGACGGCAGATCCCATGACTGGTAAGGTCTAGCAAGCTAATACACAATTGTGCACTTTTAATATATGGAAACGATATGATGCCCGATGGACGGATTTGGCGGCACATTGTCAAGCCTGGTTCCATCAAAATACCACCCCTTGCAGCTGATTTACTATACAGTGTTCTACACATACGCGCTCACATTTCTCCCCGCTCTCGCATCTCTTTCTTTTACGGAAGGATTCCCCGCCGTGTATGCATGAATCGTAACTAACCAGCCTTCATGATTTTTTTTGCCGCCGGCTGGGATATAACATCCAGGTGGTATTACCGCCTCTATTGCGGCGCTATGCGGTTATGAACACAAGATTGAACGCGTACGCACAGGTTTTGCCGCTGAACAAAGACCATTAGAACTTTTCGGAGGCTCTGTAACGGCGAGGGGCAGCCGCGTTTTCTCCCGCCAGTCGCTAAGAAGATCAGACAGCCGGCATCTAGAATTAACGCCTTTTGCAAGAGGACCGTCAGCACGACTGAGAATAATGATATGGCGGTACCAGACCTATGGTACTTATCACAATAGGGCTGAAATTTGTTGACATCCACCTGGAGGTGCCTTACACAGCACTCTCATATATGTAAGACGGGTCGCGAGGCTCCGGGAGCACTCTTTTCGCCTTTCTTTTCCTTTCAGCGCCCTACATTTGGTTTACAGTCCAGTGTTTCGATCCAACCTCCATGGTATCCCCACTTCCGCCGCGGCTACGGTGGAAGCTGAAGGTCTTCGACGGCCAGGTCCTGCCATTTTCTGCATCGTCAGTGCTGCCCGTGTACGTGGCAGCCACACGCCTGACGAAGCGTGGGTGGCGGTCTACCTTGTTTTTGGCGGTACTATGCTTCATGGCTGGTATGGTGTTGTTTCGATCCTTTTCGTATTACCTCGGGCGGCCGTCGCTCTACGAAGAGTACCACTCACGGGAGGAGAAGCTGCCACACTATGAAGAGTACGCACGGAGGTCGGACGTCAAGTACCTGTGGGCGGAGAATTTTGCACACAGTTGAGTCGTTTTTCGTCGCTGTCGCGAAGCCCCGTATGACTGACAAGAGCTGTACGTTGAACGTTCATAGACTCTGGCTGGGGGAATGTCATGCAGGACTTCATCATGATGGGATTAGTGGCGCATGCCACGAACCGCTCGTTAGTTTGTCGACCATATTACAACCGCGGCGGTACTTATGAATTGTAGCCACGTATTCAGTGACTACGTCTGGGACTTGGACCATGGACCATACAGCAACTTTCATGGAAAATCCATCCCATCGCGAATTCCGTTAACTGCCATTGTCGGTGGTAAGTTCGTGATTTGTACAGCATCCTTGCTTTTATAAACTACATTATGTAGGTCCGATGGTAGGCGGCGAACTGCCTCCAGGAGACACGACTCCTCGGGCAGTATCGAGAAGCTTCTTTCATAGAGTCTGCCCTAATCCAACCATCGTCAACGTCAAGGACGTTAATACTGATGAAATAGTGTTTGGGGACGTCTCGGCCTCGTCAATATTCGAGATGTGGGTCCAGAAGATCAACTCCATAGACGACCAGTGTATACAGCTTGAGGGCTCGCACAATCTCCCAATTTTTGATTATTGGTATGGAGCGAAACAGCTGTTTAATATCTGACACATATCTGATTTTCGACTCGGGTAGGATGTACGGAGACAAAAAGCGCATGCTTCCCGTCTGGCCGTATCTCTCGAAGTCGCCGGTTGTCACCCACTGGCGATGGTCCCCGCTTGTCATTGACGCCTTCAAGAAGAACCTTCACTTTTTGGCACCAACTTCGCCATTATCCCTTTTCTCGAATACGCCCAACGTTGACAGTTCCGATATAATTCCTGGGCTGCTCGCAATCCACGTGCGTCGAGGCGACTTTGCTGATCACTGCAAAAATCTCGCTGCGTGGTCGTCCGAGTGGAACGCGTTCAACGCGTTCCCTCAGTTCATTGACAAATTTAAAGTGCCGCAAAGCGTCGGTCTGGAAGCGGCGGCGGCGGAAGATTATAAGACGGCAGCGTATGAGCGAAGGTGTTATCCATCCATCGATCAGATCGTAGAGAAGGTCTCTCATATCAGAGACGACGCGGATGATTCACTCAATTATCTGTACATCATGACTAATGGCGCGTCGGAGTGGGTGAGCGAGTTGAAGCAAGCGCTTCAGCGAGCGACAGCAGGTTCTCAGCCGTGGGAGAATATTGCAAGCAGTCGGGATTTGCAGTTGACCTGGGAGCAGAAGTATGTGGCGCAAGCTGTGGACATGTACGTCGCTGAGCGAGCGCAAGTGCTGATTGGCAACGGGGTGAGCTCAGTGCATCGCTTGTGCTAGTGTTGCAACGTTCTGATTCTGTGCTCCCACAGTGGTCAAGCTTGACGTCCAATGTAAATGTTTTGCGAATGGGGAAGAAGTTTCCACCGGAGTCTTCCAGATTCTGGTAGCGATCACTTCTTGCGGGAATGAAAACTGATCTGTAGTTTCGATTTGGACTTCATATATTGTGAGCGATACTGACGACACCTTGTTGGCATTCTTCTTGGGAATTTGCGAATAAATTATCAAAGGTTTACGTTACTCTTATGTTTGATGAGCACTGGGATGCCGAGCGCGGACAAGAAGAAAGACAACGGGTACATGAGAGTACTGGACGATGTGCGGGTCCACATAGTAGATTGAGAACCTGGAGGAGGGACCTTGCGATCACCACAGCCTCATGTCGGATAATTTTGTGGTGGATCGTTTGTATCCGGTTTGTGAACCTTGAAAGTTATGCTTACGCTAATATTGTAAACTTAACCTGATAGATTTCTGGGACTATAGAGATCAAAACTTCGGTATTCCGATCATAATAATGATTTACACCTGACAATATAGAGACAAAACAGTCATTGATGTAAGCCTACATACTTCGCATATCCCAATCATAATAGCGAATCATGTCTTTGATGTGCAAAACCACCACGGAACCCCCTTTAGCCGTGAAAATTATCCTGTCCGCCAATGCGGATAAGGTGTTCTTCTCTGGCCTATACCGCTCTGGTAGCCAACAAACTCTTCTTGAGCCAATAAAAAGCCAATTGCCGATGACAATCACATTTGACCCGCAGTTGAAGTCGCGAATCTCAGCCGTCTCCGATTTCCGCACACTAATCTCGGTGTGAATCCCTTGCTGTGAGATTTCATCTGATACTTGGGACCCATTTTTTTCGGTACAGTATGTCACGGCGGACGGGTGCATGATAGGGTCCTGCCACGGTAGATCCAGTTGTTCCCCGTCAAATGTTTTGCTATCAAACGCACGGTCTATCTGCTTCGGTTGAGGTCCTTCTGGTTTACCCATTTGGTGAAGATAAGCATCTGAAACCTCGTTGATTCTTGTGTGCGGGTCGCTCTTAAGTGGCCCTTCAGTTGGATCAAACACGGATGGCTTGCAGTGCTGGATGCTGGAATTGTAACAAAGCCAGAAGTCCTGGATAAGGGATGAGGTCATCCACGATTCCCTCCATGGGAACGCATGAAATAGAGCATCTTGGGACATAGAACAGAGCTGAATAACACGTTCGTTGCATATCCTGTACTGTTTTAGAGTTAGATCGAAACTCGCTTCATCTTTACGTGAATAATCTATATCGTTGTGCTTGAAGATAATACCAAGAGTGGAATTACTCCCAGAGAAACTGATTCAGACGGGGGATCCTTGAACTTGAAGTAGAATACGGCACAAGGGTGAGATGGTATCCCCTACAGCGTATACGTTGACTGATGTTCGCCAGTAAGTCTCGAGGCACTCTTCTGCCATGACAGTAACTTTTGCCTCGTCCGCTGAAAACGCAACGCCTTTCAAACGGGAGAGGAACCCTACTCGTCCAACAAAGCGACCAGTGCTATACCAGATTGAAAGCCGAGACCCGGTCGGACCTCCAACCTCGGTAATAGAAAAGTAGGTTGAGCTATGAGTAAATTGGAGGTTTGAGTCGGCTGGTAATGCTTCCGATGTCCAGTTGCATGGTATCAGAGTGAGGAGGTGATGCAAGAGTTGACTTTCCGTGATGCAGTAGATTGCAACTGATCTTGCATTATCTTGTAAGATAGCTATCATGTCTTTTTTGTCAGACATGCAAATGCATCCCGGTGACTTGTAGAAGCGGCTTCCAACTCTGAAGGTCACAATGGTCCATCCCGATACGACAGATACACTTCGTTGAATTTGTGGCTGATCTTCCTCCAGTTCAAAGTTCACAATGGCCGCCTCCCGTTCTTCAGGCCGACATCGTAAAAGGTAGTGGACTTTGATGAGGCACGCCGATTTTTGGGCACAGTAGTCGACTCTCTCCGGATTGCTAACCCGATTGAATGCCATAGTAAGGTCAACAACGATGAACTCTTCACCATTGTTCACCACACAAAGGGAGTTCCCGTCGCCATAGCGGGAGGAATGGTGCAGGATCTATCAATGCCAGGTGTAGATGTAATCGCCCAACAGTACAGCATCGTAGGAAGTCCCGCTCAATAATAGACCCCCCAAAGACATGGCAATCGGGCTAATAACGTCGACTGGGTCATGCCATCCGGCTACTATCCTGACCACTACGCCAACTGGCGCTCCGTCCCCTTGGTCATTCAAACGGGCTACTTTGATTGCCGTTGCATTCTCAACGTCTTCCAAAGGGATGGCTTCATTCCGAAGAGTATGTTTGAGAGGAGCCATTAATATCTCTCCAGCCCCTACGATGTTGACATGGACAGTTGCACCCAGATCTTGGGGAAAGAAGTGCCAAGAAATAGTGGAAGTCCAGAGTAGCGCGATGTGTCGATGAATGATGTTGTCTCTCGGATCCAGAATGTAAGAGCTCTGTAGACCTATAATCACGAGCAGGTCCTCTTGAGAGAAGACAAGGTCTAAAAGGGGTCCCATCTGCGAGACCGTGATTGATGGCCGGCGTGACCATTCTTTTCCTGCGTAATCAAACAGATCAATATGAACTGATGGCAGTGAAAGCTCGATAGGTGATCTGAAGCCATCAATGCCGCTAGCAAAAAGGCGTCCGCTTGGACTGAACACGCATGCGTGCCCTCGTTTCCATATGGATTGCCTGGCATCGTCACCAGATATTAGCTCCGTGGTTTCATTCGTTTCGGGATTCCATAAGCAGGTGCGCCCATTATCATGCTGACATCCCAACACTGCGCTATCCGCAGAAAAAGACACACTACTTGGAACCAGTAAGGGAGTTGCGAACGCGATAAGAGTCCCGGTGACAGTATCCCACAGGTTGAGGCCCCCGTTTTCGGCTACCGTTGCTAGTTTACGGCCGTCTGGAGATAGTGTGATAGACAATATACCGTAACTGTCGAAGGTGCGTAGGATATAGTCCCATGAGTTCAACTCAGATTCAACCAAGACCTTGGATTTTGAGATGAGATCGCGATATGAGGCATACAGCTGGGTATTCCGAGGGCAAAAGGCGAGCGCAGATTCATACAGATGCAGTGCTGACGTTCTTATAGGCTCGAAGAATTGGAGAACAAGTCGCCAGGTATCATAGAGCAGTCTGAGCGTACGATGTTGTTCAGGAGACGGATCCCATTTCTAGCCTCATAATGAGACAATTGAATAAGACATAACGCTGGAACTCACAGAGACAACTTTTTCTGCACCAGTCAGGCTTCTAACACCGACCTGTAAGTTCCCTATGATGGACGATACCTCTATGAAGAAAAGCAGCTGGTTTTGAACAAAATAGAACACGCCCTCTTGCACTTCCTTGGAGTGATTTGCCCTTTCCAGGTGATGCGTCCAGAAAAGACACGCGTAACAGAGTGCACTTGAAATCGAGACTTCTTTCCGGTACTCGAAGTCATCGAACTCTGAATGCAGTCTAGAGGAGTCTTCTAGCCCGCAGATGTCCTCTTTGAGTTCGTTCTCCATGAGTTCCAAGCACGAGCACACTAAGCGCGCGCGGGAATCAGCAGGATCAACGTAAAACTCCCCTGAGCGGGACTGATCCAAGATGTAATCTTGAAGGGAGGCATGGTATATTTGGATCGAATTCGACGATTCTAAATGTGGCACAAAGACGATGGCGAAAAGATGCTCGATATGTTTCAAGACGTTGTCATCGTAAAGCTGGCACAGGGTGGAGGGAGATAGAGGCTCGGCAAGAGCGATGATTGTACCTAAGCATTCAGCTCCGGCGCGTCGTTGTTCAGGCTCGCAATCGGAGAGGATGTGGTGATAAACCGAGTCGATACCACGACTGAGATCCACTCTACCCGAGTACATGGCAGAGACGTGGTTGAGAGCACTTTTCGGGTTTGGAGCGCGACCGACAAGTCTGGAGATGGTTGCAGCGACAATGAAATGCCCCTTGACCTGAGATAGCAATGTGTTAAGGTTATTGTCGGAGGGCCATGATGGACGACTGCCGATTCTGCGAACATCGGAGATTTTCTGAAAGGAGTCGCGAAGAAATACCTCCACGTCGCGACTTGCGTTGAAGTCCTCGATTTCGACGGGTGTGATACCCTTGATATCCTGTATGATTGTACGGAGATACGGATACGGTCTGCTCGTGAAAAGGACACTGGAGATGGGGGCGCGTCCATTGCGGAGAAGCTCCGCTAGCATAGATACGGCGTGTTTCATATGGTCAGCATTGATATAGTCATCGTCATCTCCGGCCCCTTCGTCAATGGCGTCAAAAATCATGGATCTCTTTTCATCCCTCCACGTCATGTTGAGCTCTCTCAATGGCGCAGCAACGAGTTGGTCAAACTGTGCACGACGGGACTTCTCAGCGGAGAGTAACGCTGGGTCGTCTTTGATAGCCTTGACGATGGCGAGTTTGGCACGAGGGTGACGGAGCCCAATCTGATAGCTGAGGGTGAGGAAGACAAGATCGGTACGGCTTCTAGTGACGTCCTTCCGCGAAAAGAAAAATGTGGCCGCCAAATGCTCTTTGCGGCGTAGACGCTCAGCGATAGAACAAGCGACACTTGACTTGCCTGTTCCTGAGCCCCCAAAAAGCCAATAGATTCTCCCTGACTTTTCCTCATCACCCTGCTTATCCACATCCATCCGGTATTCTTCTTCTTCCGCACTTTGTTCCTGGTGCCCCTCCTCTCCTTCCTCTTGTGTCAAGATCTTCTCTAGCATATCAAGAAGCTCCATCCGAGTACCCGGAAGACACTCCCCGAATGGCCGGCGTTCGTTGGAGTCATGTTCTGCCCCGCGAGCGATAGCGTTCGCTAACCCACGCCAAACGTCGTCGTACGTCTTATACTGTAAATCTGGTTTGGATTGAGTGATCAGTTTCAGCGATCCAGGGAAGGGAAGCTAACATACCTGTATCAGGCATGGTGGGCGTACGCTGTTAACAAGTTAGGCGCCGAAGTGAGGCCATGCTGTTTTCTTGTGCAACGTGCCACGATTATTTCAAGCCCCGACGAGTACAGGCTCGTCCACTGCGTTCGAGCAGACAACACTTACAAGCAACACTTATAGCATGTCTCCTGGTCTCTTTTTCCTGCAGAGAAACTTAAAGATAGTCTCGCGTTTGTCCTCTTGATTATTTCTTGGTAACAGAAGGAAGGTGAAACCGCGAAGCCAAGTCACACAATGCAATTGTTGTGCCAGTCGTGACCAAATGGAAGACACACGGGGAACAGGTGCACTTATTCGTTTCGGCGCTGTACGCGGAGTTTCCAGAAGGTGGTCAAAACTGTCTCAGTATGTGTTCATATCATCGGTCTCCACCCTCGAATTCACTCAGAATTGTTGGCCACCGATCTTCAAGCTTGTTTTGTTGTCGGAATCAACGTCCTATAACCGTCGCCAGCGATTTGACAGTACTATTTATGCCTCACTCAACGTCTCATCGTCACCGATGACACGGAGATAAGTCCATTTCCGCATAAGTCGCCATACCAGTGCGCTCAGAAGGTGGATCTACAAATAACTTAGGGAATCGAAGCGCCGCCTGGGATCACGAACCTTTAGTGTCGGCCCCGACATCCGAGTACGGGCCCATAAGGGAATACGTTCATCAATAGTTGAGAGGACCCCAATCTTTGCCTTTGGTCTGCCTTTACCTTGATCATTGGTGATCAGACGCCATCTGTAGCTCATGGCCAGGCTTGATTCTGCTGCCGCCAATACTATGCTCAATGAACACAACGTCGAAGTTTCTCCAACACCTACGATCAGGTGTGACACCGCAGGCGAATATACAGTGAGTGGCTGCGGACTGTGACTCCCCACTCTGTACGTGACTCATCCACAGGTTGATTTTGACGACAACGATCCACGAGACCCTGCAAACTTCTCGTACCGGAGGAAGTGGATGATCACGTTGGATGCCTGTCTCTTCACGGCCTTGGTTGGTCAGACTTTATTTCCCAAAGTCTTGTCGCCTTTCACCTGATGAGAATCCCATCAACAGGCGCTGCCGCTTCCTCTTTCTCGATGGGATACGATAGCATGATAGTCGATCTGAACTGCACGCAATTCGAAGCAACCGTTGGGCTATCGCTCTATGCTCTGGGATTCGGCCTCGTGCCGCTTGTCACGTCGTCTTTCAGCGAAGAGTTCGGAAGGCAGCCTTTGTACGTTGTATGTTCATTCGTGTTCATGCTTACACAGATCATGATTGCACTGTGAGTCATTTTGTTCTTGAGTTGTTACTTAGTCTGATTCTTGGTGGAGGTCACGTAATATACAAACGGTGATCATCGCACGAGCTCTTGGTGGGGCATTTGGGTCTACTGGAGCGACCTTGGTGGGAGGATCGATAGCAGATATTTGGCGACCCCATGAGTAAGTTCTCCTCGATGTTACGTACACCAGGATTTCCGCTTATTCTCATCAGACGTGGCTTGCCGATGGCACTATTTGCGTTCATGGCTGTCGCGATGACCGGTCTAGGCCCTGCCATTGCCGGTTGGATATCAGCCAACCCGCATCTTCAATGGCGCTGGATACAGTGGATATCGGCGATGTGCGTCTTGTTGATGACTGGAGCTAGTGCTCAATGCTCACTCGATCCAGGTTCACAGGCGTCTACTTCATCTCTGTGCTTGTAGTGATGCGAGAGACTCGGTCATCCATTATACTTGCGCGGATAGCGCAGCAATTGCGCAAGGAATCTGGCGACAATCGGTACCGTTCTAGAACTGAGACGGAGCGGCTGAGCCTGTTGACGCTCATCAAAATGTCATGCACCCGACCTATATGTGCGTCGTTTGGTATCCTTGGTGTTGTGCCATGATGAACACCTGCAACAGACCTTCTTATGACAGAGCCAACCGTGCAATGCTTTAGCGTAAGCGTCTTTGACTCAGTCGTATACGGTGCTCAGACGCTCATAAAACGCAGTTATGGATAGGCTTCACCTGGGGAGTCGTCTTTTGTCTCGTCGAGTGAGTATTCGTGCTACGCACGTAATTTGAAGCCAACGACAGAATAGGTCCGTTTCGCCAGAGTTTCAATCAATCTACCACTTCGGCCTCGGGGAAACTGGGTCAGTATTTGTCACCCTCATGTAAGTGATATTGTCGACTTCATGGCTGTTTTTTGTATGTCATAATCGTTTAACAGCGCAGGAAGCTGTATCGGGTTCTGTCTCAACATATACCAAGAGAAGCTATACGCGTCAGTATCATCATAAATCTGAAAGTAGACAACTAACCATGAGCGCCACGCAGCAAATACTACCCCGTGAAGAAACAAGAAGCACGTCTCTACCTTCCATGTGTGGCTGCACTGCTGTTCCCCATCGGCATGTTCATATATGCCTGGACCGCGTCGCCTAATATTCCGTGGATTGTGCCCGTGATTGGACTAACGGTCAGAAATGTCTTTAGTGGGCGTATTATTTCGCATCTAAACACGGCCCAGATCTTCATGACGGGCGCCTTCGTTGTATACTTGGTTGTCTTCCTTTACCTTGCGGATTGGTACGAGTGTTTGGTCACGATATATCGTACTTACAGATCAAGTCGCTGAAGTTGCTAACCTATGTGTTAGCTACGGAACGTGGGCTTCTTCGGCGCTCGCTGGACAAAGCCTTTGTCGTAAGCATATCTTCCGTTATGAATTAGCTTCGATGGACAGGGCTGACATTCTCTAATTTATCGCACTACATAGGGAACCTCGCCAACTTTGCCTTTCCTCTCTTCACTCAGCAAATGTACGCCCGCCTTACGTACCACTGGGCAAGCACTCTTCTCGCATGCCTGAGTTTACTTATGATTCCGATCCCTTATGTGAGTACCTTGATTATGGTTGACATCGCTCTCGACCCTGATGACGTGTGTCGTTACCATAGGCCTTGTTTTTCTATGGATCTGCAATCCGAAGGCGGAGTAAGGTATCGAAGAAATTGTTAGAGGCCGACGAAGCGAGTGTAAAGCGAGACAACACCAGGGAAGAAAAGCCGCAGCAGGCATAGATGCAGGGGGAATCTTTGGCGTGTTTCTTTAGATTAGTAGTGTAGAATGAAAAACGGTTATTAGAATATTCCATACCCAGGCTACATTACCTGACGTTCACTTTTTCTCCCTGTATCACCCGTGCGCCTAAATCAGCCTAGGGTTACTCCCTTAAGTAGTCTCTCCGTTCTATAGACGCGACGAGGCTCTGCGACATTGTTTCGTAAATTAGTAGTATAGAATCAAAGACAGGCTTTACAAGAATCTCCATACAGGGTCACATTACCTACAACATTCAACCTTCCCTCTTATATCACCATGGCACCTACTATGCCAACCCAGCGCCCTTCAACAACCCCTCCGTCTCGATACATTCGTCCGGATGACGGAACACGCGCAGCACGACGCCAGGAGGGAGCAGTGCCCGCGCGCGGTACACGCGTGCCTGCAGCTCGGCGCGCTTCCGCTCGCCCTCAGACAAGGGCGGCGACCGCCGGCCGCTAGGCGTCTGCAACCCTGAATGATACGCATACGTGCCACCAGAGTGCGTCGTCTGACTCGACGAGGAGACAGACGTGTTCGTGCTCGACAGACTCGCTAGCGAGGACGACGAGTCCGAGGGGACACTGTCCATCGGCGGCGCATACGAGCGCGGCTCAGCGAACATCGACCCTGACGGCCCGGGGACTGCCGTGTCTCCGTTGGCAGAGACCGGGCCGGCGCCGGTCCCGGCGCGCGAAGGGACGCCGAGCTTGGCCAGCGACAGGGGGAAACTGCGTCCCGCCTTGGGCTGCGCCTGCCCAAATGCCTGCTCGACCTCCGCGTCCGACAGCGCCCGCTTCGACGGCGATCCACTCTCCCATCCTCCACCGTCGGTAGGGGAGGTGGCAGCGGTGGAACCCCCTCCCTGCGAATATGAATAATCAAGTCCGCCTGGCATGTAACCAGATCCAGGAACAGGCAGCGGCGTGTGCAGCGTCCCGCTAGGCAGGTACGAACCAGTTGGGTCCGCGAGCGGGGGCACGTTTGGCCCACCCACGTCGCGGATGAAGATGGCGGCGATCTGCCCGCGGTGCGGGCGGCGCCGGGCCTTCTTCTCTTCTTTCTCTGCCTTCTTCTCGGCTTTGCGGTCTGCCCTGTCGGAGAACTTCTCCGCATTCAATCTGTTGATTTGGTCTAACGACATCTGCGACATGTCAGCCTGGACATGTGTCTGCGACTGCGATATCATCTTGGGAGGCTCGGGAGACCGTTCGCGCGCGAGGTCGGAGTAGAGTTCAAGGTCTTGCTCTCCCGAATCGCCGATAAGGACGAAACGGGAGTCCGGGAAGGCCGTGAGCACCTCAGCGACGTTTGCACGCTTTCGCTGAGAGGGCGCAGAGAGAAGACCATTGAAGAGGGTACGGCCAGCGTATGACTTGAGGCGTATCGAACCTGCGGGCAAAGTCAGGGACTGTACGTTAAAGAAGTTGAGTGTATGCATGCGTACCATTTGGAAGTCCCGACACATCAAAGAACTGGAGAATCAAGGGCAACAACTCGTACGGTGAGTTTGACTTGACATATGCCCATCAGCTACGTGATCCTAGATAGCATAGATTCAAAAGAAACACGACTCACGACGTAATGTACGCCAACGCCCGCATCCGCCATCCGCTTATACCACGCGCCCATCCCAGGTAAGACAGCGCGCTCAAGGTCGTGAACGAACACATTCTGGAAAATCGCCCTGGCGCCGAGGTTGACATCCGCGCGCTTGACAGTATCGTCGATATCTGAGACTAACCGAAGCGGCGTGCTGTGTAGCGGCGTGTACAGTGTCGTACGGGCAGCCTTGGACTGCGAAGATGGCGGAGGGAGTATTGAAGACGCCGATGAAAGTGATGAAGAAGTTGCGTGATTGGACTGGCTAGAGGTGAAGTAGCCCGGTGGGAGGCTCGGTGAGGGTGAAGAATCAGCAGTCGAAGCGGAAGACGAAGTCGATGGGAACGAAGCCAAGGGAATGGGGTTAGGCGCCCGTGGAGTGTCGGCGCTTACGTGCGCCGTCGAGTTCGACGGAGTAGGCGTCATTGGGGCAGCTACACGCGTCGGCGTCGGCGTAGCCACGTCCCCACCAGCGGTAGTCGATTCTGACGATACCCTTGATATCCCTGCGGGAGGCGGAGGCACGAAACCAGCCCCGGACCCCGAATTCGAGCGGGACGAAGGGTGCCTCGGCGGTGGACCGAAGCGCTTCGCCGCCGAGACTGGCTGCCCATCGACCATGGGCACTGGCGGCTCAGGCGGCGGCTGCAAGTTCGTCACAGTCCGGGGTGGTACGCTGCGCGGTACATACGGCGCTGCACCCGTAGACGCTGGCGGAGCGACTTTTCCGACAATAGGCGCCGGGATGAGCTCTGCGACGACTCTGAGCCCGACACCGTCCTCGAACCCGCGCGCCTGCGCGAAGGCAAGGCGCGAGCCTGCCGGGTCGGTGCAGAGCATGTCCCAGGGCACGACGAGGCGCGTCGTGAACGCGCCGTCGCTGGAAGTTGAGAGCGTGCGCACCACCAAGGGGTCGTTCAGCAGCTCTTCCTCCTCTTCGCGGCTTGTGTAGTGTGACTCGTGGCTTTGGGACGAAGCGAAGGATTTCGCAGACCTTGGAGTTTCAAGTGATGGATGGGCGAAGTCGGGCGAGGGTGCAGCGAGCACGGCTCCGGTATCATCAGGCGTGTCATCCTCTGGTATTAGTGGCGGATGCGATGAAGATGAGGATGAGGATGAAGTGGCATGAGGAGGAGAAGGCGGACGCGGTGCGGTGGCATATACGCATATACGCACGGTGCGGGCCGTGAGCGCGCTCGCCCAGAAGGGACGCAGGCGCTCTTCGAGCGTCGCGTGCTGCCGCTCCACTTCTGCTTTAATGATGGTGTTCGGGCGGAAAGGGTCGGTTGCTGTAGGGAGTGGTATTGGCTGTGGGGGCGGTATCGATGAGCCAGTACCAGACCTTGCTCTTGCGTTCGGGAAAGAAGTGGATGTTGGTGGTGCAGATACCGGGGGGAGAACATATGGAGAAGTGCCCGGGGTAGTTGGTTCGCTGCCAGCCTCGCTTCCCTCCGAGCCGTGCACACTCCCCGAGTCGCTGTCTCTTCCATGGGATGCCCGGAACTCGCGGTCGAGCGCTCGGACGACAAGGTCATGGTCTGGTGCGCCATCGCGGTCGCCCTGAGCAAACGGGTCGCCGCCGTAATCGTCTGTGATAGCGTCTGGACGTGGGGGAAGGCTAAGAGCAAGACCGAGTGCAGCAGCTTCGGCATCAGCGCGTTCTTGGAGTTGAGCGAGCTCTGCGGCTGTCGCATTGGAGGAGAAATAATCCAGCACCATGCCCTCTCGTGACGATTGGCCTGGGGCAGGCAGTTTAGGAAGTGCGGCGAAACCTGGGTATATGCGCCTCATCAGCATGATATTAAGTCAACGACAAGTCTAGTAAACGCACGTTTCGCAACCCGCAAGAACGCCCTCTGCGACCTCGTCAGCGACCCATGCGCCGTTGCATACCCCGACACGAAGATCTCCAAGTCGAACGGCTCGAACGGTGCTTTGTCATTCGACTGTGGTGAGAATCGATGTGGATTGACGTCGTGATATCGTTTGGCAGCCCAACCCGGGAAGAGGACAACCTCCTCGAGCACGCCAGCAGCGCTCATGCTACCATCCGCGTTGACAGCAACGACGGCGCCCGTGCCGCGGCGTATCTTCTGCCCTGCCCACTGACGCGCACTTTCCCACCGTCCACCGTTGCCCCCGTTGCTGGTCTCGCTCCCTCCGTCAAGGCTCGTGCTTATCCCTCGGCTTCCGAGTGAGGGTCTGTCGCGGGTCTTGAAGCTGTGGTTGGTCGCTGCTGCGTGGTGCTGTACGCGATCGATGAGGGAAGTGAGCTTTGGTTTCCAGGATGCCATCTTCTCTTGCGCCCGGCTCATGGTCGTCTCGAGGGTATCGCGGACTTGTGGGGTGGCCGCTGCGGGGGATATGAACGAAGTGTACAGGAGACAGGAGTAGCCAGTGAGATCAAGTGTGTTATGTACGTGTTCCGGAAGTGAGGGTACTTGGAGCGTGTGCGGACGTCAGTGTTTCCCAGCGTGCTGTGGAGCCTTGTTATGTTACCGCATGTACGCGTCTTGTTGCTGTGAAGAGTTGATGAGCAGCTGTGTCCGATGTGAGCGAGCCTACAAGAGCTTTAGGTGACCATCAAGAAAATGGGGACTAGACTGACGGGTGCTCAGAATTTGCAGAGTGTTGATGACAGCGCTGTGTTGTCGCTGCAGAACAAGAATAGACGGGCGCTGCCGAAGGCGGTAGTGATTCGTGAATGGCTCCAGCAGCGTGTTCGAGTTAACGCAGATGAACAGCTCCGTGCTATCTCTCGTCAGATGAAAGTACGACTTGCAATATCAATCAACTGTCGAGATGACCTGCACTTGTCGCCGAGCTTGAGCTTGATTTAGAGTAAGTAACAGGGAGTTTGAACTCATCTTGTACACAGCCACCGTTTCTCACCCTGCCCCTGAATCCATCTTTGGGTTCCTCGCCCGTACCTGGAAGTCTTCCTGACTCGGATGCTTCCTAGTCTATATACATGCCTACTTCACAGACACTCGCAGGCCAGTCTTAGACCTCTCTTCCACACCAAGTTGTTCGCAACCAAGGTCCCATCTGTTTTTCCTCGCATCCCTCGCAAGCACCGTTCTGTACCGCCCCAGTACCTTCGCGCACAACACGCCGCAGAAAGGCATTCAAGACCCTTCTTGGACCCTAACCAGGAGTCATACTCACGTCAAACCGGACAGGCTACAGTCTACGCTAGTCAACGAGACTCCCTCCACCCCGGATTGCACCCGGCAACTCCCGACCAGACGAAACCAAGGATGACGCGCGGAATGAAGGGAAACCCGCGCGACGAGCCGCTCGTGCGCACGTCGAAGACGCTTTCATGGATGCTGCGGCACGGTGCCGCCAATGTAGGGCTGCAGATGCGCAAAGACGGATATGTGGACGTTCAGGACCTGGTGCGTCGCTCTTCCTCTGTCTAATGGGAAAGGAAGGCTGAACTGCAGACGTCATAAGTAGCTGCGGCTACAGCAGTTCCGTGAGCTCACGTTTGAGCATCTGCGAGAGATTGTTGCCAAAGACCAGAAGCAGCGGTATAACCTTACGTTGGACTCGGAGACGAGCGTATGGATGATTAGAGCAAATCAAGGACACTCGATAAAGGTGCGTTTGCCTGTATAGGAGGGGTGTTGCATATCGCATGTTGCAGACCAGCAAGATGATGCTGATGGATTCTATAGGACGTAACTCTGGATATGCAAAAGTTGATGTCTGCTACTGACGTCCCTATGGCCGTTCATGGGACGACGGAGAAGGCTTGGGAGAGCATACGTACGTCGTTGGTTTCACCCAAGCTACTCTCAATATGTTCCTTAACTCGTGTTGGCTACAGAGCGACAAGGTCTCTCCCGTATGAACCGGCAACACATCCACCTCGCGCAGGGCATCCCAGACAGCGGTGTCATGAGTGGTGCGTACATACTTTTCACCTTCGCAAGGGCCCTTTACCCACTCGCTCTCGATTGGAACCCCCTTCATCCCTCACACCCGACCAGGCATGCGCACCTCATCACGCATCATCATCCACATCGACCTCGCCCGCGCACTCGACGCTGGCGTCCCCCTATTCCTCTCCGCCAACGGCGTCGTCCTCACCCCAGGCGACGACCGCGGTCTCCTCCGCCCACAGCTCTTCTCGCGAGTGCAGCGGCGCGGTGCTAGCGGGTGGGAGGACGTGCCGGTGCCGGTGCTCTCCCCTGAAGAGGCTGCGGAGGCGGAAGCGGAAGCGGTGAGGACGATGGAGGCGCTGGCCCCTGCCGGTCGGGGTGGAAGAGGGCGTGGCGGAGGAAGGGGCGGGCGAGGAGGCGGGAGGGGAAAGGAGCCTGCGCAAATGGGCGGGGAGGACGTTCGGCAGACGAGGAGGCAGAAGGGCAAGGGCAAGGAGGGAGCAGACGAGGAACCAGCAGCGGTCGAGGTCTCAGAGGTGAAGACAACGATTACCTCCGAAAAAGGGACAGACACGGTCGTAGAAGGTATTGAGGCGATCTCGCTCAAGTCTTAGGCCCTAAGGCTGGCAATGGTTGTTTCCAGTACGTATCAAGATCTTCATGTGGATTTCTTCTATTGCATCTTAAGCTCTTGCCAACGACGCGAACCTAATGACGAATCCCTGCGCAGACAAATGTCCGACCTCTACACGAGCTCCCATTCTTCTCCTCCTCCCAACTCTAGCATCCTGTCTCCGTTTCCCGACATCTTGGGATCATCCGTAGGTACCACAGCGAACTTTGCTTTGAAGTCGCTAAAGAAGAATGGCCCGACGGCATTCCCAGCCTCTTCGTGTGTCTGAGATTGATCATGCTGCGTCGCCTCCTCTCCCCGCTCTTCAATAACGAGCGTCTCCAGACTCTGCCTCTCGCGTTCCTCTATCACCAGCTGAGCGGACATCGCCACAGGTTCACCTGGGTACAGTAAACCATTTCCAGCAACCTTTAGCACCCGACCTGTCCTGTCGTCGGCGATCTCGATGACATCTGAGCCTATTATGATCAACGGGCCACCATTTAGAGGGCTCGGAGCGTTTGTTGCTGTGATACGGAAGCGCGTTCGTTCCGTGCGGGACACGAGGAGCATGTGCTTTCGATATATATTCCGTGGAATGTACCAGAAATCGCGAGGATCCGCCTTGGATCGGATGAAGAATCTGACGGATAGCGTTGAATGTATGCGTTTAGTGGCGTCTAGAATGGAGTTGCAGAGACCTGAAGACGTACGTGTTTCCGCTAATATGATCCGTGACATCTTGCGGAGGTACAAACTGCGGGCATCCACCGCCTTGCCATGCTAATCCTGCCACGGTACCAGTACGATCTTCAAGAGCTCTGAGGCTCGGCGCAACCCAAGACTGAAAGCCCCCAGAACTTGGGTAGGCAATATTGGAAACGTAGATTTGTGGTCCAGCTCTTCTCAGACTCAGAAACTGTTTATCCATTGAAACTTCTCTCCACCACGTGTCGGCTGCATCGCGACTGCTGAAAAGTATAGTCAATTGCTGTTGATAATATTAGCGCACAGTGAGAACCTCGCAGACATGAGATAACAATGCTTCTTACCCCTCGTATGTGCACATAGAAGATGGACATGGCCTTCAATTGGCTTTGGGGGAGTGGATGATGAGCGATAGGCCTAGGACCTAAATGTTGCCAAAGTGTATATCGCCTTCGAGGGATACTGGAAGGGTGCTTCAAGGGCTCCTACGGCACTAGGGTCATTTCTGGGGGTAATATACCTATCGCAAGCTCGAGCGCTTATCGACATCTAGGACAGATCTGGAAATGAAAGGAAAAACGTGTTGCCTTGTACATACAATTGCTTGGGCAGAAGCACGAGTAAACACGAGACGTTACGACAAGACGGCCATCACGCGGTGGACTGTGGTTACTGATCCTTCCTACGACTCAGCCTGCTTCCTCTTGGGTGGCCTACACCAGCTCCCATTCTTCCCCATCACCCAGCTCCAGCAGCCTCCGTTCGTCGTCATCGTCTGGGACAACAGAAAACTTGAACTTGAAGTCTCTGAAGAAAATCTGCGCCATGTCACCCTTGGTGTCAGCCTGCCCAGCCACGTCTTCCCCACGCTCCTCCACTATCAACTGGACCATCGCTGCCGCAGACCCCAAGAGCGCAAGACACCCTCCTGCAGTAATCCCTACTAATCTGCCTGTTCTCGCCTCGGCGATCTCGATTGCGTCGGATCCAATCATGATGGTGGGTCCGCCATTGAGTGGCTTCGGCGCATACTTTGCCGTTATACGAAGCCGGGTGCGATTTGTGCGAGAGACAAGTAGGACGTTGGCATCTTTCCCATTGCGAGGAATGTGCCAAAAATCACGAGGGTCCGCTTTCGACCGGATGAAGAAGCTGTCAAAGGATGTATCATAAAAGAGGTTTTAGTAGGATGGAAGCAAGTGTGTAACATACGTATTTCCACTGATATGATCTGTGATATCTTGCGAAGGAATGATGTGTCTGGCTCGCCCATCGTCGCCAGCCGCCCCAACCCACCAATGAATCGAAGCAGTATTTTTGTAACGGACGTTGATGGAATCTCGGATTGAGTCGGCGATCGTGCTAGTCCACTTCCCATGGTCCACACTATAGTATTGAGGGTTCATTCGTTTAAGGTGCACTATGTTAGGCTGGGACGAGACCTGCCGCCACCATTCATCAGCGGTTTCGCGGTCCTTGAACAATATTGTGCGAAGCTAGCTCCAACGTAAGTAAACAGCCGGAGTGAAAATGTTCAAAAGACTACTGCACCCTTTGTATCTGAACATAGAACACACCCATGACTGCTTGGAATGTACCTTGGGTGCCGGGGACTAAGGTGAAGAAGTTTGTCTCAACAGCCTGCTTATGACTAGTAAAGTGTGGCCGGCTCGATACGGATTATGAGCGTTTATATAAGATTCTCGGCTCACCGGTGGCGACAGACCGTCAATATCGAAGCCGAAGAAGGGTTGTGAGGCCTTTACAGGATCAACACAGGCAAGCGTCAGAACAAAACGACAAACTAGTGCATGAGGTGCGCCTACACAGTGCTTCATCATTATTGTTGGACAGCACCCTCGCTCGAGGCAATATGCACTTATCTTGGGGCATTACGTCGAGGCCATAAGCAAACCAAGCTAAGTCGCAAAGCACCAAGGCTCCGGTAAAGCTGTGGATGAGGACGACGGTGTTGGTGAGGGACGCGTCGTACTAAGCTCGAGGAACTGCAGTTACATAACCCCAGCATCGTGATACGTGCGAGGCATGTGTCGGAAAAACCTGAAACCCGTATGGACGCGTCTGGACGCATCATTACGTTCCGCTACCCATTTTAACGCGTCGGCAACGACAGCAAGGGTACGGACGCCTTCCGAACGCCGTCCCAACGCCGTTGTGATGCGTCTACACTGGCAATGAACCAATCGGAATGCGTTCTGATGGCATGTTTACGCCATTTTGACAGTATTAAAATGCCGTTGCGACGAAGGAGTGGCCGCTTCGACGTGTTGGCAACGGGTTTTCCGCATTTGCGTCAGAACGCCCCTTTCCAGTTTTCCGACATGGATATCGATGGCACCACATGTACGCGTGTGCAATTGCAAATTATCGCAAAGTCTATCTTGCCACTGTGTTTGGTCAAGATTGCTTCCCACGCCCGCTCTGCGTATCGCGTTGCTCTGCGCTGCTCGTTTTTTGTGTCCCTATCTCCATGGAACCATCATTAATGGCATCTCAATCGATGATGAGTATTCTACACATTTACAGAAGATATCTTGAGAAACTACACGTTTCTTTCCCATACCTCTCGATGCGCTCCGATGCATCGATGAGCGCTTGAGCCACGATGATGCTGAGAACCCTAGTCTACCTACACAAGCTCCCACTCTTCTCCATCACCAATATCCAGTCGCCTCGTCGCTGGCGCCGAGGTACTAGAGTCATCCTCTGGCGAAACTGCGAACCTGTTCTTAAGATCCCCAAAGAATATCTGCGTCGCGTTTTCCTGGTCACCTTCCTGAGTTACCTCGGTTGTAGGCGCCGCCGCTGTGTCCGAGCCGCGCTCTTCTACCACAAGCTCAGTCATCGACCCTCTTATGTAACCTATAGCTTCTCCAAGCGCGAGGTATCCGCCGGAATCAATCCCAACCACACGCCCTGTCCTCGCCTCTGAAATCTCGACGGAGTCAGAGCCGATCATGATAGTGGACCCGCCATTGAGCGGTGCAGGTGCGTCTCTGGCTGTAACGCGGAAACGCGTGCGATCCGTGCGCGAGACGATGAGTGTGCCAGCGCCTCTGCCTCTGCGAGGTACGTGCCAGAAATCGCGCGGATCTGCTTTAGAGCGTATGAAGAAACTGTTGGTCCGTATCAGCGTTACTGAAAACACGCAGACACGGATGCAAATCGGGGTAATGGTTCGGCGTACTTGTTTCCACTGATATGATCGGTTACATTTTGTGGGGGAATGGTAGTGCGACGCAAAAGGCTCTCGTTCGCGCCGTGGCCTACAGCGTGCAATACCACCGCCCCGATGTTGGTGGACTCGATTGATTCGTTTATTGAGTATGCTGCACACTCGTTGGGCCTTGCGGTGTGAATATGCGTATAGTAGCAAGGGCTCGTCCGTTCAATGTCGCGGTACTGACTGTCAATCGAGACTGTTCGCCACCACTCATCAGCGACATCCATGTTCCTGAACATTATGATGGTTGTTTGAACGTAAAGGGACATCTGTTTGACAGATGTATCAGTAACGTGGCAAAAGGTCATCAACGGGACTCATAATGACCCGCCGTGGGGGCGCATGCTCAATGTGTACATAAAAGGGCCCCGTCATGCTTTAACTTCTGCGAATGGCGAGTTGTCAGAAGAAATGGCAAGGTTCGAAGGGCTCCGCTGGGTCGCGAGATAGAAAGTAGGGTACTGACATATTTATACACTCTATCGGCGCTTATCCAGTCTAGCCATCAAGTATAAACTGCACGTCACAGCACACCACAACTGGGTCTTTGGACGGATACACCCACATATGCATTGGAGCGTTATATAAATACGACGCCGAAGTCAATACTCGTCAGATCAAATGCCTTCGCAAGAAGCTAGATCTAAACCTTCGTGCTAGCTTCATCAGCTGATTCTTGAAAATCCCAAGCTAAGACAAAAATAATAGTCAAGAACTGTTTGATATTTGGCACGCAATGAAAATTTCGCAGGCATGCAATAGCAATGCTCCTTACACTTTGTAAATGCACGTAGAATATGTCCATCGCCTTAGGTTGACTTTGACGATGTGGGTGGAGAGTGCAAATACCTAAGGAGTGGTAATCGCCTTCGAGGGATGCTGGAAGGATATTTCAAGTACAAGCGCACTAGCACCCCAGGGTAATGTCAGTGGGTAATTATACTTATCACAAACTTGAACGCTTATCTGGGATAGATCCGGTAGGGTGAAGTCAACGTGTTCCAATACGGATCAAACTACTTGTGCAGAAGCTCGAATAAAGAAGACAACAAGGTTGCGACAGGATGGTCACAGTATGATGAATGACCCTTCCTACAAAGTCTACTTCTTAGATGGCTTAAACTAGCTCCCATTCTTCCCCGTCACCAAGCTCAAGCAGCCTCCGTTCATCGTCGTCGTCTGGGACAACAGAAAACTTGGACTTGAAGTCTCTGAAGAAGATCTGCGTCGTGCCACCATTGGTGTCAGTCTTCCCAGCCACATCTTCCCCACGCTCCTCCACTATCAGCTCGACCGTCGCTGCCGCAGACCCCAAGAGCGCAAGACACCCTTCTGCAGTAATCCCTACCAGCCTGCCTGTTCTCGCCTCGGCGATCTCGATTGCGTCGGATCCAATCATGATGGTGGGTCCGCCATTGAGCGGCTCCGGCGCGTACGTTGCCGTTATACGAAACCGGGTGCGATTCGCGCGAGAGACGAGTAATACGTTGGCGTCGCTCCCTCTACGAGGGATGTGCCAAAAGTCACGAGGGTCCGCTCTCGACCGGACAAAGAAGCTGTTGGTTAAGATGATGTTGTCGGACTTATTACGGAGAGAAACCGAGTGTGTGTTAGATACGCACGTTTTGCCACTTACGTACTCTTTTTCATCCTGTGGGGGGATGACTGGGCGCAAGTGTGATGAATTTATGTCTCTGAACTGCCATATCGTCTTTGCGGGGATGATATATCCAAGTGAATTACCTATCCAGTAAGTCCTGCAGTCTTGCTGCTTTACCGACGGATCGTGATCATGCACGTAGTAGCATTGACTGATCCTCTTCAAGTCGCGGAACTGGGAACTAGACGAGGCTTTACGCCACCACTCGTCGATAGCGTCCGCATCCTTGAGCATTATGATGGCTCCGTTGTGCCCACTGGATCCCTATGTGGTGTAATTCATCAGGAAATTAGCAGAAAAGATATAAATTGATATCTAACCGAGTATGCAGGCATATGCTCAACTTGAACATGAGAAGGGCCCATACTTGAAATTCTGGTTAGCCTGTGTTGTGAAAACAGACAGAGGTCGGGGGTCTTTATGATCGGTGGGATCAATGTAGGACTGGAGTAAGAGTAAAGCCCATATACTATTGAAGCTGTAAGAGCCAAAATCGACTCGACGTTGGACTAGGGAGGATCGGACCGAGCCTTGAGGAAGGCACGACGCATAGTTTAGGGCCGGCATGGCTAGCGTAGTCGGTACATAGCGTGTTCGCACGTGTTCGTAGTCACTCATCCCTGCTATACGAGTACTCTCGTCGTCGTCTTCTCCAGGATTACCCACTCCAACGTTGGAGAAAGTATCCTCGAACAGAAGCCCCAATGGTGTGAGTCGGAGAGGAGGTGTGTTTGGTCAAGCTTGGGTGAAACCTGACATGTCTGAGTTTAAACTTTCTTCACACGCCTATCGTCACTTGGATTCACAATCAATCTCGTTAAAGTTAACGTGACACGATTGTCAGAAGAAAAATTAATGTAGTAAGCGATTCTGGATCTCAGGAACTTTTCAGGAATAAATATGATTGGTTTGGCGCTTGATCAAGAATTCACAGGTGTTTGTTGGAAACTTGTTGGAAACATGAATCGAACTTTTTGTACTGCCATAGGTCTTACACCAGCTCCCACTCCTCCCCGTCACCGACCTCCAACCGCCTCGTCACCGACGGGGACCCATCGGGGACTGGACTAATGTCTTCAGGCACCACCGCAAATCTGGCCTTGAGATCCTTGAAGAGAATATGCGCACTGTTTATGGGTACCTTCCGGTAACGCTTCGGCAGCAGGCACATCTGTGCTATCTCCACGCTCCTCGACTACTACTAGCTGCTCCTGCTGCGTCACCTCGCCGCGCTCCTCCACCACCAACGACGTCAACGCGCTTGCAGGCGCTCCGAGCGAGAGGTACCCGTTGTTGTCGATCCCAACTACACGTCCTGTCCTCGCCTCTGCGATTTCGACAGCGTCGGAGCCGATCATTACAGTGGGCCCACAGTTGAGCGGCGCAGGTGCGTCTTTGGATGTAACGCGGAAACGTGTGCGGTCAGTGCGCGAGACAAGGAGTATGCCAGCGTATCTGCCTCTGCGGGGTATGTGCCAAAAGTGGCGCGAGTCTGCTTTAGACCTTATGAAGAAGCTTAATCCATGTCAGTGCTATTGGGTACGAAACAAGGTGGCATATCGCTGGAGAGTATATTAAAAGCGCACCTGTTTCCGCTGATGTGGTCTGTTACTGCATCCTGTGGGGGGATGATAGGACGAGAATGGCTCCCGTCCGAGCCTTCAACACTCCATATCACCGTTCCAATACTGGCGGACTCGATTGAGCGGCTTATCGAGTACGTTGCACACTCAGTCTGTTGTATAGAAGAATCGTGAATATGTGCGTAGTAGCAAGGGCTGGTTCTCTCAATGTCGCGGAGCTGCTTATTGACTGAGATTGAGCGCCACCATTCGTTGGCGACGTCCATGTCCCTGAACAGTATGATGGTTCTTTGAATGTAATAACTGCAACTTGAATCCTGTTCCGTGTTTGAATCAGCAGCGGAGTAAGAACGTGTCATTGGGACTCAACTATCCACTTTGAAGGTACATGCTCGATGTGAACGTAAAATGGCCCCATGTCGAAAATCTGTTATAATACGGCGCAGGAGGGTCCAAGGGTTGGAGGCCTCGCTAGATGGTGGGACAAAGAGAGGAAAAGCACGTCACAGATACGCACTCGCCATGGGCGTTTATCGATATCCTAGCTACCGGGTCATATCCGCATTTTGCCTTGCAATTGCCAAAATGGGTCCGGGGACGAGCACGCCTACGTTGAAGCATACTTATATAGAAGTTGATACAGCCTCGACTCGGAGGCTGCTCGTCTTTTTATCAACAGCTTTCTAAAGAATCATTGATAATTGATCAAGCTTAAAGCTTAAAGCCTTGGAATCAAGCGGTTCCAACTTTACCAAAGACACAGCAATGCTGATTTTACGCTCATATCGAAGGACCTTCTACTACTCAAACTAACTCCCACTCCTCTCCGTCACCAACCTCCAGTCGCCTCGTCCGCGGGATGACGCTGTCAGCCTCCTCAGGTACCACCGCAAACCTTGACTTGAGATCCTTGAAGAATATCTGCGCATGCGTCTCAATACCAGGTACCGTGTCCTCTCCACGCTCTTCAACAACAAGCGGTTCGGCTTCCTCGGCGCGCTCCTCCACTACCAGCTGCGCCATTGCCGCACTGAGACCAGCAGGTGCTCCCAGCGAGAGATACCCACTGGAGTCAATCACAACTAAGCTCCCCGTTCTCGCCTCCGCAATATCGATGGCATCGGAACCAATCATGACGATGGGACCACCATTCAGCGGTGCGCGTGCGTGTTTGGCCGCGATTCGAAAACGTGTGCGGTTGTCGCGCGAAACCCGGAGTTTGCCTGCGTATGTGCCTTCGCGAGGGACGTGCCAGAAGTCGCGCGGGTCCGCTTTGGAGCGGATGAAGAAGCTGTTGGCTGGTGTCAGTCTTATCCGACACAACGCTAGGTGGGAGACGGCCAAGATACGGCTGGTGGAGGGACGTACGTTCTTCCGCTGATATGGTCCGTTACATCTTGCGGAGGGATAGCTTTGGGAGCTAAGGCCCACGCAAACTGGTTGGACGTAATCGAACCGTAGAGAAAATCCATTGAGCATCTACTAAAGATACTTTCACGTTTGTGGACATGCACATAAAAGCTTGGGCTGGTGCGTTCTATTTCATACAATCGACGGTCGATCGAAATAGTACGCCACCACTCGTCAGCGGTGCTCATGTCCTTGAACATCAAGCAATCTGGTGCTTGACCACTCTGTTTGGTGCACCCGTCAGCAATGCATCGGAAGAGTGTAAATGAAACTCAACTTGTCCATATCCGGGCGCATGGCCGACTTGAACATAAAATGGTCCCATAGTGTAGGTTCTGTATGAGTCCGTCACAATGTGAGAGAAGACAACGACGAAGGTCTTGCTTATCGGTGGGGCGACGATGAAAGCTCCGGTGGACTCGTGTACTCACTATAACCAATGGGCGTTTGATCCTATCGGGTGCCGGGCCCTGAGATGAAGCCACATGTTAGCATGCCAAAAAAAGTAGGCTTGTAGGCGAATGGACTCAAAGCTGAGCGTATATAGAAGTAAAACAGCCTCGAAGCTGAAATCCATCAGGTCAGCAGCTCCTATAAAATTCTGCTTTTCGAAGTAGATTCATCAGATGACAATGCACGCGGTCTTAAGATTAAGCCGACGAGGGAGATTAGCAGATTTAAACTTAGTGTGGCGTTCTGTGGCGTTCAGGGAAAGAAACCATAAAGAGAGGTATACATAGATCGATCAATGATGCGAAGAAAATACAGATAAGCGGAGGCAATACGAAATGGCCTACTCCGAGGCAATACTCGTTACCGCCGCTTGTACCCGGGCTTTAGCTTGTGACTTCATATAAACTATCATGGTACTGGAATTCTGTTGAGTGCTTGAAGACAAACGAAGTAAATGAGCTAATAGCACTCCACCAGAAGAAGCATGAGTGGAAGCCAGACCGTTCGACCTCAGAAAGTTTGTCTGCTCACACCAGCTCCCATTCCTCTCCATCGCCGACCACCAGTCGTCTCGCTACAGACTTGTCACCATCTTCGGACAACGCAGAAAAGCTCGTCTTGAGATCCTTAAAATAAATTTGTGCGTTGAGCCCTTCCAGCGCCACTTCGAGACCAGGTTCCAACGTTCCCTCTCCACGCTCCTCTACCACAAGCTGCTTGCTCGCCTCTGTGCGTTTTTCCACTATTAGTTGGGCCTCCCCACTACTGGCAGGGGACCGAGCACTAGATGCCCACGGGAGTCGATCCCGACCACACGTCCCGTCTTCGCTTCTGTAATCTCGACGGTGTCCGAGCCGATCAAAATGATAGGGCTGCCGTTGAGCGGCGCCGGCGCGTCTCTGGCGGTGATGCGGAAACGTGTGCGGTCTGTGCGCGAGACGAGGAGCGTGCCTACGTGCGGGCCTCTACCAGGGACGTGCCAGAAGTCGCGAGGGTCTGCTGTAGAACGGACGAGGAAGCTGACATCCGAGTCAGTATTATCGAACATATTGCAGACAGCTGAATGGGTGTGAAATGCGTACGTTTTGCCACTCGCGTGGTCTGTTTCATCCTGTGGGGGAATGATGGGGCGCAAACATGACCCATTCAAGTCTGCGTATTGCCATATCGTCCTTGAAGGGATGTTGGATGCAATTGATTGGTCTATCCAATAAGTTGCGCACTTGTTCTGCTGTACCGAAGGATCGTGAACATGCACATAGTAGCATCGACTCGTCCTGTTCAGGTCACTGAACCGAGGGTCAGAAGAAACATTACGCCACCACTCGTCGATAGCGTCCTCATCTTTAAACACTATGATGGCTGCGTTATGGTAATGACCCTATGTGGCGTATGTTTGGCATACATGCATCAGGGGCTTTTCTACAAGGAAAGATAACTGAAACTCAACGGATGTGTCACATGGAGGCATATGTTCGATCTGAACATAACAAGGGCCCATACTCGAAATCCTGATAATGCTGTGTCCGTGAGAGGAGACAAGGATCGGAGGTCTTTATGATCGATGAGATCAAGGTGGGATGAGAGTAAGGATGTTCATGCGCTAAATTGGAACGTAATCGATGTGAGCGCTAGCGCTTATCCCGCATGCTGAACCGCTTGGTCGATTAATCCGCCTGTTAGCCTATAATATTTAGGTCTGCGAACGGGTACACCCAGAACTTGGAGTGCATATAGAAATCGCTGCAGCTTGATTCTGATGTCAGTATGCTATACAAACGACGTCTGTAGGTAGTTTCTTCTTTGAACGACACTGTGCAGCTGATTTTATGCCCAAGTCAGATATCATCTACTCAAACTAGCTCCCACTTCTCTCCATCGCCGACCTCTAGTTCTCTCGCTGCAAACTTGGAACCGTCCTCTGGTACAACGGAAAACCTTGTCTTGAGATCCTTGAAGAAAATCTGCGCACTATATTGTTCGTTAGCTTGCGGCATGATTGCCACAGCAGACTCCGCCGTGTCTGCTGTGTTGTCGCCGGGCTCCTCTACCACTAGTTGTTCGCTCGCCTCCGCGCGGCGTTCTTCCACTACGAGCTGATCCATCGCTCCTCCGCTGGCTCGGATGCTCACGGGTGCACCCAACGCGAGGTACCCGTTCGAGCGAACCTCAATGATACGTCCTGTTCTCGCCTCTGAGATCTCGATAGCGTCCGAGCCGATCATTACTATAGGGCCGCCGTTGAGCGGCACCGGTGCATCTTTGGCTATGATGCGAAAGCGAGTACGATCCTTGCGCGAGACGAGTAGTGTTCCCGCGAGGTCTCCTCTACGGGGCACATGCCAGAAGTCGCGTGGGTCCACTTTGGAGCGGATGAAGAATCTGTTGTTCAGGTCAGTCTCATGAGACAGAGTTTCTATTACATAAAGGACAGTTGGCCAAGAGCGCACATACGTCTTTCCGCTGATGTGGTCCGTCACGTCCTGCGAGGGAATGATAGGGGGAGGAGTCATTTGGTTGCCCCCGGAAATCCACATTTGATGTGGCCACTTCACGCTCGCATGTTTCACTAGTAGCTTAATATGGCCGTTTAGCATCGCACAACGGTCGTCTCTTTGTGCGTTGTCATCATGAGCATGCATGTAATAGCACGGGCTGATCCGCTCGAGATCTGTGCACTGGACCGACATCGTGCGCCACCACTCATCTGCGATACTGCTGTCCTTGAATAGTATGATGGTCTGATGAGCAAGTTCATCCTATTATTAGCAACATGACAAGGAATTAATATCAATGAACTGAACTCACCGTTAAAGAGTTGTATCCCATGTGCTCGATCCGAACATAAAAGGACTCCATGGTCAAAATCTTGTGTATGCCGTAGTGCGAGAGGAGATAGGTGTTGGTGGGAATGAGATGGGCTAGCGTGGGTGAGACCTGTTTACACGTTCTTATGGGCGCCTATCCTACCGAGTCTCGGATTGAAAACCGCGTGCCAGCTTCCCGAAGTGGGCCAGTCAAATACGCTCACAGTAGAGCGATGATATAGAAACCATCGCAGTCTCGAGGTCGCCACTCAACAGATCAGCAGCTCCTGTAAAAGTCAGCCCTTCGAATCAAATTCATCGAACCACAGTACGCCTAGCCTCAGGAATAAGTTGGCATTGAAAGGAAAACAAGTGGTTCCTTCATCTAGCTCAACACAAATAAGCAATGTGAACACGAACGATGCTGTGATAGTAGGAATCAATAATGCATGCAGAAACTTGCAACGAAACAATGTCAAAGAGAGACAGGGAGAAAAATGTCAAAAGAAGGAAAAGTGCCGCAAACGGCCAACGCTGGCGACGGCACCAGCCCGCCCGCTGTCATCCAGCACCCGCACGAACACCCTTCCGATGCGCTCCACCTCTGCCTATATCCGGTGCCTCCTCTTCCTCTTCCACACCATACTCGCCATATCCCTCCTCCTCCTCCTCACCATCCACATCGTCGTCCTCGGGCTGCTCAGGCGCCACAGCATTCGCGTTCGCATCTCCATTCGAGTTTGCATTCACATTCGCATTCGCACCGCCCGCAGCAGCAGCACCCTTTGACCCGCTCAACCCGCCCGCCGCACGCTCCTGGGCCCTCCGCCGCCTGCGCAAGATCTGCTTCCGCCCGCGCACAGCGCGCCGGTATTCCGGCCCGGAGCGGTCCGAGAAGAACAGCGCGTACTCGCAGAACGGGCAGATCCACTCGTCCGCGGCGTTCACAATCTGCGGGCCCCCAGCGGCAGCAGCCTTCCTGTCCTTCGCAGCTGGCTGCATTGCGGTGTCACCGCCTGCATCTGAGCCGTCAACCACGCTGTCTGTGCCACGGCCGTTCTTGCGAGAACGCCGCGAGGGCGCGAGCTTGGCGGAGAGGAAGCGCATCGGGAGGGGCGCGAGCGCGTTCGCAGAGTTTTGCGCGGCCTGCGCAGCGCTGGCTGGTCCGCCTTGGGAGGGTAAGCGCGAAGGAACGTAGTTCTTGCGGTGATGCGGGTTCGACGCTATCGCGAGTGCGTTCCGGCGCTTCTTCTTGCTCGTCTTCTTTGTCTTGGGCTGCTGAAGCGCCACCGCGGCGTCGATGTCTGGCGATGCGAGTGAGGGAACCTCGCTTGAGGTCTGTTCCGGTGCCTGCGTCTGCATCTGACCTTGCGCAGGCTGGGGAGGCGCTATGCGTGCATCCCTGTCAGTCTTCTTGGACTTGGTGCCCTTTGTTGTTGTCGGGGTCTGCGGCATGCTGGCTTCCTGCTGCTTCTCCGCGTCTGCAGCAGCCTGTGCACTCTGTCGGGCAAGCTCATCCTCGAACCGTGCACGAAGCGAGGCCACCTCCTCTTTGGTAGATGCAAGCCGTTCCGAAGCTATAAAGGCAAGTAGACACCGCAGGGTTCAGCCACGGGCGGGATTGAGAACACCACTTTACGAGAGAAAAGACGATACTCACTCGCACTGGAGCATTCGAACGTGAAATTCCCACTGGGCGGAACCGCACCCCTGCCCTCATCCTCCACCTCCACCTCCGCGTCTTGGTGGTGGTCCGAAAGTACCCTCGTAGTGCGCGACACGCGCGGACCAGTACGCTTCGACAAGTGTACCTTGCTGTCCGGGTTACTGTTGCCCGTGCTGAACGCAGGCGCGAACGGAATATGCGAGGACAGCGCCTGATCAAGCGCGAACGTGTCCCCGAGCGAAAGCGCATCGAGCACGGCAGACAGCTGTCGCTTCCGCTGGCGTACGAGCTCCTTGTGCTGCAGCCCATCGAGCGTGGCCGCCGATACCCGCGGCTGCCTGCGCAAGCCTCTGGCACCAGGCACTCCCATGCCGGTGCTTACGCCATAAGCGGCCGAGGAAAGGAGAGCCAGGCCGTTCTCCCCTTCCCGATCTTCTCGACCGCCCGTGGCAATCGACCCACTTCCGTACCCAAGATGTGCAGTCGCGCTCGGATCGAGCAGCGTTGGGTCGTCGACATCGACACCGACACCCACGAGAGCCGGCGCTGCCTCGCGCCCCTGCGCGGCGGACGACGCGTTCGCGGGCACCTTGCGCTTCTTCGTGTTCTTCGGCTGCTGCAAATGGTCGAGGTAGTCTTCCCCACCCGCGCCCTGATCGCGGTCCACATGCGTCGGCTCCTTGCGGTAGATCGTGCTCGTGACCCGCCGAACCGGAACAGGGGCGGCACCATGCCTTTTTTCCGCGCCCGTAGAGCCTGCAACGTCTAGACCTGGGTAGTAGGCAGTGGTGGTACCGTAGTTCGTGAGCCCGTGTGCAGCCTGGCCGTACGCAGGCGTCGCAATGTAGCCGTCCCGCCCGTAGGGTGTAAAGTCGAACTCCTGTTCGAGGTCTGTCGCGCTCGCCTCGGCTTCGCCCGGGCCTGCCTGTCCAATCGGACTGCCAGGTATGAGCCCCGCCGCGCGAAACATGTCTGCGCTCGCGCCAGAGGCGGAGGCAGCGGCGCTCAGAACGCTCTCGTAGTAGTTCTGCAGCGCCATCTGCCCCGCGTACGAATCTGCGTGGGCCATCAGCTCGCCCGCAATGCTCTCCATCGCGCTCGCCGACATCCCTCCGTACAGGTCTTCTTCGTCCACCGATCGTCCCCTGTCATGTCCCTCACCCCCATGTCCATCCTCGTCACCAAATCCGCCGCCTTCGGTCCCTCGTACTCTGGTGTCGATGCTAAATGTTGAGGGATGTGTTGGAAGAGGCGGGAGCGGCATATCCGGCACCGGCGCTGGAGGCGCACCATGATGGTGCTGAATCGCATGTCCATGCGAATGTAAACCGACCACGCGCCTCCGCTTCGGGAGCGGCTTCACCATTCGCAGCGGCGGGAAGTCGCCGGGGCTGAGCGGACCCGTACCAATACCCATGCGCATGCCCACCCCATCCATGGCAACACCCATGCCGAACGTAGGGCTGCCGGAGATGTGATGTCCGAGCGTCGGCGCGCTCGGGGGAAGCATCGGCGGGCCTTGGGTCTGTGCTTGCAAGAGTACAGGTACTGCCACCGGCTCGCCAGCTTGGGCATTGTGCGCTTGCGCACGCGATTGCGCCTGAGGGAAGGACCCAGGCATCGTGTTCGCGCTCGCACTGGCACTGGCGCCCGAGCGCCCGCCCGCGCCCTGCTCCGGTGGCGCTCGTGTTCTAGTCTTTTTGGCCAACGTAGCTACTTGCGTACACCAGCGCCGTCTTCTTCGTCTTCGTCTGTGTTATATCGATAGCAGCCGCCCAGAGATTACACTGCGCACACCAGCAAAACACCCGCCCACCGCTTAGACAGAACTCCATAACACGAGAGTAGCACACGACGCACCTTGAATCCCAAAGTCCAATCTAACCCAATACGAACCAACTCCAGTTCTTAGAGTTATCCCACCGTTACGTTATCCAACCCGGTACCCAAGTCCTTGGCTTTATACGATCCTGACCGAGACCCCTGCTGCGCCGCGTTTTGCTACGTAACGCTGACCCTCGACTGGCGATACAGTGCCCCTTGCGCCCTGGCTTGAGCTTGAATATCCGCACAGCGGCCTGTCTGCCGCAGCACGAGCATAAGCGTAAGCAAACAAGTAATAATCAAGCAAGCGGGAAAGCATCATCGCGCATGCCGTAACCCCCATCATCGTGATTCGTCACACAAAGCAACCACACGAGCACGAGCACGAGCACGAGCACGAGCACAAGCACACACCCCACGCTGACGTGTACAATCCAAACCGCACCAAAACCAAAACGCACCTTTCACTATGCAAACAAAAAACGCAACGATCCACTCGCTCGCTCGCCCTCTTATAGTATCGACCCTCGCACGCACACAGTCGGCGCCCGAAACGAGATGAACCGCCGCAAATTCTAATGAAAGGATCAATGATCGTTACAGCACTAGTAGCCAAATGTGTACGTGCGCAGGGCTCAAGGCGGAATCGAGCGACACAGTCGCAACACAAGCGTCGATGCGAAAAAGCAAGTTGAAGGCGAAGACGAAGAGAACAAGAAAAGGCGAGTCTGGCCTCTGACAAGCGATAGCAATCGCGATTCCACACTTTCCAATTTCACATCACATCACACTCTCCCAATCTCTACATCACCCTTACATCCTCCGCTTACTCACCTCCTCGTACGTACGTACCTAGTACGATCTAGAACACACCAGACAATCTAGCGAGGAAAACCCCTCATTTATATCGATACTCGAAAATCAAACTAGCTAGGGTAAGGTACACTCGTGATACGTTATGCGATGCGATGCTCTAACCTCTAAGTTAACGAAAGAAAAAAGGAAGAAACCATGCCATGCAGTAAACTAATCTTGTCTCGTATCGTACTTGCTTCAGTAAAATGGTGCTGGTGGAGGATACACATGAAACCATCAAAACACAGGGGAATTGTGGGCGGAATGCGAAAGAGGGTATCGCGAGACGACGACCTGCATGCACCCGTTCTGCACCGATGCTGAAGCAGCAACAGGAATAATAAAAAAACCAAATCGTGACGAGGAAGATAAAAGAACGAAGAAAATATACAGGCGTTCGAAAGAGAAAAAAGGGCGAGAATCGCAATGGAACAAAATGAAGTGGGGTGTCGCTCTGCTCAAAGAGAAATAAAACAACCTCAACCAGCGGCCGCGCCGTACTTCTATATCTATCATCATGATCATCGAATGCAAGCGATTAGGAAATTAGCCGATAAAATATCGTAAGTCAGGCGATGGGTGGTATGCATCAGATGAGCAGTGTAGTTGTAGTTGTTGAATGCCGAATGCCGATGGGATGGGATAACAAGGTTGATTTGTTGAACAATGAGCAGACGCTGCGATATGTACGATGCGCGGAGATGGATGGATGGGATGTTGCGAGACGAGACAAAACTGAACAGATTGCATGACGAGTGGCGATTGAGACAGATGGAAGATGGAGAAATAGGAGGAAGGGGAGGGGGATGAGTGTAGAGCAGCGCATTGATAAGTCCGTGTTGAGTGCAGCGAGATGAAACAGGAGAACATAGAGAGAAAACAGAACAGTCTTGGATGCCGGCCCAGCCTGGTTGTCTAGAGAGACGAGGCCAGCGTCTTGATCCTTCGAGGAATCTTGAGAGTCAAGGAAACATTGAGATGTTTACCACCAGCCAGTGTTGCCTCCGCCAGCGCCGAATCCACCACCTCCACCGCCGCCATAGCTGGGACCACCGCCAAACCCGTTGCTGCGACCGCCGCCGTATCCACCTCCGCCGCCACCGTAGCCTCCGCTGCTGTGTCCGCCGCCGCCAAAGCCTCCACCCTGGCGGACGTCGCGGTTTCCACCACGAGCGCCACGTCCTCCGCCCCGGCCACCACCGCGGCCACGGAAGCTAGAACCGAAAGTGGCCTCCTGCGCGGCAGTCTCGAGCCAGGCGGGGAGCTCCTGGTTCGCCTCGCGCAGGAGCTCGATGAGGTCGCGGACAATGTTCTTGTTGCCGCGGTTCCAGAAAGCGGTAGCGACACCCGTGTTACCAGCACGACCGGTACGACCAATGCGATGCACATAATCGTCAATGTCGGAGGGGAGATCATAGTTGACGACGTGGGTCACGTTGGGGATATCGAGACCACGGGCAGCGACGGCGGTGGCGACGAGGACAGGCGTGCGGCCAGTTCTGAACGTCTGAAGAGCCAACTCGCGCTCGCGCTGGGTGCGGTCTCCGTGGATGCTAGTGGCAGCGATGCGGTTGGACATCAGGAAGTCGCTGAGCATGTCCGCCATGCGCTTCGTCTCAACAAAGACCAGGGTAAGCCCGGAGAGATCGCTGGCAAGAATATCGAGAAGGACGGAACGCTTGTCGTTGTCCTCAACATACTCGATCTTCTGGGTGATGTTCTCAGAAGTGGAGCCGACACGACCGACGGAGAGGAAGATGTAGTCCTTCAAGAAGTCACGGGCGAGCATCTGAATGTCGCGGGGGAAGGTGGCACTGAACATGAGCGTCTGGCGTTCCTGGGTGCCGGGCATGTCCTCGCCCTGCACAATGCGACGGATCTGGGGCTCGAAACCCATGTCCAACATGCGGTCAGCCTCGTCGAGGACGAGGTACTTGATGTTGGCAAGGCTGATGCGACCGCGCTCAATGAGATCGACGAGACGACCGGGAGTGGCGGTGAGAAGATCGCATCCACGCTCGATCTGGCGGAGCTGCTGACCAATGTCGGCACCACCATAGACGACGGCGGGACGAACCCAGGAGCGGTACGCAAACTTGCGAGCCTCGTCGTGAATCTGGCTGACGAGCTCACGTGTAGGGGCAAGGATCAGGGCTGTAGGGTAGGCCTTGCGGCCACGGCTCGAGTAGCCCATGGGCGTCTCGGCCGGAGGTGGGCGCGGTCCCGAAGCGAAGGAAGCGGAGAAAATGGGGAACAAGAAGCCACCCGTCTTGCCGGAGCCGGTCTGCAAAGAGATGCCGATAACAAATATTAATCAGCCGCACGTTCAACACGTTTCCCGGGTAAAAACGTACCTGCGCACAAGCCATGAGGTCGCGATTAGCTGCAACAATAGGAATAGAGTATTTCTGCACGGGAGTGGGGGTGGTATACATGGCGAAGCTAATGTTCTCGAGGAGAACGGGGTCGAGAGGGGGGTTGGTGAATGCGGTGACAGGGTCGGGGACACCAGCACCGGTAGCCTCGACAGGAATATCATCGTATTTCTCGAAGTTGATACCCGTGTGTTGTTTCGAGGGGTCGTCCGGGTCGCCGTAGAGCTCCTTCTCCATGCGTGGGCTGCGCTGGCCAACGATGTGCTTGCCATCGCGCCAGGAGCCGAAACCGGTTGCTTCTTTGTTTCCGCCACCCTCGCTGGGTCCCTTGGACCACGAGGCGGCACGGCCACCGGCGGCACCACCGGCGCCCCAGTCATCGCGGGAGCGTCCACCGCTAAAAGCGGGGCTGAAGGACCCGCCTCCACCGCCGCGAGGTCTGTCGTTGGGGGCAGCACGAGGAGAAGTGAAATGAGGGGGTGGTTGGGGGTCACTCCAGTTGCCTCCTCTGCGGGGTATGTCAGCACAGGATTTGCGAGATAAAGGAGATGGGAGGACAACGCACCCGTTGGACATGGCAGGAGCAGCCCGCTGCTGTCTCATGTGTGGGGGAACATAAGCCGATCTCGTTCCATTAACGCCGAGCGACGCTGTTTGAGGCGGACAAGGGGAAGGAAAAAAAGAAGGATAAATGCGACAGCAATCGAGATAAAGAGCGACGACGTACCAAACTGCGGCTCGAGCCCGGTAGTTCCATCTACTGATCCATTGGTCATATTAGCGTTATCGTGGACCTTTTGTACTTTTTCTATCGTGAGTTGAGTGTGTCTTTCCTCTAGGGAGGGAGAGAAGAGAGATGGGGGTGAGAGGGAAACCAGTTGCCGATGAGCCACAGCCAAAGTCTGAAAAATTCCGGTGGGAGACAATGACTAAGCACCTGCTTCCCAGACAGCGCCGTATTTGGTGATTCGTTCCCACACTCAGCTGCACGCCTGTCCGTGTATGGACGCGACGTGGCCGACACTGACAGAGCACGTTTCTTGACATTTCTCTTCTCAAAACAACAAATGGCTCAACCAGGCGGAATCCCAATGGGCGTCCCCCCACAGATGGTGCGTCAAGGCGGGTTGCCCCCCCAGATGATGCAGCGTCCACCCGGCGCTCCAGGACAGCCCGGCCAGCCTATGATGGGCGGCCCACCTCCCCAGGCCGCCCCGCCCCCGCCTCCCGCCGACCCTGCCATGCAGGCCCTCATCGACGCCCAGTTCCAGCCCCAGGACATCGTCCTCGGTGCACCCAACGGTGCACTCGTCTTTTGCGGTCCGCACAAGCTCGAGAAGTGCGAGCAGTGTGACATCGACTACTCGGGTGTCAACAAGATGAGCCGCGTGCTCGCGACGAACCCGAATTTGCGCTGTCCACCCCCGCCGCAGGTCATTCAGCAGAAGCTCTCGCAGGCCGTCATGGGTACCAAGGAGGAGGGCAACGTGCGTCTACCTTGTTTTATCTCCAGTGCAGCACCCTGACAGAGAGCATGTATGCGTATGCAGAACCATTTCAAGAAAGGCGAACACATGCCCTCCATCGTAAAGTACACTCTCGCAGCCACCATCTCCACCTCCCGCCCACCCTGGGAAGCCTCCGCCATCATGCGCGAAGAACTCTCCACCATCCTCTCCAACCGCTCCGCCGCCCTCTTTGAGGTCGGCGACTATCTCGGTGCGCTTGCTGACGCCGAGTCCGTCATTTCCATCCGTCGGAACTGGGTCAAGGGCCATTCGCGGAAAGCCCGTGCCCTTGAGGCGCTCGGCAAGCTCGACGAGGCTCGCGACGCGCTTGTGCTGGGGCTAATGTTCGAACCTAGCAACCCCGTGCGTTACCTCCCAGTTTTTTTTTCCACATATTCTTCACTGAGCTTTTTTATTTAGGAGCTCAACTCATATGCTACTGACCTCGGCAAGGTCATGAAGGCGCAAGCCGAGGCAAGGGCGAAGGGCGAGGAACCACCCACGCCAGCCCAGGTACAAGCAGCAGAGAAGGCGGCGGCAAGTACTAATTCGGAGTAGACCATCCCGTATTGCGTCCGCTTTCTTTGTAGTTTCCTCGCATCGTTAATTTATACCTCTCATCTGGTCTGTTCTCTTCTAAAGCAACTCCTTCAACGTCACGCTGAGTTTGACTCTGCTGATCTTCGCCGTCGGCTTGTCCATAAGACCGGGCGCACTGTGGCCTGATGAATCTACCTCGAACTTCGGGATAACTTTCTCAGAAGCTGCTGATCCGGCGAGTATCAACCTCGAGGCTGCATTGTTTTCTATATACGCTCTACTGTGAGCGCGTGTGTCCACAGGCCTGGTTTTGGCAGGCCGACATGCGGTTTCGGCCCAGGACACGACAGGACAAGCGCTCAAGGTAAGTACATAAGTGCCGGGGACTTTAATCGTCTTGCCAGTCGTCAAGACCCTCTGGCGCCCTGCTTCCACAACACGACATATACCACGATTTGACTATGGAGCCCTTCTATGTTCGAATCGAGACCGCGGGATCCGTTGAGTCCCCCTTCCTTGGTTTCTTGTCGCGTTGTTGATGCATACGTCAACTAGAGTCTCGTTGCTAATGATACCACTTTCATATTGTTCGAGGATAGGGACATTGTGGACGAGTGGTGGCGCACAATCTCGACCGACAGCCAGCGTGCCGACCTTAAGCGCATCAGCACTGGCTGTTATGTGCATGTTCATGGCGCCCAAAGAGAGATTGAGAACTGTGCGATGTACAATGATAAATACTTACCAACCGAGTTTCACGACGTTGCGTGGGTGAAAGCGGACTATTCCACCGAGTTCGTTTCGCCCCCTACCATCCCTCCACAGAACGTAACGGACCACATTAGCGGAAAGACGTACGTACACATTTGGTCCACTGCCTTCAATGTGCTCGAAAGCCTATCTCATGACACTGACCTCGAACGGCAGCTTCTTCATCCGCTCCAAAGCGGACCCGCGCGACTTCTGGCATGTCCCTCGCAGAGGGCCACACGCAGGCACACTCCTTGCCTCGCGGACGGATCGCACTCGCTTCCGCATTACAGCCAAAGATGCACCTGCCCCGCTCATCGGCGGCCCTATCGTCATGATCGGCTCAGACGCTATCGAGATTGCAGAAGCGAGGACTGGACGTATCATTCAGGTTCGCTCGGACGGGTACCTCGCGTTGGGTGCACCCGTAAGCCTCCATGCTAGCGGAGAAACGATGGAGCAGCTTGTAGTGGAAGAACGCGTGGAGATGAGCGAGCAGCTAGTTGTAGAGGAGCGTGGCGAGAACGCAACGGACACGGGGGAGTTGGCTGTCGCGACGACGCGGCAAGCTAACGAACAAAACGGCGTGCTGATTTACTTTAAAGATTTCAAGACAATGTTTTCTGTTGTACCCCAGGACGGCACCGAGAATGCAGCAAGACAGCTAGAAGTGGGCGATGGAGAGGAGTGGGAGTTGGTATGAGCAGATGAACTTGAACAGTCCAACTCTGGTCCGTCCCTCATCTACTCGCTATACTAGCAACTCGCTCATATCTTTGTCTTCAGGCACTTAACCAAAATGCCACCGACGTGAACAAAGTTGTGACCATATAAGCTCAAGTTCTTGAGGGGGGCAAGGGGGTTGTCCACGTCTATCCAACTCCAAATATGAGCGGCGGTAACGAGCACCGCCCTGGAGTAGACCGTTTCGTATTGCGTCCGTTTTGTCTGCCATTGATCTATACCTCCGAGTCTCGTTCTGGCTTCTTCCTTTGAAAGCATCTACTTCAACGCCACATAACGACACGCTAAGTTTGACTCTGGTAATCTCCGTCGTCGGCTCACCTTTAATTCCGGTGCACCGTCACCTGATGAGTCTACTTCGAATGGCTGACTTTGACGGGAGCTACTGATTTGATGGAAGCTGGCCTCGAGGCTGCGTTTGTTTTCTATAAGTATGCGCTCTATTGTGAGCGCATGTGCCCACGAACCCGTGTTTGGCAGGTCGACACATGGTTCCGACGACTGAAATCCGGCAGGATAAGCGCCCAAGGTAAGTACATACTAGTACTAGGTACGCCTTTCACTCATCCCATCAGTTAGCGAGATCCTCCGACACTTGACTCCTTTCACGCTACCACATATACGCCTTCTTAACTATGGAGCCTTTCTACGTCCGGATCGAGCATTTGGGATACGTTAAGTCCTATCTACAATTTCTTGTCGCTTTGCTAATACATCCGTACATAGAATCTATATACAAATGTCAGTCCCGTTTACAGCTTCTTATCGCGTTGCTGATCTACCTTCTGCATAGGGTGCAGTAGCGAACATCATATTGTTCAAGGACAGGACCATCGCCGACGAGTGGTGGCGCACAATCTCGGCCAATAGCGAATGTATCGGCCTCGAGCGGTGTAGCCCGTGCTACTATGTGCATGACCATGATCTTTCAAAAGGAGATTCTCAGAGTTTTTGCGATGAACTCCGACGGCTACATACCCAAAAAATTCTGGAAATATGCCATTGTAAGATGGCCGCCCTCACATTCAAATTACGGTGGATACCTGCCAACTTCGCCCCCGACCATTCCCCCGCAGGACGCAACAGACCATGTCAGTGGAAACACGTACGTCCCTGACCCATCGACCAGCTCGCACCCAGCACCAAGACTAATACGAGTCAACAGCTTCTTCATCCGCTCCAGAGCGGACCCGCGCGACTTCTGGCACATCCCTTCCAGAGGCCCACACGCAGCCACGCTCCTCGTCTCGCGCACAGACCGCACTCGTTTCCGCATCACAACCAAAGACGCGCCGGCGCCGCTCAATGGCGGCCCCACTATCATGATCGGCTCCGACGTCATCGAGATTGCGGCAGCGAAGACAGGAGGTGTGGTCGGGATCGACTCCCGTGGATACCTCGCACTCGGGGCACCTGCTAGCGCCAGAGTAGGGGCGATGACCCAGCTAGTGGTGGAGGAGCGCGCAGAAGCGAGCGAACAGCTCGTGGTAGAGGAGCGCGGCGACGACATGGGGGAACCTGCTGTCGGGACGATGCCGGAAGGTAACCAAGAGACTAGCATTCAAATCCTCTTCAAGGATCTCAAGGCAAGGCTTTCCGTTTCATCCGAGGATGGCGATAGGTCTGTCGCGAGACGGCTGGAAGTTGGCGACGGAGAGGAATGGGAGTTGGTATGAGTAGATTAAACTGTACTGACGTCCAGCCCTTGTCTGTATATCTTCCATTCAGTATATTACCGTCTCACCCATATCTTTGTCTTCAAGCACTCACTCAGAGTGTCACTGATGTGGGCAAGCAGATGGGAACGTACAAACCGAAGGTGGCGGTGGCGAGTTCTGCTTCGGTAGACCTCCGCTTATTGCATCCGCTTTCGCTGTTGTTCCCTCCCAGTCATTAGTCTATGCTTCTCAGCTGGGTTCACTGATCGAGGACAGCTTCTTAATGTTACGCAAAGTTGAACCTTGCCCCGGCTGTCAGCTTATCGTCAATACCGGCACAGTTTGATGAGTGTTGAGAAAGAAGGAAGTTGCCGTGGTTGCACGTGGCACCGCAAGTGTGTGTCTGGAATCTATTGATCAGCATGAGCGCTTTTTGCACCTTTCAGTCCGACCACACCCGAGTCAAGTCGCGCAGCACTGTCCCCCAGCCAATTCAGTCCTGTGACTGGCCTGTATACCCTCTGGTAGCGCGAGTCCGTATACACAGCCGGCTACTACGGTCACCATATGTCTGGAACAGGTTCATGTTTTGCATTCTACGCGATATTTGTAGTAAATCTGACCTTGTTGCTATGCTTGGCACGACTCAGACGAAGAGATTTGGCAGAGGCTGGCCAGCAAGACAGCTAGAGGAGCAGAACATGACTCTAACGCTCGTCGACCGTTCTCTCCGTGTCTTCCCGGAACCCGAGGAGAGCTTCTTGACACACTAGAATCGTCTTTGATGCAGGGAGAGCGGAAGATCATATGGCTGTTTGGAGGGTCAGGATCGGGCAAATCAAGCGTCGCCTACTCCACCGCCGAGCGCCTACGTAGCAAGGATCATCTTGCCGCTACCTTCTTTTTCTCCAGAAAGCATCTCAGCCGAAGTCAGACAGATCACGTCTTCCCTACTATTGCGTATCGCATCGGCCTTCTTCATGCTCACGCGAAAGAAGTCATTATCAAGGCAATTAAAGACGATCCGGAGTTGTTAACCGCGGAGAAGTCTCGACGCGAGCAATTCGAGAAACTCGTCACGGATCCCCTTCGCGCCTTGCAATACGTGTGGTGCACGAAAAGAGCGATGATATTCGACGCCGCTGATGAAGGCGAAGGCGATCAAATCAACGACTTGGTGTATATGCTGATCGAGCTCCTCCGTGATCCATCTATTCCTATCTCTAGTATCCTCTTTACCAGCCGACCTCTCTTTCGTCTTGGATCACTCACAAGAAACAATGGCATAGAAAGCATGTTCATTAGTCTTCGCATCGAGGATTTCGAAGCCACTCACGATATAGAAGTCTTCCTATGCGATTCCCTCCGGAGGATCTACGAGGACCGCGAACTCCAGTTTATGCACCCTCAGCCATGGCCACCTCCAAATCTTATCGCCTCATTACTTAACCGTATAAGAGGGCAGTTCATCGTCGCCGCAACTATTTGCAGACTCATCCGCGACGCTACGGACCCCATCGAATGTCTTGACCTCGTCTCCGATATGTACACGGGCGAGGTTGAGCCTTTGTCCCTCAACTTGACTGGCATCGATTCGGTGTATTACCACATTCTTTCCGACTGCGACACGACATCAAGGATTCCGGGAGCCAAATGTTTAGCGGATATTACCGCGCTTGCTGAAACCCTATCGCTATCCGATCTTTGCAGGTTATTTGCTACTAGGGACGTTCCGAAGCACATCACCCACCTGTCAGCCATCGTCGTCATCCCCTCCATCGAGTCAAGGGACACTGTTCAGGTATATCATGCCTCTCTGCGAGACTACCTGTCGGATGAATCTCGGTCCCAAGAGTTTTATGTGCATCCGAAGGTCTCTCACCAGCGGCTAGTTTGCATGTGTTTGAGGCTCATGAAGAGAGATCTCAGGAAAGACATATGCGGGCTCGAGGATCCATCAAAACTGCATAGCGAGTTCGAAGACTTTATTTACCGCCGCGAAGCATACATCTCTGGTGCCTTGCGTTATGCGTGTCTGTACTGGCCATATCACCTTCTAAGGTCCGAATGCACTGAAGAAACTCGGGCACTTGTGGTATACTTCGTAAAAAAGCAGCTACTATTCTTTGTGGAGGCTTCAGCCATCATTGGCTCCTTGCACGCGGCTGTCAACGGCCTCACAGATGTACAGAGGGCCATTTCGGTGAGTAATTGTCGGCCCGCGCTCTTACCTGCTTTAACATCTCCGTTAGAAATGGAAACCTTCTGACGATCAAAAGCTCGCTTTAAAGTTGCTCTATGATGCAGTGCGACTCGTGTTACAGTTCATTGAACCCATTAGCAACTCTGCTCTCCAGCTCTACGCTTCTGCACTTCCTATGTGCCCTGTTATTACCCAGCTTTCAAGCACGTACCGCGATTTGTTCAAGGATAGCGAGGTGTCAGTTGAGTATGGGCTGAACAATCCCTGGAATTACATCATCCGCACTTTCGCAGTCGAGGATGGCGCATCAATCGTCATGTCTCCTGACGGCCGTAGATATGCTACGGTATCACACGAAGCTCTCAGACTATGGGATAGTATTACCGGAAACTTCATCGCTTCTCCGAATACACCCCTGAGACCCAGCTGCATTGCTTTCTCTCACGACGGCTTCGCAATAGGTTGTCAGCACAGCAATGGCCATGTCTGCTTCTGGTATCCCAGCACGAACTCCGTCGACGATCTACTCCCGGCCCAAGGCGATGTGAGCGGACATAGTGTCTGCGCATTTTCGGGTGATAGCCTCTTATTCGCCAGCGGCGTAACTCTCAGTAACTCTTCAAAGACACTCCTTTGTATATTAGATAGAGACGACACCGCGGGAAAGTGGTCCCCCCGTCCACCAATATCCTTGCCTTCCGGCGTAATTCAAGACCTCGCCTTCTCCTGTACCAATTTAATTCTTGCGGTCACTCGCTCTGGAGCGTACATCATCAATCCTACCAGCCATACTATATCCCGGCACCTTCAAGGCCCATGGTTAGATCTACCGCAATGGCATTCTTTCACTCAAGAGGGCCTAGCTACCTTGCACATTAACTTTCCCGCAAAAAAGCTCGGTGTTAACACTGTTATGATCGAGCCCCTCAGCTTGAAATACAAACCCACCCATAACGTACATCATCACAGTGCTAGAAACGCAGCTCCAGTCATACTACAGCATCCGAAGTCTCTCCCTACGGGCGTAGTAGATGCCGTCTTCGTTGGCGACCATGTTTACACCCGGGATAGACAAATTCGTACCTCGTCCCAGTCTCAACCTTGGCATTACCTATCCGTGATACGGTTTGGCAAAGTCGCACATATAGTGGACCTTGCGTTAATGCGGATTCAAAAGGAGCTCGACAGCGATCACCGGGAGCACTCTGAACAAGATGCGGCTGCCTTTCATATCCTGCGATGTCGGCCAGACAGAAAACAGGTGGCCATTGCTACTTCCTCGCAGCAGTGGGCTGAGGTCATCAAAACTGCGGTAGCCTCGTCCCAATCCGGCTGGAGAGTTTTCATATTCTCCCTCCCCAAAACAATTTTCTCTATGGCATCAGAGATTCGACTCATGAGCGTTTCTCGGAATCTGGACTTATTCTCATACATCAGCAGCCTGGATCAATCTATCCATCTCTACAACATGGACGGCCGTAGTGTATCCAGCCTCGTGCCTGATGTTCCGTGGAGCTCTCTAGAATTCTTGGTCCATATATCCATGGAACAAGCGTTTTCGCCAAAGTCTACCTACTTTGCTTTCGCGGCTTCAGAACGTCTTTGGATCTGGGTCGCAACAGAAGGGCGTTTGATAGGCGTGATTGAAAGCTGGGTGGATGTCACCACCTATGTGTTTGCATTCTCGGACGACGAGACACGCTTGGCCATTGTGGGTCAATCACACGACATCAGTGTTTTCTCTTTGGGAAATGGTATCACCTTACTCAGTGTTGTGTCCTTACCGGCATCGCTTCACAGAATTGACGACATTTTCCTATGTTTCACTGCACTGAAGCACGACCTTCAAGTACTTGTAGACGTGGAACAGATGCACGCCGACACTTTTGGTTCTGAATCTAGGCAAAGACTCGGGCGCAAAGTCATACTCGTACACTATCAGGCGAAGGACGGTAATACTTATAGTTCCGGGTCAGAAGAACTTTTATTTCATGGTCCTCATGCAGGGCTGAAAAGCTCGCCTCACCTCAAGCGCTTCTGCTGCGACTCCATTGAGACGGCTTCATCGGTGTCACGCACTATTGACCTTCAAGAACAATTTGCTGACAACATTCAATACGAAGCTGACTTGGCATCTCCGCCAGGTTCTATCATTGACACCAACACCTGGTCAGATGTAACGATTCACGAAGGTTGGCTTTACGTCGGCCGAAGACGAATCTGCTGGTTACCTGAAAGATATAGGCCATCTGGTGGAAGGTTATTTGTGTTTGCCAATCTGGTGATATGCGAAGTAGGAGAAACTGGTGTGGGCTGGGGCGACACAATGGCACGTCGCTGGATGGTATTGAGAGTCAAAGGAGTTGATGTTCACTACTACGACTACTAAAGCTATTATAAACACTATGTCATTGTACATTCAGCTGATAGTGGAGGAACGTGCGGAAAATGGCGAGCGACTCGTGGTTAAAGAACGACCACACATATTACTGAGGCGACACAGATGACCAGGAAGACGATGTGCGGACTTATTTCAAAGAATTCAGGACAAGACTCGCTGTTGCACTCGTTGCCGAAACCAGTCCGGGTTTCTCGTCGATACGATTGGAGGTTGGCGATGGAGAGGTTTGGGACTCTGGGATTAGCGTAAGGATACGCAATCAGCTACGGCACCGTCGGTCGTCCAAATATACGAAGCAACGAACTCAACTGAAGAGGATATCACATTCCGTGCAAAACTCAATTGAGAAGATCCAGATAAGGTCGATATCTGCTGAAATACTACTGACCAGCGTGTGGTCTGAATTTCCAGGGCGTCACAAAACTATTTTATATATCCATTGACAAATATTGGCTTTACCAATCGTAGTAATGAAACTCAGTATTCTTGAGATTTAATACCATAGACTTTGTTTTGAAAGCGTCCTCGTGCGTCTCTCTTACCCTCATTATTATCCTATCAGAAAACGCTGTAATTCCCCCATCAACTGGCCTATACTGTGGAGGTAGCCAGCAAACTCGTCGTGAGCCTACCCAAAGCCACCCTTGATCAACCATCACGTTTGACCAGCTACTAGTGTCGGCAGCGGCACTTTCGGGGCATGCACGATCCGCGGACAGCAGAGGAGGATTGGAGGTGTCGACATCGACATCGACTGAGTAAGAGACCCAATCGGAATCGGCAGTTTCTGGAAGTGTAGGTCCGCGGTATCTGAACCTCTTGATATGTGGTGAGCTCGACAGATTAGCGACTCGAAGGCTGCGTGGAACAATCCTTTGCGCTGCAGATAATGCTGAGCCGCTATCCTGACCTTTGTGATGCCATAAAGAGACCATGCCGGTAAGTGAACTTGAGACAAACATCAAGATATTGAGGTTGTAAGTGGCTCCAGCAAAAGACACGTAAAAGTCTTCAAGGCGAGTTGGTGTTGTTGGTATTGAAATGCAATTGAGAGGTGCCAAGGAATCCTCGAGGGAACAGATTGTGACGAACCCTGAATGGTCTAAGATTGCTATCCGAGTCTCGTCGTCTGAGAAGGAGACTGCATAGGGAAGTGTTCCAAATATGTTGTCGATCGCGCCAATCAAGATGCCGTCGCTACTCCGCCAGATGTGCAGGCACTCGGGAGTGACAAGGGCAAAATACGTAGATTTTGAGGAGAAGGTCTGCCTGTAAGCTGAGAACTGAGCATAGGCTTTGGTTAGATCAATTGTGACGTTGGACGCATTGGGAGATTTTAGTTCCTGAAGGCAGATCGTTCTTTTGACTGCGTCAACGTAGGCTAGGACATCCATGTCTCGAGAAATCGTGCAGGAAAACGTCGACGAGGTAGATAGTAGTCGCGGAACTGGGATAAAAGTTGTCTTCCACCCCGCCATTATGACCGTGGTTGGTTTGCCAATGATAGTTGCATCGTCTTCTGCCCTCGCAATGATGGCCTCTCTTCGGTCGGGCCGGCAGCGTAAAAGAAGGTAATCAATTTTGTCTGAACGCAGATGTTGCTCGGGGTTGGATGGATAGATTGTCTGAAGATATAGCAAGGAAAGGTCGACAATGAGTGTTTGGTTCCCATGAGTCTTTATAGCGGAAAGAAAGTGGCCATGTCCAGACTGCGATGTACGGTCAATCTGCCTGTCGGGGGTGTAGATGTAGTTACCCAGTAAGACAGCGTCCACTTCTCTCTTTGATGGGAGTGTTATGGACACAGTGTTCTGATCTGTGTCAGTGAAAGCAATAGAGCGATTGTTTACTGTATCGTGGTCGATATGTGTAATGTGCACGCCGTTTTTGTAAGCCCCACTATGACTGGCGTGCAGTGTTGCGTTGCGTTCGAGGCAGAAACTATGCCAGTGAAAAGTCAAAGGCCACTGTCGTTGAACGTGGACAGAGACGCATTGATTGGTAAGATCTAGGATATAGACGCTTCCACCTTGAGTAGCAATCATAATGATCTCCTTTCCGGAGAAGGCCAAGCTGTGTATGCTGCCGTTAACGAGGGAGGGGATTGAACATCGATGCCGCCATGATTCCGGCGTACTGCGGTCAAACACGTTGACAACAATGTCCAGAGCACCAAAGGTAGTTCCGCTTGCGATCATCCGGTCGTCAGGAGTGAAGGCACAAGCACTTTGTGCAATTACTGAAGTGGAATGATCATGGCACTGACTTGCGGACAAATCAACGACTGTATTAGACTTGGGATACCACAGAAAGATGCGGCCGTCACGGTACTGGCATGCGAGAACTGAGGAACTATGTGAAAAATTGACACGATCAGGGATCAGAGTCGAGCCAGGAGATGCAATGAATGCCCCAGTAGTCGTGTCCAGTAGCTTTAGACCGTTTCGCGACAAGGTGGCAATGACGCGACCGTCAGGAGATACTGTGATTGACAAGTACTCCCTGCTGTCAAAGCTGCGAATGACGTAGTCCCACCAATCTGCTAATCCAGCTTCGACTTCCACGGTGCTCTGGGATAAGACGTGGTTATAAACCACCCGAAGATAAACTTTGAGTGGGCACATGGGAAGGGCGGACTCGTAAATGTGCAAAGCTGAAATACTGATGGGCTCAAAAAACTGCGAGGCGAGCCTCCAGGCGCCGTAAAGTAGCTCCAGAGTGAGTTGTTGGTTGTTAAATGGCTCCCAGGTCTAGAGCTCAAATTAGAGCCACTCGCTAAATAAATAAGGAAGCTTACCGATATAGTCTTGTGGACATCTGCAAGACATGCCACAGCGGGCTGTAGGCACCCTAGAACGGACGAGATCTCTAAGAAATATAACAGCTGGTTTTCTATAAAATATATCACGAGGGAAAGAAGCTCTTCGTCAGGCCGGGTCCGTTGGAGATGATGTGACCAATAAAGACTCGCATAGCGTAAACCACCCGATATACATGCGTCGCGTCGTTGATCAAAATCTTCAATCTCAGTGTGAAGTTTGGAGGGGTCGCCAAGCTTGCAGATATCTTTCCTAAGCTCTCTTTGCATGAGTCGTAGACAGAAACAAAGCAGACGGCGATGCGAGTCGACTGGGTCAATGCAGAGGTCCTTGGATTGCGAGCCATCCGCGAGGTAATCTCGTAGCGAAGTGTGATATATCTTGACTGTCTCTGAGGATTCTATCGGAGGGAGATAAATGACAGCCGAGAGATGCATGATAAGTCTCCGAACATCGCCAGCGAACAGTCTGCATACTGAGGAGAGCGTGAGAGGCACGGCAAGCATGATGATGTCCGACAAGCACTCGACACCGGGCCGCCGGGCCTGAGCGTCGCAGTTGGAGAGGATATAGTGGTAGATGGAGCTGATATTTCCAAAGTCAGGGTCCAAAGAAGTATCGCCCCTGTACATAGCCAGGATGACGTTGAGAGAGGATATAGGATCTACGGCATCTTGAACAAGCCTAGAGAGCGTAGCAGCGATAATGAACTGTCCGTCAATCTGTGCGGAAAGCGTATTAAGATCACGCTCGGAGGGCCACGGTCCAGGGTGGACGAACTGAAGGTCGCGTCTGTCGTAAGCAGTCTGCAAGGATTCGTGAAGGAAGATTTTGACATCCTCAGTAGCGTCAAAGCTCTCGATGCGGAGCGTTGAGATCGATTGCGAAATGATCGAGCGGTTTGTGAGCGCCTCGAGGTGAGAGAGTGGCCTGCTCGTAAAGAGGATGGTGGAAACGGGTATTGTGGGATCACGGAGCAGCCCGTCGAGGATATGGACGAGGTCTTTCATCTGTTCGGCGTTTTCCGGTTCGCCTTCATCAGCGGCATCAAACACCATGGTCTTCTTCGGCACCCATACATGCTGGAGACTCCTCAACGGCTCAGCAACAAGCTTTTCAAACTGCTCGCGTCGGGACCTCTCACAAGAGAGTAGCTCAGGATCATTCTGGATGGCTTTAACGATCACTGCTTTGGCACGAGGGTGAGAAATGCCGATGCGGTATGCAATGGTGAGGAAGACACGGTCGGTGTTGCTCCTGGAGACATGTCGGCGTGAAAAGAAGAAAGTTGCGGCCAAGAGGCCTTTTTTGCGCAAGCGCTCTGATATGGAGTAGGCAACGCTTGATTTTCCTGAGCCTGACTCTCCGAAGAGCCAGAAAATCTGTGGCTCCTCTTGCGACAAGGACGTCTCCAATGTATTCAGGAGGTCGACTCGAGTCCCAGGAAGACACTGCAAGAAGGGACGGCCGTCATTACAGTCGTGCTCTGCCCCTCGAGCTATCTCAGTGGCCAGTCTCCGCCAGGTCTCTTCGTCCCTGCTGAATCCTGTTTTGACCGCAAAAATACAACGGGTTGGAACAGCGTTAATTGCAGAGAAAAACCGGCGTACCTGTCTCTGCCATTCAGTACCCTGGCCTAGATGGGGAAACAAAGGAAGGTACGCTTGATGTTTTAACAGCACTAGGTGAGCGGTTATTTGTAGGATGCTGGACTTTAAGCTTTAAGAGCCTCAGCCACAGGTTTCTACAGGAGCTTACCCACGCTGACAACGATTGATGCCAATTCCCCGAGAAACAGCATGTCTAAAAGTAAATAACCACAGGCTCTCTTCTCTATAGTGCCTACTATTTGCGCGCGCACAGGATTTTGAGAGTATAAATACACCTGTTACTCGTCGAGCCTATCATACCTTTGCTGTGTCTTCTATTCGTTTCTGCTCCGCCTCCAACGTCTGACGGGAAAACGGACTTCGCTTTCGGATCTCGGACCCGTAGAAGTAGAGGACCTGAAATAAATTCGTTAACACACAAAATAGCAACATTGCCCTAGTTATGGAGCATGAGAGAACGTACAAAGGGTATAGGCAGCATCACACAGGAGATGCAGCCGAACATTGTGTTAGCCCACTTGTACGTCATCTTTGTGAACATTTGCTCCGAGAAGAGGGGGAAGACCGTTGCGAGGAGGTTACCTGAAGATGCGTACGTACCGTCAGATGAACATCTCACGAGTGAGGCGGATAATACGTCGATAACGTACGCAATAAACTCTGGCCCGCCACTGCGGATGAGGCGTACATGCCGTAGCTACGCAGATATAAACAAGGTTCATAACAGAATGCATGAAGAATGGAACGGCGTACCAGTCTGCAAGATAGACAAAGACCACAAAGTACAGAATGTACGCTCCAGTCATGAAAATCTAGCGGGACGTGAGCAATCTAGAATGTGCACCGCACAGCCACCAACAGACATACCGTAAGAGCAATCAGAGGCACGATCCATGGCACACGAGAGTTGGCTGTCCAGGCCCACATGAAGACTCCAATGGGCAACAGGAAAGCTGCAGCCATAGCAAGGTACAGACGCGCCTCCTGACCTTTAGCATCAACATGTTTTCTGTGTTATGGATCAAACATGAGGCAATAGTGAAGAAGCTGCATGAAGGGAAGGCGTACCTGTACAATGTCTCTTGATACCTCGACGCGAAGAAGCCGAAGATACTACCCAAGCTGCAGAAGCTAAACATCAGCGAAATGTACTCTGGGGCGTTTCAAAGAGGATGCTTACGTGAGAGCTACGAATGCACTTCCAGTATCTCCGACGTTGAAGCCATAAAGACTTTGGAGCTCTGGAGATATGGACCTAGTGATAGCATAAAGGAACTCGAACACTGGCGCGATATAGAAACACTCACTCGATGAGACAGAATAGGACTCCCCAGGTGAATGCAATCCATAGCTACGTTGTCCTCGTCAGCTATAGAGAGTACTCGTAATTCAAAAGGGAGCTTACAGACATGACTTGCACCGTCGGCTCAGTGAATAACAAAACTGAAACCCTACATCAGTATGAACACGAAACTCTTGTTGTGGAGAACTGACACAAGGCCCTTGTCGAAGACACCCAAATAAGCTTTCTCAAATCCCTTGCATTGTCGCTGTCCTCGCTGCGTGCACGATAGCGGTCGCTGCCCGTCTCCTTGCGCATCTTGCGCGCAAGCTGAGCGGTGATGACGGCAACACGTGTTTCGCGCATGTAAACCACGACCAAGACAAAGTAGGCACCGCTGAAGCTGGCGTACCGTTCGTAGGTCAGATAGGTGTCGGAGATGACTACGAGATAGTGAAGGATTTACGTACATCACGCTCACCCATTGTATCCATCGCCACCCTAATTCGGGGTTTGCTTCAATCCACCCTGCGACTAAGGAGCCTAGTCCCAGCGATGAGACAACGGCAAAGGAGTACAGCGACATCGGAAGGCCGCGACTTTGTCCTAACCGTGAGTTCAACCCGATAGACTAGTGTTAGAAGGCTCTTACTCTTTAGATGACCAAATATCAGCTATGGTCCCAGTGACAACCGTAGCACCTGTAGAACCAAGGATCCAGCAAGAAGACGCGATACGATCATCATCGCAGCATTGGTTGATCTTCGGGTATAGAAGGCCCAACGGCGGTCAGCGTCAGAGAAGCGGGATCCAGAGAAAACGTTCTTACAATGCAGTCATCACCTGGCACAGTGTGTAAACCAGCGCACAGACGACGTATAGATACCGTCGGCCGAACTCCTCGCTCAACGGGGACGTGAAGAGTGGCACGATTGCGAAGCCAATAATGAACAAGCTAAGTCCAAGGGTAGCTTGAAACTGGGTGCAGTTTAGGTCGCGCATCATGGAATCGTTTCCCATGGCGAAGGCGGAAGACGATGTGGCTAACGAGAACCTTCAACATGAGACACGAAACGGGATGATTTGCCTGAATACATACAGACTAAGATGCTGAAGATACAGGCTGTAAAGGTAATCGTCCATTTCTTCTTCTTTGAGAATGTCAGAGGGTCTCTTGGGTCGCCCGGCTCAAAGTCGACCTGCGGGAAGGACTGGGTAAACCAATGAGCAGCTTCAAATAACAATTGATAAGAGTTACATAGATGACATCCTGGTCGTTCATCGTAACCGTGGTCGTCGCAGACTCCTTCCCTGGCCTTTTCTCCTGCGCGGCATTGATTCCGAAGGGTCCCATCCTGACGAGCAGTCGCAGATATAGATGTCGTGAATGGTCGTTACAGTAGGACCTCGCAGTGGAGGTAAGAGATGTTCGTCTTCGGACTGTCGGCTTAGTCACGATCCTCGATGCCCGCCTGCCCTCGCCGCGGAGTAGGCATGAAATAGGCTAACACGCGGACCCACCAGTGTAAGTAATGAGGAATGACATAGCAAGACAGGGTGGGAGGGAACATGCATAAGCTCTGTTCGGCCGATAGATTAAGGGTTGCCACCGTGCGGAGATGGTGCCGGTTCAATATTGATCAGGAGTTCTTTCGAATGCTTCCCATAGAGAAGCCTGTAAAGACATAGCTAAACTGGACTGGCGGCTGAATTGCCGACGATCGTAACAGAAACCAATTGATCAGGAACATCCATGACTGTTCAAACTTGCAAGTGGATGACCTTGAAACTCGAAGAAGAGAACGAAAAACGTGAGGGAGCCGGAATAATCCGCGGGCCGCCGGTGCGGTGCTTAGTCACGTTATAAAACCGAGTGAATTCAGAACTTTCATCAAGAACATGCCGAATATGAAAATAACTCAGAGTTTTACCGTGTTTTCTCACATTGTGCTGAAATCCTAGAGAAGCTTTATATTCAAGCAAGACCAGACACTGTTTGTTCCTGCTTAAATGTGATAGTCCGTTCGCAACGAACTAAATGTCATGGAAATGACTCTATCAGGTGTCCATTCCGTGTCAAGATACGTGCTCGGCGCATCTTCCGCGGGTCTGCATCTGAAACGAAGAAGAAAATCTCTAGTCATTAATGTTCTCCTCCGACCTCATGCCTTTATCGCTTCTATCCGTTTCCACTCTGCCTCTAATGTCTGGAGAGAGAACGGGATCCGTTGGCGGATCTGGAATCCGTGTAATAAAAGTACCTTGAGACACAAACACGGTAACGTTAGTTTCATCTTCCCAAGTGACACGTTTTGGGAACGTACAAAGGGTATGGGCACCATGAGGCTGACAATGCAGCCAAACCTGATGTTAGCGTACTTGTATGTCGTCTATTTGAACATCTGGGTTGCAAAGTGTATGTTAGGTGTGCTTACAGTAAGCAGGTAGGCGAGGGAGCCTCTGCAGTGTAATGGGATGGTCCATCGTTGTGGCTTTTAAAGTCTACACATTGCGTTCCAGAGGACTGACAGTGAAGTTATTAATATGTCAGGGAGGAAGGGAGTAATTCTGTAAAAAAACGTTCGGCCGAGACTTTGGAGGGAATCTTTGAGAGATTACTCAGGATGTTCAAACGGAGATCCTTATCTCTTATTTTCCATAGCATGTGAAACGATCTTTGATGATGAAAAGCGCACCGTGCATCAATTGAGTGTTTGAACGAGTTTTATGACCATTACTTCGGCCGAGAATGTTTCTCGACTAGCTGTAGCACCTGAGAGACTCGAAGACGTGCTGCGCTGGCGTGATGAGTAGGCGTTTCAAGCAAAGGCTTTAGAATTCAACAAAGCCAAACAACCGCTCCTCAGTCGGGCTTCGGCTTCTGCGCGTCTATATCCGGCTTATGTTTTCACCGCGTCATACCTCCCAGTTCCGCCAAATCCAATGCAGAAGGCAACTAGCCGCACGACTTTACAGCAATGATACCCGAGACCGTCTGCGCGTCGTCCTGCGGGAGACTGCTCAATCTGTCGCGGTAGTCACCACCGTGCTCCCTGACTCGGGCTCCAGCTCGCCATCATCATCAACGGCCAAGGCTCACCAAAACGTGCCAAGAGCCATTCACGGGGCAACACTCTCATCATTCTCCTCCATCGCCCTCGACCCACATCCCCTCGTCGCGTTCTCGCTCCGTGTTCCATCGCGCATGGCTGCCGCGCTCAACGCCCACCACACGGACGGCCCTACAAGCGCCAATACGTGCGCCGCGGACAACAGTGGAAGGAGCACACGTCCAGACTCGCTATCGCATGCGCACATGGTCATTAATGTCCTCTCCGCCTCGCAAGCGCACGTCGCCCAGCTGTTCGCGCGTCCAGACCTACACCCCCACCCGTTCGAGCATCCGCGCGTTGCGTGGTACACGTCCAAGGAAGGGCTGCCGGTCCTGAGGGACTCGATCGGAGCGCTGACGTGTCGGTTGGTCGGGCGGTCGTTGCCGCTTACTGAGATGGGTAGTAGGGAAGGCTTGGTTGGAGAGGAGATGCTGGGGCAAGGGGGCGTGCAGCAGGTGGAGGGCGGAAGTGGGCTTGCGTCGGAGCTGTTTATCGCGCAGGTGCTTCGTGTGGAGGAGTCGCTTTCTTCGGAGGAGTTTCCCGAAGACGATTTGCGGACGTTGCCTCTACTATATCATCGACGGCGGTACGGCACCGTGCAGGACCTATCTGGAGAACAAGATTACTCATAGACGACCATCCTCAGCCGCGACACGGTCGTAGATGTATGAGGTGCGAAAATCATAGCTAATAACTCTACATACAGATAGCATACTCTTGATGGTATTATAATGCGATGTTCAGTATCCAAAAGCAGACAGTCACTTCGCCCTTCAGACCCTCAAGCTCCCGAACAAGGCTGCCATATCTACATACCGTCGGCCACATTGTTCAACATACTTCCCCACCGTAGCCGCCATAGTCTCCAGGAATTCCCTACTTATCGGGTTTGCGAGCAGCCCGTCGATGGCATCTACAAGAACGGCAACCGCATCAGCTTCCGACACAAAGGGAAAAAAGGACAGCAAACACAACACTGACCCTTCCTCGCGCTGCCGGCCGCCGCAGCCTTAATCTTCCCCTCATCGAACAACGTCGCAAAGTACCGCAGCTGGTTATACAGCTCCGTATCGGAGTACTCAAAATGCACGCTCCCGCGACACTCCGGCTGCACGCACCGCCGGCCGTACACGCGCATCGAGCGCGTCCGGTTTCCGCACGTTGTGTCGTCGCACACCGTCCATCCCTCATAATACCGCGCGATGCACGCGCGGATCTGGACCTCGAGCTGCGTCTGCAAGCTTACCGTGCTCAGCGGTGCGCTACACGCGGGACAGGCCACGCCAGTCGGGCGAACGCATGCCTACGGAAAGAGGTCAGACTGAGAGCGTGGGGGTAGAGAGAAGCGCGAAACACGATGGGGCACGTACGTCGTCTTCCCAGAGCGGCGAGAACGCAAGCTGGCCTTGGCACCCGCGACACCGGACAAGGAAGGGGTTGGCGTCCCGGAACCGCTCAGCGTCGGTGATCTGCGAGTCGAGCGTCGCGAACGACGTCGTAGCCTCCCCAGCGGACGAGCTCCTAAACCGTGACGGGTCCAAGCCTGTGGTCATTGATCAGCACAGTTCTCATCCCCCTGCTACTATATCCTTGTCACGCACCAAGACACTCCGCAAGTCTCGCCCTGTCCGTGCCCTCAATCGGCTCACACAACCGCTCGATGGGCGGCAGAATCTGGTTCGCGAGGTAGTGGTCGTAGTCGATCTGCAGCTCCTTGGTGTCGGCGCGCCGTAGCTCGTCGGGGTGCTTCGCGCGCTCGGCCTGCGCCGTCTTGGAGCTGTCCTCGCCCGGCGCGACGCAGAAGATGTACGGGATGACGTCGCCCGCACGGGCGCTGCCGCCTTTCGCCTTGAGGCGGAGCGCGACATGCACGTGCGGGAGGGATTTGGCGTCCGGGTAGTCTTCTGGGTTTTTGCCGAGTCGCTGTTGGAAGAAAGAAAAAGTAAGTTAAGGTCGATGAGAGAATAAGAATGAACAGGTGTTACCTTGAAGATGATGAAGTCGTCGACTTTGATCTTCCCCGAGCGGACGTTCTCGCTGACACTAGTTAGATATTCATGGATCTGCTCGACGACGATCTCCGTTGCCTCTCCCGACAGAATCTGGTCCAGAACGTATCTGCGATCTCGTCAGTCACCCCATTCACCTCACATTTGTCGATGCAGACGACTTACTGCGAGACGTTCTTCGACAGCGCACAGTACTCTCTCCGCTTCATATCCAGACCCTTGATCTCCGTCGACGTCCGGCTGCCGTCCTCGACCTTGATTGCCGCGTACTTCTTCTTCTGGAGAAGCAGCAGGCGCGCAAACACGCCGTCGAGGTCGATCTCGAGCAGCCGGTAGCGGTCGTTGACCGCCTTCTTGAACTCGTTGGAGATCTTGAGCGCCTCGGAGAGCTCAGTCACGTTCGAGTTGACGAACACGGAGTCGGTGTCGCCGTATACGACCTGTGTGGCTCTGGTCAGCCGGAAGGTGGGGTAGTTTCATAGAAGGAGAGACGGACGTCGAGCTGGAGGCTTTCTGCGAGCTCGCGCGTGTGCGTCAGGATCTCGCGACCCTTGAACGTCGTCAGCGCGGCGAGCGGCCGGGCGTAGAATCGGGAGTACTCGAACCCGAGACAGCCGTACATACTGTTGGCCGTCAGCTTGAGCGCCTGCTGCTTGATGTCGTACTACGTTGCGAGATAAGTTAGCCACGAAAGTTGCGGGCAGGGTGAGTATCAGCAAGGGCAACGGACCTGGAGCAGCTTCGCCGGCGTCGCCGACTTGTCCTTCATGAGCGACTTGACCTGCCGTCGCCGGCTGACGAGCGTCGCAATAAGCCGGGGCAGCACGCCCTGCGCCACGTCGGACGACGGCGGCTCGGGGATCTTGTCGTCCGGGTCCTACAATCCATGTCAATCCCCAAACATCGCAAGGCACGGAAGGGAAGGGAAGAGCGCGAAAAAAAAAACATACATCCACCTGCCGCTCGACCGTCGTAAAGTCAATATTGTACTCCTGAATGATACTCGGGTACAGCGAGTTAAAGTCCATGACGAGGATGAACTTGTCCCACAGTCCGCGCTTGGGCTCGAACACGAGACCGCCCTTGTACTTGTCGCGCTTCGCCTTGCTCGCCTTCCCCCCGCCACCGCCGCCTGCTGCATTCCCGCCCTCCTCGTCGGCCTCGTCGGGTTCGGGCTCGGGCTTGACCTTCTTGCCGTACGTCTTGTCCGGGCATATGTACTTGAGCCTATGGAACTCGTGCAGCAGAATATACTCGTTGCGCTCCGCGCGCCCGCCATTAAGCGTCTTGTTCCTGCCGCCAAATCACGCGTCAGCCTCCAAACGCACATTTCCAGTTTCGCACATGAAAAAAAATTCCCGAAAATGATGTACCAACCATGCGTTCCCTGCGAGATTCGTGAGCTGCCGCGTGAGCGGCAGAATCTGCACCTTGCTCGCGATCGCCATCTGGTAGTGCGCGTCGAGCTCGCAGTGCCGCACGAACGTCATGAGCATGTCCGGCGCGGACACCGCGCTGTCGAAGTAGGACGCCGTGTCGTCCGGGTCGATGTCCTGCCGGTCCGACTTGAGGTGCGTCTTGCACATCTCCGTCAGGGACCACGTCGTCGATGCGATCATGCTCTGTCATCGCAACATCAGCGTCTTACGTCTTGGGGGCAACAAAGCGAGTGGTGGAGAGGGAGGGACGTACCCGCGCGCCGTCGCTGGCGAGGTCACACAGCATCCGGCCGTTCAGGAAGCGCATGTTGGTGCCCTGTCGGCCGATGTTGGGCCACTTGTTGCGTCTGAACCTGCTCAGCCGTGACCAGTGGTCGGCCTTGAGGTCCCGCATGCGCGTGAGGAGCACGTCGAGCGAGACGCCGAGGAAGTCGTGGCCGACGATGACGTCCGGGTCTGACTTGTAGAGCGTGACTAGTCAGAATCGGTCACGGCGTCAGTAATAGATTGAGGTCATGAGTAGATGAAGTACTCACCAAGGAGGTTGTTGAGCAGCGTTCGCTCGTTCAACATGGGTGAAATGAGACCACGTTTATTTGCTTTCGCCTGCGCTTCGAACTTGGGTGGGAAACGCTCGAGCGGACGGACGAAGGTGTGGACGGAGCAAGGGAGTTGCTCAGGTGGCGTAGGATCATCCAGGACAACTACACGAAATCTGTGAGCAACCTGCACGTAACCGATGGAACAGAGGGCACACACCATCCCGCCATATCCGACTTGTCACACAAACGATCTCGCGCTTGTTCTCCTTGTGGTTGACGACGGTGCGCACGGTCATGCTCATGATCGTGAGCGGCGGAGGCTCGGGAGCACCATCGCCCATTGGAGTGACGTCCTTGGGGTCTGAGACGCTCGCTTCGAGTTTACACCAGGATATCTGGGAAGCTTATATTTGAGTGGCGGAAATCACGATTTATATGAGGACAACGCACCCCTTTGTTCTCCACGACGGCGTTGCGGACGTTAAGCCAGCAAGGACCCATGATCTTGCGCTTGAGGACAAAGAGCTCGAACGCGCTCGTATTTGTGCCAAAGATACGCGCGATGTTGGGAGACTGCGCGTCCATGGGCACCTGGTGCGGATCTATACGCCGCGCAGCATCAGCGGCCCACGATTCGAGACACAACAGAAAACCCATCACGCACCCTCAAACGGATATAGCACCTTCAACCACTCCGCCTCCTTCGGCACATCCTTCTCGTCGAACGCGTAGCTCCTCCGCACCCACTTGGCCTTGAAGCTCTTGATATCCAGCCGTTGCCTGATCCTGTCAAAGTCGCCGTACACGTCCGCCCTGCTCGGAGGGTGCTCCGTCTCCTGCAGCGAGACCTCGCCATCCTCGTCCTCGACCTGCTCGACGCGCAGCTGGCGCGGGAGCACGTAGAGGTTGCGCTGCAGCCCTTCGATGGAGAGGCACGCGGAGGCCCAGGCGCCGGTGGTCCTGTCCTTGACCTTGCCGGTGAGGAAGAGCTTGCCGGAGAGCTCGAGGAAGTCGAGCCAGAAGAAGGGGAGCGTGCCGTCTTCGGCGAGCGCGTTGATGGTATTCTTGGATGAGGACGAAGTGGCGGCGGCACTGGTGGAGCCGAGGACGTCGTCCGAGGTTACGGTGAGCGAGTCGTACACGGAGAGCCAGGACGGCGGGCCGGTGTCTTTCTCTTCTTTCTTCACTTTCGCGTGGCCGTTCGCGGCGGGCGGGAGCTTGACGGCCACGGGCTCCTTCTTGACGACGGGTTTGATGTCCTCGAGGTCGTCGTCCGCCACATCCATGAACGCCTCCATGTCGACGTCCATGATGTCGTCGGCATCGCTATGCACGTCGAGCTTGCCCATCTTTCTCATCTCCGGGACGATGCTCGCGGATCCGTCGGCGTAGCGCGCCTTCTTCTTGGGGCTCATTACGTCGTTCAGGTCGGGCTCAAAGTCGCTCGACGGGGCGCCCGAGGCAAAGCCGTCGTCGGGGATACCATCCGACGAGAATCCGGGGTCAATCCCATACGAGGTAGACCGGTTGCGGTACGGGGCGGGCGACGAGCGATCGGGGTCGTCCTCGGGCGGAGGAGAGGGCTTGCGTTTTCTGGTTTTCTTGGGCGCTGGTCTGGACCTGATCGGAGCGCTCTCCAAGTCACCGAGGAGGTTGTTCATGAAGTCGTCTTCCTGCTCGGCCGGGACGGCGGGTCGGTACGCATTGATCGAGGCGGACTGCATCTCGGGAGGGGCCTTGGGCTTCGCTCGGGGCTTTACCTGCTCCTTTTTAGCTTTCTTCGCCGCTGAAGAGCATATAAGCGTGATGTAGAAGCCAAATAATGTAGCCACGCACCTTTCTTGCGCGCGTACTGCTCCTGCTCATCCTCCTCCTCGTCTTCCTCCCCACCTGCCCAGTCGTCCATGCCGTTGTCCATGTATCCGTCGACACCATCATCTACCACAAAGTCGTCCTTCTGCAGCCTTCCTTTGACGATCTTCTTGTACTGGTCCTCGTTGACCTCATCGTATATCGTGTCGTCTTCCTCGGACTGGAGAGGCGCGTCAGACCGCGTTGAAGTGGGTGATAAACGGGCTATAACGCACCTTCCACTTCCTGCTCCCGCCTTCTCGAATGCGCTTGTACTCTGCGAGTTTGTCAGCCGCGTTCTTTGGGCGTCTGGAACGGTCAGCCATGGTTGTTGAGCGATAGAGATGCGGGATAATGACACACGGAGTACACGCGCCACAGACGCGTTACGCGCTTTCGAACTCCGCAAGGTCACAAAATAATGCAGGAAAAGTAAACAATTTATTGACTTTGTCATTCTTACCGCGTCCTCAGCTTTCCTCCATCACTTCACTATGCTGCCCTCAAATCTCTGCCGCTCCCTCCGCACCCAGTTCGCTCCTGCTTTCCGGGGGACTTCACAGCGCCGAAGCCCAATTGCGCCCCTGTTGGCCCAGTACCAGCGGAGAGAAGCAATCCGCTTCAACTCTTCGTCTTCCAAGCCACCTTCAGACCAGCCAGCAGCAGAAGCCAGCTCTTCGCTCTCAGTGTCCTCATCTGAACCAGTAAAGATTGACCCACTAGAGCCTCGGTACTCTATGACGTTCACCTGCACCGCCGAAGATTGTGACCGTCATCGCTCAACACACACGTTTACCAAGCGGGCGTACCAAACGGGTATCGTTATCATTCAGTGTCCTGGATGTCAAAATAGGTGAGCAGGCGCCTGATTCAATGCATTTGACAAAGCTAACGTGTATATAGGCACTTGATTGCTGACAACCTCGGCTGGTTCAAGGACAGTACAGAAGAGGGGAAGCTGAGCAACATTGAGGACATACTGAAGGCTCGGGGGGAACAAGTACGGCGAGGAACCATTGGTGGGGATGGTGTGGTCGAGTATGCGGACTAGGTAGGCCTCCGCTCTTGTGTTACTATCTCTGCTCCCAAACTGGCGTCTACCCATCGTCGCCCCAGCCAGTTGATCATCATTCCTCGACCTTGCATTCTATATAGGCATACCTTATATATTCATAGTTATAGACCATATTACCGTTACGATGCTTAATGATAGTACGCCACTCTCACTCAATGTCCAAAGGCTCGGATTACAGCCCCCCTCAGACGCAGCCAGTGCTCGGATTTTTGGATCTCACGGTATGCGGTAGCGTCTCGTCAAAGCCGCCCAACGCCGATCTCTCACTTCCTTCGCAGGGCGCGACGAGCGGACATTTTGTTTCCGCACTCGGCACATCGGAGGATAGTCCGATATGGGTGTTCATGGGTACAACGTACGAGTCATGGGCGCCATCTTTCGTCTCTACCACTCTGGTCTCTGCATAGCAAGGGCTTGGGATAGGGCAAAGTGGTACGTCAAGTCGATTCTCGGGGCCTCCTTGTTTTAAACTAGAGGCCCAGGTAACTGCGTTGGTGTCGTATTGTCATGGGTGCTGTGGAAGAGATAGAACGCGGTGCGCCGCAGAACACTCTAGCGCCCGAGAAGACGACTACTGATGTATCTAAACACGAAGGATTTTATGTGAGCCTTGTTCTGTTCTATGAATACTGCGCTTCCTGGCTCACCACGCTCGCGTGCCAGGTCGAATTCGCAGAGGGAGACTCGAGAGACCCAGCACAGTACACGCGCTTCAGGAAATGGTGCATCACCCTCACGGCCTGCGCCTTCTCCGGGATGACAGGTACGCCCCCCTCACACCACCATGGTCTCAAGAACGACAATCAACGCCTCCTGAACTCCAAATCTCCACCCAGCCGCCACCTCAGCGTCCTTCTCAATGGGCATCACATCCATGATCCGCGACCTGCGCTGCACCCAGTTCGAGGCGACCCTCGCATCCGCCATCTTCCTCCTCTTCGTCGCCATCGTGCCCCTCTTCACGTCCTCGTTCAGCGAGGAGTTCGGGCGCAAGCCCGTGTACCTCGCCACTGCGCTCTTCGTGTTCGTGTTCCACATCGTCACCGCGACGGCGCCCAGCATCCAGGTCGTGGTCTTTGCGCGCGCGATGAGCGGTGCGTTTGGGTCGACGGGGGCGACGTTGGTGGGCGGGAGTGTCGCTGATTTGTGGTTGCCGCATGAGTGCGTCTGGTGGGCTGCGGTTGTGGAACGGGACTGACATCGTCGTAGGAGAGGTTTTCCTATGTCGGCGTTTGCTGGGGCATCGATAGCGTCTACAGGGCTCGGTCCGGTCATTGGGGGATTCATCGAGGCCAATCCGCACCTAGAGTGGAGGTGGATACAGTGGGTACACGCTATGTACGTCTCTCTTTCCATTCCCTTTCTCTCTTCACCGTCATGCGCAATGTACTCATTTCCACTTTAGCGTCGCGGGCGTCTATGTCCTCGTAGTCCTCTTCGTGATGAAGGAGACTCGATCCGCGGTTATCTTGCGCAGACTAGCCAAGAAGAAGCGCAAGGAGACCGGCGATCAGCGGTATATCTCAAGGGCGGAAGAGCAGAAACAGAGTCTGCGGACGATGATCTGGATCTCGTGCACCCGGCCGCTTTGTACGTTCTTGACTGGCTCGTTTGCTAGCACGCTAACGATCTCGGCTGTGTCACAGACTTCCTCGGAACGGAGCCGCTGGTGATCACGTTTGCCGTGGGTCGTCTGGTCTTGAAGGCATATATCCAAATGAACACTGACGTTCGCCCCGCTAGCTCTACATATTCTTCGTCTGGGGCGTGCTCTTCTGCCTCATCGAGTGCGTCTCCCCTGCACCATTTCCGCCTCCGGCATCACTGACCATCCGCTTCGCTCAGCTCTGTCTCGCACACCTTCGAAACGACCTACGGCTTCGACGTCAGCCAAACCGCCACCGTATACCTCTCTCTTTTGTAAGCCTCCCGCACCTACGGTCACTACAAGCCACGCTGACACCACACGAAACAAACAGCATCGGCACCGTCCTCGGGTTCTTCGCGAACATGTACCAGGACGTGCTCTACAGGTACCCTCCACCGCCTGAAACCGCCGACGCCTTCTCACAGCCGACTGGCACCATAGAAAATACGTGCACCGCAAAGGCCCGGAGGCGCGCCTGTACATCGCGTGCGTCGCGGCGCTCGCGATCCCGACGGGCATGTTCATCTTCGCGTGGACATCGTCGCCCCGGATACACTGGGTCGTGCCCGCCGTCGGGCTTATGGTGCGTGGTCGTGGACGCGCGTAGATGGTGGGGGAGGCTCACTGTGGTGCAATGTGTTTCGGTGCAATGCAGATATTCATGTTCGCGGCGTACGTGGCCTACCTGGTCGTTTTTCTCTATCTCGCCGACTGGTAAGCTTCAGTTTTGTATGATTGGTTGGTTGGTGTGGGGATGCCGTTTACGCACGCGTTTATAACCCATACAGCTACGGGACGTTCGCCTCGTCCGCCAATGCAGGACAGAGCCTGTGCAGTACGTCTGATCTGCTCCCTTAAACTTTCATTGCCTTCCTGCGCTCCGTGGGTGCTAATACGACGCATCGCAGGAAACTTCGGGGGCTTCGTGTTCCCGTTGTTCTCCCAGAAGATGTACAACACTCTGACGTACCGGTGGTCCAACACGCTGTTCGGGTTTATCGGTGTCGTCATGGTTCCCATTCCTTTTGTGAGTCCCTCTCCGAATTCAAGGCGTTGTTGACGTCAGGACTGATGTATCTTCATGGTCCCAACGTAGGTTTTATATAGATATGGCGCGGTATTGCGCAGACACAGTGCTGCGTCCAGGAAGATTCTCGAGGCCGAGGCAGCCAAATCGTGAATGACGACGATTTGAGAGACGATCTAACGATATACATGATTACTTTGTTCATTCCTTTTACACTGGGTATACATATACATCCACGATATCACGTTGCTTATTCTAATCTGCTCAGAATGGGAATACGTCCGCATTCACTGTGATCGTCCAACATTGCTACAGCACTCAACCCGGCCCGTTCACCTGCTCGAGGCGAAACCTTGAGTAAGCTCTCTTGCACCAAAGAATCTCCTTGCACGACGAACCATGTAAGGGCGTTTGAGAACCTGCCCAAGCCCACCCATGCGTTTCATCACGCTCCTCATCGCCTCGAGCGACCTGTGGACCATACAACGTACCAAGCACCTGAAGCGCCTCCTCCATCCCGTCCGCTCCGCAAGTCTGATGCTGTGGGCACCTCCTTCACAGCAGGTGACTTGCGTTCAATGGCAGATAGCAAGACGGCTCTATCGTAGACTCACATGTACTCTTTTGGCGAGCCGCAAAACGAGTGCCGCTTGCTGCTCATGCTCATACTCTTGGAATTGGGCTCGGGCAGTATCGGAGACCAAGCTGGGAGGTGTTCTTCAGGGTCCGCTATAAGCTTGTGCTGGGCGTCCACAGCGATGGTGCTGTCCGTATTCTCTTGGCTACTGGGGAGCGTCTTGGATTGACAGCCGCCAGCGCTGCCGAGTTTGAAGTCATTCTCGAGGTTCGAAGGAGCCATGAAGCTGAATTTTGAAGCATCGTTGTACTGGCAGACAGTGAGAGGATAATGGCTGCTCGAGGTGACTCCCATATGCCTCTTACGCGGTTCGCAGTGTTCGTCTTCCAGTGATATACGCGACAGGCAAGCTCTGTCCGCTCGTCCTGCCAGTCGTCCGTGCACGAGTGACTGGGAGCCCTCGTACTTTCGTATGGCTACTAGTCGACCGTGACGTTGGTCTCTTCCTGCATCCCTCCCCCCAGAACGACAATATGGGTTCTCAGTCGTTCTGATGGTGCAGACTTCCGCACCGGTGGATATGGAATATTCGTAGATGTCTCCCGTGGAAGAATGTTTCTCGGACTGGGCACGGGGGCGCTTGGGAAGGGGGTTGGTGTAGGTGTAGGTGTGGGCAGATGGAACTGTGATCCCCTCTGTTGGTGGTTCCTTGAGTGTTACTGGGTATCGGACACGATCCACCTGTGGAAAGCCATCGTTTGTCGGCCTTTGGACGCCTTGACGTTGCTTGCTGCAGACCTACTGCCTTTGGTTCCATGATTGGCCTCGACGTTGACATGCGGCGCCGTGCCGTCGCGACCCGAACTCATGCGGCGGTGAAGGCGAAGGCGTTGAAATAGTTGCTTCAAACTGGGGCCCATATCTGAGCGGATAATAATACTGCGAGTCCGAGGGAAAGTGGTAGAGGATTAAGAGTGAAGTAGACATTAAGCGAAACAGATGTCGGATTTCTACGTTTTCTCAGATATCGGCAGCTCAAGCGTCTTAACGGAAGGCACACTAAACGCAAATGCACGAGGTCCTTTTGTCGACGAGCTGACCTCTGCTGAGTCGAAGTCCAACGTTCAGATTCCGCTCTATTGTTTCCCCACTCACAGAACAGACCACCACTTAATGAAAAAGAGCCTCGCTGACCACAGAGTGATAGTTTACGACGCCATGTCAATTATCATTCATTTTGATACAATTAGTCCTGGATACGTGTTACGCTGCCAAGGTCCATAGAGCAAAGCGACGAGGCCACAGCCCATCAGCACAGATATTGTTATAATCGAACAAGAAACATCAATCAGGTCCAAGCCTTCCGTCGTATGCTCACGCGCCCATCACACCGCCGAACAAAGGCCCTCGTAACCCTAGTCGGATCGCCGTACACCATCCCTTTCGCCAGCGCGCCTTTAGTCTCAGTCGGAAAAAACGTGCTCCACGAGACGGTGCGCAGAGAGCGCAGCTGAACCGCCATCGCCAGGCTCGCCTCCAGCTCGCGCATGCGGACCTCGGGCACGGAGACGAGAATGTGGCAGACGGGACAGCGGTCGGGCGTGTGCGGCGTGGCGGGGTCGAGCTCGGTGTCCTCGTAGCTGAGGTGGATTTCGTCCTCCTCGTCTCCCGTGTAGTGGATTTGCCGGCGGGCAGTCGACGGGTCCGCGTCGTCCTGGCTCAGAGTCGTCCCGATTTTGCCTAGAGGCCGGTTGAATGGGTCTCGCCCGCGGAGGAGGAAGCGGAAGGTCTGTTGTCCGTGTTCGTGGTCGAGGTGGCGGTCGATCATCGTCTCGTCGGAGAGGAAGACGCCGAGATGGAGGTCAGTTAGTTTAGTGAGCGTCTTGAGGGCTTTAGCGTATTCGTCCTGCAAAGCCGAATGAGATGTATCATGCATATATGCGCACGGATTTTAGAGTCTGAAACAAACCGTCATCACAGCTATGCTCGCGTAGTAGTTGGGGATAGGCGAATGCACGACGGCGGTCGTGCTTTCCGTGAAGCAGTGCCAGCAGCAAGAGACGTCGAGTCCTTCGGTGCAGCTGACGCTCAGAGTAACGAGAGATGGACAAGACGAGGCAACAGAGAAAAGAGCAGCCGAGTCGACTCGGCTGAGGTTAGTCAGAGTGAGGGAAGACAAGTGCAAGAGAGTCGCGTGAGAGGAACCGGGGGTAAAGATACGGTTGACGCGACTTTGCTGGGTTGCACGCCCTTCAGATTCGAAAGAGATGCAGAGAGAACGTAAGCAGGTAAAGTGCTGCAAGTAGAGCTGTGAATCGAAGAGAACGGAAGAGCTTGTTTTTAGAGTCCTATCTTCGCATCAGCCAGAACCGCCCGCGCGCCATCGTCACCAAAAATTCCAGCAGGCACATAGACCCACCTGACCAATCCCAGGCCGACATCGTCCAGATTGCCTCTTGCCTGAGAGCCCTCAAGCAGAGAGAGGTGAAGGCTGACAACAGAGAACATGTAGTTTGCAGAGATTGTCAGGTCACGAAAGAAAACGCGTAGAGCAGCCTCGCGGAGCTGAAAAGACGCCAGAGAAAGCGCAGCAATGGTAGGAAAAGTAGGAGCAGACTCGAAGAAAAGAGTGATGATATGAAGCAATATCTCAGAAGGAAGCGTCTTTGGTCTCGTCAGTACTTTGGCGTCGATAACCTTCGCGTCGTCCGGCTCCTCTGGCTGGGGAGAGGTGAATGTGTGGGTATATGCACTGGAAAACTCGGACGAGGGAGAAGAAGGGGAAATGTAAGCATCATCGGAGCTCAAGGAGATGAAGAGAGAAGGTGAATTTTGTCGTCTCATCTGAGCACCATAAACGAGAGGTGATCGGTGAGGGTGAAGAAAGAAACTCGAGAGGATTCAAAGAGCGCGTCGCCACGTGGCATCGCTAACCAATCGGGGAAAGCCATGACGTTTACCCCGCGCGCCGGACTTTGCTAAGCTGGAGACGCGTCTTGCTTCTTGCTCCTGACCACAATCTACGTCGGACCCTACGCGACACCCTTGACCTTTTTACACCTCATCTAACGCGTCTTGCTTACCGCTAGGTCCACGCACGCTGCGCTCACTCTCATGGCGTCAGCGGCAGCCAAAAAGCCTAGAATGAACCCGGTGCACGCGCTCCAGGTCCGCGCGTTCCTTAATGCGGCCGAGGACGTGGACGCCGAGCCGGACACGATCGAGGACCTCCTCGCGGACTTGCACGAGGACGACGAAGACGCCGAGGAAGGTGAGGACGAAGAAGAAGAGCTAGAAGAAGAACCGTCCAATGGAAGAAAACGCACTGCGGACGCGCTCGCAGTGGAAGAGGAAGCGGCCGAGGAGCGGGACCTCGACATGCCCGTGCACGAGAGCCATCGCGGTGATGATGCCTGCGGAAGCGAGGACGAGGATGAGGAGTCCGATATCGAGATTGAGGCGGACACGTTGCAGAGAATGGAAGAGGAAGGTGAATTGCTAAAGTGCTCATAAGCTTTCATAGGCCCCTCGAGACCCTGTGTGCGGAACATTAACCTCAAGGCGCTGCGTCGGCGCCTCCGAAGCATCCATTTCGTTTTCACTACGTGTAAGCGTGGCTGAGATGGTTGCTAACGTCACTGCATTTACAGCTGCACAGGCATGGACGAAAGACGAGGTCAGGAAGATGATGCATCACCTCAAAGAACGCGGTGTGTGATATTTCAACCGTCAAGAGAATAGCTTCTCACTACTCTCCGAATTTGTATCAGGAATGTCTTCGTTCATCAAGGAATACGTCGTCGTGCAGAACATACCCGTCCCGAAACTGCTTCTCGCGTTCGGCATCGTCTTGGTAGGTCCACTCACCTAATCCACTTAATTACCTGTAACCGCGGCACACCGGCAGTGCGACGAGCTGCGGCACAAACGCCTCAAGACGCTGCTCTACTTCCTGCGCGTGGCCATTTCGCGGGAGTAAGTACCCTCCTTCCCACTCTTCACACGTTACAGCGTCGCCGGGGGCGACTCCTCAGCCATGCTTTTTTGCTTTTGCTTGCGGAAACGTCGACAGGCTGCACCTGCGCGAGAAGCTGCCGCAGTACAACACCGTCGCGGACGCCGTCGCGCTCCTCCGCAACTCGAGGCGCATCGTCGTTCTCACAGGCGCTGGGATCAGTGGGTTTCTTTCGAGTCGATACGTGTACTGTGTGCGGACACGCTGCTGACGGTGCTGCTGCTGTGCTGCAGGTGTTTCCTGTGGGATACCTGACTTCCGGTCGCGCGACGGGCTGTACGCCTCGTTGAAGGAGAAGGGCGAGTACGAGTTGGACGACCCTCAGCAGATGTGAGTCCGCTGTCAATAATCAGATTCGGACACAAAGTTATTGATGGGTCCGTTCAGGTTCGATATACAGTACTTTAAAGAAAATCCAGCCGGTGCGAATGTCCTTGCCCTTTTCTTGCCGCTGATGCTGACACCTTTGGATTGCGTGCTATGAGCAGTATTTTAGTGAGTGTACATATATAGTCTCCGTCTGTTTCTAACCAAGTTATTCCAGCTCTTTCGCTAGGTACGTGTGCGTCCGTGATACAAGTTTGTCAGACCGATAAGTACCGTCGCAGTCAAATATATCCTTCCAACTTTATACCCTCGCCATGCCACCGCTTTATCAAAGTCATAGAAGACAAAGGCAAGGTCCGGCTCCCTCCCTCCCCTCCCCCTCACATTCCCTCTTCTAACTTCTATGCAATACACCCACTCCCCCAGCTCCTCCGCGTAAGCACCCCTCCTCCCTCACCCCGCATGACACATAACACCACCACCCCCACTCTAACCACGCACCACGCACCACGCACGAACACAGAACTACACGCAAAACATCGACACGCTCGAGACGCGCGCGGGGATCGAGCGCGTGCTGCAGTGCCACGGCTCGTTCCGGACCGCGTCGTGCACCGTGTGCCGGCGGCGCGTGCCCGGCGCCGGGATCGAGCCGGCGATTATGGCGCGGCGGGTGCCGTACTGCACCTTGTGCGCGGGGGACCGCGAGTGGGCGGAGGTGCATAGGGCGGTTGCGGCGGCGAAGAGGGAGAGGGAGAGGAGGAGGGCGGATAGGGCGAGGGGGAGGGGGAAGGGGAAGAGGAGGGCGAGGAAGGAGTGGGAGGAGTCTAGCGATGAGGAGGAGGAGGAGGAGGATATGCCGGTGGGGGTTATGAAGGTGAGCGGTGTGCGTTTGCCGTGTTATGCGTTAGTGGTGTGACGTTTTGTTCGAAGCCGGACATCACGTTCTTCGGCGAGAAGCTGACGGACGATTTCGACCACGCGCTCCTCGCCGACCGGGAGACGGTCGACCTGCTGCTCGTCATCGGCACGTCGCTCAAGGTGTCGCCCGTCTCCGAGATTCTGTGTGCGTATCTCTCGCTATGACCTCTTCCACCTTCAATGTACTCGCTAACGGCGCAAACGGCGCAAAGCCCACCTACCGCACTCCGTCCCACAGATCCTCATCAACAAGACACCCGTCCGGCACATCAACCCAGACGTACGCCCTCTCCCCTCTCCCACCCCACCCCCCAATCACCCCAAGAAAGACACTAACACACAAAACCTCCGCCCGTCTTCCACACACAGATCGTCCTCCTAGGCAACGCAGACGCCGTCGTGCAGCACCTCTGCGCCGAGCTCGGCTGGGACCTTCCGCCGCCGCCTGCGCCATCGGGCACGCACAAAGCCCAGGGCCAGGACCAGGGGAACCTAGGTAGTATGCTCAGCCCACCCCAGCCACCCATTGCGAACCTGCGCAACTCGAAGCGGCCGTCGTCATCGTCGGACGACCCCACGGAGGCAGATGCGGGAGTGGGGGCGGGGCGGGCGCCGCCCGTGCGCGCGGGGAACACGTATGTCGTTCTTCGTCTCTCCGCTCGTGGTGATGCTGTGAATGGCTTTCTAACTGCGACTGTGGCCGCTAAGGCATATATGGCTATTCGAAGGCGCCGAGGGCGGGGCATGGGTAGACGCGATGGTCGAGAAGCGCAGAAAGGAGCAGGATTCAGAACAGAAGCAGCCTGAGAATGGGAATGGGAAGAGGGTCGAGGAGGCGCAGGGTGCATCCACAACAGCACCAGTCGCACAGACGCAGGGGGACGAGCCTCCGGCGAAGAAGCTGCGCACTAGTTGACCATGCTTGCATCTACATTTACATAATGTTCTTAGAAGTAGGACGCGAAGAGACCATTTTAAAATCAGAGTCTGCTATGAGGCTCGCTGAACGTCGACGTCCATAACGACTCTCAGTGTCAAGCCAAACTGTGCGTTTTCACGCGTGCATCTCCAAACACGAAGCGAAAAAGCTCAATCGTCATGACAAGTCAGTACGCGGTATAATACCGCCCCCCTCACAGCTAACCAAGAATCGAATTACTCAAGTACGCATAGTCCTAACACGCACGCACGCACGCAGAGACAGCCTAATCATCCCCCGCATCAAACATAACCTCCCCCCCTCTCGCTCCCGCTCCCGCCCCCGCCCCCGAGCCAGACGGCACAGGCACAATCTTACTCACAGACCCTCTCGACCCGCGCGCGACATGGCCCGGGCGTGCGTTCCCATTTGCATTTGCATTTCCGTTCCCATTAGCCTTGGCGAACTGTGCGCCCGAAGACGGGCGGTAGAACTCGAGCGAGTCGTCCTCGTCCTCGTCCTCGTCCGGCGGGGCTGTCATGGCGGGGTCGTATCCCGCCGGGTGGGCGGTAGGCGCGTAGGGCGAGCGGAAGCGCGATATGGAGGCCCAGGAGCCTTTGCGCAGGTGTGCGGCGTAGGAGTAGAGGAGGGCGGCGAAGTAGATCTGGGAATTTGGGTGGGTGAGGGGTGGTTGTCAAGTTTTTTGAAAAGGCAGGGAAGGAAGGAAGGAAGGAAGGAAGGAAGAGAGGAAGGGCGGTGAAGATAAAGGCAGAGACGGACGACAAACCTTGACAACCCACGAAACCACAATCACCAGCGCAGCGGTACCCTTCTCCTCGTGCCAGAGCACGTTCGCGGCCGCGGCGCGCTGCGCGTCGGTGAGGTTGAGGTTGTGCGCGGCCGCGGGGGCGCCCGCGCGGATGTCCTCCTGCGCCTGGGAGTTGGCGGTGCGCCGGCCGTCGTGCGGGGTGTGCACCCACCAGCCGACGGCGAAGAAGACGGTCCAGGCGGTGGAGAGGACGTGGTCGACGAAGTAGAGGTGCGCGAAGTAGAGCGTGTGGATCGCGTTTTCCTGTGGTCGTGTGGGCGTTTAGCGGGGGGGAGGGAGAAAAGGCAAGGGGGAGACGGACCTCTCTGACGGCGTTGAGGCCCCACGCGAGGGCGACGAGGGCGATGGTGGAATAGAGGTAGAGCGTGAGCTGGGCAAAGGAGCCGCCTGCGCCTGTGAGGACCGAGATGAGGCCATACACGCCCGCGACCTTGTTCAGCAACTACGCGTTCTTGTGTCAACAACTCCTTCTCGCTCTGACAAGCAGATATAACGCACAGCAAAGAGAAGAGCGAGAATGACGCCTGTCTTGAGGTCGAGGAGGGCGAGGAAGGAGGAGAAGGGCCAGAGGCGTCTCCACTCGGGACGGAGCATGAGTTTCATACGGGGGACATGTACAAGCACACAATTTTATCGAGGGAGTAGAGAATAGCTGGGACCTGGGTGGATTGGCTGAGCTCAGTGCAGCCCTCGACGAAGAGACGAGGCAAGGTCATGACTAAGCCACCTAATTCAGGTCTAACCCCTAAGCGTCTGTGGTCATCGTCGACAGACCCGATGGAAAGCATGGCCCAAAGCACTACAGTCTACGGTTCACCCAGATTATCACACTCGGAGTTTATGACTTTAGTCAAGAGAGAAATATATAAAGGTATACACTAGGAATACAATAGAGTAAGAACGATCGATCCCCGGAGTAGAAACGCCAATGCAGAGCAGACTACGTTATTAAAACAATCTACGAGCGCTCGCCGCGCAGCCGACGGGCGAGAGCGAGGTCTTTGGGCTGGATGGTCACGCGCTTGGCGTGGATAGCGGCCAGGTTCGTGTCCTCGAACAGCGAGACGAGGTATGCCTCAGCGGCCTCCTGAAGTGCCATGACAGCCGACGACTGGAAACGCAGGTCGGTCTGGGAGAGCATCGTAAGCAACGGTGGTAAGATCGGAGTGAAAGCAACATACCTTGAAGTCCTGAGCGATTTCACGAACAAGACGTTGGAAGGGAAGCTTGCGGATAAGCAGCTCCGTCGACTTCTGGTACCGACGGATCTCACGAAGAGCAACCGTGCCGGGGCGGAAACGATGAGGCTTCTTCACACCACCGGTAGCCTGAAAACAATCCAAAGTCAGCAAACGACGAAGTGCGATAAGGGCTGAAGTCACGTACGGGAGCGGCGGTCTTGCGAGCAGAAGACTTGGCAGCGAGCTGCTTACGGGGCGCCTTGCCACCAGTCGACTTGCGAGCAGTCTGCTTGGTGCGGGCCATTGCTGATGTAGTAGATGTAGAGTGGTGGTGGTTGTCGTAGGCGGTAGGCGGACGAATACGCTTGAAGTGAGCGGCGGATAATGGAAGAACAAGATCAAAACTCCCTCGGGTATATATCCAGGCGCGTCGCGCACATCACGTGTCGAGCCGAGGCGCGCACAGACAATCAACAAACGGAAATTCGGCACAGCCACCCGCACCTCGTATATATGCGAGACGCGACTCGGCCTCGATTCTCTCATTCGCATTCGCCCTCTGCGTCAACTCTAAGCAAGCCTCGGCTTCCCAACACAACTGCTTTAACTCTTTCTCACCAACACTTTTCAACTCGACATGTCTGGCCGTGGCAAGGGTGGCAAGGTGAGCTTCCTCGCGCTACTAGTTTTCGACTCAGATGCTTATCTGTTGCACAGGGTCTCGGAAAGGGCGGAGCCAAGCGTCATCGCAAGATTCTCCGCGACAACATCCAGGGCATCACGAAGCCCGCTATCCGTCGTCTTGCGCGCCGTGGTGGTGTGAAGCGTATTTCTGGTCTCATCTACGAGGAGACCCGTGGTGTTCTCAAGATCTTCCTTGAAAACGTGAGCTTCCTTCTTTACCCTTATTATCTCTGGTCACCGTCTCACCATCCACCTCCAGGTCATCCGTGACTCTGTCACGTACACCGAGCACGCCAAGCGGAAGACGGTGACTGCTCTCGATGTCGTCTACGCCCTTAAGCGGTCAGGACGCACGCTCTACGGTTTCGGTGCTTAGATCCTATAGACCTGGACATGATTTGCTATTTATGTATTTTGTAGAGTACTGTATTTTATCAATCTAAGTTCCTTGTCCTTGGGATCTACTTCTTCCGTCTAATATCTGTCCTCGGCGTCTCTCGGCCTACAACTTGCTCTCCGCTGTATCGTTCTTGAAGTTTTACTCGGGGACATGAATGCCGGTGATCGGTCTGCGTTTTGTGATGCTCGGGCGGACGTCGGACGGCGCAGTGTCTGATTGGACACGTGGGTGGTATGTTATGATAGCGGATTGGCCAATGGGGAGGAGAATGTGAGGTTGATAAGCCAAACAGACGGAGACATCGAATTGCGATTTACTCCGTGGTGGACGAGTCCTGGGGTAAATGCCCGTGGTTTTGCCGCACCCACCCAGACCCATGTGTACCCTCCTCTTATCCGGATGCCCACCACCACCGCCTGAGCACCCAAACAGCCCAGGATGACGATGACCTACAGCGATTTCATGTACGGCGATGGTAGCCTCAAGGCTCGTGCAAGCTCAACCAGCCCTGCAGCGTCCACTGCACTGCCCACCGAGATCCTCCTGGCCATCTTCCACGGCCTCTCTCCCGTAGGACTCGCCTCTGTCGCCCGCGTCTGCCAGCCATGGCGCGCTGTCGCAGAGTGGCTGCTCTACACACACGTCTCTGTTGTCGAGACGCTCACAGCCGCGTCGCCCTTCCCCTATCGCACGCTCCGCTGCTGCCAGACACTCCTCGCCCACCCAGCCCTCGCGGGCGCCGTGCGCCGTCTCCACGTCCGCTGGACGTTCGAACATGCCGGACACCCAGGCGAGCACGCCGCGCACGGACCACCCCCGCTCAGCGTCGCACTCGCCGCGCTCTCAGACACGCTCGGATCCGGCGCTGCACCTGGCACAAGCAACACAGGCAGCGTCATGGCAGCGCTGGAGGCGCTCGACTTGCACCTCGGCCTGCCCCACCTCTCCGATCACAGCACCCCGTTTCCATCACCCGCATTCCTCTTCCCGCCCCACTCGACCCACCCGCACCTCCGCCAGCTCTCGCTCAGCGGCCTCGGCCACCCCGCACACGCCGCTTATCTCCCCGCCTTCCTCGCGCGCGTGCCCTCCGTCGTACACCTCCGCCTCTCGGACTCGCGCGACCCGCTCCCGCTGCCCGCCGGTGCCCTCCCGCTCCTCGCGTCCTTCTGCGGCGCCCCGCGCGCGGCAGCGAGCGTGCTCCCCGGAAGACCGGTGTCTGCGCTCGCGCTCGTGGGGCAGGACTACGTCACGGAGTGCGATCTGGCGAGCATGGCGCGCGCGGGGGCGCGCCTCGCGAGTCTGGATCTGAGCGCGATGAGCGTCACCCCGATTCTGCTCAGGAACGTGTCGAGGGCGCTTGGGCATGGTGTGGAGACACTGAGAGTAAGGCTTGCGTTGAGGCATACGCTGCATTTTGCGTTGTCTGGAATTGTAAGTTCCTTGTTTTGTTTTGGCTGTCTGCGCTTTAATGTGCGCTTGATTCGCGCGATCGCTGACGATGGGGTTCATATGGCGTAATGTGCAGAGGCTCTTGACCGCGCTCTCGCATCTCCTCGGCACATTCGACAGGCTCACGACGCTCGATCTGAGCCCGACGCACATCGACTACGTCGGGCTGAGCAACAACGCCGAGGAACACGCGCTCTGCGAAGTGTGGCGCGCCGCGTGCCCGTCCCTCAGGTGCATCGTGTTTCCCTCCCAAACGCAGTGGAAGTACTGCGAGCCGGATCAGGGGACACTCGTGAGGACGTCCTATGGCGGCCAAGGCACAGGTGGCTGGATGCCCTTTTTCGCCGAAGGTGCACGCAGACGAGTGAGTCTGCATATCCCCCATGATCATGATCCTGCCTCTCGTTCCGTCTGCTGATGCTCGGTTTAATCGCAGCCGACGTTTTACCCATCTAGGAAACCCCTCCACGGCGTTGACCCAGCGCTCTGAGGTTTCGCCGCCTCCGCCGCTCTGTAACGCCACTTTACGTTTTCAATACGCCAGCTTTGTACAAACTAGTATTCTCAAATCCAAATCCAAAGTCAAGATACGCCCTGCCAAGCACGCAAAACACATCGAGCAACTACATTCATAAACGCCGTCACAGTCATCCTCACCTCCCCTCCCCCCACACCGCTCTCAGCCCCCGTGACCCAACCTTCCTACCCCCACATGCAACGAAGCACAGACGCCAATTCACCGACCGGCGCGTGCACGCGCACAGCACGTCCCCATGCCATGTCTCAGCCACCACACCGCATCTGCTGAGTCCGTATAATCCCAAGATTATTCCTTCCACCGAATTTCGCCGCGCTGCACCTCCGAGTCTCGCGCGCTGCACGTCTCGCGCTCCGCTAACCGAGAAACGCTGCAAGCGACCTCACCTGCGCTCGTGCCTTTGCGTTGTTGCGCCTCAGTTTCTCCATTTCTCCAGGTTTCTCCGCAGTGCCCGAGCTCGGGCTCAGACTCAGGCTCGAGGGGGCCACTTCCCAGCGGATGCCCGCGCCTGCCCCTCTGACTAATGCGGTGCGATAGCGCCAAAGAAACCGCTGATACAGCCCACGCACGCACGCACGTGTAGGGGAGGGAAGAACTGGGGAGAAAGTGTAGCGTCCCTGGTGCCTTGACCTTGAGCTTGAGCTTGAGCTTCAGAGTCTCAAATAGAGGGCCCGCGGCTGAGCGTTGCGAGGCTTTCGGACGAGGCGTCCGTATGTACTGCGCGTACCTGTCGTATGCCCTGCGTCCCTGACTCCCTGCCGCCGCCGCCGCCCCCGTCGCCGTCGATCCTCCGTCCTCTTCATGCTCACGATCTGCCCTCCGTCCATCCGATATCGTATCCGACGCGATGACCAGCCTTCGGGGCCGGAGCAGCCGCCATTTCCACGTGCTGGACCTGCGGCGGCGCCCACCCACGCACACGCGCGTAGGGCAGGCCTAGCCCGTCCGTACCACCCACATCCCATCCCATCCCATCTCCAGACTTCCAATCCGCTCCGCGAACGGTGTTCATACAGCAGTACGAGCAGCTTTCGTATATCTCATATCATATCACAACAGCACATCACGACACGTCTCCAAGTTCAAATTTCTGGTTCACACTGGTACTCTCGCCTGACTCGGCCCAACCGCAGTCAAGACGCATCCGTACTTTCTCAGTCGTATTGTTCATATATATAGTGCATTGCACGTACATATTGTAGAATTAAACCTCTCGATTGCACATTACATCTCACTGCGTTATGTTCCTAAATGAAAGGCAACGTTCCAGCCCATACGCCCGAAGTCCTCGGAAATGTGGCCTGGTTGCAAATCCGACATGACCGATCGCAGTGCCATGCTCGTGGTTTCTGCCCTTACCAGCATCACTCAATGTCCTAGTTGCAGATGTACACATGTGCTATCATGAATCGAAAAACACCGAGCTGGGTATCATATACATTCCATATTCCACACAAGAAGAAAAAAGAAAAGTAGAGACCGTAGCCAAGCGCCAACGAGAGCTAGAGGATTCGTCGAGCGCTGGTACAGTACTAAGAGGTAAGAAAGTACACCGATAGCTAGGGATTGTTCTGATACATGGCTTGTCTGACCGAGTTAGAGTTATAGGACAATAGACTCCACATCCAATGCGCAAAGAGAACGTAGGTAGGCTGCATACATACATAATTAGGACCAGAACGAGCGAAACGAAGGGGACGAGGAAAGACCGGGACCTCGAGCTAGCGAGGGAATGCATAAGTTAGGTGAGACGAACACCTCCCCACCCCTTATATCACAAAATGACGAGGAGACGGAACGGAGCGAGGAAGCGCCCTTTGTAGCGGGTACAGGCGATAGTTGTGTGATGGCCGAGCATGACCGAAAACCCGGTGACATGCCGGCATCTACGACGCTTCGCCCTCATCGACGAAAATATCCGTGTAGTGCTCGAGAATGGTTTCGATGGCCTACGTGACAATGCATTGAACAAAACAGCACTGTGGTATCGCAGCCAAGGCACAGAGCATACCTTATTTTGGTGCGGGGTATCGGCCATACCGTTGGCGTGACCTGACGCGGCCCCGTTGGCCGTGGGAACCTGTTGTCCGAAGAGCGTTGGTCCGAAGACGATACCAATGTTCTGGATAGACATCGAATTCTCCGCTTCATATTGCACGATCCTGCAAAGCGGGCGCGACAAATGAGTCCGGTGTGAGCCAAAAGAACGGAAATGACGTACTTGTGAAGGTGTCCCATGAAGAACTTGAGCGTAGCATAATTAGGGTCTGGAAGGTCATTGACGCGCTCGTGCAGCCGTATATGCCGTAACCGGTCATTCTCGATTTCTGTCACACATATGTCATCAGAATGGCTCACGGAGTGAGCAATCACGAAATAACATACTAGCAGCATCAACGAAGCCTTGATGCAACTGCGACGTCATCAGCGGCTCTGGAAGCTCTCGGAGCCACATCTTCAGCACACTCGTCACGGTGTTGATGTCCGAGATCCATTCCTCCGCGTCCAGGTTCACATTATCCATGTCTATTCAGCGAGAGCAAGTAAGATGGGCCAGTCCACATCATCACTTTGAGGTCCTATGGTATATACGATATGACGTACCTTTGTCAAGCCGCTCCTTGAGTGTGTTCACCTTGCGCGCCATGCCACTCAGCCGATATATGCCTTGAGACCGCAGACCATGTCGTTCGATCGTTGCACAGCACTTTTCAAGAATGGATGGTACATCGGCGTTGTCGCGTGCCATTTGCTCGGCGAGGTCGACGCCGAACGTCGGGCGCCCGCGGTCTGGCATGTGCAAGCCACCGGACTGTGGACTCACGCTTGTAGCGACGTTCCCATGCGAGTGCGAAGATGATGGTGTTTGTGCGTAGCCGCCGGACATGTGCATGGGCAGAGGGGGAAGCTGCAGTGCGTGCTTCAGAAAAGGACAGACGAGTGAAAGGATACAATGGACGTACGAAACCTTCTTCTGCGGGACCGTCGCGACGAGGCCCGCGTAGCGGTGCGCTGCCGCGGGCGTAGGCATAATTCTGCATGTAAAGCTTGAAATCGGCGCGATTATCAATAGATTCCAACGTGGACTTCAGGCCGGCGCCTGTCGGGACTGAATATCGACTAGTCTAAAAATACATATGACGCTTACCAGACGGTAGGCCCTCCTCTGTTGGCGGCGGGACCAGGGTAGACCCATCACTGAGCACGATACTCTCGAAGAGAAACGCGTATCGTGTGAGATGATACTGCGTGCCGAGATCAATCTCATCGGTGCATTCCTTTAGTGACTGCAGGGGCTTCGGTTAGATATATACGGAAACCAGTGACTGGGGGGCACTTACCCGTAATATGCGGGGAAGCTGGAAGTTAAAGTACTCTTGCCGCATAGTTTGGGTATCAATGAGAGCTTTGCGGTACGTATCTGAAGCATTCGATACCCGTAGCCGGATGTCATCCTCTTGTCGCAGGATCTGGAAAGGATTAGATGGCCGCGCAGATAGGTAGGCTTAGCACATACGTTGCCAGGATTCTTGCCCTTCAAGAGCAGACCACCCTTCGCTACCGCCTTGCCAAGAACACGTTTTCCGGGTGCCCCGCTTGGGGGCTTGGTCTGTACAGCGTTGTCCTTGTACGACTCGCCTTCTTTCTGGAGAAGAACGCGCTCCAGTTCTTCCGAGTTCATATCTAACCGCGCCTTCGATTTCTCCATGATCATTTCTGAATCCTGTAGTGCACGTTCATATCGGGTAGCGAGCTCTTTAGTCTGAGAATGTGCACTATCGATGAGAAATGACGCATATAGTCCATGTCAAGGGGAGAATACGAACCTGCTTCCTATTTTTGTCCACCTCTTTGGCTAGCTGGGCGAGCTCTTCACTCATCTCGTTGAGACGGTGTGCGAAGCGGATCCGGTTTTCGGCCATAACCTCGTGGGTTTTCATTGACGTCTGCCAAGCGTTGACAAACGACCTACAAGCGGGATCTGCATGAGCGTCAAGATGAAGTAGGTAAAGTCAGCATGTATGCGCACCCTGCTTTGCCATCGTTCATTGCATACACCTCAGAGGTCGTACGTGACAACTTCTGCAGACTCTTTCCGTACTCCTCCTCTAACACGGCGCGTTTCTTGAAGAACACGGAAACTTCCTAGGGTAGCATATATGCATGAGTACATCAACCGACGGATGACTGGAGATGGATAGCCGTAATAGGGCCGGCGGGTTAAGGAAGACTCACCCGACATGAAACCATGCTCTGCTTAATCCGGTCTAGGAGCAGGGGCACGCCGCACTGGAGGTCATATCAGAACTGAACGACGGAAATGATCTATTAATGCAACGGGGCTCACGTCCAGCTCGCAGAGTGCCCTGAGCGCGTTCTCGTCGAAGCTCGGTTCCACCAAGTCACCATTAGGAATCGAGGATGTGAATGTGTCCTTCCGTTCAAGTGTGGGGAGGCTATCCAAGCCGGGCCATCTTGAGTCGCTAAGGCGACCTATGGAATCGGAACTGGAACGAGGGGGAGGAGAGTAGGCGCGGTGAGGGGGTGATAGAGCTGCAGGGGTTGAGGATGATTCGACGAGTTGAACTGTTGGACTTGTGGGGGAGAGGGCTCGGACGTGCGGCTGCGGAGGTGATTGGGAGTCTGCATTGTCCGGCGGGTGCGAGTCCCATGCCGGCGTAGTGTGGGCCTCCTCTGTCATTGCTCGGGGGTGATGACACGAGGTGCTGAGAGCAGTGGGATCGGGGGAAGGGATAGCGGCTACGACGGCGAGGTCGTGCAGTTGTTGGAACAGACACCTAACAATAATTAGAGCCGCGTCTTAGGGTTGCCACCTCGGTGTATCTTCCCCGAAATGGCAACACCATCCGCCCCAAGTGGCCTTGACAAGAAGACAACTCCGAGTCAAAGATCACTTTCAAATGATATCAGACGCAACACGCATGCAAGGATGTAATTATAGGATGCCAAGGTCCACAGTTGTGTATGAAATGCTAGCGATAATACATAGGAGGTCAAAATGTCCGATGCGAAATGCAGCTACAGATCTAAGAAACACGTGATATGAGGTATCTAAGTTTTGCGCAGAACTCGAGTCGCGGCTCACAGAGCTCGGGAACCAATAAATAGAAACTCAGGAAAAGCTGCTTAGCTCTTCGTTACCCGATGCAAGCCTCTATAACGTCGTCTAGCACTGCGGGCAACGATTAGGACTCTGGTCCATAATCAGTCGCTGGTCCGCGAGCATGCTGTTAACAGGCACGAAAAGGGGGATTTTATAAAAATCGTGGGCACGAAAATACGGGCAATTGAAAACATACCGCTGTTCGCAGTCGGCCACGCAATCATGTGGATATGCCACATGCTTGGTGCTCAGGCGACAATTGGTCCTGAGGCAGTCGATCTAGAAAGGGCGATTTTAGCTTCGCGTGGCAGGTATTACAACTTCACTCACCCTCGTATTCCTTGTATCCTCTTGGTGCCCACATATAAACTGCCTGGCCTCGTAAAGGATGTAGCACATGATGGAGATGGACGAGGGGACTGGGGATGTAGAGTAAGTGACTGACTGCCAAGCCCAATTGCTTATATGCTCTTTCAGCAGAGCTGACCAGCGCACCCGGGCATCTATAACGCGGGATTGGAGCCAATCGTGAGGTGCCGCAACCTTCGATTTCAAACAGAGATAAAACTTCTTGGGACATGGGCTCGAGACACTGTGTGTACGTTTTGACCGCCGTTTCACCACTGATGGCTGATCAGGCTGATCAGCGTCGTCGGAGTCGACAGTCATAAGCCCGCGCGGGATCAACCCCTGGCGAGACTTCACTGGTCAAGACTGGATGTTTGTGCCGTGGAGGGACCATATGACAAAGCCACTGAGTGCGGCGAGATAAATTTGACATCCAATGCAGGGAGCGGCCACCTAAAATCATCGAGCGCTTAGCGCCTGAATTACAATGGTGCGGCACTGACATAGGGGAACATCAAGCATCCCAATGTCAGCGGAGGTAGAATTCGTGAGATGACACCGAGATCAGCGCCGCCTATCGCCAGAAACACCCGTCCGAACCTCGTATAAAACAAGAATATCAGTATATAACTCGTCGGAATGAGAGACACGTTGGTGGTTCACTTGCAGTTGCAATGCGTCTATCCACAAGCAAACAGCCGTGGCACGGGTACATGTTGGTCCACTTTCGAGGTCCCGAACCTCGTTTGAATGGCAAAGCTCCACGTATACATTGTACGATGCGAAAATGACGATGGCTGCAGATCGCATTGGGAGACAGAAGACCGACAATCTTGAAGAAAAGGGCCTGGGGGTCTCGTTTTCGTTCTTTAAATAACTCAAGGCACATGTCGAAATTGAAGCACGCCGGAGACGGAAGAGCATGAGCTAGCATGAGGCGGTTCAGAACCTCCTACCACAAGGACGCCCCCTCAGCTATTCTGTGGATGATTTAATGAAAGCAAGAAGGAGCGGAGTAGCCGGCTATTCATACAAGTGGAAGAAGGGGTACACGCACGCAACGCTTGGAGGGGGCAGTTTACGATTCATGTGTAGCTGGGTTTTCGTTGTCGTCAACTCGTACCGGGCCTAGCCAATCCTCATGCCCTTGTCAGTAGAGCCTCGCTTGACACTTTGATCCTGAGAGCGTTATTAACGACGAGAAAGCAGCTGACCAACTCAACATATTATATTAAGTACGAGATCGACGACGCAGCAAACAACCGGCATCTCATTGGCTTTGTTCAAGCCGGTATCTCAGACCTTCTCCCCATGAATTGTTTCCCGCCGGTGCCAATCATCGTACATCTCGCGAAGTACCTGGCGAGTGCTAAACGGACAGCCTGTAACTGGTTCAACGCAGCTTCCGGGGTACTATGGGCCTTCCTGTTCAGCATTCGCAGATAATCGTCTCCCGAGCCGTGCTGCGATCTGGTGAAGACCTCTTCTAGGCGGCGGAGTAACAGACAAGCACTAGGGTATGAGAAGAGCAGCGCAGCCTCTGCGCCAAGCGACCATCAGCGCCGATCACAGTGACATAAAACGACATAGCTCTTACTGTGTTCCAGTAGGCCGAGCGCATCTAGCAACAGAACTCCCCACCATGACTTGGGTGCAGTCTCCTCCTGGAAGATGGAGACGAGGTCCCACGCTGCTTCTTGAAGATCCTGGCAGCTCATACGTTGATGGAACTCCGCATAGCGAACGGCAAACATTAGCCGATAAATGAACACCCCTTGGGCCGCCGAGGCCGTATTGAGTACCTGCAGCGAGGGGGCGATGCCTGAAACATATTTAGTGAAGTTCTCTGGCCCTGTACATGGCGTGAGTTGTAACACCGAAGACGAGTGGATCAAAACGTTACCTGAGATGATGTATTCGTCTAGTACCCGATCTACCACACGTCCAAGTCCCGGCCAATCTTCTGCCGAAGAACAATAGCTTATCGCCAGGCCATATTCCTTCTTTTGCATGAGTTCTTGAGCGGCAATCTACTCGTTGGCGATTAGTACGCTTATACGATAAGTGTTAAGTAGAGAATGCTGTACCTTACATACGGACCGCCGAACCTCCTCTCGCTGATACTCGAAACAGATGGCGTTGACGTCCCTCAAAGTATCAGTTAGGACTCCAGTAACGTCCTCGCCGGCCGATTGTTGCGGAACACCTAACCGTAGGGGCACACGCAACAGCACTTCGTCCGCACACTGGACCCCGACTTCGCCGCAAGAAAACATGTATGCTGCAGTGAGTCGCCATAGCGCAGCGTCGGAGTGAAGATATTCAGCGTAAGCTAGCATGTATGAATCTCGCACGGTCAAACCAGTGCTATGAGACTGTTAATGAGCGAATAGATAGGAAAGCGTGAGCTCACTCTTCGACTGGCTCTCGATCTATGAGGCCAAGTGACTGCATGATATCAGCCATGTGAGCGGCGAGCCAGGGATCTAACTGGCTGGCATAGCTTAGCGCTTTCATGGGATCACCTCCGAACAAAGAAGCATGAACCATGTCTTCCATGTCCGTCGGATCGGGTGGTACATCGTCCACAATCTGTGCGACGACATCTCTGCGTGTCACATGAGCTTATCATCAAATGCATTCGCGACAACGGTGACTCACGGTAGATCTTGCCTCCGGAGCCTGAAATCCGCGAAAACTCCCCACGCGACACTGAGTTCTTTCCAGTCGGCGCCCAGTTCATCGCACACTTTCTCAATTACCTCCGTGCGCCCTTCGAGGATTCCGACAATTGAGCTCAGCCGGTCCCACCAGTTTTCATATTCATCTCTCCGGTCTGATTCGGGGACGTTGGTCAATTCAACGCGCATGGCCTTGACCTTTTCTCTCCACCGACGAGAGGCATGCGCGAAGTCGCGCTCGGCGGCGAAGTTCTGGAGATGAGGTTGGTCACTCAGCAAAGGAATGAGTTGGCTCGATAGGCGACGGAGATAGTTGGATGGATGTCGCGACAGAGCCTCCAGGAAAAACGTGGCTGCTTTGACGAGGCCGCGCATGGTCGCCCTTCGATAAGTTAAATAACGTGTAAATGCATCACCAGAGAAGGACATTGACTTACCGCAGGAGGTAAGGCCAAAATGTCTCGTCCTCCCATGGTTTTTCCAAACTTGAGAGATGATCGCCTTCCTCCGTCGACGGCTCTATGAAGTGCATGTTCAACCATTCCATCAACTCGTCCCCAACAGGTGCATCCTCTAGACCGCTGTCGGGCACGTAAAGGACGACAAATAGAGATAGGCATGTGTAGAGTGTGCGGTAGTGATCGCCCGTAAACTGAAGGGAAGACTGATTTTCCTTGGTGGCTTGCTTGTCTGGTTTTAGTATTGATGTAGTGCGGGAGACACAACAGGCCGTACCGAAGCATGTATCCAGCACTCCTTAGTGAAGTTGACGTAGTCCGTCGCGAGCTTCCGAATAGTCCTTACACTATCGTCCCGTTGAGACCTACCGCCCGTCAGGACATAATATGACGCATTTATGCACGTGACGCACCACTCGTTCTCTGGTGTGGAGGATACCCGTAGGAAGTTCTGGAATGCAGCAAAGATGATGGACGTGTCGCTGATAAACTGTTTCAAATGTAAGTATTTGAGCCCATCGTATAGGGTAACACACACGAGTCGCCTCTCAGAGGATGGCTGCGCTTCTGATGACGCAAAGTATATGTCCTGTTCCCCACTACCGCCTTGAAGTTGCGATCCAGGCTTGTTCACGTTAGCAACGTGTCGCAACACGATACCAAGCTAGAGCATATACTCACGTTCGGAGGGAGAAACACAGCCAGAGACTTGTTGTAAGGTGAGAAACATGCCGCGGTCGTTCGCCCGGATTGGACCAGTTCTTCCACGTGGTCGGCTTCGACCACTGGGGGAACGAGATTAAGGTGTTTGGAAGTCGTCATAAAACGCGTCAAGATCTTGAGTAAGAAACGATTTTAACTTGAGAGCGTATCGTGGATGGAACGTGCCGGGACAAAAGGCAAGGTGAGGCGAGACAGTGGCGAGACGCGTCGGCAACTGTGAGAACTTTTCTTACCAAATGGGGATACAACGTAGACGCGCATCCCCCGGCCCACCCCGCTCCAAGTTGGGATGTACTGAACCTCCAGCACGGCGCAAAGGTAAGTTGCGGACTTGAAGCTTGAAGCACAGCACCGAGGACGATCCCGGTTTTTGTCTTCACCTTCGGTGAGCAAAACTTCAAGTGCCCTGCGCCACCATGGTTTCCTCGATTGCACATTCATCATTCATGATTATGGAGCCGTGATGAAACATTTGCTCGCCTGTGACCCTCCGCGGACTGAAAGATACGCAGCTCCGTTCCATTGTAAACGCCGTCATTATCTCTCATAGCCTCACAGCTGCCTTCCGTTTTCTCGTGATGCTCACTCCTAAATCTTTCGCCGTCAATTCAACGCGGGCGTGTAGACGGCGAGGAAGGCACATTCAGTCCTAGTGCGTGATCTCTTTTTCGTTCCCGGACCCTGCTTTCACAAGGGCTTATTTGCACTCGAGCGGGGATGCAGGTTTGCATGCGTCAAAAAATGCAGCTTGCATGCGTCGAGACTTGGGACTTCCTGCAATGTGAGCGACCATTGTCACCTTTTTTACCATCTTCGTTCGAGTTCGATGTGTATCTCCAAGCTTTAGATATGAATCTCCAGCGCTGGAGACGTTGGGGTCACATTACCAGGCCCGCGGCTTGAGAAATTTATCCCTATTACCTGACAGGCATTCCGTTTCAGGACGACCGTAGAATGAGGCAGAGTGCCGGGAACATGCCGCTTGAAATCACCGCACTGCCGTGGTTCTGTTGAGTCGCACCTATGCAGACTGAGCCCCCATGTCAAAAGCAGTCCGTATATGGCGTGCAATCGGCTGTCTTGGACCATAAATCTCCAATGCCCAGACCGTCTCTGCCCATGTCCTATCTTACCTACGTACAGGTCTAGGGTCCTTCGTGGCTCGGCAGGGAGATATCACACTTAATTTCATCCTCTTAGCAGACAATACGACCGGCAATGTGGTGATCGGTACTTTAAGTTTAGACACCAATTCAGCAAGGGCTTTTTGAGACTCGTTTTGATGGACGAAACGAACCTTCGCATCGTCCAGCGCCTTGTTATCTTGCTGCGTAATTATGAGGGGGGTCGCAGAGCAGTGCGCAGGGTGCATGTCTATGTTCTGGGCCGACACTTAGATAACCCGTGGCAACGCTTGCTCATATGATCTCGAGTCTCTGACCGGTCCGTCTTCTCGTTGGAGTGAGCTCATACACAAACCAGCACGGCATGTGGGCTGTTATGGCTGAATCATTCTACCACGTTTGAAAAGGGCATAACAGGGAGTTCTCGCACGAAAAGTAGAATTTCAGTAGGGTCAGACTGTGCCTAAAAGTTCCCAGGTCGCGGCAATCTAGTCAGTGTGCTGTCATCTTCCACACCCTAGTTACCCAAACCGTCTTATGTTAGGTTGATTTCCCGAGTTCTCAAGAATGGATGCTTTTATGCCATACGTTCACAAACCCGTTGCCTAATTTTCCATCGTACTGTTCAACTTCACTCTCTCGAGCGAAACATGGTTGGTCACACGGGAATTGATGCTCCGCGATAAGCGGGGTATCAAGCGGAAGGGAAAATCAGCGGCGCTGTGCTTCGTATTGAACGTTCTAGTTCACGCCGTGGCTTCTATATCTAATATTGGAGAAGTATCGTCGTCGATAGCAGGCTGCGCCTCCGACTATTACATACTGACGGTAGGGCAGCATGCGAGATCGTGGACAACGCTACGGGCTGGTTTCCTGCGCTCCTACTGGATCAAACGTCGGGAATGGGCTCGCTCAGTGCTTTCATAAGAATACGATTGGTGAGTCATGTATCAAAGTCAGCTCCTGAATATGTCTTTAGGTTTGGAAAAAGGCTCAACAACTTCTCTGGTCGCCGAAAAACGCTGCCTTCTTGGTGGTAGGTCACAATCGAGACTCAAGCGCCCCGTTCAGATATCTTTGCTTCGTTTTCGCAGGTACCCAATCGCCGATCACATGTATGTACTCAGGAACTTAAGTGCTCATGACTTAGTAAGCTTGCCACTAGAGCGCTGATAACACCACGTCATCTCTGACCCTATGCGAATTTTTATCTAGATCATTGTATTGCGATGTGGCTGCTTCCTGGCGGCTTGATCAAGCATCTGCATCATCGTCTGCATTAACACTCTTTGAGGAGTCTGCGATAGCTATGTTGGTCACCTGATCACGGTAAAGCCGCAAAGCGGCTTCTCCATTTATTTGCCAGGTTCTGCAGTGATATCACTGTTTCATGCTGTCAGTCACAATGACAATTCCAAAACCAGTCATGGCACGGCGACCTTGATCGTTTCGCACACTCGTGCTACCTTCGGGCGCTTGCGTGTTCAACATCAACGTTTGAAATGACTTCAAATACACTCGTCGCGTCTCTGATCATTCTTCCGCCTTGGAGGAGCTGTCTTCACTCTAGCCGCCATACGTTATCAGGCACATATGCGGATTCACCTAGGCCGCTTCATGTTCTACGTTCACATTGATAATCGCGGAACTAAGCTATCAAGGTCCGGCCGAGAAGTACGCGATTTCTGTAGGACCGGTGGGCTTGATCATATTCTTCAATATCGGCCCAGCTCAGACTACTGTCCAAACCCTGTGGGAGGTCACGCCCATGAAATACGACGGAAAAGCGCTGACGCAATGGTAACCACGAAGCGCGGATATGACGCCAGTATACTTACACTTGCCGAACATACTTAGCTCACTAGCCCCCTACATCGTTACCTCTTCATAATTCACCTATACCACCTCACACTATCACGTAGCCGCTCCTAAACGTAGCCACGGGTTTGACGCGGGGTATAAATACAGAAATTTCTCTCGCTCATTCGCCCTTGTCGAAAATATCCGAAAATGTACCATAGGAAATATCATTTCCCCGCAAATTTCCAGACACTTTTGGATGCGGTGATGTCCATGACAGCCACTGAACAGACGTACTTACCTTTAATCTCAAGTATTATAGGAAAAATCCTGGATAGGACAATCGGTCGGTGAAAGAAAGTAGAGAGACGCTAAGAAAGAAACACTAGCCATTCTCCTCATATACTTGCGACCCGCCGCGTACTTGGACGCTTTGACACCGGGCGCAGTGCTCTTGCAGAGTCTTCCAGGGTTTAGTAATTGATCTCGTTACATTGTGTGTGGGTAGCCCTTCAAGCTAGCAAGGCCAACGCCACATCTAATATCGGTAATGCCGCCATCGGCAACCATAATTAGCAATGAGCATGAGCCATCCTTCGGTCTTCCTCCACTATTCCAGGAGGCCTACATCGCCTATATTATGACACCAGTGTAGGGCGCAATTCAGCGGCGTTTTCTGCCAACGGATACTAACTTACGACAAGTCCCTGCTGGCTGTATTTCTAAAACGTTGGCCAATCGGCTGTTTGCCAGTGTTGACGGGGACAAACCCTCGCGGGATTTTCCTTGATTAGCCCGCTATCCTTGGATTAGGGTGAAGGTCAATCGTCCAAGGGCCTGGTCTAGGTACGTCACTTCGAAGTTTACGCCTATTCACCCTAATACAAGATTCATATAAATATTAGACAGAGCATAATGGGGACGGCGTTTAGTCCGCCGCCATGACCCTGGAATCTAGGTTGAGTTTATCGATAACTTTCTGTGACACAGCTTGCGCCCACAAACGAGCGGAAGCTCTTAAGAAGATAGACTATAGGTGCCTATTTAGCAGTCCACGTAAAACCGCGTGTCTTATCAGGCAAATCTATCTATATGCACTACATCTCCGCATTTGATCGATCGCCTTAAGGAATGGCTATGTACATGATTACGGACCACGTCCTTTCTATCACATCACAGAGAATGTGAGAGGAAGCCGCACCGCATGGATGTGGCGGAGGCATTCATGGTCAAATGAAGAAGCACATTGATAAATTGGTAACACATGGTGTACGTGGGCAAGTTTAATCCTTACTTGTTCGACTTATAGCGTCACGGTAGCGAAAAAAAAAAGAGATTAAACTGGCTGAATTGGACCCGCTACGATATGGACCAGCACAGTCAACATTCGTCGATAGTAAACTGTAGTCTGTCTGACGACCAGAACAGTACATTAGGAACCAAAACGTTGCACTACATCACCCCGACATATTTGAGACTTCCTTCGCGATCATCCATCCTCGATAGTGATAATAAGGGAGGATTGCCTGGATCGCTCGAGGAAGAGCCGGACAACTCTTCGGGATACTGATAACTTGACACGTGACCACAGACGAGAGAACCCTGGCGTAACCTCGCGCTTATGAAACTTCCGAGCAAAGGAAGCGTCTACTAGACTTTTGTAGGTACTAAATCACAGCATGCCACTTCAAGCGTGCAAATTGTTAATGTGTTTATTTGCTCGAGTGTGGCAAACGATGTAGGGAATGGTATGAGTACACAGCGCAGGAAATGAGAATACCTAAGCTTCAGGCAGGAGCTTCATGAGCTGTTCTGGCTTTGTAGGATAAGAGCCGATCCCGATAGCCTGGTGCCATTTTACATGTACTCGGCTAGCATAAGAGCCCAAGGCTGATATTAGCCTCGATGGCTGTTAGCCAAGCACGAGAGTAAGACCAGCAACATACCAAGGATTACATTTCCTGTTGCGCCATAGCCTCCATGGTCCCACGACAGAGACGTTGGACATCCTGGGCGAACTCGCGTTTTGTGCATGCCCCTTGGCGCCCAGTACGCCTAGACGCCCAGCTCGTCGAAGACAAGCTAGAACACGAGTTTGGGGCGAGGTGTCGTCCACAAGGTGTGCTCAGCCTTGTCGTTTCCGTGTTAGTCGGCCGAAACTCCGAAGTAAGCATGACGTAGATCACGCAGATCACTCGCGGTGCGCAAGACTATTGATGGATGAGCTAATAGACCGCATCGACTACACTGCCAATACCCCGCGAAGCGTGAAGATCAAGGGAGTAAGCTTACGAAGGACTGCATTCTTATCGCTTTAATGCTATACCCGTACCCGGTCTAGCTCTTGTTTAGGACGCGCAGCATGTAGTAGACTGTACCTAGATGCTGCGGACCTTGCAAGTGAGAGCTTGCGCAGCAGCAAGCTTGGCCAGTAGGCTTGAGTCTTGGACTGCTTTACAGGATGAGCGCGTTTTGCTTACCTCGGGGTGAACGGCACGGTGTGGCTCCATGCTCCTCTCGGAACGCCGGCGGCCTCAAATCTCAATGTGTCAGGCGCTATTACGTTTAGTGGATGTTGCTTCAGAATCCCAAGTCTCCTCGTCAATAACAGCAGTGAAGAGGCAAGTAGAAACAGGGAACAATGAGCTTAGGGAGTAAGACGAAACAATTAATGCCCCGCGGACGGAATGGTTTTATTGTACCAAGGAAAGGGGCACATACAAGGAGTTGTGATGCGACGTTTTGTGGGGCCAAGCGGGGGATGCCGAGGAGCCGGAGGAGCTTCCCCTTGGCGGGCGCATGGCTTTTATTCCGGCTGCGCAGTGCTCAGCCTCGCCGTCGCTCGCTCGCTCACCGCACTCTCCCTCACCCAAATATTCATAGCTCGCAGTGCGAGCCACATAACCCCACTCCCTCTCTCCACCATACCATCATCACCCATCTAATTCTCTATCTAATTCCTTGTCCTCCGCTGCTTCAGTGTCTAGCAAGCCAATCAGGAATTGCCCAGTCAGAATCGAAACGTCGACAGTGTCCAACTCCGCTCGGCTTGCCAGCTAGTCGGTCGCTTGTTTCGCTTCGCCTTCACGCCCAAAGTCCCATCTCGAATCAAGACACTCTCTCAACCCCCACGCATCGCCCGACATGATCACTTCATTACCGATACCTTTTTCGCTTCTTGTTCTTCTCTCATGCTGTCTTTCGACTCTCTCGGCACCAAGTCCATCATCACCAGGCCCAATTCACATCCCCGTCGTGCGGAAGACACCCCAGGAGCACACAGGAGAGTGGGCGCAGCGTGAGCGCGAGGCACTCATTGTCAAGTATGGCGGCCAACCTTTGAGCAAGCGTGCTAGCGAAGGTTACAATCTGTACGTCGACTTATTTTCCTCCCCTTCCCGACCGTCGTCATCCTAATGGTTTTTCTTAGCATCACCAACCAGCAGGCGGATTCGAGGTAAGCATTGAATGTTTCATGCGATAAGTCTTTTGGTACGATCACACGACAATTCAGTTACTTTGGTTCGCTCGCGATCGGAACGCCCCCCGTCTCATTTGACGTCATTCTCGACACAGGCTCTGCGTAAGTTTTGCTCTCCATTCCTGTTCTAGAGCTTCCATTGATCTCGCGTCACATAATCAGCGACCTCTGGGTAGCAGACACATCATGCACGGCCTGTGGCCACGTTGCAGTCCTCGACTCGTCAAGCAGTTCAACGTTCAAGAACCTCAGCGAGCCGTTCCAGATCACGTACGGCTCCGGACAGGCGGCCGGTACCCTCGGGCAGGATGTCGTCCAAATGGCCGGGTTCTCTGTTTCAAATCAAGTATTTGGTGCGTGTCACTCCATCTTCCATCACATTGGGCAATACAGACGAAATTAATTGCTTGATGTATCTAGCTGCGGTCACCCAAGTCACTCAGGGTCTGCTGAACAGCCCCGTCTCAGGCCTCCTCGGTCTTGCATGGGAGTCGATAGCCTCCTCACAACATATGCCACTATGGCAGACCCTCGCGTCTAGCGGTGCATGGCAGGAGAACGTCATGTCGTTCCAGCTCACTCGGTAAGCAGCTGTTGAGGGCAGCATTCAGGCCGAGTAGCACTTACACTTTTTGCAGTTACATCAATGCGACAAACCAGCAGGAGCTTGAGCCAGGAGGAACGTTCACTATGGGTGGTACCAATTCGAGCTTGTACACCGGCGACATCGATTACCAGAATGTACCCACGACGCCCACCTACTGGCTGCAGAACATTGGCTGTAAGTTCCACTCCATTCTCTTCGCTCTCACAGCCACTAATGAACGTTATTTCCAGCGTTGTCTGTGAATGGCAACCAGGTCACAATCCCCACAGGTGGCACCAACGCTTACGCGGCGATTGACACCGGCACCACCCTTGTCGGTGGTCCCTCGAGCGCCATCGCCAACATCTTCGCTCAGATCCCCAACTCCGCACCGGGCACTGGCTCCTGGCAAGGATACTACACCTACCCTTGCAGCACCGCCGTGACCGTCTCGATCTCCTTCGGCGGCCCTTCGTGGGCCGTGAGTCCCGCGGACTTCCAACTGCAGCAGATCTCGAGCTCGCAGTGCGTCGGCGCGTTTTTCAACCTCGATGTCGGCGGCTCCGCGCCTGCGTGGATCATCGGCGACACGTTCCTCGTGCGTTTCTCCTGCCTTCCTTCTACCAGAAGCACATAACTTACGCCGCGCAGAAAAACGTGTACACCGTCTTCCGGTACAACCCAGCGTCTGTCGGCTTTGCGCAGCTCTCGTCGACCGCGGTCGCCATGAACGGCGCAGGCGGCGCGGCGCCCTCGCCCACGATCGGGCAGGTGTCGTCGACCGTGACGGCGACCTCGAATGGGGCACTTGCCAAGTTCGGCGGCGTCCCGGCAAAGGGCCTGATTGGCGCTGGTCTCGCCGCGCTCGCGGGCGCGATGGTGCTCTGAGCGCAAGAACACCTCGGGCTGCTGTGGTGTCGTAGGTGTAGGCTTTCGTTTTGTGCACCAGTGGAAGGGAAGAAGTTTTATATATTTGCATTTGTTTTAACGAGATGTGGGTAGCGGTTGGACAAGGACAAGGACAGGGATAAGGATAAGGACATATGATGACGCATTGCAAATTGGTTCTTCCACATTCACTATTTTTATGCTTCACGTTCGAACCTATCATTTAGCCGCTTTTTCTTCTGTGACTTGTCGAGCGCATGCTTTGTCCCTCCCCCGTTCTGAAGGACTTATTCATTAATACATTTATGGACAGCTCTGCATTACGAACATAGTTTGTATGTCTATACTCGCATTATTCATAATGGCATTTGCTGTGACACTTGTGTTTCTTGTACCAACAATCGTACCGTGAAACGTGAAACAACTGAGGATTTGTGTTTCCCAGACAAGACGTTACACCCGTATGACGTCTTCCATAGTGCACAAGACATCTCGAGCAGACTCGGGGTGATTGACTTAGTTCATGCTCACTGGATGCCCTCAAGAGGGATACTTCACGCTATCGAACAGAGGTGGAGGATATGCCAAAGAGAAATGAAATTATAATGGTACAAATACAATACAAGCTGCGAAAGAAACACGACAAAAACCCCTCATGCTCATGCACCGAAACCGTAGAGCGTGCGTCCTGACCGCTTAAGGGCGTAGACGACATCGAGAGCAGTCACCGTCTTCCGCTTGGCGTGCTCGGTGTACGTGACAGAGTCACGGATGACCTGGTGTTAAATGGTGAGACGATGATTAAAAGGCAAGGATGAAAGGAGCCTCACGTTTTCAAGGAAGATCTTGAGAACACCACGGGTCTCCTCGTAGATGAGACCAGAAATACGCTTCACACCACCACGGCGCGCAAGACGACGGATAGCGGGCTTCGTGATGCCCTGGATGTTGTCGCGGAGAATCTTGCGGTGACGCTTGGCTCCGCCCTTTCCGAGACCCTGTGCAACAGATAAGCCTCTGAGTCGAAAACTAGTAGCGCGAGGAAGCTCACCTTGCCACCCTTGCCACGGCCAGACATGTTCGATTGAGAAGTGTTGGTGAAAAAGAGTTGAAGTAGTTGTGTTGAGAAGCCGAGGCTTGCTTGGAGTTGACGCAGAGGGCGAATGCGAATGAGAGATTCAAGACCAAGTCGCGTCTCGCATATATACGAGGCGCGGGTGGCTGTGCTGAATTTCCGTTTGTTGATTGTGTGTGCGCGCCTCGGCTCGACACGTGATGTGCGCGACGCGCCTGGATATATACCCGAGGCGGTTTTGACTTTGGGTTCTCACTATCCGTCGCTCACTTCAAGCCGCCCAACACCACTACCACCACCACTCTACATTTACTACATCAGCAATGGCCCGTACCAAGCAGACCGCTCGCAAGTCGACTGGTGGCAAGGCGCCCCGTAAGCAGCTCGCTGCCAAGTCCTCTGCTCGCAAGACCGCTGCTCCCGTACGTGCCTTCACTCCTTGTTGTGTTTCGACATTTGCTGAATTCGATTTCAGGCTACTGGTGGTGTGAAGAAGCCTCATCGTTTCCGGCCTGGTACGGTTGCTCTTCGTGAGATCCGTCGGTACCAGAAGTCGACGGAGTTGCTTATCCGCAAGCTTCCCTTCCAACGTCTTGTTCGTGAAATCGCTCAGGACTTCAAGGTATGTTGCTTTCACTCCGATCTTACCACCGTTGCTTACGATGCTCTCCCAGACCGACCTGCGTTTCCAGTCGTCGGCTGTCATGGCACTTCAGGAGGCCGCTGAGGCATACCTCGTCTCGCTGTTCGAGGACACGAACCTCGCCGCCATCCACGCCAAGCGTGTTACCATCCAGCCAAAAGATCTTGCCCTTGCCCGCCGGCTGCGTGGCGAGCGTTCATAAGCATTTGCGCTTGCGCTGGACTTTACATACTAGACTCTCGCTTTGCTTATTCCTTTAGTTCTGTATTTTATTGTACTATCCCTTATTTGATCTTTTGACATACGCCAACTGCGTCCCAATTATCATGATTGCCATTAAGTCATCCGGTGTTCATGGCTATCTTATAGGACGCATATAAGAGCCCGACATGAAGGAGATTTCAATGTTCCGCTCCTGATGTCGATTTATGGTGGCTGTGCGCATACAACCTCCTGGGCTAAATTAGCCCGCGGAGTTATAGTACCGATGCCACTTTCCACGCTGTTGACTTCATCACCTTTGGGCGAAGACTTCGAGCACTGCAACGTTCATCCGCAATGATGAGTGCACCGAAATGATACCCGCCCTTGTTCCATGAGACGGTTGCTCTGCTTCAATAATAGGCCATTCACTGCCTGCGAAGATTCACGATCTGGAATAAGTACACGGTTGACGTGATGGACCTTCGTTCTCTCTTTCACACAATCCATGACGCCCTTTCTCTGCCATCGCGATGTCCGACCTCGCGTTCTCTGACGTTTTCCCCCCTGACCACAACCGTAAGCTGTCTTATGGAGCAGCACGCCCTTGTCGCATTTGATGAATGTGCGTTTCAGGGTTTGTTCCCGTCCGCAGCGAGCACGAGATATGGCAAAAGCTCGCATACGAGTGCGCCCAGGGCGCGCTGTATGACTCCAGCGAACGGCCGCCGTTCTCTCGCTGTCTTCCGGGCACCCGCGTCGACCTTCTCAACACCCTTTCGCAGGCAGCCGAAGAGCCTGACCCGAAGCTCATCTGGCTATGCGGGGACTCGGGATCAGGCAAGTCGGCCGTCGCGCACTCGATTGCTGAGTGTATGCGCGAGAAGGACGTTCTCGCGGGGACCTTTTTCTTCTCTAGGACGAATCTTAAGTGTAACAACACACATTACCTTTTTCCGACTATCGCATACCAGCTCGGCTTGCTGCACCCGCGGGCTAGGGATATCGTCGTGAAGGCGATCAAGGAGGATCCTGCGCTGCTGAGCATCGCCAAGTCGCGACGAGATCAGTTCGAGAAGCTGGTCGTGGCTCCGCTGCGTCAGCTGCGGTACTCTTGGAAGAAGGGCAAGGTGATCGTGTTGGACGCGTTCGAGGAGGGAACGGCCGTCGAGGAGGTCAAGCCTCTCGTGGACCAGTTTCTCAGCTTGCTCCGCGACGAGTTGATTCCCGTATCCCACATCATTCTCACGAGCCGCCCATATGCGCACATCGATGCCGTTATGCGGGATGGAGATCTCTCGCGCGACGTACGTGTCGTGCGCTTGGACGAGTTTGATGCCAGGGACGATATATCGACTTTTCTTTCCATGTCGTTCAAGGACGTGCATACCCTCCATCGGCTGCCGTATCCAGATCCGTGGCCGAGCGAGGAGGAGATGAAAGTCCTACAGAGCTTGGCTGGAGGGCGGTTCATCATAGCCGCGACTATCATTAGACTGATGAGCCAAGGCACAGGCGAGCGGCCCACGCTGCATCCTAACGTGTTCCTCGGCAAGATCCTCGATGAAAAGCTGGAGATTGTTGACCAGCTATACCATTCCATCCTCACCTCGTCCGAGGATGCTGTGCGCGGATCTGCATACCTCTCCCCGCTCGCGGCCCTCGCCGAGCCGATTCACCTCCGGGCATTATCCGCTCTACTCTGCGCAGACATGCACCTTCTTTTACAGCCTCTCGCCTCCGTCATCGTCGTCCCTCCACCGGAGTCGGAGCTCAAGGTCCATATCTTCCATGACTCATTCAGAGACTTTCTATCCCAGTCCCAGAGGTGCAAGACGATGTTCGTTGAACCGGCCGTTGCGCACGCCGAGCTTGCATGCGCGTGTTTGCGGCTGATGATACAGAAGCTTCGCAGGGACATCTGCGCGCTAGGCGACTCTTCGAAGCTTCTCTCTGAGATAGATGACATCGAGACGAAAGGGGACGACTGCATCCCGCAGGCTCTTCGCTACGCTTGCCAGTACTGGGCTTATCACCTCCAGAATGCACGTGCGGATGCAGAGCTGGTGTCGCTTGTGTTCGAGTTTCTGACCAAGCACGTCTTGCATTCTGTCGAAGTTCTTGCCCTCCTTGAGCAGCTCGACTTTGCCGCGACCTCCCTCTTTGAAGCTCGACGAGCGTTACTCGTAAGTGCTCTCAACAGCAACTTTTCAGCGGTAATGATACTGATACTGAGAATAGAAATGGCAACCGTTCAACAAGAAGGACGTGGCAATAGCTCTCCTGTACGACGCCCATCGTCTGGTTCTTGAATTCTTTGATCCGATATCCATCTCTCCACTGCACATTTACGAATCTGCCCTACCTCTGTGCCCCACAAACACCAAACTCCGTCGATACTATGCTCATATCGCAAGCGAAGCGTCAATACTGGCTGTAGAGGGCATCGATGAAGACTGGGACTGTATTACCCGCGTCATCGGGGCTGACTCCTACGTGACTGCCGTCGCCGTATCTCCAGACGGCTCCCTCATCGCGAGCGCTTCTGAGAACAGAGTCCACATGTGGGACTCAACCACGGGTACCTTGATCGCGTCTGCCGGAAAGCAGCCGCACTTGGGCGCTCCGCTGGTCTTCTCTCCGTGCTACCCTATGCTTGCGTATTGCTGCGATGACGGCACTTGGACCGTATGGGACTTTGAGCGCGACGTATGCGTCGAATTAGTGGAAGAAGATGATCGGGATAGTCGTGGTGGCCGTTACCAACCTAGCCGTTGTGCGATCGCGCCGGACGGGCGAAGCATCGCATGTGCCAGAAAAACGCACGGAGAAGCTCAGCTGGCTGTCTGGAACATAGAATCCGGCCCACCCGCCCTCGTCTTCCGCTACCGGGTACACACGGAGTCCCAAGTCGTTGCCACCTCCTTCTCCAACCAAGGCGACAGAATCTCCTTTGTGAACCTCGATGATGTGAGCATCCTCTCCAGCCACACCGGCGAGCTCCTCTCGCGGTGGAGGCTTACCCGGAGGCAGTTCTTCCCCGGAAGCTGGCATTGTTTCACTGCCGATGATCGCTTCCTCCTCATTGTGGACGATATTAGCGTCACCGTAACATCGGTTGACGGATCCTCGCAGAGGACGATCAACACCTTCACGTCTGCTAATCCTCCCCCACGCTCTCGTCTAGGGCTGGCGGAAATGAGAGATTGGTTCAAACGTCTCCAGTTGAGGCCTAGCAACAACCCTTTGGCTCTCGTTCAACCCTTTCTGCTTAACAACGCTGTCGTGGCAGTCAAAGCGGCGGACGTAATTTACACACCTTGGAGATGTTTTTGCTTGAACAAAGAACAATCACAGGGAAGAAAGCATGTCTCCGCTCGCAGGGGAGCTCCACAGTACTCTCGAATCATGATCATTGACCTCTCCATCCTAGTCGAGCGGCCGCCGGAATCTCGCAATCTACGGCGGCTCCGCTACATAAACAGCCTGCAGGACGCCAATGTCGCCGTGTTCTTGGAAGAGTCTCCCGATGGTCCTGTTTTATGCTCGGTTTCGTCTGTGAAGGGCACAGTGACGACGGTAACCCAAGGTCTTCCGCAGCCATTTCACAGTTACACTCAGCTGGCAGTATCTTCCGATGCACGGATCTTCGCCTGCCTGGGAGCTGGCAAGGGGAAAAACAGTGTCATCGCTCTCTTTAGCTTTGAGTTGGGTGGTCGGCATTTGGGGAACATAACGTGTCCTGTCAATGAAGCCTTCCCTGCACAGCTGCACAACTGCAGGAAGCTTTTTTCGCGACAGTCAACCTACTTTGCGCTCACAGTTGCGGGTTGCCTTTGTGTCTGGAGCATTGCAAAAAGGACTCTTGTTCTCCATGACTCGGAGTCGTTTTCCACTGCAAATCAATACAGTGATGCACTTTCGTTTTCGGATGACGAAACGAAGGTGGCGTGCCTGTATCGACGTGGAAGTTCTCGAGCACTCGTCGTTTACACGCTTGCAGACAGTTCGGTGACTTCATCCACTCTCGCACCTCGGGCACTGACCACCATGGCTGTGGCTACAAACGTTACATTCGACGACTTCAGAGATAACCCGGACGGAACCATCAGTCATTTATCGCTCGCGAACTCAGGGTATGTCCGGTTTATCCGCTCCACGCCGAAGGAGATTGCGCTCTTCGAGTGGAGTCCCGCCGTGCAGCCTGCTCCTACCCGTCTCGCGCTCTGGTCGACAGATACGGGCGTTGGCCTCGTCCGCGCCTCACCGCAATTCAGCAGGCTCGTGCGTTCGACTATTGGCGACCAACGTGCGCTCAACATCCGGACGCCGAAATCAAAGGCACAGGGTGACGGTGAGGGGGGCGTGCGATCGACCGTGGTAGAAGAAGAAATCAGGGAGGGCAGCGGGGAAGGAAACCGTGTTCTATACGACACATACACCTGGTCGGATATCTGTGTAAGTCGTGGTTGGTTGGTGGTTGGTGGGAGGAGAGTATGCTGGCTGCCGGCGCGGTATAGACCTGGGGCCCAGTATAGGGAATTGGGATTCCGGGCGCTCGGTAATGGTGTTATTCTACTGAAGGAGGAGCGCCAGGTTATTCTGCAGTTTAGAGATGTCCATGTGCAATTCTATGAATGATTGCTACAGTGTACTCATCAGTCCTTAGAACTTCTCGGATGTAATACCGTACCTCGGAACTATTCGAAGTAAGTTTGGTACATTCACAGCGACCTTCCGTGCTAAGGATCGACTCGCATTTGACTTATTGATAACACTATAATACATCTGACAAGATCCGATATATACCTGTAATTCACATGGAATTATTCTAGCAACCGGTTCAAACATCTTCCTTGCTCTCGTTGGACCCTTGGCCGTTATTTTCGTCGGAGTTCTCAACATCGTCATCAACCCGCGCGAATTTGAGACTCGGGCAAGGTGCAACCGCACAGCAGTTGCCTCCTCCATCCTGACAATCTCCGAGCTCCGCAGCATCGCTCTGGTCCTGGTTGTGTGAGGTCGTCGTGGTATCTGCCCTCCATGCAATACCGCGCGAGATACGATAGATCACAAGGAGCGGGGATATTATCTGCACCTGGGAGAGCACGGCAATGCAGAGGTACCTAGCGGGGTGCTGAGCGAGGTAGAATCCTGTAGCGATACTGAAAGTGACGGTGAGGAGCGCGCATGACTCGACGAAGATCGTGGCCATGTCAGTGTACTGCTTTGGATGCGCGATGCAGGTGCCTGATGTGATCAGGTTAACGGGAAGTATGTAAAGGACGCAAGGCAGCACATACCCATGTGCTTGGTAAACCACCTGCGAAAGGTGTATAGTCGGAGGGCCATGAACGAGGTGGTATATACGTTGATAACCAGAGAGAGAACAAAAACTGGGATCGTTGTTTTGAAAGTGATTTTGGCGTAAAAGTCATGGCCCGGTAAGGAGGACATTATAACGGTAAGGCCACACGATACTATATGGCATATTTTCATCAGTCAGAGGGATGAGGTGCTGGCGCCGAGAGTAGGTGAGGTAAGGCGTACCGCAGAGACCGATATAAGCGAGCATGGGAATCGGCATCAACCACGAGTACCACGCAGAGTCAAACCATATTGTACGCATTCGCCATATCTGATAGAGCATGAGTTATAACTTCATACATCGACCGAACGAACTGATCGACGAGATAGATTTGTGCACGCACCATGAGACCATCGGCAAGACAGATGGCTAGCACATTGGCCGCATCGCCGATGATATTCTCCGGCATCGTGAAATCCGCCCACTCCGATGGCGCCTGCACTTCAAGCCTGCGATACACGTACGCGTCCTGCATCGTGCGCGAAAGACAGGCGATATACAGCGTGCCACACAGCCAGAGGAGTACGACGTATCCGACGAGAATGGCGAGCCACCGGCGACAGTGCATCGCGCGCGAGCGCCGGGCGAGCAGCGTGTGCACGCATGCGCCCGCGAGAACGGTCATGATGCCGTAGAAGGTGCCGCAGACGGTCGTGCTCCCGACGAGCTTGATAGCGTCCGCGAGGAGCTGCTCAGACGTTTCTGGCGGGACGCTGGCGCTGCCGTTAACCGAGCCCGAAGACATAATAGCGACAACCGCTAAGAAGATTAGCCGTAACTGGCGCAGGGTGCGAGTGAGTAGCCTGAGACGTGTTTAGAAGAAGAAGTTGAGGAGCTGGGACATGCGGAGACTCGAAAGCCCATTGAAGACAGGAATTAGTTGACGCTGAGGGGGAACATGGCGAGCTATGTGGTCTGGCACAGTTGCTGGGCGGCAGTCGGTATGCAATCAGCCGGACGGTTTGCAGTTATGCAAATATCTAGAATCGTCATAATTTGCAAGGAAAAACAAATTATCATATATCATATGACAGCGATGACCTTCCGCCGGAGAGGAGAGAGCGGGAGCAGATAGGTCGCGGGCAAATGTCAGGCCGCCTCGCCAAATCGAGTGACGCGACGGAAGAAATGCTCGGAGACTTCGAGATGCCATGAAAGCATTCAGCAAACAATTGACTCCCTCGTCAAAGTGCAGGAGACTGGTTTGACAGTCCAGTTGAGAGAGAGAAAAACATGGCGAAGTTCCCCCTATAGGTCCAGCGGTGACCGGTGACCGGCGAACAGTTCCACGACGTTGGAGGGGAATTTGGGGGTATGCGGCACGGGACTGCATACACCGGCTGAAGACCCCTATCAGGTTATCAGGGCGTTCCGCTCGATTCGGGGCTAAGTTACACCAGAAAACACGTTGAGGCTGAATTCGATCATAAGACTTGTGCAAAAGGGCTTAGTGAATTCATATATTTCTCGCTCCCCTTGATGAAATCGAAGTTGGAGGTTTTCGTTGAGATTGAGCACAGATCCTTCCAGCTAAGGTGCTCTAGTTGATTCGTGGACGTCAGACAGGTGAAAAGGTTTCCTTTTGACAATTCGATCTCTCAAGATCTGACGATTTTCTCGGATGTTAGCCTTTGCTAGCCAGCTGATTGTGCATACGTACAGCCCCAATCGTCATAGTTCGTCACTGGCGCAGTCCCTCTTTCAAGGCCCGCCCTCCTTGCCAGGCATCTTGCATAAGATAGTGTACTACTGTATACATCCGTGTCCGTCACCTCGTGGTCATTGATCCCAAGTTCGTAAAAAAGGGTAGCTGCACCTGACTTATGAGGTCCCTTTCCCTCCCTTTCCCTTAGTAGCCCCTAGGCCCGCATCGTTCTTAGCCCAACCCACAAGGCGTAGTGCACTCCGACGACTCCACGTAGGGCCCATATCTTCCATCCATCGCATTCGCCACTTGGACTCTCGCGTTCATTTTCTCCAGGGGTTTTAGAGCGAGAGCTGGAGCGAGATGAACCAGACTCGAGCCAGCGCGCGAGAAACTCACGTAGGACGTCTTCGGCTCGCAGCTCCGCGAGGACGAGCGCCCATGCGCCGGGCGGCGTCGCTGCGCACAGTGTATCCACGAGCGCAGGGAGCAGCGACGGGTGGTATATGCAGTCTATGGCGAGAACGAGGGTGTACTTTGGGTCTGCGTCTACGTGTAGATGTTGTTCGTCGGAGGAATGGGAGGTGTTGTGATGGTTGATGCGTTGTGCGGAGGGTTTCGTTGTGGGATGATTGGCGAGCTTTGGGGTGCGAAAAGGAGGCATGGGGAGATACGCAGCGCGCCTTGCTACAGGCAGAGAGCGTAGGACTTCCCAGTCGAGAGGTTCGACAACAACGTTGTTCAGAGATGAACGTGAAGCTGAATCCGGGTCTGAGGTAGTTGATGCGAGATTGAGTGCCACATTCTTCCGGAGCAGCGGGAGGAGCGCGGAGACGTCTGTGAGCGTGTACGTGCGCACAAGCGGGGAGAGGGCTGCGCCGAGGAGGCCTGTGCCTGCTCTGCGTGTTCGGCGGGTGCGTTGAGATAATGAAACGGGGCAGGATGGAACTAGGAACGCACCCGAGTTCGAGAACATGAGTATTTGCTAACGTGGCTCCATTGAATAGAGGAAGCGAGTTCGTGGATAGGAAGGCATTCTGTTGGAGGATGACTCGCGCAAGCTCAACACTGCAAAGGACGGTAGCCAGGCATCAGACTTGGACGCTAGGTGCGCATACATGAAGGAAGAAAGTGATCGAACGAACCTCGCGCGCCATAACACGCTTCCCGTGTCTCCACTTCGACTCCTGAGCGCGGTTTTGTCCTGCGCGAGGGTGAACGTCTTCACAATCTCCTCCTCCTCCAGCCTCCTCCCCTTCTTTCCAGACTGGGGTTGTCCCTTCGAACTCTGCTTCCTCTGGTGTCGCGATGCACGAGGTTTCTTCTCTCTTCCTTTGCCTTTGTCTCCATCTTGAGCAGTTAGTGACGTTGGTGATTCTGGGTGAGCGACGGAGGTATCATCAGGAGTTTGTGTGGAGGACTCAGTGAGGGCATCTTCGGCCAGGGGGCGTCTGAGCGTGATGTCAATTGTGAGTGTATCCTGGCGCGAATCAATATGCCCTAAGCCGCGAAAGCCGTCAGGACCGACAAGTTCAATGGGAGCACCGCGGAGGGTGGTGTAAAGAAGGAAGATCTAAAGGTCAAAACGGTGGTGGTGTAAGATAAGCGAGTAAACGGGAGTGAAACGCGTCAGGCCAGCGATTTCAGATGCATGAAAACGACGCATATATGCACCTCTTCATCTGGGTCTGTGACGAGTTCTGCGTCGGAGGGGAGATTAATTAGTACGTCTTTGTCCTGGTTCATGAAGGGCGTTCGTGACGACGAAGTGAACGAGTAGAATACAAGCGCGACGAAGACGCTACGGATATATGCGTGATTATAGAGTACAGATGATAATATCGAAAGAAAGCAAGAACGTGGCAACGCCCACTCTGAACTAATTCCATCTTTCGCTGCGTTATGGTGTCTCTGTCGCGTCCAGCGCTTCTGCTGCCTGTAGAGTCCAAAGACTGATATCGTCCTGTGGGAGCTTGCTCCACTTTTCGTATACCTGAACAATTGATTCCAAAGGGGAGAGTCTCAGTATCACGGGAACGAGCATACCGAGGTCGATGTCACTCACGTCGTCAAACAGATCCAACAGCTCGTTCGCCTTCTCCTCTGCCTCCTGCGCGTTTGCGTCGTCCTCCTTTATCTGTCGGCTGAGTGTCAAGTTTTCCTGTTCCATCTGCCCGGGATGGGTCAGCGTGTTCCACAAAAACACACTGTATTCAAGAAAAGTAGCAGAGACACTTACTCTACTCAGCGTTGCCCTCAGCCGTTCCACCTCTGCCTCCATAACCCTGACACCGCGGGCGCGCACCGCGCTGCGCGGGTCGAGGCTCTCACGCCAGATGTCGAGGCGGTCGGTCTCGCCTTGTTTCTTGCGTACACGGGCTTCGGTAACGACAGCGTGCAGGATGTTGACGCCTTCGCGCGCGTGCTGCTCAGAGAAGAGAGTTTCACAACTAGCCTGATTGTAACGTTAATGATCGACCGTGGTTCGACTGGTATGCGGAGAAAACGCACGGTGACTTGGGATTCCATATGCCGCGAGACAGCGTTGAACACCGCCTGCGCGCCCTCTGGGTCCTCGCTACACCATACCGAGAAGCATTGAGCAAAGTCTTCGTATCTGCGACGTAGACGTGAGCACGCGATTCACTCATTTAGATGGGCTGAGACTGACGACCACTTGTGAGCAGCCTGCTGTATGGCGACTTGCAGGGCCGAGTGAAAAGCTGTCCAGCGCTTGCTGTCTGTTGTCGAAGATGAGGAAGACATGCTCGTTCAAGTTGTTGAAGCGCGTCGCGGGGTCGGTGGCGGTGAAGACGCTCGAGGGCCACGTGCTCGCGAATCGTCGGCAATATCCGGCACGCGCATCTCGCTTGCTTCCGACGCATACAACTTGTTTCTCCTCCTCCTGTGTTAGTTTTTTTCTTGCCAGTTACCATAGATTACCACGCATACCGGAAGGCATCGAACAATCAAACACCATGCCCATTTCTGTCCATTCGCGCCCCTTTCCGTCCCCAGCTCGATTCTAGATGCTCGAGGGGTTGCTTTTGGTTGCTTATCCCAAGCTTGACATGTGACAGCTTGGCCGGCGGGCGGCTGATCCGGAAGTTTATGACGCTTGCCAGCAATGTTCACCGCATAATGGTTCCGTGAAGGTTTGATGAAATCTGCTCTGCTCTACATACCTCCAATCTGCTCCAGCAAACGTTCGCGTCCTTTCTTTACTCTCGACTGGGTCTTTCTGACCGGCTTTCACATGCAAGCAATAGGTTTCCAGCAGTCCGATAAACAGGTGCTTTCAGCTACTCTGCACGCCCAGATGCGGATGTCTGGATCGACGGATGACTACATTTTCAATAGATTCAAGCAGATCTTTGTAGATCCTCGACGTCGAACTGGTGACTTGATCATAAGCGTACCTTTGACAGGTAACAATTGGAAACGGCGACAGGACCAGATAGGACCTGATAGGACCTCGAGGTTTCGCCTGGTTCCACAAGATTCCTGGGACGTCAAGGAGGCCCATCATGATGAGCGACACCTCTGCATATCTCCACACGCACTCGTCAATGCAGCTAATAACAACGCTTCGCAAGCAAGACCCCAATTGAATGCTACGAGGTATATCGCAGCGTCGCACAATGTACACCTTTCCAATTGTACCACTTCCAACGCTAAATCATCAAGCTCAAGGTACACACGTCAGATCTGAAGGCGATGGCTGCGACATCGACGTCGGAGTGCAGAAATTCTTTTTTTGACCTGCCAAACATGGGAACCTCCAACGCTGTAGTAGCTACGCTAGTACACGCTAGCTGCCGCTGGCTGCCGGCGCTTGAGCGCCCTCTGTCTTCGATCATCCACCGCCAGCCAGCGCCTCGTTGCTTGACATGTCGCCATTCAAGATACTATCACAATGTGGTTCCGGCATGCAGCATGCAATTTGTCCAATGGGAGCACTTGCTCCGCCTGCCATCCTACCCGGACGCTCTCTTTCGCCTCCCGCCGCCCAGACCTGTCCATTATAGGAACTTATTGGGCCGACGTCGCGGGCTGGTGCGGGCGGAGTGTATACATATGATAACAAATAACTGATATGTGTTGCTGCCGTCACGATGGGCCCTGTTCCCCAGTTTATTCGCTGCCCACACATTTGGACCAATACCCTCTTCGCAACTTAGCTTCCGTCCACTCTTTTTTTCTGCTTTGCTTTACTCCCCCAACCTCATTCTTCCCTCATACCGTAGCGGCGGCCATACCGTTACTCCCCATCTTCCGCTCCCCATCTTGGAATCGACACCGCCCCAATGGCGGCGCCCAACGGCAGCTCCGGCGTCCCGCCAGAGACACCACAGGAGCTCCTCGCGGACAGCATCAAGCTCATAGGGAGCACGACCGTCTGCGGCACGTTCTACGGCCTCATGACCGTGCTTGCGTGTGCATGCGTGCAGACGTTCCTCTCCCGCACCTCGCGCGCGCGGCGCACCCGCGGCCGGCTCGTGTTCCTCGTTGGGTACGTGGGGCTCCTGTGGTTGGGCGGCACATTGTACGTCGTGGGTCTGGCGCGCTCGATCCAGGACGCGTACGTGGACCTCAGGCTGAAGATTCCATCCCCGGCCGCGTGGAACGACTTTCAGCTGCCCGAGGCTATTTTGGCGGACGCGGCATATTCGGTGTCAACGTGCCTTGCTGATGGGCTGATGGTCAGTGGTCCTTTACGCATTCACGATTCTTGTGGGGCGTACTCGCATGGTTGTTGAAAGTCAGCGATGTAGGTATGGCGGTTTCGGACGATGTGGTACGACTCGAGGCTGTATTGGCTACTCATGCCGTTCCCTATACTCCTCTACCTTGCCGTCGCTGGTAACCGTCTTTTTTCGGTTGAGTCAGGTTATCTTACTGATGAAGTACGGACGGGTTTCTGTCTGCAGTACTCAGTTTCGTGTCGGTGGTGACGTGCTCCCTTCCGGGACACAACTTCTACTCCAAGCTCGCATACAAGACGACTATTCCCGGCTTCGTCACCTCTGTCGTTCTTAACTTCTACACCACCTCACTCATGGCTGGCCGTCTCTATACCTTCCGTCGGCGCTTCATACGAGATATCGGTGCGTCGCATCTCAGGCTCTATGATGCCTTTTACTTGCGCCCCGAGAACTGCATATTTATCCGCACCAATACGACTGTCCATAGGCGGCGCCACCTTACACACCAAACAATACACCAACATTGCCGGGATGCTCGTCGAGTCCTGCGCACTGTTCACGATGACGTCGCTCATTTTCATCGGCTTCTACCTCTCCGGACACCCCGCCGAGTTCGTCATGATCGCGATCCTGTCGCAGATGCAGATCATCGCGCCGCTGCTCGTCATGCTCCGCATCTCGCGCGGCATCGCGTGGGAGGCGACGACGGCCTCGACGCTGCATGCGCGGAGCCGGCACGATGTCGTCGAGCTGGGCGACCGCCGCCGGCGCCGCGAGACTGGAGACGAGGAGGATGAGAACCCGAGTGCGCTGTCGAGTCTGAAGTTTGCGAGGCACGATGATGTCGACGGCGAGGGGGGGCCGATTAAGGCGCAGGAGCTGCATCCTGGGGAGGCTGATGTATGAGGAGGTGATCATGATGGTTTCCGGATTTTACGTCGTCGCTTGCATAGCGCTCTAAGGGCTTGCACCCTTGTAAACGCCAGGCGTGATTTTGCTGTATAACGGATAGAAAGGCCTTCAGGACCACTACTCCCCTTGCTGTGGCACTTTGTCTATGAGAGTGCCGGGCGGTGATGTTGAGTTGGATGGTACCTGGGAATTAAAGCTTACTTTTTGGATGTTACAGCCTTTATTATCACCGACTGTACATAGCTGGATCTTCAAGCACACAATCGTGGTTGTTCTGGTCGAACAGCTCATTATGGATGATGATTTACTACATCGGAACAACTCGTCCCGCTTATCTGTATCCTTGGCTTGACAGCACTGCCCAGAATCATTGCAGCAAGTCTGGGATCAGCACAACCTAACCTTTACCGCTGTCCAAAATGACGGCAGCTCCCAGAAGTGCTGTAAGCCAGTTCTGACCGTGTTATCAGAGCCATAGGCGCCTTTGATTGTTCCATCATCTTGCAGAGCTTCAAGTTGTTCCTGGGATGCTCACACAGGACTTTGGATGAGTTATGCATGCTGCTACCACGTCAAGGGTTTAGCAACGCCCGAAAATGAGCACTTCGAGCTCATTTTCGGGTCCTTGGAACCAATGTAGTAAAAATAGACAAACACAAGAACACATGAGAATCCTCGGAGAATCTACACCACCGTATGCCAAGTATGAGCGTCAAATGAAAACCAATACTAATCCCGAAGCTAGCTTGTACTTAAACTCCACTCGTATCGCTTCCCTCAGTAAGCACCTCTTCCGGTACCACGCTTACGAGCACAGAAGAAGACCAAGGCTGCCGAATGTGTGTGTTTTCATTCTCCCATCGTTATGACGCATCTCTTACGTTCTTCAGCTATTCTCTTCAGGTAGTACAGGCGTATTCTGGAGAAAGGGAAGAGCAATGAAATGGTTTCGATCGACGTTCAACTCGCAATGGCGCCATTATCCAGGACATCATCAAACCAAGCCTGAAGCCGAACCAAACACTATCAACCGTACAGCAGTGATGGACTCGCAGGTGCGAAGCCTTGCGGCTAGCCAGCGTCCGACGCCAGAAGACCGGGTTCCAGGTCGCAAGGAGACCATCCGCCGTGACCTCAACTATGCCTTCAAGAGACACATCAACAACAATATATCCATACGTCTCATTCAATGTAGCGACATCAACAACCTCAGGCTCGTTGGTCGTCGGGAAGTGAGAGAGTACTTCCAAGCTCAAATCGAAGACTTCGAGATTTCCTCATTAAAGATCGACCCAGAAGACCAAGAAGGTTTCATGAATGCGGTGAAGAAGATAGTTAAATATGCTATTCTTTCCCATAGGTGGTCGGACGACGAGCTCTCTTTTCAAGACTTTGGTCAGGAACGGAGCTTGCAGTCAACGGGGTGGGCTAAAATCGTCAGCTTTTGCACCGAGGCCGCTCGCCAGGGCATGTGCTTTGCATGGATCGACACGTGCTGCATTGACAAGACTAGCAGCGCTGAGCTGGACGAGTCCATCCGGTCCATGTTCAAGTGGTACCAGAGCGCGGCAACTTGTATCATCCACCTAGATCAAACCACAACGCTGGAGAACATCGCCGGAGATGAGTGGTTTCGCAGAGGGTGGACTCTTCAGGAGCTTTTAGCTCCGGGCTCGAAAAAAATCCAGATTTTTAACAGGCACTGGCACTGCATTGCTTCACATTCGGAAAACGATGGCCAGTCTTCGTCCAGTAAGGCGCTGAATATTGTCTCTCGCGTCACAGGAATACCCGGCCACGATCTGAGAAGGTTCCGACCATCACCTCGGGAGGTAGACCAGCGCATGACCTGGGCGGCAAATCGAGAGGTCACCAGGGAGGAAGACTCAGCATATTTGTTAATGGGTATTTTTGACGTATCCATTTCGATAGCGTACGGGGAAGGTCTCGACCGGGCGTTCTATCGTCTGATCGAAGCCATTATGGCGGCCGGAGCAGACCCTTCCGTCCTCAACTGGGGAGGAAAACCAGCCAAGAATCACGCCACAGCATGCATGCCTGCTTCGCCAGCAAGCTATCAATATCACCCGAAACGAGATAAGTTAAATACGTATCGATTGGATATGACCCTCTCCGGCAAGGGCTTGCGTCTTTCTCTACCTGTATTTCCTCTCATCTGGAGGTGTCACGGTCGGAAGCTGTCTTTTTCGTTCAACAAGGCTCCTTTACGGGGGGTCACCTTTAGCGTTACGAATTTGGAGGACGACCGGTTCCACCCTCAGAAAAGCTTCGTTCACTCCTTTGTCCTTGGAGTTACCAATTATAGCGTAGTATCAGATCACTTCGAGAATCTATCAGTGGTGATCCACCGGCCTCTAACTGGATGGATCCTCACAAGGTCACCAACATACAACTCTGAGAGGCAGTACATTGAGGCAGGCAGGCCATGGAGAAGGGTTTCCACCACGATGATATATGTTCCTTTAGATAAAACACCAAGCAGAGTGGTGGTCAGCACCGGGAGGCTAGAGGAAGTGTACTTGTAGTCACTATATGTAATTATGTGTTCTTGGCATACGCTTCGACGACTATGGGATATGTCATATGTGGAGGTTCGGGGCTCGCTGGGCGCACGATAACGTGGTGCGCGGTTGTCCTGGGAAATGTCGATGGGGTGACTCGTTCGCATGTTCCTTGCCTCGAGATAGATGCAAGTGTAGTGGACTCCACCGCACTGAGCGTTATCATCGATTCATCAATGCATTACGGTAACTCCGCAAGGTCAGGCAGCCGGACTATTGATATGGCCGCAGTACCGTGCGGGATGTCACAGCAACTCAAAAGATAACACTCACCACAGTGCCACGCACGAGCGCTCATCAACACCTTCACTTCCTTCAATGGATTTCCCTTGTACATTGGATCGCTCAAGTCCCGGTTTTCAGACCTGCTCCTGGGGATGAGTGAACGGTCTGATAGCCAGAGCTACTGCGGCTCCCGACTGAGGAGCCCAAACAAGGTCGGTTACAAAATCCCCCTCGCAGTAGTAGTCGACGAATCCGATGTGCCAGTGAGTAGCTACGAGGGTACCAAGAACGCGGACCCGCCTGCAAACAAAGTCTATCACCCCCGGCGTCGAGCGCTCGCATTGAACGTTGACAGTATGCAGATATCTCTTGTCTTTCCCAAGGTGCATCGATTTTTGCTTGATCACCGTGTCTCATGTGAACAACGTTTGACACAGCCCAATCAGGGCACGAGTGGCTCCAGCGCTAATGTATAAGCGCTAATGTATATACATTGGATAGCCTTGGAGAACACAATGTGGTTGCTGTATGGCTTCCTGATGGGTATCACAACATGAATTTGGCTATAGTTGTTTTACATTTGAGGTTTGTACAGGATTCGGTGGGAGAGTGCCTGATACAAAAATATTGGGCTCAGCTTAGGTGACACGGCCATCAGTCAGCACTAGTCAGCCACAGACGCCAGATGGTGGCGGGATCCTTTCGTCAACCTTTCGTGGGCATACAGGTACTGTCAGACAAGCGTTAATGTCAGCACCGCGACCCTCAGCATATCCCACTATTGTGGATGAATCGCATCGCATCCACGTTCCCCAACAAGGTTCCGTGCGATAACGTTTCATGTCCACGTTCCCTACTGATGTTCGCTGTTACAGTGCTCCTTGTCCACGTTCCGCGCTATCCCATGTTGTTCTACGCCACCTTTCACGCAATGTTATTTTTCTCAAATTCTCTGAAGCGCACAGATACTAGTGCCTGCCTTTGTGCAATATATAAAGCCCCGTTCAGCCTCTGCATCTATAACAGCCAGTCGAACACCCTCAGATCAGTAGCTCAGTCAGTTGTTGATCTTCAGAATCTTCCTCTGTCACCAAACACAAACCAAATTAACACAAGATGGTGGTATGTTATTACCCGAATTTTCTGGTATTGTGGGTCTCCCTTATTAATCTGAATTTCATGAATTGCAGCACTTGATGCCTTTGGGTAAACATGACCCAGTCTACGTTGAGGGTGAGAGGATACTGTCTTTTCAGTGTTGACGACAATAAGCTTATCAGTGCACAGCGGAGAGGCGCTTCAAACAAGGATGGAAGAATCATAGCAAGACGTACCACATTGACGGAATATTTTATATCAATCAAGCTGGTCCCGTCGCCCAGCGACACCTGTCCCAGAACAGGGCTTACCTGTGAGAGAATTTCGTCCCATATAAGCGTCCTCTTGGTACTTATGCGTGATATAAATCGAAGCCAACAAGTCCAGAACCATACTTCTGGTGCAGCCGAGCAATACCTCTTCCATGGAACCAGACGCGCCTGCCACATCGGCGACGATAGGACGCAAATTAACCCCTGCAATCGCAGTGACTGCTATCTCTGCCACATCATCAAATGCTCGTTCAGTATGGCTCATGCGAGTGAGCTATTCCTCTTTCTAGCGGAAACACATATACCGCTGCTGACTGTTTTTACCAGATGCCAATGGCATGTTTGGCCCCGGGATTTACACGAGCAGCGTATCTTCGAGTGAGATATTGACAGATTGTCTCATATAAAATATAGTAGTTGCTAACTTTCATGGTAGAGTCTGACGGATACGTGTGGAACCACCACATCCACTCGCACAAACATGCTATGTTCTTAAGTAACGTCGTAACTGGCAGATCTCAGAAGCTATACGCGGCATCTCACGGCAGGCGCTCTCCTGATAATGGCTATGATTCTGTACGTCCACCCTCCATTCTGACAATGGGCTCGTGTTCACTTTTTTTTTGCCTCAATAGGTAGAGGCAGTCACGCACAAGCACGGTGGATCGGTGGATTACCCAGAGACTGTGGTTTACCGGGAGGACGCAATCCTGCCATCTGTGGTCATAATGTATACTCGGCACTAGCTTCGTTAATGCTGTTTCTGGCGGCTCGCTACCGACCCGTTCATGGATTCATTCACAACGCGCTAGCCCACCGGAAGATTACTATATGACCCTGTCTTTTATCTCCTGCTTTATACGACTTTATGTGCCCTTTGTACCAAACATTACGAGTGTATTAGCTTAGAGCTGCTAAATATCTCGAGGTTCTGGAACCGTCGTTTTTTTTAATCCTTTCTGGAATAAAGAATTGTTGTAAACTACGAATGTCTTGAATTTGGTGCAAATGTTCTCGGTACCAATAAATTCGGCAACGTCCAGCTGCGTGCGTTTCGGGCCGCGCGGATTCCGGCCTGCCTCCTAGCCATGGACCGCGACGAGGAGCGTGGCCAGAATACGCCAACACCGACACCAGGCGGACTACCACTCGCCCTCGACAATGGCAGCGCACTCCCGCCCAATGTACAGGCCAGATCGCCTCTCTCCTCCCTCTTCTTCGTCATCTTCATCCTATACATGTTCACACGACAAACCAGCGACGAGCTCATCGCCCGTACTCACTTCCAGGACAACCTCGCTGTATGGCGCAACCAGCTCAGCAACTTCACTGCTTGGATAAATGGCTCTAATAGTGACTTCTCGCTCGTGCGTCCCTCTTCTCGATCTTATAATATGCATAACGTCAAATTCTAACGCCTAACACCTCCAGCCCACACCCCGCTCATCCACCCTCCCCCTCGTCCACTCCTTCCTCTCCTTCGGCGACACCCTCGACCCGCTCGTCGCATCGTACGCGCCCAACATCACCGGCTTCATCCGCGGCGACGTCCGCCTGCTCAACATCACCCCGCCCGCGCTCAACGGCACCGCCGCCGCATGGGTGCCGCTCGCCAACGCGTACATGGGCTCGCCGAACATGACCGAGCTCGCGCGGGACATGGGCACGTGGAACTGGACGACGAGCGACAAGATCAACTGGAACGTTGTCTCGCACTATCCCAAATGGACGGATGGAAGGGAGCAGCAGGGCGATGTTGCGCTTGTGCATGTGAGTCCTAAGTGTTTGGGCTCTTCAAGCTGGGATGGCTCGGGAAGTAAGGGCTGATGGCGGCTGTTCTGCGCTTAGGGACGCGTGGACTTTTTCGACGATGATGCGGACGAGGAGATGCGTCTTAACTTCGAGGGTGTGCATTTCGTGTCGAATGGCTCGATCTACGGCTTTGCGGAACCCTATACGTGCGTCCGTGACCCTCATTATGCATGAATACCGTTTTGACGCGTATATTTGCGTCCTTCAGCCGAAGTATTGACCTACGGTACCTCCCAGCTCTCGTACCAGAGGAGTTCAGGAACGCGACTGCACAAGCGATCGTCCCCGAGCTGACTTCACGAATAACCAAGCTCGAGGGCATGGTAGATGCGGGAATGGCAGACACAGACACGGGCGGCGGCGAAGGTGTGCCCTCTATCTCACGTACATTTTCGCCACATCCTCATACTTTGTGATCTCTCTTGTTCGCGTAGAGGAACCCCTTTTTTCGTCTTGTGGCTTCAACTTCTACGCACAGCTGGCGCCTTTAGCGCTGCCCGTGGCGCGCATGGCGATCGTAGAGGAGGAGATCCAGCATCCAACCGGCCTGCCCGTCGACATCCCGCAACTTGACTTCCGTGGCGTGCTCCTTAGCCGCGAGTGCGGGCTGCTGTACCAGATGCACTCGACCGAGGCGTTGCGGAGTCAGATATTCTTTCGCAAGGTTACGACGTGTACGTTCTCCTTTCCCCCCTCCTTTCCCTCGCTCACGCGTGCTTTGCCTGGCACCCGGTAACTCCTGAATCTGGATGGTCGGATGCACCCTCCAGACGCCGGCTTCGCCGCATTCATCTACCTCGCCCTCCTCCTACTCTCCGCACGCCAGATGGACGCGTCCCAGACGCCCGCGGGCCTCTCGCGCGCGTGCTTCTGGACGTTCCTCGCGCAGGCCGCGATGGACGCCATCTCGTTCGCGGGGCACATCACGTTCGCGATCCTGACGAGCGGGCGCGCGAGCCGCGCGCTCATCGCGCCTGCGTTCTTGGCGTGCATTGGGTTCGCGTTCGAGAGTAAGCATGCGATTCAGATTAATCAGGTGCAGGTGCCGGAGGATACGGTGAGGGCGCCGGCGACGGTGGTGCCGCTACCGCCTGCGACGCCGCCGGTGCCGGTTGGTGCTGGGGCGCAGGTTCCGGGTGTAGAGGGGGAGGAGGCGAGTGTGGAGGAGGGAGGGGTGCCTGCGCAAACGACAACCGTGGCTGCGACTGTACCAGCGCGCCCTGCTGTTCCGGCACCCCAACCGCAAGCGCAACTTCCGCAGACGTTCCCCGGATTGTTCTGGCAGCACTTGCGCACAGACCCGCAAGCCCGCATCTGTATGTCCTTGCTCTGACGTCTTCCATCACAGCGAAAAGTACAGAGCGACTGACATCGCCGTCGTCGTCCCATCGATAGGGCTGGGCATGTTCCTCTTCCTGACATTCATCGTGCGCGTGATCGTCTCGCCGTCGCTCGCGCTCCTCTTTCTCGCGAGCATCCACAGCGCCGTGTGGCTCCCGCAGATCGTGCGCTCCGCGGTGCGCGGGCGCACGAGCGGGCTGCGCGCTGAGTACGTGGTGGGCGTGACGGTGTGCAGGGTGGGGCTGATTATGTGTGCGTGGTTTTGTTCTTTTCGTTGTCCCTTGTTCTGGTGTGGGCTGAAATCAGGGGTTTTATTGTAGATTTTTTGGCGTGTCCGAAGAATATACTGGACGTTGAGCCGAGACGTAAGCTGTGTTCTGCGTACGACCAATGTAGGATCTTTTCGCTGACGTCGGGCCGCAGCATGGGTCTGGCAGCTCGCACTCTTCATTTCCTTCCAAGGCGCCATCGTGCTCCTACAGACACACCTCGGCCCCGCGTTCTTCCTCCCCAAGCGCGTGAGCACGCTGATTTCTGCCTTGCTTTGTTCCGCTTTACTCACCATCTTCCCATCCCCCATTTATCATTATCAACCAAACATCCACACGCACCCCAGTACGCCGCCGCACACGTATACGACTACCACCCGCCCCTCCCGCCGCGCCCGTCCGCGGGCGACCCCGAGGCAGGCCACACCGACGCCTCGCTCGGCGACTGCGCGATCTGCATGGAGGCCATCCGCGCCGAGGACCCCCGCGGCGGCACCGCGAGCGCCGGGCGGCGGTCCACGTCTTCGTTGGCGGGGGCTGCTGCGCCGAGCGGGGTGGGCGCGGGCGTGGGCGTGAGTATGGGCCTCCTGAAGCGGGTGGGGACGAGGCGGCATTATAGCTTGGCGCCGTGCCATCATTTGTTTCATACGGAGTGTTTGGAGCGGTGGTTGGCTATTAAGGTGGGTGTTGTGTTTTGCGAGGTGATTGGGTGGTTGTGGGAGTGCGTGCTGATGATGTGGTGCAGAATATATGTCCGCAGTGTCGGAGGTTGTTGCCGCCTCTGTGAGTGGAGTTCTTAGGTGGGAGAAGAGTGGGTTAATGGCTGCTGTCATCTTCTGTTTTCTTTCTTCTGTTTTTGCTTTCGCTTGGCAAGAAATGTACATACGCATAACCCACAGCACCCCTGTATAATCTCCATAATACCTGCATACATCCACCTCGTCCATCTCATCTCCCTCGTACACGTCCAGCTGCGGTCTGAGAGTAGTCCGTCCGCGCCAAACTATCGCATTGTCGTGTCCCACCCTCCGACGTACCCCTCATCACCTCCATCCGCCGCTCGACTTCCTCCTCGCTCCAATTAAAGTGCCCGTCGCCCTGCCCGTCGCCCGCCGCACCCGGACTTGAGTTCTGAACGGCGCCGATCCACACCTCGACGGGGTCGCCGCCAGCACCAGGGACGGAGCCGACGCGGTCGAGGCGCACACCGAGCACGGCATGCGCAAGCGCCCAGAGGCTGCGCTCGGCGGGGTCGCGCTGTTTGTAGCCGAGGAGGATGAGCGGTGGTTGGGTTTTTTGAGGGGACGTTGATGGCGACGTTGCAGTGGTGGTACCGGTGGCGAACGCGAGGAGGCGCGCGAGGGTGCGGATGAGTGCGGGGAAGGAGGCGGTGTTGTATGTTACGTCTGCCATTCTGCGTGGGTGAGGTGGGGCGTTAGCGTACTGGCGGGTTACGGCAGAGCGAATTCTGTGGGTTAGTAGGGAGAGAGAGAACATACACAATGACGTCGATGCCGCCGAGCGATGTGACTTCCTCTGGCAGCGTGCTGGATTCCCAGTCGAGGACTGCAGCTGTAGGCTTGATCTCGCGGAATGCAGGTGCATTGAGCGCGATGTTGTCTTCTAGGAGAGGCATTGCCGATGCGAGGTCTGTAGTGACGATGCGTCCGAAGTCAGGCGGCGCGCCTTTTTCTGGGTCATCATCTGTGCTAGGGATCGAGGGCGGGAGAGAAGCACGGAGGGAAGCAAGTGTCATCGAAACGATGCCAGTTCCGGCGCCTGTCGTTCGGTATCCTCTTATTAAGACAAAAAACGCGAGTGAAGCTGATGAGAGATGCTCACCCAGCTCAACGATCGACCGGGGTACAGGGGCAAATAGCCTCCTACGGAGATCATCCAAGAGAATGGTGTGCGTGTCTTGAAGGTTGGCTTCACGCAGCTGAGCGTTGTGAAGCCGGACGAGCCAGGAGCTCAGGCCTATACCGCTGTCCCATACTTTCTGATTCGTTCAGTCTCTGCGATACTGACTTATACAGACAGGAAAGGGACCCACACCTTGTCGAGATCAAAGCTCGTCTGCTCGCGTATCGTCAGCTCGACTCTCCGCTCCCCCTCCGTTTTGAGGTCACTCTCGACATCCGACACGCGTTTGATCGTATATGCATACACGCGCTGCACCATCTCCTGCTTTCCCTTTCCCTTCGCATTTGCCTTGACTACGATCGGCATGGACGACACATGCAACGGCCGAGCTCCAATCCTTTCGTCGTCCAACGGCACATGCGTGTCCGGATGGGCGCTACGCGCGATCAGCTGCAGACTCCACCGCTGCTCTCCCTCAGCATCCCTGGAGAGAAACGGCGGAGGGTTGATCTCAATCAGCTTGTACTTGCTCCTGTGCGCGTTCCACGTCGTCAACTTCAGAGGGCGCGTGATGGTCTGCCGCCACTCTGCCTGCGTGCGTGGAGGCCCGCCGGAGGGCGGATGCGACGTCCAGGTGTAGAAGATGTCGTGCTCGCTCGGGGCATCGTCGCGCGTGAAGTCCTCTGTGCGCAGGTCGTTGGATATCTGCGGGGTGAGCGTGATGGGACGCGAGAGAGACGCCTCTGTGGGTGGTGGACGGAGGAAAGAGAGGTACCAGAACATCGCCGCGGTTTCCAAGTTAGCGCGACATCGATGGAACGAGGAGCGGGTAAAGATAGGGGCTATTATGCACGGCACCTTGCCAGAAACTAACTGACAGCACCGACTAAAGTCGCCATCGAAAGCACGCATCTCCCTATAAGAACAGTTGGTATAGACACAATTTATTCATTAGTAATGCGCCGAGAAGGTGTTTAGGCGAAGGAGACCAGCAATTAATATAATATACAAAGGCAACAATGCTTATCATCAACCAGCATTAGGTTCAATCCCATGAACGACAACGCCCCTCTACACAAACAATCAGCATAACATCCAGCACAACAAATCAAACACACTCACCCTCTTCACGCCGACGCCCCTCACCCGACTGCACCCCCAGACACGCACCTCCTTGAGCTTCGTGCAGCTGTCCACAACCTCCTTGAGCACAAAGTCGTCCATCTCGCGGCACCACCCCACGTCGAGCCTGCGCAGCTCCTTCGCCTCCTTCAGCCGCGCGAGCGACGTGGCCGATGCGCTCTTGAGCCCGTTCAGGTTCACGTCCTCGAGCGTGCGCGCCGAGTGGGATATCAGCGCGTCGACCGAGGCGCTGCTGAGGAGGTGGTTGCGGTTGAAGGAGACGGTGTGCAAGCCCGGGTTTGGGACGAAGGCTGGATCTGTGGGCATCGCTGGAGCCAGAGCTGGAGCTGGAGGGGATGTCGAGGCTGGGTTAGCCTGGGCACCGTTATCCGCGCCCACATCCCCATTTTCGTCGTCGTCATCGCCGTCGACAGACATCGCGCTCTCGTCATCTTCTTCGGCGGCCTCCTCGACGTCGTCCTCGGCGTCCGCCTCCGCGGCGGCACCACGCTCCCACGAGGAAAAGAACCTCGCGACGCCCTTATCCGTCAGCTCCTGCGTGTTGTCCAGCGTCAGCGCCGCGAGCCTCCGCGCGTACCTCCTCACGCCGCGCAGGAGGAACCCGTTCGTGACGCCACCGTGGTCCGTTAAATCGAGGCTCTCCAGCGTCGGCCCGTGCCGCTCCATAATCGCGATGAGACTCTCTTCGCTGACGTGTCCGCCGGGGCAGCTCAGGTCGAGCGCCTTCAGTTGTGGGAGCGCCACGAGGTGCTCGATGAACGGCTCGTCTGGGTTGTCGTCGCTGAGCTTGCCGATCTCGCGCAGGCGCAGGTCTTCGAGCTGGGTGCAGTGCTCCGCGAGCGCTGCTGTGCAGGCGGCGTCAAAGCGGGGGCTCTGCGTGATCCTGAAGGTCTTGAGGCCCGGCTTGGATTTGATGAACTCGAGCCAGGCAGGGATGCGCACGAGGAAGGGGCCGAGCAGGTCAAGATGGGTGAGCGAGGGGAGCCCACGAGTCCAGGCGACCATGGCTTGGTCGTCGAGGCGACCACAGAAAGAGAGGTGAAGCGTAGTCAGATTGGGATTGAGAGACGAGAGCGTGATGAATGCGTCTGGGGTCAGGTCTGTGGAGGCCTGTCAGTGCATGCCTATGGCGGACAGAGCGGGCAGTACGCACTGGTGGCATCATACAAGCTGACTTTGGTATTCTGCACGTCGTAGAACAGATGCGCGTTCTGCGGCGTTCTGTCCCACCCACAAGTCAGAACGAGCTATCGAGTATGGTCTCTAATGAACTCACAAACCACGGTTCTTCGCGAGCGCTTTCGCCAGCTCATCGACATTGACAGAGCCGATGTCTCCAAAGCCCTCCACGTCGTCGATATACTTGGAGATGAGCTAAACTGTGGCTTAAGCAGCTGGTTTTTCAGGTCGGCGCTATCGGCGCTGTGCATACCTGTATGCAGATGGAAGCAAGACTGGGGAACCGACGTTCCTCATAATGAACGACCTCTCTCTTATCCGCGCGGTTACGCTTCCTCGGTACTGCGGGCTTCTTGAAGGGGTCGATGCCCGACGCCTTGGCGCACTTGTGGCATAGCCACCCGGGGCCGGGATTCGCTGCCATCGTGTACTTTGTCTAGGTGATGCAGGAATACTGAGCATCGTCATCGGCATAAACACAGTTGAAGAAGCACGACGTACCACCGTGAACTTGTTCTGGCACTTGGCGCAGTTCTCGATATTGCCTACATCAGGCTTGCGTCCAGCGCCAGTGCGATATAGGCTCTTTGACAGGGCCTTGTATTCGTCCTCCGACGAGCCCTCGTAGTCTCCGTCGTCCTTGGCCTTCTTCTTCGCCTTCGCCTTCGCCGCTCTGGTGTTCGTGCGTCGCTTCTTGGCGGGGGACGCCTCGGCCTCTTCCTCTGGGTCGTCGAGCTGGTCGGAGGTGTAGCCGTTCGCCTGCATTCATGTGTATGAGTCGTAGAGCATCGAATAGGGTGTAAACTTTATACGTACCCTCGTCGTCCGCGCCCTACTCGTCGAGGCCTCAGCCTGCTCCACTTCAGCGCCAGCATTGTCGTCCTCGCCTCCTTCTTCTCCCTGCGCGGTGCTAGGTCCGACGGCAGCATTACTTGGTCCGGCTTCATCCTGCTCTTGTTCCTGAACATTCTGTGTGGCGACGCGCCGAGCGATGGTGCGTGCGTCAATGCCGGATTCCTGTCGTCAACGCGTCTCTGTCAGATATAAAGCTCATCCATGCCACTGCAGATACACGTACCCGCAGGAAATCGGTGAGAGCGGAGGTGGGACCTCTCACAGCGTTGTTTCGACGGCGAGACATGGCAGAGTTGATGGTAGAGTGGAGGAACGCAGAGCAGGGAGGACGAGCTGGTGAACAAGAGACAGGGGAGTCACACTAAAATTGAACGCGTTACGCGTTCTTAATGACAGTCACGTGCATTGTCACGCTCGCATGACACGACGCGTTGTCCACCCGCGCGTCGTGGGTGTTAGGTAACAGGTCGTTATTTCTTATTCCATTGCGCAATTTGCATGAGGCACACGGCTGCTTCACAGCTACGTATTATCGTGGCTGTCGTGGCTGGAGTCTAAGCCGCGAGCGAGATGGTGGCAGTTGTGGATCAAGAGACAACGCCACCGATCTCACTGCTCGCTCTGGCCAGAAAAGTCGCGCCGCTGGTCACGTGCGTTGACTTTCCGCGACCCTCTCATGTCCACCCGCGCGTCGTGGGTGTTAGGCAACAGGTCGTTATTTCTTATTCCATTGCGCAATTTGCATGAGGCACACGGCTGCTTCACAGCTACGTATTATCGTGGCTGTCGTGGGTACCGACTCGCTTCAGTGTTCCCAGCGTAGGCTTTATGATCGCGAAAACGCGTGAGATCATCGTGCCTGTCCTTGCCTTCTTCTCCCCTCGAGCTCTTTGCCTGCTTACCATCACTGTACCGCATCAACCAACTTGATAATGGGGATCATTCTGTCCTGGCTCCGTGAAGCTGTCCCTCCGGCGAGCAAGTTCTCCGTGGACGACATCCCAGACCTCTCGGGCAAGGTCGTCATCGTCACAGGAGGCAGCACCGGCATAGGCCGCGAAACAGTCAAAGTGCGTTTTGCCGTCGCATCATCTCACTCAAGCGATCCTCGCCTCGGGCTACTCCTTTGCTGAACGGCCTTGAACGCAGGCACTCCTCACACACAACGCCAAAGTCTACATCGCAGCGCGAAACGAGGCGCAGTCAAAGGCGACGATCACTGCGCTGGCTAGAGAAACGGGGAACGAGGCTATCTTTCTCAGCCTCGACCTCGCGAGCCTGCGTTCTGTCAAGGCTGCCGCGGAGGAGTTCATGAGGTGCGTATGAATAGCACGCCCACGTGTGCGGATGTGTCGAAACCTTGTTATTATAACTACGTTTTTTTGGTTTTGGCGGGAAGACAAGAGGTGCAGCTGGATATTCTGTTTAACAACGCGTTGAGTATTCGTGAATCTCCTGCAAATAGTGGGACTCACTCGGGTCCTCGTGACAGGGGTGTGATGGTCCCGCCTGTAGACCTTCTCACTGAAGACGGCTACGATCTTCAATTCGGCACGAATGTCCTCGGTCAGTACCGTTCTCTGACTTCCTATCCCCGCCGATTCTGTCACGCATGTCTCAACGAGCACAAGCACAGGCCACTTCTACTTTACGAAGCTTCTCCTACCGCTCCTCGCATCGACCGCACGCCGCACCGCGAGCGGGCACGTCCGCGTCGTGACAACGTCCTCCTCGGGGCACCTCTTCGGCTCGCTCGACTTCGACACATTCCGCGACGACAACGGCCGCAAGTCCAAGCGGAGAAAACAGTCCTCTAATGCGCTGTATTGTCAGAGCAAGTTTGTGCGTTGACATCCCCGACTCCCTCTTCACCTTTCTCGGTCCTGTTCTCTGAACGGGAGACCAGGGCTCACACTGACGGCATCATTGATTATAGGGAAACGTCGTTTTCGCACTCGAGCTCACCAGACGGCACGGCGCCGACGGCATCGTCAGCACCTCCCTCAACCCGGGTAACATCCAGTCGGATCTGCAACGCCATATCCCCAAGCTCGCGCGCAAGCTCGCAGTGCGTACTCCCAACCTTTATCTGTCTGCCTGGCCTTCCTACTGTCCTACATGCATGCTACACGCACGGGGCAACCCATACTGAGACACGTCTGTTTCGACAGAACATTTTCCTCCTATACAGCACGCCCAAAGGCGCACTCACCCAGCTGTACGCAGGCACCGCGCCCGAGGCGGCAGAGCTCAACGGAAAGGTGAGCGCGCATCTTTCTTCACGCTACAACTCGCTACTAAGCACTCGGTACTATCCCGTATACTAGTATCTGGTCCCATGGGCGAGGCTCGGTCAACCCAAGAAAAGCACTCAGGACCCAAAGCTGGGCGAGAAGCTGTGGGACTGGCTGGAGGAGCAGGTCAAGAACGTCGACGGCAAACCAGAAGAGTCGGGTTCGGAAGTGAATGTCACCACATAGGCGGCAAGGAGATCCGCCCTTAGCTTGCATAGACCTGTGTTATAGTGCGAGATGTGATCTTATGGGCGATTACTTGATTTTGTGCTTCGAGGAGTTATAGCAGAACGCAATCATGTCATTAAGAGGATGGCAAAGGTTTAAAAGCACAGTAGAGATCCTAAGGTGAATAGACCGACGACTTATAACGAAGACCAACAAAAGAGAAATCCCACGTAACCACTAGTCGTCTTCCTCGTCGTCGTCGGACCCGATGTCAATGAAACGTCTGATGTCTATCCTCGAGCGCTGCAAGAGTAAAAGTAAGTCGCGAGTCCTCGGGCCATGACACGCAATTCCTTGTCACCGTACAGGGGCAAGAAAAACACGTACACCAACAAGATATCGCTCGTTCGCGCCGCCCAAAGCTGAGTCCGAGTTACTGTGAAACGTCGACATCGCACCAGGTCCTCGAGCGCGAGTTCTGGAGAAAGTCGCATTATCAAGACCTGCCGACTGACTGGCAGGTCCCATTCGCGCATTCAAGCCAGCAGTCGGAGCAGGGGAGGAAGCGCTAGTTGGCGCGTTTGGCCTCGGCACGTGTGAGAAAGAAACCCCTGGATGATGGAAGCCGCCAGTAGACGCGCTCGGGGGAGGTGCCGGTGGAAGCGACGTATCAGATTCAGTCACAGAAGAAGGTGCACGAGCGAGCGGGGACGGCACCGGTATAGAGGCGCGTGGAGTCGCACGGTTAGGCAAGGTCGGTTGTATCGCGCGCTTTCGATCATCTCTCGGCGCGGCGGCCATGGTCGGAGAAGTAGGTGCGAGCGGGGACGTTAGCCGCCTACGAGTCGCCATACTGTGCATACTAGCTGAAGTCGGAGAGGACGCAGACGTAAAGGCTGGCACCGGTGTTGGAGTCTTTGTCGCCCCCGCTGCAGCCGTTCTAGCCGTCTTCCTGGGCGCCGTCACTCGTTTCGTAGCTTGAACCTGAGACTGAGCTCGGGCCGGAGGCGGACCTTGACATTGAATTGGAGCAATCGCACCAGTAGCAGGCACTGCCGTCTTCCTCGGGCGCGTCTTCCGCGGGCTAAGCGCAGTGTCGAGTCGGCAAATCGAACGATCCGCCTGCGAAATGCCGTGACTTTTTCTCCGTGCACGGGTTGGAGTCGCAAACGCAGGGAGCCCGGCAGAAGGTCCCATGCTCACGCTAGCATCCAGGGCAGCTTTAGCAGACACAGAAGACAGAGCAGAAGGATTGAGTGACGCTCGTCGACCAAGATGAGAGTTGGCTGGATTGCGCTCGAGAACCTCGAGGCGGGGCCGTTTTGCTGGGGGTCGCCTAGTACCTGAAGGCATACCCTCGTCAATGTTAGACATGTCATCGTTATCGCCATCGCCAAAGTCATCCTTCGAGAAAGCGCCCAAGTCCCCAGAGACAGAAATCGTGCCCAGCGGAGCCCGAGACCGAGAAGGAACCCTCGAGAACGAGCGAGCAACAAAAGTCCCTTCGCTATCCCCAAGGCCAGAGTTTCCCGAGACAGGCGAGCGCGAAAAAGAAGGTCCTAGGTTCACATCCTCCTCGTCAGGCGCATATATGCGCCCTCTTTTGAGCCCACTTGGCGTAGAGGTTACCACTGTCGCCCTGTCCGATGCTATATCAGCCCACCGCACGGAGCGCTTGCCCGGGGTCCGTGTACTACTTGGACAAGGAGAGGGAGATGACGCTTCATGTTCATTGGCGGGTCTAGGATCTCCTGCAGAAGCCATAGGTAGACGAAACGGGTCCTGAGCTTGCATAGCAGGCATCCGGTTTCTCTCCGAGACCAAGCCCAAGAACCGGTCCATCTTCTCTGCGATACCTACCATACGTGTGTCGACGTCGTCTGTCTTCCGCATCAGCGACTGGATATGAGAGGTGGTGACTCCGGCCCCGCTGGCGGCTATAGCCGCAGCAACACCGTCCTTGATATGTACCGGGATCGCTTGCACAGAGCCTAGGACCGGAAGGAGCGCACTAAGGATCTGGTTCTGCTGTTCTCGAAGGAGGCGTAGCTCGTGTTTTTGGTCTTGTGCGTAACCTTGGAAGACCTGCATATGATGAGTGGGCCGACGCAAAGCAAGTAGACGATCCAGAGAGTAGGCCTCAGAGCATACATGAAGGGCGAAGATCAGCGTATAAACAGAGGACGCACAGTGTACAGTCCGTCTATGCGCGTCTTCGTTGCGGCTAACTCTCTTCCAACCTCGCTTTGTATCGTCCGGGTCTCGTCTCCGCGCTTTCGCGATTCTTGGGTCAATGATGCGATCGTAGGACCAATGTCATCTTTGAGGGTGCTATCTGCAAGTAGGGTCAGTAAAATGATAACATTGCCACGATAAGCATGCACAAAAACCGAGACTTACGGATACCATCCAATCTCTTCCCCGACTTTCCGTCTTCAGTCTCATCCTCTACACGCCTCGTTTGCTGCCCTTCCTCAACCCGCTGCATTACCTTCTCGACGCGTACAGCAAGTTTTTCCATCTCTTTGTACGTGTCGTGTACGAAAAGCTTCAGCGCGGAGGCATCCCGATCGCGTGGCGCCAGAGACGGCGCGATCATATCGTAGATGCTGTTAGGAACCGTACCAGTATTGGCAGCAGCTGGGTTAGATGGCACGAGTGTAGAAGCAGGAGAAGGGGTCGAGGTAGTCTGCGTCGGCACCGGCTGGCTATGCTGCGGGGTTGCTTGTGTCGGATACTGTGATGTCGTGGGCTGCGACTGAAACTGGGACTGTGAAGAGTGGTTTTGGCCGGGAGGGCGAGTACGGTCGATCAGGTAGGACCATAATGCAGCTCCTGAGCTTGGTTGGGAGGAAAAGTCCATTATCTGCCTAATGGCAAATCTGCGCGTGAAGATGGTGGACGCTCTCCAGAGGGTAAAGAGGAAGGTATGGCCGACAAGTGTATGCCACACGTGATCACCATGTACGGTAGGAAGAAAAAGAAAAAGAAGAGTTAGCAGCAACTCGTTTCGATCGAGTGACCTCGGGGTTATGAGCCCCGCGCGCTTCCGCTGCGCCATGCTGCTATGTGAATATGGCCAATCTTTGCAACTATAACCTTAGCCAGCAAGTTATCATCGGTTTCCTTCATCTGTCTGGCTATCACCATGAGCAGCAGATTTGAAACAACACCTCGATGACAAGCGCAGCAGTCCTGTGGCCCCGATTCTCCGCGTATCTTTCGTCAGTACGTTGCTTTCTCCCCTTACCTTGTACAACTCCCTTGACGCCTTGCGCTACTCGAATGGGCCCTGATGCGAAGCACAACTGCATTGGCTGAACGACCATATGAATGTTCCACGTTGCCTACTTAATGGAGCTTAGTGCGTTGCATCATCTCTTTTCCGTGAACAGTTCTGTAATACAAGACATTTCTGAATCGGAAGAACGCCCCAAAAACTTTGGATGATCATCGTCTCGCACATGCCCAAGCGATAACAAGGACACGTTCCTGCAGGTGCATTCTTGACACCGATCCAGACTTGCTCCCAGCCCTTAGCCGAGAGCTATCCTTGAATCAAACTGGATAAACGTGCTGATGGGTAGAACCCCAGTGCTCCGACGACCAAGCTACAGCGCGCAGATCGTCAGAAACAGCCTGGGACAGTGTTCTTTTGTCTCTTCTATACTACAGGCGTTGCGTTCCTTGATTCGATTGTTTTCCTCGTTGTCGCGATACTAACACTTCAAGCGTGACTCTGATCTCGGAAATTGGGAAGCCGTACGAGTTCAAAATTATCCACATGGGAAGTATATTCTCAGACTATCTATGCGTCGTTCTGAACTTTCAGTTCTAGAGTCCTTCATGCATGCATGCATTGGCATACTTTAGTGCGGACACGGCTGGTCCCTGAAGATCTGACATCTCGCCTACTATTAATACGAGTCCATTAGCGTCCATTGGGGTTGGACAAGCCACTACGCCCTCGTAGCATGCATAAGGAGAGCGTCGTGAACACTGCCTTGGTGGGTATTTTAAGTAGACTATAGCATTTCGACCATAGGTTCTTGGTGGCGTGGAAACTTGTAGAACCATTTGTCCACGCCCGGAGGGCCGACTTGGTCGGGAGTGGACAAGGTTGGGACAAGGTTCGTTGGCTAATCGGACCCTGTCCACCTAGGAGGTTCGGGTTCGCAGGGGAGTTGTACAAGGGACCAAACCTGTGGTCAATATGATACAGTACTTAAGAAAAGTCGCCAGGCCGGGATTTTATAAAATCTCAGACCTTGCCCTAGATCTGTCGTCCCCCGTGTCGGCTCGCTAGCTAATTCACCCAGCCCCAGCATCTTCGATGAACGCAACATTATCACTAGTACTAGGGCTAAATGCGGACTTGGAAGTAGTTTCCGACAGCGTAGAAGCTAACAACATCACCCTTGAGGCAATATCAACCTACCGACACATCGCAGGTACGTCGATACCATCACTCTATCATCTTCGCCCTGCTGGATACTACCCGGCACTCATCCATAATCTAGTCGGTTTTGCTGCGTTTTATATATGGGACTTCCGTAAGGTCCTTCTCTGTCTATAATATTGAAATGGTAACACCCATCCTTCCAGTACTCACTGTATCGGACGAGGTAATTATAAGCTATCCCATTGGACCACAAAGTTTCTACGCTGAACCCATTCGACTCCGATCATTTGTAGGTACAAATTGTGTGGGTAAGTGCCTGTGCTTTCCGCTTGTCACCTTATTACCGATGGTCACTTGACTTTTACAGACGCCCGGTTTCAAGCTTCTCAAAATCCTATATTTCTTTGTACGTCCAATCTCAAATCATGCCGTGTCTCTCAAAAAGCTGAATGCATCTGTTACGACTTAGAACCGCTACTTTTCCCTGCTATCTGGAATTATGCAGGCATATTGTATGTTTAATAATCTCTGTGAGCGGTTGCATCACGCTGAGGTTTTTTATCGTGAGCAGTTGTCGTTGCTGATCACTATACATATGAAATGTTGGTGATTTTATTGTCTATTCAATTTGCGTGCTGATCATGAAGTCAGATGTATGTACATTACAAGCTAAACAATAAGCTAAACGGTACGAACCAGGGCATATAAGGCCAGGCATGGTACAAAGCAAGTTCTGGAGCCAGTGAGTCAAGTTTCCATAGGAAATTTTACTGGTAGATTTTTGAGCTGGGAGTGCTAGTATTTCTTGTGTGCTGGAACGGAGGAGGCAAGCATCACCCTGATTTTCCCCTCCATTTACCGAAAGCTAATTGCCTAGTAACAGGAATTATGCTATGCCATATCCATGCCATATACAAAAACCGTCAGAGCTTCATCCGAAAGCGCCTTCTAATATAAGCACCATGACTCATAAGTTTTGTCTGAAATAGAAAAGGCAGTTACACGCTCTGTGACAGCCCTGTATGTGATAACCGTTCTGTACAGCCTTGGTATGGGTGCTATAGCTTCTGGAATTCTCACTCAAGGTGTGTCACACATGGGCAGCTTTGCTTCTTGTCATCGTTCTTTGCTCACGTCTATCGAATACCTCAGCATCGGAACCGCAACTTGGAGTATGTCTCATGTATCCTGTCAAAACTTCGGTCACAGACTAGTGAGTCTTATAACAAAGTGGAATGGTTTAAATTATTCAAATACATCGGTAATAGCACCAGCATACCCATGCTGGTGACAGATATTATTTTTATGACGTTCATCGGCTATAAAACCATAACCTACTACAGAAAATCTCTCAATAAACGCTGGATTGGAGCAACCCTCATGAAAAGGCTCGGTCAAGGGAGTGTTGTGTGCTATATCAGGTACGTATTTTCTAATACAACTTACTAGGCCATCAATGCACGGCTAATATTCGAATAGTGTTTGCCTGGCAGAACTTCTCGCCATGTTGCTGCAACTCTTAGCCCCGTACCTCATATTCATGGCGGGAAGCATCTTCTTTTCCGCATATGCAATGGCCATCAATCGTCTTGTCCTGGGGATGAATAAGACCAGCAAGCGGAACTTGAATGGAGGCGAAGGTTCGAGAACAGGTTTAAGTGAAACTTCCGTTTGACCTGCCTTCGAGCCATTTGGCGATGAGTGAAGGGTCGCGTATTGTCGAGATAATGCGAGGAAATGGCACTTTATATTTTGCTACTGATGAAGAATCACGTCACTTACTCGTACATACACGACGACCCGAGTAATACCGCTTCCATAAAGTAAGTATCTACTTGTACACTGATTCTTCAGACTCAGAGTTCCAAAAGTTGCCGTATTGTCAAGTCAAGCATCTTGCTTTCCGAGTCACTCCGTGACCTTTTCAAGCCGCTGCGTACTTGGTATAAATTCAATGACGCCTAATCTAGTTCTCACCTTTATATACTACCACTGTCCCTGTCGATTTACGGACTCATGAGGCCCTCGCTTTTAGGGAACGCTTCGCTCTTTCAACACAACTTGGCGAGACGTTTCCATTTGGTCATGTGGTGTTTTTATCATCGCAGGGACCACTTGTTCCGCGATAATACGTGATGTTCTAGAATCGCGCGTCTTCTCGTGTGACGGTTGTAACAAACATCAAAATGAAGGCCTTGTGCAAAGAGTGTATATTGCGCGATCATCCTGAACGCAAAGTGAGGTATCATAACATATAATAGTCGTATAGCAGTACATCGCCCCAAAAATTCTGAAACAACACTCCCTTGAATACATTTTAACCGATTGTCTTGGCTCCCTCAGTCCCACATTCCGCACCCCCATCATCTTTGGCAAATTGAATACCCGTCATCGCTATCATACGATGGCGCCCTTGAGCACCGCTGCATGCCCGGGTCGACTCGCTGTGGTCGACTGTGGTCGCCGTGTCCGCCTCCCAGGCAACATCTTTCGAGATGCGGAGCATAACAAGTAGCGGCGCGATAATCTGCACCTGCGCGAGCACGGCTATCATCAAGAACTGAACCGCGTTGTGTGCAAGGTAAAATCCGATGAAGATAACCGAGGTGATGGTGAACAGTGCGCATGACTCGACGAGGATGCTCGCGATGTTGGTGTAGTGTTTCGAGTGAATAGCGGAGTCCCCTGAGAGTGCCGAACATCATCAGTAACAAGTTGGTCATCTCGCTGCGCATCTCGGAAAGCGAACGAGAACGAAAGTTGGACATACCGATATGTTTCACAAACATCGCCTAAAGAAGTAGTGTACATTCGTCCGGCAATGAACGAGGTCGTGTAGACGTTGAGAACCACGGACGTCAAAAATTCGGGAATGACCGTCCTTTCGGCCTTCGCGCAAAAGAAAGAACATCCGCGAAGAGACCCTATGATAAGGGATGTAAAGCCTAGGGCTGGAAGGAATCAGGGGAGTCAGCATAGCCTGCCCGGGATGTCGAGAGCATTTGAGCAGAGATACTTACCAACGGAGGCCAGGTAAATTAAAGCAGGAAACGGGATCAGTGGCAAACACACCCTCCCAAGTTAGTGCAGACGTACCATGAGCCCGTCTGCAAGAACCGCCGAGAGCACATAGGCCGTATCAACAACAACAAGCTCCGGCAGCGTCTGGTCAGACCACATCGACGGGCTCTGCAGTGACGTCCTCCGAGCGACATACGCGTCTGTCATCCAGCGCGCCTTGCCTGCAACGTAGAGCGAGCCGCACAACCACGATGTGGCGACATATGACACGAGGATCGCGGTGCGGTGGGGAGAGCGTCTTGCACGCGCGCCCGGGAGGCAGAAGGTGTAGATGCACAGGCCCGCGAGGGAGGTCATGAATCCGTAGAAGATGCCGCAGATCGTCGTGCTTCCGATGAGGTCAATCCCGTCTGCAAAGAGCTGTGCGGAGGTTTCTGGGGGGAGACCATTGGTCGCGTTGACTGACATGGCGCACAAGGGAACGAAGGGCGGAGCGGATATGGGCGCCGCCGCTGAATGCGAGATTCAGTGTTCTGGATGGTATGCAAAGAAGGGCGGAAATCAGAAACGACAGGAATGGAGAAGTTAGGGCCAGGGACAGAACTTGCGGAGGATATATGTATGGCACGTCGAGGATATGACTTTGCCATCAGGGGCCGTCAAGACTTCAAAAGTCGCCCACTGGCGCTTGCGCGAGCAATGCGCAGCAAGCGCTGGCATGTCATACGTCAGATTTGAACCCCATGAGGCAGGACCTGTCAGTGTCTACTGATGGTCTTGTCTGGTCTTGTGGCAAACAAGTTGGAGACGTATCTCTATCCTTCAAGTCTGTCGGTACAGATACCTGCGTGAAGATGTCAGTGCGAAGAACACGCACAATATCAACTTCTACAGCACATAAGTAGTAAAATGTTGATATGTCGAGAAGCAAACGAGGGCGAAAAGACTTTAAAGTTGACAGCGAAGCATGTCGATTATACGGACTTTCCCGTCTTCTCCTTAGCACGCGTGTGTGAATCTACGACTTCGCCCCGTTTCCTGTTGGGTTTCTGTATGTTTTCATTGCTATTTTCCACCCAGCTTTTTCGCCAGCAGCCTGGAAGGATCCCATGCATAGGCGAGTTATCATAGCAAAAACTCTAAGATTGCATCTTGATTGTCCTTCGACTCAAGAAATTGTAGTGAGTTTCGGGTCTGAGAACGCCGCACAGCAACTCACTATTTGAAGCTTCCAACTAGCTCGGACCCATAGTTCCATGGAAGCCACACAGTGATTACGGTGGTTACAAGTACACTATCTGTAGCATCCTCTTGTCGACCACCACTCTGCTTGGCATATCAGCAAAAGAAAAATGTACCGTCGCGGTGGAAACCCTTCTCCACGACCTCCCCGTCTCAGTGTGCTGCGACTCGGACCCGTTGAAGGGCGAGCTCTTGAGGATCCATCCAATGAGAGGCCGGTGAACCACCACCGACAGGTTCCCTTTCTCGTTAAGCAGGCTATAGTTCGTGATGCCAAGGGCGAAGGAATGGCCTAAGCCTTTCAGAGGGTGAAACCGATCGTACTCCAAATTCGTGACGCTAAAGCTGGCTCCTTTCAAAGGGGGACTAATGAACGAAAAGGATAGTTCTCGATCGGGAAACCCCAAGTTCAGAGATAATACAGGGAGAGAAAGACGCAAGCCCTTGCCGGTGAGCGTCATATCCATCCGGTACGAATTTAGCTTGTTTCGTTTGGGGTGGCGCTGATAGCTCACTGGCGAGGCAGGCATGCATGCTGTGGCGTGGTTCTTGGCTGGTTTTCCTCCCCAGTTGAGGACGGAAGGGTCGCCTCCGGCCGCCATAATGGCCTCGACCAGACGGCAGAAAGCCCGGTCGAGACCTTCTCCGTATGCTATCGGGATGGACACGTCGAATATGCCCATCAGACAGTATGCTGTATCCTCCTCCCTGGTGACCTCTCGGTTCGCCGCCCAGGTCATGCGCTCGTCTACGTCCCGAGGCGATGGTCGGAACCTTCTCAGGTCGCTGACAGGTATTCCTGTCACCTGGGAGACGACTTCAAGCGCCTTTCTGAACGAGACTAGCCCTGTGTCGCTCTCTGGACTGGGGGCAATACAGTGCCAGTTCCTGTTGAAAAACTGGACTCTTCCGGAAGCCAGAATCTCCTGGAGAGTCCAGCCTCTGCGGAACCACTCGTCTCCGGCCATGTCCTCCAGCGACGTAGTCTGATCGAGGTGGATAATGCAGAGCGTCGAGTTCTGATACCATTTGAACATGGACCGGATGGACTCGTCCAGCTCGGCGCTGCTGGTCTTGTCAATACAGCACGTGTCGATCCACGCAAAGCATACGCCCTGGCGAGCGGCCTCAGTGCAAAAGCGGACGATTTTAGTCCACCCAATGGACTGCTCGAAACCCCCGGGCCGTTCCCGACCGAAGTCCTGATAAGAGAGTTCGTCGTCCGACCACCGGTGCGAGAGAATGGCATACTTGACTATCTTCTTCACCGCCTTCACGATATCTCCCTCGGCCTGCTCTTCGTCAAGTTCGCTCTCCATCGTGGAAATCAAGTAACTGAAGTCGAGCTTGTCGATCTGAGGCTGGAAGTACTCTCTCACTTCGCGGCGCCCGACGAGCCTCAGATTGCCGGTGTCGTCACACTGAATGAGACGTATGGGTATATTGTTGTTGATGTATCTCTTGAAATCGCGGTTGATCTCGCTTCGACGTATGTCCCAGTCTTCTTCCAAGTCCCGACAGGGGCCAACTTCGCGCTCAAGCTCCGGCCCATCGCCCGTTCTTTCCGAGTGCCCTGTACTACTACTAGTGGTATGTTCGCTTTGAAGTTCCGAATTTCTCGGCGCAACCCAGACATCTCTGTTCGGAACAAGTTCATTGGGCCTTTCCCTCTTCTTCAGATACCGTGATGGTCCCTGCAATAGCCTCTGTATAAGCATGCGCTAGCTGAGGAGACTGAGTAGCTGAAGACCGGGTTAAGAGATGCTACATGGTAGCGATGAGAGAATGCTAACACACAGGGTGATTTCCTGGTTTATCTTTCCTCCCTCCTCGTAAGCGTGGTGCTAAGAGAGGCGTTTGAAGGTAGCGATGAGCGTAAAACAAGTACAAGAGCTTCAGAGCATTGATTCTGGTTTGACGCTCATGCACATGTTTGATGCTATGCATTCCCACAGCGAGTTCTTGTGTGATTTGGACCTCGGCATTGAATATTGAGTCGGCGCTGGCTAGCTATGCTCGCGCCTTTCCACTTTGCTAGAGATGCCACTTGGACTTTTACGCCCTTACTTACTAGTAGTAGTACCTTGGTCGTTTATATAATATTCCACTGAGCCATGTTAGACCTTCGCTGAATCTGTTCCAGTACTTATCTGGTGTCGAATACTTATGATAAAGTCGTCTTTCCATTATTTGCACCAGCCTTGACATCGATCATCAAGGCCAAGTCCGTGTTGCCCCAAACCAAGATTCTTGAGAAGGTTGACATGTCGCCGCCAGGCACGGCAAGTCGAGACATGATGTATATGCGCTCAGATGTGCCACAAGCAAGCAATGTTGGCATGGAACTGACAGCTGGCCAGCGTAACTGAAACGTTTACGCGTTGTCGCTGAATCCTGAGGCAGACCCAGGCTTGGTTTGATTCGATGACTGAGAAGGGTGGATACCCATTGCTTTAACTAAGACAAGTCTCCGTTGAAAGCGATAGGACATCGAAGACCGCAAGTCTCGCTCCGTAGAGTTGCCTCAGTCGGGGCCAAGTCACCTTGACCGGGAGAAGATTACGAGGGCAATTGCACCTTGCTTAGTCTGAGCCAGAGGCCGAGTCCGATGACACAGCACTGTCGTTTTGGAGGCAACGGGGAGATGAACGGTAATACACAAGAGGTTTAACAGGTAAACTCACAGTTACATGGATAGCGATGTTGTGGTGAGTCGGAACTGTCTCCTGTCACTTTCTTCTACCGCCCTTCACTATCATCTCCCGCATCCCCCACACTCCCCTGCTCGCTCCCCTCATGGCCATCCGAAGCCAGCTCAGCAGAGACGGTCATAAACCTGCAACAACAGGTCAAATTCTGACTCCACGACACCGATACAACAGAAGGACGACGAACTGGGCAGCATGCGTGCCCGCGAGAACACGCATGGAGTCGAGATCTGTCTGGAGCTGCTCGAAGAGATCGGCGGTGTGGCCCATGATGCGCGACATGTTCTTGAGGTTGGACGCGAGCTGGCCGTACAGCCTGTCTTTGGCGAGCGTCGCGTTCGTTTGGTGGCTCATCGCTTGGGTGTGGGCAGCGGGAGGCGGAGGCTGGGCGCGGTGGTACAGGAGAGAGATGAGAGCGCGCGTTAAGACACGTGATGATGGCCTTCTTCTCCCACTCCGAGGTCGCAACAAGACTGAGTTACCGCCGACCGTGGATATCCCAACATCCAATATGCCCGCCCGTCTCTAGCTTTTGTCTGCCCACCACCCGTCCTTGGCCACCTAAGCCTAAGCAGGACCCGCGATGCTGCCCACCCACCGCAGCGACGACAGACTGCCCCACCGCGCCCGCGGAACGCCGCTGCCCCACGCCCTCAAGCACCTCCTCGCCCGCCCGTCCCTCCGCTGGCCCCTCCTCGGCATCGCCCTCATCTCCTGCTTCTGGCTCCTTTCCTCCCTCCCCCGCTTTCCCAGGTTCGGCTTCGGCCCCGGCCCCGGCGGCGGTCCACTCTCAGGGTTCCGGCACCACGGCGGCCCGGGCCACCCCCGCCCACCAATCGACATCCGCCCGCTGGACGGGCCCGCATACCTCGAGCCGCGCCCGAAGCCGCCTCCTGCGCGCCTCGCGGGCGCGCCGACGCTCTGGAGCGCAAGGGCGGATAAGGTCAGGGACGCGTTCGTGCATGCGTACGGGGAGTATGAGAAGTATGCGCTTCCGGCGGACGAGCTGTTGCCGCTGTCCAAGGGGAGCGTGAACAAGTGCGTGGTGTCTTCGTGGCTGGGTTGTTTACAAGAGGAGGGAATGCTGATACGGGGGATAAAGTTTCAACGGCTGGGCGGTCTCGATGGTCGACGCGCTCGACACGATGTGGCTCATGGGTCTGCACGACACCTTTGCCGACTCGATCGCTGTCGTCGCCAACATCTCATACGCGTCCCATGTGAGCACTCTTCCTCGCCCTTTGCTCTCGCCCCCTCTGGTCGCAACTCAATGCTGATCGCGCGCGCAGAACGACTTCATCCCCTTCTTCGAAACCGTCATCCGCTACCTCGGCGGCCTCCTCTCCGCCTACGCACTGTCGGGCGAACCCATCCTCCTCTCGCGCGCCGACGAGCTCGGCCGCGCGCTTCTCCCCGCGCTCAACACGACCTCGGGCCTCCCCTTGTTCGCCGTCAACCCCGCCACGTGAGTCCTGCGCGCGCGAGCTTGGTGTTGGTGCTTATGGGTCCTCTCACCCCTTTTCTTGCATTCAATTGGTGTGATTGGGTGGAACGTTTATGTAGAGGCGAGACCAAGAAAGGGTGGAATATCAATGTGCTCTGGGCGGAGGCGACAAGCTGTCAGATGGAGTACAAGTATCTCGCGCATCTGACGGGCCGGAGGGAGTACTATGACAAGGTGCGCATCTTCCCTTCTTGTGTAGAATGAAGATGATGATAATGCGTTTGCAGGTAGAGAACGTGATGAAGCTCATGGCTGACGCACCCACCGTCGACGGCCTCTTCGCTGCGCACTGGGACGTCGCGACGGGCAAGCCCGCGAGCAGTAAGCGTCCATGTTTACCGCGTGTATTCGTGGCAAACTGATGAGAGACGATGTGCAGAACAATATACTGTCGGCGCATACGCCGACAGCGGCTACGAGTACCTCCTCAAACAATACCTCCTCTCTGCGCGGTCAGAGCCCGCCATGCGCGACCTCTGTGAGATCACCCCCTCTTCTATTTACCGTCTGGTGCGCTGACACGCCCACAGACATCGACGCCGCAAACGGCATCCTCACGCACCTCTTCTACTCCACACCCAACCGCGGGCTCGTCTACGTCACCGACACCGTCTCTTCCCTATCCTCACCCTCAGGCGGCGGCGGCGCAGGCGCCCCGACGCACCGCCTCGAACACCTCTCGTGCTTCCTGCCCGGGCTCCTCGCGCTCGGCGTGCAGACCCTCGGCAGCGCCGGCGGGGGCGAGGGCGCGCTGAGCGCGTATGAAGAGGAGATGCACATGTGGGCCGCGAAAGGGCTCGCGTACACGTGTGCGGCGAGCTACGGGGACACCGCGACGGGGTTGGGGCCGGACGAGCTACGCATGGAGCAGCGCGTGCTGCTCTCGCCCGGGGAGTCGGGCGGCCAGCAGCCGGAGTACGAGACGCGCGCGCGGCCGGAGCACTGGGCGCGCAAGTACGATCGGTGGGTCGAGCAGGGGAGGCCGGGCGGTGTCCCGCCTGGTACGTATGCCGGCGGGTTTCTGGAAGGCGGCGAGGGGCGGGCGAGCGGGGCGAGGGACTGGACGGTGCTGAAGAGTGCGTATTTGCTGAGGCCGGAGACGGTGGAGAGTCTGTATGTGATGTGGCGCGTGACGGGGGACGCGGTGTGGCGCGAGCGCGGGTGGGCGATTTTCGAGGCGATAGAACGGGGCGCGGTGCCCACCGGGCCAGGTGGGGTTGGGTATGCGAGTGTGAGGGATGTGGATGTGGGGGGTGGGGGGTGGAAGAATGAGATGCCGAGTTTTTTTCTGGCGGAGACGTGCGTTTTTTTTTTTTGGGTTTTCGTGCTTGTGCTTGTGCTGCGGCGCTGACTATGTGTTTTCCACAGCCTCAAGTACCTCTTCTTGCTGTTCACAGATGAGGAGCTCGTGCCGCTCGAGCGGTGGGTGTTTAACACGGAGGCGCACCCGTTGCCGGTGTTCGAGTGGAGCGAGTGGGAGCGGGAGGCGTACGGGATCGGGCGGAGGGCGTGAGGCAGAGAGTTATACGTTACATTACCCGTCGATGTTAGAGGTGGTATGGAGTGCGGAATGGTATCGGTCATTCTCCATCCATACTGTAACCTCTAATGCCGTCATTTAAAAGTATCGCTCGCCTGTCTCGGATCGGTGGAGGGCTTCGCGCTGGACGCGACTGGCAAACAACTAAGTAGACTTGAGCCAAGCGTTCTCATACCACATATTAGATTTTGCTGCCGTTCTCTCGCGCTGGCTCACGGGACGCGTGTCAGCTTCCGAGCTTCGATGGGCACGGAGCACGGGATGCCCAAACGTTATTTTGGCGAGAGAGGCGAGGTGGAGCATTGTGCGGGTGGGCGGGTTGCGACGGTGACTGCCGCGTCGGCTTGGCGGATAGATATTTGTTGCTGGCTTGGAACAAGGCATCTCATTCCTTGGCTTCTTGCAATTCCAGGAATCTGAGTCTACAGAGTTTTTGCACGCCAAAGTGTGGCCTAGTCGTCTCATGGTGAAGGCACGAAGCATCAATGTTGACAACGAGGTCGTGCCGCAGCTTGGGGAGTTGTTCATAATGAGACGTCAAAGTGGAGGACGCGTCTCATATTTCTTGGCGGTTCGTCGGTTCCTTTTGGTGTGGCATTTACGTTGACATCTGACAAGTCGAGATCAGTGAATCATCGTTGCAGCCGACCAAAATGCGGGGCACAATATATACTCCCTCTCCCTTCCCTGCTCTCCTTCTCATACCCTCACGAGTTCTGTCCTTTGTCGACCGTCTCGTTTTCTCCATCTCTCTTCGTAGTCTCACCAAGACTCTGTCGCTCACTTGAAACTTACGGGTCACACCCACCTCATACATTCCTTCGAACAACTTACCTGAACAAGAACAATCCAAGAAACCATGCATTTCACCCAGTCCTTTGTCCTCGCCGCCATGCCCTTCCTCGTCGCGGCTGCCCCGTCGCTGCACTCGCCCTCCATCCCGATCGCAAAGGCGAGCGGTCTCATCGACACCGTCACAGGCGCCATCGACAAGCTGCTCCTCCAGAACCACGTCGAGAACACCCTCGCGTGCGTCTCTCTTCGTGACTAACACGTCGAATCTAGACTAACACCGTTTCACTAAATATAGCAAAGTCGCGCTCGGCATGGAGGCCTACCAGAAGAACACCGGCGCGCCCCACCCGCTGTGCGACGACGCCACCATGGCCGCGTCCGCCCAGAACGCTGCCAAGGCCAAAGCCCGGCGCGACGGCGGCCAGAACGGATCCATCCCCTTGACCGACATGAAGAACCAGCTGTGGTACGGGAACGTGTCCGTCGGGACGCCCGCCCAGACCTACTCCGGTGCGCCCTCACACGCTTCTACCGCGCGCGCGCGCATCCACTAACACCGCCTGCAGTCCTCTTCGACACGGGCAGCAGCGACATGTTCCTCGCGGGGCCCAACTGCGGCACCACCTGCGCCGGACACGCCATCTACGACCCCGCGCAGTCCTCGTCCTCCGCGTCCACGGGGAAGAACTTCACGCTCGCGTACGGCGGCGGCGCGACCGTCAAAGGCGGGCAGTACACGGACACCGTCGCGCTCGCGGGGCTCCGCGCGACGAACCAGACGTTGGGCGCCGCGACGATGTACTCGCCGCAGCTCGGGAAAGGCACGTTCCCCGCGGACGGGCTGCTCGGGATGGGCTTTGAGGAGATCTCGAATTTCCCTGCGAGCCCGGTGTTTTCGACGCTCGTGAACGAGTCTGCGTCCGCGGCGCCGGTGTTTGGGTTTAAGCTTGCGCAGAGCGGGGACGGGCCGGAGTTGTATGTCGGCGGGACGAATGCGCAGCTGTATACGGGCGAGTTTACGTATGTGCCGCTGGAGGACAAGGGGTGGTGGCAGATCAAGGCGGACTCCATCGATGCGTCGACCGGGAGTGGCGGGAACGCGACGCTGCAGGAGGTGCATGCGATCGTGGACACGGGCACGACGCTTATTATCGGCGATCCGGCGCAGGTCGACACGTTCTACGCGTCGCTGGGCGCGAAGAACGCGACGGAGCTCGGGCAGGGCTTTTATTCCTGTGCGTCCCCTTTCCTTTCTCCATTATACCACTGCTAACCATCGACATCCGGCCCCACAGTCCCGTGCGACGCCTTCCCCGACGTGAGCATCACCCTCGGCGGCAAGGCATTCGCGATCTCGAAGGAGTCGTTCAACTTCGGTCCTGTGGCCGCGGGCGCGAGCGAGTGCGCGGGCGGCATCATTGGCCAGGCGGGCGCGCCGTTTTGGATCCTCGGCGATGTGTTTTTGCAGAATGTGTATACGGCGTTTGATTATGGGAATGCGCAGGTTGGGTTTGCGCAGCTCGCTTGAGCGGCGGCGGCTTGATGGGAGATGTGTGGACTGTATCATCGCTTGTCGCTTTTCGCTTTTTCGTTCCTTCGTTGTGTTGAATGTGTAGCTCGTTGGAGATGACGCGTACCGTTCACATTCGTATTGTTGATGTTTTGTATACCGGGATTTTCATCGTTATACCCCCTCGCTTTGCGTTTATCGATATCCTTTTATCCACAAGTGTGTTCTGCGTGATTTTGAGTGTCTTTCTTTGGGTATCGTATTCAACCAAGGACTACATTTGTGAGCACTCTAAGTCGATTCGCAATGCACCGCCCGGAAGGAGCATGGGGAGATTCGAGTCGAAATCCACTAGCACCCCACCCCGCCTTCTCATTGAACACCGGCCCCCTTCCCATCCAAAACACAGAATCACCGCCCCTTGCTCTCCCGCTCCGCCCTTACCCCAGCCCGCACATATCGCGCACAGCGGAACGCCATGTCGACCGCGATGCCCAGCGGGAGCAGCAGGAAAGGGATGTAGCTGAAGAGCAGCATCGCGCGCTGCGCAGACGTGATTGCGGGGGGCGAGCCGGCGAGGTCGGAGAGCGCGTACGCCGTGCCGGCGGGGAGATCGAGGAGCGGGGTGCGGAGGATGGTCGTTACGCAGGGGAGGGTGGTTGTTGCTGTTGAGGCGCCGTAGGCGAGGAGGAGGGGGTAGATTGTTGGGTTGTCTGTGGGGGTGGGTGGGTGAGTGGGAGGGGAGGGGAGGGGAAGGCGAGGAGGCGTACCGTTGTAGAGAGCTCTGATGCCCAGGATGAACGTGGGCAGCTGGAATATCCTGCAGTACCACATGAGCATTAGTACACCCGTATCTAAATCTACCGCATTCAAGGAATACGCACGCCTCGAGCACCATGAAGGGCTTCAGCCACACCTCGAGCCCGGCGCGCACCGTGTCCCCGAAGTAGCCAAACAGGCCACCGATGAGGGGGTCGCCGTACTGCTCGACGTAGAGCCGTGGGAGCGCGGCGATGGGCGTGGGCACGAGGGAGGTGGGGTAGAGGGACTGGCAGTCGAGTAGGAGAGTTGCGGGGATGTGGATCTGTGTGTCGAGGTATCAGACTTGAATTTGAATGGTAGTGAGGGAGGGGTGAAGGCATACTGCGAAGAAGAGAACATAGATGAGGTCGCGCGGGCGAGAGGTTAGCGGGGTTCTTTGGGGCATAATTGAGATACGGCTCTTAAGTCGTAAACGGTAGCAGAAGAACGTGGTCAGAGAGAGAAAACGCGTCGACAGGCGCGCGCCGTCTGACTAAGCCGACGCGTCCCCTCCCGTGTTTCGGCCCGACCTCTCGGATCTCTCCTCTGTCTTGCTAAGCACCCATCGCGGGCACATACTTATACTCTCCCCACTCACTGCGCTTTATACCACTATACTACTGCGACGATGGCACCCGACGCCTCCACGAGCACACCCGAGAAGCCCCCGCCGGGCTGGGTCATCGGCCCAGACGGCAAGCCGTGCAAGATATGCACCGCGTTCCGTCACATGAAGGTCCCAGCCAAACCCAAGAAGCCCTCCTCCTCTTCCTCATCATCGGACAACAAGTCCACCGCACCCATGCTCGCTGCCTTCGGCGCCTCTGCTGGCCTCGCCTCCTCCTCCTCCCCGAATACCATCACCACGCAGGATCCACCAGCACGCCCGGACGAACCACCGCCGGGTTGCCCACCCGACGTCGAACAGCTCGGCCGCGCGACGTGGTCCTTCCTGCACACCACCGCGGCGTACTACCCCGACTCGCCGTCGCCGTCGCAGCGCTCGCACATGCTCTCGCTGCTCCGCGCGCTGCCGGCGCTGTACCCGTGCACGCACTGCGCGTCGCATCTCGGCGAGCGGATGGGTGCTGCGCCGCCGGATGTGAGCGGGAGGAGGGCGCTGAGCTTGTGGTTGTGCGAGAGGCATAATGAGGTGAATGAGAGGCTGGGGAAGGAAAGTTTTGATTGTGCGAAGACGGATGAGAGGTGGAAGGATGGGCCGCCGGATGGGAGCTGTGATTAGGTCTGTGTATATGGAAGGCTCGTGGTTGTATGTCACATTTGCGAAAGCGCTGCAGAACTTACTCATGGATGTGTGCACAGTTTCATGCGTTGCACTCATTGCCGCAATTACTCACAAACAGAGTGCAGTGCACGCGCACTGCACACAAGCGAATGTCTCCGTTCCCATCGAGAACATCGCGCGCAAATATTCGCACTTCATGTGCCAGCATTGCGGCAATTTTTACAAACCCATCTCATAGTGATATTAGTAGCCTCATCTGCTCTCTGCCATTGGTTTGTCAACTAGAGTAAGCGATGGTAGGAAATCATAGGTTGGACCCACAACGAGGGACTCGGTACTACTTAGTACTGTTCCACTGACCATACAACTATGTACTTTGTAACAACGTTGCCCCGAGGGTAACGCTTTTGCATAGCTATGGTAGCTTTGGGTAAGTAACAATAGTGTAACAACCTGTAACTTGAACTCAATGGCGTACCGTACTGGTAGGTACTGGTGTTTCTGAATTGGCGATTGTCAACAACAGTAGCAAACACAAGTGTATATGCTTGTTGTTGTTGGCAATGGCTGGATCTTCCTGGCCATCGTTTACCACTGAATCGTCTTGCCTTCGTTCCCATTCTATGACTCTGCAACACATACTGATTTATCGCGATGAGAGCCTTGTTCAAATATGTTTCCATCCTTGGATGGATTGCTTCTACACCAGAGGGCTGGATTACCCCGCGCACCGATGCCCTTGTGTTATCCGTCGCCAAGAGGTTATGCGCGAGAGTCAGATAGAGCTTTGCGGGAGATACCAGCAACGCTTGTAGTCCTCGCTCGTAAGCATGCTATGCTGAATGCCTTGTCTGTCACTAGCGGTCTTATTAGCCCGTGTAGGATATATATCCACATCCAGCTCGTCATATTCCCCAGTGAAGACGGCGTCGTCATCTTGTCGAGGAGGATTGAACACTCATACCCTTGTATTCTCTCTTGATTCTCTCTCTCGACTTTCCTGCCTCCCCACTTTCGCTCCCCTTTCGCGATGCAATGTCAAGCAAGCAAGTCTCAAGTAGCGAAAGTGCGTCATGATACGATAACCAGACAAATGAGCTCTTCTTCTTACCTCGTACAAGCAGACGGACACTTTCTCCAAGGTGAGAATAGATTGTCTCTCAGTACAACATGCCTCAACATGCTTTAACTTTCCATGGAGACGATGCAGGATGTGGTTAACGCCTGCGCAATCCCGTGGCATCCGGCTCTGAGGTGATGAATCCTGGAAGTTTCGAGATCATTCGACGCTCCTGAACACTCGCTCCACGTGCCACCGTGGGCGCATCGTCCATAGTGGCCCAGTACCGCTAGGTGCCGAAAGATGGGATTCTGCCCCGCCAAGCCGTCACCCTAATCTGACGACGTATGGCTCAAGATCAGCAATATATCGAATATATTCAAAGCCATGCTGCACTTACATCTAATCAACGGCGGAAGATGTTGTCTCTTCTCAACGAGACACGGGTGTATTCGGTGAGTTTCCGTGTGGATGATATCCCAATAGTCTTCGCTAACGCGAGTATAGTGTCTAACGATCAACGTGGGTATTCATGCCTTGGTATGCCTCCAGAATGAACGGTATGTGTTATGTCGTTGACTTCCCCCGCAGTTGATGTCAATAGCAAATGATAGGATCTTCACCAACATCCTCGAGATTGTACGGCAGTATGGCGGCGACGTGCTCACGGCTGTCAAGAATCACGAGGTTATTCGCGACTATCTTCACAGTCATTGTCCAACGCACCCCTCTTCTTCTCTTTGCGAGCTTGAGCATAAGGGCCCGTGTACTGGGGCGTTCTCCCTTGAGAAAGATCTCATTGGCCTTGCGAACACTCTAATCAATGCGCTTATGTCCCCACTGCATTCGCAAGTTTTCTCGTTGAAAGGGTCAGAGGCGCAGATATGTGTGGACTTATTGTACTCAGTGAGTGATCAGTTCATTGGAGCTTCGCAATGTGTAATGAGAGCCTCAGGTCAGGGAGTGGGGCAGCAGTCGCGGTAGAGCCGTACTCGAAGAAGTGATGTTCAAACTAGCCAAACGCTCAGGATGCTGGCCCCACCTGCTCGAGGTATCAGATGTCACAATCGCTGGACAAACTCCCATCGGTGGCGGCTCTTTCGGTGATGTCCTGTTAGGCGATTATCGGGGGGAGCAAGTAGCTCTCAAGTGTATGAGGGTGCAAAAAGGCGGTGCTCTAAAGGTGCGAGTCCTACCTCTCTTCACGTTATCAACCATTTACCATTGATCCGAAGATGTTTGCCAAAGAGCTCATTGTATGTTCTCGTCTAAATCACCCGAACATACTGCCGCTACGCGGTGGATTTCGAGGGGTTGACCCACCTATGCTCTACTTAATTTCACCTTTCATGGAAAGAGGTGATCTCCAAGAATATTTCATGTCCACGTCGCCCAGCCCCAATACTTCCTTTTCAATTGTAAGTCGCTACAGCACGTATTGAACACGAGCTAATCTCGGCCCTGTTAGCTCTATGACATTGCTAAAGGCCTACAATACCTTCACACAAGGAATCCTCCAGTTATCCATGGCGACCTTAAACCTGTGAGTTTATGTTCCTTGTTCCCGTAACCCGCTAAACCATCATCTCAGGGTAACATTTTTGTTTCTGCCAACGTACGAGCAGTCATAGGCGATTACGGCCTGTCGTACATAAGAGATAGTCACCTGGGCTGGTCGTCTTCGATGGGTCCAGGACATGGCGGAACGCTCAGATATCAAGCACCAGAGCTTATCAAGGGCGAAGTGATATCGTGCTCTACAGACGTTTACTCGTTCGGATGTATGATTTATTGGGTACGCTCGTTGCTGCACAAAACAGTAGGCTGAATTTTTGACGCAAGTTTTCAAGCTGGCTTCAGGCGGAGTACCCTATTCCCAGTATCGGTTCGGGTACCAAGTCTTTTCAGCTTTATTCCGGGGAGAGCGTCTCCCGCGCCCCGAGACGGCTGGTCTAAGCGACGGGATGTGGGACCTTTGTACCAGGTGCCTAGCCACCGAACCGGCCAACCGCCCATGTGCGACGGAGTGTGTTCATCTTCTACAGCAAGAAGGGATGACGCTTCCTCCGTGGAGACCCATGTCCCAGGAGGGTGCTTGTCGTTCTCTATCCGACAATCATGGTATAGCCTCCCCTGCGCACAGCTTTATGCCTCGCGTGGTGTGTTAATTTTGGGCGATCGATAAGCCTGCTTCACCTTACACGCGTCCTGATAATGCTTCGTCCGTTTATGCACATTTTCATTCCCATGCCTGACTTAATCAGTTATGAGAGCATTGCGTTCTTGACGTTACTTCCTCAAACCTGCATACTGCTTCCTGCCTGGATCACTTACGACCACTCATAGCCCTTTTTCTGATGACCGTTTCTTCTCGCTCCTTTTCCTCCTTCCCGTTGTCATTGATATTCACCTACCTTTGCCTTGGCTTATCATGGACGGTTTTCGCGCATTGCTATCCAGAAACGATCACCATGTCCCTCAAATGGCCACATGTACTCCATAATTTTTTTCTCGTGTATTTCTAGTTGTAACTTTTACTACCGCGTCGAGCTTGGTCAGAGATTCCGGTAGTGCCAATGAGCGCAAAGGTAGAGTAGGCTACAAGATACATAATACAAGGCAAGTGTTGCATCGCAAGTTGCGTAGTTGATCTGTCAATAGAACACTGCACGGACACAGTAGCGCACAGACATACTAAGACGTTCCGAGTTAGAAGTAACATGCAACCCGCAACAATGGTCTCATTATGTGAATAATAAATCTAACTTTGGCCTTAATAGCAATCTCGCCTCATTACCCACAGGCTAGCACCCAAAGATTGCTCCAAGCGGCCGCGCGTCGGTGCCTCCAAGTTCCTGCGGCAAATACAATGCATGCCCTAGCGGCAGACGACGCGCCTCTCCACGAGCGTCACTGAACCACGAATGTGACGCTCTTATCAAACACCACGCAGACCCGGTTTACCACTCCAGTGTAGAGTTCTCTGGGTGTACTCATTGGATCGGGCACACCCGCCACGGAAGTGATCCTCGGGTCGAACTCGTCGAACCGACGTCCTATAAGTATTTCGGATCGCCCGCGGCCTGTCTACTTTTGTTTGTCTACCCGGTACGTGAAAAGGAGCCCCTTTGAACGGGCGCAACACAGGAAGCGAAACTTCCAGCACTAGTGCAAATCAGATGAGAGTCAAATGAGTTATGTAGTAGCCTTAGGTACCTTAGGTGCCGGTGAGCTTAGATGAGATGAGTCTAAAAAACGAGCTTAAGTGAATGCTAAGTCACGCCATCACGCCTCGTGTCACACGAATCATCCGTCACAATCTTGTGCATATAACACTACGGGCAAACGCCGATATTACCTACCAGAATATCGATCAAGAATCCATCGAGGTGCAAAAATTCTGCCAACTGGTTTTTTCCCGAGGAAAATCCATTGCAAAAGTTATCCTATCAGATTGTCTGATACGGATTAAGTGCCTCCAAGCCCCCGCCAAATGGCTGAGTCATCAATTATATTTTTCCTTCTCCGGTGAATTCTCTGATGAATTTTCCTTCCTCGTGAAAATTGATTAGCGAACTTTTGCTTTTCGATAGATTTCTGAAATGATATTCTCGGAGGTAATAACGGCATTTGCCCCAAGTGTAATTAGGTTGGTCAACAGTGAATCCGTTCTTGGGGTAAGCTGATGTTCTCTGAAGTTCCAAACAGATTTTCCATTGCGCATCAGCCGCCTCGCCTTAGGCGCGTCGCTTCCATGAGGCATGGTTCATAAATATCCTCTGCCCGACTTATTGCGCATTCGACCCTCTTGCCATCATCACCGACGATGGCTTGTCGAGCCTGACACTAACTCAGAACCGCTGCTCCGAGTCCTGATAACACCGCCCCCTATCACGCATAGAACACCTCGTCAATTCAAGGCAGGCGATGGCATCAGGAACAAGCTCGAGCAGCGGCTCTCGCACGGGCGCGTTATGCGCGCGGAGCGATGTACGGGAGATTCGCCAGATCATCCAGGAGAAGTTAGCGGTCACCATCGAGCAGCGGCGCAAGCTGCGGTCTCTGGTTGACGAAGCCAAACTCTACTATGTGAGTCCAGCTCGGAGTCGCCCTCTGAGAGAATGTCTGATCGCGGCGTAGAGACACACTCTAGGAGTTGCTGTGCATGCTCTGGTCTGTCGTCGGGATGAGGAGTACGCACACTTCAGTGAGCCTTTGTGCATGTGTTGACTTTGCATATCAGAACGTTTCTACGCATACTCGCGGGAGTAAAGTACTTCACTCAAGCGGACGCCCTTACTGCTATTAAAAACCACAGATATATTCGCACCCACCTTCTATCCTACAATCCGATGTACCCATATTCATTCCTATACGAAGACGATCACGAGGGCCCATGTACCGCGATATTCTCTCCAGAGAAGGACCTTGTGTCCCTCGCGAACACCCTGATTCCTATGTTAAATGCGCCCGAACACACCCAAATCTTCTCCTGGAGGGGGCTCGATGCGCAGTCGTGCGTAGATCTTCTAGATTCAGTGAGTTCCTTTGTTGACGCATTTGATAACATGTTGATGGATGCAGCTCAAGCAAATTCCGAATATTTCGCGACGACATCAGTCGATTCTTGAAGAAGCGATGTTCAAAGTTGCCAAACGCTCAGGATACTGGCCGCGCCGCCTTGAGCTGCAAAACGTGCACATCCAAATGTGGATTGGAGGCGGGTCCTTCGGCAATGTGTTTCTGGGCAGCTCAAAGGGAGAGCTCGTTGCGATGAAGCAGGTCAGGATGCCTGCTACAGAAGGAGATAGGGCTTTGAAAGTTCGTTACTTCATCAGCATCATTTAGATCATTACTTAATGTGCATCAGGCCTTTGCCAAGGAGCTTGTAATATGCTCGGTCCTTTGCCATCCCAACGTGCTGCCTCTGCGTGGCGTATTTCGGGAAGGAGTCACTGGCAGACTTTTTCTGGTATCGCCTTACATGGAAAAGGGTGACTTATTGAGGCACTTTGGAAGGACGCCTCTAGATATCATTGATCGGCTCTCAATCGTATGTTACCTTTTAATGCCGGTGGCGATTACTGAATAAGTGCTATTTAGCTCCGCGACGTTGCACAAGCCCTGAGATATCTGCATACAAGGGACCCTCCCGTTATGCATGGGGATCTTAAGCCCGTAAGTCTCTCCGCCGTCATTGCAACAATAGCTAATATACTGACACCAAGGCAAACATCCTGATATCCGCTTCCGGGAATGCATGCCTTTGTGACTACGGAATGTCGTATCTCAAGGGCGATTTCGTCAACTGGTCCACGGCATCGGGTGCCGGAAGCGGCGGCACGCTCTGCTTCCAGGCCCCCGAGCTCCTTCAGGGAGACTCGACAATCCTTTGTTCCACTGATATCTACTCGTTCGGTTGCGTAATTTACTGGGTGAGTCACGTCGACACCGCACTCGTTTCAGAAACGCTGATTGAGTCCTCATTCCAGCTGGCTTGTGGTTCAGTTCCATATTCGCGGACCAGACGTGAATCCGAAGTGATAATGGCTCTAGCGAGGGGTGAGGAGCTCCTGCGCCCTCCTGGACAAATGAGCGACGAACTCTGGACACTTTGCAGGCAATGTTTGGAACGGATTCCCGTCCTACGTCCGAGTGCGATAGACTGCGTTCGCCGGCTTCGAGGCAGCGGGATGGCATTTACGTCCAACGCCTGGCCGTTGCTGTATCCCTCTACAGTCGTTTATTCTCCCTCAGGCTCGGCTTCCTGAGCGATGATTCGTGATGTCTAGGTGCTCTTGGAGGGCAGCTATTCCCCGATCTACGCCCAGAATGAGTTCTCTTACCTTTATCACCCCGCTCCAGTCAGCTTGCTTGTTTTCGTAGCTATTATTCACGGGAGGCGGATCTAACTATCATCCTTCACTGCAGGCTGGCGTTTTCTCCTCGTAGTTACTCACTGACTTCCAGCCACCAGCGTTCACTCTTGCTTCACTTACTTATTCACTTCAAAGTTTCGTTTTGCTCACCTAGGATGAAGCGCTCAGGAAGCGCTAGACCCTCGTGGCATCCGAAACTTACCCCCCGCTAAGGGTAATGAGCCAACCAGGCGTCATGACATCGTCGCCCTCGCCATAACATCGGTGCTGTTGAGCGGAAACCGACCTGCGTCACGAGCTGGTTCTCGATGGTATAGGTTGGCTGTACCTCCAGCTCCCGATAAAGGCTGGGCGTCACGACGTCCCGTTCCATGATATCGGCGCTGTTGAGCGGAAAACGACGTGTGTTAACTCGAAGAGCTGATGCTCTGTGGCACGGGTCGTTTGTACCTCCAGCTCCCGATCAGCCCTTGGTGCCACCTTCGGCTGTGCCTTTCAGCATATCCTACCACCTGGTACTCCGGCGTTGATCGTCGTTGCAGATACCTAGTATGTAGATAGGGGTAAACATGGTTAGCCTACTGGGTATATACGAATACACATTGCTGGGCATATAGTGTGAAAAGCTCGATTTTCGTGATCCACAAGGACCCACAGTCCAAAACATGGTACGATTCGATGAGATAGTCAACGCCTCGTCTCAATACGAATCTTCTGCAGGCAGTTACAGAGCAACGCCGAGGGATGAGAACACAAAATATATGATATTGTACCTATTCTAATCGTATGGGTGGAGGGGGCTACAGTGCCAAAGGGTAGTATCGTATCGTACTAAGTAAGTAACGTATCGTGTACGCAGAGCATAGCGTCACGGCGACCACACAATGGGGCACTGTCTGAGGCGCGCTTAGAAGCAGCGCCAACAGTGCTGTCGCCAGCCACCTCTTCCGCTTCTTAGCGAGCGGCAAATCTAGCATACTATGCCGGAACCCGGAATGAAAACCGTCACCTGCAATGAAATTCGACTGTCCCTCCCCTGTCCCTTGGTATATACCTACAAGATTGAACATGGGCCATCTAATGAAACTACTCTATGTCCGTATTGCGCGGCTTGGTAGAGAAATGAAAACTACGGACGCTAGGTACAAATTTCATTGCGGGTGACGGATTTCATTGCGGGTTCCAGCATAGTATACCTTTGCGGCGGTTCATATGGCATCTGCCCAAGTGATGGGAGGTGCGTCGTACTCCATTGACGATAAGCTCTTACTAGTGCACGCAGGGGTGAACCCGGGCACCAGGCTTGGATGTCACATCCGCTGATGCGCCACAAGTTGAAAGCAAATCTCTGACTGGGCATGCCCCTCGTTCTTGAAAGCCACCCATGTGTGGCGGCGTCCAGCACGGGGCTTTTTCAATGTCCCGTCAAACGTGCGTAAACTCCCCAAGTTCCGATGCTATAAACTGATATGCAAACCGGAACCAACGTGTTCAGCCTGATTCAAGATGAACGGGGCGGCCACACGATCAAAGTGATGTTTTCCGCGTGTACTCTCAATATAGGCTTCAGGGTTCGCTCTCGAATTAATGTCATCTTCCGTAACTCAGCAATCATCGATCATCGTCCCCAATTGAGTGAGTGGACGTGAACCAGAGAAAACACTAACGCCAACCAGAGATCAAGTAGCACAACATGTAACATGAATTTCTTGTGGCCAATAACTTGTAATCGGTGGAGCTGTATTAACGTTAGAAAGTCGCGCGTGTTCAATGCTGGTCTACACGAGGACCAAGCAAGGCACGGGTGTAAATGTCGCGGCACAGCATCAGAATGCGGTGCAGGCCTGGTACAAGCGCCGGCTGAGTAGTACGATAGTACTTGTTCAACGCAAGTTCTGAGATTCACGGAATGCCGTTCGTTGTGCCGCAACCTATGTAGAGCAGATAGAGTTACCGCATGGCCATCTCGCCCATTCCTCCTGGCTACACACACCTAAAGCATGTCGAAAGAGATATAAGGTGCTCGCTGTAGGCAGGTTTTTACTCTTGTCTCCAAAACGGACTCCCGTCAGTGCCACTGCGTAAGACTGCGTACCACCATCTTATTTCTTCTTCATTTCTTCTCTTAAATGTGGGTTCATTCTTGAATGTCTACGACGTCATCTGTGGCAGTTTCAGCGTCCTATTTGTCAACTTGATTGTAAGTACACCATTGAACTACCTGTCTCACCGGGTGCGGACTATTGAAGTACTGAGTAGATTCTCCAGAATGCTAGTCAAAAGTCTGACCTGATAACTACAGTGTCGCTAGTTTTCTTCATTCACACTCTAGTCAGCATTTTTACTCGGTGGTACGCGATGGATGCTGACAATTCAGCGTTTTTCGCGCTCTAGAGTCATCGATCATCTAGTCCGAGTCGGTAGGTAGTCAATACTGTAAGTGGAGGACTTATCTCGCCGGTACCTGCCACTTCGATCCCCAGAAAAAGCTTAAGGTGTTATGCTCTGTATATAAAAGAGGTCCTGCTAAGTGCTTTTATTTCATTTCTATGAATGTGTGCAAGGCCGTCTGTTGTTGACTACTGTAGTGATTCTTGTTCAGCGTCAGGACTCATATCTCAGAAGCAAGTCTCAAGGTGCTATCATCTGAACATCTTGACATGCTAAGGTGTGTAAGTCACGAAGCACGTCACACGGGTCACAGTAGGTCACCATCTCGTGCATCTAAATGCAGGAATCCCAATGATTCCGCACGGATATGTCCAGACACGCTGTTCGGCCCAGCTGAAGTTCCTAACAGATTTCTATTCCCATCTCGCCCCCAAGCTGCCTCACTGAAGACGCGACACTAACATGTGGCACTCAAGCCCGTGGGGGATATATAATATCTCTTAGGCGTGCTGCGGTCTGATTATCGACCCGTCTTCGACATCGACGATGGGTACTAGCTAGGTCTGAAGCCGCTTCGCTCAGAACCGCTGCCCAGAGTCCTGATATCACCGCCCCCGTACGCAAGAATAGTCTCGTCGACCTAAGATAGGCGATGGTATCAGACACAAGCTCGAGCAGCGGCTCTCACACCAGCCCGTTATGGAGAAAGTCTTGGAGAAAGAACGACCTTCGAGAGATTCGCAAGTGCATACAGGACAAGCTGGCAGTGACCACTGAGCAGCGGCGCAAGCTGCGGTTTCTGATCGACGAAGCCAGGCTCTATTATGTGAGTTTTCCTGCCTTCCCAGGTTCTTGCTTTGAGGAACGCGCTAACAGTGGTGTAGCGACACACTCTTGGAGTTGCTGTGCATGCTCTGGTTTGTCGTCGAGATGAGCGGTGCGTACCCTATTTTGACCTCTCTATGTCCGCTGACCTTGCAAGGTTAGAACGTTTCTACGTATACTTGAGGGCGTGAAGTACCTCACTCGCGGAGACGCCCTTACTGCCATACGAAACCACAGAAATCTTCGCTCTCACCTTTTATGCTATAACCCCGTGCATCCCCATTCATTCTTATACGAAGACGACCACGAGGGACCTTGCACCGCGATATTCTCTCCTGAGAAGGACTTTGTCTCTCTTGCAAACACCTTGATTTCTATGTTGAAGGCCCCCGAACACACGCAAATATTTTCCTGGACGGGGCTTGACGCACAGGCATGCGTTGACCTTCTCGATTCGGTGAGATACTCCACCGACACGTCTTTTGTTTACACCGTGCTGACTTAGCGTAGCTGAAGCAGATCAGAAACGTTCCTAGAAGATACCAGTCAATATTTGAAGAAGCGATGTTCAAAGTCGCCAAACGTTCAGGGTACTGGCCGCGCCGCCTTGAGCTGGAGGGCGTACACGTCCAGATGTGGCTTGGGGGTGGATCTGGAGGTGACGTCTTCCTAGGCAGCTCCAGAGGAGAGCTTGTTGCTATGAAGCAGGTCAGGATACCTGCTTCAGGTGGCGATAAGGCTTTGAGAGTCCGTCGTCTCATACTGTCCTATAGAACGCTGACTCACGTGCATACATCAGGCCTTTGCAAAGGAGCTCGTCATATGCTCCGTTCTTTCCCATCCCAATGTGCTGCCTTTATGTGGTGTGTTTCGGGAAAGTCTCACTCGCAAGCTCTTTATCGTGTCGCCCTACGTGGAGAAAGGTGACTTGCTGTGTTACGTTGAAAGGACACCTCGAGATAGAGTTGATCGCTTTTCAATTGTACGTCATATTTCTTCATTACGGGGATGAGTTCGAGTGTTGACCAAATACCGTGCCATTCAGCTATGCGATGTCGCACAAGCAATAAGGTACCTGCATACAAGGGACCCTCCAGTCATGCACGGAGATTTTAAACCCGTAAGTACTTTCATATCGACGTTCATATCGACGCAACAGTAACTAACCCATCTACTTTCCAGGCCAACATCCTTATTTCTACCTCTGGGAGTGCATGTCTTTGCGACTACGGCATGTCCTACCTCAAGGGCAATTGCATCAACTGGTCTACATCCTCGGGTGCCGGCAGAGGTGGCACACTTCGCTTCCTGGCTCCCGAGCTCCTTCAGGGAAACTCGACAATCCGCTGGTCCACTGATATCTATTCATTTGGTTGCGTGCTTTACTGGGTGTGTTATATCAATCCTATGCTATACCCCTTAACGCTTATCAGACCCTCCTTCTAGCTGGCTTCCGGTTCTGTTCCATATGCACGACACAGGCGCGAATCAGAGGTGATCTTTGCTCTTACTCGAGGTGAAGAGCTCCAGCGTCCTCCAGGGCAGCTGAGCGACGCCCTCTGGAACCTTTGCAAGCAATGTCTGGACCGGACGCCCGCCCGGAGGCCAAGTGCGCTAGAATGCGTTCGCCGGCTTCGAAGCAGCGAGATGGCATTCACCTCTAATGCCTGGCCGTCGCCGCGTGGCTCCGCGGGGAGTTTCTCAGCAGCGAGCTCGGTTTGACAAGCTCGAGATTCATGTGGTATAGTAAGTCCCTTTGGGAGGGCATTTAGTTCGCTATCTGCGTATCATATGAGCTCTTTCAGCGCCTCCAATCTCAGCGCCCACCTCCTCCCGCCAAGTACCGCCTTTCTTGATTGAGTCTTGTCGCTCTCAGGAGACGGATCTCGGTAATGGCTCTCCGCCACTGGCTAACATATCTCTCCTCGATAATTATCCGTCTACCCTGCATGCAGCGTTTACGCTTGCTTCGCTTATCTCCTTCCACTCCTCACCGCACTTGTCCGGTACGAAATGTTTGGTATTTTTGCCCCTGAGGAGGACAGCGAGAGTCGGCCGGGTGTCACGATGCGTCGCTTTAATTGATATTACATTGGTGCTGTTGAGCGGAAACCGACTTGCGTCAAGAGCTGGCGCTTGATGGAATGGGTCGGATGTACCTCCGGCTCCCGATGCATCATCAATTCGGTCCTGGGCTATGTCTTCCAGTTTATTCCACCACCTGATACTCTGGCGTTGATCGTCGTCGCAGATGTCTAGTGTGTAGTTAATTGTAGACATTTTTGACGTACTGAGTACATAACTATTACTGTGAGCTCTCGCATGCACATTGCTGGAAAGTTTATTATTTGGAAAAACCTATTTGAGCTTGACTTTTGTGATCCACAAGGACCCACAGTCCAAAACATGGTACTGGTACAACTCGATGAGGTAGTCAACGCCTCGCCTTAATACGAATCTTCTGCAGGCAGTTGCACAACAACGCCGAGGGATGAGAACACAAGATATATATTGTACCTACTCTAATCGTATGGGGAGGGGGCTACAGTGCCAAGGGCTAGTATCGTATCGTAAGTAAGTAACGTATCGTGTACGCAGAGCATAACATAAACCATCAATGCATCATCAAAACCAGCAACGTCCGACACACATACAACAGCATCTCGCATAGCGGCAGACAGCAAGCAGCAGACACCAGGCGTCGAGCAAGAAACAAGTCGCAGAAAGCAAGCATGCACACCAAACCTCAACCTCAGCCTCACGGCGCAGCAGAACCCAGACTTCCTAAACTCCCCAAGCTCCCCTCGGCCGCGGTCCTCCTTCCCCGCTTCCCCGCCAGTGGCGAATCGAGGACATGTCCAGGCAGCGCATGATACGCCCTCCCGATCGGCGTATCGTCGTACGCGTCCACGGGCATCAAGTTCGTGTACGCGGGCGTGAAACCCGTGCCCAGCCTCAAATCATCTCCTCCTCCCCCCCTGTCCGAGTACCGCCCTCGGGGAGGACCACCAGAGCCGGAACCAGAACCAGAGTGCATGTACGCGCTTCCACCCCCGCTGCCACTCCCGCCCCCGCTCCTCGCACCGCCCGAGCCAAACACCTGACTCGGCGTGCGCCATGAATCCGACAACGCGCCCCTCGAATGCCACACGGGCCCAGGTCCCGGACCGTCCTTGGGCGTCGCGTACGCCGCGGGCCCGCCGAACTGGATCCCGCGGCTCGGCGTGCTCGTCGGATCGAACACCGCGTACCGCCCGTGCCCGTGCCCGTGTCCGTGTCCGTGCTCAAGCCCAAGTCCAAGTCCATGGCCATGGGCACCGGCGGGCGATGACGAGCCTGTCCACACGCGCACTGTGTCCCGCTCTCTCCCGTCCCCGCCGCCACCGCCGATACGGTCGCCCGTGCGCGGTGTCTCGGGGCCCCACGACGACGTGCCAGAGGAGAAGTGGCCGGGCGCCGTCCCGCGCGGTGGTGTGCGCGGCGGTCCGTGTGCGGGGGACCATGCTGAGACGCTGCCACCGCCGACGCCGAGGGGAGACGGGACCTCGATGTGAGCGGGGTCGGGCTTGAAGAACAGCGGATCGTACACCTCGCTCACGCTCCGGAAGTGGTGGTGGCTGCTCGGCGGCGCGCTCGGCACAAGCGCAGGCCCGAGCGCAGGGAGAAGACCGCGCGGGCTCGCCTGGGCGCGGGCGCGGGCGTGCGCCCGGGAAGCGGTGGGGTTGGCGCTGGCGATGGAGGCGGTCTCGCAGCTCGGACAGAACCACGGGTCTTCCTCGCGCCCGAGCTCGTCGATGCTCCCGATCCCGAGACACTCGAGATGGTACCACGTCAGACACCGATCGCACTGCACGAGCTCGCGACCATCGTCTACGCCGCGGCACACGCAGAGCCGCTCGTCGTCCTCGCCGCGGCGTCGATCTGCGCCGTCCGGCCGGCGGCTGTAACTGTGATGCGACGCAGCAGAGAGTGGGGGAAAGTGGAAGTCCGGCGCGAGGGACGAGAGCGGGGGCAGCGCCGTGCGCCTGCGTGCATGGCGCACCGTGAGTGCCCTGACCGCGCGCTTGGACATGAGCGCCGTGCGCGCGTCGGCGGGGTCGCTAGGCACGACGTTGCGCGTGCGGCGTGTGAAGTTGCGGTGGGCGGTGTGCACTGCGAGCGGGTACATCTTGCCGAGCCCCATGCGCGGCGGCCTTGCGAGTTGCTGGTGTTGGGATTGGGATCGGGAATGGGGCTGCAGCGCGTCGTCATCCAGTACCCCCTCGTCGGTATCCATTTGCTGCTCCTTACCGTCCACCTCCAGCCCGTCGCCGTCCTCCCCGCCTCTGCCCATCCTCCTCCTCCACTCCTCATCTGTTTCCTCCGGCTCTTCATCGTCGGACTCGTCGCTCGCACGGTCAAAAAACATCTCGATGTACCTCATCCGCTCCTCCCTCTCCGCATTGGTCAAGCCATCCCTCACCTCGCCCTGCAGGCGCCACGGGAACTCGGCGTCGGGCCAATTAGGCACGTCGCCCGCCCCGTCCGCCACGCCAGCATCCTCGTCGATGTCCTGCGAGCCCTTCTTGCGACGATGACGCTTGCGCTTTGGCGGGGGCTGGTCTGCCTGCTGCGCCGCCTCGGACAAGGTCGGCGTGACGAGCACACGGCCGATGCCCTCGAGCTGTATCGCCTGCAGAGCACTGCGCGATGTCGATGCGTGGGCATGAGATGGCGGGGAAGCGAACGCAGCGAGGCGCTGGCGCTTGCGGGACTCGGCGGGCGTGAGCGGGGCCCTGTCCCGACCGGACTCGATAACGGCGGGCTCAGCGAGCTCGGAGGGGCGGGACGGGTCGCTTCGCTGTATCGCATTGACACAATCACAACGTAGTCAGGGACAGCGTATTGTGGAGACAGCGTAGTAGAACGACGTACGTAAGGCCCGTATCCGCCCGCCATGAGACTCTCCTCGAAGCTCTCGTCCGACGTCTCCTGGAACAGCAGCAGCCTCCGCCCCCTTGCTGGACTCTCCATCGTGCCCACCTGCGACGGACTGTTCTTGTACTGACGGTCCTCGCCATGTAGCGACGGCGATCGGGCGGTGCGCTTGAGACTGTCCGGCCGGCGCGGTTGACCGTCCCGCGAGCGCCCACCGTGGCCCTCGACCATCTGCGCTCGCACGCGGCCGATCTCCCCGCCGTGCTCGGGTGCCTGGGCCGACAGCGACGGCTGCCCCAGCTGGGAGGTGGAGGAGGCGGGGAAGGAATGTGACGGGGGTTTATGATGGGCGTTCTGTGACTGGGAAGAGGGAGGGCGGCGAGGGGAAGAAGAATGCATGAATGTGCTGTTGATATGCGGAACAGGCGATCGTGGAGACCGTGCCGAGAGTGCAGCGAGCTCTGCCAGCGGGGGCTTGACCTCTTCGGAGGGCGCCTTGGGTCGTCGATGGGAAGGTTGTGGGTGATCGTGAGCAGGCCACCCATGGATGACAGACGCCGGATAGTCGCCCGTGATCGGCGGCGGCGGCGAGTCTCTCAGGGGGTGTGGGCGCTGGGCCGCTAGATCGTGCATATGTCGTATTGGGGGGAGATGGTGCTGCTGGTGCTTCGGAGTGGCTGGCAGCAGGTCGCCCGTCATGAAAATTGCAGGTGGCTTGGGTCGTGAAAAGGGAGTGAAACGTGCTTGGGTGTGGCCGGATATTCGGCTCTGGTCGACGGTCTGATACCGAGGACGTTTATCGGTGTATGTTGTCTCAGCTGTGTATCCCTGATGGATGTCTGCTGGAGTTTATAGAGCAAAACCTATGAGATGCCCTTTGTTTTACAGAGAGAAAGAGAGACAAGAACAAGACGGAGAGGGGTGGGTGACAGGAGGTAATCTAATTCCAGCACTAATTAGTCCCCGCCGTCCCTTTCCTTTCTCTCACCCGCCTTATCTCACAGTCACGTGTACATAAAATTGTTTTTGGCAAGTTTATGTCATAAATGCGCCCCTGAATATCGCAAGGTGACTCGACGTGAGACAAACTTGCGTCCCGACCGCCGGCATTCCCGACAAGCGAAGGACGAAACGTAAAAGCCCTCCCAACGAGCCACAGCCTCGAACTTCCAGGCGGACAAAGTCCTCTCGTCCCTCTGCTCTCTGCTTCATCTTTCTCGACGTTCTCTTACACGTTGGTTCGTGCGAAGCACAATGCCTAACCTTAGAAACAGCCTTGTATGCGCACCATGCGCCCCTCGCGACCCTAAGTGAACGCTATTCCAGTCTCCAATCTCTTTCTCCTTTTGAAAGGGCCAGAGCGTGCTTGCGGAAACCTCCGCGACGGTGCCGTAAGCTGAAGCCTGAAAGCTGAAAGCTGAAGCGGGTCGGACCGCTTCAAGGTAAGGAGTTACGAGATCGAGAGGTTGCGAGAACATTCTCAGCGGAAGACGTCTTGGATTGGCACAGCTCGTACGAGACCTCGAGTCAGAACGGAAACCTCGGCGAGAGTGGCAAGTTGAGACGAATGACATTACAGGTTCACAACAAGCCAAATAATGACACTTGCGCATCGTCCATGACCATGACTATACACCCTTAACACAAGCACGACAACCAATCCTCCCTCGCACGTCTATTCCGCGGATGATCAGAATTCCAGGTTAACCAGCTTTAAGAACGTGTCAGCGCAGAGTCCTTCATAAACGCTAACGAGACAAACAGATCACTAAAGACGCACCATAACATATCGCTCTCTAATCCGTCACTCTACCTTCCGCCCCTCACTCAGCTCGGGTTATCACACGGCTGCACAGGGCAGGCGATGACGTCGCTCGACTCGGAGCTCTCCGGGACCGGGGCAGGGGTAGCGACCGCGAACGCGGCGGCGAACAGCGCGACGAGCGCAGCGGCGGCACCTCCGAAACGCATAACGATGGCTTCTTCAAGAGGTAGTGGTGGCTAGTGGTGGCTAGCGGTGTCTTCACCGGGGGTCAAATAACGTATAGCGGATAAAGATAGATCGGCAGACGGAGAAGAGAGCCTGTTCAGCGCAAGATGAACTTGAGATGCGGAGGATGGTCACGGTAGAGGTCTCGCTCAGAGCGGAATATCTATATGTACGTAGCTAGAAGCGCAGAGCGATGACTCGGGCAGACAGCTGGTTTAAATGGGCGCTTCCGGGAGCGGTCGTGCGGGTGGGAGCGTCGACCCTGGGCTACTTATATGTCAGCGAAGTCACCGGGTGACAGAGTCCGTACGACACGGGTGTGAACTCATGCGCAGTCGGACGGACACACGCGCCCGTTGCTATACCTGAAGCTTAATATTCCTGCACCGCGCTGCTTTTTGACTACATGATCTACAGTAAGAAGCTGCGGCAGGCGACTGCTGACCTGGACGCTGCCAAAAACGACCGCTGAGCCACCCGACACGGGGACAGAAATTGTGTTCAAGTTTGAAGGTGCGTCGAAACGGGTGGGCGCAAGAGGGCGAGCTGCGTGCTCGTGGAGCATTCGGACGTACTCATACTCTCGCGAGGGCGTTTCGCGAGAATTCAGAACCTGGAAGGGGTCTAGGCAAGTACTTGATTGATTGGCACTGTCGACTTCCTCCTCCAAACAATGTTCGGCCCTGATCGGTCCCATGGGGTGAATGCACATCATGCATCAGCGTTTCAACCTCGATCGAGCTCGATCGTGGAGGTAACGGAACAGTGCACCTTCGCAGACTACATCCACAGCGCACCCCGCCATCCGCTCACCACGATACACATAAACTGACAAACCCACTGGCACGTTTCCGAAGTGTACAACTTCTCGCATATACGCTAACCTGGCTAAATTACAGTAACTTAGTAAGTGCCCAGCGCCACGAATGAACACGCTGTCAAACGCCCACCCATCGCACTCGATCCCGAGCCCATGACACGCCGCTGCACATGCCACCACTCTTCCCTCGTCCCATCTCGACCTCCGCATTGCCTCACCATGGTACTGTCATCCACCCCCAGAATTGGCAGCCAATTTTGTCGAAGACCTAGAATATTTTTTAGAGGAACTATTGACTCAAAATTTGGTTTGGGGGGTCTGTGATACGAGATCTCTTTCACAGAAAATCCGTGTACCCTGAAATTCAAGAGATCCTGTATGGTGAAAGCATCAGTGTTTTGGAGGTGCAGGAACCCGACCACCCTCAGAATTGGCACTTCCCAGCGTTGCTGAAGCGCTGATACCGGATATAACTCCGCATTAAGCAGGAAGCCGGTTATAATCGCCCCGCGAAAGGTAATCAGCTCACGGTCGCCGTCGCAACAACGGTTATTAATAAACATTAAGGAGCGATTAGATTACAGAAATGTGCAAAGAGACACTCCGTCATACCTTAGTGCTGCTGAGTGTTTGAGCAACCTCAACATGCTGGAAACTATCTCAAACTAAATAATGGAGGTACGTTCAGTGCTTGCGAACTTTCTTTGCATCATCATTCGGCTAGTACAAGAACGACCAATCGCCAAAACTCAAATTTTTTCAAAAGTGGCCTGATACGCACCTTCTACAGCTCCTAGCTCATTATCGGGATGTTTCTATGTATGGTACATTTAGAACTATATATTGAGAGGCATATAATCAACATTGTCATGAATTTAGTTTGTAAGTTGATACGGAGGAACGGTGAAAAAAGCGAACTGCCAATCCTGGGGGTGGTGCCAATTCTGGGGGTGGATGACAGTACGCATATCGCACGCAGCACGCCCGACGAACGCGCATATGGCTCATGTGGAACATGATCTGGGCCAATACACTTGTCCAGGAACGTGCACCGAGCTTCCTGCGCTCTTATTCAACTAGTCGCAGAAATAGACTTTCTGATCATGATGGTGCTCCTGCATGACTAGATCTGGGGCGCCTTTATTCAGATTCGGAAGTGATCCCGCGGTATGTTGTCAACTCGTATCCTACAGCGCTGTCGTCAATGCATTTCGATGATGTCGAAGAGCTGCTTGTACGCATCATCGGAACGTAACTACTTCTCGAAATTCTCGCAAGCTCATGCCCGTGGGTGCCAGACAAATCCTTGCAAAAGGTCCAGTCAGATATAGTTACACATCTACTATACATACATACACTGTCGCATTTCCAGTTCCTCTCCCATAAACCACCCTCAAGCAGTCCCTATATCACCCATCTTCCCGATCTCCAACGTCAACCTCCAATACCCATCCCCCTACGCCCCCTCGGGCATCCTCCCCAGCGACATCCCGACCTTGACGTACGTCTCGATCGGGCCGTTCCCGTGTAGCGCAGGCGCAGGCACGCCCCTGCCCTCCGAGTTCTTCACGAGGTCCTCGTCGAACGCCATCAGGCCCGGCGGGAAGATCGCGATGCACGTGCTCCCGCCGTACGCGAAGAACCCAAGCTCGTCGCCGCGCTTCACCTGCTGCCCCGGCTGCGTCACACGATTCCGTGATTAGAGAAGCCAGAGTGAAGAAGAGAGGGTAGTAAGCGCACCTGGACGGTCCACCCGATGCTGCCGACGAGCAGCGCGCCGATCGCGATGAACGCGACCTCTTTGCCCGTGAGCGTGTGCCGCAGGATGAGCACCTGCCGCTTGTTTCGCGAGAACACGTCCATCTTGGGCTCGTTCACCGCCTGCGGGTTCACTGTTCACGCACCGACGCGAAAAACACGTCCGTCCGTCAGCATAACCGCCCTGACCCCCTCGCACAAAACGCAAAACGACGCGACGCACCCGTATAATACTGCCCCGGAATCGGCTCACCGATCGCAACGACCTCGGCATCGATCGGCGAGTGGAACCGGTGGTAGTCGCTCGGCGCGAGACGGAAGATAGCGAGCGCGCCGCCCGAGAGCGACTGGCACAGCGGGCTCTCGGGGTCCGGCTGCGCGGCGAGGAGGGCGGGGACGGAGAACTCGTCGCCCTTGATCCAGAACTTCTGCGCGAGGTCGACGGTCGGGTACACGACGAGGCGGCAGTCGGCGGCGCTGCAGAAGCCGCGCGGGTCGTCGGCGTTGGCGACGGGGCGTGCGTCGGGCTTCATTTTTCTGTGTAGATTTTATATGGACGTCAGGAGTGTCTCGATTAGATCGCGGGGAGAGGATCAAGGTATTGCAAGGAAGACGTACCGCGAGAAGAACTCGTTGAAGTTCTTGTACTTGCTGATATCCGGCTCGGCCAGCTCGTCCAAGCTAATACCATATGTCTTGATAAACGACGGGATATTCTTCACGCTCTCCGGCGAATCGTAGATCTTCCCCTCCTTGATACTCTGTTCCTTCAGCAGCTCCTCGATGCGGCTGTTCCCCTCGAGCAGCTTGACCTGCTCGTGGCCGTAGAAGAGGAGATGCATGCCGAGGCGGGCGTAGATGGGCATGCTCTCGAAGAAGGTCTCGTTGGTGCCACGGAGTGCGACGAAATTGCCGACGTGGTGCTTGGAGGCGAGGGACTCGAGCTTGGGCACGAGCTCCTTGTACCATTTGGAGTCGGCGAGGGCGCCGAGGTGGCTGTGGCCGTGGATGCCCTGCTGGACGTCGCCGTTGTTCTTGTCCGGGTGAGAGTAGTCTACGGCAGAGGAGAGCCCCTCGGCGGCGGCGTCCTGGTTCGCATCTTTCAGGTTGCTAGGTTTCACGTTCTGGACGCCATGTACGAGGCTGGGGTGTATGTGGTGCATGGTCAGTAGTGTTGGATCAGAGCGGGGAGATTAGACTGGAGACAGGAGCTCTTCTTTTATCGGATGATTGTCCTATTTTTGGCCCATCGTCGCTGATGTCACAGTCAAAAATAGACCGGACCATGTCCTCTCCGAGCAACCTGCACAATTGACCATGTGCATAGAGCACGACGCTTTCGGTTCAGCACGTAACACGTACCATACAGATACTCAAAAAGGCTTCGAAGGGATTGTACCCATCGGATCCGGTCCAAGAGATTCCACCACAGAGCGGTCAAAACAAGTTGTACGGTGCCTGGGCTGAACGGGCACAATCACCAGCCGCGATGTCCGGTGCTTCATCTCCTATTCATCACTCCGCAGCTCCGCTCTTTCCTTGAAGTTACAACTCCTCCGGCCGGCGATTCGGGAGATAACCAGCACAACGCATCCCGAATCAACGGCACATTGAAGGTTAAAAACCAAGTCCGAAGACGACACAACCATATGACACGATGGACTTGCTCAGCCGCGCCCTCACGAATCCTCTGCCATATCGACATCTTCGCCCTCAACCACCTTCGCCTTCTTGGCCTCCCTCCCACTCGCAGCACCCTCGATTTTACGTTTTCCCTCACCATCTCCCGCTTCACTACCATCTTCACCGCCCTCCTCTTCCTCTTCCTCCTGCCCGTGACCTCCCGTAAGCTTCTTCGCCAGCGCATCCTTGTGCTTCTGCCGGCCAAGCTCGCGTTTCGTCGGCGCATCGCCCTCGTTGTCTTCGCCAGACACATTCTTCGGCAGCGATGCAAGGTCCGAGTACAGGTCGAGTGCTTTCAGCGCGTCCGGTGTGGCCGGGACGGTTACTTGAGTATTGAGCGCTTCGAGTAATGGCGTCGACGAATCCTCGACGAGCTGGGTCAACGTAACATAGATCAGTCGAAGTAGAATTTTTGTGGCAACGAGACGTACGGTTCCTTTTGACAGAGAAAGAACACGCACGAAGCGCGTATCGGTGTTGAGAGCTTCCGTCGAATCTTTGGGTGTCCAATTTACGTCCAAGAGAACCCAAAGTTTTTGATCGTGTGACACAGAGAAATCTATCACAGGTTTCTTGAAATCAAAGTACGCGATAGAGCGCGCAGCATCTCCCTCCGTCCAAGGCAGCACAAATAGCGCCGTCGCACTACACGTCAACAGTGCTCAGGTCGAATCATAAATGGGAACAAAAAGTAAACTCACCCGACCACATTGAAAACAACAAACCGACCTCCCTCGCTCTCAAAAGAGCTGATATTGCGCACAACAAGCACCGGCTCGTCCTCCTTCTCCTGGGCCCCTACCGACTGCGCAGGCTCAGGCGTCGCGGTCTCGCTCGCGTGCTCCTGCTCCCCCGCCTTCTGCTTTCCCTTCCTGTTCCGCTGCTTGCCTCGCTTGCCCTGTTTGGCCTCTCCATCGCCCCCGCGCACCCGCGGAGGCGGGCGTACGACGATGAACGGGAGCACGGCGTCGAGGATGGGAATGTCGCGGACGTGTGCGCCAGAGAGCCAGTCCCACACTTTGAGCATGGGGTCGCCGCCCCCGGAGAGGAGCAAGGAAGGCGCGAAGGAGGGGATGTGGATCGCGGATACGTACCTGTGCGAGTAGTGGACCTTGGATGAGTACACCTCTGCAAAGGCGGAACGAAGGAATAAAAGCGAGAGAACTCGACCACGCACTTTGTGTGCCCGAGACAGTAGCTCTCGATCGTGTATCCCTCGGGGTACCAGCTCACGCGGATATGCTCGTCCCGGTCCGCGGTGAGCACATAGTCCCCGTGCGGCGCGAGCAGCACGCGCGTGAGCACGGACGCGTGCCCGAGCACCAGCTCGCCGCCCGACGGGTTCTCGTGCGACGCGAGCACGTCTTTTGCGTGGCCCTCTTCTTCTTGTTTCGGCTCTGGGTTGCCGGGAAGAGGAGGGGGAGGAGGGGTGTGCTGGAGAGGATAGCTTCGGTGTCATGTGTGTGCGGCGCACGATAAACAGGATTGGCGGGAGCGTGCGTACCGGAAGACGTCGCCGAACTTGTCCGCGACGAGGATATCGCCGTTCTGCACGAACGCGAGGTCGGTCGCTTTCTTCGGGAGCTCCCTACATATATACAGATAGAGTAGTGTATCGCGGGGTGAACACGTATCGCATGAGAACAAAACGTGAAGACAACGCACCTCGAGCTGAGCAGCCTCAGCCCATCCACCGCCCACACTTTCAGCTTTTTATCATCGCACGCGGTCACGAGATGCGCGCCCGACGTGTCGAGCGCAGCGCATCTGACCGGTCCCGACTTTTCAGCGCCCTCGCGCTCCGGATGATCAGCGCTCGCGGTTGAGTGGAGGGTGGATCCTGTTCTGTCGTGTCATGGATGCTAGCTTTAGTCGAGTGGTTGCTCGCCAAGAAAGGGGTTCGTGGAGGGTGGGACTGACACTGCATTGAGGACCGTGCTATGGGGCCCTGTGATCGCGATCGCGTGTTTCTGGGTCTGGAAGAGGCGGGTATGTGGATAGCAGGACATGGCGCATAAGTAAAGGGGGAGATGAAGATGTGCTAACAAGTTTTCGGTTAGGAAGCCGGTTCTCGATTTAGAAGTGCCCCTAACTAGCTTCTGCCCTCGACACCGTTGGCGATTGATTTATGGGAATGTTCAAGCCATAGCAAGAATATAGTTCCCTCTCCGGCCTAGATGAGCATTAAATAGTACGCGATATGACACAGTTACGGGTATGTGTGTCTTTGAACTCCAGATATGCCCCATACAACAGTATTATCACTAAGATTTGGCTTGATGTTCCAAACCGCCCCTTACACCTCGTCAACGTTTTTCTGCTCTTCAGCATTCCAGCGCTTAGCAGCCCACTCCCTTCGAAGAATGCCCAAGTCAATAATATCGACGAACTTGTTATCGTACCAAAGACACTCGCGTTTCCGTCCCTCGATGGTAAAGCCCCTGCCCAATCAAACGTACACCATCAGAACAATCCAGACAAGCAAGCAATCCAAACGAAAACGTACACCTTCAAATACATCTTCAGCGCCCTCTCATTCGGCGAAAACGTGCCTAGCGAGAACCGGTGCAGCCCAAACCAGCGAAACGCATGCTCGATGATAAACTCGAGCGCCTCGGTCCCGTACCCTTTCCCCCAGAACTGCGGCAGGAGCCCGAACCCAAAGTCGCCATCGCGGTTCTTGGGCTCGCGGATGTGCAGGAGCGCGTAGCCGATGAACTCGTGCGTTTCGGTGAGCTCGATGATGCACCCGAACGCGGCGCTGTCGAACTCTTTCGCGTAGATGTCCTTCCACTTTTTGGGCGACATCGGCGCGAACTTGCCCATTGCGAAGAGGGGCATGACGTCCGTGCGGCCGGTCAAGGAGACGACGTTGTCGAGGTCGGACGAGTCGGGCGTGTAGGCGCGGAGGGTGAGGCGTGCGGTGGTGAATGCCATGGTCGCTACTGTGTGGCTGGGTGGTGCATGCGGAGGAACTATATAGGCATCGGTGGGTGTGAGTCAGAGTCGACTAAGGGACATCTTCAATTTGATGGCGTTGAAATCTAAGATAGCTACCCTGCGGTACCGCACGGCGCAACGGAAGATATTGTGTCGTATCCAGCTAGATCCACTGGATGTTTGAACAGACAGGGACAACTAAGTCCCGATTTGTCCAGAGAGACATTCGTCGCCTAGTCGTTTCACAATCATTCGAGAACTGTATTTCCTGGATAGGCTCGCAGACTGATTGGAGGGGGGTATCAAGCGATGATGATATGATGAAGCTGGAAGCTTAAAAGCAACGACAGAAATCAAACGCCGACCTTCTAACAAGACAGGGGCTATTCCCCGGATCGGGTGCCGGATATGCGCGGCTGGCTTGCCGCCCGCTTACGCCTGCAATTGCAAGCCCTAGCCTCAGACTCGCGCTCAAGGCTGCATATGCTCCTCTCCTCCACCCTCCCTCGCCGCCCTCCCGCCCTTCTCAGCGCATGCGCAGCCACACGCAGCTTCGCGCGCACCGTCCAACGCGCTCTCCCGCGCACGTCGCGCATCGCGGAGCAGAAAGCTACACATGTTAATGCGGTCCCGTCCTTCCGGGAGCAGGTCGCGAGGACGGCCAAGCCGGAGAGTTTCCGAGACAGGGTGCAGTGGCCGAGTGCAGGAAGACAGGTTATGGTGCGTTCTTCCCTCATGCGTGTGTGGAAGTTGAGGATGATGGCTGAGAGAGGGAATAGTTCGCACTTGGCGCGTCCGGACTGTTCTTTGCTGCTGCATCGCTCAAGACGGAGGAGGAGACCGAGTTTTGGAGAAGGCATACCTTCACGTTTCTGCCCTGGCAGGCCCCTCATAGCGCCAGCTTGCATCATGCGGTCAAGGTGGATATCTACAACGTGCGTCCAGCTTCGCTCTTTCTTTCGTTCCTGTTCTTTGACACACATCGCTTGTGCTCAGAAACTCTCGGCAGGGCGCGATTCTCTAGAACGTACTATGCGCGGATGGCCCATTGCTCTTCAGGCGTACTGCAACGCGACGTATGTCGCTCTCGCTAATGCGTGGCTGAACGCGCACGAGGGTCGGCGCGTATGTTGGACACTGTGTGCAGCCAACGCTGCGGTGTGGGTGCTCTGGCGCGTACCTCGCCTGCAGGGGTTCATGAGCAGAAGCTTCACACATCATCCGCTATCGGGGAGGAGCTATACGCTGTTGACGAGTGTATTCAGGTATGTGTCTTCGTTCCAACGGTATCTTGAGTTGGGTTGCCTAACGGACGATCAATACCATCACCGTGTAGTCATAAGTCCTTCCTGCACTTGGCGGCAAACTCGTTTGCTCTTGCTAGCTTTGGTAAGCGATCGACATTTTGATGTTTCTGACAATTCGGCCAGTTCCCTCTAATCAATGGACGTGGTCTATAGGCACAGCAACATGGGTATGGATGCGCAACGAAAACGTCCGCCAGGGTGCACCCGTACAGTCAACAGACTCGTACCACTTCCTCGCATTTTTCCTCTCAGGTACGCACTACGTTCCCTCGGGACTCGCCAACATTCTTGCTAACGCGCTCCTCTACTAGCCGGTCTATTCGCCGGCCTAGTAAGCCACGTCGCGACAACCAAGATCATCTTCCCCCGCCTCGTAGCACGCATGTCCCAAGCCACCCAGTCCGCCCTAGACAACGTCGCCCGCCCCACCGCCGCACACACCGCCGCCGAAGCCGCCGCCTCCGCGGGCAATGCTGGCAGCAGCAGCGCAGCAGCAGCAGCAGCAGCGCGCCCGATTCTGCCCTCGCTCGGCGCGTCCGGCGCGATCTACGCGTGCCTGACGCTCAACGCGCTCGCGTGGCCGCACGCGGAGATGTCGCTTGTGTTCCCGCCGCTGCCGTTCGGCGTGCCGCTGCGCATGGGCGCGGCTGCGCTCGTCGCGATGGATATCACGGGCTTGGTGCGTGGGTGGAGGCTGTTTGATCACTGGGCGCATCTGGGCGGGGCGGCGTTTGGGGTGGGGTATTATGCATATGGGACGGAGTGGTGGGAGTGGTGGAGGGATTTGTGGACGGAGGTGTTTAGGGACGAGAAGGGGTGGGGGCGGTAGGGCTGAATGGGGTGGGGTGGGGTTGGAGATCCGTGGTAGAGGAGATGCGTAGCTTGTTTGAGGGCACGACGGCGGACTTGGATACTATTTTCATTGTTTACTCACCTCTCAGCGGCATAATCACCTTAATTAACGATAATTCCAAATTGCGAACATTGACTTCTAGCCCGTGAAAAAAGGTAGCAGTATTAAGCACCAAGCGCACCCAACCAGATAGGCTTAACATATGTATTTTGAGTACCTATACGATAGAAACACAGCAGCGCCGGCTCTATAACACATTGTTGACTAACTAGCTGCGAACGCGTAACCAACAAAGCGAGTCGCTCGATTCCAGGACTCATGCCCGGTGTTTGAATAGAGCTCATATTTACGTTCAAAGGACAGCAGCCTACATCATGGTGATCTCTTGATCGGTAGCGAAATCTACTGATGCGCTGCGCTATGTATTTACAATATTTCGACATCAAACGGGCGCTCAGATGGTCCATTATGCTGCCCCTGGCCGCGCGATCGCTGTAAACGCCCTTCGGAAGGGGCAGGTTAGCGGAGGATTTGTTCCGTCGGTGGTCGGGAGGCGAGGCCGTGCATGGGAGGTATATATTGACCTAGACTAGTTACATGTACGTGGTATTGTCCGTCATGGGATGTGCTACCCTGCTGGACAGAAAAATGATTCCAAAAAAAAATCGACATACGCGCTCCTTCACTCGTCACTAATTGGTGCGAAAACAAGGTAGTCATAAACTTTACTTAAGCCCATTTCTGAACCTTCACTTCCATTTAGGTTCCGCTTGTTGGTCCTGTTCATCCCCAAGACAAGATGATTGATGGCCATAGCATATGTGGAAAAGAAGATGCTTGCTGAAATGAGTAACAGTTCCGGGGCATATATATGCAGCAACATGTCGAGGAGTTCTGCGAGACAAATACTATATTCAAATCTCAGCCATGTATTTATAGCCTGGTCAGTTGTGGTGGAGAGGCATACCTGATATAGCACATACAGCTCCCATGACCAAGCCTTTTCATGAGGGCTGCTCCGATCCAGCGTTTGTTGAGAGATTGTTGGTAGTACGTTATGGTCTTATAGCCTTATAGCTGAATAATACCATAAACACAATAGCGGTCATCACCATCGGTACGCTGGTGCTATAGCCGCTGCAAATTAATAATTTGGATCATTTCACAGTGGTATGAGACTCACTATACCCGTTCCGTGACAGAAAGCTTGATCGTATAAAAGGGACATACTCCAAGCTGCCGTTCCGACGCTAAGGCATTCAATAGACGTAAGTAAAGAATGACGAGAAGACACGAAGTTGCCCATGACGTACTTTTAGTGAAAACAATGGAAACAGCAGCCGCAGAAGAACAGAATAATATGGTCATCGCATACAAGGCCGTCACAGAGCACGTAACTACCCTTTCTATATCAGACCAAATTTATGAATCAGCACTTTATACTACAGGGCATTCTTGGCTGAAGCTCTGACGGGTTTGGTATATGGCATTGATGTGACATAGCATAATGCCTATTGCTACGTCATCAGCTCACTGTTAATGAAGGAGGAAAGAATAGGATGATGCTAGCATTCACGATTCAATAATCAAGCCTCTACTGGTTTTCTCCTTGAAAACAAAGCTCACCGGGTATTCCCACTAACAAGTACCACACCTGGCCTTATATGTTCTAATTCGGATCATTTAGCTTATTGTTTGGCGTGTAACGGACGTACACCTGGTCTCATTGTCAGCATGCATGTTTATACGGATAACAAGGCACCAACATTTCGCGTGTATAGTCAGTGTTAACAATAACTGTTCACGGAAAATAGTGTCAGCGTGATGCAACCGTCTACAAGGTACTGAACTAACAATAGACTTGTAGAGCCCCCAAAAGCAGGGAAACGTAGCGGTTCTAAATTGTATCAGTTGCAGTCAACTTTTGCGACACACGACAGGATTTTGCGTACAAAGAAGTATAGGATTTTGGGAAGCTTGAAACCGGGCGTCTGAAAGTCAAGCAAGTAAACAACGGTAGTGATCATCATCATGATGGGATCAGCGTAACCTAAAAGTCACAGGTACTTACCCACATAATTCTACCTACAAGTAATCGCGGTTTTCAGCGCAGGTACTGCATGAATCACTGTGATGGCTTACCTCGTCTGATATGGTAAGGACTGGAAAGATGAGTGTCACCATCGTATTATTATGGGCTAAATAGGAACTTACGGAAGTCCCACGTATACAACACTGCCAAAGCGACTAGACCGTGGATGAGCACCATCCAGTATCCAGTGAGGCGAGAATTAAAAGGTAATATTAGCGGCGTACCTGCGATCTGTTGGTAGGTGGACATGTCCCCAAGGGTGATGTTAACTTTTACAAGGCTGCTGGCGACTACTTCCAAGCCCTCCATTGTCTCTAGCGATAACGATGCGTTCATAGAAGATGCTGAGAGCCGGGTGATGTAGTTGGTCGACACGTGGGCACAGAGGGCAAAGTCTGAGATAAATATATTTCGGCCTGGTGACTTCCCTTAAGTATGTCGTTTGCGCACCCTCAAGAAGCGAGATACCCGCTGAAACAGTGTTCACGACGCTCTCCTTATGCATGCCACGAGGATCAAACGGCGACCAATCCCTTCTTCGTCTCGGTGCTAGGGCAAGCCCGAAGAGGGTAACCTGACCGGCGATGTTCTCGAAGCCGTGGTCCGGACGCCCTGGAGCTGATAGAGAAGGCGGTGGGCGTTACAGTTAGTTACATACTCGAGTTACGTAGAGAATCGTCCGACATGCGATGACCAAATCTGATGAACGTTAATGTTCTCGTAATAATAATAAGCGAGACATCTGCATCAGATACCAGCCGCATCGGTGCTCAAGCATTACCGGTGTACGGTAGACTAACATAAAGTTCAGATTGATGCATAACGATAGACTGAACATATACTTTCCACGTGGATCGAGTCGTATAGTTTCGGCTTTCTAGGGTCCGAGATCAGAATTGCGCACAGAGCGTTCTAGTTAGTATCGGAATAACGAGGCAGAAGATTCGAAACAAGTAACGGGGTACCTGTAGTGGAAGGGATGAAAGGGCGATGTCCCAGGCTGTTTCTGAATGCCTGTGTATTGTAAATTAATCGCGGAGCGCTGAGGTCCAAACTATGCGTTTCTCTCAGCTTCTCCAAATATCAACATCAAGTTGCAGGCAGATTCCCAGTACAGTCCTCGTAAGCCTTATGTTCGATGGGAAGAATCCCATAGTGCTCCAGAAGAAAAGGAGGCCAGGGATAGTCGACTGAATACTAGGAGACAATACGGAGTAGGCGCCAGAATTACGACATAGGAGAAGAATCGGGCCGCGGGAGCTTCGACGGGGTACGGAGTTCATCGCCTTTGATTGAACGTTGAACGTTGAACAATGACTATCAAATCTCGGCTGGGGATTTGGGACGGATCCGGATCGGTGTTGAGAATGCACCTGCACTAGAACTGGTCCTTGTTATCCCTTGGACAGGTGTAAGACGATGATCATCCAACGTCTGAAAGCGTCATTTCGGATATTTCTTGTGTCAAAGGCTGCTAATGGGATGAGACGATCCAATGCATGAGTCTCAGCGCGCTAGTCTTGGGCTAGTCTCTGTAGGGTACATCACAAGGATTAATACCATTCGGTCGTTCCACCAACGCACATTATCTGGGATTTGTTCTTCGTATCCGGGTCCTTTTGAGCGCGTTAGGTCCGTTCGCGTGGCGCAAGGTGGTGCGAAAATGGAGAATCGATCAGACTTTTAGATAACCCGAGGAGGACGCTGGAGGATGGGAAGAACGGCAACTTCAGCCACTCGAGCGTGTGAAAACTGAGCTACAATAATTGTGTCAGTACGCTCAATTAGGCGATAATAGGCGAAATACTCGACATTAATTACTTACTCCGGAGAAGGGCGAAACGAAGTGCCAGTCTTTTTCATCTGTTTCTCGACAACTTGACAGGTACAAAGTTGCTGCGTCGGTGACTAGCATTCTTCTCAGCAACATTAAAACTACGGAGGTTTCCCACAGGTGATGCAGCCCCTTTTAGAGTCTAGACTAAAGGTACAGATTTCCAACTATATCACGAGCAAGCTGGCGTCGATATTTTTGCAAGAAGGTAGAACACTGCAAACACATTCCCATCACACCGTTCCTGATCTCAAAGTCCCGCAAACTGCATTGGCAAGTTCACCATTCGTCCAAGCAGAACTTATTTCTGTCACTAGTCGCGCAAAACTTCTTTCATATTAAGCTGTCGCGTCGCCACCTCGTCTCAAGCTTCAAGCTTCAGAGATGACATCTGGCGTGTCACTACTGCTTGATGCGATTGAATTATCATCCGCGTAATTGGGCAAATGTTTCGTTGTCCCTGGAAGTGGCAGATCACCGACATGTGTCAGTGAATCTGTATAACCTCCGCACGTTTCACCGACGTTGGCCTCGTCCTCTTCCTTCTTACCCCATTTTAACCTTTAAATCTTCCCCAGAGACCGCGTCCACCCTTCGACCTCGCATCACGCTGGGCCGCCCATACCCAGTACAGACTTCATTCCCTTGTGGATCATGGCCAGTAACGGGACCAACGTCCTCCCACCCGAAACCCCTGCGCAACTCATCGCCGATGGGATTAACCTTATCGGAGCGACGACGGTCTGCGGCACATTCTATGGCTTCATGACTGCTATTGCAGGCGTCTGCATCTACACCTTTTGTCTCCCGGGATCGCGCGCAAAACGCTCACGCGGCCGTCTCGCGTTCCTTGTATCTTACGTCGCTCTTCTTTGGCTGTGTGGCTCGCTGTACGTCGCTGGCATAGCGCGCTCAACGACCGACGCCTATGTCGACCGGAGGCTGGTGCTGCAGAGCCCGGCAGAGTGGGGGGACCCTACGCTGCCAGAAGTTACTGTCCTCGATACGGCGTATGAAGTCTCGATGGCTCTTGCAGATGGGCTTATGGTGCGTTTGGGTTGCGCTGGATGGAGTTTTTTTGTCGTTAATCGTGGTTACCTAGGTATGGCGCTTCCGAACAGTGTGGTATGACTCTCCATGGTATCCGTTTTTGATGCCGGTTCCTGTCCTCATTTACTTGGCCTCCCTTGGTGAGTTTCTGTTGTCCATGCCTTTCCGTTCCATTCACCTCCCTTCTTTTCTTTCAGCGACAGGCTTTACTTCAGTTGTTAGCGGTACGCGTCCGGATCGCGATTTCTATTCGCTGGTAGCACAGAGGACGACCGTTCCCGCATTTATATTGTCCGTGGCTCTCAACCTCTATACGACCTCCTTAATCGCCGGCCGGTTGTACTCGTATAGGCGCTGGTTTGCTAAACACATTGGTACGTCGAAGTTTCTCGTTTCGCTTGCCGAGCCGCGTAGCGGGACGCTAACACAGCCCATCGCGCTTGCTCACAGGGAATTCTGCTTTACACCCAAAACACTACACCAACATCGCCGGCATCGTCGTTGAATCCTGTGCGCTGTTCACCGTTACATCGATCATCTTCGTCTGCTTCTACCTGTTACACAATCCTGGCCAATTCCTGATGATCGCGGTGCTCGCCGAGGTGCAGATCATTGCACCGCTCCTCGTGATGCTCCGCATCTCAAACGACGTCGCCTGGGAGGTCAACACGGCGACCACGGTCGATCACAGAGCATCGACGCGGCAGGGATGTGTGATCCGGGGACCGCACGAGACAGAGATGACGGATCTTCGTTTTGCTAAGGAGGACGGGGACGTCGAATATGGTACCGAAGAGTCTCGGACGGTGGTTTAAACTTCGCTCGGGGAATCGCTTTGAAACGTTTAGGTTATTGGATGTTGTATGGTTTCCTTTTCTATGTGCACGAAAACGGATGGCTACTCACGACACTTCTATAAAATACCCTCTTTCACCTTTAATTCATCTCTTGAAACATGGCCCGCAAATTTATGCCATTGCAATTAACTGTCTTTCCGGTATAAATGTACTGTTTAGGCCCCAATGGTCATGCTTAAGATGACCGAGATGCTATAGAGGTACAATACAAAAGACGAGTCAGCTAAAATATATCTTTGCACGTTCGTGATGTGGCCGAGCAGTATTTATGTGTATACTGTACTATTCCTGCAAGTAGATGAGAGGCTATGTAAACCAGACTCGAGGACTTAGCATGCGGCTCAATCGATAGGTCGCTGATTTCCGCCGCTTTGATGGTTCAACACTAATGCAGTAGCCAGCCGGACGTCACTCACCTCCTGAAGGTAGCCTTGATCATGATCATGATGGTGAGTCATCAAAGAAAACAGCCGCGTGAACGAGGCACGTCATTTTCCTTATCTCAAAATACATCGAGGAAGCACGTAACGGAGCCCACACGGACCGAATATATGGCTCCCAGATCATGAATGTCCCATGGGTCCCAGTTTACCTGTCCCCCTCATCATGCAGGGCGAGTCGCACCAGCTTCCAACGCTCGATCTGCTCCAGGTCAGCGAGCTGCCGGACGTCGACGCTGTGGCCGTCGCCCGCGGCTGGTTCTCATCTTTCAAGACCGCGCTCGCGTCGAGCGACGTCGACGCTGTGGTGCAGCACTTCTATGGGGACGGCTTCTGGGTGGACAATCTCGCGCTGACGTGGGACTATCGCACCTTCCGTGGGCTCGACTCCATCCGCAAGCTGCTCGGTGCACGGCTCAAGGATGTGGACATCGGAGGGCTGCAGCTCGAGGAGGACGAGTTCAGAGGGCCCCAGCTGCAGAGGCCATACCCCGACGTGGCGCTTTTGCGGTTGTGCTTCTCGTTCACGACGGGCGTGGGACGCGGGACGGGCGTGTGCAATCTCGTGCCGTTTCCCGAAGGAACATGGAGGGCGTACACGATGTTCACGATGCTGGAGTCGCTCGCCGGGTTCCTGGAGCAGGTGCGCCGTCCGATATCGTGTAACTCAAGGTAGAGAATGTTCTGACATGTCTAGATTGACCACCTTAGACCGAGAGGAGGAGAACACGGGACATATGAAGATCTACGAAGGCGCGAACTTGAGGTTGAGGACAACAGCCGAACGGTGCTCATTGTTGGAGCTGGACATTCGGGTTTGATGACTGCTGCGCGACTCAAGTGCCTGGGCATTGACTCGTTGATCATTGATAGACAAGAAAGAGTCGGTGACATGGTCAGTTTTGCCTTCTCGGTTGGGGTAGACGTTCTGAACCGTTGTGCTAGTGGAGAAAACGCTACAAGTTTCTAAGTCTTCACAGCACGCCGTGTACGTGCTTGGTGTCATCTTTGATTTGCGTACATGAGCTCACCAACTTGATAGATTACAACGAGATGCCTTACATGCCGCAAGTTCCATACCACTTCCTTTGCGACGCGTCGAACTTAGCTGGACTACAGATTCCCCGCCACCTGGCCGAGATATTCGTCGGGCTACGAGGTACGTGTATTGAAGTATGTTGGTCGAAAGCGAACCCCAACCCCATCACCCACAGATGGGCGAATGGCTCGAAGCGTACGCCAAGTTCTTGCGACTCAACGTATGGACGAGCTCCAAGGTCCTCAAAGCAACTTGGGACGATTCGCAGAAGCGCTGGACTATTGAAATAGACCGCGGAGGTCGCGAAATCAGGACTCTGACCGTCAAACATCTGATGTTCGCGACGGGGCTGACGGGTCCGCCCAAGGTACCTGAGGTTAAAGATATGGTTCGTTCATGCTACTCCCTGTAGATGTGGAATAACGAGCTCACTATGGATGCCAGGACGTCTTCAAGGGGAAAGTATTCCACGCGGCTCAGTTCACGTCCGCAAGAGACCATATTGGGAATTGTAAGAAAGCTGTCGTCGTTGGCGCATGTCTCTCGGGCCATGACGTTGCACACGACTTCTACGAGGCTGGCATGGACGTTACGATGTAAATTGCATTAAAGCCTTGCCTACTCAATGCAGTGTCGCTCACCATTCATGAAGGTACCAACGTTCAGCAACTATCATCCTATCGCACCCACCTGCGGATGAGGTTCTGGGAGGTGCGCATGTCCCCACTAACCACTTCGCTACGCTGGCATACTGATACCTGCCCTGATAATACCGTCAGCCTACTTTCTACAAGGCTTCCCAACCGAAGTCGCAGACATATACCTCAACTACCTCCCGCTCAAGACGCGCTTCCAGATGGCCCAGCGGCGCACCCGGCAAGTCGCGAGCACGATCGACAAGTGAGCGCAATATACTCCCTGCCTCTCTTTTCTTGGTATCCATGCATCTGCGTGGGTGGTACGTGGTGTTAGCGCACCTTACTCATCGTCCCCTCCTCTCCCAGAGAGCTCATCGAGAACCTCGAGAACGCGGGCTTCAAGACCACACTCGGCCCGGGCGATGCCGGCTTCGGACCGCTGCTCCTGACGCCGCGGGGAGGGGGCCATTACATCAGTAAGCATTCGCGCTCGATTACTGGCGGATAAAAACTGATGCGAAACGCGCTGGACGCTTCGGGCAGACACGGGCACGTCGCAGCTGATCATCGACGGGCGCATCAAGGTCAAAAACGGAAGCGCCATCGCGCACATGACGGAGCGCGGTATCGCGTTCGAGGACGGCACGGAGCTCGAGGCGGACATCGTGGTGTTTGCGACTGGGTTCAAGGACCAGCGTACGGAGATGTGGGGTGTGTTGGACAAAGAGGTGGGCGAGAGGGTGCCGCCGATATGGGGTGTGAATGAGGAAGGGTTTATGCCTGCGAACTGGAGGCCATGCGAGGTTGAGAATCTCTGGTTTGGGATAGGTGAGTTTCGGTCGAGATTCTTGAGAGGCAGGGTGACTGACGTTGTGAAGGTGGTTTCGCTGCGTCGAGGTTCTACAGCAAGTTGTTTGCGTTACGTGAGTTCCGTGATTCATGGGGTGGTCACATGTTCACTAACAGCACCTCACAGGGCTCAAAGCGATCGAGGAAGGTCTCTATGACAAGCCTGACCTTGGCTTTTGACGCACTGGACTTACAAGAGCAACTCGTCCGAATCACAGCGTTCACTTGCATCAAGTCGTGATGTCATTGACTGTAAGATATTAATATGTATACGTTGATATATCAGCATGCCTGTATCATTAGCGCATCTATGCAGACTTCTCAGAACCGCCGAGTTCGATAGCGAAGGCTACAGCGAGCTTGGAGAATTCGAGCATGTGGTTGAAGCTGAACTCGGGGGACACGTCGATGCGGCTGTCAAGTGTCGTGAGCAATGTATTTCCAGCTGGGTATGAAGGTGACTTACTCGCTGGCTGAGTGGATGTTCTGGAGGTTGGAGTCGTCGAACAGGCCCTCTGAGGTGCGGTCAGGCTCAAATACGGGTCAGAGAAGCATTGGACATACCGATAGTGAAAATGCTAGGGAAGCCGTTCTTGGCAAACGACGCGCTGTGATTTCGTTTAGTGTGGGGTAGGCACGACCAATGCAGACTTTACTCACTGATCGGAGCAGGCGTACCCACACTTGGTGTCAACAGAAGGAATGGACAGGTACTCCTTGATGAGCTTCTTGTTGTAGTCCGTCAGGCTGAAGTGAAAGGTGGTTAGTAGATAACCACAGACGGTGCTCCTTCTGCCACTTACGCAGGGTCGACATAGTCGGTAATAACACCGACAACCTCCTTAGTACCACGCTTGACCCAGGCAGTCATGTCATACTGGCTCATGGCGTACACTTCAACACCACGGTTGGCATAGTCGGTGGCGAGCTGCTGCGAGCCCAGAAGGCCGCCTTCTTCGGCAGAGTACCATTGGAACTCGACGGGACGAGCGGGGCGGAAGTCAGAGGCCAGGAGGGCACGGTAAGACTCAAGGATGGAGGTAGTACCAGAACCATCGTCGTCGGCGCCTAATCGAGTTTTCTTGTCAGTGACGTTCCTTGCCGCGATCGACAAGGCCAAGACTCACCCGGAGCGGGGAAGAAGGGCCACATGTTTGTGCTGTCCTGATGGGCGCCAACGATGACGACACGTTCGTCGTCGGACGTGCCGTTGATGCGGGCTACCTTGGAGGGAGTGAGCAATAATTTTTCATTGTGAGGTGTCTCTAACGTACGATGGAGTTCTGGCCCCAGCTGTGCTCGAACTCGGAGATGCTGATAGCTTGCTGGAGCGAGTCAGACGCGGACTCAGCGGTGATCTATGGAAGATGTCAGATTTGGGGAATGCAGTGACAATAACCATGCTGACCTCCTGAATACGAGAAAGGAGCCACTTCTGGCTCTCCTGGCCAGTCTAGATGCCGCTCATTAGTAATTAAACGTCTCACATAAAGCACCCCTCATACCTGACTGCGGTAGTCTGAGAACGCGCGGTCAGCAATAAGTAAGTACTGGAATAGTTTGCAACGTACATCTGGTCCTGAAGCTGGAGAACTTCTCGAGGTTGGCACGCGGTCCCTCGGTTGACAGAGTCTTGATAACACTCGTGACCTTCTCTTGCGCGCTAAGCTCGGGGTAGTCGTCTGCACATTTCCAAGGTAAGGGACATGGCGACGAGTCAGCAAAAGTCTCGTCATTTGAGCAGCCTGAAGACGTACAGGTCTTGGTAGGCTTGACCTGAGCAGCAGCAAAATGGTCGGCAGAGTCGGTACTGACAACAGTGTGAGTGAGATGTAGGCCTTAAAGTAGGAAAGGAGTTACATGTCAAAGAACTTGCGACCGTTGGCCTTTGCCTCTAGCTGTGGTCACACGCAAGATAAGGGTGGCTGGCGGGCAGAAAATGAAGGAAAGCTCACCTTCTGGTACTCAGAAATCCAGACGGGCTCGTGTCCCTCGAATTGAACAAGGCGGGGTTCGTTGAGGTCAAGGCTGAAACCCTCGACGCGGAAGTCGACCTGTGGCATGTCGGCCTGGGGCACGACGACGCTGTCATGTAGCTGGCTACCGAACGGCACCTGCTGAGCTAGTGGCTTGGAGATAGCCGCGCCAGCGACAGAGAGAGCGATGAGAGCAACCTTCATGGTGAGATGTGGTGGGTGTATGCGGGGTGGTAAGAGGTGGCTGAGGAGTTAGAATATGGTCGTCCGTGTCCTGGTTCAAGCTGAGACGCGTTGCCGACCTGCGCGGCGCTCCGTGGTCTGAGCATGTCCAAATAAGGGGATCTTACGTTATGCCGCTGTTTCCCCACATGGTCGGATGGATCCGGGGTAGCTGCGGAAGCAGTGGCGGCTGCTGGACCGGGCGGACCGATCATCAGTCGGGAGGTCCGGGTAATATTAAGGAGGAACAGGAAGTTATCAGGCGAATCAGCAGCCAACGGGCCATAAGTACAAAGCATGCGAGCACCACCGCCAAGCGCTGACCCCCTCCAACGCTCCCTAACAACACCATGTCTCTCAAGCAGGGCGAATTTGTTGGTTCTCTCGATTGCGGAACTACGTGCGTCTTTCCCCGCCGATTTTTATAAGCATTTGTGGGCGTCTCACCTTGACATCCTCATAACATGACGTACATCCAGCTCTGTCCGCTTCATCATCTTCAACGAATTTGCGGAGATCGTCGCTGAACATCAGCTCGAGTTCCCCCAGTACTATCCTAACCCCGGGTGCGTCATTCGACCCCGCAGTCTCTCGCTCCTACATGTGATTGACGAAAGGCCCTGAAGCTGGCACGACCACGACGCCGATGAGATATGGCAGGTGTCGGTCGAGTGTATTGATAAGGCTTGTCAGAAGCTTGAGCAGGCGGGATGGGCAAAGTCCAGTGTCAAGGTGATCGGTACGTACACTCCGTTGTCTAGATGAGCTCTTCGATTGACCGCTCGCGAATCCCCAGGTATTACAAACCAGCGCGAGACCACTGTGGCCTGGAGCCGCAAAACCGGTAAACCTCTCTGCAAGGCGATCGTCTGGACGGACTCGCGAACAAAGAACGTTGTCGTGCATTATGAAAACATCCTGGCACATACCGGGATCGAGGTGGAGCCCGGAGTGTTCCACAAAGCAGATGAGGGCGTCGAGGCGCTGGTGGACATGTGAGTCATCGCATAGTATAGAGCTCATCATAGTAATCAGGATGCTTCATCAGAACTGGCCTCAAGCTCTCTACCTACTTCTCTGCGATCAAACTCAGATGGATGATCGACAACTACGACAATGTCAAAGCAGCACACGACGCAGACGACCTCATGTTCGGCACAGTCGAGTCTTGGGTAGTCTACGTGAGTCACAGCTTGATCAATTCCAGCATCTACGTCTAAGCTGCTTGTGTTCAGAAAATGACAGGTGCCACCGACGGCGGCCTGCACATTGGCGAAGTAACTAACGCCTCGCGCACCCTGCTCATGAACATCAAGACTCTGGAATGGGACCCGCGCCTTCTCAAGTTCTTCGGCTTCCGGGAGACTATCCTCCCCAAGATCGTCTCCTCGTCCGAGGTATACGGCAAGATTGTAGGTGGCACCCTTGATGGCGTACCCATCGCCGGGCTCGTCGGCGACCAGCAGGGCGCGCTTGTCGGCAACAAGTGTCTCCTCCAGGGAGAGGCAAAGTGCACGTACGGGACTGGCGCTTTCTTGCTGTTCTGCACGGGTGCGGACATCGTGAAGAGTCGGCATGGCTTGTTGAGCACGGTTGCATACCAGCCTGGGAGCGGTGCAAAGCCGATCTATGCGCTGGAAGGAAGCAGTGAGTGGTGCACATTCTTTCAGTGACGTTACCTAGGCTCACTGAGTGGCAGTTGGTGTCGCCGGAAGCGCCATCCAATGGTGAGCGAACCGTAGATATCTGTTAATGATCGCTCGCCCACTGAGTACATCGCTTACTCGCAGGCTGCGCGACTCCATGGGCTTCATCAAGGACGCCACGGAGGTCAACAAGCTCGCCGAATCCGTGCCCAACACCGGCGGCGTCTACTTCGTGACCGCCTTCTCCGGCCTCCTCGCGCCGTACTGGGACCCGGGCGCCACCGGCATTCTCATTGGTGGGTTTCCAGCGACCGCCATACTGATCCGATGACGAGACCGACGTGATGCGCGTGAACAGGGATTTCGGCGTACACGACGCCGGCGCACATCGCGCGCGCGACGATCGAGGCGAACGCGTACCAGACGCGTGCGATTCTCGAGAGCATGAAGCTTGACTCGTCGGTCGACCTCAAGCATCTCAAGGTCGACGGTGGCATGACTAACGGCGATATCTGCATGGAGATCCTCGCGGACATTGGCGGGTTCAATGTCGTCCGTCCTGTTATGCGAGAGTGCGTTTTTCATCCGCTCCCTACCCAGTTGACTTGTCGTGCGATGCTGAAGGCTTTCATATAGATCGACGGCATTGGGTTCCGCGCTCCTCGCAGGCTCTGCAATCAAGCTGTTCGGATGGGACCTCACCAAGCCTGAGACACTGGAGAAGGTGAACACGAAGGGATCACGTACCTTCCAGCCCAAGATTGCGGTCAAGGACCGCGCTGCGGGCTGGCAGCGGTGGCAGAACGCTGTTGAGCGGTCCAAGGGCTGGGAAGAGGGCACGGACAACTAAGGCCTTGTGTGAAGCTGAAGGCGGAAACCAGAATGTCGAAACCAAGGGCTTGTACGAAGTATTAACCTTATCCTGTAAGTGTATGTTATGTAGTATGTACTTGTGTGGTACGAACGAGAACATACCCTATATATGGAGTCGTTCGATCTAGGTTCCAAGAAAATGTAAGGACACCCTAGAATGCAACTTAGTTGCACTCCATATCACCTGCAGTATCTCGTGTTGGTAGGTAGGCTTCTGCCTTGAGCTTGCAGTGCACACAGCCGTTTCATTGAGTACCTTCATTTGATATGAGGCCATAATGCTATCATGGTGAGTATCTGGTACATCATGCATCATGATTGATTAATGCTGTCCAGCACCGCTACTACTACTACTACCATGACGGCATATGCAATGAATATAAAGTCCTAGTTTTGCGCGGTCTGGGGTCAACGATACAATGCTTCTCTCCACAGTTTTGACTCTCATTTCTGCATTAGCAGCTGGTGTCAGCGCCCAATCCTCTTGCGATGACAATCCCACTGGATATGTACAGGGCTGCCTGAGCCTACAAAACAACTTAAATGGAAACCCTTGTGCTTCGTGAGTGCCATCTCAAATTTGCGACGCGATGGACATCACTGCAATTATTTCGTCGAGCTGATGTTTCATTATCCCAGGGGCGATTATTCGTGCATGTGCGCCGGACTTGGCGGTGTGGGGTACGACAGGTGTATGTCGGATGCTTGCGCGGCTGCGGAGGCGGCAGTAGGCTCAGTGTCGGAAAAACCAAAACGGGCATCTTGACGGTGGTGGCATTTCGCGTCTCAACGCAACTATATGGGGGGTTCAAATCGTCAAAATGCCATTTAAATGTTGTCAAGACGGCGCCAAGGCGGGAATGCGGTCGTAGCGACGTGATATGATTGGCTTTTCGTCGTCGATGACCCGTTTTTATGAGCGTTGGAACGGCATCTCAACTTTACGAACCCCCCATTAAGACGGGGTTACCATCAAAATGCGTTTCAATGCATTTCGACGCAATTTCGCTTTTTCCGACATCCGTATGTTGAGGCTGCGGCAGCCCTTCGATCCGTGAGTCAATAAATGGTCAATATAGTAGATACGATTTAGAGACCCTGATAATTGTTTTATAGCCTGAGATAATTAGTTGGGATGTGGCGTACTTTACCATCCTGTAGTGTAATGTTCGGACTAGTCTGACGTCGCGTGGAAAAAACCTATTGGCTTTATCCCGTGGGGTTGATCGATTGATCGTGGTAAACATACCCCCATGTGCTCCGCAAGACTGCCTCGGGCTGCCTTCGGAGACCCTGTAATACCCTCTCGCGCTCGCGGCACCGACGTTTCGGTGATCGATGACTCGAGGACATTTCCGAGATATTTTATCTAGTCCGGGTTCTCCGCTCCAGTTATCTACCTCCAGGACGAATTCGCGGTAGCACTATGCCGACATCTGTTGATCTTGCCTCTTTATGTCTCTTCCCCGCCACTCTGGCGCAAGTGGCGGAGTCTCGGAAACGCCAGTACCCCGAGTGGGCTGGGCATCTCACGTTCGAACAGTTCACCGAGCGCGATCTTGCCTATGACAATCTGGAGCATGCAAAGGGTGGTAGAATGACGATCTGGTGTGTGTGTGCGAGACACAACTTCTGGTGTTCGATGGCTTACATGTTTCAGGGTTTTAGCACCCAGGGTCGATCCCCAGACACTGGACTTCGCGTGTGCTTGCGAGACGTGCGTATACGTCTCCGCCATGAACGACTCTGATCAGCCTTAACATCGATATCTGTTGACGTCATGGATACTGCTACCAGGTACCGACGAGATGCATTTGTCAAATGGTCTGACGGCAAGGTCGAAGAGGTGGTAGGCTTTGGAATTGCATCCGTCTACACGCCGGATGGCAAGCGCCACAAAGGCTACGCCTCGCATATGATGCGTCTGCTGCATTGGGTGCTCACCTCTGATTCGCTGAAAGAAGAAGACTTTCCTAAGGCTTGGGGCTCACCTCCGCCCAAGGTGCAAGGCGCGGGAGACGCAAAGTTTTCCGTGCTCTACAGCGATGCTGGTCCCGAGTTTTATCGCACGTGTGGCCCAACGGAGGGAAAGAGCGGCGGGTGGGAGGTTAAAGGCGCTGTATCGACGCTGTGGGACGTGCCGGATGAAGCAATTCTGGAGGAGTCCCACAGCTGGAGAGACATTCGGGAGGAAGAGGAGTTGAAGGTATTCTGGGAGAAAGACGCACAGCTGATGAGACAGACTCTGGCAGCGCGTCAGCCGGAAGCTGGGAAGGTGGCGGCAGCGTCTTTTTCCCCTCACAAAGGTGTCGCGATGTTCCAAGTCCCTCGGTCCAAGTTTCATACACACCACCTCTTCACGCTCGACGTCTGGGGAACGGAACTGGCGGATCCTACGCAGGATGTGCCGACCTACGCAACGTGGGCCGTGGACCTCTCGTACAAACCGCGTCGGCTCCTCATCACGCGCATGAGCGCATCTTCTGAGACCTTTCCTGTGCTCCTGAAGAAGATCTTCGGAGTAGCAAAACATGCTGGCCTTCAGAAGGTCGAGATTTGGAATCTGGACAAGTCCCTGTTAAGTGCAGCGGAAGCGCTGCGAGGAAGGACGTACGAGCGATCGGAGCATATTTCGGCGTTCAGGTGGTACGGTGAAGAACCCACTAGCGAGATACAATGGACGTTTAATGAGAAGTAAGCTTTTGTTAGCTTCTGCGCTGCTCCAGGTTTGGCTGATATGTACTACAACTAATAGGTTTGGATGGTGCTAGGCTGGTTGACGGTAGATAGGTCAGCAATCCGCCGCGGATTTTACGAACTGTTTGAGTTGTAGGATGTGCTTCAAGGCGTTGCAATACTATCACTAACAATGTCACAACTGGTATCATCTTTCTGGAAAGTGAGTTGTCCTTCGTGTATACGACCCTCTCACGCAGTTACAAGTATATGGTCCGGTTACCGGGCCAACTCTTGGCAGTGGTGGGTACAGAATTGCAATTGATGCGAGCCGGACCCATGACAAGCTTTAGAAAATTGAACCACTGACATCAACTTAACCGGCAAAGTTGCTGCGAAGATCGCCATGATCTGCAGATCTCTCCAGACATCCTTCAACCTCTTTCTTTGCCTTCGAGCTTCGACTTCGCTTGAATGTAGCATGCTGGGGAGGTAAGGGCGTCGACCTGGATCAATGTGCGTCAATTGCCCACGTCTGCAGTCGGTAATTGTGGGTATGAAAACAAGTATGAAATTCTATGAAATTGTACCAGGGCGTTCGGAATTACGACACCCGACGTCATGAACTTGTGCTCGCGTAACACGGGACTGGGTTATGTTACAGAACTCAGCAGTTTTTTTTCGCTTCCCTGTCTTTCCCTCTAACCCTTGAATTCAACTGTTCAACGTCATATAACCATGTTTGGCTAGTCGCGACCTCCTGTAGGTGGTCTATACATTTTAGAAGCTCCTGTCATTGCCCCTCGGAATGAAGCTGCTCGCCCTTCTCGAATCTCAGCAGGTAATCATTTGCCATCTTCGCTGGACTCGTTGCTCTCGCCGATAAACCACTCCCAACCTTCCCGACGCCTCTCATCTATCCCCCATCCAGAGGCGGCGAACTGAGTTCCTTTGACAGACATCCACTTTCATGTCTTCATGGTCACCTCGGCCTTCCCACCCGAGACCTCGCAGGAGCTTTATGCCGACAGCCTCAAACTTCTCGGGGGCACGACCGTCTGCGGCATCTTCTATGGCATCATGACCGTCCTCGCCGCGGCCTGCGTGCATGCCTTCTTCCACTGCACCCCGCGCGGAGGGTCGTCGAGGCTCAGGCTCGCCGCTCAAGTGGGATACGTTGCGCTCCTATGGGTGTCCGGCACGCTCTACATGGCCTGCCTCGCGCGGACGTCAAACGACGTGTATGTCGTTTGTCGATTGCAGCTGCAAAGCCCTTCGGAGTGGAGCGACTTTCAGTCGCCGGAGTACATTCTTGGGGACACGGCGTATGTGGTTGCGCACTGCCTTGCTGACGGCCTGCTGGTGCGTGTTATCATTCAGCGGTATGTCTTAGGAGGCTGATAGTGGGTCGTGATGGGTAGGTTTGGCGCTTTAGAGCGGTGTGGCATAACTCAAAGTGGTACCGATACCTTCTGCCGTGTGCTGTGCTTCTGTACTTAGCTGTAATCGGTGAGCCCTTGCCTTGTCCCTAGGTTCATGGCTCATGCATCGAATCGTTCACTCATACAGCACTTGACTTCATGGCAGTCATAAATAACTCTCTTCCAGGGCATAGCTTCTATTCCACTGTTGCATACAAGATGACGGCCCCCTCCTTCGTCGCTTCTGTCGTCCTTAACCTCTATACAACATCACTTATCGCAGGTCGCCTTTATGTCTTCCGCCGTTGGCTCGTTAATACCGTTGGTGCGTGGGTCTGCTTTCTAGAAAATCATTTCTGCTCTTACTGGACAACCTACAGGCAAAGACTTTCTTCATCCGAAGCACTTTACCAATATCGCCGGAATAGTCGTCGAGTCCTGCGCGCTCTTCACTGTTACCTCCATCATCTTCATGGGGACCTACGTCGCCCGCCATCCAGCTTTCTACGTGATGATCGCCGTGCTCTCTCAAGTACAGATCATCGCTCCGCTGCTTGTGATACTTCGGATGTCGTGGGGCATCGCATGGGAGCCAGACGTGACGATGTGCACGGCCGCAATCGACGTCGGCCATGTTTTGCAGAGAGATGACGACTGCCATATAAGCGTGATACCTAATTTGAGAATAGCGGCATGCGACAGCGTCAAGGACGGTAGTGATACGAACGTATGATGAGGTTACGCCACTGATGGCATTGTAACCTAGAATGGATGCTACGATTATTAACTATGACTACTCCTTAATCGCACCCGTGCGGAGTGCTGAGGTTCCTGCCATTCGATATAGCGAAGATGAGTGTTGGATGAGTGCACTGGCTTTCAGCTATTAGATTAGGAACGAAGGCCAGTACAGCATCTTCTTCTTTTCTCTCCGGATCCTTCTCCGCTGACTGAATAAAATCTCGAAGAAAAAAATGTGTGAAAGGCTTTTGACGGTGCATTGTTGAAGGTGGTAAGTTGAGATGGGGTTAGAAGGAATCTGGGAGCAAAGGGCGGATAACAATATGGTTGCAGCAGGGATTCAGGTACCGTTATGTTTCTCGATTACATGTAATCTCCTATTTTAAGGATATCCCAGCGTGTCTTCCTTGTTATTTTACAGCAATTCATCGATGAGTGTACAACGTGAAGGAACGGCTCTGCATGAAAACAGGGGCTATTATACGTGGGGATGTTTACAAGGTTTCCCACGGGCTGCCGCTTGATCGATCTGATCCCCGTTCGATGCCTAATTGTCGGAAAAAGCGAAATTGCGTCGAAATGCATTGCAACGCATTTTAATGGCAACCCCATCTTAATGGGAGGTTCGTAAAATTGAGATGCCGTTTCGATGCCCGTAAAAACGGGTCATTGACGACGAGGAGCCAATCACATCGCATCGCCATGGTCCCTTTACGTCTTCGCGCCGTTTTGACGACATCAAAATGACATTTTGACAGTGTCAACCCCCCATATAATCGCAATGAGACGCCAATCGCCGCCCGCATCAAAACGCCCGTTTTGGTTTTTCCGACATATTTATTAACACTCGCTATTCAAACGTTCATGCATGTCATGTCATGGGCCTCGAGAGTTGAACGTTGAAGCGTGCAACGTCCGAGTCGTCTATGCGGACCTTCTAGCTAATCTTCTTTGCAAGGATATTATCTTCAAAAACTAATTCCACAGGTCACAACATTTTCTCTCCCCCCACTAGGGCAAGTGCCTGATAAGCGTTCTAGCGGCCGACACTGCTCCACTTCTCGGAGTATCCACGTTCATTTCTCATCTATGGTTGCTTGTCCTTCCGACGCTATAGAGTAGCCTTGCCGCCAACTTTGAAACTCTGCTCACGACTTGCTCGACTGAATCTATGATGCAAGCGCTACAACTCATCTCAGTTTCTCAAATCCTTCCTGCATCGTTGCCGCTGCGTTTTGCGCTCAGGGCCACCCTCCTACAAGTCCACGGGCTCTGGTGGTTCCGCTCCGTCTTTCCTCACTCTCACCCTCCTGTAGTTCAAAAATACCACTAGATAAAGGGTATCTCGGTGCGGTATACTGCGACCTAACCACGTTTCCCGTCCTCACCCGACTCGGACATCCCGATGGAGGACGAGCACCAGCTCCCAACCCTCGCGTCTCTCGGTATCGACACCCTACCAGCCGTCTCTCCTGCCGACGCAGCTCGACGATGGTTCTCGTCCTTCTCTACGGCCGTATCAGCCGCAGACGTCGACGCTATCGGGGAGACGTTCGTCGAAGACAGCTTCTGGGTCGACAACCTCGCTCTGACGTGGGACTTCCGCTCGTTCCGGGGCCGAGCGACGATCAAGCGCCTGCTAGACGCAAGACTGCGGGATACGAAGTTCACGGCGCTCGGGCTCCTCGAGGGCGCGCATGCCGGGCCGGAGCTGGTCAGGGAGTACCCGGACCTCGCGTTCCTGCGGGTGTGCTTCACATTCACGACGAGTCTGGGCGCCGGGAAGGGGCTTTGCCATCTCGTGCCTTTTCCGGACGGGGGGTGGAAAGCGTACACGATATCGACGCTGCTGGAGTCTTTGGACGGGTATCCGGAGCAGGTACGGTGCAATTTGTGACTCGTCATGCGCTTTCTTATTAGCCCTTTGTGCCGAAAAGATAGGACCTCATAGAAAGGCGAACGCGGAGCACGGGACCTGGTTGGAGCAACGGCGGCAAGAGGTCGAGTGCGTCAACAACAGTCCGACGGTTTTGATTGTTGGTGCTGGTCACACCGGCCTGATGACGGCGGCGAGGATGAAGTACCTCGGTTTGAATGTCCTCGTTATAGAGCGGAATGCTCGGGTAGGGGACAACGTGAGTCCGACGCTGCTGCCTTTGCACACGTGAACTCGGACGCACAGACGCTGATGTGCATGTTGTGTTTCCAGTGGCGAAATCGATACAAGTTCCTCTGCATCCATAGTACCACATGTAAGTAGTGAAGCACCGCCATGTTCGTTACTGCTACGGTGTTCGAAGTTGATTCGTCCAATAGATTTCAACGAGCTAGCATACCTGCCGTGAGTTCGGGTTACCAACCTTTTTTTTTCGCTCGTCTGACAAACATAAATCAGCTTCCCGTCGACTTGGCCGACGTACTGTCCCGCACCCAAAGTGAGCACGAGTCTGTGTTCACCATCACGGCATATATAACGCTGATCATGAATGCGTCAAGATGGGCGACTGGCTCGAGGGCTACTCAGACTTCCTCGAGCTCAACGTATGGACGAGCTGTGAGATCGTCAGTACGAAGTGGATCGAAGACAGGAAGTCCTGGACGATCGAGGTCAGGCGCGCAGGCGACCTTCGAACGCTGAGCGTGAAGCACCTCGTGTTCGCCACCGGCCTCACCGGGCCCCCGAACCTGCCTGAAATACCGGGACGCGTAAGCTGTCGATACGCTAGCTGTGGCCTGGCGGCGGGTAACTGACGTTGCAGTAGGAGCGTTTCAGGGGCACCGTGGTCCACTCGGCGGACTTCAGTGAGCCGAAGGACTACGAGTACCGAAGCCGCAAGGCTGTCGTCGTCGGGGCGTGTCTTTCGGGACACGATATTGCACAGGACTTTTATGATAATGGGATTGACGTCACGATGTAAGTTTTTGAGCTGCACTCCGAGCCGGAAGTTGAACGTCGCGTCGTATTTAGGTGGCAGCGGTCTGCTACCATCATGCTCTCGCATGGGCCTGGCGATGAAACACTCGGAGGTACAGTATTGTGCTGTTCGATATTCCATACGAAAACCTGCTGAGCACTGCACTTAGGTTTCCACATCGCGGATCGTCCTACCGATTTCGCAGACATACTACACTGGAGCTTGCCTCCTCAGATGCGTTTCCGCATGCAACAGCGCAATACGCGAAAGTATGCGGAAACGACCGACAAGTAAGTCTGCCTGTCCGTTCAAGTGCAACGTGATGCTTCCTAACAAACCGCGTTGCTTCAGAGAGCTGATAGCGAAGCTCGAAAGCGTGGGCTTCAAGACCTGGCTGGGCCCGCACGACGCTGGCTTCGGTCCTCTCATCGTCACACCCCGGGGCGGCGGGCACTACATTGGTGCGCACACATAGTATCCCTTTATCCGTGCATTGCAATGAACGGTTTGTACAGACACCGGAACATCGCAGTACATCATCGACGGACGCATCAAAGTCAAAAACGGAAGTAGCATTGAACAATACACACCGACTGGTGTCAAGTTCTCCGACGGCACTGAGATAGAGGCCGATATCGTTGTCTTCGCTACGGGGTAAGAGGGGTTATTTGATCAGAGTACCTGCCTAATAGTGGCTGATGATATTGCAAAGGTTCAAGGACCCCAGAGAAGAGATGTGGCGCACAGTCGACCCGGAGATATCGTCCAAGGTCGACAGAATCTGGGGTGTGAACGGTGAAGGATACATGCCTTCCGCCTGGCGGCCAAGCGGGCACGAAGGGCTCTGGTTTGGGATAGGTCAGTCCAAATTGGACATGGTTTAAACTGTCGTACTTGTTATTTACGCATGATATAGGCAACTTCACCAAGTCTCGCTACTTCAGCAGGCTCCTCGCGATACGTAAGCCTTCCTCATTCAATTGTCTAAGTATGCCTATGCGCTCACACTGGCTTTGTCCGTGATGGCTCTTAAACAGAGATAAAAGCGCTAGAAGAGGGAATAGTCACGTCGAAACCGCAGCTTGACTTCTGAGAGGTGTATATCCAACGATACCGCTGAGCTTGCTGAGCGGTATCACCGGATAGGCTAGGCACATGTGCACACCAGGGCACGCGGAAAGCTGCGATTCAGACGAATGATCAATGATATAGCAGCGAGATAGCGAGCATATTTATGCATACCCACTAGGCTACGTCCATAGATCCATGTAAAGCGTCTCCACAATTCCTCAGTTCTATCAGGACCGCCGACCGCGACGGTCCTCGCTGCCGCCTCCGGTGCCTGCCACGGCCCATTGAGACTAAAAATAAGAGTTGTGGACGCGAGGAGCCCATCCGAGAACGCCGCCGCCTGCTCTCCCATTCGCTCTCCAATGGGCTTCCTTTCTCAAGATCTCATCGATCTCATCATCGCGCACCGACGGGGTTTGCCACGCCAAGGGATCTGCGACTGCGGCGGTAGGATGCGTACCGCACCAGTCGTACATGCGCGGCCACCGCGACAGTCTGGTTGGGCGGCTAGAGCAGAGCGTTTTCTATTGTCAGGTTGCCTGAGCGATACCGCTGAAATGCAAAGGTATATATGTAATCCATGATGCGTTGAAAGGACTAGCTAAAGCAAGAATCGTACACCATCGATAGCGTAGCTACACCTACAAGAAAAGTCGGACCGTTTTTGTATCCTCTAGATGTCAGCATCGACATTAGTGTCAGTCAGAGCAGACGTCGGTATCGTATCGTACACCCATCGAACAACGCGCCAGCCGCTGGTTGCCCGCAACCCGCGCAGTGTATTTATGCCCACCGCCCTAGGAGGGCCATGATGCCCGTGCCCAAGAGCATGCATATCAGGGCGTAGGCAAGCTTGCCGTTCGACGCGGCGTGCATCTCCTTGTTGAAGAGGAATTCGTGGGCGAGAAGCTAGACAAAGAAAAATCAGCCAATGTGAGCGACAGAGATTGCGGCGACCGCGATAAGCGCACCTCAACCAGACCAGTGTACAGCAAAATTCCAGCGCTCAGCGAGTCCATGACTCCGCTAACGATTGACGCGGTCGGGGTGTTGGGGTTATACGTCGTTCTGATCCCCATTCCGACGGCGATGCCGAGCGGCGTGGTGAAGCCGTACAGGAGCGCGCCAACGATGGGCACGTAGTTCAGCCTGCGGGGCAGGTTCATGAACGCCAGACGCGAGCCCAGACCGAGTCCCTCAAACATTTCTACAAACATCCGGTGAGCCATCGACGTAGCAGAAAGAAGGCACAACCGCTTACGGTGGAAGACGATGACGACAAATAGGACTTTGAAGTCAGGGTCCACGGCAAGCGTCATCCCGATGAGGAAGCTACGTCGTCGTGATTAACGTCTCGACGTCCCAAACCTCAGTGTGCTGTTGACTACCCACCTGTGCAGTTCGATACCAAACTCGAGGATGCATATCCCAATGACCTGCGCGACCGCCGAATGATCCCAGACGTGCGTGTGCTCGTGCTGAGCCTCCTTATCGTCCTCTATAGACTTCTCGGGCACGGGCGAGTCCACGCGCAACGGATCGTTCGTGTTCCCCGCGGTTGCCACCTGGGTGTTGCCCTCGGGCCCGTGTGCCGCGTGCCCGCCGAGGCCGTGGCCATGGGCATCTAGAACGAGCGGTGCATTAGGCACGAGAGTGTCAAGGGGTTTGGTGGGATGGGAGGGGCAACTGACCGTGTTTAACTCCGAGGGCTGCTAGTCTGGCGTTACCCCATCGGAAGGCGATGAGCTCGACGATAAAGATTGAGTATAAGCTGAGCATGGCCAATGCGAGTGCATATGGCTGTGGACGTGTGAGGGCTTGATCGAGGACATCGCGAGGGAGACTTACGTAGTCTTGCCATGCAGGCGATAGACAGTCGTTGCTTAGCTCATCTAAAGCAGGGCTGAGGAGATGGATAAAGGCAGTCGCGATCTACGTTGTAACATTAGGAGATGAAGAAGAGTGCAGACAAGTGAAGACGTACGATGACGCCCGATCCAAAATACTTTGCAAAGCTAGGCGGTGGCGCATTGGCTAAGCGGCATGTAATAGAACCAGCCGAAAAACACTCACTCGAACACCCCTTTCGGCACCGCCAGCCACTGTGTCCGCCGAGCAAGGACAGGAAAAAGAGCACCGAACATGGAGGTGCACATGATGATAAAAATGGCCGCTATCCGAAGCTGAGTGTAATCGCTGGCGCCTCCCCCGGGGCTGCAGCTGACCGAGTTGTCAGCATCTGGGGTGGCAGTGGGCGTCGATGCAGCAGATGACGAAGACATTTCTGGTCTTGGTCTTGGTCTTGGTACTGGCTCAAGGTTTGTCGAAAGCGCTGCCTTCCTGAAGGGGCCTAGCAGCAGGCCGGGGCGACGAGGGTTATATGGGCAAAGGGGTGGAGAAGGGGACGGGACGTATGTATTTAACGGGGCATCCTCGCAAACCCGCGTATGACCGCGAGGGTCCCCTCTCTTGGATTTTGAGCCGCCGGAAAAGGAAGGAGGAGGGGTACAGCCACACGCGGCCGGCGTCCCTCCTGGTTGAGATAGACGAGTCCGCGTGGGCGCCACACGAGTGCATCAATGTTATCATCGAGGGGCGAATACGCTCATTGGTAGGTATGGGCTACGCTGCTGGCCAATCGGCTGAGTGCTCTGTGTTCTATGAACGCCTTTACTTTTCTGAATCTCGGTAGAAAGACATGGTATACTTGAGAGACAGCAGATCCAGACGAGTTTGCGTGTGGAGCCATCAATCCGACGAATCAAGAAGACCAATCAGGTGCCCTTCTTGCCGCCTCTCACGAACACGAATAGGACCACCAGATGCGTCGAAACAGAACATTCCGAGCGAGTAGCAGGTCCCCGTCCGAGCCACTCTCACTTGACGCCAATAGACCCATGACCGCGAGGGTGCCCCTGGGCTACCGCTCCGGCGCACACTGGCGCTGCGACAATGATGGGCAACAAAAACCTTGACTGTGCTGGTCATTCTATTGCCCGGAAAGAGCAGCCGGACTGCGAGGGTGGGACGAGCGTCTCTTCCGTCTTTTGTGACCGCACCAGTGGTCCAACATGGTCCAACATCTTCTTTCTATCACATTGGACTGCATGGCAGAATGCGTCAAAGGCACAGATCAACAGGTGGCTGAGCGTATGGACGTTTGACTTGCCACTATCTTTATCGCAATACGCGGACGATGCGGTCCCCATTTTTAATCCATCATACCCCTCGGTACAGTCAACCGCGCAACATATACAGACTAGCCCGCCGACGGTGTTCATTAGCTCAACTCCTCAATTTTACCTGGTTTGGACGCGACAACAGCCGCAGGAGCTTTTGCCGATGAAGGCTCCGCCGAGTCTTGGGTATCGTCCCGCCCGATGACCCTCGCTTGCGCCTGGAGCTCGTCGACCAACTCTTGCAGTGGACGGATAGGATAATCGAGAACATGCGCAGCATAAAACGTCAGCTTCATGCCTACATGCGCGTTGCGCTTGCCGACACCAGATAGACTTGGATCAAAAACAGCGCGCAGGTCCGATAACGCGAGCACGCAATTGATGCTCGGGCGGCTGAGGATCTGTTCCTCCGGCGACGCGGAGGCCTCTGCAAGTGGCGCGACTTTCCGCGGAGCGAGAAGCACAGCTGCGTCGCGGAGGAGCACTGTGATGGTCTTTGCGTCGACTTGGCCCTGAGTTGAAGAGGAAAAGGAGGTACGCGTTCAGCTCAGGACTACCGGTGCGGTCGTTCGCGTCGCGTGCGCACGAGGGAGGAAGGCGCTTACCTCTCCGAAGCCCGTCCAGACGGACGAGATAACGCCCTTTGTGCCCGTGTGGACGAGCGTCGACTGCCGATCTGAGATGAACGGAAGAGCCTGTCTGACTACATGTCGCGCTGCGGCGGCCTCTTCTTCGCTGTCACTGGAGAGAAGCTGGTGGAGGGTGGACACGGAGAAGTGTCTGATGAGGTACGCGTATGTCAACCTGCGCGGTCATGCTCAGCTATGCAGCCGGGGCCGGAGTAGGATTGAAACGGACATGACGGCACAGATATTGTACAAGAGTGATGGGCCGCTTGGACGGCGTGAAAGGAGCTGTTGAGGGATTTCCATCAGGGGCGGTCTTTCCGTCGGCTGCATTTCTTGAGACATGGATGGCTTGAGGTATGGGTCTGAAGACATTGGTGACTCCCACCAAGGTCTGCTACGTTCGAGTTCGAGTGCTTCGCTTGATAGTAGCTGCCGAGCAAGATTGCTGTCCGGGTCCTTGAATAACTTGGCGAATCGTTCCCTTTGTTCTGGAGTGAGCGCGTCGAGAACATCCGCCGCTGTTGCATTTTCTACAGCGCAACATGCACAATAAACAGCAGAATGGTGCCAACGGCGTCAGACACTCACCAAGATCGATGCCGTCTAGTCGCTTGGCGAGGTCGTCTGCTTCATCGTCCTCGTCATCCTCGTCTCCGCCCAGTATTTCCATACCGTCCTCCAAGCTCTGGTCCTCCACTCTTTTCAGCAACTCGAGCATCTTCATGCGCTCCTCGGCGCTCCGAGAAGACTCGTTCTTGATCCCGGATTCGATTTCCTTGCGGTAGAAGCCCTCCGAGCATTGCGAGTGTGTCTATGATTTCACGACAGTCATTTTCGGCAAGAGAAGACAAGTGCAAGAGAGTTGCATACATACTTCAGATCGAAAACACGTCAGGGAACAGTATAGCAGGTTGCACGTCGGACAGGCGTAACGCGCGAATTGCCGTCGACAGCTAGATGCGGGGACTGCAATCAAAGGCTGTAGTCACGGACAGGGCGAGCGAACGTATACTCACATTCCACATGGCTGCTGTTCGAGCTTTGAGCCCGTTGCCTCGAGCGGTGCTGCACGGATTTCTGGCTGGTCGCTCATGGTGTGAGATGACGCGCGACGATTGGACGGCACGCGGCACAGATCCCGGCTGCATATCCGATAGCCGACACGATCAAGTTCTCCAAAAAACTTGTCCAAGCCCCCAAGGTTGTATATACGCTTCAGGGGGAGTCTCACACAGGTCCAGCTCAAGCACGATGCCGGAAGACCACCTCGTCGACAAGACGACCACTTTCTCCTCCTTCGCGCACATCCTCGATGCCCGCATCCTCCGTGCGCTCGCCGACATGGGCTTTGCACGCCCAACGCTCGTCCAGACGAAGGCGATACCCCTTGCGCTCGAGGGCCGCGATATCCTCGCGCGCGCACGCACGGGGAGCGGGAAGACGGCTGCGTACGCGATACCGGTCGTGCAGAAGGTGCTGAATGCCAAGTCGGTGTGTCTGTCAGAATGATCGTGGGGCCTCTGATCGGTATGCTCATTCGTGTGTGTCTGAGATAGGCGTGGGCGGCGGGCGACGAGCGGGGACAGCTCACGCGGGTCATGGTTCTTGTGCCGACGAAGGAGCTGGCGGAGCAGGTTATGGCGTGTCTGCGCACGCTGGTTGCGTATTGCGAGAAGAGTGTGGTTTTGGTGAATGCGGCTTCGGGTTCGGAGACGCAACTTCAGCGGTATGTGCTACGGTGGTGTATGCGCCTGCTCGTGCTAATGGCTGGTATCAAGTACGATGATGGTGGAAAAGCCCGACGTCGTTGTGTCAACGCCCTCCCGTGCGCTGAAGCTTCTGCAATCCAAGGTGCGTTATGACACACCACTCACACCGTCCTCTAACACCTGCCCATGCCTGCAGGTTCTGTCACTCTCGTCCCTGGAATCCCTCGTCATCGACGAAGCCGACCTCATCCTTTCCTACGGACACGATGAGGATATACGCCAAATCTTCAGTGGAGGGTACCTGCCAAAAGTATACCAGTCCTTCCTCATGAGCGCAACCATGACCGACGATGTTGAAGTACTCAAAGGACTGGCTCTCCGGAATCCCGTAAGTATGATTTTCTCCAGCATTTGGCATGCCTTACACGCCCGCTCAGGCCATCCTCAAACTCGAGGAGGGTTCAGATGAAGCTGCGCTCCTCAGCCAGTACTCTGTAAAGTATGTAGGCTTCAACCATCTTCAAGGATCTGTGTTGATTCGTTCTCAGATGCTCGGAAGTCGACAAGTTCCTCCTGACGTACGTTATTCTCAAGCTCAGGCTCATCAAGGGCAAATGTATCCTCTTCGTCAACGATGTCGACCGCTGCTATCGTCTCAAGCTCTTCCTCGAGCAGTTTTCCATAAAGAGCTGCGTGCTCAACTCTGAGCTACCCTTGAACTCGAGGTTAGTTGTCACGTCTCTGTTTATTAAAGACTACATTCCTGAACGAGATATCAGATATCACACGGTGCAAGAGTTCAACAAGGGCGTGTACGATTATATCATCGCTACCGACGAGAGCAATGGCCAGACAGAGCAGGACTCTGATAGCGAGGATGAAGAAGGTCCAGCTTCGGTGAATGTGGAGGAGGAGGGCGACTGTGAGTATTTGCATGTCGACTGTATAACTCTTACTTATACGCCATCTAGTCACACCCTCGCAGCGCGAGCCACCGCTGGCAGAGGAGGCAACGCCCGACGATGAGGCAGAATCTGAACCCGAACCTGATGCAGACCCATCACCCACCTCCAAATCCAAAAAGCGAAAACGCAGCTCCCCCGAGCCCGAAGCCTCCGCCGCCACCTCCCCACAATCATCCTCAAAATCGCGCAAGCGCAAAAACAAGCGCCACAACCCCGACAAGGAATACGGCGTCACGCGCGGCGTCGACTTTGTCGACGTTTCGTGCGTGCTCAACTTCGACCTGCCCGCCTCGGCGCGGTCGTATACGCACCGCGTCGGACGCACCGCGCGTGCGGGGCGCAGCGGCATGGCGCTCTCGTTCGTCGTTCCCCGCGAGGAGTGGGGCAAGAATAAGGTCGTCGGGTGCGTGCCGAGCGCGCGGGGGGATGGGGAGGTGTGGGCGCGGATCGAGAGGGACCAGGCGGCGCGCGGGAGTAAGGTGCGCGAGTATAATTTTGATATGAGGCAGGTCGAGGCGTTCCGGTATCGGATGGAGGACGCGCTGCGGTCTGTGACGCGGAGCGCGATCAAGGAGGCGCGGGTGAAGGAGCTGAAGACGGAGATGCTGAATTCGGAGAAGTTGAAGGTGCGTTCGTCGCTTTTTTTTGGAGAGAGAGATGGAGTTCGGTGCTATTCAATCCCAAATGTCTGACTTGTGCGTTCTGTTGGGCTGTGTAGGCGCACTTTGAGGATAATCCGCTCGATTTGGAGTATCTCCGCCACGACAAGCCGCTGCACCCGACGAGGGTCCAGTCGCACATGAAACACGTTCCAAAGTACCTTCTCCCAAAAATTGCGCCCGTCACCGACGGCGTCGTCGGCAATCGTACCGAAGCAGAGGCCTCGGAACAGCAACAGGGCTTCGTGCCGTTCCGCAGGGGCTCGGCGCGGGGACGCGGGAGGGGGCGCGGCGGCCGTGGTGGGAGAGGCGGACGCGGGGGGAAGAAAAAGTCTGATCCGCTCAAGAAGTTTAGATAGGACGTTGAACACGCGCGGGCTTTCCCTTGGGTTTCCTTTACTCAGCTGTATGGATCTCTCGTGAAGCTTTGAAGTATCAAATAGCTGATAGCCTCGACAATGATGCTGCTCATAAAGCTTGGTCGGGCTGATATGAGTTTCATTGATATGAACAACTGTTTTGCGTGCATTCGTGTTGAGGTCGAGTGCCCATGGAAGATGTGCTGACCAGTTGCATGAATACGGTGAATACATGCGAGCAAAAAACATTGTAGTGGTTGTCAATCTAGAGTTCATGTCTATTAAACATTTACCCAAATTACAAGTTTTTACCTACTCTATCCCTCGCCCTTCCTTCCCGTCCTCCCTTGGCCCTTTCCTCCCGCCCTTCCTTTCCTGCCCTCCAGCCTGCGTGTCCCACTCCTGGCCTTTAATCCATGGTTATGTTCTTCATCTACGAGTCCTGTGCTGGAGGATGAAAAGGCAAGTAGGCGATAGGATAGGTAAGAGTGCGAAGGAGAGCTAGGAAGGGCCGAAGGGTCGGAGGGATGTGCTCATGTCATTTACTCCGAGTCACTTGTACTTTAAAAGTTGTGGTGCGAATAATGCCTTGTCGGCTGTCCTTGTCCTTCGCGGTGGATGATCGTTCATATGTTGTCTAAATTCAATCACTTTTATTTCAGTTTCTGTGTTCACTTGGGACTTAGTAAGGCGGCGAGCTCATAGACAAAGGAATATCTGAGATCATTCGAACAAAAGCACATTGCTAGTTAGATACATGTCCTGCAACACAGTTGAAGTTCCGATAAAATGAGATCGTTCGTGTATAGTCGTGCCGTCTAGACCTTGGAGTCGTTCTCTTGAGAGTCCTTTTCATCGCTGTCTTCCACCTCTTGCGCCGCGGCCGCCTCCGTGGTCGCTGGCTGTTCTGGCAGGTCAGCGAGCTCGGCACCCATGCCGGCGGGTGCAGGTATCGTCGTCGTCGTCGTGACCGCCTTTTCTGGGTCGTCGGGCTTTGCAGCATTTTGGGCAGTCTTGCGCTGCATTGAGTACTTGCGGATCAGAAGACCTGTGACGATGTGAGTCGATAATATGGGATATTAATGAGTTTGAGGACGTACTAAAGAGGAAGCCGACGCCGACGAGAGGCGTGAAAACGAGCCTGAGGGGAACGTGTTAGCGGGCTTGTGTGATCCGATAGTTCTATATGACGTACCATATCGTGGACACGCTCCGGGTGTAAGCATGTAAGACTTGCTGGCGCACTTCAGGCGGCTGTCGTGCGGGTCGGTGGTTGGCGTCTGGCGCACAAGCGACAGTGACGTACCTGTATCTGAACGAGCCCCGCGAGGTTGTTCGTGTCCGCGTACCCAGTAGATGGGTCATATCCAGCGATGCCAGGCAAGCGCCTCCTGAGCTCGCTCGCGTAGATGGCGCCGCCCATGGATATGCCAACGGTGCCGCCGAGGACGCTAGCGTTATTGCGTCAGACAAAAATGCGGAGAAATAGGCGGAGAAACTAGGACGCACCGGACGAGGACGTACGCTCCCGTGGTCGTCGCCATTTCCTTGAGAGGCATAGCGGCTTGCATGGCGATCAGGGGAGGCTGTCAGTGCAACGCGTGGTCAGCTGTGGCTGGAGAGAGGAGGGCTGTGCTGTGGATTGGGAGGTGTACCTGGAAGAGGCAGGCGGCTCCGCCTGCGACGATGAGGATTAGGATGTCTTGGACGGCGCTGTGAGGTGGCTTGGTCAGAGACGAGCCGAGTAGTGTCCGAAGGAAGGTGGATGGACGTACAGGGATGAGGTTTCGTCTAGGGTGATCATGGCGCCCTTAACAATCCGTTAGTCAACATTCGGTTGGTGGTGAAAATGTAGCCTACAAAACCGGCGATCATGATGACCCATCCCGCCCAGATGGTCCATCGGTAGTCCTGCGTTTTCGAGACAATAAGACCAGTTATGATGCTCAGAATAGCACCGCCAACGGTGAATGGCATCATTTTGATCCCTGCCATTGTCGCGCTGCTCCCCAAGATCTGGAAGTACACGGGGATGTAGTAGTTCGCAGCGAAAAACACGAGCCCGTGGATGAAAACGGAGCACAGAATGCCCGCTGTCGTGCGCGTGCGGAACAGGCGCGGCGGCACGACGGGCTGTCGGGACGTGTACACCTCGTTGACCGAGCCGCCGACGAGGCACGCGATGCCGATGATCATCGTGGAGAGCGTGTACGCGGATGTCCATGAGTTCTCGCCGTTGGCAACGCCGATGAGGAAGAGGACAATGCCTGCGATGATCAGGACGAGGCCGATGAAGTCGGTTTCGCGCGAGAACTGGCGGAAGGTTTTTTTCTCGACTGGGTTGAGCTTGAGGCATGTGAGGAGGACTGCGGCGGCGACCCCGCCGACGGGAAGGTTGATGAAGAAGCACCTGTGAGTCCATAAGTCAGATTTAGGTCAGAATCGGAAGTAAAGTCAAGGTCTGAAGAGCTTTCTGGTTCTGAAGACGTACCATCGCCAGCTGACATGGTCCGCGAGAATTCCGCCCACCTAAACGAAGACGTTAGATATTTGATTACGAGAATCATTGAACACCTGCACACCAAGGGTCCGATCACACTGGCGATGCCTAGCACAGATTATTACATTGTGAGAGCAATGGCATTCGGTTGGCTCACCCCATGTAGCGCCGATAGCACCAGTGAAAGCTCCGCGCTGCTCAAGTTTCGCTGGACAGTGTGTTAGACAACTTCTCATTAGTACTCGACCATTCACGAACGCACTTATGTCTGAAATGGTGATTTGTACGAGCTGGATGATGCCACCTCCGCCTACACCCTGGACAAATCGACCTGGTTGTACAATGTTTGAGAGAATGGCCAGATGAAGAGAAAACAGGGCGCAACGAACAGATTGCAAGCCATGCGAAGGTCTGTGCTGCTCCGCACATCGCAGAACCAAACAGGAACAGAAATATCGAGGCGAACAGGATTGGCTTTCGCCCGATGATGTCGGAGAGCCTACCGTACAACGGAGAGAAACCTGGGGTGGACAGTGATCAGGCCCGCAGTTGACTTTATGTGGCCGCACATAGCCTTGGATCATTGATCACTCACATGCAGAACCTGGGATGTAGAGGACTTGGTTAGTCAATCGTGAGTGGGTGCAGTTTTCACGAGCTAACCTAGTAGGTATGCAGTTCCGACCCAGCTATAGCCGCTCTCACCACCGATGTCTTTGACGATGGTTGGGAGAGCGACTGCGGCAATGGTTTGGTCCATTGCGGCAAGGAAGGCTGCATAGCGATGTTAGTACGGCTTTGACGCGTTACCACACAGACTTACTAGTAAGCATCAGTCTGCGGTCACTCTGTGGTTAAGCTCGCCAATTTCATGCCAAAGCATAGTTGGGCACGCACCCAGGAAAGACGAGCTTAAGGTTGCTACGACCAAGGTTAGAGTGATACTTGTTAAAGTGAGCCGAACAGCGCACTTTTCTGGTATGTCATGAACCTCCTGAGCCTTCCATGTTTCTCCTGGCTTGCGAGACTTTGTCTTTGCGTCGACCTGGAGTTCCTGGTCGGATGGCTTCTCCCTCAAGGTTAAGTCGCCGGTTGAGTTGCCGGGCGGGACGCGACCACGTGGCTGTTCACCAACGACGGGCTGGGCGACGTCCACGCTGTTGCTCATTGTACTCGACGACGGTGCAGAAGCAGGAAAAGGAGCAGCTTGCTGTCCCCGATGGCCATGGAAGCATTTTACGCCGTCTGCTTCAGTCTGCCACGACGTGAGCGCCTCTGACTGTACGCCATCACAGCCTCTGTCCTCAGGTGTCCTCCGTCTTGGCTCCTAGTGGTTTGTTTTGGCCTCTTTTGGCGTTTCCCCGAGATTTGTGCTTGACAGATGTTCATTCTCCCTTGACGACTGCACATGGTTTGTGTTGCGTCCAGGCTGTTAATGGCTGTCAGTGGCCGCTCTTTCCAGGTTCGCTGCAAATATGATCAGATCTTGGCTCGACCAAGGTCCCCTCCTGACCCCCTCTGGCGCCATTCGTGCGAGATCAGTCACGAAAAGCGGGAGACGCACATACAACTTGATGTCATCTGCGTACCTGGATTTCGTTTTTTTTGATGCACAGACGCGTCGTCAGCCCTACGAATGGAAACTATGGACCCTACCAGGTCCGCACTGCGCGCTCCGCCAGCTCACCTCTTCTCACCCATCATACCCTCATTCACACCCGGGGTACCCCACATCGGCTCTCACATCGGACCCCTGCTTGATCGGGTCTGGTGCCTAACGGAATGCGCCAGGGGTTAAATCAGGCTCATTCGTCCCGGGCGGCAGCATCATCCTCTCGTTGCCTTCTCCTTCTCAAAACTCATGGTCATGTCCAAGGACAACTTCTTGAACGCTTCGGTCCCGGTCCTTCTCGAACAGCTCGAGCTCGACGAGAAGATCAAGCTTCTTACGGCCCCTAACTGGTGGAACACCAATGAGATTGAGCGCCTCGGCATCCCGCCCATTCGCATGAGCGATGGTCCGAACGTAGGTTCTCAGATGATTGTGCTCCTAGATTCATGCTCACCGTCGCGTGTAGGGGGTCCGCGGTTCGTCGTACTTCCACCCGACACTCGCGCAGTGCATTCCCGTAAGTTTACTGTGTAGATGGCGGTGCCCACACGCTGAACAAACTGTGACCAGTGCGCGACATCCCTAGGAGCGACCTTTGACACGGAGCTCGCACGTGAAGTCGGACAGTTCTTGGCGGACGAGTCAAAGTCCAAGTCATCCTGCATCTTGTTGGCGCCCACGGTAAACATACAAAGAACACCTTTGGGCGGAAGAGCCTACGAGTCTTTCTCGGAGGACCCGCATCTGTCTGGTTTGTGGTTATCACCACCTGCATAGAACCTTGGCGGATTGAGATTTCCTTGCAGGCTCGTTCGCGGCAGCCATCGTCGATGGTGTGCAGTCAAAAGGTGTCGCTGCTTGCATCAAACACTTTGTTGGTAATGACCAGGAATCGGAGCGCTACGCTGCGGACTCGGTCATGTCGGAGCGGGCACTCCGAGAAATTTACCTGATGCCGTGAGTCGGGCGACTTTGTGGCCAGGAACGCGTTAATTGATCGATCATTGTTCTTCAGATTCATGTTGGCACAGCGCGATGCCCAGCCCTGGGCCTACATGACCTCGTGAGTGTGCCGGTGACGTCGGATTCGTGCATTGAAGCTGACATTTCGCTGAATAGGTACGGTCGCATTGAGGGCGTGCACTGCTCTGAAAGCCCGAAGCTTTTGCGGGACATTCTCCGCAAGGAGTGGGGCTTCGACGGGATCGTCATGAGTGACTGGCAAGTCAAGTTTTATTGACCTTTCGTGGGCTTAGGGAAATAACGTGATGGCATGACAGGTATGGTACATACGGTGTCGACGAGTCCATGAACGCCGGCATGGACCTCGAGATGCCCGGCCCGCCGCGGTGGCGCACGCCGCTGCTTGTGTCGCACTGTATCTCGGCGCAAAAGGTGTCGATAAAGACGATCGACGCGCTCGCGGGGCGCATGCTCGCGTTCGTGCAGAAGCTCGCGAGGAAGAACCCCGAGGTCGTGTGGGGCGACGGCGTTGAGCGCCTGCGCGACACGCCCGAGGGCCGCGGGTTTTGCAGGCGCATCGCGGCGGAGGGGATTACGCTGCTCAAGAATGAGGGCGGTGTCTTGCCTCTGCAGAAGGGAAAAGTGAAGACGGTGGCGGTTGTGGGGTCACATGCGAAGGGGAAGATTATTTCCGGGGGAGGATCGGCGGCGCTGGAGGCGAGCTATGTCGTTACCCCTTGGGAGGGGCTGGTAGCGAATGTGCCTGAGGGCGTCGAGCTCAAGTATGCTTTGGGCTGCGAAGGTTTGTGTGGCCATCTGCTATAAAGTAATGTGATGCTTAACTATTTTGTTGCAGCTCACAAACACCTGCCGATGCTCGACAAGTACATGACCACCAAGGACGGCAAGCCCGGATGGACGTGCACGATCTTCAACCGCGACGAGAACGAGCAGCCCGGCGAAGTCCTCCTCACTTCGGTCGTCAAAAACACTCTGATCAAGTTCAGTGACTTCCTGCCAAGCGGCTTGACGCACACTTGGGGCATTACCCTCAAGGGCGACTTGACCACGGACTATACTGGTCGCTACGAACTTGGCCTTGCTGTTGCCGGTAAACCTCTAGTACATGGGGCGATGGAATGAGTGTCTCAGTTACTTCGTCAGGTCGAGCCAAGCTCTACGCCAACGGCAAGATGATTGTTGACAACTGGACGCAGCAGCGCAATGGGGACTTCCTCTACAGGTTTGTGTTATCTCCGCATCATACCTGCACGATCATTGAATACACTGTGCAGTGTCGGAACCGCCGAGGAACGCGCCGTCATTGACGTGGAGGCTGGCAAGCCCGTCGAGGTTATGATAGAATATATCAACACGCGCTCAGAGAACGCGCCGAAGGGCCTCACTGAGCGGCGGACTGCGCAGCTCGGCATTATGCTTGGTGTCGTGCGTATCTAATGCTTACATCTTTGTGACTTCGGTCCTTGACCATGCTCCTTAGCGCTTCGGTGGCTGTCCCAAAGTCGAGGCAGACGAGGCCATGGAGGAAGCTGTTAAGCTTGCCTCCGAATGCGACGCTGTGGTTGTCGTTGGAGGCCTTACTCCCGAATGGGAGTGCGAAGGCTTCGACAGACCGACGATGCATCTTCCGGGACGTCAAGACGAGCTCATTTCCAAGGTTGCGAAGGCCAACCCGAACACCATTGTCTGCCTTCAATCGGTACGCACCCCAAAGCCAGCAGTTCGTGTTCGAACACTCACCTCGCTTTTCCAGGGATCCGCAGTTTCTCTGCCGTGGCTCGAGAGCGTAAAGGGTCTCGTACAGTGCTGGTACTCTGGAAACGAGGCGGGCAATGCGATCGCGGACGTGCTCTACGGCACGGTCAACCCATCGGGTCGCATGCCACTCACGTTCCCCGTGCGGATTGAGGACTCGCCGGCGTATCCGAACCTGGCGTCGGAGAACGGCAAGATCCACTACCGCGAGGACCTGTTCGTAGGGTACAAGCACTTCCAAAACAAGGGCATCAGGCCGCATTTTGCCTTCGGGTATGTTACTTCCAGTCACCCGTTCACGAAGAGCATGAGCTGAGCTCGTGGGTGCGCTTGCAGATACGGGTTGTCGTACACAACCTTCTCGGTGACCGACCTCACGGTCAAGACCGCCAGCACGTCCGACGCGTCCTTCGCGCTCGAGGTCGGCGTCAAGGTGACGAACACGGGCGCCGTCACGGGCTCCGAGACCGTGCAGGCGTACGTGCAGCTGCCGGACGACATCGGAGTGACGACGCCGCGCCTGCAGCTGCGCGGCTTCGCCAAGGCGCGCGACCTCGCGCCCGGCGAGTCGAGGACGGTGACGATCCGGATGGGCAAGTACGCGGTGTCGTTCTGGGACACGCCCATCAACGCGTGGAGTGCGAGGAAGGGGACGTACGTGGTGCACGTGGGCACGAGCAGCGACGATCTACCGTTGCAGAGCACGTTTGAGGTTGCTCAGACATTTGAGTGGAGTGGCATTTAATTTCGGAGCTTGCAGTCTGAGATCGGAGACTAACTTGACCGGTTAACTGGAGAGTTCAGAGTCTGGTAGTGTATTGTTATTATGTATGTATCAATTAAAACCGGCGAGCGAACGTGTATTCCAGAGATCAATATCGATATCAATCCCGAGCCCGAGAATATATGGTTTGACTGAGCACATTGCGCAAGTTCACCGTGTCGGTGGACAAGGATAGCAAACCGAGGTGAGATTGCAGTGGTATCAAAGTGGTATCCAAAGCACAACCTGCTTTTGAGTGAGTTAAATGTGTGGTCCAAAAATTCGAGTTACAGTAAAGAAAAGGCGAAAACGACGGATGATTGACGATGGCGAGAACGGTACAGCGACGGAAGGGGAGGCGGATGCGGAGTGTATAGAGAAAGTGTGTATTCAATGCGCAAGGAGTGTGAAACGTTATGATGGAGTGACATGTCGTATAAGAATATTGACATTGTAGTCTGTGGAAAATGGGGACAGGTAGCGAACGTAACGTGTTTATATGCAAACCAACAACCACTAAATAATCAACGGAGAGAGCTTAGATGAGAGACCCGTTCTGCTGCTGCTGCGACTGCTGCTGCGACTGCTGTTGCTGGCCGAACGAGCCTGCACCGAAACCCGTCATGCTCGGGAACTGGGGCTGCGAACCGCCGCCGAACCCTGACATTGACGGAAGACCCAGGCTAGTCGTGCCGTTCGCCCCGAAGGCACCGGTGCTGGCGCCTGCACCCGTGCCCGTGCTTGGCGACGTCGCAAACATGGTCGCGCGGAAGGGGTTCGGGCCGCCCGTCATCTGCGGACGCAGACCCGTGCCGAGCATCGTCTTCGAGAAATCGCTGCCTGCTGCTCCTGCGCCGGTGGGCTGGGCACCGAACGCACCACCCATCCCCGTTGGCTGAGAGCTGAAACCGCTCGCAAAGCCGGTGGGCTGCGTTCCTAGCCCACCTGCGAAGGATCCCGGGCCAGAGGCGGAACCTGGAGCTGGTGAGGGTGACGATTCTGCTGGTTTGCCAGTAACGTCCGGAGTTGTGGGGGCTGATTGTGGTATCGGCGGCAGCGATTCAAGCAGGGATGCACCAAAGGACGACGACGGCTTGAATGCCTTGAGTGGGGCAAACCCCGTTGTCTGTGGCTTCAGTGCACCATTCGCACCTCCGGGTGAAGACACGGAGATGGAGGGCGCGGAGGAGGTGAACGTCGAGCCCGTGGGCTGTGGTCCGAGAGAAGAGGAGAAGAGGGAGTCAGAGAAGGTCGAGTTCGTCGTGCCAGTCGCGTTGCTCTGAGCTCCGGGGAACGGTGACCCGAATGCACTGAGGCTGGCCAAGTCGTTCTTGTTCTCTTCGGGCTTCTTCGCGAAGGAAGACGCAACATTGGACATGGTTGACCCGCCAGCAGTATTGCTCGACTGGAACGCGCCGTTTAGGCTATTGAGAGCACCGGTAGGCTGCGGTTGCTGAGGCTGACCGAACGAGTTTCCAAAGGAGCTCCCAAAAGAGCCGCCAAACGTCCCACCGGTCTGCTGAGGCAGCTGGGGTGGTGGACTGCTGGCGTTCGTGCTCTGGCTCGAACTGTTGCTCGTATTGCCAGCTCCCATGGACAGTTCCAAAAGCGTAGGTGGCTTGGGCATGGGCGGGGGAGGCTCAATTGGAACACCGAAGGGGTTTCTCGATCCCGTCGTATGGGTCTTAACAGGCTGTGCCATGGGTGGGGACATCCCCGAGGGCTGAGCGCTGCTCATAGACGTAAGAGGTGCTGAGCCGGGGCGGGTAGGAACATCTGTACGCGCTCCGTTCGGTTGACCAAAAGCGCCGTTCGACATGCCACCTGTAAATGCACTTTGGTTCTGGCCCATTGGCTGTGGCTGGCCAAATGGCTGATTTCCGGTAACAGAAAACGCAGGTGGCTGCTGGGGTTGCGAAGGGAAGGATGGCATACCACCTGGGGCACCAGTGTTAAAAGCAGCCATGCCGGTCATCTGAGGCATGAGTACGGTCTGCCGGAAAGGATTGCCGCCCGTAGTTTGAGGTACCAGCGGCCCTTGTCCACCCATTTGTGGTGTACCTTGGAAACCCGTCGGCTGAGAAGGTACGAAAGACGAAAAAGGCCGATGCTGGGGCTGATCCGCCGCCTGAGGGCGAAGTTGGGGGGTGGAAAAGGCATTGAACTGGGACTGCTGGAACGGTTGACCGCCCGGAAACCCAGTAGCTTGATGCATGACCTGAGGGGCAAAACCTGTCTGTTGCGGTATGAAGGGGGCGCCTGTTTGTTGTGGTGGGAAAGGGGCTCCTGTCATTTGCCGTGCAACGAATGGGTTATGCGCAGCTTGTTGCTGGAAGTAGTTCATCGTGGGACTGAGGGGACGAGGTTCAATAAGAATGTAGCTTGAGGGCGTGTTATACGTACCTGCCCGTGTTAGGGTTGAACATCGTAGGCTGCTGCTCGTCGATAGAATTAAAGAAGTCTACGACAGCGTTGTTGGTCTCGACTTTGGGAACGGGAGGTACATCTGAGCTAGGCCCAGGTTCAGCAGGAGCTGAACTTGTCGAGGTGGCTGACAAAACACTGTCAGCTCAAGGTTGCCCAGTGGTGGTAAAACTATTTTAACGTACCACTCTCTTGCGGTTTGGGTGTCAAACCAGTCTTTCCAGCCTTGCCGTTCTTCTCCGCGGCTTCTCTGTTGGCTTTGTACTCTATCCTATTTTGTTCAAAATTGGGGTCGTTCAAGTACTCTTCCAATGCTCCTGCGAGAGAAACAGGGGCCTTTGAAGATGTTAATTACGCTTCGCAGCTGCTGTAAAAAGAAGCGAAGGCTCACATGCTTCAAGTTCGGGATAGGAACGTGAAGGAGATTCTGGAGTTTCTTCGCCACCCCTAAGAACTCGACGACCCTCTCTGCCTGATTGCAGAACTGGCGGTAAATTTGCAGTGCATCTTTAGCGTCGACCTTGGACATTTCGAAGTAGTGTTCTGATGGTTGATGAGAAAGAGTTTAGAAACAAAAAACCGAGAGCTTACCAAGGACGTTAATGACGCCCTCGTTACCAGCTTGGAATAGGATGAGTAGATCCTTGACAAGCATTTGCAGCGCAAAAATTGTGAGCTCATCCTCTAAGTCGTCCGAGTAAAACTGTTGGACTGTAAGTGGATCCAAAAGAAAGGTGAGAACACAGTGGGCATACCTTGCACTCGATTAACGCGTCTATCATCTTCTGAACAATCTTCGTTTCACGAAGAAGACCCTTCTCAACCGTCATAATCCTCAATTTCCTTCCCACCATAGTCTTGCTTCTCTGGGGAGTCTTGGGCTCCGCTCGCGCCTTCGCTAAACTGCTCTTGGAACCGCCTGAGTGAGCGCCATCCTCTTCGAGAGAATTGTTGAGACGCATGTCGCGATTCGACTCTGCCTGTACACGTATGGCATCGTGCTTCAGCTCGCGGTATGCGCGTATCCGGGTGTCGAGGTAGAGTGCGTAGTTTTGCATGTTTTGAGGGGCAGCGTAACCTAAGGGGTACGGTAAGCAGCTGGCTCCCAGGGGCGAAGATGGGAGGACAGACCATCCCAGTTGCCAGTCGAGACATTGCGAAGACGAAGGACCTCAGAGGAGCACAAATATGATAGGACATTATCCGTAGACCCATTACGTATCATAGTGTGGAGGACGAGCAGTGCTTTGAAGGCAATCTGACGGCAACATGCAGTTAATACGCGTCGGGCTTCGTCTCGGACGATGAGTGCGCACAATGGCATTAGGTTCTCTGAGACGTGGGACGAGTGCTTTGCAGACATCGTGAACGGCGCCCTCCTCCGACCATGTTGCTGCTATGATGGGATCCAAGTACTGTCAAACATGAATGAGTGTAAGCGAGCGTGCTCGAGGGTGTGTTGTGCGAGAATATTCACCTTTGCTTTTGGAGGTGCAGCCTTTGGCTTGCATGCCAGCTTGACGATCTTGTCGAAGCTTGACATTGTTCCTCCGCCAGCGATGTGGGGTGTGCTCTGGTGGTGAGCAACAGATTTCGAAACCACTGGACCTGCCAACCGCTCAATGACGGCACACCGTTTGAAACTCAGCCCCGCCCTCTTCCGCTTACCACAACCCTGCGGATCGTTCATTGTACCACTTGTAGTTCACAGTCCTCATTTACATCGAGCAATCCTCATAGGATATTTGCCTCTTCATTCATTCAAGGGGCTAAACTTCGAATGCGCAGCGAAAAGTTATTTGTCGTGTCTTCGGTCACAACTAGGTCACTATCGCGATCGATCGTCATGCTCGCGGACATCTTAACCATCCTTGATATAAGTCTACCACTGTCCTCACGCACGTGAAGAGAACCTTCGGCGACATTGGAGTCACCGGAACAATAAGGTAAGGCAGCCCGTCTTGAAAGATGAATCGATGAGGTATGACACACTGAACAATTTTTGCAAAGAATGGTACCTACGAGGAAGACCCGCTTCTGACACGGATTCTGTCAGTCCTCGTCCGATGCCGTGTCTAACGTGACTCGCCTTCCATCGCTGTCCGACATTCACCCAATCTTTCTGGTTGATTGGCATCAACGACTCCACCAAAGGACAGAGGAAGGTTATCGATTTCCAGCACTACCAAGCTTCACCCTCCCACTCGGGAGATCACTATATCTTGCGTACCCCAGCTAGCGCAAATCCGCCGCAACATAGATTGCCGCAGAGAGCCGAAGGCGACAGGCTTGATGGACGCGGCTTGACCTTCTGATTGCCCAAGACCTTGTTCGTTATATTTGTGTAATGGAGCTTGGCCCACCGACGTACACTTGGGTCCAATGTCACAGGTCGCGCCAAGTGTAACTTCATCCTATTCAGTCTCCCAACAATCTCCTATGCGAAGCAACTTTGGTCCCTCACGAAATTGTGTTACAAGGCGTTCCTGACACCAATGCTTAGCGCTTATCACTTGCATTCGCAGGGGTAAAACCACATTTCGGGAGAGAGATCGGCACATATCGTACGAGTGGGAGGCTCAACTTGGATACCAACCCAATGATCAGTGGCCCTCGCCCCTCGTCAATAACGAGATATTCAAAGAATTCGCCTGAACACGGCCGCTACGTCGGCGTTTCGCTGGCAAAGCCCAATGAATAGAGTACGTTGTTGCTATTACCCACCGCCTCTTTCTCTAACCGCGCTCACCGTGCACACCAGCGCTGTCACCATATGCCCGTAGTTTGACTTCATCAGGGTTTCATGGATAGGACAAAACACGCCAGTTCACTGTCTATGCTATGCTCAAGTAACTCGTAATGAGATGCACACGTACAGGACAACGACTTTCCAGTGGGATTGCATTGAGCATTAACGCGATGATTTGCCTGGATGCTGTCTACATGATGCAACCCCCGGCATTCACATTTGATTTATGTTCTGCTCTCCATTGTCCCTACCAAAAAAGACTCGACAGCGTTGGCAAACGCACATGCAGCCAATCACAAAGCGATTCGCTGCGCGCACCAGAGTTTCATAGAGGAGCGAATTTGTGAACGGGTTGAAATGAGTCTAAGATTGGCAAGATTAGATGTGAGCGTCGATGCGAACGCCTCCTAATTGTGCTTATATCACGCTCCATAGATGAGTGGAGGGGCGACCTTCACCTCACGATTTAAGACTCAAGTACTCATAGCCCTCAAAGTTGTTTGTCGTACCTGCTTTGCAAACAGGACGAAGGCGTTATTCTCTTAGCAAGCTGTTGCGGGCAATTCCTTGCTGGGATCCGATTTACGTCATGGTGAGTTTATGATGATCCTTTCATGTGATTCATGAACTTGGCGCTAAATATTGTGACTTTACTCTACTTTACTCCGATATTTAGTGTGCTCCATTTCCCGATATCAATGAGTGTCACCAGTACACCTTTGGTCGTTAGATATTTACAGAACCACAACGGCCCATCGACTAAGAAGACCCCATACCGGATCTGGCTAATACGGTTTCATCTCTTTCCACTGCACTAGATATCTGACTCGAATGCTCTATGAGGATTGGTTGCTATATCCGTCCTCAGGCTATGCCTTTACAAGGAACTCGTCCATTACGGCCCCTAGACCCAGTGGTTCACATGAGGACGTTATCAGACGCCCGTCCTCAGATGAATGCCCCTCGCCTTCGCTTTCTCTCACGATCTCTTTCACCTCGATACCAACATGGACGACCAAAACGAATACCTGGCCGACCTCCACTACATTGTTAACCATATTATCATGCCCGTCAAACTTCCACAACATTCAGATGAGAGCGTATCCAAAGACGTGGCCTTGGCGTCATCAACGTACTCTTTAGCGAGATCCTTTCGGTCCTATGTCATGCCAGACCACCTGCAGGCATGGGATGCTGTCACCGCTATGCTTTTGCATTTACGAGATGCTGCTGGCAAAACGTATTTATCCGCAGACTCAACCTATTCTCAGTTGAAGTCATCAAGAGCCGGAGGTGTGTATCTACTTCAAAGGTTTAGAAAAGATTAATCCCTGCCTAGACTTGCATGTGTTCTTCATCCGACGTCAAAATGCAGGGCTCATCATTCGGAAGGAACGTGATTGTACCATCTTCGAATCATTTGAGGCATCCCCTTCTCCAGATGCTGTCATGCAGGCCACTGGAAAACTTCTTTGTTCTTATCCAGGGCCAGCTGTCAGCGTCCCGAACGCTGTGAGTCAAGAACCGGAGTTCCTGAATCAATTATCAAAATTCCTGGAGGGTTTGGACGAGGAGGAGTTTCTAGATGCAGTCCCTCACACGAAGAAAGCCGGAGTTCTTGTTCCAGAAACCCGTGACACAATCAACCCTCGATATGTTACTGAGCTGTTGACAGGCATCCTCCTCGGATTTGGCACCCCTGCCGACGTTCCTCGAGTCTCCAAGCGCATTGGTGACGACGTCCAATGGTTAAATGCGGAGTTACCATGGAGGCGGGCTCCGCTCTGGCTCGTCATCAGGGTCTCGTTGCAAACTACACTCTCCAGAGTTACGGGCGGTCTGCTAGTATACAAATCATTCATCCTGTTCCTGATCACCAATATTATCCAGGAAGTTGTCAACGATCACCTTCCGCATTTCTCCGACGAAGTTCTCTTTCAGATGTCAGCAAAGATGGGTCGTAGACTTCATAAGCTTGGGTCGTCTGCTCTTCCCGAGCTCGCGAAGAGTACTTGCAAGGTTGCCGAGGCAGTCCGAAACGCGTTAGAAGAACGCAGCAAAGCCCTCACTTCATCTCCTCTTCCCGCGCTTCAGCTCACTACATCTGATTTCGAACGAGACGTGAACTTACCGTTGAAAAACAGTCAATCATGTATTGAGCGAGCATTATCTTCCCAAGCGCCTTCCGGTCCTTGTTCTCCGTTCTCCAAAAAGCATAGCCCTCGGAAGCACGATATATCAGTATTCCTCAAGGATCTCGAGACGCAAATTTCAGGTATTCAATACGATGAAAAGTACATCACCCTCATAGACTTTGAATCGGCTGTCCACGGGTCGCTTTGCGACTCTAAAGTCTGGTGCTCAACCATAGCGGATGCCGATGCCACCTCCGTTAACATCATGAAGACCATGGCCACATATTACGACCACGCTATTACACTCTATAAACACAACCCAGAGAACATGTCGATCATGTATCTAACTCTCTTCCTCCTTTGGGTAGCGCTGGACCATCTCACGTTGGCGAAAATACCTCTACTCTGGGATTATCGCCCTGATTTTGATCACACTGTGTTCCAACCTCTCGTTCTCCGGACACATCAATCTCGCACTTTGCTTCAAAAGGCTTTGATTCATCTTTCATCACGCCACGCTCGAGCGGTCAATAAACCTGTTCTCGAAGGAATCAAGGACGAGTTCTCCTTCCCAGCCCGATATTTTCGCAGTTCTTTGACATTGCATGCGCTTAAGCAACGAATTCAAAATGATGCTGAAGCTGACAAACGGGAAAAGCTGGACGAGCTTCACCAGAAAATGCAGGATTATGAGGAGAAGCTGCGACTGGCCCATGAGCTCATCCACGAACGGTGCGAACAGGTGAGAGGGAAGGGGATGCAGAAGAGGCGGGCAGAGATATGCACTAGGTGCGGCTTGGAAAGGGACGCCAAGAAGATGAGGATCGAGATTCATGAGTGGCCTTTACCTTCAGACCCCCTGCAAGCGGTGTCTGCGGTTTTCGAACTTGACTGTCCGATATCATTTGCTGCGTGGCGGGATGCTACGTACCACTTTGTCACCGACGTTCTTTGTCCGACCTTGTCGGTTTCTAGCGAAAAGCAAGAGTGGTATGGTGTTTTGAGTCTCGAAAGCTCGTCCAAGTACACGCCCCTGGTCAATTACGCGCGTAGTGTGGGATTTAATAGGCGCATCACTCTGGGCTCGTCGACGAAATCCTTCCGGCAGTCTCACTACCAACGGCTTTCGCTTGCCAAACACCCCAACGACGACTCTGTGGCTGTGAAAAATGCCCTCAACTTTTATCTCGTCGACACTACTCGCGACGAGCGTTCGGATCGGTGGCTTGGTTCCCAGGATATTACTGAGCATTGCACCTTTGTTGTCCCCCAAGGGCTTTACTCGAGTGTCTCATTCGCCTTGAGAACTACAAGTCACAGCACAAACGAGGTTCTGGCGCAGCAAGCTGAATGCCATCCACAACTATCACTCCGCGAGTACTGGGCGTACGCCAGTCTTCGCAGCGGGGGGCGATTGCAATGGATGAACATCCTTCGCGTGGTTAGGGATCGGTCACTCAACTTTCGCGAGGTCGAGGTGTATCTTCTTTGTACACAAGCCTCGCTTCAGGTTGGACCTCTCAATGCTGGTTCCTTGGAATCCTGGCATTCTCTGTTATGCGATCAACCGTTTTGCTTGTCCTTGATCCAAGAGTTGAGCAAGCTTCTTGCGGCCATTGAGCACAACTGGCTAGAACTTTTCTCCATGCTCTTCATTGTTGATATCCTGCTCATATTAATATCCTCATCTATGTGCGAGGATGTTATTCGGGAAGCAATGCGGTTGCTACGGGAGTGTCGCTCGACAAGTTTCACTTGGCTCGAAGAGCTCTCCAAACATCCGGACCTTCATCAGCACAAACAAACACAATTGCGCACTCATGATGTCGCTGCTATCTGCCTCGCTACATTCGATACAGAAGCAGCTCACATCGACTTCGTACTCTCGCGAAATGAGCCTAGCGATGTTATGCAAATTGTTAAGGCCTCGATTCTTTTTCAGGAGTACACTCCTGCACCGGCGCATACTTTACCGAATATCTCCAGACGGCTTTCGGAGCGAGCCAGGCGCTTGGCTGTACTTCTGGAGTCGCACCTGTATAATCGCATAGCATCAGATCGTACAGGACTCGATCAAGCCCTCCAGTCTGTCTGGAGCGGATATCGCCCAAATTACGAGAAGCCGTGGACCCGCTTGAATTCCCCAAGCCACCGCTGGGTTTGGTGCAGAACACTTCAGACTACTCAACAGTCATCTCAGACGGTGCATTACGACCTCCTGAGCGGGGCCCTGCTCGTGGAGGGCAAACCCTTGGCAAGGTTACCCTCGTCAATTACTCAGCATCAAACATATGCTCAATTGTTCGCCGAGGTGAGATTACCTTGCTTTAGGTTCAAGTGCCTGCAATGCTGAAGGCTCTCACACGTAGCAAATATTAGAGGTTGTCCCTAGTGATATCCCCGGAATGCAATACGCGACCAAGGTACTTATTCAGAATCACCAGGTAAACCATCTCCTTAATGGGTGAACAACCATTCACTGCTGTGCTAGGTATTCTTTGGGCTAGTTGACAACGTGCCAGTAATTAGGGCAAAGCAAGTTCAGAGTGAAGTTATCTTGGAACTGATCCCATCCGAACAGCTGCGGAATGACATCCCCCTTCCACTTGTGAACGGGCACATTCATTGGCTTGATCTCGCCTCACGGGTCATTGAAGTTCGACCTGAGCATCGAAGATGGGAACCCTTGCACGATTCTGATTGGCGCATCTACTACTCAGCTCGTTGTTCACGCATGGTTCGCCAGTTGGGACCAAACACGTTCTGTCAACTAGTCGATCCCTCAAGTTTGTCGGGCAACATGCTGTCCAAGTACTTGGATCCTATAGAGTTGCCGGCTTTTCAGGTTGTGACGTGGACACCAGGTGCTTCCTCTGGAGAGCTGCTAGCTGAGCTACCTCGATTGGGAATTTCCTTCTTTCTCAACCCGCAGGGAAGACTGCAGTCTCGCGAGCTGACTAACTATGCCATCGACCAAAATCAATCAACCGGAACGATGTTTGGTCTGCAAAACCAACTGATTCTCGCACCAAATCCCTCGGATGACTGTCATAGCGAAGAGATGTGTCGTGTCATTATTCCACGAGGGTCTGTTACTTACACAACTTCGTCACGACACCCTCGCATTTCCATCCAAAACCCCGAATCCCTGACCAGAGTTTCCTATGACATCTACAAGGTAGACACACTCCTCGGCCGACTGGAGCTTGATGGCCTTTCGAGCATAACCTCCCGTCTCTATAAGGCCTACCTTCATGCCATCAGTACTCAGTGCCTGCCAGATTCCTTGACTCAGCGCACAGGAACTGAAGAAGCTCTACGTGAACTTCGCTCGGCAGCATGCTTGTCCTTCAGCTCGCTTCATGACGATGATATTGTCCTGCTTAGGTGTATATCAGAACTTACGCCTCGCCGCCACTATTATCCGCCTAAGCGCGAGCGAATGCAAAGCGTACTCTGGGGGAAGCTCAGTTCTATAGCTCAGCATGAAGGATATCGTGAAGCGGTGGCTAGCATCGTGACGCACGCCAAACACATGAACACAATCGATTCCACTCTGTGCCATACGATATCAGAACTCGCAAAGTCAGAAGAGGAAAGCAACGACTGTCCAAAACTACTTCTCCGAGCAAAACTTCGCAGACAGGTCATCCAACGTGATGGTTTTGCTAGCCTCGAGTGCGATTTACAGGACTCAGATGTTGTCTACAACTCTCAGTGGGATGTCTCACGCGATGCTTTGGTTCAACAAGTTTCGAGCACGTCTGCTATGGTGTTTCGTTGGTCGAGAGGCCTTTCAGTGCTCCCACCTTCAGATTTATTCGTCGTCATGAAATCCATTTCTTCCGGGTCTACTTTGGAGGGCCCAAAGCCTCGCCACTCGTCTTTACAACATAGCCGCGCCTGGCTTTCCGAACCAAGGACCATCTGGCTCACTGCCCTGGAGTTATGCCGAAAGGCGCTAAATAAGTTCCAGCTTCTTTTCACCTTATCGTCAATGTCATATTGCGCCCTCTATCGCGAGAGACAGGATCTGCTAGTGGTTTTGTTCTGCATCGCTTATGAGTCATCCATTGGCTCGGTGCCTCCCATCTTTTCGCAATCATCGTACACACTTGGTGACGGAACAGACTTGGACGCCAATACCCTAAGTGTGGTTATCTCCACTCACTGTCGCCCTCTTCGTGACTCTCCAGAGGGATCCTGGACTCGGAGAAATGGAGAAAGTCAAGTCGCATTTCAAAGTCGTCAAACTGAATCTCGCTCATCTGTTCTGTCTAAACTCGAGTCCACATTGTTAGACGCCTTTGTCTCGCAGTGGGATATGTGGGACATGCCTCAACCGCCGCCTGGAGACTTCTCGCTCTATTTCGACTTGGAAAATATGCTGAAAAAAGTTAGCTACTTATTCGACAGCTGGCGACGGAACAGTAACCTACAAGCGTATACTAGATTACTTCAAAGACGAGTATTTCAAACCGCATGGTCCACTATCAGCACCAAAGGGTATGTTTCGGCTTGCGCTCACTCGAACCTACTAAAAAGAATGATTTCTCAAGATACTCCTTCTCACCTGCGAGTAGAAGGGCGAAAGCTCCTCCCGCGAACATATCATCTCTCGATTTATTTTCTCGGACAGTCTGTCGTAGATTTTCATTTCCAACGTCGCTCCTTGCGCAATACATCGGCATGAATACACACAAGAAACAAGTAACGCAAGACTCGGAGGACCGCCTGCGCTCGCTAATAACGCGAATTCGAGGCCTGTCGCAAGATCGTCTCTACAACATTTACACGCAAAGTCTGGAACGGAGCAGGAGCGCCCTTGCTATCTCTAGCTTCTCTGACATAAACTGGATCACAGCCTCCAAAACTGCGGCGTATTTGGCTGAAGAGGATCTTCAGCGGTGCAGAGACCGTATGATTCTGTCAAGGGACGTGATCGTACGAGCTCTGGCACCGCAACAAGATCACGAGATGGCCTTGGCGCATGCCGGACTCTGGCCTAGTTTCTCGACTTTATGTCTTTTGCGCAACCTCGACCTGCATCATTTCTTTTCGCTCTCGTCTGATTGGAAACACACATTCATCGATTTCGCGCGCGTCCTGATTTCGATGCAAGCTAGTCAGCGGCGTGCTGTTATGGTTAAGAGGAGCGATTACCAGGACCTGATACGGGATCTTGAACATACTGAGCAGCAATATTACGTGACGACTGCTTGTCCTGATTGGCTTCTTCTGCAGGTGATCTTCTCTTGCATGTTTTAGATGCCCGGAGCCTAACAATGGCCTATTAGATTGATGGTGACTTCACTCTCCGTGACGTTCAGCACCAAATCGCAGGCGAGATGGCATCTCAAGACTCTGATCAAAGCATCGCCCTTCAGCTCAACATGGGTGAAGGGAAGTCATCTGTCATTGCGCCCTTGGCTGCTTGTGTCATAGCAGACAAATCCAAGCTTGTCCGCCTGGTTGTTCTCAAGTCGCTCGCTGCTCAAATGGCCCACACCATGGAAAATCGCCTCACAGGTCTTGCGAACCGTCGAATTTATTACCTACCCTTCACACGCTCCACCCTACTCAATTCGAAGACACTCAATGCCGTAAGGTCGGTTTTAGAAGAGTGCAGGGAAAGCGGAGGAATCCTCATTGCGCAACCAGAACATATCTTGTCAATGAAGCTTCGCGCGGTGGAGTGTCAGCTTTCCAAAGACTCTACTTCTGCTGCCGCACTTATTCATCTCCAACGGTTCATTTTCAACCATGGCCGGGATATCTTGGACGAAAGCGACGAGATTCTGCATGTCCGCTACCAGCTGGTGTATACCTCCGGCACACACCAACGGTTACAAGGGCATCCAAACCGTTGGAGTACCACCCAGGAGATATTGCGACTAGCTCGCGGGCATCTGCATCGGCTCTTCCTGCAAGATCCAACGATGTTCTCCGCCCAGGGAACGACTCGGTCTGAAGTCGCACACACGTCCGCATTCCCGCCATTACGACTAATTCAATCGTCTTCTGCGGCCAGCCAGCTACTACGACTCATCTTAGGTGACGTCTTAGAGGGCCGACTATCCAAATGCAATCTTCAACACTTTGACGGATCTGAGAAGAGTGCGTTCGAAACATTCATCTCGGTACCGTCCGTGACTACTTCAACACAGGAAGTCTTATCAGGTCTACGGTCGCGAGGCGCATTGGATGACAATTTCTGGACCTTGACTTTATTACTTCGTGGGCTCATAGCTCATGAAGTCCTCATTTTCTGTCTCAGAGATAAACGTTACCGCGTTGATTATGGACTTGACTTGCAGCGGTCAATGTTAGCTGTTCCTTACCGCGCCAAGGATGTTCCCTCTACCAACGCCGAATTCGGACACCCCGACGTCGTGGTTCTTCTTACATGCATCAGCTATTATCTTTCAGGTCTTTCAGAGATGCAACTTGGAGCATGCATCCGATTCCTCCTCATTAGTGACAACCCAGCAGCAATATATGAAGACTGGATCTCCCTCATACGAGCATCCGACCTTTCCGATTCACTCAAGTCCTACAAAGGTCTCAATTTCGACTCAGTCGAGCAACGACACCTTCTCTCCGAAATGTTCAGTTATAATCAGGCGACCATCGATTTTTACCTGCGCACCGTTGTCTTTCCTCAGCAGGCAAAAGAGTTTGAGAGTAGACTGGCGACCTCAGGCTGGGACATCGTAGAGTCCAAGAGGCACATTACCACTGGATTCAGCGGCACCAACGATTTCCACCATCTTTTACCGACATATATTGTTCAAAAAGACCCCGAACATCAGCTCTCAACAAACGCTCGCGTCCTTGATTGCATGCTGCGCGACGAGAACGACCACTATGAGACGTTTGCCTTCCCTGATGGCCTGCGATTCGTGGAGAAGTTGTCACACAAGCGCCCGAAAATCCGCATGTTACTCGATGTCGGCGCGCAGTTGCTCGATGTCAAGAATAAGGACTTGGTAGATCATTGGCTGCACCATGAATCCGTAGAAGACACTATTGCCGCCGTTTACGTCGATGACCGAGACGAGTTGACCGTGTTACACCGAAATGGGCACGAAGAGCCGCTGTCGACCTCACACATAAACCAACATCTCGGACAATGTATTGTCTATCTCGATGATGCACACACTCGAGGCATGGATGTCAAACTACCCTCTGGATTCAGGGCTGCTGTAACCCTCGGTCCAAAGGTGACGAAAGACCGATTAGCACAGGGTAAGCCCACATAAAACTCACACTGTTAATTTGAACGTAATTTTTGTCAATGAAGGTTGTATGCGCATGCGGCGTTTAGGCTCGGGTCACAGCATCGCCTTTTTTGCCCCTCCAGAGGTGGAAACGAGAATTCGCCACATATCCTCGAAGAAGGCAACGAGTAAAATCTCGGTTGAAGACGTGTTGCTTTGGGCCATCTCGGAGACGTGTGCAGAGATCAAGGCGCGAGCCCTTCAGTGGGCGTTCCAGGGTGTCGATCATGAAATTCGTTACAAGGCGTGGTCCAATTTTCTCAACGCTGATTTGAAACTCTTCGACGGAGCAGAGTTCGACAATCTTCGACAAGCATGGGTGCAGCAGGAAGCACGCTCACTCGAAGAGCTATATGGGATTCGTTCGAGCAATCTCGTGAACCCGCTCAAAAATATAGTCAAAATCCCGCGCATCCACCAACGCTGTCTCAAGCTCGGTCTTTCCTCTACCTCTGTGGAACAACAAACCTGGCTAGACGAAGAGCAGGAAAGGGAGGTAGCCCATGAGGTCGAGCAAGAAGAGCAAGTGCAACGCCCATCTTCCCAACCTCCCTGGAAGCATCGGCTTTCAGCGGATGTGAAGGCTTTCGTACAGACAGGTTCCTTCTCAGACCATTCTTCTTCGTTCATTCCAGCCATCTCGCTCCTATCACATACCTCAGCTGAGTTTCCGAGTGGATGGAAAGGGCAGATGTGGGCAACGGAAGACTTTGCCAGAACCGTTCAAATACCACGGGGATCCAAGCTGGACTTCTTTCGTCCTGTTCAGTGGGTGATTTCAACTACAGCCTTAGTAGGTCACACTGGCAAGGACACGGCATTTGTCTTGGTTAGCCCGTTCGAAGCGAACGAGCTGCTTCCTGAGATTAGGCGGTATATGAAGGTTCAATTGCATGTTTTCACTCCGCGGCTCACATCGGAGATGGCACCTTGTGACGACCTCCAATTCTTCACAGTTCCTCTCCTCGAGCAGTCTGCCCTCATGCCAGCCTGTGCTCGCATGGAACTGATTCTGTTCTCAGGCCAGCTCTACTTGTCAAGCTACGAGGAGTACATTGAACTCTGCAAATTCCTGGGTGTATTTGCCAACGACTTGAAGAATTTACCCAAGCCTCACGTCTCTCACGATGGCTTCATTGAACCTCGGGGTCGCCAATTTGGCATACGAGCGGAGTGCCCCTTCTCAAGCAGTCCCATACCCGCGCTCACTGCTTTGGCGAGCATCCGGCTGAAAGGAATGAGCTATAGCCATACGCACCTCGGGAAGATATTGAGTGGTAGACTCCTCTTCCCCGCAGACTTTGGCTTGGGTGGTGAGTTCATTTTTAGCGCCCAAGATGCTCTGCTCAAGCATGATAAAGACGAGGGTCCAAGGTCTTGAATTACTCGTTTCATCTTAGCCGCTATACAATACATGTTCACATTAATATCAAATCGATCTATCAACGAGTTAGGTTTTCATTGCAATAATCACCTTCGCAAGATTTGTCATTTCTTCCTATTGACGCCTCTCCAACGCTGTAAGCTGTTCCGGAGACTTCTTCTGTCGAGAGGCGCTGAACTTCTCTACTTCGTTGACAAAATCTCGTGCAGCCATGCGCCCGTCTTTCAACTCAGTTGCCGATGCGTCACCCGACACGTATATCTGTGCTAGGTGTGGGTGAGACAGGCGATCACCCACCACCTAAATATTTCGTTCATGAGACAATTCCGATTATTGGATAGCCAAGTTACCTTGCCTGGTGTTCCAGTAATCTGGTTCTCGCCGGTGAATGATGTGATGAAGATCGTTGGCATACGGGTCGGACTCCGAGGACATCTGTGCTACTAGTTCATGACAACCATTGAAGTCGAGTCATTTAAAAGGTGGAGGGCTAATTTTCATTCGCATTAGCCTGCCCCCAAAATATACAGTACCGTTCTATTCGCCTGCTCGAACATTTCGGTCTGCATCTAAAGCGTCAATCTGGGACGATAGTTTTGGTTTCCATGTCTTTTTGATTGCGAGGGGAGGCAAAGGCTACCTTCCGAACAGCTTGACGACGGCAGGCAATGATAAGATGGCTTCGCTTGGTATAGTGGGCTATTTCTCAATCACACATGGGGAAAACCTGGCCTATATACGTTACTGTGACTTTGGAGCCCGCTTTCTGATTGAGTCATGGCCATGAGCTTGGATGAAGACAGGGGTCCAAGCTGGTCCCAATTGCCTCCGCTCTCGTGTGCGTCATGGCTGTCGGCCACGTCGGGAAGGTTGAACCAGTGTCAACAAAGTCGACCTGGGACGTCCGGACGCGATTGACAATGCCATCCACCGTCCCTCTTCTTCGAAATCCACCCGATGGTGTTGACAAGTACCACTCCGTCTTTTGTGAACTCGGTTATACCCCCCATTCTCTCACCATCCTTGAACCCATCTTCATCCAAGTAGGCGAGCTCCGGCAACAGCTCGTAGATGGCCCCAGCAAACTGGTGTATCTAGTAACCAGCTTGCGAAGCATGGAAGGAGGTCACCCAGCAAATATATGAGGGTAGTTTGGGGTCACAGCGCATGGTAGGTTGGTGAGTACCATCACGTATTGTTCAAGGAGTTCAAGCTTACAGTCTCCTCCAGTCGACCGGGGCTCTTCCGCCGAATCCACTACCACTTTTCTGCAAAGACGGTTTCAATCACCCTGCTCCGCCGACCCTTCTACTGGTAACCTCTCATTACCGGTACCTCCGGTGCGGGTACGGTCGACCACCCACAAACAAACATGGTTATTCTCCTGTTCGAAATTCGAATGCACGGGAAGCAGAAGCCAAACTCTTCATCCCTCGATGTGTGTCTCACATAAATTCCCTCTTGACTGCATCCGTATACTGACCTTGTCTATGCTTCTTCCAGGGATCTCTATCTGCGAAGGTACGCATGTGCACGTATAAACGAACTTTACTTTATTTTGATTGCCTCAGTATGCGCCGCCGCCCAACCCAGCAGACTGGGACGCACTCTCCCTCTACCTCACTGACCCGGAATTGGACGACTATCTGCATAACCCTGATCCTATTGGGGACTACAAAAACGACTACGGAGCGTGGATATGCACCAGTCTGACTTGGCCAACCTAGGATGCATGATGATTGTACGCTTGGGATTCTCATGAAGAACAGGCTAACTGCGCCGGAGTGCCATGGCTTCTACGTCCACTGAATCCGAGAGTTCTCAAGGCAGCCTCGTGTTGGATGCTCCGATAAACTGGGCCCTGCGAAGTCTTCAGCACCAACTATATACACCGTAGCACTGGAGCTTTTAGCGTCACACTCGCAAATTGGAGGCGCAGTGAACCTTTCGACGATACACTCTCAATGGCGAGCTCACGAGAAGTGCTGATGAACTGCGCCCAGCTTTCAGCTCATGCACAGAGGTAGGAAACTGTATCGGATGGCATAGAGCAGCCATAGCTCATAGAGCAACATTAAATTCACGTGTATTTGAAAGCTAGGTTGAGTTGTATCGTCTTCGTCATTGAAGTCAACGGCTTCGATGGACATTAACTGGGACGTGTCCTCACTAATTTCTACTTTGACCCTCCTGCCCCCCCTCCTACTCAAGAGGCTTCCGTGTCGGAGATGCATAGCGGATAAGCGGGGAGCCTTCAAACCAACGTCTCTTCCGAGCTGAAGCCTCCTCAGTCTGCGAGGTACCTCAGGATTGATTATCCCTCGTCTGCAGCATCGACACTCTTCTTAGGTTTAGTAAATGTTCCACCCTTTCCGGCCCAAACATTTATCTGCCACCAGATCTTATTGCTCCTACCAACAACTGGGGTACCATCTTCCTCCACAGGTTGGAACCAATACATCTTCACAAGCGCATTGCGAAGATTTTCCTGCTCAGGCAAAATCAAGTCGCAATACCATCAATCTGAGACTGCACGGACAAAACTACGAAACGTACCCTCCACCGCTTGTCATCTGGATGCTCCCTGTACCAATCGAACCGGTCCATCAAGGCCTGCCGAATCTCCCGTAGCTGAAGCCGCCTCTGCGGGCTGCCCCATATTGCAAGGCAGTTTAGTACTCTGTAAGGATGTGATGGTGGCTCTCCTGCAGGGGGGTCAGGGAGCGCCCATAGGTCAAGCTTAGTAGGCGCAGGGATACGGAGCTTGCTACGGAGGAAAGACTCCGCCTGGTTATCGCTGGGCCGCAATGGAAGTGTACTGATAACGTTGGGGCCACATCGAGACGCCTTGCGTTGATCCAGCCTCTTCTGAGACGCCTTGATACCGTTCCCGGCCGTGACATCTATCTGCCACCAGGACTTGCCATTTCTACCGATAGCTGGAGTACCGTCTTCTTGAACATGCCGAAACCAACACGTCCTTGACAACGTCTTGCGGATATTCTCCTACCAAGGCGAAGTAGAGTCACAACACCATTAGTCGGAAAAACATGGTTAAGCCGAATCGGTAAAGTCATGAAATGCTCACCCTCCACCCTTTATCTTTCGGATGTTCTCTATACCAATCAAATCGATCGATCAGGACCTGGAAGATTGTCTCCAGCTTAAGTCGTTTAAGCGAGCTATTCCATATGGTGAGGCAAAGCAGTGTCCTGTATGAACAGCATGGCGGCTGTCCTGCAGGGGGATCGGGCAGCGCCCACAGGTCAAGCTTTGTAGGCGCAGGGATATGGAGCTCCCTGCGGAGAACGGACGCCACCTCTTCATCGCTGAGAGGCGGTTGTGGTCTTATGCTAGAACCGTTCGAGCCACCCTCAGAGACTTCGGGTAATGGAGATATTCTCCAGCCGAGTATCCTAATGAGACTTCGGCCTTTTAATAAAAGGCAAAATTGACAACTTACGGCTCTGAGTCCGAGTCTGCGGAGGGATGTGAGGTGAGGTTAGTTGGCAATAGCGAAGTACGCGCATTTGGTGAGCGGCAAGAGTCATCCTCCCGTGCTTCATATGCTGCCGACGCGTCATGAACAGATGGATCATGAAGCTGAGCAACAGAGTGGTCGTCACTGAGATTCTGGATGTTGGACCTGGCCAACGCGTCGCTCCAAGGCTGAATGTTGTCTTGATTTGTCGCGTCTGGTGATCCTTGCATGGAAATATCACTGGAGGTGGCCAAATCTCCGTATGAGGGGAGCTGTGTCACGGCAAACGGCGACGAAAGGAATAATGTCGGGTCAGTCGTAGAAGGCAGTTCAAGCGAAGCGGACATTGTATTTGGTGGAAGCAAAGGAGGCGTCGCGTTGGAAGAGCAGTGACGGTCCTGTCCTTGTGGTTCACGCGTTGTCGACGCGTCATATCCAGGTGGGCCGTCGTGGAATTCGAACTGAGCAGCAGGGTACCAGCCATCGTAATTCTGGAGACTAGATATGGCGGACGTGTCTCCGAAGAACTGAGGGCCGCGTTGACTCGTCGCGTCAGATGATCCTTGCATAACATTGTCAGCAGAGGTAGTTAGATCCCCATATGAGGCGAGCGGTGGCTCGGTAAACGGTGACAAAAGGCGCAAATTCGGGTCTGTGATAGAAGGCTGTTCAAGCGACGCAGATAGCGTGGTAGGGGAAGCGAGAGACTGAAGCAAGTGGTTGCTTGTCACAGTGGCGTCGTCCCAAGTGCTGAAGTTCATCGACTCATTAGGTGCCGGAAGCGAGATACTCTCAAACTGTGCATCAAACTACAGAAAATCAAGTAGAATGAGACGGTGCTGACAGTGATACCAGTACATACGTGCCACTCACCGGTACGCTGTCAAACATAGACGCTAATGCAGCCTCGGAAGTAGCCGTTGGGAGGTCATGGAGCAAAGGACTAGGAGGTTCCATGTCAAAATGAGGCACACCGTCGGGGAAATAGGCGTTGGTCAGGCATTGACTCGAAGGGCCGTCCAGTTGGCTTTGTTGAGCCTGTGGCTGGGAGAATACAGAGGCGTCACCAGCGGGCTCGGCTGGTTGTAAAGCAGATAAGGCGTCACTGAAGAACATGTCTAGCAAATGAGGGTGCGGGTCCATGGCGGACGCGTGAAAAGTGATGACGGGGTAGCAAGATTAAGAGGACAGCGCGTCGCGAGTCGAGGAGCTCCGAGCGTGTTTATATCCATGGACCCACAAGAACAAATAACGCGATGCAGCCCCCAATGGAAGATAGGACCGATCCATGGTGTGGCATCGACGCAACATCGACGGCTTATCTGTAACGCAGCGGGTGACGAAGAGTCAGCCAAACATATTCAATGTACATATGTGGTGACCGGTTATATATACAGATGTGGAGCGCTCTGTCCATAGTGCTACGAGTATGTACAAACGACAAGGAGGTTATAGTACAGCATGAGGTGTGGTGCGATAGGGCCAAGGTCAGGAACAATACAGAAATACAGAAAATACGGGAAATATGGGTAGGTGAGGTCTTTTCAGCTGCAACTAGTCGACTGTGTCTTCGCCTTCTTCGCTGGGCCTTGAGACAGCGACCCGTCGCTTTGAACGTGGTGTGTGTTACTGGCAACCTGATTGCTGGCTGACTGCTCAAGTGAGTGTTTGCCGTTGGACCCATTACCCGACGATGGAGAGCCTTGGGGACCCGTCGCGGCTGTCGCACGTTCCTGACCTGCCTGGAGATCGTGGACGCGAGATATCCGAGTCGTGGATAATGTCTTTAAGTCTTTACTAGCTATGCACATCCACGTAAGGAGAACCTTAAGACATCGTCCGACCGCATGGCCGTCTGGTTCCGTGGCTGCCTCGTAAGCCATGCGAAGAATGGAAGCCACGGACCCAATGGAGGACACGAAGCTTCGGAACCCAGGGTGTACCTTTTCTGCCCATTCCTTCAGCTTCCCGGGCATGATGATGATATTAACACGCTGTAGGGTTGGGTTCGTCACGTTGAAGACCTCGCGGAGCTCAATCCTAAAGCGATCTAGTGACGGGATATCCTCCTTGGAATCCGGAAGGTCGTGTGTCAAAAACCAGAAAAGACCCAAAACATAGACTCGATGTCATGTACGGCGTGATGGCGAAAGGGCCTCGCCTGACCAAGCCCTTGATCGTGTCGACTGTATATGTCGGAAAAGATATCGGTGGCACTAGTTTGATACCCCTGTTGATGGAAGAAGGACTGAGTCGCCACCTCTGCGGCCATGAAGTAAGGCGTGCCCTGAGGAAACGCATGAATAAGGATGTCGTATCAGCAATGAGAGAGCTTACCGTTTTCGGATCCTTAGAGAGGCTGACGTCCTCTTTGTGCTTCGCATACTCGAGATCTGCAAGGATGCCGCCGACTTCGTTTGTTGTTGGGCGCTGATATATTAGCAGGTTCCCGACACTGATATCACGGTGAATCCACCCCACTGAGTACATCAGTACCATAGCTGGCGAGAGCAACGATTTCAGCAATTGTCGAGGACAAAAGAAGAAAAGCGCTCACCGCCAACGCAGTCGAAGCTGGCTTGGACGATGTGTTTGAAGTCCCTTTCTTCAGAGAATGAGTGGCAGACCTCCTTGAAAACGAGGCGGCATTGTTTCTTCGGCGTGAAACTTCTATGTTCACGGATTTGAGACATTGCTGCTGTACGACCACTGGCAGAGACCGCATAATCAGACACACCTATCGCTCGCACCATTTGGCAGCGCGTCATAAAGTTGAATGCGGCCGTGATGAGGGGGGGATCTATGCTCCTTGAAAGTGGTCTCGGGTGTCCCATCGTCAGTAGCCAAGTCAAATGGAAGGGCGGGACTGTCAATCGTCAAGAAATAGCTAGTATAATCGCCTAGTAGATTTTCGAACCACTCGCGAAAATCAAAGTTAACTCCAGATAATGATATTTCTTGAGCCGTCGCCAGCAACTTCTCCAAGTTAGCGTTATCTTCTTTCAAGTACCCGGGGTTTTCAGAAACATCTTGTTGGACTTCCTCTGAGTGGAGCCTATACTCCTTCAGACCTTTGAGCCTGTTGAAAATATCGCGTTGAATCTCGCGCTCTGTCTTTGCGTCCTCGTTAATCCAGCAATCCTTCAGCACCTTTGGAACACCGTCCAAACGCTCGAAACGAGGATGCTCCTCATCCCCTGCTTGCTCGACCTCAATCACCCTCCATATCCGAGTAGCTCGCCCAGGGATGCGTAGCGATGGATGATGTTTGAGAATGGCTTCAGTTTTGAAAAACTTGCCGCCAACTTTGTAAACGAACTGCCCATCGTCGATTCGCCAAAGAGATGGATCATATCCTAGGTCTTTCATGTTCGCAAATATGAATGATGTGAGAACCTTAATGAATAAGTGAGGATGCTAATTCGAGCCAGCAAACATCGGATTCAGTCTTTGATACTCTGCATGAGGAAGTTGAAGCGTGACATACTCTAGTCCAACAGATGGGAGTGGATTTGGCACAATGCGACCGGGAAAAGTACCAGAGCCGTAAGTCTTCCCCTTGCAGAGTCAACTGTATATGTGTCAATTTCACCACACATAGGCGACGATGTGCAGACGTACACCGTATACATAATGCCTGGCAGGGTCATTGTACAGATAGCGTGTGGCAGTCATGGCAATTTTGTCGCAGTTCTGAGAAATGGGACCATTAGTACGAGAGATAAACTCGGGTCACCGATCGAGGGCGAAGTTGCGCACCTCACGTATCTCTGTCACATTGCAAGCTTCCTTAATCTCGCCGAAAACCGCGAGGTCTTCGCTGTTTATGCTATCTTCACTCAACCCATTGCTGCCAGCGAGCCTTCTCAAATCCTTGCGTTCGGAGATAGGAATGTCGTTCCTGAGGGCAAGATTGAAATCCGACTTGAAGACGGAACTAGGGGCGTCAGAGTTGGTCACTTTGATCGGGCGAGTGGTAAATTCTGTGGAAGGGCGCCAGTCGTGATATTGATATAGGTTATCCGTTATGAGTTGGCATATCATACAAATCCAGCTCTTGGTCGTCACTTCCGCATTTTGGGAGCCCGACTGGAAAAAGTCATCCAACCAAGGATTTCCCTTGATGATTTGGGTGACCTCTTCAACATATGCCTGCTCGGGGACAAAAGGAAGATATTGGTCAAGAACAAGGTGGTTGATTTCGATATATGCGGCTATGTAAACTGAGGCAAGGTTACATTGCTCGTCAAGAGACAGTTGATGGGGGCTCTCCGCGGGCGACACCGGATCCTCAGGACATACTGTTTGCCACCTAGGAGTCAACTATTAATTGACCCATTCTCAACATTCCGTCAGGCGAGCAGCGAAAAGATCGAATACCTGGACATTGAAGCTCTTCGCGGAGGTAGCGCCTTGGTCTCTCAAACGATGTCGGGATAGGGGGATTTTTGAAGGTCTGTCTGAGAGTTGCAACTCCAGCAGCAAATATTTTATAATGTACTAGGGCCAGATGTTTAAGCTGCCGGATAGATACTTGCGAAGAAAGGATGCCTAGGGGAAGAAGGTGAAGTCAAAGACAAGAACAAGACGCGTCTGAGTGCAACGCGACGCGTGGGAGCGCATCTGGAATTATCAGCGCGGCAGGCACGGCGGGGACCACTGCTCCTGCACAAGCCGTTCCCTTCACGGCGTCCGCTGGCACTAGAAACGACCTCACTTTTTGTTTCTTTCCACCACCAGCAAAAGCAGCAGCCACCTTGTTTGGGCATATACGGCGTGGTGTGGTCAACTCGATCACTTCCGGGGCGCCTATCACACGCCCGATAGTGGTGTAGATCATCATGTCTTCCCTCCTCAATAGCAACTTCCTCCGGACCAACCCCGTCGTTCTAGCCCTTCGTCGGAAGGGCGTATCCATACGGCACGTTGCAGTCGCCACTGGACTTGCGCTCTCGCTATGCGTGCTCTATTACAACTATCTGCCACGGCGGGAGGTTGTCCTGTTTCCCGAGGAGGTCATCTACTATCCGCCAGAGACGCAGGAAACATGGTCGGCCAGGGCGGAGCAGGTCAAGGCCGCATTTCTGCATGCGTATCATGGGTACGAGAAGTACGCAATGCCAGCGGACGAGCTAAGGCCCTTGAGCAAGACCAAGGCAGCTGACAAGTGCGTGACGCATGCTACTGTAGAAGGGATAGCCAGCAGCTGATGGATTGGCTAGATTCAACGGGTGGGGAGTGACTGCTGTCGATTCCCTTGATACTATGCTTCTCATGGGTCTAAACGAGGAGTTCGAGAGAGCCCTGCCGATTGTGCAGAACAGCAATTACAGTCTCCCGACAGTACGTGCGTTTTCGCTGTCCATACCTCATCTCAGCCCTCGAAATCTTAGAACACCAGAGTGCCCTTCTTCGAGACCGTCATTCGATATATGGGTGGTATGCTTTCCGCCTATGCGATGTCAAAGGAGGAAATCCTTCGCACCCGCGCCGGCGACCTTGGGACGATCTTGACCCCTGCGTTTGACTCTGCCAGTGGATTCCCGACATTTGGGGTGGACACAGTCAAGTGAGTGGTCCGATGCATGAGTGCAAGTTTCCTCGAAACTAAGGCAACCTTTCAAGGGGAAATTCGGATGGTATGAAAATTGGGATTCTGGCAGAAATCGCCAGTTACCAGATGGAGTACGCATACTTGGGCAAGATTACAGGCAAGAAGTCGCACGTTGATCATGTACGCCTTTTACCATGAACACAGTGTTTTCAATTTCGTTATGTAAGCTTTTACTATAGGCAAGAAAAGCGACAGAATTATTGCAAGCCGCGAATCTTACCGTGAGCGCCGGCGCGTACCCCGTTCGATGGGACCTTACGACGGGTCAGCCTACGGATTGTAAGTGCATTCCCACTACTGTTAACTTCGCTTGACTCACGGTGGCTAGATCATGTTGCCCCTGGCGGTGCTGCCGACAGTGCTCATGAATACACCTTGAAGCAGTTCCTGCTGACGGGCAAGACGGATAAAGCAAACCTCGAGATGTGTATGTGTAATTTGATTGTTCTCGCTCTGTCAATCTCAACTCATGGACGACCATCCCAGACCTTCGAGCAACGATGTACATCATGGGGGAGCTCATGTTCATCTCTCCGAAACGTCACCTTCTATACGCGACCGACGTGTACCAATACGAGAACGAGGCGCGGTACTCGCACACGTTCGAGCACCTCTCTTGCTTCCTCCCTGGCCTCTTCGCGCTCGGTGTGCACACCCTCCCACTCGATGACCTTGCCTCACTTGGCGTCGACATACACGAACTCGCAAAGGACCTCCTCCCGCGACACCAGAAGATGTACGACTACATCACGAAGCACTACACGCTCGGCGAGCTGCACCTCTGGGCCGCGCAGGGCATGGCGCAGACGTGCTGGCTGACGTACGCGGACCAGCCGACGGGCCTCGGGCCGGATTCGGTGACGATGCGTGCGGGTGGCATATACGACGAGGTGCCGTGGCTGGATGCGTTGGATGCGTGGCGCAAGGCGGGACGGAAGGGGAGTCCGCCGGGGGTGGGCGGGAAGACGCCGTGGACGCAGTGGAATCTGACGTATGCGAGTGCGAAGGACCGGGATCGTATTTTTGCGGAGAGGGATTATGGGCTGAAGAACGCGGCGTATTATCTGAGGCCTGAGGTGAGTTCTCGGCCGGATCGCGATGTGAGTGCGAGTGACTGAACGGTAATTCTAGGCGGTGGAATCGTTTTATTTGCTCTGGCGCACGACGGGCGACGTGAGGTGGCGGCACCACGGGTGGGACATGTTCCAAGCAATCGAGAAGATCACAAAGGTGGAAGCGGGGTATGCATGCGTGCACAATGTACATCTGGAAGATTACAAACTCCACGATGAGATGCCTAGGTGACGCTGGATCTATTTCTCAAGATTTTCCGAGCGAGCTAACATCACGTGCAGCTTCTTCCTCGCAGAGACGCTCAAGTACCTGTACCTGCTGTTCCATGAGGAAGATCTCGTGCCGCTAGAGCAATGGGTGTTTAACACCGAGGCGCACCCGCTGCCTGTGTTTGAGTGGGAGCAAAGGGAGAAGGAGGCGTATGGGATAAATTGAGCCGGCAGGGACCTGAAGCTGCCGACTCACGATCTGTGTATAATTTACTTGAGGTAAAATCGGTTTTAAATGGACAATATTATTGGACTTGCTTTCGTGGATTTCTTCACCGCATGGAAAGATTTGGCAGCATACTGCGATTGTTAGCCTGAGCGTGAGCTAAGGTAGGTCAAAAGGCCCGGATCACTGACATTGTGTTCCGGGGTCCTTGGCGCGTCCTGACGTCGCACGCGTTTCGCGACGGCAGACTGTTTGAGTTTGTGTAACTCTCTTCGGTGCCACCATCACGACCCTTCACACCATGGAACCGTGAGCTTTACTCTGATTTTTGTAATACGTGATGCTGACCTCAAGGTTAGGAAAACTGAACAAGCGACCGAGCAGCCGACAACGGTCGAGGGCGCGCTCGAGCAGGCGCGCCGCGCGTTTGCGCTGAGGAGATACGAGCAGGCCGTCGAGCATTATGCGATGGCGCTTGAGATTGCGTGCGTATAACGTCTGCGTCTCTCCACAACAGCACTCGAGATTATGCTCATGTACATGATACATGCACAGAACGAAGAAACACGGCGAAGACGCGCCCGAGATGGCGGACCTGTACTTCTCGTATGGCAAGGCGTTGTTGGAGAACGCGATTGTGCAGAGCCAGGTGCTGGGCAAGGACGAGCCGCAGAATGAGGAGGCGGAGGAAAAAGGTGCGTGGGTCACGCAAGATGCGCCCCTGTGTGGTGATCGTAGACTGACTTTGGGTTCGGGGTTGCAGGTGCCAACGGTGCTTTCCTGTCGTTCTCTGGCGACGCGGAGGAGGAGGGCGATCCTGCTGTGGACTTGTTTGCGAACGCGGCGAAGGCGGAGGAAGAGGAGGAGGAAGAGGACGGGGAGGGAGAGGGAGAGGAGGAAGGAGGCGACGGAGAGCCAGAGGACGACTTCAACGCTGCGTGGGAGGTGCTCGAGCTCGCGAGGGCCATATATGATCGCGGCAAGGAAGATGACGGGGTGACGCTCAAGCTGGCGGATACATATATCGCGCTCGGGGATGTTTCGCTCGAGACGGGTGCGTTGTTTCCTCCATTCACGCGTTGTTATTCGTCAAGGCTAATTCGTATTTTTAGAGAAATTTGATCAGGCAATTACAGACTACGAAGAAGGGCTGAAGATTAAACTCGAGCTGCTGCCCGTGTCGTCGAGACAAATAGCGGAGGCGCACTACAAGCTCACGCTCGCGCTCGACCTTACACCCGGACGATTGTCAGACGCGATTGTGCACGCCGAAAAGGCGCTCGACAGCGTCGAGCACCGGCTCGCGGAGCTGCGCACAGGCATCGCAGGACAGCTGCCGCCCCCGTCTGCGCCTATAGAAGAGTCGTCGAACGCAAGCGGGAGTGGAAAGGGCAAAGGGAAGGGCAGGGCGGCACCGGTGCTTGCGGACGACGCGGTGCAGAAGATGAGCAAGGAGCAGATGGAGAAGGAGATTAAAGAGGTCGAGGGGCTGCGGGAGGACCTGGCGATGAAGGTCGAGGAGCTCAAGACGAGCCCGAACGATGCGTCTGCCGAGAGCGCACCGGCGATGGCCGCGCGCGCGCTCGATGCGGAGCTGAACGCTGGCAAGGGCAAGGGTGGTGGTGCAGGTCTCGACTTCAGCGCAATCCTTGGGGCGGGCTCGGCGACGGCGAGCGCGCAACCGGCCGTGGTGAATGATTTGACATCGATGGTGGTGAAGAAGAAGAAGAAGGCGCCGGCGAATGCGAGTCCGCCTGCAGCGGAGGGAGAGGCGTCGGGGAAGCGGAAAGCGGAGGATGGTGAGGGCACGGAGAGTAAGAAGGCCAAGCTGGAGGGCGAGGAGTCGTCGGCGTAGGTTTGTAATTTCGTGTCTGAGGATGTATCACACCTAGACATCTTCTTGATTTACTAAGATTTATGTATCCGTACAGACTACGCATGGTACACGAACAATCTTTTACATGATAAATGACCGAATGTGCCTACCACGGCACCTTGCTGGCTTGTATCGGCGCATGCGTGAACGCCTTCTTGCCCTCGCCGACGCCAAAGTCGCTCGCAACATGCCCTTCGCCAGCCGAGCTTCTGAGCATATACTTGTAAATCACAAGCCCCTCGAGCCCCACGGGTCCTCTCGCATGTATGCGCCCTGTGCTGATCCCCACCTCCGTGCCGAACCCATACCGAAACCCGTCCGCGAAGCGCGTGCTCGCGTTGACGAACGTGCCCGCGGAGTCGACGCCCCTGCAGAACGCGCTCGCGTGCGCCTCGTTCTCGGTGACAATCGTGTCAGTGTGGTGCGACGAGTGCGCGTTGATGAACGCTGTCGCGGCCGCGAGCGAGGGCACGGCTTTGACGGAGAGGCGGAGATCGAGGTGCTCGGTTGTGTATGTATCGTTTGGGGTGTGCTGGATGAGCGACGGGAAGGAGGGGTGCGATGAGATTGAGGGGGCAGAGGAGAGGGCGGTGTGCGTTGCGGTGTCGCAGAGGAGTTCGACGTGTGCGTCGAGGAGGGCTTTGCCGACTGCTGGCCAGACGGTGTTAAGTAGGCTTTCATGCACCAGGAGGGTTTCTGCTGCGTTGCATGCGGAGGGGTAGTCTGTCTGAATGGAGTAATCAGGATGTATTATTGCAACTTCGAGGTGCTCAGTGCACACCTTTGAGTCAACGACGACGCGTACTGCCTTCTGCAAATCTGCAGACTCGTCAAGATAAACGTGACATATGCCATCCGCATGGCCCATGACGGGGATACGTGTATTGTTCTGGATGTTGCTCACGAGCGCGTTGCTCCCGCGTGGAATGACAAGGTCTATGTAGCGGTCAAGCTGAAGCAGCGCAGAAACCTCATCACGCGTTTGAATTGCATGGATATATGCAGGAGGAAGAGACGTCTGAGCGAGACCCTCGGCGATGGCGGAGGCAAGGAGGGCGGTGGTGCGAGTGGATTCTTTGCCGCCCTTGAGAATAGCAGCATTACCTGCAACCATGCATTCGTCTTGTGTTTTAGGTGTGACTTGGATAAGAGACGGACCTGATTTAATGGCCAGAGAGGCGATGTTTACAATGACCTCTGGGCGCGACTCGAAGATGACAAGAAGGACGCCGATGGGGCAGGACACGCGGTAGAGCTCGAGACCGTCGTCAAGCTTGGACGCGTACGACACAGTACCTGTTGGATCAGGGAGGTTCGCGACGTCCAAGATGCCCTGGAGCATCGAGTCCCATTTATCACCCTTTCCGAGATCGAGGCGTTTCAGGAGTGCGGTGGTCATGCGACCTGCGTCGACCTCTTTTTGCGCAGCCTACGGGTGATAGCCAAGAGTGTCAAAAATGGGGTGGCATTGATGAGACGGGCAGTGTAAATACGAAAGGAAGGTGTACTACACCTCCATGTCTTGCTTGTTGGCTGCGAGGATGTCATCTTTGCGCAGCTCGAGCTGTTGTTTGATTTTGGCCAATGCCTCGTTGCGAACTGATGAAGGGAGAAGCTGAGACTGTTCAAATGCCTCTTTTGCGGCTTTTGCGATCGCTTCGACTGAGGAATCCGATGCCGTCGTTGATGCCATCGTTGATGCCATCGTTGATGCAACCAAAGGATACAAGGGATGGTGCTTTTGGACAAGAGAGGTTGACGGACTGACGGAGATTATTTGGCGCTTGTTATTGGGAGGCGTTGACTCGGTCCATCACAATGGGGATAGATCTAATCTGATAGCAAGTACAAGGATTCTGTCAAGCAACTTGACAGTGTTCGCGTCGCTCTCAACGCTCCGGCTGTTTGGTGTCAGCTCACTGTCAGATCTGAGACATTTTCTTCTCTTTCATTAATGATCCTGGTCAAGGTCGATTGAAGTTGCTCAGCTTCGACCTCCAAGTCGGATCCCATTCACCACTACTGAATTCAGACCTCTTCGACAAGGTGCTACATCCCCGTCCTGGATCCTTCATCTCACGACGAGAACGGTAGACAGGGCGAATCAGCCGTCCCGAGCATGTGAGCGAAGTAGCACTCCATATGCAAGCAGCATCTGAAGCACCTGAAAGTTGGTCACGACAGCTCTATTAGGCTTATGTAGAGATATTATCATGCGCGGGTGAAGCACGCAATTACGGGTTATTCTAGGCTTTCTTACATTAAAGACAGTGAACACAGCTTGCGGAGATGGCGGATAAGCTAGAAAGCATGCGGTCGCGTGGGGAAAGAGCGCGGTTGCCGTCGGCGCGTCCCACTTGAACCTTGTGCTCATGTTTGGACACACATCAGCATATGGCCCCGCAGTGTATTTCGGGTCCATCCCGCCTCAACGAGTGTGTCATTTTCCCGAGTGCCTGTGTATTTTGAGAGCTGAGCGCTTCTAGCCCAGAGTTAATTGTTATGCACTCGCCGTACCTCGAGCCAAGACAATTGGGTCGCCATGGATCACGACGAGGCAAGCGGCAAGGGCGGGACGAGGGAGATAGACCGATATAGAGCCCGATGGATGCTTGGTGCCTGTAAGCGACAATAGCCTGTCAACGCAACAGACGTAACCTGCGGGGACAACCAGACGACCGGCTCGATCGAGATTGTCCTCTTCCTTTCACGCTGTGGCCTCAGCTTCCCGAGTCCCGGGCGTATAAAGATACGGCTGTGACCCGCTGGTCAATCAGTGCATCGCTCGCTTTCCCTCTTCTCTTCTCTTGCTCCAATGGCGACCCAGCTCGGTGTTGCTGTTCTCGCCTGTGCATGGGCTGCGTCCGTCGCGGCCCAGACGCCCCCGAGCACTTGGCCCCAGGTGTATCCCAACATGCCCTCGGGCGACTACAGTCCGGAGTGGCAGGACTGTATGCATATCCCCCTCGTATACGCGATCGTGTGCTAACTGAGTTGTTCTCTCATCAGACTTCGCTGTCACCGAGAGCTTGCCCAACGTGACCTGGCCACTTGCGAATAACTTCGCGGGCAATATTCCAGTTCAAAGACAAGGTCATCCTAACGATACCCTCTTCTTCTGGGCATTCGAGCATTCGAATGGCTCGCTCACTGCCGACGCGGGAGCGAGTGACGAGCCATGGGGTATCTGGCTGAATGGAGGGTGAGCATGTTCGTTGTATGTGGTGTGAGATCGTATTGACGCGTTTCATGTTTGTCAGACCTGGGTCCTCCAGTTTGGTCGGTCTTCTCTTCGAGGTAGGACACGTCGACAGTCGTTATTGGCCATTACTGATGTTTCTTTGCAGAACGGTCCTATTCAGATCGCAAACGACTATTCGGCTTTCCAAAATAATTACGCATGGACTACGATCGCCGATTACGTGTATATCGACCAGCCTGTGTGAGTCTACTTTTGTCGTCGCCGACGTGGAATCTGTATTGAACGAGCTCCACATTCAGCGGTGTTGGCTTCGGAACTGCGGACTCCGATGGCTATGGTGAGCCCGGAAACATGATTTGTAGATCCTGATGCTGATTATTCTTAGTTTATGATGAGGATCAGATGGCCTCCGACTTTGTACGCGTTTGGATTTTGTTGCGTGTGTGCACATGCTCATGGTTATGCAGTTCGGTTTCCTCGAGAACCTGGTCAAGGTCTTCCCCAGTCTCGCGACGCGTCCGCTGCACCTCACCGGCGAAAGTTATGCTGGTGTTTATATCGTATGTGCTCCATTGTTCTGATATTATTCGGTGGCCGCTGATCGGCGTACACAGCCTTACATTACGAAAGCCTACTTTGGCTTGGAGAACCCGCCCGTGAAGCTCGCCAAGATTGCCATTGGCGACGGCTCGATCGCGGCTGGCGAAGTGTTTGAAATTGCTCCTGTCGTACGTCCTTCTCTGGACGCAAAACATGTGGCTACGAAATCGCGCTAATCACGAATGTTGTGAACAGGTTTCGGTCCTCGAAACCTACCCGCAGATCATCGGCTACGACACCGCCGTGCTCGACTACTTCCGCGAGCAGACGCACCTGTGCGGGTTCGACCTCAACCTGACGTACCCGCAGGACGGGCACTTCCCGACGCTGCAGTTCCAGCAGGGGGCGGACCCCAACTCGGGCGATTTCATGTCGAGCTACAGGAACCGTATGCTGGACAAGGCGGAGTTCAGCGAGGAGCTCGAGCGCAGGTTCGCGAACAGGGAGCTGCCGAGTGCACGGGAGAGGATCAGGAAAAGGGATGCGTGGAAGAGGGATTTGTCTGGGAGGGCGAACGGGACGATCGACTCGTGGTACGGGTGTGATTTGTATGACGAGATGTTGGACTATGCGGTCAACTTCTCGTATCCGTGGAGTGAGTGTTTTCTTTTGTGGGGTCTTATTCAATTTTGCTGATGCGTTTTGTTAGCTTTGAGCCAGGCTAACGGCGGTACTTTTGACGTGAGTTTGTGCACTTTTTTCTCTGGGAGAAGTATGACGTTAATACGGTGTATGCAGTACTACAACATCCCTGACGCTCTCAGTCCCGAGGCTCCCCAGGACGCGACTGTCTTCCTGAACAGTGAGAGCTATTTTGGTTCTAAGAGAAATTACTAACCTGCCTTTGTCCAAAGACAACCAAACTCGTGCTGCCATCCACGCTCCCACCAGCAAGGACTGGGAAGAGAGCATCTATTACCCCTTCGGCAATGGTGGGAGCTATTATTGGTTTTGTTTGCTGATGACTCGTGCTGACGATTCTTTCAGAGTACGGATCTAGTGACAACAGCGACCCGTAAGTCCGATGAAAATGTTTTCAAGTACAATCAGCTGATCATGACATGGTTAGCCCAATGGTCTTCCTGACGGATCTCGCGACGAACGCAACCAAGGAGGGCGTGTCTATTATTATTTTCTCCGGAAACGACGACTCGCTCATCCCGCATTATGGGTCTCAAGGTGAGAGAAATTATTCGCCGTTTATCACAACGACGGAACTAATAAAATGCCTTAGTCACCATCCAAAACACGACCTTCGGTGGTGTCCAGGGCTTCTCCGTTGAGCCCCAGACGCCTTGGTACAACGACGACGGCGAGTTTGCCGGAATTGTGCATCAGGAGCGCAACTGGACGTACGTCCTCGTCGAGCATGCTGGCCATCTTGTCGGGAACACGAACCCGACTTCTGTACGTCTCCCTTCTTCCATTCTGCGAATGAATGTCACCATTAATTTCACGGGGTGTACTTGCAGGCCCTCGTGTTCGCCCGCGAGTTCGTGTTCGGCAACAACCAGACGGGCCTCGTGACTAACAGCTCGGGCACCGTGTCGGTCGTTGGCGGGCAGGACACGACGCTGGGCGAGATTATGACGGGCCAGGCGGACATTTACTATGGCTCCGCGACGACGGAGAGCAGCTATGCGTACGGGAGCGCGACTGTTGCCGCTTGGAACGCGTACGTCGCGACTGCGACGGCTGCGCCGCCGTTGCCGACGCCGGACACGGACGCCTCGTCGAGTGCTGGGCGCAGGGCGGTAGTGGGTGGGGGTGTGTTTGGTGCGCTGGCGGGCGTTGTGGAGATGCTTGTGGTGTGAGGTATGAAGCATGTCGGTGAGGGATGAATTTACGAGGACGAGGTCGAGGAGGACTGTCATGGGTTAACTGAGTTAACGGTTCTGGGTTTCATGAAATTTTTTTTGACTTATCATTATTGTTTTTATACGTCCCCTTGCATGTTTGAATATCCAGAGACCAATGCTGTACGTACGGAATCATTGTATCATGCATATGACAGATATACCAAAAGAATTGTTCAATCTTGGAAGTGGAAAGCGATTCCGCATTCGCTGCGGTGTTGACTAGGACTCGTTGCATCCACTGCGTCACACAGGCTGAGCTACAGATTGACAGAAATGTCAGGACCATTTTATGTTCAGGATGAAAGTGTCGATGTCGTCGGCGATATTCTCATTTTCAGATATCAGTTTCGAGATCGTCAAGGACGGACTCGCACCAGTGTGCATGATGTTCAAAGCGGGCATTTTCTGGGCGTCATTGCCGATGTTGTTGACGTCGGCTTCGGGGTTATTGATTTGAAGTATGGGGACAGGGCCATCGTGGTGGTCGCTGCAGTTGGCATAGTCCAGTACAGAATAACTATATTACGGCAGAGCGCAACCTATGTCATAGCAAACAAAGAGGTATATAACCTAGAAGATATCCAGCGGATCCGTGTCCGCCGTATCCATTACGTCGTCCGTCTTGTCAGCCTGCGCGACGGCGCTCTCGTCGACCTCGCCCTCCGCGTCCGCCTCGGTCCGGTTGAGGAGGAACATCGGGTCGACCACCTCCGCGAGGACCTCTGCGCGCTCGTCGAGCTCCTCCTGCGCAAAGGGCGTGTGCGAGACGTGCACGACCTGCCACTTGTCGCCATAGGACTCGTTCCCGGCGACGCGCCGCTTCTTGAGCGTCATCTTGCGCTCGATGTTCTTGTAGTATGCGGCCTTGGCGCGCGGTACTGATGGTGATGATGACGTGGGGTAGGGTGTGGTGTCGCCGTCGTCGAGGACGAGGAGGAATTCGTTGGGGACTTCTTGTTCGACTTTGACGGTTTCGTAGTCGCGCACATAATGGAAGGAGGCGGACTGCAGCAGATTGTGGGTTAATTAGTTACAGAGGCTGAGTCAAAACGTACAGGTTGGTCGGCATCAGCGTGTTGTGAGATTGAGCGGGACTCTTTGAAGGTAATTGCGGACTCGTCGTCCTTTGTCAGGTAGTATGCAAGGAAATGGTCGCCGTCGGACTCCATTGGACGCAGAATAGCACAGTCCAGCCGTGGATCCTCCGCCTGAATAAGTTATGTTGAGCATAACAGAGTTTGCGAACGCTATCACTGCGACGTACGTCCAATGGCCGCTCTCCAGGCCGCTCGTTGAACCGGAAGAGGTCATACGCGTTCGCCCAGATGTCGGCATCCGGGAAAATCTCATAAGACTCGACTGCGGTAACCCCGGGTTTATTGGGATGCTGGAGCGTAGCGAGGTCGAAGGAGGATGGGTCGTTGCATGTAGAGAAGGATGCTTCGATGTCGCGCAGCTGGGCGGCTCGCGAGACATCAATGTGCTGTTGCAGCATTTTTCTGCATTCAGAAATTCCACGTAGCTTAAACGTTGGTTCAAGGTGCGAGGGAGGGAAAGGAGGTGCACGTACGGTTCTTGGGACGTGGATCCACGCTGAGAGCTTTCGCGACTAAGGTATTCGGTCTTGCGCAGCCAAGTGACGTTTGCGGGCGTGGGTGTAGTTACACCAGAGACTACGGCTGAGGGGCTGCCATTGGTGTAGGGCGTCGGCATTGACACGGGGTCACCCAATAAAGCTTGGTCGGCGGGATCAAGCAGGGGAAGGTTATTCGTATCAGGGTTGAGGACTGCACAATGCGGAATGTCATGAGTAAGTCAGAGAAGAAACAGAAGATCAAAAAAGTCGCACGAGAGTCGTCCCCGTCCTCGTCCCAAAGACATTCCCATTGACTGAGGTCTAGTGGCATGCCCATCTCAGCATCCACAATCATGGGTAGAGGCGTGTCATTGGCTATGGAGTTGAGGAATTCGGGTTTGGCGTAGCGTAAGGGAGTAGTGGGGATGTCGAGAAGTTTTGGAGGACATGGTGGTGGCGGGAGGGGATTTGAGTAACGGACCCGGACGAGCAGGTCGAGTTTACTGGACAAAGACAGGCAAGTGTCAGTGGTATTGTATGACTTGTGAAGTTAGTAAACGTGTCACCTTTTCTTGAGCGACATTTCTGCTGATGTATAGGAGGAGCAGCGAGCGTCCTGAGGAGAGAGTCACACTTGCTCAATTAGCAGAGTTTATGGTCCAATACTGGTCCAATAGATGTAGGTCAAGGAGGAGCGTGAGGTGTAGACGCGCCCCCGATTTGGCGGGACGCGTTCACATGCTGCTTTCGCTCAAACAGTCAGCTCGCGTCGGCTTTCGCGCACTCGAGTTCGCCCTTCAAATTGTTGTCTTGGGCTACTTGATGTAAGAAGAAATAAACTTTAATGGACATCAGTCTGGCTGAAGATGGTTTTTGCTCAGTGTAACATGGGCTATATGCGTGTTTGCTGTGGGCGGTAGGCGTGCACTATATGTCATGGGGTGTCCAAGTCTGATTGCCCACTTTTTGCAGTTGGATGGCTAATACAAATCAAAAAACAAACTCTGTTGGGAGGTATCTTGATTCAGCGACGTGTAAAACTTGTCGTCGATCTGACAGATATCTACGCTGCCAGCCCTATACGCCGTTCTCATGACTGGATTAATCGGGTTCCTGGTGGTACTCTACATATGGCTTTCGATGCGTAAAGGGACGCGTTTCGTACGGCATTATCCTCCGCCAGATATCAACCTTCTGGACAAGCCATATGAATCCGCTGATCCAAATGAGCTGCTCAGCTTCTGCAATAAAGGCCAATGTAATGGGGCTTGGAAGCCTCCAAGGACACATCACTGTTCAACTTGCAATGTTTGCCGGTTGGACTTTGATCACCATTGCCCTTGGGTCCGCTATCGTTTTGTCGATAAGCATTTAACCTGACAAAATCCTTAGCTAGGCAATTGCGTCTCGCTGGGCAGCATGAAGGAGTTTTTATACCTCCTCTTTTTTGTGCCACTGGTTTTTCTACTCGGAATCTCTCCCGCTGCCAGCATCCTTTACTCGCAGGCGAGACTGGCGTATGGTGTTTCAATGGCCGATCCTTGGATCAACGACGTATGGTGGAGTTGGTACGCTTCGTGGATTGTGTTTTGTGGTCCACTGGGACGACCTGTTATTGGGACTCTTTTGGGATACCGGGTTCTCAAGGACTCTCGTGTCCCTTCTAGCGGATATGGACAAATGTTGGAACAGCCGCATATGAGAGTATCCATCGTGGCTCTGGTAGCATTGATCATGAGCATCTTTGCTATGGTGAGTGAGGTCACCACAAGACTAAGTATATCTGATCATCCAAATGAATATATGTAGGGCTTGGGAGTGTCAACGTTGCGTAACTTGCTTCGAGGCCGGACGACGCTTGAGACACTCAAAGCGCGCGCATATCGCAATAAATTTGTTGTCATACCTGCGGTCAACGCTGCAGACTCGGAAACTGGCTCAATAGCCGACATGCGTAAAGTAATCACAGTACCACCCCAGGAAAATCTGTATATCCTCGATTGGACGAAATTGTGGGGCAAGCCCCTGTTTACGTGCTCAGCTTATGATAGGTACGCAGCGTGCCTTTACTTTTGTAAGAACTCCTTGCTGACCAGATAGCAGTAGTGAATATTTATGGCCCACGGTTAACCCGAATATTATACACCAAGCACGAAACAAAGATAAATAATATTTATTTTACGACCAAGCAATAATCCCTTCAACCAGCTTATCAAATGTTCCGTCACCTTCATTGTATTGACGGGGAAATCAAGGGGCAGTTCCTGAAAAAATGTAAAGTGTGAGATTCGCATTGTACGTCAAGGTAGAAAATAAATACTGACCCTTGTTGCCACAGCCCGTCGAAGGCCAGATGGATGCGTTCTCTCCGGAGAGGCACGCACCGGTCCAGAGAGGGTTACCGTCGCTACCAGACCACTGGCTGCATGGAACTTCTTGGTAGGATCCAGTGAGAGCGCCATGGCCTAGATGAAGTTAGACGATATGGATTGTAATTGTGCCGACGACGAAGCTTACCAGACGGGAAGAAGGCGCCAGCGGCGCCGGAATCCTCGCAAAGGTCAAAGCTTTAGGATCCACGTCAGGCTCATCAATTCTGCAAAAAGAAATGTTGGCACTTACTGAACGGACGCGCCGTGCTGGTTCGTCGGACTGCTTTGTGATTGCCCGCACCACTCCTCATTACCTTGTGCGGGGCACAAGTCCGTGATCTTGACGACGACCGTGCTGAACGGACCAGTGAAGCCGGGCGAGTAGGGGTCCGCGCTGCCGGTCACCGCGAAGCAGCGACCACACGCGTCGCCGGCACCCAAGCCGGAGGCAGAGCCAAAGGCGAGCTGCGACATAGCGGCGGTGAACCCGGAGGCGGGGATACCGCACGCTGGCGAGCCACAGCCAGAGTACTGAGTGAAGGAAGCAGAACCCGAGGCGTTCTGGATATACCCTCCATCAGCGCGTTTGTCGATGGCGCTCGCGCCGGCGAGAGCGAAGAGGAAAGTGGAGACTGCGAGGTGCTTAAGAGACATGGAGGGCGAGTGGTTTGTGGACTCTTCGCTGCCTCGACATGCTGCCTTTTATTCGCGCACAGAGCCTGCAGAAAAATATCGGCTGGATTTACTTCGGGTTGCTCGTGCCCTAGCGTGTCCCACGAGCTAGGCACCGGTAATATGAGCGGTAGGAGGGAAGCACGGTGTGTGGACCACTTTCTCCTCGTCGCCATATGTTGGTGCCGGTGTTCCGGCTTTGTCGTGAACGTGCTGAAGAGGTTGTCGACCTCAGCTGCGTTCATTCCTAGCCAGGTGGGACCCCGCCATGAAGAGCCTGATTGTCTCTTATCTGCCCTCAAGTATGTTGACTGAGAGAAGTCCCATTGTACGGAATATCCTAGGATCTTTGCTTCAACGTCGTTTGTGCCTGCAACTGAGGTGAAGTTGAAGCTATTTGGAGATGTTATTAGCCGCATTAGCCGAAGTATTCAATAACCAACCCGCCTTGTGAGTCCCGAGACCATGCATGCAACCAAAGTAACCTAGACAACGTTGCAACGTTGGTGTATTATTGGGTGTTGAATGATAAGCACTTTGCATCATGACGAGCCACGCGGCCGAGGACGTGAAGCACGCGATCCCAGAGAACCACGATGGCGATGCGTAAATATGTCATGAATTGTCTCTTGATCGTAATTGCATGGAGCCTGTAGCCACTCCTGCCGAGGAAAGAGCCACGACAAAAGGAAGATAGCATCCCCGCAACTGGTGCGCGGGCCGAACCGAGAAGTGGACATTGCCTTGTCCGCTGTCGTCAAGTTGCCAGGCGCCAAGAGGAAGTAGACAGGGACGGCTTGTGGCGGAGGTGTGTTTGATCAAAGTGTCGTTACCTCTCCCCACACACCCGGCCTATTCTCTTGTTTCGAAATGACATCCTTCCCAGCAGCGAGTTGGCAAGCTGCACTCCTCACGAAGCAAACTGGGGGTAGAGCCATCGTAGGCGACCCCTCTTACGGTCGCGCAGCCACCCGGATCCAAAATCGGCTCTATCTCTCGGACTACTGGACGGCTCGCGATGCTCAGCAGTTGCGCAAGCTCGGGATAACGCATATAATCTCGCTTCTAGAGTGCATCCCTGAATTGAAAGACCACGAAGATATCAAGAAATTACACATCGCGATACAGGACACACCCGAGGCGGACATCCTGCAGTATCTTGATACGACCACGGTGTTCATCAAGGATGCGTTAGCGGAGAATGAGCAGAATAAAGTCCTAGTGAGCATATATCTTCTTCGCAGGTGTCTACATTGGTATTCTACGTGTCTGCTTTGGTTGAGTCTAGGTCCACTGTTTCCAGGGCATTAGCCGCAGCGCGACTGTTGTGTGTGCATACCTGCTTGCGACGACGACAATGGTGCCTTCGGAGGCCGTTGCATACGTGAGATCGAAACGCGGGATCGTCTCACCGAACGCTGGGTTTAAGAAACAGCTTGTGACGTACAGCCAAAGGTTCGACGAACAGCGGGAGAGAATGAAACTCGAGAAGGCTCAGTCATCCAAATGGAATGTGGTCATCTCGAAACTCAGCCTGACAAAACCGACAACAAGAAAACGAGACTCGCTTGTCATTGCGGAAAGAAAAGAGGGAGCTGAGAAGGTAGCTTCGACTTCGCTGTCTCGCAAATCTTTCTGATAACACCAACTAGGGTGAGGAACAAACTCGTTCTCGGCGATCCTTTGGCTTTATACCTGGTTCATCGTCATCTACCAGTAACACATTTGCTATGCCCTAGAAGGATCACGATGGACTTCTTGATACATCCTCTTGATACCTTCTGTTTGATCACTTTGTTGTCAAGGGCTCCTTTATTCATGCGCAATGTTGGTCTGTAAGCTTATAATCATGTACATACACTCCCCGCTTTATAACACTTCATATTGAAAACACTTAGTCGAGTCCTCGCCGCTTGCCACAACGTGGATTTAAGGTTAATCACCAGCGCCATACCACGGGACGTCCGAATCGACCCTGTGTCTCGCGCTATTTGTTCCTGTGGGTCCAAGCTTGTAAGTATAAAAAGAAGGCGGCTCCTGCTCGCCTCGCCTATGCTTGGGCTCCTCTTTTAACCGTCCTACTTCGCCTCTCCCCTCCGGACGTCCGTCATGGATTCTCACCCTCATTTCTCAGACATTTCTCTTGATGAACTCTTATCTGCCTTTGAAACTGTTGATTCTATCCATGATGACACTTTGTCGGCCCAGCCATTTGATCTACAGAACGCTCTGGATGGCCTTTCCAATCAACTTCACTTGCCTGATGCCTGGTTCCCTGATGGTGTGTTTCCGACTTTCGAGATGGAACCCCCGAGTGCTCCGCCACAGGATCTCGAGGCCACATTAGCAACTCTGTTCGAGAACGTACCGGTAAGTGGCATACGTGCACTGGCGACACTCATTCAACTTGGTTTTGTAGCTTGATGCGCAATTTGAGAGCATATCGCTTCCGGTTCCTAGTGACTCGGTGGAACCTAATACCTGGGACGACACTACGTTCGACCAAATACTCCGGTCTCTCGCTTCCGATTCTACAGTATCTGCTTCGCTTGAACAGCCTTCGTTGACTGACCTGAGTTCATTTCTTTCGCAACCATCTACCACGCCACAGTTCGCCTCTTATGGAGATCTGGTTGCCTCTATTGACTTTGCTATACAAGGATCATCTGATGCGACGAGTCTAGGCAACTTTCAGTCTTTCGGCGACGCGTTCAGCACAAACACACTCAACAGCGACGCGTTCGGCACAGACGGGTTCAACACGGACGGGTTTGCCACGGATACGTTCACCGCGGGCGCGTTCTCCGGAGATGCGTTCGATATAGATGCGTTCCCCGCAGACGCGTTCAGCACAGATGCGTTTACCGCAGAATTTTTCGCCACAGATGTGTTCACCGCAGATGTGTTCAGCACAGACGCGTTCAGCACAGATGCATTCACCGCAGACGCATTTCCCATAGAAGCGTTCGACATATCTAACGTACAGGATCCCGGTGATTATTTCTCCATTGATCAGTTAAACGCTCCATCTGGCCATGACGCGTCGGCAGCAGATGAAGGACAGCCGCCAGAAGCATGCCACTCTCCAGACGCGGGTGCTTCGCAGCTCCAAACTAACCCTACATCACAACCTTCTGTAGATTTAGAACCGTAAGTTGTCAATTTCGTCAGGTACTGAAAAGCCGAGGACTAAACAGGCTGAGGTCGGTCGAACTTGAAGAACGCCGCTGGTACCCGAAGTTTCTGAGGGTGGCTCAGACGCATCTAGCTCACAATTACTACCACCCCTCAGCGATGAGGAGGTGGAGTCCATCCTTCGCGAGAAGCTCCGTATTCAAGAGCCTACCAAACTTGACCTGTGGGCGCTTCCCGACCCTCCTGTAGGAGAGCCGCCGCGTTATCCCTCCAGGACACTGGGTTGCCTTGCGATATGGGGGAGCCCGCACAAACGACTCCAGCTGCAGGAAATATACCAGGCCCTGATCGACCGGTTCAGTTGGTACAAAGAGCATCCCAATGACAAAACCTGGAGAGTAAGTCTTTTGGTTTCGGGGTAGCTCGGCTTGGCGGTGTAGTCTTGAGCTGATGCTGTCGCGACTCTTTGATGCCTTGGTAGGAGAACATCCGCAACGCGTTGACGAGGACGTATCTATTTCAGCCTGCCAAAGAAGACGGCACTCCGGTTTATGGTAAAGGTGGCAAAGCCTGGTGGCAGATAGACGGCAGGGCCAACAAGGGTGTCAAGAGGTCACAGGGTTTGAAGATCAAGAAGCCAGTTCGACGCAAGGCACACCGTGATCCCAACATCCCGATTTTTCTGCCGCCGCGACCGAGCGGTGAGGAGGTGGAGGCCGTACTCCGCAAAGAGTTCAAGATTCCTCAATATATAAAGCTCGACCTTTGGGCCCTCCCCGACCCACCTGCGGGGCAGCTGCCACGCTTTCCATACAGGATACTCATCTGCCTTGCGATATGGGGTAGCCCGCAGAAGCGGCTTCAGCTACGGGATATCCGGCAGGCTTTAATGGACCGATTCGAATGGTACAGGGAACATCCAGACGACAAAACGTGGAGGGTGAGTTCTGTGTTTCCGTCAGTTCAGCTCACCCATGTAGGACTGATGGTGTCGCGACTCGATAACGTGCCTTGGTAGGAGAATATCCGCAACGCGCTGGTGAAGATATACTGGTTCCGATCTGTCGACGAAGATGGTATTCCCATTGCTGGTGGTGTAGGTAAAACGGTCTGGTGGGAGATAGACGTCTGGGCTGAGAGGGGCTCGAAACAACACCCAAGAGACAAAGATTAAAACCGCAACCTCTTTTTGCTGCGAATGCGGGATAAACCTGACAAGCACCTCGCAGAGCGCTGACGATGCTTGCGAGATGTCGCTACCTAGCCTCCACGTTCCCCCGTCAGATGTCGACAAGACGGAAACGTCCAGGGTAGAAGGAAGGAGGAAGAAGTGCCAGACATGGAAACCGGCGCGAATGCATCCCAGGTGTCGTCGATTGAGGCCATTGGCCCTCCGTGGCAGTCGGTCCGACTCAGCCTGGTTCTTGCACCTCTCGAGTACCCGTGTTTTCTTGTGTCACATCATGTACCATGATCTATGCCATGATCTATGTCATTTTATGTAACTCAGCCGCCTTCATTATTGGCCTCATCCAGTGTCGGTGATTTAGAGGTTTGAGTTCAGGTTGCAGACATTGCGCGTGAAGTCAGACTTTGAAAGTACCGATTGTTCGCTATGTTAGTAACATGCAGGAATACGTCTATGCGTACACAGTCGCTCGAGACTCAAAATATACAGACCACTGGTCCTCAACATCCACCGTTCTACCACAATATCAGGTCTGAGACAGCCTCCCTGGCGCGGATATACCTGTTGAGGTGGCTGACGCAGTTGCATTGGAGATCTCTGAAAAGGAGAGTCCAATTTTGCAGCCTGCAAGCACGGTATCTTGATTTACTGTATAGATAGCCAAGTGAGTTTTGCCAGGTTGCAATTTAGAGATCCGGATTCAAGTCGAGATCGAAGTCGAAGACTTGTTGCTGGGGCCGGTGGTGGTCATGGCGGTATGGGTTGGCGTGCGGAGCTGCATCGCGGAACGGCTCGGTTGACTTGGGAGATGGTGCAGGCGCTGGACATTGTTTAACGGCAGTCACTTCTCCGTGTTAAGTATCCGCATATAGATGAACGTACGTTTTCCGACAGAGTGGGTTTCTCCGAGCAGGCCGAGTGGTGCCTCTGCGTTGAGGCGGCCACGGCGCATCTTCTCTTCGTTTGGGAAGGGAGGGAAGAACAGCGGCGGCGGAGGTTGGCCCGGCAAGGAGAGATCTGGCATGTTAGGGGGCGCAGAGGTAAATGCGCTCAGGCTCTGTGCATATGCCAGTAATTCGGGGTATGGTATGGCAGCTGCCCAAGGCGAGTTGTCAGTACTTTGAGACAGTTTGGGGAGTGAGACGGACCTTCCCGAGCCTCCTCGATACCCTTGATACGCTCGTCACCCTCGTCGATTATGCGCTCAAGGGTACGCTTTCCCTCCTCGAGCTGCGCGCATATATCACGCCATCGCGCCTCGAGTTCGAAGATCTCGCTCTTGAGGGACTCGATGCGCCCTTGCTTGCGCTGGTGAACTGCCGTGAGTTGAAGCGCGTCGGCAAGTGCGGCGTCGACGCGTATGAAAGCGTCGAGTGGTGGTGGCGGAGGTGGTTTGGTCTGGGAAGGCGAGAGGGAGTGAAAGAGGGTCTGCGAGAGCTTGGTCAGTTCATTGAGAGGTTCAAGGAGGGTTTCGTTCATGGATGGGCCGGAAGAGGTCATGACTCGGACGTCAGGGGCAGACGCCGCGACGCGTTCGCGTCACTTGTTCTGAGTTTAGTGTGCTTTTCTCAAAAATCGACTCTACCAAGGAAATGCATGCGTGCATGCGTGCCCCCATATCTACTCATCATTCATGAATCATCAGCATTGTATGATGGGTTGAAATGGAGCTCTATGGGCCCATATGCAAGCTGACGTTTCTATAGTTGAAGCGATTTTCACCATCGCATGATCAGCTACGGAAATGACCTTATCGCGGACCTTCGCGGCTGTCCTTGCTCCAGACACGCTGTCTAAGAAGCCATTTGCCCTAGGTCTCGTGCTCCTCATTCTATCTTCCACCTGAGGTGCCCATCGTTCGGACCACCTTTCCTCCTGCTCGCTAACATCGATTTGCTCCACTCAAAATGCCTGTGCCGGCCAGCAGACTAACATCTATCCTTCATCGTACTCCCTGGATACCCCCTGTCGCCGTCAGCGGCGAGGGCATCTATGTCACTCTGGATGACGGCCGCCGCGTTATCGATGGCGTTGGTGGTGCAGCTGTTGCATGTCTTGGAACGAGTCACCCGAAGGTCGTCCAAGCAGTCAAGGACCAGGTCGATACGCTGCCTTGTATGCATACACCATCTGTAGCCGAATGTCTGGTATATGATGCTGAACGAATCTTGCTGGGCGCAGATATCTACAATATGCAGCTGTCCAATCAGCCGGCCGAGGAACTTGCCCAGAACCTCATAGCGAGTAGCAATGGGGTTTTCGAGCTGGTCTCGTTTGCATCTGGAGGTTTGGATCTTATCCAGATAGTGAGTATATGCGTCGTTATTGACGCGAAATATAGGATCGGAGGCTATGGAAGGTGTGATCAAACTTGGCCGACAGGTGAGCGGTTTTGCCGGAGGACGAAGCTCAATATGAACAAGTGTTCCAGTTCTTCTTTGAGACTGGTCAGCCGCAGCGTACGAACTACATTGCGAGGCATCTGTCATTCCACGGAAATACGCTGTCTACCGTTGCGCTTGCCTATCATCCATCGCGCCGCCTTCCTTATGCTGGTATCGTGGACAACGAACACTTTCACCATGTCTCGCCTGCGTATGCTGCACGTTTTCAGAGGCAAGGCGAGACTGAGGAACAGTATGTTGAACGCTTGAGGCAGGAGCTCGAGGACAAGTTTATTGAGCTCGGGCCGGATACCGTCATTGGATGTGGGTACACAAGTTTCCGGATCGATAATACGGTTAATTAACGCGCAAGCAGTCGTTGCGGAAACTGTCGTTGGTGCTACCACCGGCGTTGTCCCTGCTCCGAAGGGCTATTTCAAGGCCATGAAGGCGGTCTGCAATAAGTATGGTGCACTTTTCATTCTGGATGAAGTTATGTCCGGTATGGGGCGTAAGTGAACGCTTTAATCTGCTGGAACATGCGATTCATTGGAGAGTTTCAGGCATGGGTACTTTGCACGCATGGCAAAGCTTCGGTGACGGTGCCGAGCCGGATATTCAAGCCGTGGCAAAGGGTCTCGGCGGAGGGTCCGTAATTTGCACCTTTCTGTCGATGTTCAACTGACGTTAGTGTAGGTACGCGTCGATAGGGGCCGTTTTGATGTCAAAGAAAATTGCCACTGGCATTCGTGGTGCTTCTGGCTTGTCGAAGCATGGTCACACCTACCAGGTAATTGGCTGGACCTTGCTCATTGGATGTCATTTTAAGGATGCTTGTTATAGGCAAACCCTCTAGCATGTGCCGCCAGTTTGGCGGTGCAGAAGGCGATCACCGAGGAAAACTTGCTCGACAACATCACTAAGCAGGGCAAACTCATGGGAGAGCTCCTGCACGAGCATCTTCAATCACCGAATGCACTTGCTGCTCCATACACGTTCGACGTACGTGGTGGCGGTGGGTTCTGGGGGATTGAGTTTGACTTTGAGGGTCCTGGTGGCGAGCGGGTTGACCTCAAGGGCAAACAGTTCGCCATGGACGTGCAAGCGAAAAGCCTTGAGAACGGCTTGATCATCATGGCCTTCGCGGGTGGTGCCAACCTGGAGGGCACGAAGGGAGATCACTGCATATTGTCTCCAGCATACAACGTGACATCGGACGAAGTAAAGCGGATTGTGGAACTGTTTGTGAAGAGTGTCGAGGACGTCCTGAGGGAGTCGTTCATCTCGTAACAAATGAAAAGTGTGATGGTTGTTGTACTTTTAGCAAAGTAGTATTGTTGTACTATTGTAGGATGTCAATTGTCGCGCACGTACTGACACTAAGTTGTTTGTTCTTAGAAGGCTGTAGAAGTCTAGAGCGGCAAGTGACCGAGTGGCCGATGAGGTCAGGTTCGCACGGGACGAGATATCCTAAAGCGTCGAATTGGGATTCTGGTCGAGCGTTGTTTGCGGACGGCGAGGACGAAAGTCAAGCATCCGTCACCAAAACATATCTTCCTCTTAGACGACGACCATCTCAACATATTCGATGGCTGGGAGCTGCACCATCTAATGGACTTACAACCATCGAACACAACACAGTCACCAGCCAACAGCACCCAGCCAGACCAAACCCACTCCAGCACCCAGCCCTCCACCTCATCCTCATCACCCACAACAAACTCTCGCACCCTCCGTCAAAGCGCACGCGTCAAGGAAGCGAAGCAGAAGGAAAAGGAACGCCAGCAGGCGAGAGACTCAGACCAGCCAGACCAGCCCACCCAGTCCATCAACGCTCCGCGTCAGACCAGATCCCTCGCTCACTCATCCAAGAACAAGCGTGCACGCGACGCCACATCGACTCCCGCCAAAGGCAAGGACAACGACACTTTAGAAGACTCCTCCAGGACCACAAAGCGGTACGTCGCTCTTCGCCTCGATGACTCATGCACCGGCGACGACATAGACGCCGCTGACCTAATACACGCTTTCCTTCCGCACTGCAGTGCTCGCAGAACTCTGCCCATCCCATCCGCATCCGCATCAACATCCATCTCTGCTCCTCTCACCATCAACGAGCCCACCAAGGATCGCAAAGGAAAGAAACGTGCTGCGCCTGACGACAACGACGAAGAGGACGACGCCGCCAACACCTTATCTCACAAGCGACCCAGAGCTATATCGTACTCACTCCGATCTAGACCTGAGCCAGAATCAATCTCATCCAGCATGCCCAAGAAGACCAGGTCAGTGTTGGCTTCATGTATGCGTTGCTTTGTTGACTCTTTATTACTAGAGCCACCCCATCCAAGGGCAAGAGCCCCTCTAAGAGTAAATTCGCCGCCACCGCGAGCTCATCGCGCATGGGGGACGATGACCACGACACGATGGACGTCGAAGCATTCAAGGGGGAAGACTCTGACCTTGACGAACATGTCGCTAGTCGCGCGGAGGACGATGACGGGACCGACAGCGAGGGGAACGGAGAACATGATGATGACCACGCGGGAGAAGGGGAGGGAACCGAAAGGGGAGGCGACGATATGGGCGACGAAGGCGAGTCGCCGATCTCTCCGGGTCTCTCTCGCGGTTTCGGCGGCCTCGATGAAGCGACGGCGATGGCCATCTTCGGGGACTACCGACAGCTGGCTTCGCACATGATGTCGCTGTCCGGACGCCTCAAGACGATGCTCAACAACATCAAGGCGAGCGCCGACCCGACGACCCGAATGGTCACTCTGCAAGAGCTCAGCGAGTTGCTGAGTATCAGCACCGAGGATACTCTCGCTGGGTCGTTCCAAGTCGAGCAATTCGTCAAGGAGCTGGTTAGGATCCTGGGAGGCAAATCACAAGATGATGACGAAGAAGAAGGCGATGGCGAGCATGATGCGGATCTCGCAGCGGCGCTAGCACTTAGCAATGGGGGCATGGCCTACCAGGGTGACGAAAATCTCGAGGCACAAGTTCTCGCGTGTCGCTGCCTGGCGAATCTCATGGAGGCCTTACCCGGCGTTGCGCACACTGTCGTCTATCACGGTGCTATCCCGGTTCTCTGCAGCAAACTCATCGAAATTTCGTACATTGACCTCGCAGAGCAGACCCTGAGTGTGAGTACATCAACGTACCGCATCACCTCACAGCATTCTGATTTCTGTTCTAGACCTTGGAGAAGATCTCAGAAGAGTTCCCAAGCTCGATTGTTCGCGAGGGCGGTCTCTCCGCCTTGCTCAGCTACCTTGATTTTTTCTCTGTTGCTGTGCAGCGGACCGCCTTGCAGGCTGCTGCGAACTGCTGCAAGAACATTTCTACCGAGCACTTCACCATGATTCAGGGTGTCTGGCCCATTATCCGCAACTGTTTGAGTTACTCGGATCAACGTCTCGTCGAGTTTGCGTGCCTCTGTGTCATCCGTGTGATTGACTCCTATCATCGTTCCTCTACCGAGAACCTCGAGAACCTTCTTGACACTGAGGCGGTAGGGGCTATCAACCAGTTGCTTATGCCCCCTGGAGGGTCGCCCCTCATCGCTGCAAACACATATACGTTACTCCTGCGTGCGCTAGCTACCGCTGCTCGCTCAAGCCCGAAGATTACGGTTGCGTTGCTGAAGGCGGATATCGTCGATACGCTCTATCAGATTCTGACCGGTGTCCTTCCGTCGTCGGTCTCGCCAACCCCTGCCGAAGACGGTCAAGGGCTCGGAGGGGATATTACCCACATGACTGTGATGGAGAATCTGGCTCATCGTCCCAAAGATCAAGTCGAAGAAGCCTTAAGTCTCATTTCAGAGTTGATGCCACCGCTGCCCAAAGGTGAATCTCATCACCTCTTACCAAACTTGGAGAAGATGTTCATGTACTTTTCTAGACGGCGTATTTGACCATAAGGGTTACACCGATCGTGCCTTCGCGAAGATGGTGCGAGCAAAGGCTCGAGCAGAACGTGCAGCTGCGAAAGGGCTTTCGATTACTTCCGGAACTCCCTCGGCGGACATACCTTCAGTCCCTCCCACCCCCGCACCTTTCGAAGGCGATCAGGAGGGCGGAGCTGATCAGCAAGTCCAAGAGGTTGAAGAAAACCCCGCGCCTACCCCTCAGACCATTGAGGCCTCCAACGACCGGGCGGAGATGTTACAGTCCCAGCCCGAAGTCGTTGGACGTTTCATGCACCTTGTAGTGCCCATTCTGATAGACGTTTATTCTGCTAGTGTTATCACACCTGTCCGAGTCAAAACACTCACTGGCTTGCTCAAAGCCGTCAGTTTCCTTGAAGGCGAGTCGCTCAAGGACGTATTCAAGGTACGAGTTACGCTGCCTTCGGCAACGATAACGGGCTTGCTGAATTGCTTCAATTTTAATTTTGTGACTTGCGATGAGAAGTTTGGCAACGTCGCCAGCTTTGCGTCTGCTATCTTGTCGTCAAAGGACCACCCATCGTTGGTCATTGGGGCGTTGCAGCTTGTTGAACTGCTGTTGGTGAAAATGCCTTCGGAGTATCGCCCTGCTCTGCGTCGAGAGGGCGTGTTCCATGAGGTCGACGTGTTTGCTGCGCGCTCGCTGGTCGCGAAGTCAAAAGACAAGGATAAAGACAAAGACAATATCCCCGATGCTGCTGCAGATTTGATTGCGGCATACAACGCCTCCGGCTCGGCAATTCCGGGCTTCAAGAAGCTGTCGTCAATGTCTATAGATCCTGAAGATGCAATCACGATGAGAGCGCGCGTCATCCGGTTCAAATTCTCATTTGGTCAGGAGGAAATTGATGGGGATACTACGTTTGAAGATCTGAAAGACCTAATGCAACGCATTGTCGCACCGAATGCCTCAGAGGCTAGCGCGCAGACGGTGGTCAGAGAGCTCGCTACTTTGCTTGGTTCGAGGTCATCGGTGTCTAGCTTTGAGTTGCTCCAGAGTGGCGCAGTGGATGGGCTCTTACAGTTTGCGACCGATCCGTCTAGAACAAGTGAGTGCTATGTTGCTCGTCGTGTCTACTTTTTGCTGACGGCGGCGCTATAGTTCCTTTGAAGCGCCGACAAGAGTTGCTCCTCGAGTGCTTCACATATCGTCCCCGGGGAGTGCCTGTCTCGCAGTCTCCGTTCTCGACGCTGGTCAAGAAGCTGCAGGAAAGTTTGACAAGGATGGAGGCGTTTGAGGTTGCCACTGTCGCACAAGGTAATTTATTCGCGTGACGACTATTTACGACAGTCACTCATGATGCCTTTGTAGATTCAAAGCGTAGCTCCCCTTCTCTGCTTGCTCGTCAGATACGACTCCGGCTGACGGCCGACGAAGAATCCGACATACCGCGGACGTTGCAGAATATGGTGGTTTCGATACATGCCATCGCAACTTTCCAAGCGTTAAACGACTACCTACGTCCTCGAGTCGCTGGGCTCATGTCCAACAACAGGCTATCGGGGATGCTCGCAGCCTTGGCGGCTTCGGGTTTGGGTTCATCTTCACGGGACCCTGGTCCACCACCGAAGGCGCCGTCACGGCCTATATCTCCGACGCCAGCGCCCGGCGAGAAGTCCGTTGGACGGAGACGTTCGCAACGCTTAAGCGCGAAGAGCGAGGCCGCCCCCACATCTGGTTCATCGGTGCAAGCAGCCAGCGCTCCGGCAGCAGCAGAGAACACTGCGGAGGAGACAGCACCAGCTTCGTCAACTTCTGCTCCTGCGGTAGCTGTTTCCCCCGAGGAGCGTCACTCGCCGCCATTCATCCCTGAAAGCGACTTCGGTGCCGATCTTACAGATGATGAAGTCCATGCTGAGGTAAGCTTCCCGACTAATCGTTCTGCTGTAAACTCAGATTTTTCTCTCAGGTCTTCGAAGATGATGAAGACTTGGACAGGCCTACTGAGAAAACTGTCTCCGTTGCCGTTGCCGATGGTGAGACGTCCTTTTCTGATTGCTACAGCATGTTCTGATAGGCGTCAGATGGTACCAAAGTCGTGGCTCAAACTCCCGACGGGACAAGAGTAGCTACACCAAGCTCAATAGCACCTTTCTCATCCTCCCGGTCCGCGGGTGCTGCGATGTCGTCATACGCGGCAGCATTGAAGTCGAAGCCATCGGATTGGCATCTGGAGTTTACAATGGACGATCAAGTCCTTCCCTTGGATTTGACCATCTATGGCGCCATTCACCAGCACGAACTGCGCTCAAAGTCGGGTAACGTCTCCTCCAGTGCACTTTGGCAAGGTTTGCACACTGTCAAGTTCAAGAAAGTACCAGGTCCTCCCCCTGCTCCAGAAGGTTAGTTCCTGGCGTAACGTGTTCATCTCCGAAGGCTGACGTTTCAATAGTTCGCGATCAAGTCGGCCACAAAGTCCGTTCTCCAAGCCCTACGCTGTCCTCACTCCCCGAGGATGCTCCCCACGCCAAGATCCTTCGATTACTTCGCGTTCTGCATAAGCTCAATGCTTCGGAGATGGACAAGCCCACGAAGCCACTCGATCAACGGGCTCTTGATGAAAATGCCTTCATCAACAAGAAGCTTTCGGCTAAGCTGACCCGTCAACTGGAAGAGCCCATGATTGTTGCGAGGTACGTGTAACGTATTCTACGACCTAATCGCGAGGCTGACGTTGTCCTCAAGCTCTTGTCTGCCAGACTGGGCCCTCGATCTTCCTCAGAACTTCCCCTTCCTCTTCCCATTCGCGACTCGCTACAACTATCTACAGTCGACGTCGTTCGGGTATGCGCGGCTCATTCTTAAATGGCAAAGTCAGCAAGTGCGCGGACAAGACAACTCACGGCGAGACGATGGGATTGGATTTTTGGGTCGTCTACAGCGTCAAAAAGTGAGAATATCGCGCAAGCATATTCTGGAATCGGCAGTCAAGGTCTTTGAGCTTTATGGATCGTCATCGTCCATCCTTGAGGTCGAGTACTTCGATGAAGTCGGGACGGGCTTGGGTCCTACGCTGGAGTTCTATTCGTTGGTCTCAAAGGAGTTCGCCAGACGGGACTTGAAGATTTGGCGAGACGCAGACGCGACTCGCTCAGGGACTTACGTTCATCACCCTACTGGGCTATATCCTGCGCCGATTAGCCCTGACGATGTCTCAAACGATGGAAGCCAGTGCGTATATCATCGTCATTAGTGATTTTGCAGCGGGTGCTCATAAATGATGCAGGAAGCGCACTCATATCCTCCGCGTTGTTGGCCAGTTCGTTGCCAAGGCCATGCTTGACTCGCGAATTATCGACATGTCTCTCAACAAGGTCTTCATCAAGCAAGTGCTTGGGGAAGATGTTCCGGTCACCATCGATACATTAAGGGTAAGTGCGATTACTCGTTCTTCATTCGCCTCCTTTCTAATGCCGGCTACAGCTTGTCGACAAAGACTTGGCCAACTCTCTAGCAAAGTTGCAAGGTTACGCTTCCTGCAAGGGTCAGGCCGAGAAGGTTCTTATATTTTCCTTGTGTCAATGACTCAATCGCTGAAGCTTGAGCAGATTCGCAACAAGGTCGCGCTCATGGACATCGTCAACATAGATGACCTCGCCCTTGATTTCACTATTCCCGGCTATGACATCGAACTGCGGGTACGTTTCTTCACTACGAATACATCAGGAGTTCTGCTCACTTTGACCTTAGCCTGGTGGGCGTGATATCCCTGTCACCTCTGACAATGCGGAGCAGTACATTCAAGAAGTTCTTAATGCCATCATCGGATCGGGTGCCCGGGCCCAAGCAAAAGCATTCAGGGAGGGATTCTCCAAGGTTTTCTCGATCTCCGATCTGCATTCGTTCTCTCCAGACGAGTTGGTCATGCTCTTCGGGAACACCGACGAAGATTGGAGTTTGGAGAGTAAGTCTAATGTTACCGGAATGAGCTTCCACCAACTTATTGCGTCTTGCAGCACTCACAGAGTCTATCAAAGCCGACCATGGCTTCCACATGGATAGCCGCGCAATACACGATCTCATGGACATTATGTCAGAATATGATGTCACATCACGTCGCGATTTCTTGCAATTCATCACAGGTAGCCCCAAGCTGCCCATTGGAGGTATGTACTTAATCTGTTTGTCATCTCCATTCGTTAACAGCTACACGTTTGCTTTAGGCTTCCGAGGGCTCAACCCGCCATTCACGGTTGTGAGAAAGCCGCACGAGGCCCCACTGACAGCAGATGACTACCTTCCCAGTGTCATGACTTGTGTCAACTACTTGAAGTTGCCGGAGTATAGCTCGAAAAAGGTCATGAAGGAAAAACTGCGTGTAGCTATGAAGGAGGGTGTCGGTAGTTTCCATCTTTCATAATTATTGTCATCACATCACACTGCATATGTATTAATTACTTCACGTTCTTTCACATACATCACACCAGACTTTCGAGTATATTTTCAGCCATTGAAATGTAGTCGAAATGTGCATTGAATTTGTACGTTCAACCATGAATCCACTGCACATCCAACTCTTTCAAGTGTCCAACCTCAAATCAACCTAATTTTGATGTTGTGAATCCTCTGCGAGTGTCGATGATATGGTGTTCACTCATTTCTCTCATATGTTGCAAGTTTAATCACTGAGTGGTGACATACATTTTGCTAGTCAGCTTCTTAAGTACTCAATGTCTGCCTAACTGTTGCGGTGAGAGGTCCCGGCTAGTTCCTGGTCGGTTCCCGATTGGGTTGACCTCTGTTGATGGACTTATTGCAATCCGCATGGGCACTTTACCTACTCTCTCCTCCCAGGGTTCTCCGGGAGGTGATCGTCTACTCATATATAATGCATGCATGTACCATCGGGAACCTTAGTGTTCTCCCTCTTGAATCAACTTCAATTGGCCGGTTCTATTGAGGACTTGAGAACCTCAGTGTGTCACTTCACTAAGTCTGGAACTTCGGTGTACTGCCACATATTTTGAACCTCCAAAACTTAACAAGCTAAGTATTTTAAAATCCCTGTCTGCTGTGCTCGACGGCTTGATCACCCGTCAGCTCTCTGGACTAGAAACCCTTGAGGACACACTCCGAGTCGTGCATCCTCAGCGCCCCCGACTCCGGACTGGGTTGGTGACGACCATGGGTCGCTCACTCCGGTTCCTTCTGTCAGAATTATGTCTTGGGATTCACGCTTAGAAAGGGTGTGCGATACGCTGATAGCGCTCAGGTATGATTTCTCGCTTCCTTTATACTAGTAAATACATTAGGAGTACTTCTGTAGCTCCTGTACTCGTATTTAGCTTCTGATTCTCTAATAAATAGCTTCTGCTTTCCTGAGCCTTGGCCTGGGACTTGTGACTCGTCTGGTGGTCTATCCACCCATCTTGTGTCTTGTTATCTTATCTCGGCATCGGCCGATTACGTGAACACGATGACAGGCTCACGAATTCAACACTCCCCCTCAAACCTTGGTCCATGCCGAGTCTGGGAAACATTTTTCGTGTCCTGGTTTTGGGAGAGGTTTGGTGAGTATAGTCACTGTCATTGTCTTGTTCTGATAATGTTGTGTCATCTCTGGGTTCTTCATTCATTCTCTTCGTGAATGATATATGGTCTGAAAGTGTTTTATGCTTTCTTTATATCCATATTTTATGTCTATTCTTTTTGTATAATAAACGCGGTGTTTACACGGCATTTTTCGCCGAGCGTTTACTCCATTTGTAGGTCTGAATTGACTAAGCAATGGCCAGTTGCTTTTGTTGTCTTTATTATATTTTATTCTTTAGTTTCGCGTGCCAGCATTGATTATTTAAGCATGTTCACGCCCACAGTTTGCTATTTCATATTTTATCGGGTGCTGGTTCCAGAGGATACATCAGACCCATTTGTCTACTTCGAAGATTTTTTCAACTGTGCTCTTCAATCTGACGAGTTTTCTATTCTTAAAATTCTCAGCATGCAAGAGAACTTTTTATTTATTAGGCTAAGTCTTGTTTTAGGCTGGTATGCATCCCAGCTTTTATGATTATTTATTCATTTAGGGTTTGACTTGTTTATGCCTTTGGTCTAGTGTATAGTTAGGCCACGCAGTAGCGCTTTTTAATAGCCTTGTTTCTTTGACTCGCAGATTCTTATTTGGTTTTTTGTTACTGAGTTTTCTACTCGGATTTTGTTCTGATTGTGTCTTTAGTCTGATCACGTTTTTCGCCTATTTTGACGCTGGATCTAATTCTAGCTTTCGTATTTTACTCTAGAATTCTTTATGCCCATTTAAGCAGCTTTTTATATGCCGGTTTCGGCGTGGTATCTAACTACTCCCCCTCATGCCGGAAACCCGGCTGGGAAAGTGCATTGTGTTCGCTGGGATGCTTTTGTCTCCCGAACTTTGTATATTTTCATTTCCATCTCTCATATTTTTAACTCCCCCTGACTTCAGTCAGTATGCTCGGGGGAATAATTTCAGGGACCTGTCTTCGATAGGCTCTTTTATATGATGATTTTTCTGTCTGAGTTTTAAAGCTCTTGCCATGTTTGGCGCGCAACTTCAGTCTGACTGTCTCAGTCCAATTATTCGAACTTCTATCTTGTCTTTGGATTATATGTCATCGAGACACTCTATATTTCTATAGATATTTTCTCATTTATTTGAGCACTTTCGAGTGCGACTACTCATGTCTGAGTTTAAACTTTGTTACCATATATGGTATAGAGAGTCAGTCTCATCTTGACTGTTTCAATCTCAGTTCTAACTCTTGCCTTTTTCGGCAAAGAACATGAGTCGGGTTCTCTCTCATGATGAACACAGCTTGTCGAACTTATTCTACAACCTTTCAGGTGTATCTTTTATTTTATGTCTGTCTTTCGTAGTTTTTTTAAGAACTTCATAGTCCATTTGAGTATGTTACAAACGTGTGAACAAATCAAAATTCTGAGGTTTGGGAACATGTGTCATGTTTGTTTTTTCTCATAAGCAGGACATTGTCGTGTCCAAATACCTGCTCCGTAAATAGAGAGTATCTAGTTTTTGTTTGGTCTTCTGCTGGGCTTCTCGGCCTTATGCAGATTCTACTCGGGCAATCTCACCCGAGTACTTCTGTTTTTGTTTATTCACATAAATGTTTATTATGTCATCTACCCATTCGGTAACATGGACCGTCTCAGGGGAATTGCGAATATAATCGCACGAATCTGGCTTTCACCAGTTCCGTATGGACTGTCTGAGTCCGAACGCGCAAGCACGTGATGTGCTTCTGTTGCCGTTCTCCGGCATGGCCTGTCCACGGTGCGTGAGGAATAGGATGTGGCAAGCGAGGCGATGAAGAAGCGTGGTGTAAATATATGCGAGCGGGAGCGCGGGGCTCATAACCTCTTGGGATTCACGCTTAGAAAGGGTGTGCGATACGCTGATAGCGCTCAGGTATGATTTCTCGCTTCCTTTATACTAGTAAATACATTAGGAGTACTTCTGTAGCTCCTGTACTCGTATTTAGCTTCTGATTCTCTAATAAATAGCTTCTGCTTTCCCGAGCCTTGGCCTGGGACTTGTGACTCGTCTGGTGGTCTATCCACCCATCTTGTGTCTTATTATCTTATCTCGGCATTGGCCGATTACGTGAACACGATGACAGGCTCACGAATTCAACATTATGTCTAGTATTCGACCCTTTACAGCTTTATTGGTTCATCCAGAAGCCTCCTGTACGGTGATGTTCCGACACGAGGTCTACAAGTAAACACCGCCTTCATACGTCTACACAGGTGCTAGGTACCCCAGTAGGTAGTATTAGCGCCTTACACATTCATGCATTTGTGTGGCTCCACGTCCATCGCACTGAGCCACGTACATAGCTTACGTAGCCGTCCTGCATTACCGTGGGACTCGGACTATATAGCATCACAAATACGGTAGTGACTTCACACGCTCCTGTCATATATATACAGTCACTACCATGAATATCATCTAGAGTGTCTTTCTACCCCGAACAACTATCATCGTCAACCAACCAGCCTAACCGCTACTAACTCAGTCTTCAACTAACTGCCCGGTGAGTCTGCGCTGTTGTAGACTTCTTTGCTATACTTGCATTCGATCTTTGACACCTTCGACGCCCCCGATCAGTAGTCTTCATGATGAACTGGTCCGGGCGTTGGCTAGAGAGGCCTCCGAGCACCATGCTTGTGGAGGATCTGGATGAATTACTCCCGCAGTCTCAGTGACGGCTCCCGCTAACAGCGAAGACAGCGATGACGGTTCTCGCATTCCCAACGTGCAACAGAACACCGCTGCTTGCTCATCCGGACTCGACAACGATGTCAGTTGGACTATGGCTTCGCAGAAGCGCGAAGAGCCCTCCCGTGGTTGCTCCATGGCAAGGAAAGGACGTATCAGCAGCAATATTTCGGAAAAGCCGCTGACAGTGCAACAGTGCAAGGCAGTTGACCTCACAGCGCATTGTCTGATGGACGAACAGTGTGCACTGATTGATAAGCGATCTGCGATATTATCGCATCGTAACACGTCAGATGATGGCGTGATAAATGCACCTGCTGACGAGAGACGTGAAGAATCTCCGCCCAAGGCTGGTCCCTCCCGGGACAAGGGCAAGGGTGTGGATCCCCAGAACTGGGGAGCTACAGACCTGCAGCAGGACAAGCTCAATGTGGATGCTCAATGTGCCGCGTTTGTGAGCTGGTCAGAGGCTAAACAACTGAGTATGCAGCCTAGTGTAGACACCAATGATGAAGGTGATAATGATGACATACCTCCATTACAACCCGTTGAGGATGATGCCAACAACAAGAATGAGTCCGATGATGGCACACGTCATTACTACACACCTATGATAGCGCAGGAGCGCATCAGTGCCATGACCAGTGCCATGAGGGGTAGAGTTGCTCACCTGAAGTCCCTGCGGGCACAGAAGGCGGCAGCCAACCCTGGTGTCAAGTTCACTTCAAGCATTCCGACCAATGCTCCAGCCGCGCCAGCCACCTTGTTGAGTGAGAAGATGGCTGCTCCGCGGAAGCGTGAAGCCGTTGCGAAAGCGACGGCCGAGTTCTCCATGAAGGAAGACAAGAAACCTAAGAAAAAGAAGAAGTCAGCTTTGAACAAGAACAATGATGAGTTTGCACAGTCAAAGGAACTAGCTGCGAATGATCCCATCCGAAGGCTTATTGAAGACACAATTGTGAGCATTCAACGTGACCACCAGCATGCTGAAAAGAAGAGGCACAAGGCAGCTAAGCAGGCTGTCGAGCAGCTGAATCCCACCAGCTACCTTGGTGTAGCATTTCGCCAGCTGAGACATGCTGCAAAGACACTGCAGACTGGTACAACCCCACTGGTGTCACCTATGACGGCCGGGAGAAGCAGACAAGGAGGGTCGCCTAGTGACAGCTCCTCATCGTCGAGCGACAGCTCGTCCTCTTCAGATGACCAGTCAGACAACTCGTCCTCGACTGATGAATTGGATTACTTACCGAGTGATTCTTCCACATCTGACTCCTCGGATGCCCATCGTCGCTGAGGACATCGTAGTGGACGCAAGGGACGGCCTCAGAAGGAGTGCAAATGCAAGAAAAAACATCGTCACAAGGACATGAAAAAACGGGAAGTCAAGGTTGACAGTTCCCACAGTCTCATTAAACCCATCCCGCCGGAGGACTATAACGGTGAGGTAGACATGATGGTGTATCACCGGTTCATGATGGAAGCGACAGAATATGTGACTGAAGGGCGCATTCCTGCTCGCAGGCAGGTGGCCTTGGTGGGCCATTACCTAGAAGGCAGGGCTCGTAAATTCTACGCGAACCGAGTGGCCATTGCGCCTCACAAATGGACGCTCAGTCGGTTCTTTACGGAGCTGTTCAGCTTCATCTTCCCTCGCAATTTTAAGCTACAAATGCGCGAGGATCTGAAACGCTTCAAACAAAAGCAGCTTTTGGTGAAAGATGTGCTGTACAAACTCACCGGGTTATGGAACATTGTGGGTGAAACCGATGAGCGGAACAAGGTCCTGAAGTTCTGGACCTGCCTCAACTATGAACTCCAGGAGGATCTTTGGAAGAAGGGACTCCATCCTGAGGTTGTCGAGCTTGATGATGCAGTGCAAGCTGCTGAAAACATTGAGATCACCCTGAACGTGAGAGACCGTCAGTCTCGGGGTGAGTGATCAGGACAAGGCACTCAGTGTGATGTTCAGGCAGAACGCCCATCAAGAAAACACCGCCGCAAGCACCCCCGCAAACGCAATGCAAATTCAAGCAATGCAGACTCGGGCCGCCCAAGTAGCTCTAATCAACCCCGCGTCAAACCTACAAGAAGCACAACACAATACCGACGCAATGACTATCAGAACCGCCCGTCAGACAAAGGGCAGGTAAAGCAGAAGCAGCCGAGAAGCGATGGTAATCGCAATGTGGGTGACAACCCAGGATCATGCCACAACTGTGGCAAGGACGGGCATTTGAAGCGAAACTGCCCGGACGCTAAGAAGTTTCAGTTGTCCAGGCCAGGCAGACCACCTGGGGTGAGCAGCAATGCGATGGTTGTTGATTACGGTGACCCCGATGTGGTACGAACCTTGGTGGAAGGACCAACTGGCAATGACAAAGCAAACATATTGTCAATGATGCTGGTGCAAGTGCCGCGCGACGACCGTGACGAGCCCGAGTGCTTTGACATTGAGGACCTGCTACTGACATGGGCTATGGAGGTCCTGTTGGGGTATTTGTATCTGGATGATGATGTCAACAATCTGGTGACATACACAATGGATCACTTTGAGTTAGTACCACTGGGCGATGACTATCATGAGTACTTTGTCCATGACCACTGTCATCCCAATATACAGGGTTGGGACGTACCTATTGTACACCATGATTCACTGCTAGATCCAGGATTCCAGCCCGACCGCTGGTACTGGAAGGTCATCTGTAATTGTCACGGGGTCCCTAAGAAGACAATGAAAAAGCAGATCCGACGACTCACACGTTGACGATCGTGGGTTTGCATGGGTGATGTCATGCCACGGTTCATTGAGGAGCTCCTCACTGCATTGACACCAATGGGGCAGGATTCGATAGACTACGGTGGACCACCTCATTTTTGGGTGGAGTACAATCCCCTTGATGGACTGTATGTTGTGCGTGACGAATGTCTGAACTTTACCGTTAAACTCAGCGAGGACCTGGTTCGGCGACCACAGTTTGACATGCTGAACTGGTACAAAAAGTGTTTGAGACGCTTGACTGAGGAACTGTTGAATCACATGTATGAAGCACGTGACATGGAGATTAACATATTGCGCTTACTGGACTGTGGCGCGCTATCTGCAATGGACAGCGCTCTTGAAGATGTCACACATCTATTGCACACAAGCAGCCCAGCGATCAACTTTGACGATTCAGATGATGACTACATCCACGTCACAGAGATCAACAGCGTGAGCGTCGAGCCAGGAAAGTACCCCACACTCGAATGTAACACAGGGCAGCCAAAGGACTTCCGGCGCCACATCCCCAGTCCAATAGTTGTGGTCGTACATATTGACGGCATGCCGGCATGCGTGCTGATTGACTTGGGATCACTAGCAGATTTCATGTCGCTGAACTTCGCAGATCAGCTTAAGCGTAAAAAGGATGTGTTGGAAAAGCCACTCACTGTACAACTAGCAGCTCAGGGCTCGCAAACAAAAGTAAACTACAGTGTCACTGCATGTCTCGAGTATTAGGGCGTGAAGTACGACCGCCGGTTTGATATCATGAACTTACAAAATTACGACTTGATATTGGGGACGCCTTTCCTATATCAACACAAAATGACCATTGCATTCAATGATGTGAAGGTCATTATGGGGTGTAGGGAACCCTTACATTTGTGAGGGAAGGGTGTGGCTGTTGTTGAATCCAAAGGGACGTCCCTAGTTTGGGATAAGAATGAAAAGGCCTGCCAGTATTTGAAGAAGCTGGCGGCACCTCTGTGTGCTAAGGCCGGGGTGACAGACTTGTCACCGCTGCGTGCAATTAATCATCAAATACCTTTGATTGATGAGAAGAAAATCTACCCGTGGCACCGGGCACGGTGCCCGGAGCCACTGCTTCGCCCACCAGTGGCAGATGATTAGACCCTAATAAAATGGATTAACCCACAAATAACTTTTCCAAAGACCGTGGTTCTTAGGTATCTCCACTAGCTGTTGGCTGGTTGGCCTCTCTGCCGTTGGTTATGGTTTTATCCATGTCCTGGTTGTGGTTCTTCTGTAGCCCGGCTTGTTGGCTTGTTTTCCTCAACCTGTGGTTTTATCCCGGCTCATTGGCCTGTTTACCCCACTCTGTGGTTTTATTCACAATGTTCTCACTAAGGTAGTTAATTCTCATGCATTTTGCTGAGTTGACATTTCGGGCTTTGTTATCTTGACTATTTCAGGACATCATAATAAACATAAACCCATCATCAATTGCCTATGTTTCCGTCACTACGCTCAGCCACTTTCAGCCGCTTCTGCCACTTCTCGCCCGTTGCTTCTGCCATTCCCTGCCACGCTGCTTCCCGTGCTGCTTCCCGTGCTGCTTCCCATGCTGCCCCTTCCCCTCCCCACGTTGCCCCTGGCGTCGTCACGCATTGGTCCTCCGCATCTGAATCGACGTTGGGATGTTCTCCAACCTTTGTCAAACTTGCCGCTTCCTCAGAGCCCCATCTATGCTCCCACAAGCGCGTAAATTCTTCCCGGAGCTGGCACTGTTGGCGGGCTTGACGAAGAGCGTGAGTACGCACGCCTTTGGCCAAAGCCTGCTGGGTCAGAACCTTTTCACTAGACTGAGACAAGAACCACAATGCACAGCCATCAGGGTGTCCTGGTGAGTCTGTTGAGCCTTCTGTCGCTGCTGATGTCGCCGATGTTGCGATGGGGTCAGGATCATCCAGGACCGCGCATTGCTCCCACCAGCACGCTCTGTGCTCTAGGTATGCTCGAACCCGCCTCATTTCCTCCTTCAGTAAGCTGACTTCCTCTTCCCATCGTTTTGTACGCTCGGACACCTTTAGCCATTCAACGCGTAGACCTTGTAATGTTCATAGTGAGTTTTTTTAAACATATGAAAATGGCTTTGTTACCTTCTGTATCTTCTATTCCCTTCTCAATGTCAGACCCATCACCTCCTTTAGCCGTCCATATCCACAAGAAAGTTCGATGCCCTTCCCCTAACCCTTTCTTCATCTCACGTACTCGGTGTGATGGCATGCTGGGTTCGATCTCTGGCTCGCGAAGCACGCAGATATCTCTGGAAAGGAGTGGCTGTAAGCGAAAGCGGGATAGGTAGGCCCTTTGAGGGATTCAAGCGCCTTGAGGGCCTTATCGTACTTGGTACGTTCAGCCTGGATCTTCTTTTCATAGTTGCTAATGAGTCTGTAAGCGCGCGTCATCGCATGCTGTCCCCAAGAGTGGAGCTTTTGGTGAGTCAAAAAGTGGGACTTGGTTTGCAGGAGGCCCCGAATCTTATTGAACGACGAGTAGCATTGCCACTGTCAAAGCTTGCTTTCAACTTTTTCAACATTGTGAGTGCAAATGCTGTGCTCTTCTGGGCTAAGCGCTGAGGGGAGCCAGAGTGGCACATCCTCCCAGCTACATCCCAAGGCCGTTTTATCGAGTCGTTTGTGTTGCTCGATCAGCGCCTTGATTCCCAGCATGTAAACGGTCTGTACTTCTCGAAGTTTTACGATGTTGCAGCGGAGGTTCACTTGGCGGAGCTCAATCTGGGTGCGAGCTTCAGCAGTCAGCTCTTTCATGCATCCCATGTCCAAGCTAAGACAATGTTTATGCAAGCACGTCAGACCTGGGTTGCCGCGCATTGAATTGACAAAAATACGTACTGTTTGTCTTCAATGCTCATAGCCATTTTTATGAAATTGCTCAGCAAAATATTGTGTGGCAAGAATGTAATGTTTCTCTCTGAATCTGCCAGCTGTGCATGCATCTCAGACTCTGAAACATCTGGTGGTCCATGAGTCTACTGTCAGCGTCGAGCTGGAGACAACACTTACCAATTTGCATGTGTAGGAATGGATTTGGCTTAGCCTTGTCATTCTGCCATGCGACCTTCATTGTTGTCCATTCCGATCAGATAGATTCGTCAAAAACAAGCAGCGTGTCTCTATGAACTGAGTGCACTTCCGTTGCGAGAAGTAACCGGCCCCGAAGTGTCTTCCCTAAAGCGTAGTATTTTTGTAGGTTGTGGGAGGTGAATACAATGTTGAGGGTGTTGTGCCGGAAACCAAGCATCATTTCCTTGGTGCTGTTGCTAGCAAGGTTGAATTCCGCCCACCCGTGCTCAATGCCCTCACCATCAGTGCGACCGGCCCCAGTTATAAGGTTGAGAGAATGTTCAGTGGTGCATTTCTGATTATGACCCGGAGCGTGAAATTTGGGAATACCAAAATGAGAATCTGAGCCATCATCAATATCGATACTTGCATCTTGGGGGGCAGGGAGTCCATTCGCTTGAATAAATTGATTTTCCATTGACAGGCTATGTCATAGGATATCACAATGAGAAGGAGTATGTGGCGGAGACGGCGGAGCGGAGGAGCTTAACGACGCTAGAACAGCGGACTCAGAGCGGCGACGGAATACGGAGGATCCCAAGGACTAGTCCCAATGACAAAGGTTAGATTGGTGTATCTACAGGTACATCAGGGTATGAATACGCACCTAGTCCCAATGACAAAGAGGTCGAGATGGGGACTAGGGATGGAGGTACAAGGTTTATATAGTAAATCCTGGGCAGTGTCCATAACAATGCCAAACAAATGAGTCAGAGTCCAAAAGCACAGCCCACGCGGAGTGTGAACGAAACAAGACAATGCGCGAGAAGATAAGAGAGATAGGGGTAAAAGAGAAAAGACAGGGGCTGTACCCTCGCATCCGCGACATTACCCCCCTGCTAGGCTTCGTCGTCCTCGACGAACTACAGACCACCATTCCAAACCGACAGGAGGGTGGCTCTGATGCGCTTGGGGGCAGTTGGGTTGGTGTGGTGGAAGTCATTTACCAGGTCTCTGGCGTGTTTCATGTCCTTCGCCTTGACCCAGCTGTCGTGCCCTTCGTCATAACCTTTCCACCGGA